TCGAGTTCAATTCAATTAATTGAATTGATACTTGACCCACACACCTCACTTCACTAAAAGGTTGATCTTAATCTAGATCGACCATTTTTCCATTCATTCATACATCTTCCATCTAGAACACTTTTTCTCTATGATGATTTCAAAACCAAAAAGTCAAAGATCTCTCTATTTCCAAATGCAAAGATGGGTTGGATCTACTCTTTTATCTATTGGAAATTAGAACAGTTCCTTTGATATAGCATCATCATAGACTTTTCCAACCCTCTTACTCCTTTAGTAACTTTTAAACAAAACATGGCTCAATGAGCAAAAGAGTAGTTAGTGTGGTATATATCATATGTTTCCTTTTCAGAGCGAGCAGCAATAAGTAGAGTAGAGAGAGTCAACAAAAGGGAGATACACCATCACTACCACCACCAGCTAGCAGTCAAACCATCCAATTTACATTTAAGCTAGCAGTCAACGATACCTACTCATCAGTCAACTTCACCAATATTCATTTATATAAATTGATCGGTTATTGGATCTGTCCCACCCACCATACATATTAAATTGATCACCACCACCATCCAATCCACCAATCCATCGAATTCGATTGACAAGATAACCAATAACTGCAAAGGTGGATGGAATGCTAACATGCTATCCAGCCAGCTGCTAAATTTTTCGTTTTTGGTTGATCCTCATCTCTTTCATTCAACTTCACACAACTTTGCTGCATTGCATTGTTAATTCCTTCTGTCTTTTCAATATTCATTCAATGGAACTACACTACTAGCATCGCACATTCGCACTGGAATTTGTTTGACCTCTCTCATTCAACCTCTCCTCTCTTTCTGATTCACCCCAGTTAACTGTCTCTCTCCCTCTCTCTCTCTCTCACCAAGATGGTGGTAGTGTAGTAGTGGGAGTGTACAGTGTGATGAGGGGAGGAAAGGTAGGCAGTTGAATGTTGGTGTATGGTCTATAAATCTTTCCTAGATATAATGTCAGTATAGTATATAATATTCGCGTCGTGTATGTGTGTACGCACGCACTTGAAGAAGAAGAAGAAGAAGAAGCTAGCTGTTGTGTTGGAGTAGGAGGAGGAGGAGGAGTTGTTGGTGTGATAGATTAATTAATGTCTTTATGTAGTACTACTTACGTACTGTCCAACAAAGAGGGGGAGATGGATGGTGATGGTGTCAACGCAGAGTTGGCAGCATCTAGCATGCACCACCACACCTTGCATCCATCCATCCATTCACATCACTAGTAGTGACTGCTTCCCTCTCTCTCTCTCTCTCTCCCTCTCCCAGTCGACTCTCATCTCCATCCACCAGTAGCAACACAAAACTTGAATTCTTTACCAACAGCATCAGGAGAAGAGGTAGTAGCAACACCATCAACAACAACAACAACAACAACAACAAAATCACTCACACTAGTTAATAAGTACTTATTACAACCTCCTCCTCTCATCCTTGTACATCTACTCTACGCATGAATGAATGAAAGAATGTGTGTGACTTGACTCTCGCACCACACTTTTTCTTTCTTGTGTTGTTCCATCCACCACCAATTTTCTTAATTTTAATTTTAATATTTTTATTGGTTTGGTATTATCGTTGTTGTTGTTGTTGTTGTTGTTGTTGTTGTTGTTGTTGTTTGCTGCACGCACACACTCCTTCTCCTTCTTCTTCCTTCTGCTTTTTGGTGTACTACGCTTACTCTACTCTCCCCCCCCTTGCATGATGCTTCATAACCGATATTTTTAAATTTAAACAAACCAACAAAAAAAATATGAATGCACATTTAATTAATTGATAAATATCAACAACCAAAATTCTCCTCTCCTCTCATCTTCCTCTTCCTCCTCCTCCTCCTCTTCCTCTAATCCATCAATCCAAAGAAATCTGGATCTAAACAAACAATCAGTGGAAGATTTATCTGTGTAGAAACACCATCATCATCATCATCTCTCTAATATATAATATATAATATATAACAATATTTCCATTCCAAATTCCATTTCATTTCAATAATATTTTGTTTCAACTCTTTTTTTTTGATATTAGAGTAATCGAGATTTAAGAGAGCGTATATCTATCAGCCAACCAGTCGACTGACATAATTTTTTTGTACATATTAAGCATCAATCCGTCTAGAATTCTAAACTATACACTCAAAGTACTGGACGCCATTTTCAAATGTAAATATTTACCAAACACCAACAATTACAACAACAACATCAATTACAATTACAACAACAAACCTATTTCTCTAAAGATCTTGGATGATCGATCTTGAGTTTTCCAACCTTCTCTCTCAAGACATCATCATCATCATTGCTCAACTTTCATTTGTTTTTATTGTTTTCCAACTGGATGTGTTTTGACCACCTTTGTGCCTACCCACTTACTGAGCTCATTCCCCAACCGCAGCCAAAGCATTGCACCAACCAACCAACCAACCTACTTACCAACCAACCAACAAAACAACCACCACGACAATCGTCGATTTAATTTTTCCAATCATCACTTCACTTCACTGCATCACCATCATCATCATCATCATCGCCATTATTTATTATATTCTCGAGAACTCTCATTTAGGTAATTTAGTGCAGTGGTGTTTCTATCAGACAACAGTAAGCTACTGTCGCTCTCTCTTTCATACATCTATCATTCCAAAAACCATCTTGCGAGACTATTTTTATTTCCTCCTTTCTTTCTTCTTTCACTCTTTCTTTTTTTTTTTTTGTTGGAAACCATTATTATTCATATCGTACATACGTGTGTTTGCACACAGAGAGAGAAGAGAAGAGAAGTGAAAAGTTGTAGGTGGGGTAGGCATAGGCAAAGTATAGGGGTGACACTTAATTCGAATTTGTTTTTTTCATTATTATTATTATTCCCACTCCTCCAACTCACTCACTACCACCCAACCATCATTATGATGATAGAGCAGTGATCGACCAAAAAAAAAAAAGTGGGGTGGGAGGGGTGGCTGATGTAATTAATTTACCGAGACACTTTATCAATTAAATTAAATGGATGCATACACTACTTTTTCCATCCCTTCATTCTTCCATCCATTCACACCATCACTATTTTAGTGAAAAACAGTATATTTATTTTGAAATCGGTCAAGTCTAATTTAACAACCATCCCCCACCCCCCACTCACACAGTAATATTGCACGACTATCAGTGCTTATGACATGCATCACATCAGGCTGCTGATCATTTATTTATACACGCGCGCGTTCCCCTACCTACTTTTTTTTTAGTTTCTCCTTCTTTCTTTTATTCATTCATTCATTCATTCATTCATTTGTTTTGTTATCTCTTTATCAGTATATCGTGCTTCTGCAGCAGCAGTAATAAGTAATGTAATGTATTTTTGACATATCGACCACCCCCTCACTCACTCCATCATCATAATCGTCCTATTTTTGTTATCCTTTGTTGTTGTTGTTTATACATAGAATAGAATAATTCGAATTATTATATAATATTTATACACAAACATATAATTAACTAATATTATCGTTTTTTTTTATCCAATATCCAGTACAGTACTAGCTAGCTATACACATATTTATTTATTTATATATAATATAATATAATATTTAAACATATAATATATATATATATATATATATATATATTTATATATTTCGTTGCGAGATTTATTTAACCATATATTTTAATTAATATCACCCAATTCAATTTCAATTCAATCAATCAATCAAAATAATATATTAGTTAGTTTACTATTATATTTTTAGAGAGAGGTATATATTATATTACATTTATTTTTAAATGATTATTTCTATATAATAATAATAATAATCATAGGCTAAAAAATCTTTACACATCATTGGATTTTCAAAAATAACTAATGGACACCCTTGTTTTTCTAAATTAGATTCTTCTTAATTAATTTAATCCAACAAACCCCAACTTGTAATATTATACTCATTCCAAACAACTATATATAGTCGACTAATTCCATACCAACCAAACCAACCGCATACATAACAATATTAAATAATTTTTTGAAAAAATGAAAGATTTATCAATTGTAATTCCAACAGTCAATTTGACCAATATCAACAGGTCACCACAATCTACATCATTACCATGCTCACCAAGCAGCAGTAGAGGACAACCATCTGCACCATTTGAATACGACGGATGCATGTTGTGCACCAACGGCACGCCAAGCTGTCTGCAGAAGCGTCGCGCTACATGGACGCTCAAGCTCCGTGTCGCTCTATACTGCTTGTCAGTGTTGCACCCCGACAAGAAATACTTTAACCTCAAGAAAGATATATACACCTACGTCGACAACCACTGGGACTTGCTCTCGATCAACACTGCCAAGTCGGACCGTTGGAGAAAGCAAGTGCAAGACTCACTCTCACATTGCCGTCACTTTGAGTCTGGGTGGGATGCTATGGGCTGCAACGGCCACTGGCGTCTCATCCAGCCACTCAACCCATGGAGTTTCCCTCCCGAAAAGGAGAATGGTATCATTGACGAAGAGTCGGATTTCAGCTACAATACACCCGAGTCTAGTCTCTCGCCACGTCCCTCCAAGTCACCTAGAGAGGATCCATTGTACAGAAACTTCCCCAAGCGTCGCGTGCCCACCACGCCAACCGCCATGTCGATGAGTCAGGCCGCTTTGAACCAGGCCTTCGAGGAGGACATTGACAGCCGCAAGAGAAAGGCCGACGAGCTGCCCACCGAAGAGGAGCTCATCATGCTCAAATACTCGCCCATGATTTATAGCGGCGAGACGCCGTCACCCAAGTGTCGCACACCCCGTACCAACAATCCAACCATAACCACCAGTCCTTCGATCATTGGATCGTCGCCCATGATGACCAGCGGCAACTACTTTAGCCTGACCAACTTCTCGACCAACCTCACATTATCGAGTGGACAGTTGTCCGATCGTTCACACTACCAACCCCAGCAATACGTCCCCCAACAAACTCCACTCCACAACATGTCTAACCTCGCCTGCAACCAACAGGCCCCACAACAGGCACCCGCCGGACTCGACAGTGTCCCAGTCTCATCGACCAGTCCCTCCTCATCCCCCAATCTCTCGTCCTCCTTTAAGTCGTCCCCTCCCATCCCAGCTATCCCATTTTCATGGAGAAACAACTCGTGCAACTCGACCCCCATTGCCACGACCAACTCCTCCTCGTTTAGCCCACTCAAGACATCATCGCCCATCACCTTTTTAGGCGACACCTCAGCCGCTGCCGAACGACTCCCCACCCCCAGAGAAGTCAAGATCAACACGCTTCCAAACCCATTCGTCAACGACCGTAACAGCAGCTCCAACCTAAACGCTTCAAGTGTCGACGTTAAATTCACCTCTCCAACCTTCTTTTCAAACAATAGTTCACTCAAAGTTCCATCTGAATTGTTAAAGGCCGGTGGTGGATCGACCTCCCCAATCACCAATGGCAATGTATCATCTTCTCCAACCCCATCATCTGGTTCAAACTCTCCTGCCAATGTTGCAGCTGTTGGTCTAACCAAACTACAGCAACAAAATTTAATTTTAAACTGTACATACTAAATCAATCAAATAATAATAATAATATGGAATTCGAAAATAAGATATATATATTTATAAAATATCATCATCATCAACGCAACCAAATAATAATAATTAATAATTAATAATTAATAATAATCAATAATAATAATGTTTAAATAGTCAAAATAATAATCGAGATAGAGATTATATAAGTATAAGTATTCCCCACCACCACCAATATTTTTATAATAATATTAATAGAAAATAATATTAAATTAATGTAATTAATTGACAACAATAATGAATCACGCCTAAATTAAATAACCAAATAATAATTAATCAACCAAACAGAGATCTACAAAAACTAGCCCGTACAAACTAGTTTTTACAACAACAACAACAAAACAACAAGAAGATTCAATTAATTCCACATTAATAATTCTCAATGTCAATAATGTTTAAACAGAGTATATTTAAATCAAATATATTTGTTTACATGCATTGGGTTTTTGTATAATTAGATTATAATAATTGTTTGTAAAGAAGAGTGACCTAAAACGCACAAAGAACGTTTTATTTCCATCTCTCTACACAACACAACCACTTTCATCTTAATAAATAATAAATTAGTTATAATTTTTTATATAAATGTATTTACATTCAAAAAAACCAAACAAATAGATATATAATAATATTATATATCTTTATGACTTTCTCTTGGATTAATAATTTTACAAATTTTTATTGAACTTTTTTGTTGCTGGTACTTGGTGATGATGATGATCTAATAGTGTTACCTCTGGTATTACCCTTTTTGTTGGCACCACCAGTGAGATAAGTCTTGATGTAAAAGTTCATAAAGAGGATGAGGAAGAACAAGTTGTTCATCATGGTGAATGAGAAACCACCCCATCCAACACAAGAGTGACCGACGATACCAGTCTCCTTGTCGTACGAGATATCTTGGACGAGGAATGGAATGGCGAGAATAAAGGACATGGTGAATTGGAACAATTGACCAGAGGTGAGATATGACTTCCACCAGATACGAATACTTGGGTTAAGAGAGGTTCTAAAGTAGTAATAATACATGAAAACATGGACAAGTGTATTGGCAAACAATCCAACATTACCATAGGCAATACCTTCTGGTAACCAAGTCCAAACAATCAATACTACAATAGAATGATGCCAGATATGTAAAAAGATAAGTGGTTTCTAAAAATAATGGAAAAGAAAATGTAATGATTAATAAAATAATATACAATTTAAATTATTATTGTATGTTGAAGTATATATTTACCTTTTTCAAAACAATGATAATAGTATCTAAAAATTCATAGAATTTACTGATAAAGTATAAATAATGCCAATAGAAGATTCTACCAGAGAATGGATTTGATTTTGGTGAACAAAAGATACAATTAATTCCATGTGATGTAGTCTAGAAATAAATAATAAATAAAAATTAAATTAATACAAATATTATTATTATTATTAATTATTATTAATAACTTACAGTAGCAATTAAATAAGCATCATATGCAACACCAAGTACCATGACAAGTGACCATCCACAAAGAATGAGGTTATGGATAGCACTGACATAGCCCAATGAGAACCCCTTTAACTTGGAGTTACTCATGGCAGCTTTGATGGTGTAAACAGTTAAAAGGTAAGAGATGATGGCCATAAAGATAAAGTTCTTGTTTGAAAAGGGAGTAACACCTTCTTCGTACTTGAAGTTTTCAGATGGGATCAATTGACTCCAATCCCATTTCGAGAAATCAACCTTTACAAAACTTTCAAAAGAGTTGTATTCCAATGGTAATAAACTCTTGTAGTATTCCAATGGGAATAATTGTGATATGATATCCTAAAATCAAAAGTACGCAAAAGTAGTAAAGTAAAAATGAGCCAAGTGTTAGAAAAATATAAATATCAACAAATATCGTATCCACAAAAGTGTCATATGACATTGTGGTGTTTGTGTGTGTGTGTGTGATGTCAGATCTCTGATAAGATCACCCACTACGACTTACCATTTCTATTTGGTTACTCTACTAATATATCTGTGTATTTATAAAGTACAGAAAAAGATAATAATAATAATAATGAGAGGAGAGAATAGAATAGTGACAATGATTATGATACAAAGTTTGAACCCGAGTTGAGCGATGATTGATGATTAAGCTTCGGCAAAATCTAAAAAAACAACAAACAAAAAAGGTATGATGATGACAATCGAATATGAATAATAATACAAAACAAATAATGTTACACCAATGAGGAGAGGGTTGAAAGACAAAGAACAAACTAAGCTTGCTGATGTGCGACTTCAAACCAATCAGAGGGAAGAGGACCAAAGTCAGAGTTGCCACCTTGCACACCAACAAAACGGATAAAAAAAAACCTAACCCGCGACAAGGCTGATCGTCACTTTGAAGAGAGGAGAGATTTGATACGATCATGATTATTTAAGGAATGGTTGATGCCATCGATCAAACAAAACCAATCAACACTCTTATGCGATATTTCAACGACGACGGATACTGTTGATCAAACCCATCCCGCTTCAAACCCAACTAATCGTGAGCCCACAACTCAATATCTATCTTTGCATCAACCCATACCATCGGAAAACCGCGCTCTCACTCTCACATCGTTACAAAGAGATAATAGAGATAATAATAGCATACATAGTCTATTTGTATACTTGTGCATGTTTTAATAATTAATAAATAGGATAAGTTGGTTTATTGGAGGGAGGTTAGGATGTGTTTGGGTAGGGTTAGGGTTAGGGGGATATCTTTATACAAAAAAAAAGAAGGTAGGTTTGTAGCGATGTGTAATTAATTGATAAGATGCTAATGTCTATTTTGTTTTTTGTTAGGTTTTAGACTCTACCATTGACAGGAGGAACCTCTTCAACTTCTTCATCGTGCAATCCAAGGTCCTTGTGGGAGAGTGTTTTATGTGGTGGTGAACAAGTGGGAGACGTTGAACAACTGCTCGATGACGACGAAGTGGACGCAGTCAAAGAGTTTGATGATCTTGATGGAACTGGGAGACGGCTCTTGGTGCTGATGAGTCTACTTGCAACGATCCAGTTTCGAAGACCATTGTGTTTACCTGAATAGTGGTATACTACACCAGCCAACACAATGACAAGACAGGCAACTGTACACCCTACAATCAAACCAATGGCCAATGGAGATAACTTTGGTTTGTTTTTGTTTGGGAATATACTGTTGGGATCAGAAGTCTTGCCCGACGACGATGACGATGTTGCAGAACCACCACTAGTACCAATAGGTACATAAGAAGTTGTATCACCTCCAGTATTAAAAGAGGAATCGTCACGATATTGAAGCAACAATGCAAATGATGTGAAATGGTCAGTATAGGTCACAATCTTATTGTCTTGAATACCTTGAATTGAATTTGGAATACATTCCCATTTGTTTGTCAATACATTGATAAATCCTAAACAAACATTATTCATAATCTAAATTGAAAAAGGAATATTAAAATATTAATATTTAAAGTACTTTTATCTATTTATCTATTTTTTATATATACATACAACTGATTCATTTAAAGAGGTAATTAAATCAAAATCTAATCTAACCTTTTTATCAAATTTAGTTTGAGCAGTACCATTGGAAGAGGTGGCAGTGATGTTATATACTGGAGATAGTAAATGGAGAGCAGTCTGTGAAGAAGATCCAGAAGGTTCAGAAGAATTTTCAAATGTACTTTCAATCTTGGAAACATAACTATCGGACACTGCATTGATGGCAAAACTGGTATTGATGGAAAACGTATTTGGTTCGATAAATACATCAAGAATCTTACGAAGGTCAGTTGATACATTTAATGGATCATTATAGGTACTAACAGGAACTTGAAGTATTTTGGTAATATCTTTTAATATTGTCAAAACATTGATTGGTTTATAGAAAAATGGTGGCTAAAAACAAAAAAGAAAAGAATAACAAATAATAATAATAGTATTAGTATTAGTATTTTTTAAAATTATTGTGTATTTTACTTCTTTTACATACCAATGGACAAGGAGAAGAACAAGAACCATCAAAACATTTTAATGAACCATCTAGACATTGGTCACAATCATCTTCATTGGCGACGCAAATACCATTTGGACATTGAATGGGAGAGGCGACTGGGCACCCATCATATTCTGGACATGGACCACATTGTCCATTTGGACACATTTCATCACATTTTACACTGGGTTTTAGACATAGAGTAAGTAGATGACTGCATGTACCATCAGGACATCTAATAGGAGTGGCCATTGGACATCTTGAAATAATACCATTTGACTGTAATAGACATTTGGCAAGCGACGAAACACAGGCACCATTTGGACAAAAAACACCTTTACACGAGATGTTGGCACTGACAACCTGACTTTGTTCGATTTTTGGTGGAGTCGGAATGATTGACGTGGTTGTACCTCTATAAGTGGTACTATAGCCGGTACTTGATTGCTGGTTGAATCCAGTTGTGCTGACGGCCGTGTTTCCAAGTTGACCTCCCGTGGTGGTCGACGGATAGTAAAATGTTGTTGATTTGGAGATTGTTGTCGATTGTGCAGTTGATTGCTTTATTTCGTTCAAAGCTTGGCTTGTTGTCGTTTGTGGGGGTGTAACCACTTTTTGTGATGGTAATGGTATTGGTTGTGGTTGTGATGTAGTAGTTGTAGATTGATTTGGTATTCCAGTAGTAGTAGTTGAGGAAGAAGTTGTGGTGGTGGCAGGAGTTGAATTTACTGCAGGAGTGTTTGGTTCTCCAGTGGTTGTTGATGATGATGATGTTGTTGTAGTTGGAATTGGAATACTACCAGTAGTAGAGGATGATTGATTTTTTGTAGTGCCTGAAGTTGAAGGTAGAGGTGGATTTTTACCTCCTGTTGTTCCTGGAACTACAGTTGATATAGGTGTATTTACCTTGGGAAGTTGTGGAGGTGTATTTGAATTGATTCTGTCTTCTGCGCCCACTGGAATTTCTTCCCCATGAACATAAAAATTATTTGGACTGCCTCCTATCTCTTTGTTGTATACATTATTGCCAGATGTTATCATCAACAACAAGACAATGTATATAATAAATAGTAAATTTAATCTGACTCTATATCTAATATTATTTCGGCTGCTATTGAATATTGCCATTTTGGTGTGAAAGAAAAAAAAGGAGCTAGAACCTTTGTAATTTGATTTGGAATAATATCCAAGGTTGGATTAAAAATAAAACTAACTAATATTTCTCTATTTTTAAATGATTCTAAATTATCTTTTAGATTTTGAGGGAAAATAAGAACAAATAGGTATAAATAATAATAATAATATTGATTTCAAAATGAAAGGAAAATGGCAAGTGGATAGAGGGTAATAAAAATGAGAAGAGTGATTTAATTATTTGTGGAAGGATTATAATAATAATAATAATAATAATAATTCTTTTTGATTAACAGAAGCACAATAACAACATACTACTACTATCAATCTAATTGTTTGTCTGCCTGTCTGTTTGTTTGTCTATCTGACTGTCCCTTGACAAAAGTGATTTTATAATGTTGTCTGATTATAAATTAATATATTGAATTTAATGTGAATGGATTGATTGATTTAATTTAGTTGATTGGATAGAAAAAAAAATAGTAATGTATATAATATACAGTACTAGACTCTGAGGTAGTACTATAATTAATAATAATGAATTTGTGAATGATAGAGAGTGGGTATCAAATATTAGAAGATTTGAATGATCAAAAGACTATTGATGGATTAAACAAACAAATAAATCAATACATAATGTACATTATTTGTTTTTACCATCTAAATCCTAGTCCATGTCTCTATTCCATCTTGCGTTGCGTCGTTACTCATCCTCCTCCAATTAATTGTTGTAATTCATCAATAAAAGGGAGATTTTTATCAAGTAATATCATAACTCTCCCAACATCATATATATATATATATTTAAACAACCACAACCACTAAACACACCAATGTTGGACATGAGAGGAGACATGTCGATTGACAAGAGTAATAATACTATATTTACCACATGTGGGTGATGTAAAAACAGTCAATCAAGTTGATTGACAATTGTAACCAACTGCCAATACCAGGATGATGACTATCCCCCTGTTTTATACAACCACATTTCAACAAGTTCTGTTTTTTCCTCTAGTGGTTTGTGGAATAAATTTGAATGACATTGCAGATCATCGATTATCACTATTAAACATCGTATTTGGAAAGTGTGCAATCAGAATATTGTATGGCACTTTCATAATACACATCCTTTTTAATTCAAATATTCTACACCCCCAATTATTTGCAATAAAAGATGGTAATTTATTATTGTGGTTGATTCCCATTTTTCCAATGATGCGGTCCATTACCATGTATTATTGTTGATCGATGATGATGGAATAGATTGATACCTTTTTACAATATTCTCTTTTTTTTTATCATCCATACGAAAGAATAGAATGGTAATTTTATTTAGAACCCATCATCATCATGATTTATTCAAACTAATGGGTACAATTGATGATCAATCAACCACACACACATAAATCATGTTCAATTTACATATTCGAACCTAAATTATTCATAGTTTGATTTGATTTTTTAAAAGAGGAAAAAAAAAAGAGATCAAAGAGTAGATTGTAAATACTCTTGTATATCTCTTTTTTATCCAATTAGGGAATTATAGTTTTATTAAAAAGAAAAAAAAAGTTTGTTATATCTATTATTTGTTTTAAAAGTTTGTTGACATTATTACTTGAGATTTTGTTGTAGTTGTAAAAGTAGTAGTGTTGAGTTTGAGTTTTCTTCTTGTATTTACAAGTTTCCACGCTTTTCTTGTTCTCTTTCGATAGCCTCAAAGAGAGCACGGAAATTACCAGCACCGAAACCTTCGTGACCGTTACGTTGGATGACTTCAAAGAAGACGGTTGGTCTGTCTTCGACGTTCTTGGTGAAGATTTGGAGGAGATAACCCTTGTCATCGTAATCGATGAGGATGTGCAAGGCTTCCAACTTGTCCAAGTCTTCCTTTACAGTGATTGGAGCATGAGCCAATTTTTCACGTAATGAAACATAATAAGATGCTGGGACGCTCAAGAATTGAACACCACGTTGCTAAAAATAAATAAATTAAATATTAGTTACATTTGTTTAAACATTTTGTAAATACTATTATGCTATATATTTACCTTCATAATTGAAACAGATTGAATAATATCATTGGTTCTCAAGGCAATATGTTGAACACCACCACCAGCGTAGAAATCAACGTATTCTTGGATTTGGGACTTCTTCTTGCCGTTGGCAGGTTCGTTGATTGGGAGCTTGACCTTTTCGTTTTGATCGGTGACTACGATGGAACGGAGGGAGGAGTATTCAGTGTGAATGGTCTTGTCATCAACAGACCAGAAACGGTGGAACTTGAGTACCTTTTCGTACCATTCGACAACTGGAGTCATCATTTGGTCGGCGTGGTTAGAGACGACGTGGTCAATGTGCAAGAGACCAGCAGATGTGGTGATCTTGGAGAGTGGGTCGACAAAGACCTTGGCAGAGTAACCTGGCAAGAAGGCACCCTTGTAGTTACGACGGTCAACAAAAGAGTGGGTGGTGTCTCCGTATGGCGACATGATGGTGGCAATGGTGACATTTCCATTTTCGTCCTTGGTTTCGTATGGTTCACGAATAGACTTGGCTCCAGCAGCGACGGCAGCCTTGTAGATGGCAGCGACGTCATCGACTTGGAAGGCAACGTCCTTAACACCATCACCGTGCAATTGCATGTGTTTACCAAACTCAGTGTTGTCGGTGGTCAATGGCGAGACAAAGGCCATAAAGATGTCGTTCAACTTGATGACATGGGTTACGTATTCACGGTCTCCAGTTTCTAAACCTCTATAGGCAACATTTTCAAAACCGAAACGAGCACAGTACCATTGAGCAGCTTGCAAAGCATTGCCAACCCAAAAAGTAACATGATCAAATCCGAAATATTGTCCTAATGAGCTTTCCTGTAAATTATTAAATACAAAATCAAAAACAAGGAATTAATACTGATCTTTTAAAAAACAAATTTTATCTAATTATTATTATTATAGTATATATATATAGTTGTTGAAATACAAAAAAAAAAAATCAATCTAGATTGATATTTTCTTTCGTTGTTTTCGTTGTTGTTGTTGTTGAAGTGTTCATCATATAGTAAGAATAAGTATTATTCCCCTTCCTCATCATTTTTGTTGTTATTGTTGTAGTTATGATTATTATTATTATTATTTGTTTTTTTTTTTTTTTTTGATATTGTTTCTCTACTACCTGTTACCCTAATGTTTTAACGATCAGTTGATGCCTACCATTTTAATATTTATTTATTATATATATATAATGTGATGTTTGTTGTTGTTGTTGTTGAAGTTGTTGAAGTTGTTACTAGTATGTATAATATATATAAATATATAGTCAAAACTAAAAAACAAGAATGCAAGAATGAAATGACAAGAGCAACTCAAATTGGGTAGAGAGACAACCACCGCGGAAGAGGAAAAATCAGGTGAAAGAAAATAAAAAATAAAAAAATAAATAAAATCAAAGCGTACAATTTGCGAAATTTACAACAGCACAATTTTGGCGTTTTGTGACCATTCTAGAAGTTCGGTTGCCTTTTATGGAAAGTGATCTACACTCGAGTAAATATCTTTGACAATGCCGACTCTGACAAATCCCAAGTGGTAATTCATCTGATTAGTAGTAGTAGTAGTAGTGTTGTTGGTTTGGTGGTTGTTTAATCCAAAGAACCAGAGAGATATATTAATAGTAATAGTATTAATTGTTGTTTGTTTTAAGAGATAAAATTAAATCTATATCTTTGTGGGTTGGTAGTAATAAACAATGATTGGTTAAATTAATTAGACACCCACTTATTTTTAGTTCAAACAAATATCATCTAGATAGATTCGTTTCGTTTCGTTTCATTATTATTATTATTACAACCAATGTGTATGCGTATTTACAAATAAAAGTTCTAAACTTTAAACCTGTTGTTGTTGTTGTTGTTGTTGTTGTTGTTGTGACCAAGGGAGGAGATTAATGAAATTAAATTAATATTTTTATTCTACATTCAAACGGAAGAAATCGTTTAATAAGATATAGCTGGCGGCTGTCTTGTACAAGTTGAAAACTTGAGTGAATTTAAGTGGTGGATTTCCATCAATCTTGGTAATTATAAATAATAAATAATTAAAGGTTAGTCATCATCATCACCATCGTCGTCACATCGTCGTCATTATCATATGAACCAAAGAATCAGTGTTGTCTAATACTACTACTAACTACTTACAGACATATTACCAGTTACAAGGACGAGGACTCCATTTGGAGTTGGTTGACAATCAAATGAGGTGATCTGACGCTTAACTTGCATATTGAGATTCTATTATTTATGAAAAGATGTGCATATGGTTAATAGGTAGGAACGTTGTGATCCAGATCGATCAGCAAGATGATATTATCGATATTGTTTGTATATTTACTCCAAAAAATTCCATAATCTTTGCTTGTCCCTTGAAGGAGTTCTTTTCATATGTAAGATGTGATTCGTTTGCCTAATGATCAGTACAAGAGAGGAGGAGAGAGAGAGAAGAAGATGAGAGAAAGAGAACCTGTTAGTACATAGTTATTGGTTGGGTTGGTTTGGTTGGATGTTTGTAGTAATGTAGCCCATTCGTTATCGTTGTCATATGCAATGTCAACTATCACATCAACAATAGAATCTATATTATCATTGTAATCGTTGTCGTCATCACAACCATTATCATCGTCACCAACTATATTTGATAATAGGATATTTATGAATATTCAAAACCTAACCTACATCGTATAATGATTGTAATTGTTTCTTATCATTGTCGAAACAATTATAATAGTGTTGAACAAATTGTTGACCAATTTCAGTAGCTGACATCTCTATTTATCTCTTTTTTCTTTCTTATTGATTAAATATTCTATTCTATTTAAATATAGATTTGTTTTAATAGAGAGTAGTAGAGTTTGCGAGTCATGTTGATCATCACCACTCTCTCTGCTGTTCACAAAAAGGTTCTAAAAAAACAAAAATTTATTTATTCCATTTTTGAATTTTCCTTACTTTTTATCTACCCTTTTTAAAAGAAGATTAAGATAATAATCTAAAGGAGAGAGGGAAACTAAAAGAATACCAAATAAATAGTTACCTACAATCTTTAAAGATAACTACTTTTTATTTTTGTCATAAAAGATTGATCTCTTTAGCGTTAGTTTAAAAGTCAATCCAGGAGTGAATTGTTTAATGTCTGTTTGAGGAGGTAGGGTACCAGGTAAAATTAGAATTCTAATTTTACCTGTTTTTCCAAACGAAGAGTCTATCACTCCAACGGTGCCATTTTCAAATACCACCTTCATACCAATAAATGAAGAGAGATCTGTTTGTTTGGAGAAAAGGTTCTTTCCAATTAAAGTGTCTTCACTGTGAACACGCTCCACTGCACCTTCTTTGACCTTTGTCTTGAATATACGTAGCGTGTCATGGAGAATCTGTCGATTCGATGCATCAATACCTTGCAACAAACTGCCATGGAATGCAATACGACATCCCGACGTATCCAATGCAACATCCAACTTTGATCCAATAATGACACTTTCCAACGGACACAATACAGGATGATCAAATTTAATCAATGCAAATTGTGATCCAACTGGATACTCCAAACTAGTTGGTTCTAAATATTCCATAAAACTATATTCTATTTTTTCATTAAATTGATGTATACTTCCAGTCTCTTCTTTTGTTGTTGGTGTTGATTGATCCAATATTTTATTTCCAAAAAATGTAACAATTGCTGTTGTTGTTGTATGACCAATAGTTACTATTTTTTAAAACAAAATTTTGTGTGTCAATAATAATAAATAATAATAATAATAATAAATAATAATAATAATAATAGTAATATATTATGATGATAGTTACCATGGAAATGAGAATTTGTTTTAACAAGGTTTTTATAGAATCTAACCTTTTCAATTGAAATGATTGCACCGTTTAATAATGGTACTGTTTTAGGGGTACATAATAACCCTCTTTCCAATAATTTAGAGTCTAATTGTGTAACACAGATACCAGCACGGTCACCTTGCACCACCTTTTTAACGGGTTTGTGGAACATTTGCATCGACTTTATCTTTTTCTCCAAGTTGAGTTGTGGTATTTGAACGGTTTGATTGATTTCAATCGATCCTTTTAATACGGTTCCCGTCAATACCGATCCTTGTCCCTTTATCTGAAAACAATGATCAAATTCAAATAGGAATGTACCTTGGTCATCTCTCTTTGGTATTTCTATAAATTTACATAATTCATCAATCATTTGATTTAATCCAATTGGTTGTGATGGTTGCAATGGTTGTTGTTGTTGTTGTTGTTGATTATTATTTACATTAGCCTCTTCTGAAACTACACCTGGATTAGCAGATACTGAAACCATTGGCGATTGACTAAAACATGTCTTTTCCAATACTTTACGTAGTTTAGTTGACATCTAAACAACAAAACAAACAAACAACAAATGGTATGTTATGTTAATAAATGTTAACCTTACAGGATAGACAATAAATAATAATAATAATAATAATTACAGTATCAATTTTAGATTGTCTTGATTCTTGTGGAATTTGATCTATCTTGTTTAATATTATAATACCCTTTTTACATGTTATTTCACCTATTACTATACACTAGTATAGTTGGTTGTTTGTTAGTCATTTGTGTGATATCATATGATTTATGTATACATACTTCGGCAGTTTGAGTTTGAATACCTTTGTTAATATCTATGACTAGAAACATCATATCAATGATTTGTGAACCACCAATGATAGTACGTATAAGAGAAGCGTGTCCTGGACAATCGACAAGTGTAAATTGAACACGATCATAGTGATTGGCAATCTCTGATCGTTGAGAGAGTAATGGATGACTGGCAACATCGACGTTGAATGATGAGAATCCCAAATCCAAAGTAATACCTCTTTCTTGACTTGCAGGACTCTTGTCCAAAGCTGCAGTTGATAGACTTGTACTCAGCACCTTTGCAAGACTTGTCTTTCCACTATCTACATGTCCCATTATACCAACATTGATATTAAGTATTCTACTACTATTACAACCATCTTTGGCTACTCCTATTGACTCTGTAGAAGGAGCAGTTGAAGTAGTAGTAGTAGTGGTAGTAGTACTTTCACTATTACCTTTGTTCTCCATCTTATGTGTGTCACTTCTTTTAAATACAATCAAAATTTTAAATCGTATTGAATCGATCGACCCAACAAACAAACAAGCAAATAATAAACAAACAAGGCAAAACAATTAAAAGTGAACATCACCTCCTTGACGAATACTGCTATAGTGACACATAGAATAGATCATCGAACAACAACAACATCAACAACAGCAGACGTGACTGATCGTTGACTTGGGATAATACGTTAGAATAGACGAATAAAATAGTTGGATAAATTAATTAGGTATGTCGTGTCCCAAAGAAAGGGTGAGTCAGCTGGCTACCGAATTTAGTGAATTAATTTTCCTTTCTTTTTTTACTCTGTTCATTTTTGGGGTTACCTCTTCATCTATCTGTTTGTTTGGTTTGTTAGTTTGTTTGACCGTATAGAATTCTTTTGTTCTATACTATACACATTAGCAACAACTTACATACGATTAGTAATAGTATACTTATTATTTGTAGTAGTATTCGTTTCATAGAAATATTTATATATATTTACATAACATAGTACTTTACTTACTATAAGAGTATCATGGAAGGAAACAAAGATGAAGCATTAAGATGTATAGAAATAGCAATTGGAAAGATGAAGGATGGGAATAAGGAAGGAGCCATCAAGTTTCTCAATAAGTCGTTGAGCTTGTACCCAACGGATCGTGCCAAAGATCTGATAACGATTTATACTTCAAAGACAGAGGAAACGACAAGTTCATCTTCAACACCTAAAAGCAATACTCCATCTCAATCTCCTTCATCATCATCATCACCATCCTCTTCATCATCGTCATCTGCACCTCCACCCGAAACTAAATTTAAATATACAAAAGAACAAGTTGAAGCGATCCAAAGAATCAAAAGATGCAAGACACATTATGAAGTATTGGATATTCAAAAAACTGCTGTAGAAACTGATATTAAAAAAGCATATAGAAAGGTAAATTAATATAACATACTGTATCGTATACAGTACAATATCAATAGTATAGTATAGTTTATAAACTAATATGTATATCTTTGTTGATCATTCATTGAAATATAGTTGGCATTACAAATGCATCCTGATAAAAACCATGCTCCTGGGGCAGATGAAGCATTTAAAAGTATGTCCACAAAACATACATATGTATGATTTATTACCTTGGTAATATTAATATTTCTATTTTATTTGTTTCTAGGATTAAGTCAGGCATTTTCAACATTAAGTGATTCTTCAAAGAGAAGAACTTACGATTTACATGGTGATGAACCATCGGGAGGGTTTGGAATGAGACCAGCGGGTGGATTCCAAAGAGGTGGAGGAGGGGGTGGTAATGGCTTTTTCGATGAAGAAGAGATATCACCAGAGGATATATTCAACATGTTCTTTGGCATTCCAACAAGAGCGGGTGGCGTAAGACATCGTGGCCCTGGAGGCGTCAGTTATCAATATTATTCAACTGGGTTTGGAGGAGCACCAAGAACCATGCATCGTCGTGGTGGTGGACAGGCAGCCGCTGCTGGAGCAGGCGGTGGCGGACAACAACAAGGAGAATCATCCATCTTTTCACTCTTAATGTTAATCATTCCATTATTATATATATTATTGTCTTTTTTTGGAGGAGGTGGTGGCACTCCGGCCCTGTATAGTTTGTCGCGTACATCAACGTTTCCAGTTGAACGTGCTTTTAAAGTGACACCAAATGTAATGGCCGAATACTATGTCCGCGACAACCGGTTTGTAGACCACCTTCGTGAAAAGGGTATCGCGCTCGACAAGCTCGAGGAAGAGGTGCGCGGCCAATGGATATCAAACATGCAACAGGTATGCAGGAAGAAATATCTATACGAATCCTATCAAAACACATTTTATGGCATGCAATTTAAAGAAGAGTATCATAGATATAAAAGAGCTGGACTATTTGAACATTGTGATCAATTAGTAAAAGAAAATATTATATCGCGACAATAATAAAATAAATAATAAATAGTACTCACATCAAATTGTATTATTATACTAGTATTTACCATTAATCATTAAGAATTATAATTATAAATATATTTAATTAAATATTGATTTGATTTTTACAAAAATCATTGAATTTCATTGCTTGGTTTGAAATTGAGTAGTTCATTTTCATTACTTTTAAAAAAAGTGTCAAGTAGTAAACAAATAAAAAGAAGGATAGTCAAAGAAAGATAGATAGAGAAAGAGAGAGAGAGAGAGAGAGATGTTGAGAAGAGTTGTAAATAAATGTTCATCATCTTTGTTGATGAATGGTACTGCTACTCTTTCTTCAACCTACAATAGTGGTAGTGGTTTTGGTTATAACATGACATCATCATCAAATAGTAATAGTAATAATAATGATAGAAAGATTGAAAAGTATTGTTATTGTTCTTCTTCTTCTTCATCATCATCGACATCATCATCAACATTGATGTTACCAAAACAAGATACAAAGATGAAAAGTAATGGAGGTAGAAAAGTATCAACTACTTCTTCAACTTTGACCACTGCTTCAACTACAACTACATCGACATCAAATTTATCATCAATAATTAGATCAAAATATAAAGTATTAAGAGAGAATAATAATCCACATAGTTCTCAATTGAATCAACAACAACAAGATCAAGGTGGAAGTAGAACACGATTCCGATGGGAAGAGACACCAAAGACTGTATTGATTGTCAAAAAACACAAGGATAAACGAACAACTCAATGGTTGACAACCATTGCACAGTGGATGACGACGACACTCAATCTCCGTGTTCTCGTCGAACCCAATGTACACAGCCAAATGGAGACATCACATATTGAAACCTACACTGAAGAAGAGAGTCACATACTTGGAAACATTGTCGACTTTGTCATCACACTCGGTGGTGATGGTACCCTATTACACGTTTCATCATTATTTAAAGAAGATGTTCCTCCAATCATATCTTTTCATTTGGGTACTCTTGGATTTTTAATGCCATTTAGTTTGTATCCAATCCAAAATCATCCTATATATAATTAATTAATATTTATTGAAAGCTAATTCCCAATTTCATTCATTTAATTCTAATTTATTTTGTATAGATGTTGAAGATTACCAAGAGGCATTGACAAATGTAATGAAAGGTGATTTCTTATGTACAAATAGAATGAGATTGATTTGTGATGTTTATCACAAACAACATCTTGGAACGACCCAAGCCGGTAAAACATTCCAAGTATTGAATGAAGTAACTATTCATCGTGGTTCAAATCCTCATTCAATGGTCATTAATTGTACAATCAATGGTCATATGTTGACTGATATAGTTGTATGTGTAAATAGATAGATAGATAGATAGATAAATATTGAGTTATTAGACTTATAATATATTCTAATATCATCTTCTTTTTATTTTATATTATTTTTAGGGAGATGGATTGATTGTTGCAACAGCAACTGGATCAACAGCATATTCATTGTCTTGTGGAGGACCAATGGTTCATCCTTGTATAAATTGTATAGTAATTACCCCCATTGCACCTAGTTCCTTATCATCCAAACCTGCTTTATTACCAGATGATTCAATTTTAAAATTAAATGTAAGTGTTTTCAAAAATATACCCTACCTAGGTGATTTCTATAACATTCATCCCTTCCTCTCTCTCTCTCTCTCTCTCTTTCTATATATTTTAGATATCACAAAAAGGAAAATCATTTACAACTACATTTGATGGTACTCGATCAATCAAGATGGAACAGGGTGAACATATTATCATTCGAAAATCATTCTTTCCCTTGTTGACAATTAACAAGACCAATGAAACAACAGACTGGGTTCATGGTAATGGAAAGTTAATTGAAATGAGTGAACGTTCTAGTTTTTGGAATCAAACCGTTCATACAACCTCTGCAAATTAAATTGAATCAATTGAACTTTACTTACAATAAAACAGAGATTGCAACAAATGTCTGGGTAAAGTTAGTTTCCAACAACAAGATTTACTCGTTCGAATAATATAGTATTATATTCAAATTATGTATCTACACTGGTGTATGTATAATACTTTATAGAATATTTATATATATATTTCTATAACTATCTTTATTATCTTGTGGTGGGTGGGGATATCTTTTTTTTATTTTATATTTTGTATGTATCGTATATTTATCCAATTAAATTCATTTATTTAATTTAATTTTTTTTGAATCCTGGTCCCCGATGAGACGATTCTGTCGGTCTGGGTCCCGACACCAGAAAACGAGGGAAAAAGCGAAGGGGAGAAGAAGCAAGAAGAACAACAAAAAAAATAAATTAAATTTTAATTTTTTTGAACGTCACCCCCGACTCTCGTAGGGGATGAAGAGCGATGCATTGTTTTTTTTGTAGTTTTGTATAAAGCAAGCGGTATTACTTACTTCTTTACTTCTTCCCTTACCTCATATTATTCTAATATAACAAATACAATAATAATAACAATGTCAACCAAGAGAAGCGCAGACGAAACCACCGACGCTACTACCGATGTTGTTGATCAACAACAAACCAACGGTTCCGACGATTCACACAAGAAGCAAAAGTCAGAGTATGATCATCTAACATAACATAACATAACAAACCCTATTCAAGAACAACAATCTTCTCTTCACGACTTCATCATTCGTTCATTGCAAAGCAATGGCACCATGGTCAATCAGGTGAACTGCTCGTCATCTGAAGATAAAGACTGTCTGCTGTTGCTACTGCTTTTGCAAACTAGTTGTCGTCGTCGATATATCTCAACACAACAACAACAACAACAATCAAGACATTATAATGGTTGAAAAAAAGGAAGTGCATTCATATTAATATTAATGTATTACAATTCTCTACCACCATACATTATATTACATTACTCTTCCCCATTACATTTCATTGGTTGATTATTCATTATTTAATTCGTTTACTCTCTCATAAATGAATTAATTCTGGTTACCAACTCTATCATTATTATTATTATTATTCTATCAAAAAAAAACTATACTATTATTTCTATCAAAAAAAAAAATAGAGTTGCAAGAACTTCTTCCAAGCTCGAAAAGCTTGCACAAGTCAAGAAGGATTTGGATGTAAAGGAATGGAGCTCTAATGTTACTCTTGAAGAACTCCTCACTTCACTCCTTGACAAGAGTGAAAGAGATGCCTTCTTTGTTGCCGATATTGCCACCATTATCAAGCAATACCAAAAGTGGATCAAACATTTACCACATGTTACTCCATACTATGGTATGTTAATTTATATCTATTTAGTTATAACTTGATCGTCATTAACCTTTTTTTATTTCCTATTTCCCATAGCCGTCAAGTGTAACCCAACTCAAGGTGTATTAAAGGTACTCGAAGCTTTGGGAACCAGCTTTGATTGTGCTAGCAGAAACGAAATTGAAACCGTTTTGAATCTCGGTGTCGATCCATCTCGTATCATTTATGCCAATCCATGCAAGCAAATCTCTGCTTTAAAGGTTTGTTTCTCTTTTCTTTCTCTCTTTTTTTTTTTTTGAAACATACATATAATTAATTCATTATGTTTGTTTATTTTTATTTATTTAGTTTGCCAGACTTCACAATGTAAAGATGATGACATTTGATAATGTAAGTGAATTGGAAAAGATTGAAAAGTTTTTCCCAGAGGCAGAGTTGGTGTTGAGAATTGCACCAGATGACAGCAAGTCATTGATGAGATTCGGAACCAAGTTTGGTGTGCACATTGACGATTGCTCTGATTTGTTAGAGATGGCCAAGGAGATGAACCTCAAGGTTGTCGGTGTCAGCTTCCACGTTGGTAGTGGTTGTTTTGACGCCTCGGCCTATGACGCAGCCCTCGAGATGGTCAAGAGCGTGTTTGACATGGCCAAGACCCACGGCATGACCCTCAACCTCGTCGACATTGGTGGTGGTTTCACCGGCTCTGACGACGTCATGTTTGGCAAGTTCACCGACGCCATCCGTAACAAGACCAAGGAGTTGTTTGCCCCAGACGTCCGTATCATCGCCGAGCCAGGCCGTTACTTTGCCGCCATGAGCCACGTCCTCGCCGTCACTGTCATCTCTAAGCGTATCATCAAACAAGAGGACAACCGTCAACACCCACGTCGTACCAGCAACAACTTGCGTCAATACAACTACTACTTGGCTGACGGTGTCTATGGCTCGTTCAACAACATCCAATTTGACCACGCCAAGCCAACCCCATGTCTCCTCAAGCCATCGCACAAGCAACCAACCCCATGCACCCTCTTTGGCCCAACCTGTGACTCGATCGACGTTATTGCCCGTGACACCCAGATCCCAGAACTCAAGATTGGCGACTGGTTGTACTTTAAGGACATGGGTGCCTACACCATGGCTTCTGCCTCTTCCTTTAACGGTTTCGTCCCACCTCCAATCTACTATTACTGCTCTGAAATTGATACTTCTGATCTCTAAACAAAACTCGTAGTAGAGAGTAGAGTAGATATCCAATCCAATCATAATTACGCCGGCTTTTTTTTCAAAATATTTTTATCTTTGATCCAAAACATATATACACATTTAAATCAAAATTAAAAAAATAATAAATAATAATCTCTTTTAATTTTTTTTTAGAGAATAAACTCAATTTATTCATTCTTTTCCCAAATCATTGTATTATGACATTTTTATTAGGACAACTAGATGAATGATGGAGAGGGGATGTCAAATACTATTAAATATTTGCCTGCCATCAAGTCATCGAAGTCAACCTATCACCACAACCCATCATGCATGGTGTGATGCTAACTCAATTCAAATCATTTTTTTAATTAATTATTAATATTAATTTTTTGAATCAAGGGGAAAGTATCCTTGGCTTTTAAAGGATCATTATTTATTTATATAATATTGATTTTATTATTACAAAACAATCGAACATCAACTACAAAGACGACCTGATATCTCAAAAGATCCACCTCAGCCAACAGTGAAGCTGGCTCCTGTACAAAAAGACACAATTAAATAGTAACTATTTCTTCTATATTACCCAAGACATCTTTTCCATTTTACTAACACATTAATATAAAGTGGCTCAGGTTCAACAGGTGGTATTTTAGAAAAGGAACATCGATTGGCTTGAACCCAGGACTAGTTAGAACAAGAACGGGCTGGGTTAGAGGCAGACCGCCAATTGGCTAGCCAACCCAGAACCAATTCCAATGCACAACTGGTCGCACACACAGAAATCAATGGAAGAAATCTATCTCTTTCTTGATGTAACTGTTCCTGGGTGTTTATTAAATAAAATCAAATTAATATAAACTATAACTTGTTGTTTGTTTGTTTGTCTATTTATTATATTTTAGAAAATAGCTATATAATTATATTATATTATTAACATCTAATCTATATATTTGCCAATTTAATTTTACGCTTTGCCATTTTAACTTTACTATCGTTTACACTTTGTCATTATTGCCAACATTTTAATTGATTTATATTTATATTTTCTTTAATCCAAGTTGTGTATTGAATTGGACACGAGATTTGATCCGTTGTTTTTTCTTGAAATGCAAGAGTAATAAAGCAGGAGCGACTGTTAGTAATGCGCCACCCAAAACACCAGCAATAATATAATATTTAATGTTTGATTGATAATCGCCATTACCAATATCATTTGAAGTGGATGAAAAGGATGAAGAGGAAGATGAGGAGGAGGAGGATGAAGATCCAGATGTACTATGATTGTATTTTACATAAATGGAATCATAAGATGTCAATGAATGACCATCAATCGATATATAAATATCAAGGTATTCCTCATCTATACCTCTAAAATTATTTGTATCCAATGGAACAGTACATTCCAAGTAAGTTGAGTTGATATAGGAAATGATACAATTAGTTGCATTAATCATTACCAATGACATTGTTGTTGTTACTGTTTTTGGATTAATCATTCCAAATTCACCAATCAATTCCAATTTATAATCTATTAATTTTAAATCATCATCATTTTGATTAATAATTATTGTATAATTATTATAAAGGATAGGGAATTCTAAAATAAAAAAATATATGATATCGAAATTAATTAATTAATAATGAAAATTTTAAATGTTATTATTGTTATTTAGTTAACAACATACGTCTTTTAAAATTGTAATGATACATTTCACTATTTCTAACATTTAAAATAGTTAAAATTAAATTAGTTGATAATGATGTAATGGCAAGTCGAAAAGAACAAGTCAATTTATCATTGATATAAATAGTATCACTTTTCTTGCAAACCACACCATTTAAAGAGACAGTGTGATCAATATTTCTATTATAGTTGAGTTGTACTGTGAGGTTGATACCAAATGGTTGTTGATTGATGGATATTAAACTACCAAGATTGATTCGAGTAAATGTTACTGGAATAGAGACGGTGTACTTATTACTCACACCCAATATCACTTGATCCTCGATCGACCAAATATTGGTTTTATTGTATTCTACAATTTTGTTGGGTATCTTGAATCTCGTCTTTCCATTAACAGTCTCTCCACCATAACCAAATAATAGATTATTTCCAATAATATCAATCAGATTACTCTGGTTCCTATAATAAAGTGATGTTACCTTTGAATCTATAAATTTAAATAATATGTATTAATACAGATCTATAGCTAGGTATTCATGTATATGTATGTATGTATGTGGGGATAGGGTAGGGTTGACACATACCACAAGGATCATCGTATCCCCCAAAAGTTTGGGGTGGGAACCATAAAGTAGCAAACTGGCCACGATAGCAACTAAAACATTGGGCCATATAATTCATATCATCTACCCAGGCTGGCAAAGGTTCTAGAAGCAATGAAGGACTATTACACAAGGAGTCTGGTAAACGATCATAAAATCTCCCAGAGTAGGAACGAGTCGAAAAAAATATAAGATTTAGATCTTCTCCTATTCCATCTGGAAAACTCTCTTTATAATTATCCATTATTCTAAAAAATAAATACATATATATTATTATTATATATTTGTGAGTTGTTGGACAATTGTCTATGGATGTCATTACATACAATATGTGTAAATTTGTATAATATATAGAATTTAAATTCTTTGGAAAAATTTGAGCTGGCAATACTCTAAATAATATTAATTCAATGTGTGTTGAGTTAATAATAATACTAATAATAATAATAATAATATATTGATTTATAAAAACATACAAAGTATCTAGTTTAGTTAGAGTGAATGGGAAATCATCGGGAATATATGGTAATGGAGGCATGTAAAGACTTAGTGTAACTAGGTTTGATAGATTCCTGACCATTTCAAGAATGTTGATACTGCCATCCATACAAAGAACAGAATCAATTCGTAGAGTGGTCAAGTTTGGGAAATAGAGTGACCCGTGTGACAACTTGTCGGGCAAACCAGAGTATATAAATGCTTGTTTTTTCGATATCGGGCCAATAATTCTTTAGATATGAAAAATGATGGTGTATGAATATATAAGTATATCAACTGATACATTCATTTAATAATACGTACATTGAAGTCAACGATCCATTAACAGCAATTGTTTGGTTGTCAGTGTAATTTGATAAAACATTATCAACAAATATCCAATTCAATCCATATTGTTTGATTAGAAACGTTAGTGATGGACCTATATATATATATATTCGAGGTAAATATAAATATATGTATATATATATATATAAACAACAATTATTATTAATAAGAGAATGAGAGTTGATATCTATCTATCTATCTATCTAACTATCTATATCTATCTATCTTTACCTTCATCAGCATTGATTGTTAGAGGAGGAAGGGGATCTGCAGAATGGACAATACTGATGATAATGTTTAGAAATACGATCAGTAACAATGCAATCAGTCTATTATATAGAGACATCATGATGAATCATATTTATCTTTTGAATGTTAAATCATTTTAATTCGTTCGAATCATTACACTGTAGACTTTTTGTCCAGCAAGGCACTTCAACAAAAAAAATTAATATCTTTTTCGAACGCTATTCATTAATTGTTAAAAGGTATTATAGTTGTTATAGTCAATTAGATATAGTTACTACCTCTTATTGAATTTGTAAAAATAATATTGTTATTTATTTTTATTTATTAATAATAATTTCATGTACATTCCCTAAAGAATTGATTAAAAAACAATGTGATTGGAAATTATCAATTGTTGAAAGAAGGTGTGATGGAATTGCTCTATTAAAATTGGGTGATTGATGTTGTTGTTGTTGAGCAGTGGTGGTGGTAGTAGTAGTAGAGGAAGACTTTAATTTCAAAGAAGAAGGAACAAAAGAAGTTACCAATCTACAACCAAGACCAACCTTTTGGAATAAAACTCGCTTTTTATGTTTCATTTCCCATACCTCCAAATATCCTCTTCTTCCAATATATATTGCCAGATAGGTGTGATAGGTAATCTGTCTCTTGCTAGCTGCCGATCTTAATAATTTTGGTGGTACCAAATCCTCCAACGTTTGAGTATCCAATGACTCTTGATCCATTGATTCTTGATCAGATTGTTCATTATTATTATTGTTGTTATTGTTATTGTTATTGTTGATAGACTGTATCCAGGCACATTGACAATCTCTATACCCCTTCCAAACCTTTATAATTACACTATTGATGACATCGATCAATAACACTCTGCCGAGGTTATCTGTAGTGGCAGCATATCTTCCAGATGGATCCAGTATAATACTTTGCAACTCTCTCTTTTCGTCCATAATAGACCAACGAATAGAAAGTGGTAATGGGTTTTCAATCTTTTGGTCTTGTTGTTGTTGAGACTGTTGTTGCTGTTGAGACTGTTGTTGTTGTTGTTGTTGTTGTCCTCCACCACCCCACCAATTCTTTGCAAAAGAGTAGACTGCGTTGGTCAACTTTGCAGCAACACTAGAAACCAATGCTACAGCCACCGAGAATGACGTACCACCGTCATCGGACGGATAATAAAACGATACGATTGGATCCTTTCCAACAGCCACCAATCTAACTATACTGTTCTCAGTGGTTCCATATGGAAGTGCACGGAACGGTGACCCTAAAAACGGTCCACAAAATACAATGTCTCTTGTCTTTTCAATCGAACCCAAACTCCATTTCTTAAAGTCAAGGTTTGCTTGAGCCTGTGTCGTAGAATCACCTCTTAATATTTGAGAATAACAAACTTGTAAAACAGTTGATAGTGATATACCAGACATACTAGCAACTATATTATTTGGGTATAATATTGATAATTCTTGTGTTATTAATTTTCTATAGTAGTAAACGCAAAACAAAACAAATATTAATAAATATGATTAATATAAATATATATATATATATATATATATCTCTCTATTTATATATAGAATATAGTTACTCTGAATTTAATGATAATATAGGAGTCGTTTTAATCTTAATTTTTTGTACAGGTAATCTATGAAATAATTGAGATAGTAATAAATTTCCATGTGGAGAAAATATTCGTAAATAACCAGATGTATATCCAATTGCAATGACAAAATCCAATTGATTTACAAATAATGGTACAATTACAATTTGTGTTATCTTTTCTCTAATATAAAGTAAGGGGTTAGATAGAGTCAAAGTTAACTTAATTTCACTTCCTTTATATATGTGAGTGACATACATGACTTGAGATTGATGATCTAGTGTTATAGAGGTTCTCCAACTTTCATCATTTGGTCTCTTTTGCAAGACTATAGCTAGACCTGTTCCGATGCCACCTGATCCACCTCCACCCAATACCATTAGATTACCATCAGATGATACGCATATTGACAATTGATCCAACCATGAAAGATTAGATGTAGTTGGTGATGGTGATGACATTGTTGTTTCTTGATCTATCTGCATTTTTGTTGGTTCCTTACTACTACTACGACTACGATTATGCTTTCTTCCTCTATTATTCCAATCTTCATTGTCTTGGTTATCATCATTATCGTCTTGATCATTATCATCTGCGCTTTCATAATCATCTTTGTCTTCTCCTTCTTCTTCTTCATTTTCTTGTTCTTCTTGTTCTTCTTCTTCTTGATCACTTTGACTATCCCATCTTTGTTGTTGTTGTTGTTGTTGGTGTGATGGTTGTTGTTGTTGTTGCTGTCTTTGAGGTGATGGAGATGAAGATACAGTTGGTGAAGTTGTTGTAATGGTAGGACTATCAGTATGATTCAATACAAATTGAATAGTACCTATATCTAATTGACCTTTATTCAATAAAGACATCCTATACTATCCTATCCGATCCTATTCTCTTTTCTTTATCACTTCAAAAATAATAATAATAATAATAGTAGACCACTACTAAACATAGAGATAGAATGAAAGTATCAAAAAAACAAATAAATAGAATAATTAATGAAAATATCGATTTCAGGGTAGGGTAATTGTATTGATTATTATATTTTATTTTATTTTATATACATCTACATTATACAAGGTAGATTAAGATCTTTAAAACTAAAATGATTTAAAGTTGGTTTTGATTGATTAATTATTATTATTATTACTGGAATTATTATTATTAAATTATATTATTTGACCAACCATCATTGATGGAAGAAATAAATTTTGGCGGGTGGTTAATATTATTATTATTATTATTATTACTTTTATATTATTACTATATTGTTTTTCAAGAAGGTTGGATATATCCACAACTTTTTGTTTTGATATTCAGGTTGATTTCTTGTTTGTTTGTTTGTTGTTGAGAGGTTATAATTTATATTTAACAGGTAGAGATTTTAAAATATTTAAAAGATTAGAAACTCCAAACAAATATCCTCCATCAACTGGAAAGAAAGAATTTGATTTATATATTGGAACTGGAGAGTCTACACTATCATTGTCGTTGATATTTGATTCAACCATTTGATCGCTATTGTTGTTGTTGTCATTTCGAGCACGGTTTACTTCATCTCCTTCCTCTTCCTCTTCGCTATCAGTGTCATCTGGTGGTGAATAGTTTGATAATTGTGATCCATAGGGTTGAATGTGTTTGGGATAAGGAGTGGCATGTGCAAAATCAATTAATTTTAATTCGCATTTGTTTGTATCTTGAACATTTGGATCACCTTCATAAATAATTAAAAGTGATGTTGATCTAAATCTAAAATCGGGCTAAATTCAAAGAAAGGAAATTAATAAAGAGTTTAACTTTTTCTTCTTCTTCTTCTTGTTCTTTTTGTTCTTCTTACATTATTTTCAAAATAATCTTTAAATGATATTAATTTTTGGATGACACATTGAAGTGATTCTAATTTCAATTGATCATTTTGACTAAAGAAATCAAATAATCTAGTCTCTATCGTCGATGTATTTAAATATCTTCCTTGTTCTTTGGTTGTTTTTTCCGTTTCTTTTTTTGAATAATTATATTTCTAAAATAATTAATATTTAATTAATTAATAATTCCAACCAGAGTTATTTATATTTATATTTATATATATGTATATTTAATATTTAATATTTACCTGATAACCACATAAACAAAAACCAAGTAATGGAGTAGTAATATATTTTGATTTTAACCAAGACTTTTTTTGAGGACACATTTGAGTATGTTGTTTGAGAATATTGATCATTTCATAGTTGGAGATGGTGGTTGACATGTCTGTCATTTCTTTGGGAATGAGGGCGTTGAGATCCACGTCGTGATGGGTAAGTCCAAGTTTAATGTCAATGATACAAGGTTTACTAAATCCATGTGTCAAATCTTGTATTATTATATAGTCCTTGTCGTTGGTAGTATGTTGTCCATAGTATTTGGGTATGAGTTGTATCAATGGTGATTTTGGTGATTTGTTCTGCAACATCTCATAGAATTCCTTTTCTCTTTTGGTTGCTTCCTTGAACACTTTACCCTTTTCATCTTGTGACTTTACAAATGGTGTTGATCCAGCAACACAATGAAACTTGTGATAATCATTTTGTAGTTGCGGCGATGATACTCCATTCATTGTATCTTTATTATTACTACTATTATTACTACTACTACTACTACTATTCATATTATTACTATTATTATTATTTTGATAACTTGAATGATGATGATGATTGGAAGTGGATGATGATGATAAAGATGGAGAAGAATTTACTACTACTAAACTAGACATAAATAATAAATAGGAGATACAAAGAGTTAGATAGATAATAAATAATAATTAATGAAATGGATGGATGGATGAATGAACCAATGTGAATAGAGAAAGAGAGAGAGAGAGTTTAAATATTATTAATATGCGAAAGAATAAGAGAAAGAGGAGTATGATGATAGATAGGTTGGTAAGGAGGGTATGGTAGAATGGGAGACGACGACGATATACCTAAAGGGTAGGAGTACGCGAGAAAGAGAGAGAGAGGAAGAGAGGTGGGGGTTATGTTAAGGGAGAAAGAATAGAAAAATAATGAATGAATAATAAACTAGTCTGGGTGTTTATTTCAATTTTAAATTATTTGTTGTATTCAAATATTATTATTATTATTAGGGGAGCTATAATCAAAGCAAATATGAGAGAGAAAGAAAGAGAGAGAAAGTTTGTTTAGTTAGTTGTTAGATTTAACTAAATTCCTACCTTCTTGATTGATTAATGATTATTGATGGTTAATAGTACTATGTCATCAAATATATATATATTTATATGTATTTGTATCTGTATAGGTGTAAAAACAATAATAACAATAAAGGTGTGAGGTGCGAGAGAGAGAGAGAGAGTGTGTGGGGTATTAGTAAAACTAACCCTCACAACAAAAATATATTAAATGATTGCATTGTACAACCAGCGCACTCTTTCAGAGTATTTTTAGCTTGTAGGAAAAGTTTTATCACCATTCTCGAACCCTCTAAAGGTCAAACATGATGAAGATGATGATGTCCATCATCACATAAACTCAAAAAAAATCTTCTAGTTTTTCTTTCTTCAATTTTGAAAAGACGCTTAGGCTCTCCTCATTCAAGTATCATATTATATTAATACTTAACTTACTCTCTCGTTCCAATCAGATGATCATAATGCAGGGTGTCATATGACTAACCGAGTGAACTTGCTTGGGTGTGTGTCATTGCCAAAAAAAAAACTAATTGGGGACCCGATATTATATTAATTTAATTAAATTTGGAGGGACGGACTTTGGTCGGAACGGGAGCAGCCCTTTCACATTTTTTTTGTATTTATTTGTTTGATATCTTTATTATTATTACATTATTTTACAAATTGATTTTGTTGAATTGTCCTTTTGTTGGGATGATGATGCGTTAAAATCCCAAATTTTAATGGTATGATCGTTTGATCCAGATATAATTTTGGATTCGTCGACGTGGAGACACCTGATCATACTTTGGTGACCTTTAAGGTGCGTAGAGTTGATTGGTGTTGATGAAGATGATGTGGATGTAGTTTGGGGTTGAGTTCCAAATACACTTTGTTGTTGATTAAATAAAGTATTCCAAACAATAATATCTGAATCTAAAGATGCACTGACAATATGGTGGGTGTCTAGATGTAGTTGTGTAATAGACTCTTGATGTGTTTTTAAAGTTTGTTGTAATTCTCCAGTTGCTAGATTGTACATTCTAATGGTCTTATCCATCGATCCAGTAATAATAGAGTTAATCCTTGGTTCAAATTTTAAACAATAAATTTTAGAGTCTTGATGAACAGGTGTTGAGATTGGTTGATTATGATGATGATTTCTAATATCCCAAACTTTAAGACTATCACCACCACTAACAATATAATTATCTCTAACTTCGAAACAATTGATACTAGAGTGTCCAGAGAATGTTTGGATTACCTGACCCGTTGAGATATCCAACATGTACAGATCCTTGGGTCCAGCCGTCACAATATGATGTTTGTTTTGTTGATTCCATTCTATATTGACAACTGCACCAACACTAATTGGTAATGGAATCGTTGAAAGATGTGTCATCCATGGTGTATATGTATCGGTCGAGGTTGATGATTCCTCTCCATCTCTAGTCTGTCGACTTGGAACATCCCAAATTTTAATACATTTGTCTTTTGAGCCACTTGCAAATAATCGAGAGTTGTGATTACCCTTTAGAGCACTGACAAACCCGTAATGAACCTTTTCAGAGTGTGGAACTTGTCCAGTCTCTAGATCAAGTATTTTAAGGAACCCATCTTTTGTACCATAAATCACTCTCTTGTTTGAATTGTCAACTTGCATTTGTTCAGCTGTTCCTTTTATACTATATTTACATTCAATTACATTATTATTATTATTATTACCATTACCATTTTGTTGGTGTTTAATAATATTATTATAATCCCAAACTCTAAATAAATAAATAAATTAAAAATCTATATATCTAATATATAATACTCATATCAATAGACATACTTTATAGTATTATCATAAGAACTTGAAATAATATAATCACCATTAAATATTAAAGTAGAGATTGGTTCAGAATGACCTTTAAGTGTTGTACATTTGAACTTTCCATTTTTCCAATTGTCCAATGTCGATGACCTCAACTTTAATATTTGTTTAAAGTCTACTTGGATATTGGTCTATATATATATATACGTACGAGGTGTTATGTCAAAAAGGAGGAGGAAGAAGAGGACGGTTAGGGATTAGTTAATTTAATTTGATGGTTGTGAATGCTTATATAGGCATACCTTGAAAATGGGGGTACTTCTATTCAAGGATTGTCGCATGTACAGCACCTTCCATATATCATTGTTGTTGAATACATGTTTCAAAAAGAATTTACTTGTTACACATATTCTTCCTATTTTAATTTAATTTAATACATAAAAGTTTGATTTGATTTGTTAATTAATTAATTAAACCACCTTCGCTTCACTTTACTTCATTCAAACACCACAACACAACCAACACATACCAAGATCATCTTGATCTAATAATGAAAAGATAGTTACTAACAGTTCAGAGGGTAACGAATTGAATGAATGATTGTTATTGATGTTGTTACAATCCACCTCTTGATGTTCAATTGTTGAGGAGGAGGAAGATGAAGAAGAAGAGGAAGAGGATATGATTCCAAAGTTGGTATCTTTCTTGTTGTTCTTTTTCATCTTGATGATATCTTATTATTAATAAAGATCTTTTGACGATGATGACACTATTATTTCTACTTGTTGTACATATGTATGTATGATATAGACGATTAGTGATAGTCTACTCCGATTCGATTCAAACCCCCATCCCAAACAGTTTTAAAACAAAAATTAAAATTAAATCTTGGTGGTTGGTATGTTAGAACAAGTTTGAAAACAGATCAGAGAATTTTAATCAAACAAGATTTTACTTGAAAGTCAACTTATAATATACCCATCATTCATCCAACACCTACTACACCATGTTACACTGACTTGACTACAACCTACAACAACGCTAGATAGCACTGCTAATGAACGAATCATAACACCAACAATCTTGCACCTCCCCCGCCCATCACGATTCGATATTATATTACACCACATGATCATCAACTTTCTTATACTGGAGGATCAAATGAATTGAAACGACACTTGAACGGCTGCCTGCTTGCGGTGTCGCTGACGACTTGTGTCTGACCGACCGACCGACCGACCGACCAATAGATAAAAAGACATTACATCAATCGACCCAGCAAGTTGTTCAAACATCATCATCATCATCATCATCACAATGTAAATTAAACATCCTCCCTCTATGTGGTTGTTTGTGTGCACAAACTACACAACTTGGTCATTTATTTGATTCCTTTCCAAATGTATACTAGAAACAAACAACAAACAATCGATCATCCACCACCACCACCACCATCTACAAAACATCTTTCTATCTAACTATCTTTCTATCTAACTATCTGGAATATCTATAACCTCTTCCACTTGCTCCACCTCTTCCACCTTTTGGTCGATATTGACAATCACAAACTATCTGTTTGTACCATTTTTATTTCTAAACAACATCTACTGTTTTACTTTTTTAAATATTTATTTATTTATATTATGGTTTGGATCACAATTATTATTTTATAACAACTAATCAAAATCAAACAAAATCAATCACTATTAGTTATCTATTTATTTCAACCAATTAAGCAATCAAATCAAATCAAACCAAATCAAACTAAACTATCATAATTGGGAATTGTAACAATTCCCCAAACAAGAACATCTGACTTGACAATCAAGAGAAGAAGGTAAGATTTAAATATTTATTTATTTATTTATTTCCATTTCCATTGCCAATGGAAATTTGTCAAAGATCATTTTAAATAGTGAAATCAATCAATCAATCAATCAATCAATCTTTGATCGTCGATGGTAATCTATTCTATTCCAATTGTCGACCAACAACAAAATTAGATTGATAGATAGATAGATAGATATTTCCCATGGATCATCCATCATAGTTCAAAAAAAAAGTGGTGGGTGGGTTATAGTATGTGTGTGTTTTAAAACAATCATAATTTATGACATTACACCCCCCACCACAAACAACTCACTCATCATTGATCTTTACAACACTATCCAGTTTCAACAACATCATACAATACAATGCAAACAGCAGTTGGGTGGTGTCAATTATTAATATTCATTGACAATAACAACACTACACCAGGCGAGGGTGTCTATCATTCAGTCAGTTCTTGTTTTGTTGTTTATGTTGTTATTGTTGTTGGATGTTTATTGTTGTTCACAAATAATAATAATAATCTTGCACGATCTTTTGGTTGACAGCTTTGGCAGCGATCCACCTCCATTTTTGTGGTTATTGGTATTGCCAAGTTGCCTTTTTTAACCAACTATCCACCATCCGCCGTCATAATATATATATATATACTACCCATCCAACCTGTTGTTGGTTGGTTAAATAATAACATCAACAACAACAACAACAACAACAAGAGACTAGACTAGACCAGACTCTTTCTCTTTCTCTCTCTTTTATTTATTTGTAATATTATTTAAATATTAATATTAATTTTTTATCCGTATCATTGATTTTGATATCAAATATTAATAGCATATTGATATCTTGTTGTTTGTGTTATATAAAATTATAATATGTACGTATACATTATATCATCAAATTTATATTCATTCATTCATTCTTTCTACACCATCCCTACATTATCAAGGATAATCGAGATTTTATAACCAACCATCATTTCCATCTTTTATTTTATTCAATTCACTGTTTCGTTTGATCCCATTTCTTTATTCTCTTAATTGGTCGTCACATGTAGTTATATTTTATATAAATAAATGGGGGAGGTTTATCATTATTGGTGATCACCCCTACCGGTACACGCATATACGCTCGAGTGATTTATCCATTCCATTATTCGTTTTTGGGTTGATCAAAACAAACAACCCTAACCCCACCCACACTCCATCTACATACACTCTGCAGATGATGTCAAATAATCTTAAACTCCTCAATCAACCTCAACCCCCCCTCTCTAATACCAATGAATGGGTACCCGACCGACTGACCGACCGACTGACTGGTCATCCATCGTCGTCGGCCCCATTACACACAATATTAGCATTGTTGTTTTCCCTCAGTTTTGGGGTGTTCTATTTTTTTCTCCCCCTTTTTACCCACCTCACTCCCACGCGTTGGGACAAACGGATTGATTGATTGATTATATATGGGTTCGAAACAAGTTGTGGTGATGGTTGATATTCATCATCATCATCATCATCAGCGATATATCATAACGATAATATAGAATGAAAGAATGAATGAATCTTGGTTGATTCACATTATTGTTGGTTAGTTGAACTCTCTTTTTTCAATCACTCCTTTACTTTTCTTCTTCTTCTTTCTCCTCATCATTCATTCTTATTGAATCAATTCAATTATTATTGATCAGATAGTTTGACAACAAATAGAAAGGTAGATAGATAGACACAAAGAGATAAACAAACAGATAGGTAGATAGTTTAAAAAGAGGAAAAAGGAATAATACTACAACCAAAAACAAATAATATCTCAAATCAATTAATCAACCAACCAACCAACCAACCGGTCACCCATCCCATCAATCTCAACTGGAAAAATACGTATTTTTCTTTTTCCACCACCTTTTTTGTCCGTCCATTATATATATATATAATTAATTAATATTTGTCCACTCGTCCATCCGTCCGTTTATTCATTCAATTAAGCTAATAATAATAATCGGCGATCAAAAAAATATTTATATAAGCGATCAATCTTTAAATATCTTTTAAAATATTTTGACTCACCCACTCCATCCATAATACTTTTGTATACGCCACCTAATATTAGGTGTAATGATATTTAAACACACACACACAGTTGTTGTATTTAACTGGAATGGAATCTATTACCACTTCCAACAACAACAACCATAAATAACAACAATATTAAAAAAAAAAGAAAAAGTATGTAACTTTTTTTGTTTGTTTATATAAATAGCCATGACTGGCAGACTGCTGGTGATGACAGGATTGACACTCATTAAACACAGTTTTGGTTGGTTGCGGTTTCCTTGATTCATTCTGTCAAAGAAATGAATGAGAGTGTGTTTGTTTGAGTGTGTCGTCCATCCACAATCCTCCTTTTTGTTTCACAATCATGATTGTGTTTCAACCAACCATAGTAGTAAACAACCAATCTTTTATTTGTTTGTTTTAATATTTATCAAAAAAACTGTACAACATACAGTATTCTAACTTTTTTTAAAATACATACATTTTTTTTTGCCGGGAGAAATTGTGGATCTGTTGGTTCATAAATCGTGATTCCTTCCTCCTTCTTCCTTCTTCCTTCCTCCTCTTCAACATACATCTATTGGGAATTTGTACAACAACAACAATATTCTTGTTCAAGTTATAACTTATCAAAAAAAAAAAAAATAAGTTGGAAATTTGTCTTTTTGTTTTTTTTCTTTCTAATATGTTCATCAACTCAAAATAATAATAATAATAATCATCCAAATATTTAAAACTATTTCCTATTTATTTATTTATTTAATTTATTTATTTAATTTATTTAATTAATTTTTTTTTTTTTTTTTTAGAAATATGAATAATTCAAAATCAACAACAATATTATCACATACAGTATTGGCAAATATCATATCAAAGATATGTGAAGATGATCCAGTCGTTTATAATTTGATTCGATTGGCATTGATATCGAAAAAGTGGGCGTCGACATTGGTGCCGCAACACTTTTATTTGATCCGAAGCTCCAACTTTGACCAGCTGATCCGGTTGGCCGCCAAGCCGCTCTTTAACCACGCGGGCGCACGGGAATGTAAATTTGTGGAGATCCAGCTGCAGCGGCCGACAAACAAGGCGGGCAGCCAGCAGGCGACGCCGTACGTGTCGCTCAACACCAAGCTGCACCAGTTTCTGCAGCACTGTCCGAGCACGCGGTCCATATCGTTTTACAGCTACAGCTTGGAGAATGAGAGTAGCTTTGGACACGCACTGGCCGAGACACTCAAGAATGGCGGGTTGCAGCAGCTGACGCGTCTCGAGTTGATGAACATGGACTTGGTGTCGCACGGGTCGTCGGCATTTATCGCCAGTCTCAAGGCCAACACGACCCTGACAGAGCTCAACCTGAGTCGCAACTTTTTAAAGGAGCGTGATGGTTTGTTGCTGGGCGAGATTATCAAACACAACAACACGCTCAACAAGGTGGACCTTAGCTTCAACGAGTTCCGTATATCCGGTCTCAAGAGCATCATCGAGGCGTTGCAGTACAACCACGCAGTCACGGATATTAATTTGGAGGCTGTGTGTCGCTTGGACTGCATGATTACGGGCCTGACGCTGTCATCGCCGCCGCTGACCCCCAACTCGGCGACCAACATCTCCAACTCGTTTACGCAGATCTCGATCAACTCGCCGGTGCAGAGCAGCAATATCATGCTGACGATCAACGGGCCCAGCAGCTTTGGCGGGGGTAGTTTGGGCGGCTTTGGAAACAGCCCGGGCAGCTTCATGTCGGGCACGCCACCCATGCAGTACAACAGCAGCAACAACCTGATGGGTGGCGACAACTGGGTGCCATCGTCGCCGTCGTCCATCTCGATGAATACCAAGCTCATCGAGGGCATCATCCAACTCAAACACAACCGCAATCTCAAGAGCCTCAACCTCAGCCACAACACGTTTGGCAAGCAGTTCAACCATGCGCTGGGCGACCTCATTGCGCAGAACCGCTCCGTCACGAATTTGCACCTCAACTACCTCAAACTGGACGACGAGTGCGGCGCCAAGGTTGGACGCGCACTCTGCGCCAACCAGACCCTTCGGTCACTATCCATGATCTACAACCAGCTGGGTCGCGAGAGTGGTTTTGAGATTGCCTACAACATGTCGCTCAACACGTCCATCACCCATCTCTTCCTTTCCAACAACTTGTTCAACGAAGATATTGGTGCGGGGTTGTCGGGCATGCTGCGTGCCAACCGCGTGCTCACCACACTCGACCTCTCGGACAACAACATTGGCTCCAACGGCGCCAAAAGCATCGTCGACGGTCTCAAGCACAACCGCACACTCACCAAGTTCTCGTTTCGCAACAATAAGATTGGCGATAATGCCGGCTCCTACTTTGCGTCGCTCTTCAAGGACAACAAGACACTCACTTATCTCGACCTCTCCCAGAACCTCTTTCAAACCAATGCCGGCATTCTCATGGCCATCAGTCTCGACTCGAACCACTCGCTCCGCCATCTCCACCTCTCTTCCAACCTCATGCTCGAGGTGTCCAACAACAGCGAGGCCAACATCAAACGTTGCACTCAAAGCCTTCTCAACATATTCACTAAAAACAAAACACTCCTAACTCTTGAACTCGAAGGAAACGCTTTGCCCGAGCATCACATCAAAGAAATCCGTCAATCTCTTCAAAAGAATTATTCTTATCTTGTCCATAATCCTCAACAACACAGTACAACCATTAAAAAGAAGAAAAAAGGTTTATTTAATATTTTAAATCTTTCAAAAGAAAAGATTGAAATTAATTAAGGTAAATCAAATTAATCAAATTAATTATGATCTTTCCATAAACAAAAAATCATCACATTTAATAAAACATATACTACTATCTTATTTATTTTGAAAACAAAGGCAAAAATTTATTTAATGAAAATATGATCTATATTTACAATACATTTAAATCAAAGTTGTTTGTTCACTAGTATTATTATTATTATTGATTGGTGGAATGATTGCACCTTCATACAAAGTATCAAGTAATCTATCAAAATCGATTAGATTCATAACTTGGCATTCAGCAACTTTTAATGCATTCGATAGCTTTGTAGCTGAGGATATATAAGCTGCTCTAAGGAGAGAATCTTTTTGGAGTTTGGAGTCTGCAATGATTCTCGCCAAGAGATGAGGGTGTGCCATTGCATTGGACATCTTTTGGAGTCTTTCTTTTCGCTTTTCATCTTGGAACGCTCTAGCTTCAGCAAGTCTAGCTTTCTGTGCAATGATGGCAGGATGTTCAAATCTTTGTTCTGGGTGGATTGGTGGAAGTAAACTATTGATCTTTTCGAGCCATGTATCTCTTTGATGAGCATTGCAAAAGAAAAAGTAGTATGCAATCTCTTTCTTCTCACAACATAGATTGGTGTCTCCTGGCTGACAATTGTTTGGATCGACATGCAATTGGATTCCATAAGTTTTGTTTACTCTCTTGTCAGCTCTTTCAGCGATATGGTGTTCATTGTTGCGACAAAATTTCCGATATGAACCAGGATGAGCAACGTTTAACTTGTAGGTCTGTGGTTCAGCTCTTTTGGCAAAGCACCAAGAACCAAGGGCTACCTGTCCTTTTGAACCACTGTTCCACTTTAAAATACCATTATCAAGCTCCAAAGTACGTTCATTGTAAACGGGATCATTACCAAAAAATGATAAATCGTATCCTAGTTTAACAGTCAATCCTTTATGTTTAATCGATTTATTTCCCAATCGAGGAAATTCTTCAAATTCGGTTGTTGGTTTTGGAATAGAGACTTCTTCTGGCTGTGGAGTAGATTCTGTATAATCAAGTTCACCACTTTCTTCACCAACATAATCTTCCTCTTTTTGTTCTACATCCTCCTCTTGTTGTTGTTGAGGTCTTCTTAAAAGACTATAATTATCTGTTGGTTGTTTAATTGTTGATTCTTTTCGTTGTTGTCGTTGTTGTATTGGTTTCTTTAAAAAATCATTGTTGTTATTATTGGTTGAAGGGGTGGTGGTGGTTCCATCTGGAAGCCATTCATATGAGCCTTCAGGGGAACGATATTGAGTTCGTCCATGACATCCAACAGTGTATGCAGGGAGAGAGTTCACATAACCAGTTTTCCCTTTTGGACCATTTACTCTGATCTCGTTCAAGTCTCGGACGATGGTCGTTCCATCAGACAGGGTAACAATCTTTGAAGGTCCTTCAAACTTTGGTGGAAGAGGAAGAACAACTTGGGCTCCACCAGCGATAGTCACATTACTTCTAGGATTTAATATAATCTTGGTATTGGGATTGAAATAAATTGTTGTCATATTAAAGTGTTAAAACAAATAATATGATCTTAAGAAAAAAGAAAAGTGATCCGATCACCGAAGTTTTATATCCCTACCCCAATATCATCTACCAGGGCAACGACGAAGGGAATGAAATACTGGTCGGCCCTTCAATTTCTTTTAATAGATCACCCAATTAAAATTTGATTTGATTTTTCCCTTCTTGGGTTTGCAGGCTTTTTGGTCTTGCAAAAAAAGCACAGGCAGTTATTCACGTCTTTTTGAGTTCATTTAATTTCTTATTATTTTAATATATAATCAAAATAAAGGTGGAAGAGTGATTATTATTTGTACTTTTTAAAAATACTATGTCAAGTTTATAATTACTAATTCAAATTAGCAGGAGAGTCTGAATTATTATTATTATTATTGTTGTTTGCCTTTTGTTGTTCTTCTTCCTTTTTAGCATTATTAATTTGAATTGTTTCCTTTCTTTTAATCTCTTTGAATTTATGAGCATTTCTTAATTCATTGATTTGGTCTTCTGGAATATCGAAATCTTGGAATGTAACTTGAATCAATTCGTCAATGTCATATGTTTTGTTTCTTAACATTTCAACAATAACTTCAGAATCTCTTTCTTCCAATATCTTTTGTTTGTTAATCTACAAAAAATAAAAATAAATAAATGAATATAATCATATTAATATTTAGTATATATTGAAATGATTATTAATATATTAAATTTTTTACCTTTAAAATTGCTAAACCAGTTTGAAATAATACAGTAGTACCTTCAAATAAGAAACAATCTACAACTCTAGTAGCGACTGGGAATGGAATATAGGAAACAAACATACACATGAACCATGGGAGTGAGAGGATAGTGACGGGGAGACCGACCTTTTCCAAGTGTTTATATACATCGGGGAGATGGTTTTCGACGAGTTGTGCAAATATCTTTTGGTCAATGATGGAACCAATCATGGCCGATACGTAATAGTCTGGTAGGAATACTTCGCACACACGACATAATACCCAAAAAGCAGCCTCTTCTTGCATGTAGAGCAGCATGATACCGGCCACCACATTCATACTCTGACAATATCCAATCGTTGGATTACGCCACGAATAGGCAGTCAACACACGTCGCAGCGCATCGACACCTCCTTCATGTTTGAAATAGGGGTGGTGTGCAAAAGTACGACGCACGTCCTTTTCAATCTCTTCGACTGCCAAACTTGTCCTTCCAGCATTATCACGAAGCAGTCCGTCATAGTATCCCTTTTCTCTTTCCCACATGTAGCCAGCACCCGAGCAAAACGCCCAAATGTGTCCTCTGTAGGGATCGGGTACGCCAATATGGATGAGATGACGCAGACTGCGAGTGATTGACATGGACGTGTCGCTGCCATGCTTGCCAAAGTAACTCTCCCATTTCTCTAGTTTGTATTTAAGTTCCTCTGGTTTTTCGTGTTTTAATCCTGGTTCTTGAGAGAACCATCCGACACCGATCGATTCTATTTGCAAAGCCTGTGGTCGTAGCACTGGCGAATGATTGGGTGACGATGGTGGGATGACGAGTGGTACCGGCGAAGAGGGTGCCTGTTGCCAATACCTGCGCATCGTTTGCAATGCCTCTTCGCAGTGGATCAGTCGAATGTTGATCTCGCGACCCTGTACCGTTACAATTTGAATGGTATCGGTAAACACTGAAAAGCCAAGGAATGGACGCGTCTTTTTAATCGATGCAATCTTGGAGATGGGAATGACGGTCGTATACTTTTTAGTCGTGAAGCTCTCTTTATATTTTATACAGAAAAAGTTGGCAGACAGGTAGAGGTCGCCAATCAACGTATTCTTTCTAACTATCCAACACACGTGCACCGACAACAAGTCTTCATTCTCTGGCAACTTAAAGAATCGTTGAAAGTTTCTATTCTTTTTTTCAATATCCAATCTTTGTTTGGTTGCCTTTAACACTGGTGACGATTCTCCAGTACTCGTACTAGCTGATAAAGGTGATGGCGACGACATACTATATTCATCAACCTCCAACGATTGATATATTTCATCCATACATAATTTCCATAATTGTTCCAATAAATCATATGCTTGATCTCTCATCAAAAAGTAAAATAAAAACTAAACATAACAAGTAAGTATAACATGTTCTATTTCTTTCTTTTTCTTTTGTATTTCTATTTCTTTTTGTTTGTATTGTTACTTTTTTCTCAGTCTTTTCATCTGGACCAATACAAGCAGTGATTTTAATTGTATTTGGCAATAAACCAAGAGTAGATTCCTTATTGATCGATGTTATTCTTGCAAATGGAAGTATTATATGTTGAACGGGATTGGCTGAATAATAACAAACTGATTGTTGAGTAATAAATGCTTTACCAGTTGTTAAACCATCCCTATATAATGAACATCTAAAATCTAAAATAAATATAATTAATTAATTAATTATACTCTATATATTCTTTATCTCCTTCTCTTTCTCTATTTCTCTATTTCTATTTCTTACAAGTTAATAATTTCTCTTCCATTTGACTGAATTGGAATTTAAATTCTACCAATGATTTCTCATCGTTTTGATCGGCTTCTTCTTCCTCTGATGATGTAGCCATACCAATGATCTTTGAAATGACGTATTGATCTCTAATATCCCAGTCGTGTTCATCGAGACGTGGAAGAATGTCATTCTCGAGGACAACCCAATGAGCTTTGATAAGATCAAGACTCTCAGACACTGCAATGACCTGAGGGTTCTTTGTTTTATATATGATTCTATAGGTAAGAGGATGTGAATCACTAGCATGTACTGCCAGATTAGCTATCTTTCCTAGTAGAGTACCATCGGTTGACTTTGCTCTAAGTATAGAAAAGAATCTATTTTCTAGTACTACTACCCATAGAGGTGAAACAGAGTATTGTGGTTTTGGATTGATCCACATGATGATATGATTATACGTATGTATGTATGTATTTAATTAATATTACTACCACTACTCTATCCTAATATTCTCTTGTTCTCTACTATTACTGCTATTACTATTCTAGAATTAGTTCTATTATTGCTCATAGAATAGTAAAGGTTTAAATGTGTGAAATCATTAATTTAATTTAATTTAATTTTGTTTTTTTAAGGTTACAAGGTTAAAAACTGATGTTATGTTAATCTCAGAGAGGCACGAGTATGAGTTTCCAACCGTCAAACCTACAACAACCTCAAATATATTTATTATATTATTTATATTTATATTTATATTCATATTTTGATATTTAAATGGATAAATGTGAATCACATTAGATTTTGATTGATTTATTAAAGAAAATGAATATTTAAATTTAAATTATTATAAATAGGTGGGAAGCAAAAATGATTGGATTCTTTGTTATTTATAATAGGTTTTGATTATAACTATTCAGTGTCTAAAGGATTAAAATTATTTTTGTAAGAGTATGATTTTTGTTTAAAAAAAAAAGGGAGTAATTTACTTGAATATTGATTCTGTTTGTTATGTTTACACTGTTATCTGTTGTTTTGTTGTTATTGTTGTTGTTGGTCATTATCATCACCATTTTCATAACCATGATTTAAATTGAATTTGGTCAATGTTGAAATATTGGCAATGGATGGGACGGAAGTAGGTGTGGTTTGGGTAGAGGATGGTTGACTAAAACCAAACATTTGATTGGCAAATAGATCGTAGGATGGTGAATAGACACCACTAGTCGTGTTATTGTTGGTTACTGTCGTTGTTGTTGTTGTTGTTGGGTTGACACCGCCAGCAGTCATGGTTGTAGATGTATTGTTGCTGTTGTTGTTGTTATTGTTAATTGGTGTGTTGGTACCAACAGTAGAATGTTGTTGTAGGAAGCTTGTCAAGTTGGTATTTGGCATGAGGTCTCGATAGGATGGAGTTGCTGATGAAGACATCAAAAGGTCACTACTACTGTTGTTGTTGGTATGGTTTGGTGAAGTTGTTGTTGAAACTTTGCCACTTCCAATCACTCCAAATTGATCTCTCCAGAGACTATTGTTGTGATACTGGTGGTGGCTAGGACTAGTGTTGCTTTTCATCACCTGTTGTTGTTGTTGTTGATTATTTGATGAATCTACTGCCAATAAATTGTTCATGTTTGTGAACCATGATGGTTGAATAAGTGTAGAAGTTGAGGTTGAGGTAGGTGAAGTGGTTGTTGTTGTGTTGTTATTGTTATTTGTAGATGGTCTTGGTGAGAATGAGAATGGATTATAAGTGTTGAGTAGTGATGGATTTGACGATGTTGATGATGATGAAGTTGATTGTGGAGGTGGTGATGTACTGATAAATGGATTATAATCAAATTGACCATTATTTGAGAATGGAGAATATGATTGTTGTTGTTGTTGTTGTTGTTGAAGTTGTAATTGTAATTTTTGTTGTTGTTGTTGTTGTTGTTGAAGGTATTGAAGATATACAGAGTTTTGTTGTTGTTGTTGCTGTTGTGAATATGGTAATGGTTGTTGTAAAGTAGGAGTTGAAATAGGTGGTTGTTGAGTAGTTGGTTGAGTGGTTGGTTGAGGAACCTTTGGTACATAAACCACCTTTCCAGTTGTTTGCTTTTGTGGCTTTTCGTACTTTTTCTTTGGTTCTCTCACAGGTTTGGCCGATCCAGGGGGAGGAGGATTGGCAGGGAGAAAAGCAGAAGAGTTGTTGTCCTTGTGATACTTTTTCTTTCCAAAATAAGCAGGGGTGGTAGAAGTAAGCGAGGAGTCTGTTGTCGATGATGATGATGATGAGGCAACAATTGGAATATTTGAACCACTTCCACTACTTGACAAATTCAAGTTTACACCATTATGATTGTGATTGTTAGTCTTATTGGTATTTACATTTTCATCATTTGATTGATCAGATGAAATCTTTAAGGACTGTTGCTGTTGTTGTTGTTGTTGGTGTTTAGTGTTCTTTTTCTTTTGTTGTGGTTTGGAAGAAGCAGAAGACGGTGGTGCAGTAGTTGATGTTACTGTTTGGATAGAAGGGACTACAACTTCTGCCACCTTTTTGTCTGCTTGTACTACCAAAAGGGGCTTATCTTCTTTTTGTTGTTGATGCTTTTGTTTGATTGTTTCAACTACAACAACAGATGTACTAGGTTGTTGATGTTGTTGTTGTTCATTCTTACTCTTGTCATTATTATTTGATACAACATCTTCCAAAGATGTAGAAGAGATGACAATGGTAGTTGTTTTTGTTGTCATTGTGCTGGTAATGGTCGATGCATCGATCTTTTCAACATGATCTTGCTGAACAATGGTGGTTGTTGGCTCATCATCAATTGATCTTGGAGTAAGATCTTCAGTTGGTGTGGTTGGATTGTCAACCCCATCCTCTAAAATCGCTCCAAGATTATCATGTGAAGACATTGATATATCATCCAATGACTCGCTCAATGGACTACGAGCAGCAAGTAATAAATCTTTTTCTTTCTCTTGTTGCTGTTGAATAACAATAGAATCTTCAAATTTATCCTCTTCCAAGACCGTGGTTGTAGTGGTGGTTGTAGTCATCACTTGATGTTGTTGGTGATGATGATGATTATGGTTTAACGATTTACTCGAAGAAGAATTCTTTCGACTACTATTACTATTATCTTCATTGGAAGATTTAATCTTTCGATTGGTCAATCTTTCCTTTTTGTTGACAGTAGTCTTGTTATTATTCTTTTCATTTGAAGATGATGATGATTTATCAGGTGATTTTGGGATGACACTAGCACTGATATGATGATGATGATTATGATTATCACGACTACCACCATGATGATAGGATGAAGTTGGACTATCAACACCACCACCACCACTAGTAAGTAGTTCACGACCACTTGCAGCGGTTAAACTAGCCGTTGTAACACTAGTACTCCAACGAATACGAGTGGCAGTGATACGAGCGACTATTCTTTGTAGCAATGACTTTCTCTTGTGACCGACAGGTTTAATAAACGAGAGGAGGATAAGCATGAAAAAGAGAATAACCATCGATAGGATAAAGATAACCTTTGCAGGGTAATCGTAAAAGAACGATGGTTGAAGATGTGTGCACAGTGGAAGGAACTCGTGTGGAAAGGTTCCAATCAAATTGAATCCAAATGATTCTTGGTTTGTCTTTATCACCAATTCCTTTTTCAACATTGAAGTTGAAAAGTCTGGTTCATAAGATACCTGAATCTTAAACATTTCACCTTCATTTATACTTAGTCCCTTTAATTCATTACAATTTAATACTTTAAATCCAAACCCATTACTGTAAATCAAAAAAATAAAATGTTAATATTTATATCTCTAATCTTGTTATTTTTTTGTTGTTGACTTACCATTTAAAATCATTTATAAAAATATCTTTAATTTCTAAAATTAAATTTCCAGTGTTGACGATGGTAAAGGATTTTGAAACTTCGATACGATTGGTATTTTGTGAATTAACAACCTTTTTAGAGTCAATGAGGATGTCAGAGTTGATATCCACTTCGACATTGTGTCGCTGAAAGATACAGGGACTGAGATGAGTTTTGTTAAGGTCGAGTAGGATAGAGTTGGACATGTGTGTATCAGAGTCAACAACGAGTAGTCTACCTCCGCCTCCATGTCCAGTCAAAAAGATTGGTTGTAAATAGGTGTAGTTGTTTTTAAGGTAGACGATGGCATTGTAGCTGGTATAGTTGAGTGGATGGAACTTGATCGGACCAAACGCAACTGTTGACTTGGGTGCTATAAACATCATGTTTTCAGCTCCCGATCTCTTTAGTGAGAATATCTTGTTGCGACCTGACGACGACGACGATGGTTGTTTGCCGGCTGCCTGTTGTGCTGCCGGCTTGTCAATGTCGTCAAAGTAGATAGAGTGTTGATCCTTTGTCTTTTTCAAGACGAGTGGATGAAAGTGGCTTTGTTGCCGCTTGATAAAGTCAGACGAGTCGTTGTTGATGTTGTCGCCGTCCTTGTCTTCGTCGTCGTCGGTGGATGCCTCGCCGTCCATGCAATTGTTGGTGTTTTCAAGCTTGTCAATTCCGTGCTTGATCTTGTAGTTGGCGACCAGTGACTCGAGGTCCAAGTCAAACAGCTGTGCAAAGATGGGTATGTCGAGCGGGTTGTAAATGTCGACGGTGCGGTAGACGTCAGCGTTGATACGCGCCATGCCAAAGTCGAGCGCGAGCGCCGCCACAAACGCGGCACCGGCCGGCACGTCCGGATCGGGGTATCGCAGCTCGTCAACATTCACATCCTTGCTCGAAAAGAGGTTCGGCTTGGCCAGCGTCGCCGATGTCTTGATGGCGTGGTGCGACACAATGTCCGTGTGGATGGCAACGTTGGCCGGCACGTCGAGCGACCCTCCACGCATACGCCACAGCGTCTCACGCTGGATATACTCGTGTGTCAGCACCTTGACGGTATGCAGGTCGGTCGTGGGCGACGTGGCCAACTCCTGCAACGCACGTGTAAACTCGGGGTCGTCGTCGGCTAGATCAACGGGTGTAAACACCAGATTGGCAAAATGGGTGACTCCCTTGGGCGCCAGCTGGTTTGTCAGCATCACACATGTCACACGCGGGTCGGATATATCGATCGACGTGATATTGACGGCAATATTGTATGTGCTGTTGGCGTACAAACCACGGGTGACGGGTGTGCCGTGCATAGTGAGGTCCGAACCAAAGTCTACCACCTGCGGTGAGATTGACAGCGACCCATTCATCACTCGCCACTTGTACGACAGTGTCATGTTCTCGTACTGTGTCATGATGACCAGATGACGCTCCCCGCGTCCATAACTGCTCCTCGTCAACACGTCCAACCCAAATGTAGCAGTGTGTCCGGGGGGCAACACCACCACTGGCTCAAATGTGATTCGATAGTTGTTCTTTTTGCTGTTTCTCCGTGCCCTCACCATCTTGGGCAGATCGACACACGGATGGTCAAACAATGAATGATCAGCGCCAAAAAAGTCGGCTCCACTATGCACAAACTGTCCACGATCATTGTACACACTCAACAATTGCATTGAAATGTCTGCTGTCAATGTCTTTGATGATAATGAATTTGATGATGGTGTCGAGGAGGAAGATGAAGATGAGGGTCCAGAAGCAGTATCTCTACCAGTTCCACTCTTGTTTATAATCACTACATCTTGTCCAAAAATACCTCTCACTCCATCGGTCTTGATATTGAATCGATTGGTATTGGTTGGTGGTTGGATATGTCCAACACAAGTAATAAACAAATTAAAAGGATTTGAATTTTTCAATTTAAATGTTCTTCTTCTTACTTCATTTCTTGATATTACTCCAAAATCAATCTAAACAAAACAAATAATAATAATAAAATGGTAAATATATATATCTTTCTTTTCTTTTTTTTTTTCTTTTTTCTTTTTTGTTTCTTTCTTACAGATCTTTCTTGAAATGTTGATAATGGTTGAGTTTCAAAATCCAATAAATTGGTAGAGAATGATAAAAGTCGATTATAAGCATGTAAATCGATTTCAAACACACTAATGTTTGTATCTACATAGAGTGAAGCATGTTTACCACCTGGACCCAAGAGTTGACGATCGTTGTATTTGTAGTTGGGATTGATCTCTAATAGGATTGGCTTCCAAGTCTCGTGTGGCTTAACAGAGACACCAAGCGGAGCATCCTTTACCACAAATAGATTATCGCTTACGTGCACCGAATAAATGACCAATGGAACATTGAAATTATTTCGAAGCACAAGACGATTTGTGTATAGACCCGGTGTGGTTTTACTGACGATAGGTCTACTCGCAACATCTTTCAAGGTGGTTGGGGAAAGTCTTGGATATGGCTCATCCTGTGTTTCATCTAGAAAATCCATATCAATATCACCAGAACCAAATGGTATCAATGGAAATAATACATCTTTTGGATTATAAGATAAATCACCATGTGCTACAACTGCTCGGTATGGAATATGTGTATCTTTATATCCATTGATTCTAATCAATATGATTCCACGAAATACTCCTTCCAATTCACTACTATAGAAAAAATGTGCAATTTCTGATGGCTAAAATAGAAAGAAATAGAGAAATAAAGCATTAGTTAGTCAACTTTGTGATCACATTATGTTTTGTTGTTTTGTTGTTATTTGTTTTATGTTTTGTTCTTACAGATTTTGCAAAAGTTGTACTATCATCATGAATAAAGAATTTTAATCTTGGATCTGGATGAAGAGGACGGATTTCAAGAATGTTTATATCTTCTTGTTCTGGATTGTAAAGAAATAAAGATACGGATTTAAAATCACTCTTGCCAGTGATGAAGCCAAAGTCCAAGCTTTCAGGAGAAAGATGAACCGTCTCGCCAATCGATTGAATCTGTAGATAGACGGTAAAGTTGGCAAAATTCGTGTCAATGTGAAGTTCATTGTTAAACATGCCAGTCAAAGATGACCGAAATGACAAATTGATGATTTGGCCTCTTGTAAATGGCTCAATCTCCCAAATGTTATTTTGAGGTGATTCATGTTGCTGTTGTTGTTGTTGTTTTAACTTTTGTGAAGAAGTTGAAGGTATGGAGGAAGTTACACTAGGTGTAGTTGAAGGAGGAAGGGGGGTATCGGAAGAAGTAGTCGAAGATCCTGGTGGTAAAGATAAATAAAATGGTGCACCAGAAGTATAGATATCCTTGATGTACAATGTTTCATTATGTGGATTGTAGATGTAAATGGATCGTGAAAACATCGTGTCTATCAACACTCGATCGCTTATAGGTGAGAGTTGATAAAATGATCCCTTGGCAGTGCCAAACACCTTTATCGATGAAACATATGTCAAGCCACTATCCTGATCGACACTATGTACTTGAACAGTCGTATTATACTCTCCAATATATCTTGGCTTGAATACCACTCTAACTCTATGATTCTCATTATCTTTCAATGTCTATAGATCAAACAAACAAGTTAATACTAACATATACACTATATATTACACTCTATTGTACTTACAAAACTTCTAATGAAATCAGTTTCAAAATGTTGACTTGAAGTTTGAATCGATAGGATTTGAATAGGATGACTCTTTAGGTTGGTAATCACAAATGAATCTTTACTATCTATACACATTTGACTATTTTTGAAATGTAAATCTAATGGAAATATACTAACTGGATTATTATTATTATTATTATTATTATCGTTCATTGACTTTTTAGTTTGTTGTTGTTGTTGTTTATCTACATTATTACTTTTCTTTTTACTATTATTATCATTTAAATCTTTTTCCTTTTTCTGCTTATTACTATTATTATCTTTGTCTTTGTCTTTGTCTTTGTTATCGTGAACGAATTTCTCAATCATGTCTTCATCCAATGTCTCTCCAAATACTATTGTTTCCTCTACTTCCTCATTGACACCATCGACGGCATCATCATGAGCTGATGTTGATGCTGATGCAGATGCTGTAGTGCCAGTAGTAGAGGTCGAAGAAGAAGAAGAAGGTTGTTTACTTGTACTTAAATTGGGTGGCCATGGAAAACCATCGATTCCAGAGAGTTGTGGAGACGGTGTATTTAATTCTTGACTGTATCTAAAATGATGATAGTATCTTCGTTGTTGCTGTATGTTTTGGTTGATGATATGCGTCTGTTGCTGTTGTTCTATATTGACAGCTTCTCGTTTTGTTTGTTGTTGTTGATGTTGTTGTTGTGCACTGTTAACGCTCTCAGAAGCAGTAGGAGGTACACCCGATCCACCTATTACAGTGGATGCAGTTGTCGACGTCTTTTTTGCTGTTGGTGTAGTTTTCTGTATAGCATTGATCCCTACTACAATGAATTGAAATTGAATACAATAATCGTATAAATATAAGATGTACACCTATTTCTTGTTGACTGCTAGTTGTTTGCTTGTCTGCTTTCTTGTTTTGCTTACCGAAACCATCACCCAATAACAATACGAGAATGAAGATATAGAACAACGTGGTTGCAGTTGTCCTCATCCTTGATGTTGATGAAGATTTATGATGATTAGTTGTCACCATGATGATAGTAGTAGTTTTCTTGTTGATGTTCCAATGTCAGTGTAATCATTAAATCAATATATCTATCTATCTATCTCTATTTCTCTATATAAGTCTACTTGATGTTTGTTCTATGCTCTTTCTCACTTTGAAAAAAAAAGAAGAAGAAGAAGAATAAGTACCAATACTCAATTTAATTTATAAGATTGGGTGGGTTGGTTGGTGGTGGAGGGTTTAAATAGAAAAAAAGTGCCTAATGAAGTTGAAGGTTGGCAATGATGATGAAGATGAAGTGTGCAAGAGGAGAGTATGAGTCCTTAAAAAGACACTGAGACATGACAGACATACATAATCCCTCCCTTATCTGAATTAAAGTTTTCGTTTTTTATTCCTTTTTCAAACTATGAGAATATAGTAGGCGGGTTGTTGCAAGTTCAGTTTCTCTTTTTATCCAATCACAGTATTACATGTATTGTGTGTCGAGAGAGAGATAAAGAGATAAAGAGAGATAGATAGAGACGGGTTTGATCACTTACAATATCTAAAAAAAATGAATGATGGATCTGATACTTGATATATTGCTAATTATATCTGTTTTTGGGTCTGTCTCTCTCTCTTTTAATTTATTTGTTCAAAATTGATAGAATGAATAGATTAAATCAATGAATGAATGAAAACTCAAGAGGAAGAGGATAGGATGACGAGGAGACTACTGTACTGTGCTGCACCCTTCAAATAATTGAGTGATCTTTGATGTTCAGGGAGGGATAGCGGTCTTTGAGGGGCTGTTTCAAGTTGAAAAAAATTATTACCGGTCTGGTTGCCCCCAAACCCCTGCAGGTTGATGAAAAAACAAGGAAGGTTGTTGAATTACAGATATTTAAGTAAAAAAGTATCTACTGCTGCGGTACACCGAAATTCAATTAATTTTAAATCCTGAATTTGATCAACAATCAATCATCAAAAGAAAATAATTCTTTACACGTGTAAATAAATTTTATATGTGCATTGGGAATGAACAAAGAAAGAAACATAAATTTGTACAACCACCAAATTAACTTTAAATAATTATATATTACTAGTATTTTATAATATTATAATATTATTATTATTATATTGTATTGCTGGTCACTAAGTGATAGAATCCAGCCAAGCTACTAAAGAGATGGGAAGTTTCAAGCATTCATTGACTCCACAAACAATAAAAATAAGGTAGCATTCCTCGTTTTGAATACGAAATAAGATGATACAGAGAAAATTTCGAGATTTTCTCTATTTATACTTTGTTTTGACATCTTTTAATTAAACTATATGTGAGCAGACTTTTTATTTTACTCACCCCATCACACACCACAAGCCTTTTAAAACTTGAATCTTGGTTGTTAAAGTTCTATTCATTGTGGTTAGTTGAGTAGTTGATCAACAACATAATATATCTATCTATCTCTAGAGTAATAGAAAGAAAGAGAATATATTAATTAAAGAGATGGATCAAAAGCAATTCAAAAGTGTATTTGCTTATTGGACTGTCAAAGATACCAGTAGCAATAACAATAATAATAACAATAACAATGCTCAAAGACAACAACCAAAACAACAACCAAAACAACAACCAAAGCAACAACAACAACAACAACAAATACAAGTACAACCACAACAACCAGATGTATCAGTAACATCAACTGCTGTCAATATTACAAATGTTACTATTAATAATAATAATGGTAGTATCAACTCTGGCTATAATAATGTTGTTGTTGCTCCTCCTCAACAAACATTAATACCTAATAATAATAATAATAATAGTGGATATAATAATGTTCCATCACTATCAGTTTCATCATCTGATATCAATAACAATGTAAATAATAATAATAATAATAATAATAATAATAATAATAATAATAATAATAATAACAATAATAATAATTATAGTAGTAGCTTCTTTAATGAAAATAGAGTAGTTGGAGATGACAGTAGTGTTGGTGAAAGTAGTAATAGTGGTTATTCATTACCAAACAATCAACTTGAACAACAACAACAACAACAACAACAACAAAGAACTTCATCACAAGCCTATTCAACTATTTATTCTAATCCTCCATTATTGTCATCATCGATACTTTACAATAATGAGATGGTACAGTTGTTATCGAGAAATGACTTTAATAGTCCTTCAACCAACAACAACAACAACAACAACAACACTACCACCAACTATCACTCATCATCCTATTCGGCCATGTACGACTCTAAAAATGCAGATAATATAAGTATTGATAATACTGACACCATGTCAACTGGTACTGGTGGTTATTCACTCTATTCTGATGCTTCTGCCATTGCCAATCTTAGACAAAGTGCAACATTTGAAGATGAAAAAGAAGAGGAGGAGAAATACAAACTATTGGAAAAGAATCGTGATATCCAAGACAAGGGTAGGGATTGGAACTTGGAGTTTCAAAACCTACTTCGTCTTCCCTCTTCACTTGACAAATTCCAAAAACTTACATTTATGGCAATGGATTTTGTTCGTGCTGCTGAACACTATGGTTTCATCATCATCAAGGAAATGTTTATGCCACTTCATCTTAAAACTATTAAACCAATTGATATTGGTGGTATTGCTGGTGGTGAAAAATATATGTAAGATAAAAGATAGATAGATAGAGATAGATAGAAAATGATTTATATATCTAACCTTTAATTTTTAGTTGCCAAAATATATTATTTAAATTTGCATATGATCAAAAGATTGGAGATCAATGGTTATATGGTGGAAAATATCCATCTGATTTTGGTGCATCGAAAGCCGCTGGAAATGAATTAAGAGGATTATCATGTTTCTTTCAAAATATTATGGATAATGATTTAGGTGATAAAATTAATGTTCCACTTATGTGTGTAATTGATTATTATGGTTATAGATTGTATGTATAAATATAATATAATGAACTAGAAAATGAGAATTTAATATTAATATTATAATTACTTTTTTTTTGAAAAGAGTTGCTATTTCATTATTACCAATTACAAAATCATCAATTATTTATGGTAGTTGTGATGGTGGAAATGTAGTTCATGATGATGTACCAGAGGTAAATGATATTATGGAAAGAGTTGGTGAAGTTATGAAATTAAAGAAACATCTTGCTGGACATAATCCAAAGGCTGTTTATGGACCTGGTGACTTCGAAATTCATAAATCTGAGCGTGGAGAATACTATGCAATTGATTTTGCTCGTTTATTCCCTCCCCAGGCTTATTTTGATATTGATGGGTATGTACATAGATACAATTTATTAAAAAAAGATATGTTAATCTAACTAACCTTTTATTTTAGTAATGCAATTGCACATAGAGAAGTATTTTTTAAATTACTTAGACCAGAATTCTTAAAATCATACGAGAAACCATTATCATCAGATTCATTTACAGGATGGGGTTTAAATGATCCTGATAATGAAAGACATAACAATGAAATCATTGAAGCTACCACTTATCTATATGATATTATCATTCCAAAGGCTGCTAGAGAGTTTGAAGATCTTTGGAAGAATGGACAACCTACGACGTGGGATATCTGTACCGAGGTACATCGATTTGGTATTAGTTTACGTCACCTTGGAAAACTGCGTAATCGTACGACTCATCCAGAGTTGCGTAAAAACATTCTCAATGAAATGGTTGCGCGTGTATTGAAATCACAGATAAAGGAAGAGTTGCGTATTCATTTGTCTGGACATTTTATTGGCTCGGAAGAGAAGTGTATTCAGACGATTGTCGATTTCCTCAACCGTATATTCAACGTGTTCCACTTTGACGTGGACAAGGGGTATTGGACCATCACAATCAAGAGTTTGTTTATGAACAAGTATGGTGCGTTGGGATGCGGTCTCTCCGAAGAAGAGCTCGATTCCAAGTTTGACCTGTCTCGTGTGTTGTCCATGATCGATGTCATGGCCAAGTTCCAGCACAAGACAGGTGTCAAGTTGTCGAGTCGTATTAAAAAAGCGTTGTTGGATAACAAGACGGCCGTGCGTCCACGCATGCCAATGGTGCTGTACACAGACATCAAGGATGTGCGTCCAGTTGCCAAGCATTCGAATATGATTTCGCGTAGTGAAGGTATATCACTTTACATGAAGGCGTTGGAGATGATCTATGCCAACCAGGTATACTATGATAGACCCGTGCAGGAAGCAGACTATGTCCGTTTCAGCGATGACTATAGCGAGGAGTTGTCATTGTTGGAAACGTGTCGTGTCAAGTTGCTGCAAGCGTCGCGTAGTTCGACAACCGACGCATCGTTGTATCATTTGTTGGGGTTGGTCGATTTGGAGAACTTTAAGCTCAAACGTGACCGCAACCACTTAAAGATGGCACTCAAGAATCTCAACACGTCTTTGGCATTTGGCGTGACACCCGCATCGTTGATCACATTGGCGACAGTGTACACGTTGTCGGCTGACTATAGGATGGCATGTAATACATATAAAAGATTGTCTCAGTTTGATCCGCAGGTGGTTGTTCCGCTACTGTTTGACAGCGCGTCACTCGGTGCACCATACTACAAGGTTGGCGTCGACTATATGATCGATAATGTGTTGGTAGCCGTGCAGCAGCTCATCACCATCATTGATTTGTTCAAGACACTGCCAGACAAGCACGCACTACTCGAAGCATACCGTCAGCATGTCGACCGTATTGCGATCGTCACCTTGTTGCGTGGCGTCAGTATCGGCACACACGACTACCACCGCGGTGTCATTGCTATCCTCGAGGTACAGCATTCGACAAAGGTAGAGTACGCCGACCTCAACCGCATAATTGGCCAGCTCGTTGACGAAGTACTCGAGCGCGACTGCTCGGTGCTCGACATGCACTTGGAAAACTCCAAGAACCTGCACAATATCCCCATCCCCTTTTTGTCCTACATTATCCTCGCCGAGTACTCGCCGCTACTCCGCAACAAGGTGCAGCAGTTCTTCCTCGAGAACCCACTCTCCACATTCCATCCCGACGTCATTACCAAGTTTTACTCGGACCAAAACATACTCAAACTGCTGTTTATGTATTCGCCAGCCATCCAATTTGACTCGCTCGTGCTGCGCTACAAGGATTTCGATTATTCACGTCTCGCCGAACAGACCAACATTGTATCACTCAAATTGTACAATATCTATTTGTCGCAAGAAATACTCGACTCAATCTTTGACAATTTGAGTGCTGGTGTGCTCCAAGAGCTCAACTTTAACAATATGAATATCAACGATTCGTTGGTGTTAAGGGATCGCCACAAACCCGTCTTTGAGCGTGTCAAGAGCGTCCACCTCGGCAGTCTCAGTTCGTCGAGTATCCAGGTGATCCAAGTCATCTTGGAGGCTGCCAGAGACAGCGTGGAACAACTCCGTGTCGAACACAATGTCTCAGAGTTGTCAAGTGTCATCCGGTCCATGACCAAGATCAACTTGCTCGAGTTGTCCTCTTACAACTATCCACTGGAACACCTTCCACCCAATGTAGAGACACTCAAGATATCGTGTGAGGTTGGGTTAGACACTGCTACCGACGTGTCACCCGTGACACAACTCATGCGTGCATGTCCAAATGTCAAACACCTTACACTTCAATGCGATGCAATTCTCAAGGATCTCGACACACTCCGCAACTATCCAATTACAAGTCTTGATATCACAGGCTTCCAGTACCTCAACAGCGAGAGTTTGTTTGTCAACCGTACCGACTCGAGTTGGCCATCTTCTCTTGGATCACTTCGCGTCTACTACTCGATGCGTGCCAATAACCCACTCGACCAGTTCGTCGCACCACTCAAGAATCTCAAGACACTCAACCTCTCAACACAATATGTAGCAGACGATGAAATTGAAAAGATCCTAAGTAGTTTGGACCAAGTTGAAGACCTCAGAATCTCATCCAACAACTACCGTTTCAACTGCAGTAGTCAAGTCATTTCACGGTCAGTCAAAAGACTGGCTGTTGCCATGGCAACGTTCACACCCGACAACTACTCTTATATTGGTGCCACATTCCCATTCTTGCGTGATTTGTCAATTGAGAATCCACGCCAGTTGTCAGATCTCACCTTTTCCAAGCTTATTGATAATCTCACCACTCCACTCGAAGGATTGTCACTCGACACTTGCTTTGATATTACCGAGGCATCAATCATGACTGTTTGCAGCTCCAAGTCCTCTCAAACACTCGAAGAGGTCAAACTTCGCGACTGTCCAAAGATTCAAGATGTTTGTTATGTAAAATTGGCAGACTCTATCCCCCGACTCAAAGTAATCAGATATTCAGCCGCTGCACTTAGACGTCATCAAACCAATATTTATATCTTGAAAAAATATCCAACTATTAAATTAGAACATGTTTAAAGAAAAAAACATAACAAAAACCAAATCAATTAATAATAATAAATAAATAATTATTGTAAATAATAATAATTATCCACCCCTTTTTGTACAAACTAAAAAATAATAATTACAATATTGTATTTATTTATTTAATAATTTAATTATTATTATTTGAATTTAATAACCATTGACCTTTATCATTTTGATGATAATGTATTGGTTTCCAAGATTCATTTCTTTGTAATCTTTGTTTAGCAAGTTTTCTTTGTTCTTCTTCAACTTTTTGTTTCTCTTTTGAAATGAGTTTGTGTTTCCTGTTTTATGTGCTTCCATTACACCTTTCCATACCAAGAGTGAGTTGGTAGGTAACAATCCCTCATGAGGAGGTAAAATGATTTCTGTTGGTGTTAATTCATGTCTGTCAATTAATTTTGTAAAGTCGCAACTATTAAAAGAAGAGTTGATGTCCAATTGCTTGTCCCAATGACCTTTGATTTTATGTAACTTTTCCTTGCCCCTGTAAACTGTACTTTCAAAATAATTGTATGAACCCATAAACATTGGTTTGGCGTGGAACATTGATTTGATACGATAGTCATCTCTGTCATTTGTCACACTTGTTTGACCAACGTACTCCATAAACCCTCTAAATAATCGTAATGCCAAGTTTGGAGTTGCCGATGAATAGGTTTGATCAAATCTATCGAATCGAACCAATATATCTCCTTGTGTACCAAATTTAACATGGGTTCCCATGAAATGACACCCTAAACCTATTGTAGAAGTGACTTTAATACCAACATCACCTCTACAACATACGGTAATTGAAAAGATGGGAGGATGATGAGAAACATTTTCAGTAAAAATGTCTACTCTTGTTGCACCAATATCCAAATGACCTTGATACGTTTCACCAAGGATTGGATTCAATGGTTTCTTAAAGCAATCTTTAATCTCCATGAGAATCGATCCAAAATAACAATATACTTGTAATAGACGTTTCTTTTCATCTTTAATGTCATTTGCTTGGAGTAGTAGATCGAAATGGGCAGTGAATTGTTCAGACATGAGTTGAATCAATGATTTTGGTAGTACACAAGCACCAGGTAAGGAAATGATCGAGATATCAGCTCCAATATGTAACTTTTTAATTATACCAAATATAATATCAGATGCTGATTTTCTACTATCACTATCATCTTGTTCGGCTTGATCTACAATGTTTTGTATGTCTTCATCTTCCACCTTTTCTTCTTGATTCTCTTTAAACTCTTTTGGTATTTCTTCTTGTTCTTCAATTTCCAGTTGTATTAATTTCTTTTTTCCCATGATTTAAATAAATAATAAATTAGAATTAATAAAAGGGTATAAATAATAAATCATTATTTATAATCAAAATAACATACAGTTGATGAACATTGATTTAAAAATTTGTAGTTTGTAATTGTACAATTACCCCTAGCTATCTTTTCCTCTTCGTTTGACAATTTGAATGTTATATAACAGATGAATTATTTATCACGATCATCATCATCACCATCGTTAACGATGTCCATGATAAGAGTGAGAATACACTTGTTAGTTAGTTGGTTGGTAAGATGAGTTGGAGATATCTATCCAGAGAAGGATCGTGTTATGTTGGTTATTATTGAATGATCTACAGATGATCAATCTTTCTTTACATATTACATATGTTTTAAGATACATGTATATATATAAGTTATAAGTTATAAGTTATCTATCTCTTTTATTGATCAATAATCATAAGTGCTTGTATGGCCATCATGACGAAGTTCAAACAATTTTAAAAACTTTTATTCGATCACCCGAAGCGATGCAAGTGTAATTTCATTTCGATCATTGCATATAATTTAATACACACCAAAAGAATGATAAAGAGTTTATCTTCAAAATGGATGTTGATATCAACAGCTGCGAGACAACAAACAACAACATCGTCATTAGCTAGCTGTAAAAAAAGATGTATTTCATCATTTAGTTATAACACTAATAATAATAAAAATAATAGTTATATCAATACAACTACAACAACCAATCTAAACTATAGAAACACAACATTAAATATAAATAATATCATATTGTCAACAACACCATTACAATCAACTACTGTATCATCATCATCGAACTACCAACAAAAGAGAAATATTTTTGGTGTATTTACACAAACACCAGATCAAGTACATAAATCGTTAAGCAAGACATTAAAGTATACACCTGAACAAGTTTATAATGTCGTATCAAAAGTACAAGAGTATAGAGACTTTTTACCATTCTGTATCGATTCGAGGATCACAAAGATAGTTACACCTGGAAAATGTTTTGAAGCGATATTGACAGTTGGAGCAGGTGCCGTCAATGAAAGCTATACTTCCAAGGTGACACTCGACCATCTCACCTATATCAATGCCAGTTCAATAGACTCTACCATATTTCACAATCTCTCCTTTACTTGGAGATTCAAAACTGGTCCATCTACAGACACTTGTACTGTCGATTGTCAATTGGACTATCAATTCAAATCATCATTACATTCAACCATGATGGACCAATTCTTTGCCAATTCACTTGAATCAATGATCACTGCATTTGATAAAAGATGTGATCAACTTTACCACAATAACAACAAAGGTCGACGATAAATAATAATAATCGCGAATAAATAATGAATTAAATTGTATAGCATAATATTAACAAAAAGAAGAAGAAGGAAGAAGAGGATGGAGTTTTAATTATTATTATTATTATTATTATTTATTAATCGATTGTGTACAAAATCTGTTATTTATATATATATCTAAATTATTTATGTTTTATGGTTTCATTGAAGCCAATTCACCTTCTTCATGTAATTCTTTAATAATATCAAAACCACCAACCAATTTACCGTCGATATAGAGTTGTGGGTAGGTTGGCCAATTACTGTATTCCTTTAATCCATTACGAACGGCCATATCATCGAGAATGTTGAAAGAGTCGAAAACAAAACCGTCCTTTCTGAGGATAGCAACAGTCTTGTTTGAGAAACCACATGCTGGTTGATCGGGAGACCCCTTCATAAAGAGCATGACTGGTGCTTGATTGACCAACTTTTCCAAACGTTCATTCAACTTTATCTTTTCCTCTTCTTGTTGTTTCTTGATCTTGTCCAATACTTCTTGTGATGGTTGTTGAGCTACTGATAATGGTTCATTGCTATTGTTGTTAGATGTAGTGTTGTTGGTAGTAGAGTTACTAGTGACTGAACTATCACCACTAGCTTGTGTATGGAATTGAATAGCTTTCATTGTCAATTGTGATGGGTCGGCACCAATCAACTGATCTTCAATGATACCATCCTTCATGAAAAAGAATGCTGGTACCGATTTAATATCAAACTTTATAGAGATTTCACTAACCTTTTCAGCTTCAATCTAAAGATGAGTTATAAATATATATATAGTATGTTAATATATAATCTATATTGTTTATTATTTCTATCTATCTATCTGTATGTCTATCTCACCTTTAAGAACTTTAACTTTGGACATTGAGTCGCCAATTGATCGATGATTTGATTCATTTGAAGACATGGTTTACTCCAATCAGCCCAAAAGTCTACGACTACATATTTGTTATTAACAAGGGTGGTATTTAACTCTTCTAATGCTGTCACTGTAGTTGCCATCTCTCTCTTTCTTTTAGAATAATATAATGATAGATATTAAATAATAATATGTTGTTAAACGAAAGTCATTGAAAAGAACAAACAAAAAATAAAAAAATAAGAAAACTTGTGACATAATCATTTCTATGAGAGATATGCATCCGAGCTGATTCAACTCAAAATATACTAAACAGAATTAGAATAATAAAAGTTAGAGCAGTTATCGTCTTTATGACAAATGGATAAATGATATGATCACCATTCTTATAGCCCGGATGAAGAGTGGTTTGGTTGAGAATATAGCGCGTGCACAAGAGGTTAAATAAAATTTCAATGTCGATTCATTTGTATTACATAACAACATAATTTAAACTTCATTCTCATAGCATGTATAACAAACATGAGCACAGCGTTTAGCTTTCATTATCGACACATTCAACTTGTTTGGCACTCAAAATATCTTCAAAATTGGGTTGGCGCAGCAAAGATCTTTGCAACCACTTCGAGAGGTACGCAAACGATAGCACTTCGAGTCCATCTTTGCACATGGTAAAAGTATTTAATACCAACTTCCACTTCACTTTGAATTTTAATTACTTTATTATCTAAATTGAAAATAATACATGTATTGTCAAATTATTTTATCTAGTACTGGAAGTAAGTGCAATTTTCATTTGCTGATAAAATTCAATTTTTGACCAGGTTTGATCACGATAGTGACTATGGGTGTTGCATTCAATGTGATGCTATGGTCTCGAAACATACAATGAAAACTCATAATCATCGAATTAGCGACAAACATATCAAACAATACAATCTCGTATGACCTCTCCCTTTTGTTCTTAATTAACTCTTATTTGTTTTATTATTATCATATATTACAATGTAGCATTATTTATTAGTAAACTAAAGGAAATGGTGGGAGAAGATGATTTTGTTAAAGCAAACCTCCTATTCTTGAAAAGAAAGCGACGATTTACCCGTTTCAATCAAGCGATGAAATCTGACAACAAGGCTGAGGAAGGACCATCAAAATATGAAGATTTATTAGCGTTGTATCCTCTGCGCTTTTTTCGAATGGTTTACTCATCGAGAGCATTGCAAAGCACAAGTAAACAAACATTGGTATTCCAAATAGGCAAGTTGATACAAGATCAATTAAAAAATATCGATTCCTTTAACACGAACATGGACAACATCTTTATGGTTTCATTGACAATCCAAGGGATTTATCATTCAAACTGACCTTTTAATGTACCCCTGTCTACAAGTTTGTTTGGTAAATCCCCTGGATTTGATGTCCTAACAACCAAGAATGTTTAGAATTATATGTATGTACAAAATCTACTTCTATTATTAAACTCTTATATAATCTCCTCCTTTTCCCAGTCAACAAGAAGAAGGAAATATTTCCCATTCTTTTTTTATGGAAAATCAGATACCCTGAACAGAGTTGAAATTAATTGATCTGGTTGGTCCACTCCATCATATATATATATATATATATATGGCTTTTAATTATTTTGATATAAATATTTATATTTATTTATTATAAATAAAATGAAATGTACATTGAATGAAAGTTTGTAGGTAGGTAGGTTGTTTCTTGTTTCTTTTTTTTTTTTGTTTTGTTTTAGTTTTGAATTTGCGATTATTTCTTTACAACTATATTAATTTAAAATTAAATGGTTAGAGTTAATATATTTTGATTGGGGAGGTCTTTTTTTTTTTTAAACGAATATTAGTTAGTTACCATTAAACTTTAATTTAGTTTTACCAATTTTGATGGTATCACCAATTTCGAGGTTATGACGATCGATTGTTCTACGATTAATTTTGGTGCCATGACCAGACCCAATATCCAAAATAGTACAGGTGGTATCGGTCACTTCAACCTTGCAATGCATACGAGACACTTGTTTGTCGTCAATGACGACACTACATGATTCCGAACGTCCAATGGTATTGGATCCAAGTGAAAGCTTGACCTTTTTAGGCTTGGATCCTGGTGAAGCATTGACAGGAGTGTAAACCAAGGTAGGAATGAATTTTTTACCCAATCCACTCATCACTAGACCTGGAGTTGGTGAATTGTTGTGACTATTGGTATCGCTATGATTATTGTTGTTATGATTATTGTTGTTGATATTCATTGAGCCTACAAGACTGCTAGACTCTTGATTTTGAAGGTTGAATGGTAAAGGAATGTGACCGAGAATGTTGTTGGATGGTTTACCGTGCTTTGATTGGTTCAAAGTATCAACCCAATCCTCCAAAGATACTTGGTGTTTTGCCTTGAGAATAAATACACTCAATGGTGTAGTCAATTTAAACGAATATTGTAAATCATTTGAGATTGTTGTATCACATATTTGAACATCTGTATATTTTAATGTAATAACTCCTTGTGGTGGCTAAAAAGATATAAATATAAATCAATAAGTAACTTATACTTTTGTTGTTTTTTACATTTCTGTTGTTTGTTTGTTTGTTACATACCAATTTAGAAGATTTATAATAATAAAGACATTTATCTAATAATGCAAAGTAATATTGTTTCCAAGTGATTTGACCAGTGATTTCATCATCCTCCATCATCATGAGATTACCAGTCTTTTCCTTTTTAGCCTTTCCAATGATATGTGTCGATTTGTTGTCAATCTCTGCCAAGAGCAATAAAAGTCTGTTCAACTCCATCTCACTCTTTTTCTCAAACAATGGATAGACCTCTTGGAATGCATTGAAACGACAGGTATAGTCGTTCACCTCCAACTTGTCCTTGACCAATTTCTGCAAAATATTGCACCAACGTTCAAAATCCTCATTGTTGGTGGCACAGATTGAATCGATACGTTTTGGTGAAAACACCTGCATAAAGTAATTACTAACATCCGGTGTCTTCATATCAACGATATTCTTTTCAGTCAATCCAATTGGTGGTGATACAAATGAAATTGAAATGATTCCCTTTGGTTTCTTTGTCTACAAATTAAAAATTAAAAGTTAACCATCATTATTCATATCATATATATATATATATATATTTCTTTCTTTCTTTCTTTCTCTTCTTTCTTTCTTTCTTTCTTTCTTTCTTTCTTTCTTTTCTTTTCTTTTATATTTACATTTCTTGATTTATAATAATATAAACTATTTCCATTTAGGGCAAAATAATATTTCTTCCAAGTAGAGTTGAATCTCTTTTTGTAAAGTTCACCTTCGATGATACATGCAGGTGCACTTTGATCAACTTCAAGATCTTGCCATGGATCTTCGATGATGGTAAGAAGAGTAGATATCTTTTTGTCGAGATCAGACTGCTTCTCGCTGATAGTCTTGATGTCCATCATCTTTTTCTTTGACTTTTCATCGATCATCTTGAGAATGGCATCTTGTCCACCTACTCCACCTCCAATAGTTGCCATTGTCTGATTGTAGGCATCTCTGTGCATAATATTGGCTCTCTCTTGAAAGTTTTGAATTAAACCTTCGTGTTGGTCTTGAATGTCTACATCGTCGCCTGAATGATCGTCATCATGATCAGATGATGACGATGATGATGATGAATCACTATACTCATCATCAGATATATCTACCAACTTGTAATTTGGTCTTGTATGTCTAAGTGCCATCTTTATATCTCTTTGTATCCTTTATCTTATCTTTTCTTATCTTGTCTCGAAACTTGTTACTTTAAGGAATGATACGATAGATACTAATATATATATATATATATACACACTAAACTAATAATAAATAATATTACAATAAATAGTACAAAGGGGATGATGAGGAAGGTAGTGAGTGCGTAAGATAAGATTATATTGAGCAAGCGAAGCTAATCAACTTGAAACTAAAAAAAAAAATTGAAAGCTGAACAAAAACTGCAACCAATAAAATTTTTGGTGTTGGATGTTGTTGTGAATCTAAAAATATTTCTGATCGTCGATTGTGGATGGGTTCGGTTGGGGGTGCAAGTCTGATCTTTTATAAAAGTGTCTACTCTGTAGGATGGAATGAAATAAACAATTATATCAACAACAAACAAAGACATACAACAAATAGATAAAATAAATTAAAGTTAAAGGAGGAATACTTTAAAATAAAATAAACAAACAACCCGAATTGTTTAAGGTTCAAAGAATTGTGATTTTATCTTTTTTTGGTCAGGTTCAACGAATCCGAATTAAACCACCATCACCCAAACAACAATAACAATCACCAAAACGAATAAAAATTTGATTGATTGATTGGTTGGTTGAACAATCACCACCAATCCAACATACTTAATTTTCCAACAACGGAAATATTGATGTGATTGTTGGTCAATCACATTCATATGGGCTGGTGTTCCATATGATTATATACATATGTATCGGATTGGTTTTTGATATGTTCAATGTTATTATTATTATTATTATTTATTTTTAAAAGCGTATATCGTAATATTATTATTATTATTATTATTTGGAAGATGCAGTAGGAGAGGATGAAGGAAGAGACTTTTGTGAAATTTGAAGGCTATGCCATTCAGGTACCTTTTGAACCATATCTGGTGCATTTAATTTAAATGCTTCCTTGGCTTCTTCGTCGTCTAGAAAAAAATAAACATGGTTTAATTAACATCATTCATTTACGAATCTGATTAATTGATTGATTTGATCGATCGATTAATTAAAAGATTGCCATATTTGTTGTTTACTTACTTTCGATTGCATTGGTCATATATGGCATGACAACTACTAATATACCTGTAATACCCATCATCATAAACATTGGATTTGAAAGGAATCCTAAAATACTAAATGGTACATGTTGCTAATAGTGGAGAGAGAGATTACGTTAGTCCAATCATTGATTTGTAATTGTTCTTGTTGTTGAAATACTGTGTCAGACATACTTGGAAATAATTTGAAATAGCAACTGGTTGTAAAGTAATTGGTGTTGAAACAATGGTATTGTTATCGTTTCTAATCTTTATAGAGTTTGATTTACTTCCTACTTCAACTTTATGTGGTTTGTAAACATATCTTAAATTATCTACATCCAACACATAACTTCCTGCTGGTACATTGAAACTATAATAGCAATATATAGAAGATAATCATCAATTAGTAATCTATCTATCTCTCTTTTGCTGCTATTCTTTAATAAATACAAAGAAAATGATCCATCCTTTGATGGTATTTGTTCAATTATAATCTCTGTGTCTAATGTATTCACTAATCTAACCTTTATTGGTATATCTGCTACAGTGATTGAAACAATAAGTATACTATGTTTATCGATGCAATGCTACTCATTCATTCATACATACCATTAAGATTAGGGGCAACTATCTTTCCATCTAATTTATTATTATTGCATTGTACAATACAACTTGTCAAGTATATCAATGATACAATGATTACTAGTATATATCTATTCATCATCATCATCACTCTCTCTCTCTGTCTCTTTCTCTCTCTCTATATACAATCTAAGATTAATGAAATATAATATTAAATAAATGATGAAGATGCAAGTTTTAGAAACGACACACTCTCTCTTTGAAAAAATTATTAAGTAAATTGTTTGTTTTGATTTGTTTGTTTGTTTGAAAGTTATAATTATATTTTAAGATTTAATTTATTTATTTAGTTAATTCTTTGTACAGTGACAACTTTGTTAAACTATTACCACAGAAGGAGTGAATTTGTTCACAGTAGTTATTGATTTGGTTAGAGAGCAAAAGACTGGTTAATTTGGATGGTGGGTTTGGAAGTGGTTTGAGGACGGCAGCCAAGTGCGATGCAATCTCTGCTTCGGATGCCTTTTGGCCATCGAGAGCCTTCTTTTGGATGAAGCTGTTGCGTTGGAGTTGATGTTGTTGGAAGTTACGTTGGTAACCGGCAACCTTGGAGAGCTCCTGTGAGAGCGAGTCGACACAGTCGGTCATACCTTCGAGCACCTTTTCCAAATAGATGTTGTTGCCAATATTGAGACGGTCAAAGTTGGAGGTCATTGAATCCGATGTTTCAAGTTCGTAAAGTAAAGCATTGATTAATTGAGAGTTATGGATTTTAATTGGGATTTGTTCGAAAATATCGTTAAAGTTTAAGTTGGCACTATCTAATCTAAAAACATGGTTAAAGAAACAAAAGTTTAGTAATTGATTGTTTGTCATGTTGTATGATTCTTTTAGTTTCTTTTCATTGCATACTTTTCTCTAGAGAATTCTTGGTCCTTGAATAAAGCCATAAAAGGTTGAGTCAATCTATAACAACGCAAGGAGAGGGTACCTTGGGAAGTCTTGATGGGGTCGTAGACGAGGACGACACATTTTTGGTTGATGGTGGCTTGGTAGTTGAATTGGGTTTCAATGACCGACTCGTTAAAGAATGAGTTGAGATAGGTTGGGGTGTACCAGCCGACAGTGTTACTGTCGATATTGACCTCACGCAAGAATCTCATCATCTCTAATTGGTACTCTGCGATACCCTCGCTCGAGTCACCTTCGTCCGAGTCACGTGGGTTGGGGAATGGGAAACAGTTAGAGACCTCCAACGTAGTGCCCAAGTCGAGACCGAGCAATTGACCTGGCACCAACTCTGGAAGGTGTTCCTTGCATTGCTTGATGATCTTCATGACAACGATACCGTCGATTTGAACGACATCCAACTTGCTGCTGTTGTAGTCGGCAACAATCTGCTCGTCAATGTTTTGAATGGTCAATGCTGCTGTGGCGGCGGTACTTGTAGTAGCAACTGCTGCAGTAGTTGGTGAAGTTGAGTTGGTTGGTGTTGATGACATTCTTCTTTATATCTATCTATCTATATATGTTAATTGATTGATCGTCTCGTTTGTTGTATATAATATAATATAGTTTATCTAGTTAACCTTTTATCGTTTGATATCTATTAGTCGTCTAAAGAGAATATCAATGTCTATCTATCTGATATGATGATGATGATGAGTTAAATATAGTATTATATATAGGAAGGAGCTAGGAGCGCGAGAGTATGAGACAAGAAGATGAGGAGGAGTCTCTGTTCAATAATCAAAGTCGACTGATTCAAAAAAAAAATAATCATAAAAATTGATGAAAAAAAATAGTGCGATTTTTGGATGAACTGGCTGAGCTCAAAGTGAGTGGCATGGGCCAATACATGAGCACAAAAAAAAAAAAACAACTTCACCTCAATATACTCTGTACTCTGCAGTGTGATTCTAAACATCACTCTTCATTATATTCTTACTTTATACTATATATATTAGATATTCTCTATTTATATCTCGAGACATAAATAGTGCTAGTCCTATTTGATCTCACTTATTAGATACAAAAGAGGAAGAGAGAGAGACGATATTAAATCAAAAAGAAGAGAGAGAGAGAGCAACAATCAGATTAAAAGATAGATATAGATAGACGGATACATAGATAGATATACAATGCCAGTTCCACGTTTCTTTCAAGGTATGTATACTAACTAGTTAGTAGCTACTATATACTACTATATCTGATGATCACATCAGATCAATCAGTGTATATATAGTATAAGCATGACCACCACAACCCTAGAAAAAGATCGGATGATTAATGATGATGCGTCTCTCTACCTAGATTTTATCGAGAAATACTTGAATACAAGTAAACTATCATTATTAAATGAAAATAGAGTTGGTATCGATGCAATTCAATGGTTATTAAAGTTACATCTCAAGGAACCATTCCAAACTACTATGGGTGGTTCACCACTTACAATGATCACTGTCATTCAAGAGGAATTGGAAAAGATCAAGTATGTCATGAAACAACACAGACACAATAGGTCAATGAAGTTTATTAATCAAACATATATTAATTTCTAGAAAATCAAATATTAAACCATTCTTTGTATTCCCTGGTTTGAGTATTTTAAAGGATCGTCCACAAGCTACAACTGCACGTGCACAGAAATTAAGTATTGCTTGGGATGCCTATTACAAAGGACAATATGAATTTGCTGAATCTCAATTCTCTGATTCTGGTAATTAATTAATTAATATCAACAAGACATACATATCAAACAACCAACTAACAATCATACCCTATTTGTTTTTTACCCATTTTATAGAAAGAGTATTATTGGTACCATTTATTCAATCGATTATATCTTATTTCAAACAACAAAATATAGAATTCTTCAAGGCTCCATTCTTCTTGTGGGCACAATTGGCATTGTTCTCTGATCCATCACAGAAAAATTACCTCAATGCCGTTTGGGGAGGTTACGAATCATTATTGTTTGGTATTCATCGTTTGATTGTCGATATTGATTTTGACAAGGGTGTATTTTTTTGGATCGATCTCAAGGCCATCCTCAATGAATTGGCTTTGACTCATGACCAATTTGTCGATGCTATCCTTTTATGCGGTTATGAATTTTGTCCATTATTCCCTCATTTTATTAATAATAATTTTGGTCCTCAATTATTTAGAGGTATGTATACAAACAAATACAACAAACAAAGAAGAAGAAGAAGAAGAAGACAAGCTTGTACTAACTAATTTGGTTTATTAATTTTTTTAGTTGCATGTGATTTGGTAAGACAACATCAAACTGGTATTGCAGTGATTCAAGATCATTTCCATATGTATCCATTGGAAAAGTATATGGAACAATTTATGAAAACAAAATGTTTATTAAGAAATCATATGATTTACACTCCATCATGTCACTGTGAACCACTTTATAGAGATTTAGCCTATCAAGTGTATGTATAAATATAAATATAATATAAATTAAACATTTACTAATCATATCCTCTATATATATATATACTATTTTTAGTAAACCAACTGATTTAAATTCAATATTTGGACCAAAATTACCAAATGATTTATATTTCTATATTTCACAAGGTGCAGTTAGTCCACAGGTAGTAAATAATTTGATTAGTGGTATTTTGATTGAACCATTCCCAACGGTGGAATCTGAAGAGTTCCGTCGTATGCTAGAGTATCTCAAGGATGTGCGTGCAAAGACATTAGGGTTGCTCTCTGCATGCCTCGGCGATGACATTCACAACAAGGTTGTCAAAAATATTCGTTGGTACGAACCAAAGGATTTCGAAATCCCACATGCAACCATCCTCAACTCCACCCCATTTGGACGTGCCAACAACTCCAAGTCAATTGTCATTCCAAATGAAATTAAACAACAATTGCAACAACAAACAAAATCAAATCTTCCAATCACCTTTCAATTTGTTGCTGCTTGTTCTTCATCAAATCCATTAATCAATAATAATAATAATAATAGCAACAGTAACAATAATAATCAAGAACCTATTGTACCTGTATGTATCAATCAAAGCTTAAATTCAAAAAGTGTCCATTCATTCAATCATTCTAATTCTTTTTTTTTTTTTAATCTTTTTAGATTAAAGATTCACACGAAGCAAACTTTTATATTATGTATCAATCCCTTTCGATCATGGGGTACATTGGTAATGATGGAAAGCTAACAGCTTATGGACGTGTATTGGAACAATTAAAGAAATCAAAGTTCCAAGAAGAGATTATTTTAGCAATCGAATTAATGAGATCAAACTGTCTATCTACTGAAAAATTAACCTTTATTCCAAAACCTTCATTTGGTAAGTACATAGAGTTTATTTATTTATTAAATTTAACCAAAAATATTAATATTAATCTCATTCATCAATACAGAGGGACCATCATCAAATAATACGACTGCTTTATTATCAAGATTATTAAGTCTTTTACCATGCAAACTTGATGTATGTTTTGTTATGTTTATTATCAACAACCCACAATAACACATTTATTTACTTACTTTTTATTTCTCTTTTAGAATACTCCATGGTCAGGACCAATAGATCATGATTTGATGGCATTCCATGAAATTGCTCGTACACTTTACAAGACATTAAGAAACTTGATAGAGATTACAGCCACTTCACACTTTTTAACTCATAGAATTGTTTTTGAACCAAATGAATATTTCAACTTTTCGACCAAACTTCCATTCTTTTTGCAATCAAATGCCAGTATGGGCTTGATGGTCAAGGGTACCATGCTCGAAGGACTTGGTATTGAAGACATGAAGGATATCTTCCCCAATTGTATCGACATTGAACACGATCTTGAACGTGCCACCCAATTTTTGGAGGAAATCGTATCAGTCTTGCCAATCCTCGTCAAAGAAAATCTTATCGACAAGTCACTCCATGAAAGTTTCATCCAAGCTAATGAAGCATGGAAGAAATGTCGTCTAGATCAAATTGATAATTAAAAAGACAGAGAGAGAGACAATCAACCAATTACCAACTACCAACAAACAACAACAACACAACAACCATTACATTATATAATACTAAAACCAGAAAAATGAAAACAAAAAATACAATACAGAAAATCAGAAAATAATAACAAAAAATATACAATCCCAACCATAAACTATATATACAGGTGATTATTCTTGTATAGTTTAGTTTAGTACACTATAGCCCCAACACCCCCCTCAACAATCAATAATAATAATCTACAACCATTGACCGAAAATCTTGAAGATGTTGAACAACCGATCCCCCAATTACAGTATCAACAAACACAAAACTATGATCCATTTATTACAAATCGATTTGAAATAAATAAATCATAACCTTATAATAATATATAACTAGCATCTATTATATTTACATGTTGTTTGTTGGTAGTTGGTAATTAGTTGATTGAAAATTGGAGGGAAAAATTTAAAAAAACATTTTCCCTCGCATTATTCTGACAGCAACTGCTCAAATTTGCTAAAGTGCTTTTGTTTTATTCATTATTCTCGATATTTATATTAGTTTAGTATCTATATATAATCTATACATTATGGCAATTCTTAGTAATACGAGTGGTCTTTCATACGGATCACATACATTAGTACAAGTAGAATGTGATGTCAAGTTGTCTAAAGGGTGTAGCGATATTTATGAGATTGCTTACAAGGATACATTGTTGGGTGCAGCAAAGAATAATGGAAAGATTGTATGTCAAGATTGTGCTCACTCGTCCAATAGTGCTGGTACATCTAGTGACAAGCAGTATTTGGATGGTTTATTGTCAACCATTGATACTGAAGCAAAGGCATATCTCCTTGGTTGGATCGCTAACGATTTTACGGTAGTTGACAGTGTCAAAGGATTGATCACTATCAAGGGTGATGAATCCTCTATCAACAAGTTATTTGATATTGTCCGTGGTGCTGATCGTCAAGGAGTGTCAATGATCACAATCGAGTCAAGTGCAATGGTTGCAGATATATTGAAACATTTGCAAATTGAAAATGGTACTAGGGCTGATTCTAAACTTCCACAATTTGGATCATCGTCATCATCGTTGACATTGTCATTTGTCCGTGGATTCTTTGATGCTGCTGGAGACGCATCTATCAAGCGTGTCAAGGGAGTTGCTCCACGTGCTGTTGTCACATCGTCCTCACATTCGATGCTCAAGGCGATTGGTCAAGCTGTCGACGTACCATATGCACTTGGTGACGACGCCAACTCAATCGAGTGGAGTGGATTAAACGCACTTGACTTTTTGGCCAAACTCTATGACGGCAGCACATACTACAATTTGCGTAACTACAATACATACATGGATTTGTGTGTTTGGTGTCCAACCTCTGGAGGTGCACAGTCTGCTGGTCGTGACGACGACCCTACATTTGTAATCACTCGTACATCAAAGGACGCAGTCATCCCATCAAAGTCACGTGCTAGTGATAGTGGTTATGACCTCACCATCATCAAGACTGTCAAGGCGTTTGGTCCAGTTACCACATTGTACGACACTGGCATCAAGGTACGTCCACCCATTGGCTACTATATGGATGTAGTTCCACGTTCGTCACTTAGCAAGAGTGGATACATGTTGGCCAATAGTGTTGGTATCATTGATCGTGCATACACTGGTTCCATTATGATTGCTTTGGTCAAGGTCGACCCTGCTGCACCAGATATCCAACTCCCATTCTGTGGATTCCAAATGATCCCAAGACCAATCGTTCACTTCCAAGTCGTCGAAGTTACTGGTGACATGTTTGAAGATACCGGTCGTGGTGCTGGTGGTTTTGGTTCAACCGAAGAAAAGATCTTGAAAAAACAATGTCTTGAAAATAATAATAATACTGTTCCAGATCTTAAATCAACTACAACTAACAAATAATAATAACAAATAATAACAAATAATAATAATGAACAAGACAAAAATCATAATAATCATGATGTACAGCAGAAGATTTATAAATAAATAAATTAAGTTTTATTTAAACATTTAAATATATTATATATTATATATTACTTTTAAACTTGTAAAATATATACTTTTTGTTTGGAATAGTTTGATGATTGAGTACAATGAGATTGTTGTAATTGGCAGAGAGTATTATGTTACATTTAGAGAAATCTTTATATAGATGTAAAGTATGTAATGTATGATTACCCAATAATGAGGATGAGAACTGGAGCACTAATGGTTCTGGTGTTTGGTTAAAAGAGTTATCAAAAAGGTATAGGTTTTGAACTTTGGATTGGTTGGATTTCAATAGGTTTCCTAATTGGTGGAGATGTGAATTACCAAGTGTGTTTACAAATGCCAGATTGATAATAGTCTGATTTTGTTGAAGTGATTGAAAGAAATCATCTGATAGATAAGAGTACATTCGGTGTATGGTGATGGTTGTCAGATTGATGTTGGCATTGAGAGTGATGGGTATAGTGGCAAGATGTAGTGTTACATGGTGATCTCTTCGACAAGATTGTTTTCTATCAGATGGACCCTTTCGGTAAAGAATAAGTGATTGAAGTGTTTTAGAACATGTCGGTAAATTTAAAGAGGTGTTGTTTGTGAATTTTAAAAAAGGGGCTGCTACACATATACTCTTAAATGACGGACATGACAGTGCATTTTGGTAGATTTGTGGGTTTGATACTATGAGATTGGTACGTATCTTTTGAATGGACCCATTGGAGATACAAACTTGCAATAGTTCGTCGGCAGTATTGGCAATATCATATCGAACAATGACAGAGTAATTGACTATCGTATGGTTTGTCGAGACTAGTTTGATCACTTCGACAAGTGGATGAAATGGGTATGCAATATTGGAAATGTAGAGACTGACAGTCTTTAAAGTTGGTAAAGAATTGGCTACTTGAAAGAATACTTTGGGTGGTTTGTCCACATGTATTTTGGAAAGGTTGGGAAAACAATCACTATATATTGATTGGATAGCCCAGCAACGGTGTCCGTTATCTTTGCGAAAAGAGATGGATCGAATGGAGATAGATCTCTCTGAGAGTAGTGTATAAAAGTCTTGTGTGTATGGATAGATTGGTTCACAACCAGCAGGAACCGATAGATCCAAATGATTGATGCTCTTTATAAAATGTTGTTGACCTCTAAAAAATAAATTATAAAATTGGTAGATTTGGTCATCACATACTTTCACATTAACGTTTAGGTTCTCTCTTGATACTATAAAATACCATCTATGACAAACCAATGAAAGATTAATCAGTTGAATATAGGATCCTGATCCTTTCAAAACACAAAGATACCCAATGATCTTTTTAAATAGTATGGTTGGTAAAACTCCACTTATAGTAGCTTTACTCCATCGACGATCGATAATGTCATCTGTTAGAACAGTCGATCCTACCAAGTGTTGTGGTATCCATTCATCTGGCAGGGTACTCATTGTGTGAAATAGGTTGGTCTTGTTTGTTCCAATATCGACCTTGGTCACTTGTACATTGGTGAATCGTTTGATATGCAGATATGGTGCGCACGGAACACCGTGTTCATTATGTTCATTCGATTTGTGGTATATGAGTTGTGCCTCCTTGATGATCATCGCATCGGGGAATAATGTGGGTCTCTCCACAAAGACATCATAAAAGTAATGAGTGTCATATATCGTTGATCTATAAATAGATAGATAGAAAGAGAAAGAAAGGTTTCCAATCTATGATGATTAATTAACATGTTGTTGAATATTCCATAGAGATCTCTTTTAAAAAGTGAACGCACCTATGCAACCCATTACAAACTTGATATGTACTGAGTAGTATGACCTTTTTATCAAAGACATCTATAACACCAATATTATTATTGCTCCGATCAGTGTTATAATCAATGATACTATCTATATCTCTCATTGAGATAGATAATGTATTGAGGTATAATAATTACAATAATTAAATAATGCTTGGAAGCACACTTTTCAAAAAGAAAGTGGAATGATTGTTTAATGTTTTTTACAAACAACCTATAATAATATTAATAATAATGAATATCAACAACAACAATCTCTCTTTCTTTATTCTCGGCTAAGGATTAGAGATTATAAAGATGGATAGTTATGATGATGAAAAAGAACAAATCATCTTCAATAACATTAAAAAGAGATCATTGGATGACGACAATCGCAGTTGTATTATTTGCAATCATATGATCATTTCTCCAACAACAACAACACATAATAATAATAGTAATAGTATTAATAGTGAAAAGATAATAAGTGATCATTATAGACAATGTCTAAAAGCATTGAACAATGTAGTGAACCGAACATTTATCCAGAAAGAAAATGAGGAGGAGACTATAGTGGTAGAAAATAATCATTATTGTAAGTATATACATACATACATATGAGGATCATTGAAACGGTGAATATATTCTAATTATTATATTTTATTATTACATTTAGTTCAAAACAATATGATTAGAAACTCAATGGTAGAGATATTAAAGTTTCAAGATGATAATCGAAATGTTGTCAATTTAATGATGACTTGTAAAGATTCTATGAATGGAAGGATTATTTAATATTCCCAAGTACCTATGACATTTATGATTGAATGTTTCGAGACATCGGAGAGGATGAGACACTTGCCAAGACAATATTATAGATTGGTCGTCGACCAAGACAAAGATTGGGATCACTTGATCAAAAACAAGTATAACCTTATTGGTCCAACCTGCAAAGAGTTGGTAATCAATAGGGATATATGCGCTGACCAATGTCCAACTCTACCAAACCACTTTACACGTTTCATATTTGGAAATGAGTACAGTTTGAAGTTGGCCAAGGATTCTTTACCAGTCACTACCACACACTTACGAATTGGGTATTCATATGACCAACATCTCTATTTACCACCATATCTCGAAACTTTAATATTGGATGGTGAAGAAACCACTATTGTCAATAACGATGGTTGCAGTATTCTGCCACCAACACTTCAAACATTGTCAATATTAGACACCCATCTATTATTGGATCAGTTAACTCTACCAATTGGATTAAAGAGACTTTTCATTAGTACGGTGGGTGATCTCATCGAATTGATCGATGGATCATCCATCCCCAACACAGTGACTGATCTAGACTTGGGAGCATTCCTTGTTGGTGCCAATACCACCATTCCGTCGTCAGTCACCAAATTGACCATTAATTTCCACCCAATTAGCAAGAACCATCTCGCCATTCCATCGTCAGTTAAACACCTCAAAGTCACATTTAAAAATGTTAATCCTTTTGAACCAACTGTTTTGATGCCTGAACACTTTCCATCTCATTCATCCATCAAGCATCTTGAACTATGTAGTCGTTGCTCGATTGGACCAGGTTCTATTCCTCCATCGGTTCAACACCTCCAATTCAACGGTATCGACAATGCACCAACAAATATTCCAAATACTGTCAGAGAAATCACACTCAGTGGTGATATTTACCAATTCTTTAAATCAGAGATGTCAGACTCTGTCACACATTTCACAATTACCGGTGGTCTATTCATGCCACTGGTGTTTGCCATCCCGGATTCAACCACCCATCTTTTCCTTTCAATGGATCAATACCCAGATCTCACCCCCACCGACTTGCCATCATCGGTAACTCATCTCAAATTTGGTAAGATAAAATAGTTTCTCTAATTATTTCAATTCATTTTTAAAAATTAAATTTCATCAACAACTGTTAATGATTCTTTTTCTTTGACCAATAAATAATTTATATATTCTCTTACCAATTGTGAGATGTCATTATGTTTGAATAAAATCAATGTCAGATTGATATTTACACCATTTAAATTGACTTCATTTCCATCTTGATCTGTTAAATAAATGGTAAAACTTGTCTTTGAATTTGATACCAATTGTTTACTATATGATTCAACATCATAGTTTTGCCAATGTATATTTGAAAAATCTGCATTACTAGCTGCAGAATAAACCTCTTGTAATATATCATCATCCCCATCTATATAAATGTGAATGAATAAATAAAACATTATCAGATTGTAAGTTGATTACATTTGTTGATTCCAAAATATTATTATTAAATTTATTTGTTGAATCTTTATTAAAACCTAAATGACGAAATAATTGATTAGTAAAAGAAAAGATTGGTTGAATATCTCTTGTTGATGCACAAGTAAATATATAAACGATCATAGATGGAAGAGTCCCAGAGTACTATCCATTCGAGTAACCTAAATATATAGGAAGGTATCAATGTATGATATCCAACCTTATATCATTCTTAAATAAACAGAGTAGTTAGTACCAGGGGAACTAACTACCACAACACGACGTAGTCACCCCGTCACGTGTTGTCTATAAATATGAGACTAAACACTCATATTCGATAATCTACTTATTACATACGTATATTATCTCATATCTCTCCCTCATATTTACTCTGTCTTATTGTTGTCTTATCATCTTGATACACTCTATCTCTCTACCACTTACGCTATCTACATTTACCAGTATTTGGTTGTTGTGATGTTGGCCAACTGATTGCATATTTCACATTGTTTGGTGACAATGCATTCAATTGCTTTTCCAATGTGTCTTGTAATGATTGAGCATCTTCTATCAATTCAAAAGTATTTAATCCTCTTCCAACTGTATAAAATGATTTTGGTATTGTCGCTTGTAATAGTGCTGCTCTGTCAAATCTGTCTTGAGGATAATATATAATATTATAATTTAAATTTAGAATTAGTACCACTGATTCTATTGTGTGAATTTATATAGAATATCTTTTTATGTGTAATCAACATACTTTTATATATAATTAGTAAAACATTATTATAAAATTATTAAAATTTACTCTAATAAAAGTGATTTGCTGTAGCTGTTTTGTCTCTAAATAAAGTATTATAAAAGTAGTAAAAATAGTAATATAATAAATTACTCTATATATATAATAAAGAGAAATGGATCAAGATTTAAAAAAAGATAAAAGATCAATTACATCTGCTCTAAATCTAAAAAAAGCATGTGATGCTAGAAAAAATCAATTTATAATCTATGATAGTCTTCCGTTCTGATAGAAAAACTATTATTCTGATAATGATAAAAGAATAGTAATAGATAATAATAAAAAAGACTATATTCTTTTCTTTTATTAAAGAATCAGATATGATAAAGAATAAAATGATTATGAAGTTTTAAATATAATTATATTGTGTAATAATACAAGATGATGATTGGAGGCAAGAAGCAAAAACAGAGACCATTAAGATTAAAAAAAGATAAAAGAGGACGATACATACAACATGGAGTAGATAGAGTTTAAGAATGCACTCATTCCGCAGCAGGGAATCTGACGAATGACAATCATGTGCGAACAAGACGAATATGTTGGCTAAATAGAAGATAGATGTATAACTATCATTACTTACCTCTACTGCTGCTGTGTTGATGCGATAGCGATTGTTGTTGTTTAATTAAAAGTTGTTGAGCAGCCAGATAGAGCTTCTTTGCAGGTGCGACGACTATGCCACATTTACCAAAATCAGCCTCTGTAAACACTGCGATACTCTCTCCATCTACATCATTATCAAGAAGCATCTGGGCATATTCTTCTCTTACTTGAACTTCTTTTGTAGCCCATTCTTTTACTTGTTTTGCTGACCATCGTTTGAAATCGCTTTGTGATGCAATTTCTGCTATTGTCAAAGCATTATACATGTTATGATTAAAAGAGATGTCGTAAGATATTAGAAAACATGGGTTCTCCTTTTAATGTTGTTGTTGTTGTTGTTGTTGTTGTTGTTGTTGTTGTTGTTGTTGTTGTTGTTGGTATTGAAATTCTTGTTTGAAACCCACTACTAAAGTGACACCACATCCTTTTTTTTTTTTTTTTTTTTCTGATCTCTTTTGTGAACAAAAAAGATTAGTACTACTAAAGAGGGTAGTCTTCTATTATAGATATAGAGGTCCTATAGATTCAGCTCAACTTTGAACGATAACAGCAATTTATATTTAATATACCAACATTCTATGATGACAGTAACATTCAACCTATTACATACAACATAATCAATGTTTTGTCTATTGTAATCGCTAGAACCACTCTCACTAAAGCATTCTCGTTTATCATCCAATCCAGGTTATATTTCAACTTGGTATCATATGTCTATTCATACAACCAAATCCATTTTGTAAGAATTGGTAAACTGGTTACACTTTGTGTTGATTCACCTCCAACCTTGACAATGCAAACTACAGCTTCAGAAGTATACACTGATATTATTATTCCTGAAAGATTTAGACCTCCCAATATTCAAATAGTTACAGTATCTACATACCAAAAACAATCTCCAACTTTATTTATCCACCCATGTAGAATCTGTTGTTTATTGGATGGACAATTGATAATCCAAAATAGTGATGGAAGTGGAATACCTTGTGATTCCAACCAATCTTTCCATCGATCCATTTTCTATGAGCTATGTTCTTTACTAATATTTTCTATCCAAATTTTAAAGTTAAAATTATGAATTTATAATCCAAAATCTAAAATCAATCCAATATTTTTTTATTTTTCTAAAATAATTTTAACTTTTTTAACCTTTATCATTTCTATCCAAAATATTAAAAGTTAATAATTAATTCTAAAAAATAATAAAATACAATAAAAATAAATATTTCTAAAAATAAATTAACTATTTTAACTTATTTAATATATAATGAGCCCTGAAAGGGCGAATGCTTGTAAACTTTTTTGGGAGCGCCAGCGATCCAACGCCCAACCCACACACCTAGACGGTATTAAGGTTGTCACTCCTCTAGTAGTAGCGATAACTCCTCCAGTAGTGAACAACATAGTGGATCACCTTCCTCCAATAACCACAACAACCAAGTCCTTTCTTTAACAACAATCTTTTTCATTAGTTTATTTTCCTTTTCTATGTGATCATCATTTTTAATCTAATTAAAATAATAAATAAATTTTCAATTATTAATTATATTATATAATATCTAGAGCCCTCGTCTCTCAATTGATTTGACCATAACCAGATCTAGGTCCTCTACGACGAAGATAGATGAAAACGCCAATGACAATGACTAGAGTGATGACCGAGACGATGATGAGGCCAATGGCCCATGCGGCAAGGGCACGGGAGGGCTCGCGACCAGGTGCACCAGGTCGACGTGTATAGACAATGTAAAGTGAGGTTGAATTGTCGCTGTGATGTTGCAATCTAAACTCTGAGTAAAACAGGTCGATATAGGGACCACCACTATTGGAAGAGACAGAGTCATTCAACCAAAAGACGCGGTTGGCTGTTGTTTGGATGAGAAGTTTGGTAAAGTTGGATGACGACGGGATAGAGTCCATCAAAGAGACACTGATGGCTCCACCTTTGATATCGACATTACCGTCAACCATCATGATTGGTTGTAGAGACGTATCTGAAATGTTAAAGTAGAGAGTGGTGCCGAAATCAGTGATATCATAGTTTTCAAGACCCATGATAAAGTTACCAGAGATGTTTAGGTGAGCTGATGGTTTGATGTACGTTTGTCCAGTGACCAAGACAAAGTCACCGCGGATGACCGTGTCTGCTTGGATTGATGTGTTTGATCCGCTGTCCACCTCGAGTCGACCTGTCAACACGGCATTATCAGAGTTGAAAGTAATGGTTGATGTATTGAGCATTGATATCTTGCATATGAGCTGTGACGATTCTCCAGTCACAGTAATACTACCAAAATGCACCTGTAAATTGGGTGTAGTAATAGAAGCATTGTTGATGTTGATGGCTGTGTCTCTACCTGAAAACATAATGGCTGGCGAGTAGACGCGAGAGAGTGGTGAAAGGTTGAGTATAGAGTCGGTCGCGTATTGTGTGTTGGAGATAATCGACCCCGATGCAATGCTGAGATAGTCGTCGACTGTAAAGACGACGGGCAGAGTGGTTGCCGTGAGGTTGAGGACTGTGCTTTGGAGTGTGCCTGTGCGGTTGATGTGGTTTTCAAAGAACCCCTGTATGACAACACTGCTGCGTCGCTGGTACGTGTCTTGTGAGAGATATCCAATCGACGTGTTCATCAGTGTGATGGTGGTGGTCAGTAGACGAGGTGTGCTGACTTGGACATGGTTGATTGTCACCCCAATCGTATTAAACACAATGCTCGACACGTTGACCAGGTGGATTGTCGAGTCGGTGTCAATGCCCGTCGCACCCTGTATCTCAAATCGAGCAACTCCATCAAGTATGAGCTCGGAACCGTGGTGTTGGTCGAGCTGGTAGAATGTCGGCGTGACATGCGGGTTGTTGCCAAACTGGGTGACGAGCAGTGTTGCGTTCTCGCCGATCGTCAAGTTGTACTGACAGTCGCTTCCAAACGAGTAGGTGGCGTTGGATCCGTCCAGGACGCGCAGATTGTTGATCGTGTTGTTGGCGAGCACGAGGTGCGCATTGTCAGCCAAGGCAATCGAGCCGTAATAGACAATCGACCCGTGCTCAGAGTATACACCACCTCCCATCACATACCACGTTGTGCCAATAGTAATACCATAACTACCGCCATATACCTTGCCACGGATGACGGCATCGTCCAAAGTCGTCAACACGCTCGAATTGTCCAATGTCACCGTCGCACCCACTTCAATGGTCATTGCAGCACCCACCTGCAGTGTCGTCGCATTACACACTGTTATCTGTGCCGTATCGTTTACTTGTAACCTTCCAACATTCAGATCACGTGTAACGTTTACCATCGATTCACCAATCACCTCCAAATCAAAGATTGGTTGGTCAGCATCCAACGACACTGTCATTTGCATGTCACTCCCATTACACACCAACTTGATAATAGAGCATGTGGTGTTCCACAGTACATATGATGTTGTCGATGTGGTACTACGAGCCAGTGGCCAATACAACGACGGAGCAGATGTCTCCTCTGGTACATCGGTTCCATTTGAAATGATATAAACAACTGCAGTCTGTGTGGTCGATGAGCAATTGGGTGACTGTCCACCAGTCCAATGATCAGTATCTCCAACCAAGTTGCACGGATGTGATTGTGTGCATCGACTAGGATCTACATTATAATAAAGGATTGTTTTATCATCTCCGCTACTATTATTACTATTACTATTACTAGTACTTTCACTATTATTATTATAATTATCTTTTGTTGTTGTTGCTACAACAACATCAATCCTCGAAGATATCAGTTGCAACCAACAAACAAATAAAATAAAACAAAAAACCAATCTTGTTCTTTTTGATGAAAAGCTGGACATCTTGTCTGAATCGATTTTGATTTATTTAAAAAATAACAAACAAACAAACAAATACTACTATCTATATCTATATCTATGTATGTATGTGTATGTGTATAATAAAATTATTAAAAATAATCATGATGAACTCCTTCAAAGAGTGGTGGTGGTGGGGTGGTACCATGAAAATAATAATAAATTTAAAATACCTTCCAGTATCCAATACTTTTTTATTATTATTATAGTAATAATTTTTATTTTCACATCTTTCTTCCAACAAGTGAATGATCAATAGAGATCCATTGTTTTTATTTATATTATTATTTTTTGAACCCAACTAGTAAAGTATAATACAATACAAATAACTGTTATACATAATCAAAAAATAGATAAATATATTTTTTTTATGAATACTATTTCTTTTTATTATTATTATTAAATTTAGAAATTGAAATAAATAGATCCTATGGTAAAAATTGGTGGAATTATAATAAAAGGGAAGAGAATTCATTCATGATCTGTTCCTCCTCCTTTGCCACTCTGCTGAATTACTGCTCGATACAGGTAAAGATCGTGCAAAGAAACTCATTGTCGAGGTCTCTCCCATCCCAATATAATGGAATACATTATATGATCTAAATCATTTCAACGTACGTGTTATGTGTTGTTGTTGTTGTTGTTGTTGTTGTTGTTGTTGTGGCCAGATCAATGATAGATGAGTCCTTATGGATCGATAGATTAATAAATTAATATACTATAAAATAATAATATTAAAACTAAGGTTGATGGAGTTCGTTTGCAGAGTTGGTTAAAGTCAACTCGGCTTCCTTTTGTACTTGTTTTAAAAAACCCATCGCCAACACCCCCATCCGCTCCACCTAACCCGCTTCGATTTCTTTTTTTTTTGGAAGCCGAAAAAAACAAAATCCCTCAACCCTGAACACCCACCCGACAACAGCAGCTGATAAACAAAAAACAAAAGAAATCGGTGTGGTGCGATATTCTGTGCTGCTTGTTCTTCTGAGAGTGGGTTATTATTATTATTGCTAATTAGATATACACACAAAAAACATTCATATATAACTAGCTATCTAACTATATATATAATTACTTATTATAATAATTTCAAGCTAGATTCTTTTTTTTTGTCACTCTTTTATATTTATTTGTAACACTACCCAACTAACCAACCAACCAACCAACCTTTACGACAACTACTACTTCCTTGTTTTATTTATTTATTCATTTTCTTCACCAACTAGTACTAAAAACAAAAAAGGTAAGAAGAAAACAACCATCTACCCATCCATCCATTACATACAATTTCATTATCAAAGAGAAGAAGAAAAGAGAGAGGGAAGAGATAATTCTTTCTTTGTGAATGAAGACAGAGATAGGATAGAGACATGGTAGCGATCGAGGAGGGGGATTGTTATCTTCTCCTCTCTCACTCTCTTTCCTAAAGGTGCGAGCGAGCCAACCTCGTCAAAGCCCTTCACTGTCCAACCCACAGTCACGATCAAAGATCGAGGTTGAGGGGATCACAGAGATATTTGATTTGCTAATTGCGCAAAATTTTAATGGTTTTAAAAAAAAAACGTTCGATCTCCTTCATTGCCCTAGCAAAGACGACAACGTCTCTTCCCTCCCATCAATCCCTCTTTGACCATTTATTTGACCTTGCTCTCTCATTTCTCTCTCTTCATCCTCCCCTCTCTTCACTCAACTGCATCCATTGGTTTAAATTCTCTTTATTCTAATCAATTTTTTATTTATTTATTTTATATTGTATATTATATATATATCTAGATAGATAGATATACATAGATTTTATAGTAGATATATATATACTCTTTTTAAATCAACATTATTATTTTTTATTCATGGACGTCTTAGCTGAAAATGTCAAGAAAGTTGTAGATGGCATACAAGTAGATTCAGTACTCAATAGTGTCATCGAATTGGATCCAGCCATACAATCATGGTCTGAAGAAGTACTGAATACACTATCACATTTCATTGGATTGATATTATGTATACCCGCCGTCTTTTTCCTCATTACTGTTGCTAGAATGAGAGGAACTCGTTGGCACGTTATATCTTGTTCAATCTATGGTTTATCATTGGTATGCACAATATAACAACATCAACAACTATATCTTCTTACTAACTATATACTATACTTTCAGATGACAATGTATTTCTGTTCCTCTTTATATCACTCTGTTGGAGTATTCATCAATCTCGAAGCATATAGAGATATTTTCAAAAATTTAGATCATTGTGCCATCTACATGTTGATTGCAGGAACCTATACTCCCTTGACTCTAATCAATTTAATTCATAATCATATTAAACCAATTCATAATTATACTAATCAACAACAAACAAATAATAATCAGCAACAACACAATATTAAAGATAATAATAATAATACAACTACACCACAACCAAATCACAGTAAAATAATTAAACTTGGATGGATATTATTTGGAATTGTATGGGTTATGTGTGCTATTGGAGTACTTAGTAAGATGATTCTTGGTACAGATTCAATTCCAGATGTATTCTCTAATGGATTCTATTTGGCTATGGGATGGGTTTCACTACTCGGTCTTCGTGATATGATCCGTGTCCTTCCAAGAACCGGTCTCAAGTTGTTGGTGGCTGGTGGTTTGGCCTACACTAGTGGTGTCATGTTCCTCGTTTGGGAGACTGCCCCCTTTAACCATGCCGTCTGGCATTTGTTTGTCGGTGCTGGTTCCATCCTCCACTATTTCTGTATCCTCGAATGTATCATCCCATCTAGAAAGGATGGACCATCATCAGTCATCATCGATAATTTGGAATGGGCCGAAAAACAACTCCAACTTGCCTTTTTCGGTAGTGGAAAGAGACGTATCTTTATCATCAACTATATGAATTATCTCTATAGATATTTAATTGGATGGGCTTTTAAATCTGCTCATATTCAATAAGAGAAAACTCAAACAACTCAATCAAACAAAACAACCAAGTCGACTTTAAAAGGGCTTTATACACCATAAGCCCAAATATTTTCACAACGAAGAAATAATAGAGATTTAAAAACCTTTTTTTTTAATATGATATAATAACAAATAACAAATGCTAATAATAATAACAAACAAATAACAAACAAATAACAAATACCATTTTTAAAATAATAATAATAATAATAACCTCTATAGCCCAATAATAATAATAATAATAATAATACAACTCAAACCCAAACAACCAAACAACCTTTTTTTCTTTATAAATAATAATATTATATTATATCAATTCTACATCATCATCTCATCCTCTTCAAGCAGCCATTTGGCCAATCCTTACCCAACTAACCAACATAATAACAATATAACAATAACAACAATAATCAAATGACAGCCAAATAAATAACGATCGAATACGATGTGATTACCTTTTTTTTTATTATTTATTAATTCAAACCAATTTTGATCTATATCTAACCAGCTCCTTGATATTGATATTATCTTTCGTCTTTAAATATAATTTTAAACAATTTCGTCAAAAAAAAAAGACGAAAACCGATTCATTTCAGGTACATTTCTCGAGTAGTGCTATTATCTATCTATCTTTTTTTTGAAGGTACAGAGAGGAGAGAGAGATGGGTAAACCAGAGGTTAAACTATTTAAACCTACAGAAAAGAGTAAACATAGAATAGAGTTGGAACAACAACTCGTTGTACCTATTACACTACAACAACAGTATCTATCGGAATTGGACAAGATTGAAAAGGAGTGTTCTGCATTTCTACAATCATCATCAACTACACCAACACCAACCAAAGGAAAACAAGATACCAACAACAACGCAATCAATCTATTGTTTAATCAATTTATCAAATCTTCTTCGGCATACGATCAAGTCATATACATCAAAAGGATAGAATCGAGTATCAACGCATTAAACGAATCAACACGCTCATCTATCAAACCATTACTTTCACTAGTTCGTCGTGCTTCCATTCAATGTCTATTCGCATTAGAATGTCGAAACATACAAATTCAATCATGTCTTGTACAAATCATCAATCATACATCAAAAGACATTGACACTGACCAAGATCAAGATTGTATCAGTCATTTGACAAACTTCCTTCCATCACATGAATCAATACACCAACTATTAAATATTAAATTAACAACAACCACTAATAATAATAATAATAATAATAATAATAATACAGAGATTAATACAAAGATTCAAGAGCTAATACCAATGCATTATGTACATTCGATTACACAATTGACAGAGTTGGTGTGTGCACAATCAACTTTGTTTGATGGACCTCTGTTTGAAGATGTTTTGGCAATGATGGCATTACTGATGCACGTTCATTTGGATTCGATGGAGTTGTGTGGGTCGATCTATCTCAACGAGGTGTTTTCAGATTGCGACTTTACCCTTCGTACTCTTATCCCTATATTCAGTAAATTCCAAGATTCAATTGCTAAATTGGTGCAAGTCAAGCATGCATCAGTCGCATTGCTACTAGCATCATTTGACCGTCTTTTGACTAGTTCACAATACCCCAAACATCTCATCACCAACTCAACCTACATTTTCACAGAGTTGTTATCACTCGACATTGATAGTCAAAGTGTCTTGTATCATTTCATCCCATTCACATCGACAACAACAACAACCACCTCCATGCCAACACTCTACATGGATACAATCTACGCAAAGTATCCAGCTATTTCACAAATTAAAGGTGATAATGTATCATCATCGTATGCAAATCACTTTAAATCAGTTTATCCAATTGTCAATCAAATGGCAATCTTTAGAGGACTGGTTTTATCAAGATCGATCGATTTATTGTTGGCTCGTATTAGTACAGATGAAGAACCTACTGGAACCACCTACTTTTTGGATGTTATTTACAAAGGTCTATGTGACGGTTGTCACAATGTAGTCGATGCATTTGGTCGTGTTGCATGTCTCGAGTATCTCCAACTTTGGTATCAAGTTTTAATGCGTCTCATCGGCGAGAATCAAGGTCAAATTGAAAAGGTACTCTTTATGGATTACCAACAATTCTACACCAAGTACTTTCCAAAGACTTTGGATATTATATTTTGTAATTGGGAGACTACTGGTCATTCATCCATCCCAACTCACATTAATGAAATATTCAAATCTTTGTTAAAATTAAATAGTGATTGTAGTAGTCAGCCTACAACCACTGGTGGTGGAAAGGATGAATTCATCTCATCTATTACTTGTCGTCTCATCGATGAAGATTGGAGTTTAAAGGGTAAATACCTATTCCTTCGTTTAGTTCTAGAACATGAATCAGCTACCAATATCCTATCCTATCGTGGTAATTTTATTGATCAACTTTTTATTTCAATGGTGTAAGTATTGAATGTAAAGTAAAGAGAGGAAAGTAAAGTAAAGTAAAGAAGAAGAGATTAATTAATTAATTAATTTTGATTCTATTCCTTTTTTGTAGTGACCAAACCATTGCACATTCAATTAAATCATTTATGGAATTATTATTGGATAAATTAAAAAAGGAAACATTTGAAAGATTAATGTTGCAAGGCGGCAATGACAGTAAGGAACAAGCAGAGATCAAAGCAGTTAAATTATGTGAACAATATTGGTTACCACCTTTATTAAAAGTTTTATTGGATGAAACCTATACACCAGCAGCATTACTAAAAGTAATTAATTATGGACTGCCAAGTTTATTAAAGGTATTCCCACAATCCCTAAACTCAATCCTCGACCAATTAAACAATGGGTCCATAAATAATAATGCATCGGTCACTTCAACACTTCGTGTCTCTTTGTCTGTCCTCAGTACCAGTAGATTATTATCAATTGGTAATTCAACAACCATTTTAAATAATAATTATGATTTGGTTAAAAAATCTTTATCAAATGAAGATGAATATTTAAGGTAATTAGAAAGTAAAAGAGAGAGACAGAGACAAAAAGACATACTTATTTATTTTTTATTTCTTTAATTTTAGAATGCTGGGATTAGAATTAATTTGTTTATCACCAAAAATGACAGAATGTCCAACTAAAGTTGAAATTGATTTGTTTAAACAATTCTTGACTATTAATCTTAAATCATCTTCACCATACATTCGTAGTCGTACCAATGGCATTTTGGAAAAGTTTTGGATTAGAATTAGAGATAGTTATGCAAAGATTTATAGAGAAATGGAGAAGAAGAAAGCATATGATTCTAAACATCCAACAACCAACAATCAAGATACATCTTCTACATCTACACAAGAAGATCAACAATATTTAACTATTCCAGAGTTTATTCAATTTATTAGTTGGTGTGGTAGTCGATTGGTTCTTTCAATTTATCCAGGTGCACCATACCCAAGAAAGATGTTACCATTGGACACTCTCTATTCGTTCCTTGGTATTTGGGGTATTAGCAGTGAATCAAAGCCAGCTACTATTCCACTTTTACAACATGTACAACGCGAGTCTACACTGTTTTCAGCTGACAATTGTCGTGTTGTCATTCACAATCTTTGGGATCAATACGATCGTTGTAGAGAATCAAGTGCCAATATTCTCAAACAGTTCCCATCACCGTTACCAGGACTAGAGACAGAGGAAAAGATCAAGCCATTGGTTCATTGGGCCATCCGTCTTGCTTGCAGTCCCAAGGCAAGAGAGTGTGACAGTGGTGCGCACTTTCTCAAGATATTTGTCCAAAAATACGTTATCCCTCAATCGATTGCTCCCGTCTTTAACGGCTCGTCCACCACTGCCAGTGATTTGGTTACATTCAAGAAATGTTCGTCGCCAGAGGATGCTGTGCTCGTGACAGTCTCGCAGATTGTTCGTGTACTCAGATCGCAGGTGATGATTGCCACCAACAACCTTTTGGATTCCGCTCGGTTTGCTCCTATGCATGGTCTCATCCTCACGCTCAGATACATGATCTTGCAGGTCGATATGGCAGCTGCATGCAAAAAGGACAAGGATATTGCAGGTCGTTGGAAGCAGATGGTTGCTGATCTCATCGGTCTCATGTTTAGTGTATCAAAGGTAGTACTCAGAGTCGTTGCTGATATTGCTCCAGAAGGATACACCCCCAAGCAAGAAGAGGGTGCTGCTGTCAACAACAACAACAACAATGACAATAGTTTACCAAAGTCATTGCCAAGTGGAGTATTATACGATGACGATGAGAGATTGGCATCGAGTTTTGCTACACTCTCTGCACAAACCTCAATCGAGGATATTTTGGAACAAATTGGAAATACTGCTGGTGCAGCTGGCGGCGGTGAAAATGAAGATGATGACAATGAAGAGGTTGATGAGAAACCACAAGAACAAAAGACATCTGCAGCTGTAGACATACTCAAGGGATCAACTGGCCAGATCATAACCGTTTGTGCTTGGTTGAGTATGAAGGAACTTAGTTTATTACTTGGTGCTATCTTGGATGGTGTTTCATTCCCAGCCAAGACAGCTGCTGAAGATAGTAACAACAGCAGCTCAAACAATATCGAGTTAATTTCAGTTCAACAAATCAAGGATATTGGTAGTGCATTCCTACACATTCTACTCAATACTCGTCACAAAGGTGCTATTGAAAAGGCATATTTGGGCTTTGAAATTTTGTGTTCGAGATTGATGGGAACTACTCATCCAGAGCTCTACACACTCCCTTCGTCTTGGATTGACCAGTTGTTTAGACGTGTGCGTGAACAGTCACTCAACATTACACGTCGGTCGGCCGGTCTGCCATACACATTCACTGGTTTGTTGGCCGGTGAGTCACACCACCAAAAGAGAATGATCGGACCACTTCTCAACCAAGTATTGCAGTCTCTGTTGAAACTTGCCAACGGCGAGGAGGGAACCGTGCCATCACCACAAGACGACGGATCGATTGCGCCAGAGCAATGGGCCGAGCGTAACATCTATCTACCACAAGTACACTCTATCAACATTCTACGAAGCATTTTCCGTAACAGTTCCATTACAAACGAGGTAGACAGCTACTTTGCACAGACTTTGATTACCATCATCAAGGCATATTCTTCAAAATCTTGGTCGGTAAGAAACGCTGCCACCATGGCATTCAGCACAATGGTTGATAAATTGGTAGGCGTGAAGCGTGTTAGAGAGGAGAGCTCCGTACTCAACACTACCACCTTTCACTACTTTTTCAGTCATCTTCCATCGGTCCATCCCTTCCTCTTGGGTCATTTCAAGCGGTCGCTCGAGTCGATGGACGGGTCTGCAGAAGGTCGTGTCCTCCAATCGTCCATTTACGCCATCCTCGTTTTATTCTCGCGTCTCCAACCGTCGACCATGACTATTCCAACCGACTCTCTTTCACCTGCTCCCTTTGTCCCCTACATCTCCAAGTGTTGCACATTCTCTAATTTTATGGTACGTCAAATTGCCGCCCGTGCACTTGTCCCATTCATTCCAACGCCCCAGGTCATCTCCTTTGTCCAAGACATTGTCGACAAGCTCAACACCCAAGCCAAGTCACAGGAAGAAAAGAAAGACTACAACCAAATGCACGGTATTCTCTTGCAAATGTACCATCTCGTCAAAGACCATCTTCCAAACTTTGCTGCAACCACTGACCGTGTTGCTTTTGCCAAACAAGCCTTACAGATTGTAAAGTCACTCGATTGGATCTTGGAGGCCCGTATCGCACCCCTTGCATACTTGATCTACCAAACTATCCTCGAAATCTACAAGTGTTTTGCAAAGTCTGACGACGGATCACAATCATGTGAAAAGGAATATTTTGAAAAGATTGTTAAATTGGCATGTCAAGTCATTGAAAGAGATAATGGAAATGATCCAAGCACCTTTGTAGAACCACCACTCTACAGTGCATACATTCAATCTATTGGTGACATTATTTTATTTAATATCACTCAATCGATTCAACACCAACACAAAGAATCATCTGATTTGATTCTATCATTGTTGAAGCATCGTCAGTATGATCTTAGATTAAACACCACTCGTTATCTCATGGATCATTACAAAGAGGTGTTGCCAAAGATTGATTGTTTGGCATTGCAATCGGTTATTTTGTCAATGGTTAGAAACGAGCCAAATCTACCATGTCGTAAACAAGCCATGAGATTGCTTCCACTTATCAATCTCCCCATTCCAAACAGTACCGAATTGACAGACTTTATCATCCAAAATGTATTTGGTCACTGCGGTATCAAAAAGGACTCGATCGTCTTATTTGGACATTACTTTAAACAATTGTTTGTCGGTACCAACGCACCTTCCGACAGCCCCTACTACAACACTTGGACCAAGATTATGCAAACCTTTACACAATCGGATCAACCTTTTGAATTGCGTTTAGCAGTCTCCAAGGCATTAGAGTCGATTTCATCGTCCAATATCTATCTCGAAAAGAATAATGACCGATTGGATACTGTCATTGTTGAAATGTGGTTGACTATGGCCAAGTTATTAGAAGATGATGATGAAACGATCAGAGTCATGACCGCTGTCAATGCATCTGTCCTATTGCACAACCTTGAGCAATCGACCATGACCTCTACCTCCAAGACCTCTATCATTTACGACTCACCCAAATCAATGGAACTTGTCTATGAACACTTGTCTGCCAAATACGCCGGCAATCTCTACCTTTTGTCAAGACTGTTTGAAATCCTTGGTATCACCAAGACACACACCCAAAAAGACAAGGAATCAGAGATATTTAACCAGGAATTCAAGAGTGAAAGAGTATTGTTTGACAAGGAAGAAGAAAATTACTATGAAGAAAAGGTATTAAATTACCAACTTGCATCATACCATCTAGCCAAGATTTTGGGTAACTACGGCGAGACAGACACCAACCAATTGTTGACCATTCAATTTGAAAAATCAATCAAATATGCTGAATGGATCAAACGAGCATTTGACAATAACAAACAATCAGTTTGGAACATGTGGCTTCTTTACAACCAAGACATCTTCCTTCCACTTTACAAATCTCTTTTGGCCATACTCGCACTATCACACAAACAACCATTGGCATCGACCACCCAAGAATTACTAAACAACACAATCACTACAATCAAAAAGAATTTAGAATCGGTTAATATTCATCCAATCATTAATCAATCCATTCAAAAGATTACCAATTTAGGAAAAGAATCAATCAATGTTGATACTTTCTTTTTAACTTCAATCTAGAAAAATAAATCAAAGATGTATTGAATTTATTAAATCTATTAATTCCTTTGACATTGATTTAATTATATCATTGTTGTTATTTGACATTGATTTAAATAAACCTTCAATAAGAATAGATTTATAAACCGGTATTCTAATCCAACAAATTGAAATAATTGTTTTTAAACATTCCAATGTTCCTATTTTTAAATTAATATTCTCCTTTTCCTCTTGTTCAGATGTGATTCCATTTGAACCATTAGATACAATCAAATGTATTAAAATTGGTAAAATATTCTAAATAAATAAATAATAATAATTTTAGTAACCAATTTAAATTGTGTACAAATTAATACTTTATATAGAATTTACCTTTAAAAACATTGTTAAATAAATTGATAATGCTTGGAATAATTGAACAGAGTATCGTAGTGTAATGGTCTTTTTAAATGTACTTGATTTTTCTGAAGATAAAATCTTTTGAATTAATTGGATCATATCTTGATGTCTTGAAAATGGTGTAACCAAAGTAGTAGTAGTAGGTTTAGATCGTTGTTGTTGTTGTTGAACTGATAATTGAGATTGATCCATAAATAATGGATGAGTGATTTCATTTGTATTTAAATGATAAATTGAAAATAGTAATTTAAATAATAGATCAAATGTTAATCCAATACTTGATCTAATAAATTCATCATCTGTATTTTGATCATCAATATCAAATAATTCAATTGATGAATTTAGTGCCTAAAAAAAAAATAAGGTAGGTATTAATTATCATCTTTAAATAATAATATTATTATTAGATAACCATACATTATAAATATCATCATTAATGATTGATCTATAAATAGTTGGGGATGATATTGATAATAAATAATTTAATATTTGAATTCCAATTATTTTAATCATTGAGTGAGTGTTTTGAATCATATTGGCAAGTGCACTTTGAACCAATAATTTAAATTCGTATGTTATAATATCTACAAGTTCATTTTCCTAAATAAATAATTAAATAATAAATATTAATATCATAAATACTAAATCATATCTTTTATATATCTATTTTTACCTTTAATAAAATGATAAATGATTTAAAGGCATGGATTGTGATTAAACGTTTTTGCCAAGTTTTATCATCTCTATTTGCAATTGGTAAAAAGGTTGTATAAATCGATTGCTTTCTTTGGATACAAATATCTTTAAAAGAGGTACATTTCTGGTATGAAATCAATTTGGTTAGAATCGAGTCAACCAATTTCGATATACTATCATTTGTCCAATAACTATTCTTTTCATTGTCATCACCATTATAATGATATTCTAATACCATCATTAACATTTGATCAACTATATTTGATTTTAAATAAAACTATTCAATCAATGAATATTAATATATGAATAATTGCAAATGATTTGTATGATTGTTCGATGGCATACATTTTGATTGGTTGGAATCTTTGATGAAAATAAATGATCCAACAATATTAAAAGTATCTCTGTTCTTGATCGGTGTTGTTTTGATTGATCCAATAATCCATTGTATTCCTTGATATTAAATATTCCTAAAAAGAAGACTGGTCAATCAATGATCATTCATTCCTTTTCTTTCTAAAACATACTTTGTTCTTCATCTATAAAGTTGATTTCCTCTGGTACTTTAATCGATGATACGAGTGAATCTATCGTATCGTTATATAATCTTTGTAGATTGTTTAAACTTTCTTCTTTTTCTTTGTCTTGTTGTTGATTTGTACCCAATTCATATTCTAATTGTTGATTTACACCTTTGAATAATACACCATATAATCTTAATACAGTATCACGTGTTGCCTTTAAATCTCTACCATTGAATGATGATAGTATCTCTAATGGTCTCTTTCTTGCCAATGATATGAAATATTCGTCTTGCTCTTGATATTTTAAGTAAAGGTATAATAACTGTCCATCTATAATTGATTGAAATGTATTACTATTACTATTACTACCATTGCCATTGCATTGATCAATCAACTCTTCAAGTGAACTTTTCTCTTGTTCATTCATCCTCTTTTTGATTAATCAATTTCAAAGCTGTTGAAGTGATGAATGAATGCATCAGTATTTGAAATAGAGTGTATGTTTTCCTTAAAAATCTAATTTATAATTGTTTTTAATATTTATTTATTTTCTTTTATTGGGTGAATGGTGTAGTACTTGTATTGTATTGTATTGATTCTTATTATTTATTATTTACTATTTAAATTAACATTGCTTGTGGATTTGAAACGTAGGAACGGAACTTTTCCAAAAACTTGGCAGCAATTTCATCATCAAAGACACGGTTATCACCAGAGAGAGTGACATCGATTACGTTTGCTACTTGGGGTACATCTACAACTCCCGATGGGACAGATGGGTGTGCATAATTGTCAATGTCGTGAATGATCGAGCTAGTCTTTACAATCTTGCGACCAGCTCCCACCGCCAAAATACCGGCTTGTGGATGATTGATGATGGCATTAAAGTGAGTGATACCAAACATACCGAGGTTGGATACACTAAACGTACCACCTTGGAACTCTTCTGGCTTTAATTTTCCAATTCTAGCACGACCTGCCAAATCCTTTAATTCAATGGCCACTTGTCCAAGTGATTTACTGTCAGTCTTTGTGACGATTGGTGTGATGAGACCACGATCGGTGGCAACGGCAACAGACACATCGACTGTACCATTTCTAACTGCCTCCTTTTTATTTTCATCCCATCTTGCATTTGCCTCTGGTACATCACGTAATGCCAATGCACATGCCTTTATAATGAAATCATTTACTGATAATTTAGTTGATTGCATATCTAAGGATGAACAAATACAAATGTAAGTATAAAGTATAGTATCTTTTGCTTAGTTATTCATATGATGATTTGAAACATACTATTCAACTTTGTTCTCAACTCTAATAATTGATCGATTTCGCATTGTACAGTCATATAGAGATGTGGAACTTCTTGTTTGGATTTAGTTAGTTTGGTTGCAATCACTCTTCTGATATTATTATGTGGGATATCTTCAAATGATGGTGGTTTAACTACTGTAGTATTAGTTGTTGTAGTAGTTGATATAGTTGTAGTTGTTGGTTTAGTTTGTGTTGATGATGAAGTAGTAGTACTGATGATACTCTTCAAATCGACAGGTTTAATATTCTTTGATGTAACATGGTTGAGGACATCACCTTTAACAACACGACCTTGTGGTCCTGTAGCTTTAACATCATTGTAACCAATACCATACTCTTTCAACAATCTTCTGACTGATGGGAACATATCACCTCCATGATGTCCTCCACTGCTACTGCTACTACTGCTATACAATCTACGAGTGTTTGTTGATGCGTTCAACAATAATGACTTTCTACAACAAGCCAACATCTCTCTCTCTATTTCTCTCTACTAAACAACAATGCACTAAACTAAGCTCTAAAACACAATCCCTCTAGTTCATGAACTTGGGAACCTGCTCACTTCAAATTTTTAAAAAACACCTCATTCATTCACTCAGTACTCACATCCTCGTGTATTGATACAACAAGATATTAAGTAATATAATATATATATAACTATGTTAAATATCCAATTGTCTTGTTGTGACAATGACCCCAAATACATTTTATGATTATTATGAGTTAACATCAATATTAATGCTCTTACACATACATACAATCGTACGTACGTACATATCCAACAATCGATATCAAGAGAGACAAACTGATCAGAACAGGACCCAGATCAAACAGATAGATTTTGAATTATTGTGTTTTTTTTTTTAATATATGTCTGTTTGACCAGAACTCAAGTTCTGTTCGGTTTGTCTTTACATATGTTTGTAATAGGCTTTGTTTTTCCAAAGTCAGCATAAACCAAAAAAAATCTATTTTTTTCAAATTATTTTTTATTTTTGAAAAACGAGAGACGAACGAAACCTATTTCTACAACCGTTTTTGCACTAGTTTATTATGTCATCGACAACTAATGTAAGTAAATATAACTATAAACTTTTATCTCTCTCTTTCTATCTATGTGATGATCGAATGATTAATCCTTCTGCCCCAGTCAGAATTTTTGGTTGTTGAGCTAAAATGGAGGGTCTCCCAAAGACAACAATGACTCATCACATAGAATATTCTATTATCTCTTTCCTTTCCTTTTCATTTCTCATCTCATTATTTCATAATACTAATCTTACCAATTCTTTTTTTTAAATCTTTTACAGTTGTAAGTCAATCAACTTTTGAAATAGCCCCTTCCTCTCTTTGATTACCATACCATGCCTCCCGTTGCCAAAGAGTACCAATAGATTGTGATAGAGAACCAAAGATGATTAAAGTGACGCAATTGCCTGCCTTGACACTCAAACATAGTTCTTTGATACTATAGAGGTAGTTGTTGTATTGACCGTTGGTTGGATTATATAATATGTGTATTGTTTATTTGGTTTTAATGATGACAACATCAGACCTGTTCCAACAGAGGCTGTTACTGGATGGTAACCCTAAATGAGGAGTCTAGGAAGACCTGACACAAAACCAAATACTTTACTTGCATTTATATATTCTAATCTAACCACCCCTATAAAAGGTGAATCAATCAACTCAACTCTTTAGTTTATTCGTAGGATCAATGTTTTTGTCTTGTAGTAGTTGTAATTGTCCAAATCAATTTCCATTCAATGGATTGGTCACTTTAATTATTACAGTTCATCATATCTCTTATCTATTAATCTCCTTTATAGATGGTTGTTTGGTTTGGATGTATACTCAAAGGAAAAAGGCACAATAGGAGAAACAATATAGATGAATATATTAACTAACCCTAATTAATATTCACATTCATCTCATTAGATTTAGTTTGGTATTATTTTGAACTACTTGATTATTAAATGAACAAAACAATTAAAATAAAATATGATTATTATTATTTATTACCTTATCCCTTTATTTATTGTCTACTAGTTTTATTTGTTTAAAATATATTAATTAATGAATATTCGTTAAATTTATTATAATTATTTATCTGTGTGTGTGTATGCATCTCGTTTTATCTTGTACATCATCATTCTTTTAGATATGCGCGCGTGGGAGATAGAGAGGAGAGAGAGAGTGAAAGAACAGATATATTACAAACTTCACATAGATTCCTCGTAGTCGAGTTGGAATATTAATTTAGTCACACACACACAATGGATATACGAATAACTGGTTAGTTATAAATATTGTCAAGATGGAGTAGAGACAGTGTGTGCACACGACACACACGCAGGCAATTGATAAGAATTGATAACATCTCATATGAAAAGGTAGATAAGATGGATGTGTGCACACATGTACTCTATGAGAGAGAGATACGTATTCCCAAAGATGGAATGGATGGAGGAATGGGCTCATACAAACAAACAAAGATGAACGAATCATCGACTACAACTCGGTCGTTGCAAGAAATCATGGAATAGATACGTCGCGATGTATCTATCGCATTCACAACATTTCGCAATCGTTTGTTGGAATAGTTGGAATAATATCTGTCTATCACCCTCCACTCGCACAACACACACACACAATGCAACAATAGTAGTAATAATAATAATAACAACACTGACGATTGTGTTGTGTTATATTATAACTGACTGTGTACTACTATTATCATTATAATTATTGTTATTATAATGATGATTAAATTATTAATACAACAACGATGTGAAAGAAAGAAAGAAAGGTAATGGAATCCTCTTGATATTATGGTCAGTCTACAATCACTCGAATTGGATACACACGTGGCTTATGTTGGTGTGTTGTTGCGAAAAAAACACCAAAATAGGAATAGAGGGTAGGGTTAGGGTTGTATTTCAAATACACCAATCAACCAACAAACCATTCAGTCAGTCGGTAAGTCAGTCAACATCTCTTTGTGTGTTTGTGATACGTACCGAGTATGCATAGTGAGAGATGGATGGATGGATGGATGGATGGATGGATGCGTATCATCGCATCAAATATCAAGTACCACCACTTTTAGAAGAGTGTTCGAATGCGACCACACACCCACCCACCCACAAGCCACATCAACCACTGTTTACCCACATCACCACACCACACTCAAACACGCTGTTGTCTCCGGAACCGTGGGTGATGGTGGTAGTCATTCACGTATGGATATTATTATTATCTCTTTTGTTTGGTACAGGTTATCAATTTCAATTGTTCATTATTATCATACCCGACAATAATACTTCTTCTTCCTTGTTCTACTTACACTCTCATCAAGATTTCGATTTATAGTATAGTTTATCAATATATCAGTATTATCATATTATTATTATTATCAGTTAGTATTGGTATTAGTTAATTCTTGTCCTCTACTAGTTTTATACTCTTCCTTCTCTTCCTCTTCAATCATCATCATCATCTCCATCCACTTCCCTGCACCACCTTTATATTTATTATTTATAGCTAACCTACTGCATACACACATTTTGGTTTAGCGTTGTATCATCATTATATTTTAATTTATACCCACCAATTTCATTTCATACGAAAAGAAGAGAGAGAGAGATAATCAACTTTCCATAGGTTTCCAGGTTTGTATCAAGATTTAAATTATACATCACCAAATAATTTTGGATCACATGTGGGCAGGACAGGACAAGTTATTTATTTAATTTAAATATCAGTTGGATAATAACTAAATCATCATAGTAAGAGAGAATGAATATTATTTTGATTATAGATTTATTAATAATAATATAAACAAGGAAGGCAGGTTCATACATAATGATTTAATTTCCATAATAATAATAATAATATCAAAATCCATCACCATCCATTCATTGCCATTTCAAGGGTCAAACAAAGAGAACGAGCTGGCAAAAGAGACAGAAAGAGAGAGAGAAAGATTGAGTGAGGTGTTTCGAAAATCTAAAAATTGGAGAAAAGATTAAAAGAGATTATTACTAAACACAAACATTACCTAAATAATATACAAACTTGTTGGTCGAGTGGTGGATGATGACAATTAATTGGAAGAAATAATAATTTGTTGTGGATTTCCAGATCTGATAGCCATCTTTTTAAAAATTATCTGTTCATTCAAACTACCACCACCACCACCACCACAATTACCTGTTTAAACACTATGATTTATGTCACTTGAATGACTACACTGTTGGCGCACTGCCTCTCCTTCACATTCGTTTACTCATTCAATTTTAAACAAACAAACAAATTACTAATACGAATATTTATTTTTAAAACCCAAAACAAATAATAATCATATCCTATCCTATCCTATCCTTATAACTCTAATGGTAATAATAATAATATTCATTTTTATAATTTCACACAGATAGATAATAAGTAATTTTTAATTTAATTTATTTATAATCTCCAACAACCAAAAAAATATATATATATTTATTTATTTTGCCCACCAACTACTTACCGCCACCCACCTCTAATAATCTACGATATAGTATTTGTACCCATCCAGGATTATTTATTTAATTTATTCAAAAAGGTAAGACTGACCACTTGCACCACCCCACAAGATTTTGTTGTTGGAGCTATCAAGCGCAATGAATGACACATATATGCAACATGCATGCATGCATACATACATACATATACAATGGAAATATCTAAAGTTCACTTCACTAATCACAGTGCAACAAAAATAACAATAATGCCCGAGTACATGTTAATATCTTTAAATAATTCACCACCACTCGTACAGGGCCATTCTCTTTTATAATTTAATATATGCCCGTCTCCCTTCCCCACCCCACCCATTCCTACTCCTACTCCTCCTCCTCCTCCTATATTACAATTACTCATTTCTTCTTTGGTTCACTCTACTACTACTACTACTACTACTACTACTTTTTTTTCATTCATTTCAGACTCTCTCTCTTTTTCTGTTTCCAGAACCAAACCAAAACCATCATCATTCATAATAATTAAACAACAAATATATTACAATTTGTTACTACGACATTGAGTAACAAGTAATTCGTATTATTGAATCAACACTTCATTGCTAAACACTATTCCAATTTCAATTAATATTAATTAACTTTTATATAAATTCTCTATTCAATTCAATTCAATTCTATATTAATTATTAGTTTATTTAAAATAGAAATAATTTCCAACCTTTATGATTAAATATAAGATACAAAAATAACAACGAACAAAATAGAATAGCGCCATTTTATATATATATAACATTTTATATATTTATTTATTATTTATCACACTTGAAAGATGGAAGTAAATAGTCAGACTCTTTCAATTGATGATATCCAAATTAAATTGGATCCATCAACCTCTCTAGTAGGAGTGTTGACATGTCCTGTCAACCCTATCGGTGTTATTTTATTTGCACATGGTACTGGATCAAGTAGATTAAGGTAACTAATCACTATACAAATAATAATAATAATAATATTAATTAATTTAATTTTTAAATTGTTTGTAGCCCAAAATATATATATTTTGCACAAATATTTCAATCTATTGGATTTTCAACATTGATATTTGATTTAATTACAGCCAATGAAGAAAGGTTGGATTGTATAACTGGAGAGTTTCGATTGAATATATCGTTTCTCGCCAATAGAATCACAGGTGCGACACAGTGGATCCAAAGCCATCCGTTGTTGCACAACCTCCCGATCGGCTACTTTGGCGCCAACACTGGTGCCAGCAGCGCATTCTTGGCGTCGACCAGCAGCCAATCGAACCGATCCATATTTGCCATCATCTCGCTTGGTGGCCAGACCGACCTCATCAACACGCAGCAGCTCAAGATGATCAAGACGCCCACGCTCTTTTTCAGCGGAGACGAGTACGAATTGGAAAGCACCAAATTGGCCATCTCCCACATGAGCGTGTGTCCCGACAAGGACTATGTAGTTATTCCACCCCACCTTTTCACCGACCCAGCCTGTCAAGTACAAGTTGCCGAAATATCAAAGAAATTCTTTAAAAGACAGTTAGCCAATTTTTATTTTAACCAACAACAATTAGAACACCATCAACTTCAACTCAAACAATTCCAACAACAACAAGAACAAGATGCCAGTAGTAGCAGTGGTGACAATAGTGCCAGCGACCACAACCACATGTTGTTTGGTTCGAACAATATTAATAATAATAACCAACAACAACACCAGTCGTCCGATTACAATGCATCTTCTTCTTCATCATCATCATCATCATCGTCGTCGTCGATCCCCATTGCATCACCTTCTTTATTGACATCTCCACCCCTTACCCTTCCCCTCACTAGTTCACTCAAATCCATCAATGGAAAACCAAGTTACACCCAAAAACCGAAACGAAATCATATATTTAACAATCACAGTGTATTTAATATTAGTGTTTTGGCCACAGTTGAAGAAAACGAATATAGTACAAATAATCAAAATAATAATTTCAACAATGGTAATAACGTTCAATTTAAACAACAACAACAACAACAACGTGTAAATATTCATCACAATATGATCAGTAATTATAATCCACCAAATAGTATAAAGCCAATTCCACTTGGCACGACTCCCCTCCTTCTTCAGGCATCCATTTCCAAAGATAACCAAGGACTTCCCTCTCCTATCATTTTGGATGGTTCAAATAATAATAATAATAATAATAGTAATTCCAATAACAATGCCACTCGAAATATTGGAGTTGCTTCCCAATAATAATTAATAAAATAATCCCAAGTGTTCTGTGACAATTATATTGTCATTCCAACCTTGTTGCCAATAATAAAATTCAAAAGTGTGTGCGATTCTTCTTGGTTCTTTAAATGCATGAGTTTCATACAATGGGCATTGTATCAAAATATATAATATTATTAGTATCATAACTCTCTGTATTCTTGTAATTCATTCTAAACAAAAGTGTACCATATGTATAAAGTTTGATCAATTTAATGTAAAAATGGGTATGAAAGAATGAATGAATAACAGAGACTCGTGAGGGAGGGAGATGATCACAAATCTTATTTCAGATGAATTGTCGATCTTTAATCGGGATTGCCTTCAGAATGGCACCTCTCCTGCAAAAATAAAAAATCAAAAAAAAACCTCATAACTTTGAATTGGTTTCCTTCCCCCAACCTCAGATTTTTTCAAACTTTAAACAAACAACAATAATTACAACAATAAAAAAGACATATATTTATATATCTAATAACACAACAAGATAGATATATAGTAGTAGTAGTGTAGAGTACACAAGCACATACACCACAAACACACACCTACACACACACACACACACCTTACACCCATTGTATCTCATACTAACAAACGTATTAAACTGTTAGTTGGGTATTATTATTTATTATCATCGTAGATAGATATATAGATTAGATAGATAAATAAATAGATAGATATATAGATAAAAAGTAGTAGAAAATGAGTTATGCTACCGATTTACTTGATGGCTTTGACACCATCTACAAGAGAACTGAAGGTGTATTGAATTGCAACAAGGAGATGGCAAACTTTTACAAGAAGCTTTCAATTTTGGAGGCTGATTATTCAAAGGCTCTCCTCAAGTTGGTAAAGTCAACTGGTCAAAAGAAATTAATCTCTAATCAATTCTTGGATGGGTAATTATAATACATACATACACAAAAAAAAGAAAGAAAGGTCGTTGGCACAAGACACCTCTCTCTAACAAAGTTTCCTTTTTTACATCAATATATATATATATATATTATATATTGTTATATTATTTAGATCTTTAAAAGAAGCATGGAAATCATCATTGACAGAATTGGAAACTGTAGGAAATCAACATCAAACCTATTCAAACTTGAATAACGATTTATCAAATGTCGTTGAAAAGATGGTTAAAGATAAGGAAGTACAAAGAAAGAAAGTAAGTAAAAACAACAACAACAAATAGATATATATATATATGTATAATATAATATTGACCATGATATAATGCATTATTATAGTTGACAGAAAAAGGACAAAAGTTGACCAAGGATATGAAGACACAATTGGATACATTGACAAAGGCCAAGTTAAATTATCACAAGTTATCAAAGGACGCAGAAATGGCACAAACTGCCCTCACCAAGGGCCAAGCCGACCCAAAGATGAAGCAAGACAAGGTATCACAGTTGAGTATCAAGTCTACTCAGGCCGCCGAAAAGGCAAATCAAGCCGACCAAGAATATAGAGATTGTCTCACAGTCACCAACACCAAGCAACATGAATACTATATGAATGAAATGCCAACTTTATTAACTGTATGAGAGATAGATAACAATAATTAGTAATGGACATATGATTAATTAATTAATTTTCTTTTTTTGTTTAACATTTAGGAATTCCAACAATTTGAAGCAGAACGTATTCATCAAACTAAAGAATCAATGGTAAATCTTGGATCGTTTGTAAAGGAGATTCCAGGTGTTGTCGCACACGCTGCCGATGAGATTCACGCATCTGCATCACGTATCGACTCGGATGCCGATATTAGACAATGGGTGTCTGAGAACAAGACCAACGTCACCCCACCACCACCCATCGACTATTATCCATTCGAAGGTGAAGCACAACCAGTCGGCAACTCACCATCTAACTTTAGACTCGGCACATACAAGGCACCCACCGGCACTGGCGCCAAGCAAGAGTATGGTCTCTCACCCAAGGACTCGGCTCTTCCATTTGAACAAAAGGTTCAAAAGCTCGAGGCACAACTCACAGACATCAACACCAACATCAAGACAGAGGTACAAGCACGTGCCGGTATTGAGAAGCTCATCCAGTTCTATCACAACGATCCAAAGGAACAGAAAAAGGCAGAGGGCGAGTTGGTCGAGGCTGACCGCAAGATCAACGCTCTCAAGGAGAGCCAAAAAATCGTGTCGCAGCAACTCGACGAGATTCAACGCAACCCATCTGGAGGTCTCTCTTCCAGCGGCGGTATTTCCCAGAGCACTGGATCGGTGGACAATGGAACTGGCGGCGCCTCTAATGTCACCCCAACACTCCAAGCAGCCAAGCCAATGCGTGCAAAGGGTCTCTACGACTACGAAGCATCCTGCGACACTGAGCTCAACTTTAAGGAGGGAGACATTCTCAATATCACCGAACAAGACGCTTCAGGTTGGTGGTTTGCAGAATTGAATGGTGTTAGCGGTTTTGTTCCACAAAATTATTTACAACCAATCGAAGAATAATTAATCAATCAATCAATATCCATCAACAACAACAATACCTCCTCCCCTCTCCTTGAAAAAAAAAGAAAATTAAACAAATCTTTTTCTTTTCTTTTTTTTTTTTTTAATTGTCTATAATAACCTCCCTCTTTCCAAATCATAATAATAATACTAAACCAACAAACAAAACAAAACAAAACCAACTTCCACACGTAAATAATATAATAATTATTTAATTAATATTATATTATTAATGCCTCTCCAAAATGATAACAATAATAATAGTAATAGTAAATTGAACGATGAATATTAATATTAATAATATATTGATGTAATAATAGTAGTATGAATAAATAATAAAAAAACAATTCAACAACAACAAATAGAATGGATTTGATTTTTAATTTATGTTATTTATTTATTTTTAATATTTAAGATTGGTACTTTTTTTTGTTTTTTTTTAAGTAAACATTCTTGGAGCAATAGACATTGCCATAAGTTCTTGGAACAATAATTTGGCGGCGTATGGGATTTTAACTTGAGAGATTTGAGTCTTGTTCTTGCATCTTCTGCATTCAAAAGAGTTCTTTCTGAGATTGGCAATGGCAATGAGACCACAGATATCGCAAATGTGGACACGATAACTGTCAGATTGGTCAAAGAGACGTTCCTTGAGGAATTGAGCGGCACCGTGAGAAATCATACAATCACGCTCCATCTCTCCGAAACGAAGACCACCATCTCTGGAACGACCTTCTACGGGTTGACGGGTGAGAATTTGGACTGGACCTCTGGAACGAGAGTGAATCTTGTCATCGACCATATGCTTGAGACGTTGGTAGTAGGTTGGACCGATAAAGATTTGAGCGTCCATTCTACGACCAGTGTGACCGTTGTACATGACTTCATGACCGGTCATCTGGTAGCCAATCTTGTGGAGTGCTTGGGAAATGGCTTCAACAGTGACATCGGTGAATGGTGTGGCGTCACCTTCATCACCAGTGCTGGCAGACACCTTACCGAGCAGACATTCAATCAACTGACCAATAGTCATACGTGATGGAATAGCATGTGGATTGACGATAATATCGGGAACGACACCTTCGACGGTCCATGGAAGATCTTCTTGACGATATGCCATACCACAGGTACCCTTTTGTCCGTGACGCGATGAAAACTTGTCACCAATCTGTGGGGTACGCATGGAACGGACACGTACCTTGGTGAACTTGAGACCATCACCAGAGGTGGTGAGGACAACCTGATCAACAACACCATTCTCAGAGGAACGCATAGCAGTGGAACTGTCCTTTTTGCTTTGACGACGTGTCTTGGGACCGAGCTCGTCTTCTTGTGGTGGGAGTGGGGTGGTCTTACCAATGATAATATCATCACCAGTGACACGGATACCTGGGGCAACCAAACCATCTTCATCAATCTTTTCGTAGGATCCGTGACGCATACCGACTGTAGTATCACGATCGGGCTTTTCAAAGGTCTCTTCCATCAATGATGTCTGCTTCTTTTGCTCGTCCTTGTACGAACGGTAAAACATACTTCTAAACATACCTCTGTCGATGGCCGATTGATTGAGAATGACAGAATCTTCTTGGTTGTAGCCAGAGTAACAGGCAATGGCGACACACACGTTTTGACCGGCTGGCAACTCTCTGAAATGCAAGTACTCCATGGAACGGGTGGTAACGAGTGGCTTTTGTGGGTAAAAGAGCACATGTGCCATAGTATCCATACGTAGTTGGTAGTTGGTAATGTAGACTCCCATAGCCTGCTTACCCATAGCACTGTTGTGCACGAGGAAGTTGTCTCCACCAATAAACGAGTGGTTCTCGGATTCAGTGGTGATATCGGCAATCAAACAGTTGTCCATCTCGTCAATCGATGCAATTGGTACAAACACAGAGTAACCCTTGACTTGGACAGTAGATTTCCATTCAGAGAGTGAAACAACAGATGATTTGTTGTTGCTGTTGAATTGTTGGTATCTGAGATATTCAGAGGTAAGGCCAATTTCTATTAATTTGTTGTAATTGTAGGCGGTGGAAATTGTTGTAAAGTAATTGATGATATTTTGTGGTTGTAATTTTAATTTGATTTGATATTGTTGTTGAGATTCGGTGATTTCTACTTGTATTGAAAGATCTTTATACAATGATTCAATTTGTTTAATATAATGTTGATTGTCTGTAGTGTATAATGTTCCACTTTCTCCACCAGCTTGCAACGCCGAAAGATAAGAAGACTTGATTGATTTTGATGAAGAGTTGGATATCCATTGTGGAACCTGTTGTTGTTGTGATGATCCATCTTGCAAGGATGACAAGAGGTTGATCAAAGTTGATTGATTTTCAAACTCTAATGACCATAGACCCTTTAATTTTCCTTCTTTTAATTTTTTCAATGTACAATTGTTGTTGCTGTTGTTTTTTTCTTGAATCAAATCCAAATTGATCAAATCATTTTTAAATTCAATAGCTGACATTTTACTAGAGAAAATGATTGGTTGTTCGGAAGAGGAGACTTGTTTTGTCGAAGTCATGTAACCATACATCTTTGCAACAATTTCTAATTTCTGACCACTGAGTGGTAACAATCCCATTGACTTTAATTGCTTGGCCAAGACATTGTTCTTGGCAGAGACGAGGTGGGATGCGTCGATTTGTTGGTGTTGTGAATCGTTATATTTGGAGGACTGGTTGAGCAAACTGATGGCAAGGGTAGTCGTTTGACGATCAAACTTGTGGACGGGCGTCCATCCACGCTCGGTCATGAAAAGATGGTCGTGGGTGGCGGTAATGGCACGGCCCGAGACGGTGGTGATGCGACGGATGGGCTTGTCGGTTGGACGGACGTATTGGTTGACAACACGGGTGGTGCTCTGTACCATGGTCTGTGGATGGAAGGTGACGACGTACTCGCCGACCTTGACGTCCTTGATGGCACGCTTGCTGCCGTCGGCCATGGTGACCTGCTCGTCGATGCTGAGACACTGGTAGGTGTTTCTTGGCGACTGGTTGTGATCGGGGAAGGGAATAATCGAGCAACAAATACCGAGAATCATCGATGGATGAATCTCACAATGTGTGTAGTTGTGTGTGACGGTTTCAGTGTGCGATTGGATCAAATCACTTGGATTCATACCAATCATAACAGTCTCTTCTTCTTCGGTATCAATGTACTCGATGAGACCGCTGGTGATGAGATCCATCCACTTGTAGTCGGGGTTGACAATCAAGTTTTGGATATGCGACTTTTTGATGAGCAACTTGGAGTCACGTACGACAAACAGTGGACGACAACAACGACCGGCGTCGGTGTAGAGACGGATCTCCTTTTCACGGATATCACGAACGATTGAAACTTCGACAGACACATCACCACAGCCTCTGAGTGTACGGAGAGTCTTGAGGAGATGGTCGGGTTGCTTGTTGATACCGACCCACATACCGTTGACGAAAATCTTGGTGGCGTTTAAGATGGACGACGGATCGGTGATTTCCTCGAGGTTTTCAGTCGACCACTCTTCGAGAAACTCTAAAATGGGCTCGGACGCACTGCCGACGGAAATATAGGCCATCATGGCCAAATTCTTGACGAGACCACAGGCTTGACCTTCGGGTGTCTCGGATGGACACACGATACCCCAATGAGTGTTGTGGAGCTGACGTGGCTTGGCCAACTTACCCTCTCTTCCAATGGGAGTATTGAGACGTCTCAAATGAGACAAGGTCGAAGCAAACGTCAATCTATTCAATACCTGAGCGACACCAGCTCTAGCACCTGAATGAGCTGCACCCCAATTACCAGTAGCCAATGAATATTTAAGGCCAGATGTAATAGTCTTTGGTTTAATTGCACTAATTGGTGTAAATTCTTTTCCTTTATCAATACACTTAAAATGGAAATTAAAATTAATAAATAAATGATTATTTGTTTGTGTTTCTTTTTCTCGCTTACTCTTTGTAACCACATTCTAACATCTTTCGTTAATTTTTTGAATAGTTGACGGAAAAGTGTACCTAGAAGTGGACCGGCAAGATCAAGTCTCTTGTTTGCAAAATGATCACGATCATCGAGTGGACGACGTTCGAGGGCAGCCAATAAGAGTCTGTGAACAATGTAACCGAAATAGTAAGCCTTTTTGGTTTCAAAGTACTCTTCGACCGAGACGTGAGGAAGCATTTCCTTTTGCAAGACTTCACGAGCAAATTTGATACGATGGTCACGTGTTCCGACGGTGCTACCACGCTTACCGAGATAATCGAGAGCAACCTCTTGGTTTTGAATGACAAACGATTCTTCCAAAGAGGGACGCATCAAGTCCATCAACTGAGCATCAGAGAAATCGTAGCAAATGTGTTCCAAAATATCCTTGTCGGCGACAAAACCGAGGGCACGAAAGATGACGACGATGGGTACATCCATCTTGATGTATGGGATGGTGGCCTTGATACCTGATGGGCCCTTGGACGACTTTTGGAGCATCTTGACGTACATTGTCGAGGTGGGTCTGCTACCAGTCTCTTGACAGGAACGGATTTCAGCAACGTACGAGTATTTAGAGGGAGGTGTCTTTTTAAAGACATAGACGTGGTTGTGTGACATCTTTTCCTGAGCAATCAGCACCTTTTCAGAGCCGTTAATCACAAAATAACCACCTTGGTCAAATGGGCATTCACCCATCATAGCCAAATCAGTGTCACTCGTGTCACCATCACCAGATAGAATACAATATTTCGATCTCAACATGATTGGCACCTTTCCAATGAAAATCTTTTCCAATGCCTCTTCCTCGACCGATTGCTTTGTTGTCAGTGTCTTGGTAATATCGACATACAATGGTGCTGAATATGTTAAATTACGAATACGTGCTTGATTGGGTGTAATCGATTGTGTCAAACCATCAATATCACTTGTTGGTTTAGATAAATAAATTTGACCAAATTTAATTGAAAATGTTGTATACTAAAAAGTAAACAGAATAGAAATATTAATCTCTCATTGTATTGAATAGTTGTTGTTGTTGTTGTTGTCGGGGTCCTTACATTATGAGCTTGTGATTGACCAGGTTGATGTTGAGTTTCTGGTTTGAGAGTGATTGGAGGTGATTCATCGATAATATCTTGCATAGTATTTTGAATAAATTCATCAAAGGAATCTAATTGTTGTCTTACAAGACCCTTTTCTTGAAAGTAGGAACTAATAACTGTCCATGCATCCTCTTGAACAATTTCCTCACTTCCATTGATCATATCTGTAATTTGTAGTAAGATAAGATGATAATATAATAATCGTTAGCTTCTCTTTTTGATCATTCTATCATCTTTTTAAAAACTTTATAATATATTGTAATATGTCCATACCCTCATCATCATTCATATTATATTCTGCCATGATTTATGTATATGTATGTATTTTTGTTTGGTTTGTATTTTATATTTTGTTGAAAAAGAAGAAGAAGAAAGAAAAAGAAAAGAATAAATAAATAAAAAGATATCTATCTATCTATAAATAATTATAGAAAGAATGAAATGAAGAAGAAGATGAAGAAGAAGAAGAAGATGTATGTCGATTGTACTACTACTTGTATTAGTGTACTATTGTTTCTATCTTTCTTTTTGTTGTCAGCTGATATATATTATATTACAACAGTTCTATTCTAGAGTTTGTTGTAGTTGATAAGATCGGCTGATTGATAGATTTGATTGATTGATTGATTGATTGTGGGAATTGAATTGTACAAAGAGAATGAATGTATATAATCGCGTAAATATCTATCTATCTATATTAACAATCTATCTATCTATCCTTATTCTATCTCTCAATCAATATCACGAATAACTGTGTTCATGCAGTTGATCTTCCTTTTGAGCTCATTTTAGTTTTTTTTTTTTTTTTTTTTTTATCATTTTTTTTAAATTTTTTTTCTCACAACACAACGAATCAGTTTCATTAATGAATTTTCGATTAGTTTACATTATAATTATAATTGGTGGTTCATTTGTTTATTTCCGATTTGGGAATAAGTAACTCAACTAAACTACTATATTCCATTTCCATTTGATAGTAAACTTTGATTATTACGGTTGTACGGACTATTGAGAGCATTTGGGTTTGGCGCATACACAAATTGCTTTCTGACACATGTCGTCCAAAACATCAAGATCATTATATCCTTTTCATAGACACAATTAATAATCTGCATAAATTTCTGTAATCTCTTGTCACTAACATCTTCAATAATTGATCTAACTCCATAAAATGCTTTTGTTTTGCTGCAAATATTAAATAAATATTAATAAATAGTAAACAAAACAATATTATATTAATAGTTTACATACTTGATCCATTCTTCTTTAATATTTAATAAATGAATTCTTTCAACTTCGGGAGGATAGTTTTGTAGGATGACATATTCTATTGCACTACCCATCGAAGAGGTGTATTTGGGTCCGCTAAAGGAGATTTCAATGGTGGAGCGGTCGGGATGGTCAATATCCTCGGGTTCTTTGGAGCTGTCGTAGTAGTCAATGTCGACGATGGCAATGACGGTACGATCGACGTGACGTGGGATGACAACGTTGGGTGCCAGTCCCACAATATTACATTCCCAAATCTCTTTGAAGGTTTCAGAGTACATGCAGACGGTCATGCATTCCGAGGGTGCAAGATCGACCAGACAGTTGATGAGTGACCCCACCAACGCGGCATTTTGACCACGCACGAGTACTTGGTTGCCGACGACAACGTTGTAGATGAGTGCCGACACTGATGCCTCGCCGACAATCTTGCACACCTGCCCGAGCGACTCGACACGCTCCTCTACCACGGGGAAGGCAGCCCGTCGCAGCTTGGCGTCGAGCATAGCACGCAAGGTCGGTGCTTCACCCTCGATATTTCGACGATCGACATAATGGTGGAGTAGTCGCTCCATCACAAGACGTTGCTCGTCCAAGAGAGCGGGTGGACGTCCAACCAACCTATAGAATCGCATTCTACAAGTCGCTAGAATCGACGCAAACGATCGATGCAACCGAGTAAACAAGTGGGTGTCTTCGGCAAGCTCGGGTAGTGGCTTGAGGGTGGTCGTGCGCACACCACGTCTGTAGAGAACGGTGGTTTGTGAATTGGGCTGTTGCGATCGTTCACGGTTATACACTATTTCTGTTCGTTGTTTGATTTCGTGTGCCAACCGTTGAAAGCACGACACTACCCATCCAAAGTATCCAACCAGACATGCAGAGTCACCCAACATAAACAAAAAGCCGTACCATCGGGCAGACCCTCTTGCACGACTGTCATTGACCTTGAACATGTACGACAAAAAGCAACCGTCGCTACTCCCAATCAGCACCGGTCCTTCTCTACCCGGCACCAACTCGCAGCTCAAACTACGCACACACGCACTTCTAATACCACTATAACTATTGTTACTCGGTTGATGTGTCGATATGTAAAACAACGATCCTTCATATTTATCTTGTGAAACTAATCCGCTTCCTTGTGGTATACTTGAACATGTTGGACATTTTGTTGGTGTAGTTGAAGTTGATGAGGTTGAAGTAGACGCAGTTGATGTAGTACTACTAACAGTATTACTATCATTTGATATGATGATTGGATAGATTGATGTTACTTTGGTAACAGCAGGTGTTAAATCAGCCATATTCATACTCTTTGAGTAACTACTACTACTCTCGAGATCGGGATGATGATGATGATTGTTGTTGTTTGCATCTTCATTAACTTGGTATTGTTGGAATGAAGAATCAGAGAATAAATTAGGTAATGTTGTATGTATATTCTTTTGTGAAGTGTTTGTTGTATTATTATTATTCGTTGATGTTGATGATTCTTCTTCTAAATCCAAACCATTCATTTTAATGACATTATTATCATCTTCGTCTTCGTCATCAGTGTGATGACTATGCCCATTTAAATGACTGTGTCCGTTGAGATGGCTATGTGAATGACTATGATGGTGATGATGATGAGGAGGAGATGTACTAGTCGTGTTTGGTGATACATATTCCGACTGAGTCGTAAACACTACCGAAGGGCCATGTGTTTCACAGAAATGTGTTAATACTAATGATTCTGAATGATTGTCTGTTGGTAATTTAACTGTTATCATATTCTCTTAAATGATTATAAATAATGTAGTAATGGGTATGAAAGAAGAGGGTGAGGAGGATGGGTATGTACAAGAGTCAGAGATGATGATGATAGACTAGCTTTTGTATTCTATGGTACAAGGTTGATGATATTAATGGTAATGGTATATATATATATAGATTATGTAGATTATATACAATAGAGATGAAATGAGTTATTATTCTCTCATTTGTGTATGTATATAAACGTAAATGAATAAATTAGAATATTCATTGTTTCTTAAGTCATAGCTCACAAGCAAGTCGGCTGGCTCACTATTTTTTATTAATAAATTTTTAATAATCACTAGTTAATAATAGTTGTATAATATGTACTTGTAGAACCAGATAATCATTCATTAATCTAATCTACATTGATTAGTTTGTATTCTAATTTATTCATCACCACTTGTAATGTATGTATGTCATTATGTCATTTAATACAATGTTTTGAACCATCAACTGACAATCAGAAATTATTACGATCTTAGATATAAAGTACTGTACATTGCCGTTGTTGTTGGAGTAACATATATCCAACCATTTATTTATTGTGTAAAGAAAGTTGATAGTTGATAGGAGATAGGATGGATATCAATATATTTAAAAGTGTAATCAATAGTAGGGTTATCTTTAAGACTATCTTGGTCCAGATGAAAAAGATACAGATTATGCAACCAGCTGTATCCTATTCAGCGAGCAGACCTTTGTATCATAGGTACTCTGAATTCAATGATATCGGAGCACTACTATCGACAGAGGAATCGACCAATCTACTCAAATACAAGTTTGCACGTGGTGATACAAGTAAACTTACTTTTGAACCAACCCAACGATTCTACTATATATTATTTCATGCCGAACTATCACTGCAACTCAAGATTATCGACTTTTTGGGCGAGGCTATATATGATCCCAATGCATTCCATTACATGTCATCGTTTAAAATGCACCACCAAGTGTACATCAAATTCTTGGACTATTTCAGAGACAAAAAGGACAAGGTGACGTATATGGGGTCGGCCATTCTCGCAAGAAACCCTGTCACCCCCGTCGAGGTATACCAGTCTTTGTTGGGACCAAACAAATCATTGTTGTCCCATTTCCCATTCCCAGACGCATTCTTTATGGTGGCTACCAAAGAACTAGTCGAACAAGTCAAATGGTCGGAGCAAGCAACCAGACTATTTGAAAGGAGTAGGATTGAAAAGATGTTGGAAAAGTTTACCTTTTTGGCTGATATTGGTCAAAACGATTATGTGACACTGGTGGTAGAGTCGGTCACTCTTGTCTACAACGATAATCATAGTTATCGTTTTGTACCATTTAATCTTGAACAAAAGAGAACAGAGTATGGTAATCAATTGGGATCGACATCATTGGAAAAGATTGATTTGTTGGTACTGCTGGATTTGTGTAGTTTGTATGGTATAACACAGCTTCCAATACAAGGGTTAATGCGTGCAGTGTATACACTCGACGATATCAAGTTGCTTTGTATCGTGTTGGATCATCCAATCGTACGATCAAATAGAGGACCCCTCATAGAGTACTCTAGTCACACCACGGGATTAGAAACATTCAAACAAATGTCTACTATTCCCAAACTACGAGAAAAACTATTCAACTATGCAGCCAACACACTTGAAAAAGTAAAGTTTATGCATATAGAGATGGAGTATGAATTCACTGCCTCCTCACTATCGACCGTTTGCAAATGGAAAAACAGAGAGATGTTTTATTATGTTCTCGAGAATATTGCAGACAAGTCGCCGGCATTCCTCAACACACATGTCGATAATATATACCAAGTCTTGCAAGGACGACATACCCAACCCACAGCCGAAGAGCGTGTTGGTCATATCGACCTCATCGAACATTTGGTTGAAAAGAGGTATCTCACACTCGTTCCAAAATATTATGCGTGCTATCCACTTGTCCAAAGCAAACGACTCCGAACATTGTGTCTAGACCACCTCTCCAATCTCACGGGCGACGAGTTCTACACCAAGATACTACCAACCATTATATCACAGGCATCGACACTTGGTATGATCGACACGGTTCAAGATATCGTTGAAACCAACTGGCCAGCACTTCAAATTACAACCAACAAGTCACTTGCTCGTGTATGTCTTAATTCATTGACTGGTAATTCCCCCAATACTCATCACTTGATTATTAAAATGCTTGATGTGGTTGATATCACTCCAGTGGAGCTACTTCAGGTGGTTTCAAGAGGTGGAGGAGTAAAGGTAATCCTTTACCTATTGGACAAACACCTTGGCAAGGAAATCAACGAACTATACACAGTCGATATGTTAAACAAGCTAATTAACAATGGACACCTCGATGGATTTATTCAAGTAATGAAATACCTCCATGAAAAAAAGAAAGAGTATGACGGATTACTCCATCGATTGGTCAATAAGATTGATATCCGTGATGCATTTAAAGCAGGTCATCACAATGTCATCCATTACTACATGCGTCTCCATTATCTATACAAAGATGCTGGTCATCGTCGTCGATTCTACATCAATGTGTTCAAAGTCAAAAGTCTTAGGAGAATGATCAGTATTCTCGTTGAAGCAAATGAATTTATTTTAATCCAAGATCTCATCGACAAGTATGACCAACGTGCCAACATCACTGCAATCATCCAAAAACCACATCCCCGTAGCCAAAGATTAAACAGTCAACATCCACAAAGATTCCTTAGATATTCTAAATTAATAAAGTTGATTCACTAAACTAAACTAAACTAAACTAAATAATAGTAATAAATACTAATTAATTCATTTATTTACTTTTTTCAAAGGAAAAATCTCTAAATCATGTGCAAAGATATTTCATTTTATTTCATACCAACATGTCACAAAGAATACAACAAGATAAATAATAATAATAATAAGATGGATATAAATACATTTAGAAATGTATTCAATAATCGGTATATCATCAATACGATCATGTGTCACATGGTAAAGATCAGAGATTTCATACCAGTCGTTCAAAGTAATCAAGTTCACGTGAGGAAGTTTCATCGGTACTCTGAATTCAATGATATAGGAGTATTACTATCAAAGGAAGAATCAAACAATCTACTCAAATACAAGTTTGCACGTGGTGATACAAGTAAACTGAAGTTTGAACCAACACAACAGTTTTATTCTTCATTGTTTCGTGCAACCGATGTATCATTACAACACCAGATCATCGACTTTTTGGGTGATGCTTTCTATCTAGAAGCATACCGGTACATGAAATTGGTAGATATACATCATAGTGTATTCATCAAGTTATTGGACTATTATAGAGATAATATTAATGTATTGGAGGAGTCAAAGTCTCCACTATCAAATAGTTCAATCATCTTGTCAGAAGAAGTATATCATTCATTGTTGGGACCAAACAAATCGCTGGCTTGTTATTTCACAGAAACATTCTTTTTGGTAACAACAACAAAAGAAGAAGAAGATCAAACTATTAAACTAGTTAAATTGTCAGATACTGAAGAGACAACAATATTGTTAGACAAGATTGTAATTGGAGGAATGTTGGTAAAATTTATGAACAATAATGAAATTGTTGGTAAAATAGATAATTATATATCACGTATAGTAGAGTCTATAACTACTACCTACAACGATAATCTTCATCATCACGATCATGATAGTGATACACCAAAGATTAATCTTTCACAAAAGAGAACAGAGTATGGCCATTTATTGGATTCAAAGTCATTGGAAAAGATTGATTTATTGGTACTGTTAGACTTGTGTAATCTATTTTATGTAACTATTCCATCAATACAAGAGTTTATGGCAGTGGTTTATAAACTAGATGATATCAAGTTGATTCGATTAGTATTGGATCATCTAATCATTCGATCATATGAAGCACCTTTAATAGGGTACTCGAGTTGCTATGTTGGATTAGAAACATTTAAATTAATGTCTACCATTCCATTGTTTAAAGACAATCTATTTAATTGGGCTGCCAATACTCTTGAAAAAGTAAAGTATATGCATACAGAGATGGGGTACCAATTCACTGCCCTGTCACTATCAACATTTTGCATGTACACTTGGCGTAATAGAGAGGTTGAACCTATAGTATTTTACTATATTCTAGAGCATATTCCAGACAAGTCACCTGGATTCCTAAACCTACATTCCGAGACAATATACAGGTACCTAAAAGGAGACTATACAAAGAAAACAAGTCAACAACGAATTGGACATATTGACCTCATCGAACATTTATTTGTACATGGGTATCTCACTGTTAATCCACAATTTGCAATGTATCTACTTGTCCAAAGCAAACGATTACGAACATTGTATATTGGCCCACTCATGGATAAACAATTATCACCAGACACCAATCATCTTTCATTTGTCATTGCAAGGATCATTCGAATTGCATCTATACTTGGTATGACAGAAACACTCCTAGATATAGTCGATACGTATTGGCAAGTATTTAAAATCAACAATACACTTGCACGTAAATGTCTCATTGAATTATTTGACAATACATCTAAAACAAACCAAGTGATTGTTAGATTACTTGGTATTGTTGAAATCAATTCATTGGAATTACTTCAATATGTTGCGGGTGGTGGACAAGAAGACACAGTCATAGACATTTTAAATAACCCTAACCAAACCCTTATTGACAAGGATGGTATCAAACATGACCTCCACCTTCAAGTCATTAAAGTGCTCAACACACTTTTCGAGAATGAACAGCTTCAAGAGTTTACTCAAGTGATGAAATTTATTCATCAATACAAGTATCTTGGATTACTTAGTCAATTAATCAACCAAGTTGATGTTGGATCAGCATTTAGAGAAGGTCGTCATCAAGTCATTGAATATTACATGCGTCTCCATTATCTATACAAAGACCGTGTTCAAAGAAGTCAGTTTTACATTAATGTATTCAGGGTAAAGAGTCTAAGACAAATGATTGAATTATTAGTTGCAAGAAACAGGTTTATTATTGTCCAACATCTCATTGACAAGTATGACAGTCGTGCCAACATCACTTCCATCCTTGAAAAATCAACTAGTTCTCATTCAAAAAGATTCCTCAAATATTCTAAAGCAATAAAGTCTGTAGTCCATTAATGTTTACCCATTAAATATTATTTGTATATCCAATTTTAAAATGTGAAGTTCAACACAATGGTGGATTATTTTTTTTTTTTCCATTCAGCTGATCTGTATGATGTCAAGCCATTTACTCTTTGAGGTAATAAAGAATAAGAAGATAGATAGATATGGATATAGATACATTTAGAAATGTATTCAAGAATAGATTTATCATTTCGACTATAATGATTCAAATGGTAAAGATTAGAGATGTAAGTGCAAGCATGCAGAGGATATTTAGGAACTCTGAATTCAATGATATAGGGGCACTACTGTCAAACAAGCAAACTACCAATCTACTCAAATACAAGTTTGCACGTGGTGATACAAGTAAACTGACGTTTGAACCATCACGTCGGTTTTATACATCGTTGTTTCGTACTCCCGATGTATCATTGCAACACCAGATAATAGACTTTTTGGGTGATGCTATCTATGATACCTATGCATTCTTTTGCATTGAATCGTTTGATGCTATTAAAGTGCATCACAGTGTATTCATCAGGTTCTTGGACTATCACAGAGATAAGAATATTATCAAATCATCGATGAGATATGAGTATTCTGTAAATAGTCCCATCTACTCTGTAGAAGTATATCAATCTTTGATGGGACCAAATAAATCATTATCTCAGTATTTCCCAATCACAGATTCATTCTTTATGGTGGCTACAAAACATTTAATCAAACTTGTCATACAATCATACCAAGCAAAGAGACTATTTGAAAAGTGGGGAGTGATATTGGATACCTTTACCAATCACAAAGACATTGGTAAATTGGATTATTTATCAAGAGTAGTAGAGTCGGCAACTATAGTCTATAACAATTATCATCAAGATTCACAAATTGATATAGCACAAAAGAGAATGCATTATGGAAATCTATTGGGATCAACATCATTGGAAAAGATTGATGTGTTGGTGTTATTGGACTTGCGGTTTGAAATTAATCAATCAACAAATCCTCTATCAATACATAATTTTATGGCAATGGTGTATAGATTAAACGATATCAAATTGCTTCGTTTGGTGTTGGATCATTCTATCTTTGCATTCAATCACGAACCACTCATAGAGTATTCTAGCCATCTCACTGGAGTAGAAACATTCAAACAAATGACTACCATCCCAAGACTAAAAGATAAAGGTAAATTTTTTGAGTATGCAGCCAATACACTTGAAAAAGTATGGTATATGCATACAGAGATGGCATATCAATTTGATGGATTGTCACTATCAACAGTTTGCAAGTGGGGTGATAGAGATGTATTCTTCTATGTTTTAGATAACATTGCTGACAAGTCACCTGGATTCCTCAATCTATATGTTGATGGGATATACCATTTACGAGGGGACTATAGAGGACAAACAAGTCAAGATCGTATTGGACATATAGACATCATCGAACATTTGGTTGAACAAAAGTATATGTCCTTATCACAGCTGTCCCCCAAAGTGATCTATCCACTAGTCCAAAGCAAACTTCTTCGAACATTATGTATTAACCCACTCGTTGAAAACATCCAAGTAGACAGTCAACATTTAGGATTACTACTTTTAAAAATGGTAGAGTTTGCTTGTAAATATGGAATGATAGACACACTCCAAGATATTATCGAAACATATTGGTCGGCATTTAAAACTTTCAATACAGGTGTTGCTAGCCGATGTCTCATTTCATTGATGGATAATACCCAGTCTCCCAATGCTCACCAGTTGATAATTAAAATGATGAGTATTGTTGATATCAACTCAAGTCATTTACTCAAGTATGTTGCAATGGGAGGCCAAGAAGAGATTATCCATCAACTTTTGGACAAACACTCTGGAAAGGAAATCAACGACACCATCGCTATTGAAGTGTTGAACATACTTATTCTTTATGGGCAACTTGAACAGTTTACTAGAGTAATGACATTCCTCCATCAACACAAGTACAATCAACTACTCCATAAATTGGTCAACAGGATTGATATCACCAATTCATTACAAGGAGGTTGTCAGCACCAAGTCATCGACTATTACATGCGTCTTCATTATCAATTCAAAGATGCTGGTCACCGACGCCGATTCTTTATTAATGTATTACAGGTCAAGAGTCTTAGGAGAATGATCGGAATGCTTGTTGAAAAGAACGATTTTATTTTTATCCAACATCTAATTAAGTATGACAGTCGCGCCAACATCACTTCAATCCTTGAAAAATCACCTACCACTTTTTCAAAGAGATTTATTGAATATTCTAAAGCAATAAAGTTGGTCCATTAATATCTGTGTACCATCTTGGTCATTGTAAATATTATGGAAAAACATTGACCATGTTTGGAAATCAATTAATTTTGGAGGGAAAATATTCCAATTTTGGTGGGTGTGTTCAATCAAAATGGAGTGGGAAACTTTAGTGGTATTTATATTAGGGATGTCTTTAGAAGCATCATTAAAATATATTTTTTCATTAATATCTAAATCAACAATACAATATAAAAGAAATAATAATAAATAATAATAAGAGATCAATAAGAGATGGATATCAAAACATTTAGAAATATATTCAATAATAGATTTATCATTAAAACTATAGTCGATCAAATGAAGAAACTTAGAAGTGCACAACTATTTGCACCAAGTTCATCTAGTCGACCAAGATACTATCGATACTCTGAATTCAATGATATAGGAGCACTACTTTCAACAAAAGAGTCAACCAATCTACTCAGATACAAGTTTGCACGTGGTGATACAAGTAAACTTACTTTTGATCCAAAATATAGGTTTTACTTTGTACTCTTTCAAGTTGAAGATATATCATTGCAACACCAGATCATCTACTTTTTGGGTGATGCTTTCTATCTCAATGCATTCTGCTATATGAGGTCGATAAATATGCATCACAGTGTATTCATTAGATTATTGGACTATTATCGAGTAAATAATATTGAATTGGAAGATGATATGATGGAAAAAGAGTACCATGCGAAACTGCCCATTGTCATGTCGATAGAATGCTATCAATCTCTATTGGGACCAAACAAATCAATGTCACATATTTTCCAAATTCCAGATTCATTCTTTTTGGTGGCCAATCAAGATTTAATTAATCTAGTCAAACTATCGGATCCTGATCAAGCAGCAATACTATTTCAAACGTGTAACTTCCAGGTGGTATTGGACAAATATTTTAGAACTCCTTATATTGGAAAATGGGGATATCTGTCACAGGTAGTCGAGACTGCAGCCAGAGTCTTCAATGATTATCCGGATTATTATATCGATGAACCAATGGAGCTTTCAAAAAGGAGATTAGTATATGGAAATCTATTGGAATCAGAATCATTGGAAAAGATTGATATGTTGGTGTTGTTGGATATGTGTGTTTTGTATTCACTGGTTGTAGACACTTCAAATGGGTTTATGGATGCTATATATTCACTCGACGATATCAAGTTGATTCGTTTGGTGTTGGGTCACCCAACCATAACAAGATTTCAAGAACCACTCACCCAGTATGGGAGCCATGCCACTGGATTTGAAACATTCAAACAAATGTTTTCCATTCCAACTTTAAAAGATCATCTTTGGCAATGTGCAGCCAACACACTCGAAAAAGTACAGTATATGCATAGAGAGATGGGTTATCAGTTCGATGGATACTCACTATCAACAGTTTGCAAGTGGAAAAACAGAGATGTATTTTACTATGTTCTCGATAACATTCGCATAGCTGACAAGTCACCTGGATTCCTAGATCCATATCAAGATGATATATACCAAGAATTACAAGGACCGTTTATCGACCTTATCGAACATTTGGTTAAACTTGGATATCTCACTATTGTTCCATTTATTCATTGCTATCCATTTTTACAAAGCAAACTTCTTCGATCACTATGTTGTCCCGCCAACCTAGACCTAAATATTGCATCAACAATAGTATTTTGTCATGTCACAACATTATTTTATACAATATCTGAAACATCAAAACATGGCATGATCGACACACTCCAAGATATTTTCGATGCCTTCTGGCAGGTTTTTATAACCTACAGCATTGCTGCCCGAGAATGTCTGACTCTTTTGGTTGGCAATGCATCCAAAACTCACCATTTGATGGTTAGATTACTTGGTATTGTTGATGATGGCAATCCAATGGAATTACTCAAGATGGTTGCAGAGGGAGATGGAGGTGGAGTAGAGACTACACTATACCTATTAAACAAACAACTAGTTGGAAAGGAAACAATACAAGAGACTGATATGGTTGAAATATTAAACAAATTTGTTGGTAAAGGACACCTTGAAGAGTTTATTCAAACTATGACATTCCTCCATCAAAAAAAGTACAACAAATTACTCCATCAATTGGTCAACAAGATCAATATTGGCAATGCATTTTATGATAGTGATAATCCATTTATTGAATATTATATGCGTCTCCATTATCTATACAAAGATTCTGGTCACAGACGTCGATCTTTTATCAATGTATTCAAATTCAAGAGTCTTAGACAAATGATTAAAATGCTGGTTGGAAATAGTCAGTTTATTTTTGTCCAACATCTCATTGACAAGTATGATCAACGTGCCAACATCACCGCCATTCTCGAAACATCACCTCATCGAGATTCATATATATTCCTTGAATATTCTAAATTAATAAAGTTGATTCATTAATTTAATAAAGTTGAATTAAAACAAAATAGTTTTATAAAAACTTGATAAAGGAACTACCTCAAGTTTTTCTTTCAGTTTTGTAAATGCATCTCAGATTTGCTTCATTCGAATTAGCAAAGATATTAGATTGTGTATCTTTTATTTGTATGTATTTATACTTTTGATTAAATCAATACACACTCATTCTAAATACCAATTGTTAATCAACATCAACTACAACTGTAGAATAATTAATTAATAATAAGAGATGGATATCAATACATTTAGAAATGTATACAACAATAGATTTATCATTAAAACTATAGTCGATCAAATGAAGAAACTTAGAAGTGCAGAAATATTTGCACCAGATTCTACGAGTCCATCTAGTCGACCTAGATACTATCGATACTCTCAATTCAATGATATAGGAGGATTACTTTCAACTAAAGAATCAATCAATCTACTCAAATACAAGTTTGCACGTGGTGATACAAGTAAACTGACGTTTGAACCAACACGAGAGTTTTACTGTGCACTATTTCATGCTAAAGATGTATCATTGCAACACCAGATCATAGACTTTTTGGGTGATGCTGTCTATCTAGAAGCATTCTATTACATAAAGTCGGTCATACCTCATCACAGTGTATTCATTAGACTGTTGGATTACTATAGAGAAAATAATGTTCGATTGGCCGAGAATATCTTCCCCGAACCAGACATTCTAGAGGCAAGTCCTATCATTCCGATAGAAGTATACCAGTCTCTGTTGGGACCGAACAAATCATTATCTTATTTCTTTCCATTCCCAGAATCGTTTGTTATGGTGGCTAATCAAGATCTAATCAATCAAGTCAAACTATCGGATCCCGATCAAGCAAAGAGACTATTTGAAAAGACAACGATAGAATCTTTGATATACAAATTCATGGTCAGTAATAGCGAGAGTGATCTTCGAGATAGTGACAAACTAGGATATCTTTCTAGGGTAGTCGAGAATATTACTATTATCTATAAAGATAATCCTCATAATGGTACATTGATTGATCTTGCTCAAAAGAGAACAGAGTATGGTGGTCTATTGGAATCACAGTCATTGGAAAAGATTGATATGTTGGTGTTGTTGGACTTGGTCGTTATATATGGTTTATCACATGTACCATTAAATTGGTTTATGACTACTGTATTTACACTCGATGATATCAAGTTACTTGGCTTAGTTTTGGATCATCCAGTCATTCAATCGTACCAAGGAACTCCCATCTACCAGTACAACAGTCAACTCGTTGGATTTGAAACATTTAAACAAATGACTACCCTTCCAAAGCTGCAATACACTGGACCACAAGAAATCTTTACTTGGTCTGCCAATACACTCGAAAAAGTACGGTACATGCATACAGAGATGGGGTATCAGTTTGATGCATTGTCACTATCAATGGTGAGCATGTGGCACAATAGAGATGCATATCTCTATGTTCTCGATAACATTGCTAACAAGTCACCTGGATTCCTCAATACCTATGTCCAACTCATATTCCGTAGCTTGGAAGGGCAACACGACAAAGAAACAAGCGAGAAGCGAATTGGTTATCTTGACCTCCTCGAACATTTGGCTCAACAGGGGTATCTGACTGTACCTCCACTGCATAACCAAACGTATTATCCACTCGTCCAAAGCAAACTACTTCGAACATTGTGGCTTGACAATTACCCTGGCTTGCAACTACCAAAAATATACAGCTCCGAATTTATCAATATTCTATTAACCATCGTTGGCCAATCATCTAAACTTGGAATGATAGACACACTCCAAGATATTATCGATACCTATTGGCCTGTATTCAAAGTGGACAAGCATCTTACCTTTCGAAGTCTCATTCGATTGGCTGGAAATGCAACCCAAACTCACCATTTGATAGTTAGATTACTTGATAATGTTGCTGGTGATATCGACACTTTAGAACTACTAAAGTCACTTGCTGAAGGAGATAGAGGTGGAGTAGAGACAACACTATACCTATTAAACAAACAACTAGTTGGAAAGGAAATCTTAGAAGAAGAAGTCCGCATGGTTGAAATAGTAAAGACACTTGTTAAACAAGGACATCTCGAAGAGTTTATCCAAATGATGACATTCCTCCATCAACACAAGTACAAGCTAGTACTACGTCGATTGGTCAACAAGATTGATATCAGTGATGCCTTTGCAACAAGTAGTTTCCGTGATAATCCATTCCACGATTACTACATGCGTCTACATTATCTATACAAAGATGCTGGTCACAGACGCCGATCCTTTATCAATGTATTCAAGGTCATCAGTCTAAGGAGATTAATGGAAACACGTGTTTCGTTATCCAAATATATATTCATCCAAGATCTCATTGACAAGTATGACCAACGTGCCAACATCACTGCAATCCTTCTAAAATCACCAACTACCTTTGCAAAGAGATTCGCTGCACATTATAAAGCAATGAAATCCGTGCATTCAAATTAATTAATTTATTTTCAGTGAAAGATAATAAAATAATAATATTTTACAAACAGTCGACTACCATATGAATACGTTCTTTCTTTCTTCTTTTATTTTGTATTTGTAGAGATATAAAATAATTATTAGATACCTAACTATGAATATAAAAGATTATAAACCATCACTTGTAAACATCAAGATTCCTTCAAATTGGAAGATACAGGAGTCAGTTTATGATCAATTTATAGTTTGTAATCCTTTATTATCTCAAACCCAAATAATATTTGACTCTAGAAAGAACAAGATATCTCTTCCAGTAGCTACAACCATAGATATTACTCCACTCTTACCTATTAACTATATAGGTGATCCTTTTCAAGAACTCTTGGATTTAAATCACGAAGATCTTCACATTGAAACAGATATCAATGAGACAACACAAGAATATTTCATATCAATCAAAGATGGGTCACAGATGGTTGGACAACAGAATTCTGGGTTTGCATTTCAATTAGGAATTTGGAATGATGAACAAAAATTCGGTCGAGTATTTGGATCATCAACACAATTCATTCTCGTACAGATAATACAACCTCATCATCATCATCACCAATTTAGATTGTATGTTTTTTAAAACAAATAAAACATATTCAATATAACTAATCTAATTGTTTTTTCCAGACAACCAAGTACATCATTTACCTCTAATTCAAGATACGAAAATCAATTGAAAAATGTGAAAATGATTCAAGCAACAAGAGTCATTCCTGAATTTATTATTGGTGTTAGATCATATGGTCCAGGTGAAAACAACAATCTTGACTACCAACACCTCAAAATGTGTCGTTGGATCTCTGCAGGTGCACAATCAGCCATCCTATTTGATGGAAAAGGTGGAAATCTATCTCTATATTGTAAAACAAATTTACCTACAGAAATACAAGGTGACCTTAACCCTCAACCACACACGATACAACAACTTGTTCACTTTCAACAAGGAAAAGTAAACAATGAGATAAATCAACTTAACCAAGACATTGATCAAATGAATAATCCTCTTTTCCAGTCAGTTTTTCCCGATCTCCAAAACATACAATTCTCCAAACAGAACCTATTGATGAAACTTAAAATGCAACAAGTTTATTATGATAATCTTCTGCCAGTTGGACATATCATTTATCGAGGTGTACAACATGATTTCCCAAATGTTTCATTCAAATCAATGCCATTGAATCTTGATGATCCGAACCAACAACAACATGGCCCAAATATTTACATTCATTGTATTGGTGTAATAAATGGATTCAGAGTAGATCTTTCAAAAATACCAATGGATTAAAGAATAAAAGATTTTTTAAAACTGTTTTGTGAAAAAAAAAAAGAAGAGTTCATATATAATCAAATTCAATCAAATGAAGAAGTTTAGAAGTGCAGAACTATTTGCACCAAGTTCATCTAGTCGACCTAGATACTATCGTTACTCTGAATTCAATGATATAGGAGCACTACTTTCAACAAAAGAGTCAACCAATCTACTCAGATACAAGTTTGCACGTGGTGATACAAGTAAACTTACTTTTGATCCATCAAAAGAGTTCTACTTTGCATTTTTTCAAGCTACTGATGTATCATTACAACACCGGATCATAGACTTTTTGGGTGATGCTTTCTATCTAGAAGCATACCATTACATGAAAGCTGTAATACCTCATCACAGTGTATTCATTAGATTATTGGACTATTATAGAGAAAAGAAAATTTTATTGGTAGAAAATAATCCATTTGTTATACTATTGGTTGGTGTAGTATGGTATCAGAATAAGTGTAGTGTAAGTCGGTGGGATGGCCCTCTGGTGGGCACTGAATATACTGTCTAATTTATTGTGTAAATATATATAGATATATAAGAATGACTAACTGAAGAATGACCAATGCATTCCTTCACATTGTTTAGTTAACGAGAACTAAACCTAATAGATTTGTGAAGTTTTGGGTTGTTACCTCAAATAGTAATTTGAGTTTTCATAAAAATAAATAAATATAATTCAATATTATATTTGCAGAAGGAAGCATCCTTCACACCATTGGAACAAGTGACTCTTCAAGAATCCAAAAAACCTATTCCCTTGGAAGTATACCAATCTCTAATGGGACCAAACAAATCATTATATTATTTCTTTCAATTTACGGATAAATTATTTATGGTCGCCAACCAAGACCTAATTAATCCTTCAAATAGTTTGATCCTTTTCTAGCAAAGGCACTATTTGGAAAGAGTAGGATAGAACATATGCTTCTTAAATTTATCAATCATCAAGATGACTATAAAATTCATTATCTATCAAGAGTAGTCGAGAATATTGCTATTATCTACAATGATAATCCTTTTAATCCTCTATTCATTGATTAATCTTTCCAAAAAGAGATTGGAATATGGTAATCTATTGGATTCAACGTCAATGGAAAAGATTGATTTGTTGGTATTGTTGGATTTGACAAGTATATATGGCTACACCATCAACACCATTAAATTGGTTTATGGAAATGGTATTTACACTAGATGATATCAAGTTGATTCGTTTGGTGTTGGATCATCGTATCATTCAATCGTATCATGGACCCCCTTTAATAGGTTACTCTAGTCATCTCGTTGGATTGGAAACATTCAAACAAATGGTGACCATTCCAAGGTTACAAGATAGATTCTTTGATTTCTCTGCCAATACACTCGAAAAAGTACAATACATGCACAAAGAGATGGCATATCAGTTCACAGCCTGGTCTCTAACTGTGGCCAGCTTGTGGTACAACAGAGAAGTATTTTACTATGTTTTAGATCACATCGTTGACAAGTCTCCTGGATTCCTCAATAAACAGGTATCATTATTGTATGTTGCTTTACAAGGAGAATTTGGCCATGACACGAGAGATAGACGTTTTGGACGTATCGACATTCTCGAACATTTGGTTGAACAGAGATATCTCACTGTCCTGCCAGCTCATAATCCAAAGTGTTATGGACTTGTTCAAAGTAAATTACTTCGAACATTGAGTCTTGACCCACTCTGTAGCGGACAACCTCCACAACAGTCAAATACAACAACTGACGACGATGATGACGACAATAACAACGACAACAAAAACCTTTTTAGCAATGTATTATCAACCACCATATATCAAGCATCTAATTTTGGAATGATAGACACACTCCAAGATATTGTGGAAACATACTGGCCAATATTTAAAATTAACAAGAATCTTGCTCGAGAATGTCTAACTACATTGTTGGAAAATGCATCCAATACTCACCACTTAATTGTCAGATTATTTGACATTGTTGTTGAAATCACACCAATGGAGGCACTCAAGTTACTTGCCGATGGTAATGGAGGTGGAGTAGAGACAACACTATACCTATTAAACAAACAACTAGTTGGAAAGGAAACAATACAAGAGACTGATATGGTTGAAATATTGAACGCATTTGTTTATCAAGGACACCTTGAAGAGTTTATTCAAACGATGAAATTCCTCCATCAACACAACAACAAGTACACTCAACTACTCCATCAATTGGTCAACAAGGTTGATATCATGGAAGCAGCCATATCCTATCGTAATCCATTTATTCATTACTATATGCGTCTCCATTATCTATACAAAGATGCTGGTCACAGACGTCGATCTTTTATCAATGTATTCAAGTTTGTCAGTCTCAAGAAACTGATTAGTAAAATATTTACTGGATCAACCAAATTTATTATTGTCCAAGATCTAATTGACAAGAAGTCCAAAAATACGTATACGATCAACGTGCCAACATCTCTGCAATCCTTGAAAAATCACAAATTGATAGCTATTTTTCAAATTTTTTTTTTGCATACTCTAAATTAATAAAGTCGATCCATTAATTAGCACTTTGACACTTTAACTTTACACTTTGCAATTATTTCTTTGCACTATTACTTACACTTTAACACTTTAACTTTACACTTTGCTGTTGTTGATAAAGTTGTCTTTCAATAAATAAAAATAAATAAATTTAATTAATTTTGAAAAATACTCTGAGTCACATTGAATCTGATCATCAGACCAGTTTCAGATTCATCACAAATCATATATATCTTTCTTTTTAAAAGATGAATAATAATTCAAATGCAATATCTACAGGAGGAGGAGGAGGAGGAGGAGGAGGACACCAACGTAGGTCATCACAATCAAATACAGCAGCTGCTACTGCGAGTGGTGGAGGTGGTGGTAGTCGAAATGGATCACCTTTAATATCATCACAAATACCTTCATCTCTACTACCCAACCTCCTTATACCAAATAGTTCAATGATACCTCCACTCTTTTTAAACCCTACAACTGCTACATCAGTTGATCATAATAATAATAATAATAATAATAATAATAATACGCAATCATTATCATCAATGGCAACAGCACCTAGTAATCTTAGTCAATCTTCACCGAATATCATCACACCAACCTCTGTATCGACATCATCCACTCCAAACCTAACTTTATCATCACACGCTATCCCTACAACTTCATCATCACTATCAGCAGGAACAACAAACAACAATAACAACAACAATACTATAGCAGCAGCACCAGAGACACTTGTCATTAAAACTAAAGGTGCAAACACCGAAGTATATGGGTTCGTCTATTGGATTGCAACGATACTCGGATACGTCATCTACTTGCTATGGGCATTCATCCCCGAACATGTACTCTCAGATCTAGGTGTACACTACTACCCTAGCAAGTATTGGGCTATCGCCATCCCAATGTATATTATAGTTTGTATCATTTTTGGTATGACTGTTTATTTCTCTATCAACCTCATCATTACAAAACCATTTGATTCTTTTAATACTTATAAAGGTATGAAATATAAAGAAAAAGAAATAGAAAGAAAGAAAGGTTGAAATGTCTTATATATATTAATACTATCTATTTTGTAACATTTAGATGAATTTACACAAACTGAATCAGATACACATGTTTATTTACCAGAATCTATCCCTCCATTGGAAGATTTACCTTTGGATATTATAAACAAGATTCTTTATCAAACTAGATCCAATAATTATAATAATAGTATACTATCTGGTGGACGTATTCATTCTCTAGTGTCATCTGGTGGCGGCTCGTCAACGTCTGACTTGTTACTACCACATCACTCTCTTTCACAACAAAAGACAACTACTCTTTCTAATCTATCACTCAGTCCGCTAAACACACAATCCATCTCCACTTCAACATCGGGCGTACAACCATACTCTCCTACAACAAGCCCAACACTCACTGGTATCAGACAACGTGGAGCATTGAGTAGTAGCACATCATCAACCAAAGAATTGATACAACAACAATTACAACAACAATCACCATCTACCTCATCACCCCGTAGTCATTACCTTCCTTTATTAAGTCATTTCAATTCTCCATTAAATAGTGGTAGTAACCTTGGAGGAGGAAATAACAATCAATCACCATCATCCAATAGTAGTAATATTTCATCATCCAACAATAATTCAGACCAAGAATTTGATTCCAACAGTTCGAGTAGTTCAAGAAATTCTTCACCTTCTTCTTCCAATTCTTCTTCAACAACAATGAGAAGAGTTAATACATTACCAACTATTAATAGTTCATCGGAATAAAAAAGAAAAAGAAAAAAGAAGAAGAAATACTTTGTATACTTTTTTTTGTTTATTTCAAGTGTTAAGATAAATCATCAATTCTTAATTCATTTGAAAAGTGGACAGACTTTGGTCTAGAGGTTGGAGCCTTGGCAACAGTTGGAGATAAACCGTTTGATAATGGTAGTAAAAGATGTGATGCTTGTCTTTTCCCTTTGATTAAATCTTCTACATAATTTTTAATTTCCTTTTGTTGAGATGGTGTAGCTGCTGATGTTGTTGTGGTGGTGTTTGTAGTAGGAACCGAGGACAATGAAGAAGTGGACGTATACAGTTGTTGATGATGTTGATGTTGATGATGATTATGATGTTGTTGAGGAGTCAATGTAACGGTTGGATTTGATATTGGTATTCTAGTTGGTTGTAAATTGGTAATTGATGTAAGTTTTGGTGAATAAACATTATTTAATAACATTTGACCGTTGTTGTTTGTTGGAACGCTGTTATTATTATTGGATTGAATAATTCTATTTATAAATTCAGCTCTCTTGTCAGTGAGTGATGAATTTGAACTATTAGATGAACATGACGATGAGTTAGATGTGGTGGACAAGGTTAAAGATGACATTCCAAGTTTGGCAGCAGTTGCAATGGATGAAGAGGTTGTCGATGGTGAATTACTATTGGTTGGTAGAGATGAAAGAACACTACGTGATGGAATGGTTTGGTTTCTAGATGAACTTGAAAGTTGACCATATCCATTTTCTTGATCCATCATTGTTTTCATTTGTTTTTTTGGATTCATATTATTATTATTATTATTATTACTGCTACTGTTGATATTTTGACTTGATTGTAATCTTTTCTTTGGTGAATTTTTGTGGAGGTTATTATTGATACTATTTACATTATTATTATTATATTTTAAAGTAGAGGGAGTTGTCACTTTTTGTTGTTGTTGTTGTTGTTGTTGAGGTTGATATGATGATTGTCTTTCTTTATCAATTGCTTTTTTAGTGTTTGGATCAAAATGTTTGTACAGTTCATTTGCTTTGGTTGGCCAGTTGGATGCATACAATAGGAATGATTGACGACAGGTGGCACGTACGTCTGGATTGCTGTCTACGAGACCAGCCTTGATGGCAGGCTCGACCAGTACCAACTTGCTATCCAAACTCTCCTTGGGAATATGTTGAAGCATTAAATGTATGTATTCGCTACAACGTGTTCTCAACACTGCACTCTTTCCACCAACCAATGATTCTGTAAATCTAGGTAATATTTTTGTTGAATAACTAGATGCTATAATATTTTTTATACATTTATCACTTGCTTCTGCAATTGCCTAAAATGAAGAAAATTAATTAATTTCTCTTTATATTTATCTCTCTCTTTTTATATTTTAAACATACTTGAATAGTAACAATAACATTCTTTAATAAAACTTGAATAAATCTATCAGCATATGGATCAAATGAATGACCAAGTTGCTGAGCAATCGTTGTCACAGTGTTACAAGCTTCCTTTAAAAGTTGTGATCTAATATCCTTGGTCAATGTCAAAAGGGGATCGAGAATCTTGTGGAAAAGCGATGTAAAGTTTGATAAATCCTTGACTCCCTCTCCCAACAATGCTTGGAATTTTAATAAATTATTAACTTTAATATCCCAATCTACACTTGAACTTGATAATTTATCAATAATATCCATTGTTCTTCTTTCAAATTCTCTTTCATTAATACCCTAAAAAAATTAAAACAAAAGAAAATTAATAATTAAATAATTTAAAGAAATTAATAATTCTATATTTAATTTACATACATTATTCATTAAAGTTAAACCAAATGGATCCATTTGTTGTTGTTGTTGTTGTTGTTGTTTAATTGGTTTACTACTAGTTTTAATACCAGAATCAAATGATGAATGAGTTGAAAAAGTGGAAGAGGATGAAAATGCAGATGTGACAGATTCAACTGATCGATTATTATAGTTATAACTATGATCATAGGAATGATTGTTGAGGAACATATTATTATTATTATTATTATTATTATTAAAACTATTATTATTTTGTGATTCATATTGATCTGATTGTTGGTGTTGTTGGAGATGTGGTTGTTGTTCAATGTCATGACCATCTTCATCAACAAATTTAACTTGAATTCCTAATCTTTCAAAGATTGATTGTTTTACTTGATTATCCAATGTAATGTCATTGAGGATGAATTGGTGAATGAATTCATCTGATCCATCCTCTGTATACAGTAACTCTAACAATTGAAGACTCTGTTCTCCAACACGTCTATTTGGGTCGTTTACAAGTGACACGATATCACGAACCATTTCAGCACGTTGAGAAATAATCTTTTCCGAGAGACGAATACTAGATGTTGTAACGGCCATTGAAAGGAGTACCAATGAATGCCATCTCTTTTTCCAATCACAATCGACAATTGATTGAGACAACCCATCCAACACCACATCACTAGCATACGATGTTTTGATCAATCCCTGTACAATGGTATCTACTGCTTCAGACAACATTGGATTCTTGTTACCAATGTATCTAGTGACAACGGACTTTATGGCACGTTCCAACAATCCTATATCCTCTTGTGAACCTTCCAAATAGTCCAATGAACAACTCCAAGCTTCCAACACTTTAACAATTAATTCAAAATTCAATGATGTTGTCATTGTATATAAATCATCTTCAATTATCACTACCATTGAGTCATTATTATTATTATTACTATTAGTTGATGTATTACTATTATTATTATTATTATTATTTATATTATTAAGATTTTCAACTAAAACATTGTAATCTAAATGAAATACAATGTATTCAAATATATTATATACTATTTGTTTCTATATATATGGAAGAGTTGGGCGACTTGGTTAGTATTATACTAACAAAAGAAATATAGTTTTATGATACATACATCCTCGACGGTATGTGTTTTGAGATATTCAATCAAAGATTGATACCCTTTATAAATTTGGTTTTGGTCTTCTGATACAATCAGGTTTATAATCTCTTCTAAATGATCTGTCATTGTGCTGTTATATATATGATGTATTAACTCTGTTGTCTCATTTACATCAATGTTATAACCGTGACACATTAGTATAACAAAAAGAGAGGAAAAAAGGTTTGGTCACCTGGAAATGACAACGACTAAATTTTTGGCGCTCAAAAATTTGAATATTAAATACAACAAAGTTTATTTATTTACTTTTCTTTCTCTTTCTTTCTCTTTCTTTCTCTTTCTTTCTTTCTTTCTTTCTTTCTATCCACTAAGAGATTTCATAGTTGAAACAAATTGTTGGAAAAGAGGGAAATTGGAACTTGACAAAAGGTCACTGGAAAGTCTGAGATAACTGAAACCATCGATTAAAAAGTAGAGCGTCGATTCTGTTTCAATCTCAGAATAGGCACCTTGATCGTAACGTGGGAGTGCATTCTCACCACTGTATCCGATACCTGCTTGTTGAGCGGATTGCTTGGTTTGGGCAACCAACTCTTGTGGACGACATTCACAGTAAGATGGTTGTTCATCGTCGGTCATCTCGAGACATGTGAAATCAAAAGAGACATTGTGCTTTTTAAACATGTCAGAGATGACATTGTAAGCTTGTCCTTGATCATTCTTGTAGCCAGCAGTCAACTCGGCAGCATGTGAAGGATCACCGTACCACCAGTGAATACCAGACACCTTGGCGGCAAGAGCCACACCACTACCTCCGAAAATGTAACTAGCGTTGCCAAGAATTTGGTCACCGTGCGTAATCAACGTGTTGGCATACCAAGTCAAGAAAAATTGTCCATATTGTGATTCATAGTTATTGTATCCTCCACTTGTAAAGAATTGTGTTTGTGATGGATATGAATTATATGTTCCTAATAATAATTTAAAATGAAGACTATTAGAATACTAAATAATAATAAATAATATGTAATAATAATCTTTTGATTTTTACCAGCATTATTTGGACCAGCATAACCCCAATCAGAATTACCACTAGCAGTTGCAGCTTCAGCCAATTGAGCCAACAGGTATTTATCATAACATTGGAACTCACCAACACCTGGAAAAGTCCAATAGGCAAGTTGATAGGATGGGTATCTCATTTCACCAGCTGGACCCAATCCAACTTGAATCTCTTTGATGACACTTGGAATCATTGAATTGAATTGCTCCCTAAAACTAGTCATAAAATCACTGTACAATTGTATACCAGTTCTACCTCCAAACAATGCTTCATTATCAATACCAGATGATAAATACTCTTGATCTCTATTACCACTTTGGTCAGTATAAAATATATCAGCTAATTAATAAACAAAAAAAAAGTTGGTTAGAATGAATCAATGGATTATTATTATTCATTGTTTGTGTAGACTTACGATTTGATTGACCATAATTTATAACCCAAGGTGGAAGAGGAATATCACATTGGTCACCAACATTTCCACCACATTGATGGAATGATAATGTCACTTTGATATCCAACCCTATTTGAGATACCATTTGGAATAGGGATTGGTAACCAGTCCAATTGTATTGTTGTGGTGTTTGTTCAATTAATCCCCACCATACATCCATCATTATACTATATATCAAAAAATAACAAACAATCAATCAATGATTAGTAATCAATGACAACCTTTGACCTGACAAGATATATTATATTATAATATAATATTATTGCATACATACCCAGCAACTTGTGAATTCTGTTTCAAGTAGCTTAATTGTTGATAGGTTTGTTGGTAATCTGTTATTTCATTATTATTGTTTAATGTATTTAATGGCATCATGACTATATATATATATATATATATATGTAAATAGATTAGAGAGGGTTAGGGTTGGCCAAACAAACATATATTTGATTATAGTTAGTTCACTTACCATAAACAGGAACACCTTGTGAATAAGATTGAGCTATTAAATTGATAATAGCTAAAGCTAAAAGTAAAATTGATTTACTATTGTACATGTTGTTATAAATATATATATAGTACTACTAATAATACTAATACTGATTATACAATCACCTCTTTGCTTTTATAACAACTAACTTTACAAAAAGAGATAAAACGATGAATATTTAAATAGTGTTTGGTTTGAATGTTGTAGAATGGTTGGGTAGTGTGGGTGATGAAGGGTTGTGGATGAATGCGACTTTCTCTCGAAAATATCATTAGTTGGGAAAAAGAAACATTGTGTTCAATTCGCCCCGTTATTGTTCAAATTGACGATCAGAATTTCGACGGGTGGCCCATTATGAAATTTCGTGTGCCATCAATGGCTTTATCATGCCCAGATTTTTTTTGAATTTTCACAGGGATAGAGTCGTCTTGTTATTTTGCCGAGAGGTTCACTTCGAAGTGATGCGACGAAATGGTAAACGAAAGGTTGGATTGTTAAGATGGATGGGCGGATGGATGGATGTCCTACACTTTCATTGGATATAATTATATTCGGTGGGATATTCCTAAAACCCCCTTCACAAAATTGTGAGAAGTATATTCATTTCATTGCACAATGATTCAAACAATGTGTCGAATGTTGTCGTGATCAAAAATAGATAGGTGGATGATATCCTCCTTCCATTCCATTTTGGAATAAATATTGTGATTATTATTATTATTATTATTATTTTTGATTGAAACAAATGAATGAAGTTGTTGCGTTATTATTATTATATAATATTATATTTGTTACTATTTTTTTTTGTTATTTGATTTATTTGAATTAATTCATATCCATTAAAGGGATCATACCCGCCATATCTTCATTGGCAGGCTGTGGTTGTCGGTAATAATAACGTTGTAATAAAAAGAATAATGCAGCGGGCATTGTGTCGGCCATTAACCCACCAATGATTAAAAGTATTAAACCCGTGTCTTGAACAGGTCCTCTACCTGCTACTCTGTACTCGATAAAGACATCTGGGAATGTAATTCTCGTTGAATTGGTCCAAAGCTTTAATTGTACTGTAATCTCTGATCCGTCACCTGGTATTTCTTCCATCTAAATAAAAAAATAAATCATCAATTAATTTAATAAATATACATAGTCTGTCATGTCAACTACTTCTCCTTCTCTACTATAGTTTATATATATATTTGTGACTTACATGAACGGTTTGTGAACTTAGATGATATTCATGTAATGATCTAGCTGGTTCATATTTGCATCCAGTTTCTAAATTTGTACAGGTCTCTGTTATATAATCTCCTTCGGTTTGATCAAGCGATCCATTTCTATATACATTTACCAACTGGCCACCGCCAATGGCATAGGGTTCCTTTTCCATCGATGAAAGAGTTCCTCCAACAGAGTAAATCATTCTACCACTAACGATATGAGATATTCTAATCTCTCCTTCAACTAGAAACCAAATGAAATCAAATCAAAATACATATTATTAGTCTATCATAGTGTATTCTAATTTAATCTAATTTTAATTATAATTATAATAGTAGCATACCCTTATCAGTTACATAAACAACAGGTTCGTATGGGATAGATTCACCCAAGATTTGATAAGATACTTGGAATGTTTGTTCGACCATTGGTCTACAGACTTCATTGGTGTTGTCATCGCTTACCCAATTGAATTTACCTGTAGAACATAGATCGACACTCCACATGTATGGTGGTGGAGGTGGCTCTGAGTTGTATTTAATAAAGCCCATCACCAATAATATTACACCAACTGTAAATACACTCGTACAGATAACGATCGATGAGATTACACATTTTGTGCATCCCTTGGTTCTCATTCTCCTTTAAAAATGTATTTATTTGTGTACGTAGTGTATGTAGTGTATGTATCTTTCTTTTATCCAACTAACTAACTAACTGCTGACTATCTACTATAAATATATATATAATGATGTTGACTTGTTATCTATTAATGATGATTACTATTTGTGTAGATATATATATAAATAAAAAAAGATAAGATAAACTAGTCTGTGTGTGTCTAGATATAGATACTATAATATATAGACGACACAAAGTCAATAATGAAAAAGGGATAATATTAAATAATCTTACATGTTAATAAAAGGTCGACTTTTCCATGACACCAAGCACTGGGCTTTTTTAATTTTTTTTTTTTTAGTTGTTGTTTTCAAAGATTGCAAGTATACTTTTGTGAAGTTATATTTTATTTAATTGTTAGAGAGATATATACATAATATGTTTGTGTGTGTGTGTTTATAAGTTTAGAACTTTGAATCAGTTGGTCTCTTATCCAAATAAGCCTTTAATGATGGGATTTCAGAGACTGATTTAGACAATGTAGTAAGAGTTGGGTACTTGGTGGCATCGACGAGTTGTTCTAATCCAACAAACTTTAAAAAGTCTAATGCATGGAATACAGCAACATCAGCATATGTAAATGATTGACCACTAAAGGAAAAGAGAAAAAGAAAATAATAATAATATGAATATTAGAATATTGAAAGTAATAAGATCTGATGATTGGGTATTGGTTAGTTGGTTGGTTGGTTGTAATACATACACAAAGTTCTTTCCACCATTCTTTAAGAGTAATGATTCCCAATTGTTTAAGAATCTTGGAGCTGTTTCAGTCTTGAACTTTTCAGTCTTTTCAGCATCACCTCTGGCGGCAGAGAATGGATTGATGATATCATAGATGCTTTCAGCAATGGCATCAGAGAGAGCAATTTCGACTTCATTCTTTCCGGCAACCTTGTATTTCTGAGCAACGTATCTGGCAATAGACTTTGATTGAGCCAATTGTACTTGTTCATCTTCATAGAATGGAAGTTGACCAAATGGAAGACGTGTCTTGAGAGCATCATCGATACCATTGACACGATTGTCATTGAATTGGACACCAGCAAATGATAAGACAAGACGTGGGTATTCACCATTACCTCTTCCGTTAAACTACATAAATTAATTCAAAACAAAATTATTTATTTATTTATTTATTAGACAATTTCCAAAAAGACATAATTATTATTATTTAATATTAAATACATACATAGTATAAAGTTGGTTGTGACATTGTTAGAATAATTTATGTGTGTTTAAAAAAAAAGATTAACTTAATAATTATTATTATTTGTTATTGTTTAGATTTATATTTGTTTGTATTTGTGAATTGATGATATTGAATAGTTAAATAATTCCACCATCTATTTATACATTGTGATCCGATGGCTTGATGGTATGGTTGTCCGACACATCAAAAGATTCCATGGAATATTTTAAACTCTCGAATTATTTTATCCAGAATATCTATTTACTTTAAAGGACAAGTCTCCACGTCTGCATTGTATCGAATAGAATAGAAATAGATTTGAGAAGAGTTGGTCAAAAAATTATTGACGAAGAGCCAAGACGAGAAGATGTTTTTTTTGATTTTTTGTTTATTTATTTTTTCAAGGGAATACTTTTGGTTTGCATGGTGCATTGAATGAAACAGATGCACACATACAATTGGGGGGTGATCAGTGATCCGTGACGATGATGATGATTACATTGTTATCTATCTTAACAAACACACTACTACTGTTTGTTATTCGTTCACTGCATTGTAGCGAATAGTACAAAAAATGGATTGTACCCCACATACATTATTGCGACACACCTTCTTCTTATCTTTCAACTCACTGCATTGTAGTAGTGAAAAGTAGTAGTACCCCACTCCAGTCGCAGAAACAGAATAGAATACAATACCAGCAGTCAGTTCAGTCAGTCAGATATAATTAATATTATAATATTTAATGCATTCATCAATTCGAAATCATTAGAGTTGCTCTTCTACCTTAATATTCATTATTATACTGACTTGCAAGAAAGAAGAAGAAGAAATTAATTAAATGTATGTTGAGAAAATAATAGTAGTGAGAAGAAGAAGAAGAAGAAGAAGGAATGGTGGGGGGATTGTATAAATCGAGAATTCTAAAATACAACGGTGGGAATAATTGAACACACATATGGAATGAATATTTATTGAATTAATATTAATATTTATTTCTAAAGAGACAAAGAGAGAGAGAGAGAAAGAGAGAAAGAGATTTATAGAACAAATGTTTATAACAAAGATATTTTTAATTATTGTTGGTGTATTATTGTTGGTTATTGGAGGACACGCTGGATTCAACAGACCACCTCCGCCCACCAGTTGTCCATTGACCAACCGATGCTACTATGTAAAATCATGGACAGAGTATGATCTGCCAGTGACGCAGTACAACTGCAGTCTCACCAATTATGGACGAGATGCAATTGGTAGCATCAACCTTGGCATCTATGGCAGCTACATCAAGGATATATGGGAACTGACAACCAACAACGGTGGCAAATCATGGGACTTGGTCGAATGGCGTAAACAAACACCCATCCAACCCGGACAGGCTCATACCTGGGGATACAACGTACACGGCCAACAAGAACTGTATATCAACCCATGCAACAACTTCCCACCAACCTATACCGCCGGCACTAGTTCATCTGGGTTCACTCCATTCTCCTATGGTTCTTCTTCTTCTACTTCAGGTGGTCGTTCTCCATCTGACTTTTAAATTAATTTAAATTAAATACACCCAAGACAAGACATGATTTGGTATGACATCACCAAGCAAGGTCATCATCAAAAAAAAAAAAAAGATAAAAATAAATTTTAATAATTTTTGGGTACCAAAGAAAGAATTTGAAAGCAAAGCTTGTGTCACTTCTCTTTTTTTTTAACAAACATACACATACATACATAAAGGATATATAGAGAGAGAGAGAGAGAGAGAGAAAGAAGAAGAAGGGATTATCAAAAAGGAGGAATGATATTAAGAGTAGAGTAGTAGAAAAGAAATAGAATGAAAGGTGGTAATAATAATAATAATAATACTTCTACTTCTAGTAGTGGTGGAACATCAACAACATCAACAACATCGACTACTTCTACTACTGCTACTTCACCACCTCCCGTTTCATCATCATCATCTTCACCTAGGATGACAAGACCATTAATACCTGCAATATTATCAAAATTGGGATCATTTAATAAAAATAACATCATCAACAACAACAATCATAATAATAGTAGTAATATTAATAATAGTAATGAAAATCTTTATAATAGTAATAACTCTTTAAAATCAAGTTTAAATAGTAGTAATAGTAGTAATGGTAGTAGTACAAGTACAAGTGGTTTTCATCAGAAATCATCTTCATTGGGTAATATGAGTAGTTCAGTCTTATCAAATAGTAGTAGTAGTAATGGTGGTGGTGGTGGTGGTAGTGGTTTATCAACACAACAACGACTTATAAGATCATATATAAGAGGTAGAAAAACCGAATACAATCAAATACCTCGTTATGAATGGAATGATAGATACCATTCGATTATGGAGATGGATCAAACCACTGATTTGGAACAACAACAAAAGTATCAATTGCTTTGTGAATTGGTAGATGAATTTAGACATGTTGCAAATGATCATGCCAAAGTAATCATCAATGAAAAGGATAAATCAAATGATCAAAGATCAATCCCTTTAGCAAATCAACATGGTATTGCTGGTGGTGAAAAATACATTGTTTGTGTAAGAAATTAAAAAAGAGATAATATAATAATAATCAAAAAGTATACTAATTATTCTTTTTATTTTGTTTTATTTAGAATATATTATTTAAATTTCCAGTTGATAAACGTGGAATTTATGGTGGATCAACTGAAAAGGTACAAAAGACATTTGGACATGAATTGAAATCATTGAATCATTATCAAGAATATAGTTTGGATGGATGTATTATTCGATTTCCACTGATGGTTATGATTGATTACCAAGGACAGAGACTGTTGGCACAACCAGTCATCCCAGAGATTGTTCCTACTGGCAAAGACCAACCTTCCACCATTCGATACGGTACCGATGTTGGTGGAGTGCCAATAGAGTGCAACGACGAACTCATCATTGTACCCCTTTACGATCTCGCCGCAAAATTAAATCTCGAGAATCACATACATTTCAATCAAGTGGTTGCCACGCCATTTGACACTGAAATTCATCAAACTCCTTCTGACAATTCTTATTATATTTTAGATCTTGCCAGAACTTTTCCTCCCTGTTATTTTTTTCAGGCACAATATAGGTACAAATAAGAATTACAAGAAGAGAAATGGTTTATATATATATATATTTATATTAATGACCATTTTTTATTATTTTTATTTAATTTCGTTAGATGTAAAGAATTTTATGAATTAATGAGACCAGAATTGGTAGCAAATTATCCAGAAGAATTAAATCCAGATGGATTTATAGTGTCATCTAGCATTCCTGTTCCTTTGGAACGACGGGATGACTCAAAGAATTTAATCAAGGCAACAGATACGTTGATTATTGATATCATTCCGCCAATTGCTTCGAATATTAGTAGCATGTATAATGGAATTTTAAATCAACAAGATGATGAAAAGAATTCAAGACCAACGACCATTGAAAGTAAAAATTCATTTATAGAACTACCAATTCATATTATTGGTGAACATGTACAGGATCAAGACGAGGAAGAGGAAACCATCGACCAACAAAACATCTATCAACAAAAGGCATTTGAAGTTCGAAACTTGATAGATTTTATTCATTTCAATGGAATCAATCTACGTTATCTATTTTATTTTGCAACTCTTATTCAAAATGATAATTTTGGTTTTAAAACTTTAATTTTAACAGAAGCAATTGCTAGAATTTTAAAAAAAGTTATTAGGTAAAGGAGAAGAAAAAGAAAAAAGAAAAAGAAAAAAGAAATATTTATTTATATTTATATTTATTTAGAGCACAATTAAGAGATCAATTTTTAAAATATAAAGGATTTGATTCAACACATTCAATACCAAAAGATATTATTGGTAGAATATTTCAATATATATTTGGTAGTGATCCAAAACATCACAAATTTTGGATGAGTTTGGAAAAAGGTCAATTAAAACATTCAATTATCGCAGCCATCCCAGTTGCAGGTCAAACAAAAGATAAATCTTATTTTTATGATACATTTTCAGAGTATGTAAAATCAATCAATTAAAGTTATAAACGTAAAAAATTAATTTTTTTTCTTTTTTATAGACGAGTAAATTTAAGAGATTTAATTGATACAAAATTATTAATAGTTAGATTAATTGATATGTTGAATATAAAAATTAATCCAGTATCATATCAAAACTATTTAAATGATTTCCAAATACTTGGCAAGGATGATGTGATTGAACTTGGATCAGTTGAAAAATATCCAAGTTTTATAGATTATGCAAGAGGTGTATTGGGGTTAATTTCAATCAAAAGTATGATGAAATCAGATCAACATAGTATAACTGAAATCAATTTATTATTAGAACAATCTTTATTAAATTTACACAAGGTAAAAAAACAAATATAACAAAATTAAAAAGACGATTTATCTAACTTTTTTTTTATTTTTATTTTAGGCAAGATCATCAGTACCATCATCAAAAAAGATAGCTTATCAATTGGCATATGCTTATTTATTAAAGAGTTATACATTAACCAATTGGTCAGAGTCACTTTCAAATCTTTTAAAGGCCAGAGTAATCATATCCGATTCAAAATATACAAAAATGAAGGATGTCAAGTTGTTGTGTTTAATGGCAATTATAAATTTACACATTTCAATTACAAATTTATATTTCCAAGGTGAAAATGTATGTAAACTCTACAACAAACTTTGGTAACAAGATATCTTGTATGTTCATTTCTAACTTTTTTTTTTCTCTAGTCAAATGAAAAATTAATTTTAGATTCTCTTCAAGAGGCATTACTAGTGAATGAAATATTGACAAACAAAATTATACCAGACATGTTATTGATTGGAGTTTATGGTACTAGTGGAAGTGATTTTGTCGATACTGATAGTGGAGCATCAAAAGACATTCCCAGCTTTGGATTGGAAAAGAGAAAGAACTATGAAATTACATCGTTGATTAGATTGATCACCTTTGAAAATCGTAAAAAAGAACTTGTCGATCTTGTCGTAGACAACCTGAAAAAGGTAAAGAGTTTATGGTACTTTTCACAAGAGGCTCAAGACGACAATATTCGAAAGATGTTGTTTAGTACTAGCAATGTACTCGACAATTTCCACATTGAGGAATCGATTGATGGTATTAGTCTACAAACAGACGGACTACCAAAAGTCACAAATCGGCTCATCCTCGACAACATCAAGATTAAAAACGTTAGTCAAAGTGTCAGAGAACAACAAGATGAGATGCGAAATATGGTTAAACATGTTCAAGAACTCTATCTATTACGATCATCTGCAACGGATATATTTCCATACCTCAAGGAAACCAAACTCACCTCTTTTACCATTTCTCATCCAAATCTAACAATTGATGTTCTTCAACCAATTCAACATTTAAATTTTGAAAAATTAACAAAAATCACTATCATTAATAATAATAATAATCAAATGAATCAAATGAATCAAATTAATAATATTAATAATAATAATAATCATATGAATCAAATGAATCAAATTAATAATAATAATAATAATAATAATAATAATAATAATATATCAGATTTAACATTTAATTATAAACATCATCAAATTGGTGGAAATTTGAATATACCAATATTAAAAACAACAAATGTACATAGTAATAACCAACAACAACAACAACAAAAGTCATCGCCATCAAGTTCACCAAGAAGTTCACCAAGAAGTGAAAATTTTCATTCTATTTCCAAACATTTAAGTTCTTGGTCGTCACCATGCGCAACATCATCCAACACTCTTTCACCAACTCCTCCTTTATCGCCACTTTTACTTCCTTGCAACAATACGATGTCATCATCATCATCTTCAACAACAGCGGCATTGGATACAATCTATCAAACCATTATTAAAAAATGTCGTGGATTGACTCAATTGGCGATTGTCGACTCGAATATCACGGACCAAGCATTCTTTACGGTGCCCATGTCATTTACAAACACACCAAACTCTTCGAAACACTGTATATTTAACGCTGATTCACCCCTTCGAAAGTTGTCACTGCGTCATTGTAAATCGCTGTCCAATACTTGCATCTACACGATTTTGTCGAGTCTGCCTCGCCTAGAAAAGATCGATCTGTCCTACACCAATGTCAAGGAGTCTATTGCCGACCTCTTGTTTGACTGCAAGCGTCTTTCAAGTCTTGCACTTGGTGGTTGCAAAGAAATCTCTAGTCGATCAATCACTAATTTACTCCAATTAATGGAGCCCCAACAACTCGTTCGTATCACCTCGTTAGAGTTGCCCAACTTTTCGTCTGAAGAATCCAATATGGGAGATACACTCCAAAAACTGGTCAATCTCGACTGTTTTGGCTTTCCAACTAATATGCGTATATTTTCCAATTCGTCACATTTTATACCAAAGTTGTTGGTACGTCGTATCGTCCTCAATGGATGTATCTTGAAGGATCTACCCAGTTTGCTTCGTAATTGTCCAAACCTAGAGGTCATAGTCTTTAACAATGTCATTTTCGAGGGACTCATTGTCAACGATTGGACACCCTCCATCTTTGATGAATTGGACAACAACTATGACTCGTTGCAACATATTTTAGAATTGGAGATTCTCGATCAAATACGCAAACGAGAATACATACAGATTGTAGAAAAGCTTCTCTATAGAACAAGCCAACTCAAGCGAATATCAATCAATCCATGTTTCAATGATCCCAATGACACCACTATTGCAGATCTATCAGAAAAGTTTCCTTTTATTAAAATTGATAAAATTAATAGTTATTATTATTAATAATAAAAGAAATTTACAAATTATATTATAATATAAATTTAAATATATTAGTATTATTTATTATTTACTTAGTTATTATTTATTATTTATTTTTTTTGTTGCATTTCTTTTCTAAATTCATTCATTATAAATTGTTTTTGTTGTTGAGAGATATTGTCTGGAGCACCTTTCATTTTAAGTGTTTCTTTTCCATTAACATTAGAGTAAGAGATTGATACACCATCTCTAGATTTAGATGATGTATAAACAAAGTTGTGTACTTCAGAATGTTCCTCTACACTATTGACCAAATATTCAGTTTCACATATTCCATCTTGACATGTATTCAATACAGTTACAATATTATCTTCTTTTCCATCTCCAACTTGGTTTCCAGGGTTTTGTTGTTTTTGTTTGTAATTTTTGGTTGTTGATGATGATGATGATTTCTTTGTAGTTGTTGAGGAAGAAGAAGAAGAAGAAGAAGAGGAAGAAGAGGAAGATGATGACGAGGATGAATAACTATAAGATGATGCAGCTGATGGGTCATGACCATGATGATTATTATTATTTTGATGTAAACCACTTTGTTTATTAACGACTACATCTCTAGCACTAGTTATAGTTGCAATACAAGCAATACCAATCAATAATAATAATATGATTGTTAAATGATTTGATTTCATGATTGAGTTGAATCGAATTGAATTGATAACTTGTTGGTCTTTTCTTTTATATTAATGAATGTGGTCACTAGTTATCTTTTATAGCTTTAATGATTGTTTGTGTTTGACATCAACCAACGCACACACATTTGTTAAGAGGTGTAGAAAAGAAATAGAACTTGAGAAAGAAATAATAGTGTGTTTTGTTATTATTAGTGTGTTTTGTTTGCACCGTCATCAATCAAAACCTTCCATTATAATGGGTAGCATCTGAGTCATTAAATATTTAAATATATTGGTATGAAATTAAAAGACGAGACTTTAACAGAGACGAAAAAGCATTACAGATATACAACATATCATTAGAGAATCTATGCCAAAGAGAAGGATGGATCAGAACAAGAACAGCAAGTACTTGGAGGATGCAGATTCTGTGTTAAAAGTGACAACAAAAATATTGTATTAGGTATATAATGAACGAATTGCACTCATTAATAGATCCATTTAATCAAATCACAATTTATAGATAATTTTGTAACAATAGATATATATTTATTTAAATTTATATAGTTAGCAAGTCAAGTTATATATTCAAAGATCTCACCTTCATCTTATGCTTGGCGTCTAAACTTAACATCAAATTTGATGTTTGTTAATTGCTTGGATGATTGGAGCACGACATATCATTTTCAAGTCAGTTAATGTTTCTGCTTCATCTGGTCCCTGCACTCTTGGAGGAGATGTTGACTTGAAGAGTTTAGTGCTTTTTTGTGTACTTTGCCTTTCTTTCCACTTCAAGTACTCAATCTACCCAAAAAAGCACTAGACTAGACTCTTTCATTTCAGCCACCAATGCACCAGCCGCCGACGATCGTCATCACTAGACAATCAAATGTAAGATAAGAAGAGATAAAAGATTGTTTTATTTATTATTAATTACACAACAACTTTAAAGAATTAATTAATCTATATATTTTTTTTTTTTAAAGACTTTGAGCAGAAACATAATAAGCTTTAATGACAGAGAGTGGAAGACCAGTTAAAAGATCGACTCTAAAGAAACCAGCGCCTCCAACACCCAACCCCAAAACCTTTTGATAGATGGATGATGGTGACTGGTATTGGTATTGGGAGATGGCATCATTGGAAGCCATCAAGTTGACATAGGGTGTTCTAGAGTTTGATGTAATTCCATCACCAACCAAATAGGCGGTACCAATAGCATTGTAGATACCATTTAACCCAATCGATGGTAGACCATTTGGATATGATGCTGGGTTGTAGTTGCATGTGGTACCATAGAGACCATAGTCCATGGGTCCACAGTTGGCAAAGTAAGAGTACAGTGGAAGACCAACTACAATCTTTCCTGGTTTGTTTACATATGCCTTCCAAGTAGTGATACCATTACGAACGGTATCATAGGGAGAATTGGAACGAATCATTCCATCATTACCACCCATATCATAACACATGGCAAAAAAGTAGTCACTGTAATCAGTGTTCCATTGGTTTTGGTCATAGTGACATGGGACGGCAGTAGAGACGACATAGTAGTTGATCCACTTGGTATAGTTGTAGATAGTCTTCATCCATTGATTCTTGAAAGTGTTGGGTGGAACAAAGGTAGAGCTACCTTCAAAATCAATGTTGAAACCATCGGCACCCATACTAGAAACCAATCCAACATCGGCTACATACCCATTGTTTGCCATGTAGGCTTGACAAGGATAGGTAAAGACACCATTTACTTTGGCTCCACAATCAAAGCCAACCCAGTGATGAACTTGAGCACCGTTCAAATGGGCGACACAAATCAACAAAGCAAGTGCATTCTTGTCTGTCCAAGTTGCAAAGTCGGTGAGGATTATACTATTGCTTTGCAACAATAATGTGTCCTTGCGGGTCAAGTTGTTATAGAAATCAACGTTGGGTGCAATAATGTAGGACCAAACCTTTTTTAAATCATAGTTGATTGGTGGTGGCGACAGAATACTTCCACAAGCTGGAGCAGTACGACACTGCAATGGTAAATTTTGGTTTTTGGTTGGATCATTACAAAATGCTGCATTAACACTTGAAAATGAAATGGCAATTGAAATTAAAATGATTATAATTGTAAATGTATACATATATAGATTTTTTAAATAATATGTATTATTAATATTATTATTAATATTTAGTTTTACAAATTAAATTAATATATCAATACTAACCTAAAAAACTCTATTCTTTTATAGTGTGAATTTGTAAAATGGATTTCCATCACTTTTTTCCAAAAGCATCTATTAGCTGGTAGATAGATACTTGTGTGTCTCTATTTATGGATTGTATAATACCGTCCTATTATAAAACGACACAATGAAATTTAATCTCTCTGGCTTCTCTCTCTTGTTGTATTCGACTATAATAAGTAAGTGATGAATGTTGTGTATATTACGACATAACAACGGTCGGACCGCTTACCGAAACATTGGGGTGCATTGAATGAAAAAGTGGTGTTTAGACAATTTTAGCCAAACAAAAAGTTGGGGTTATGGTAGGACTCTTTCCAGCAACGTAGGCATAGTTGTGATAGCTTTAATTATTTTATTAATTTTAATAAATTATTCAAGATTATATTATATTTTGTATTATCACTTTGATTATCACCTGTTACATCTAATAACCATACACAGAAAAATAAAGCATAAAATTTGATTAATTTAGTTTGTGTTGTTGTAAATTGTTTGTTGTCACTTTCAAAATATCCATTTTCTATATATTCAATAAATGACCAATCTCCATAGACATGTGAAAGTATTCTACCAATATCATATAAACCATCGCCACTAATTGCATCTGCAAAATCTATTATTCCATTTACTCTGTATTGTTCTTGTTCTTGTCCTTGTCCTTGTTCAAGTTTAACCATTCTAATATTATTACTACAAACATCTGCATGCACCAAACATGGTGTATTGAATTCTTTTAAATGTATAGATACCTCTTGATAGAATTGGTCCAATATATTATAGACTTGATCGCCATCTTTATAGTCTTGCAATATATTTTTGGTATCAAAGAGATTCTTTTCTAAACATGATTTAGCTGATTCCATGAAATCGCTGAAATACTCTATCCAATGATCCAACTCTCCTCGCAGAGGTCGGTGTGGTAGATCCTCCTCTTCTTGTACCATACCACCATACTTTTCCGTCTTTACACTATGCATTTTTACCAATAATCTTCCTACCTCTTGAAAGGTTGATTTACTTTGATCAACGGGTACTTTGAATGGAAACTCTGTATAGATCTCGCTTAGATCAGCCTGAGGCATATATGATTCAATCATATATCTATCTAATCGATCATCGTCACGTGCCAAGACACTTGGTACAGGGACACCAGCCCCTTTATATCGCTCCATAACACGTGCTTGCATTCTAACGGCATGCATTGCAGGTCTATCTTGATCTTTTCCATCTTTTCTTGGTATTCTTATTACTATTGTTGTTTGATTGTTGTCATCTTGTTGATTTGAAACTACATAAACATCATTATCATATCCTTTTGAACAATCTTTAATGGTTACATTATTGTCAACAAGCCATGTTGGGTAATGTTTCTTTAATATGTTATTAACTTTTTCTATACGTTCTTGATCCATTGATTCGCTATTTATTTAACTTAATGATCACAACCACAAACAACGCTTTTATAACAATTGATTGATCAAAAAAGAGATATACTAATGAGTTCTCCATACCCTAAAAACAAAGAATGAGAATCTTGTAAGATCAAACTATTAATAAATGATTTTTCATTTTTAACTGTTTTGGCGCTATATTATTTTTTTAGTATAAACTGCAGCATAACTATTAATAATATTAGATAGTACTAGCTAAACAAAACAACAATGGTGCAGCGTACACTCAAAGATCTAACACTAGAGCAGTGTGATGGTATGGGTGACAGTACACATGATGTTTACGGATCGCCCAAGTTTATAAAATGTGGATTTACTCATGTAGAGGCTACTATCCCAGGGTCGCTAGGCAAATATAGAATCACTATCAACATGGATAGCAATGGTAGAGTTACCTCATATTGCACATGTCCAGTTGGAGGATGGTGTAAACATATTCGTGAAGTTGCAATGGCCATGTATCATCGATTACAGTCAATTCCATTGTCAAGACTATCACCCAAACAAAAATACAGAGAACAGTTACAAAGATTAACAAAGGATCAACTAATAGATCGGTTAGTTGAGAAGGCATTCCCAATTAATGTTGATGCCGAAGATGATGAAGAAGATGATGAAGAAGATGAAGATGAAGATGACGATGAAGATGACGACTATGACGACGAACAACAAAGCTATGATGATAACGATGATCAAGAAGACTCAGATGAAGATGATGAAGATGCATTTCCAGAGGAAGAGGAAGATCAAGAACATAGAGGTTACAAAAGATCAAGGAAATAATAATAATATTAATAATAATATTATTAATAAAGAGGCAATTTATAATTATAATTTATAAATAATTCCTTACTGAGTGAGTTGGAGCTAGTTGGGAGGGAGGGGTTTACTTTACATTACTATGTGTGTCAGATCAAATAATAATAATGATCATACGATTTTCATTATTGTATGATAATTATATTATTATTTTTAATATCCTAAACAACTATTAAAGTTTTAAAATTAGACAGACCATCAACAAAAGTAATAACAATGGTGCAACGCACACTCAAAGATCTAACACTACAACAGTGTGATGATCTGGGTGACGGTACACAAGGTGTTTACTCGTCGCCCAAGTTTATCAAATGTGGATTTACGCATGTAAAGGCAACCATGACAGGGACGCTTGGGAAATATAAAATCACTATCGATATGGATGACCACGGCAAAGTTGAAACATGCTGCACATGTCCGGTTGGAGGAGACTGCAAACATATTCGGGTGGTTGCAATGGCCATGTATCGTCGATTACAGTCAATTCCACTGTCACGTCTAACACCTAAACAAAAATACAGAGAACAGTTACAAAAATTAACAAAGGATCAACTAATACAACGATTTGTTGAGAAGGCATTCCCAATTAATATAGATGACGATGACGACGATGACGATGACGATGATGAAGATGAAGATGAAGAGGATGAAGAGGAAGGTGAAGAAGACTACGATGTAGGCTATGATGTTGACGATGACCAAGAAGTTGAAGATGCTGTAGATGCTTTTCCTCCAGAGGATGAGGAAGATGAACAAGAAGAGGAAGAGGAAGAGGAAGAACATAGAGGTCACAAAAGAACAAGACAATAAACATGTTTATCTATATAAACAAACATTTTATAATTCCAAAACTGGTTTAGGGATTTTGTGATTGCAGAACGTCTTGGAGTAGTTTGGTAGCTATTTCTATATGAACCAGTTAGGAGGGGATTTGCTTCCCACTATTGTGACTGAGGATCGGCGGTTATTACGAACAGAAGCAAAGCAACAGTTCAGACTACTCGGTGGACGCGTCACGTGATGAGAGAGTAAAAAAACATGTTATCTATTATAATTCCAAAACAAAACAGGTTTAGGGATTGTTAGGATTTTGTGATTGCGGAACGTCTCGAGTAGTTTGGTAGCTAGTTCTATATGAACCAGTTAGGAGGGGATTTGCGTCACCAAAGCCACTATTGTGACCGAGGATCGGCGGTTATTACGAACAGAAGCAAAGCAACAGTTCAGACTACTCGGTGGACGGGTTCCGTGATGAGAGAGTTTAATGAGATTCATTCAAAGTATGACGACTCTATTTATGCACAAAATTCCTAAGACCCTAAAAACCCTAAGTAATGAAAAGTCTCTATTATCATATATTTCAAGACGAATCATTCTAAACATCAGGTTGCTGGGATAAAAAAAAAGAAACGTCACAAGTTAAAAAAATCAAGATATTTTTAAAGAAAAGGATTGCCAACGAATTATTTGTATTTATAAATTAATTTTATTTAATTTTTTCCAAAGTTTAAATTGGATTAGTACCATATTTATTATCGACAGACCAACTTACAAAAGCTTCAACAGCTTCAAATTCAGTGAGACCAAGACGATCGTAGATTTTGGCGGTGGCGCGGTTACGATCCTCTGCACGAACCCAAAATTCACGTTTATCGGTGCCTGGGAAGGCTGGGATATCCTTTTGGGATTGATGTTTAAAGATGGACATTCTCTTGCGCAATAGTTCGTGTGGAGACATTGGTACGGCCATTTCAATACGTTCTGGCTCCCATTCTTGCCATGCACCACGGTACAACCATACCTGGCAATCGCGCATCCACTGTTCGGTTTTGAGACGGTCGATAGCGGCCAAGATAGCCTTTAGACAGACACGATGGGTTCCATGTGGATCAGAAAGATCACCGGCAGCAAAGATAATCTCTGGTTTGACCTTGGTGAGGAATGCAACCATGATTTGGATATCTTCCTCGCCCAATGGTTTCTTCTTGACTGCACCAGTCTCGTAGAATGGAAGGTCGAGGAAATGAATACGGTCGGGACGGACACCGGCATAACGGGCACCAGCACGTGCCTCTGTTTGACGAATGAGACCCTTGAGCAATTGGATTTCACGAGAGTCTGGTTCTGCTGGTTGTTTGCCTTGAATATATGTTTCGACAGAGTTTTCAATGTCTTGAGCCTTCTTTTTGGCTGCCTCATCAAAGCCAAACAACTTTGTAAACTCTTGAGCAAAATTGGCAAATCTCTTGGCATCGTCATCCCAAACTGCAATATTACCAGATGTTTGATATGCTACATGAACTTGATGTCCTTGATCACATAATTTAATAAATGTTCCTCCCATTGAAATTACATCATCTAAAACAAGCAAAAAGTTAATACATATTCTATTCTATTCTAATAACAAAATATTAATAATTTACCATCTGGATGTGGAGAAAATACAATAACTCTTTTTGAAACTGGTAAAGAGGTTACGGAAGGGGTATCCCAATTATCATTTTGTACTTGAATTGGCAATGGACCTAATCCAAGACCAGCTGGTGATTTTGGTGGTGATTGGATTGGTCTACCTCCTGGCCATCCTGAAATAGTTGATTGTAAATATCTAAATACTTTAAGATTTAAATTTGGACATGGACCATATGCTCTACAGAATTAAAATAAAATAAAAATAATCTTGTTAATATTATATTAAATATATATAAATATAACTATAAACATATATTTTCATACTTTAATAAAGAAGCTAAATTATTATCATGATATTCTTCTTCTTGTAATTTAAGAATTGGTTTGTTTAATTTGAGTGATAACCAAATGACAGCTTTACGGGCCAATAAGGGTGTCCATTTGATTTGGACGGGAGTGGTGGTACCGTGGATAGTCCATGGTTGCTTTGAACGGGTGAGTTCGGTGGCGGCGGCCTCGTCAATCACCAATTGACAGTTTTTGTGTTGTTGAAAGATAGATGATGGGACGGCGGTAGTGACGTCTCCCTCGGTCGTCTTTTGGACTACGGCAGCCTTGCCTTCGGAAAAGGCCATTAAAATGACACGCTTGGCGTTGTAGAGTGTCTGCAGACCCATGGTGAGGGCTTGGTGTGGCACATTGTCAGTGCCGAAAAAGTCAGATGCAGCGTCGATACGTGTGTTTTGTTCAATGTCGATGAGACGTGTCTTGGAGGTCTTGTCGGTACCAGCCTCATTGAAACCGATACGTTTGCCAATTGGCAAGAGCAACACGTCAATACCACCCTTGGTCTTGATCAACTCTTCATAGTCTTGGCAGTGTTGTTCAACTTGATCAGCTGAAATCTCTCCATTTAAAAAGTTGATATTACTCTGATTAATATCAATCGATTCAAACAAGTTTTCTTGCATAAATCTAACACATAGACATATTTAGAAAGTTAGTAAGTTTTGTCTATCATTATACTCTTTAACATTCATCGTCATCGTCTCATACCTATAATAACTTTGAATAGTACGTTTAGAGATTGGATAATATTCATCAATGTTAAAAGTGACAACATTGGCAAAAGAGACTTTCTTGTCTTTGCATAGATTGATCAGCTGATCATAGACACCGGTGGGTGTTGATCCGGCCGACAAACCAATGACACATGCACGACCCTCTTGATTAGCTTGTTTGATGATATTGACAATCTCGCTAGAGATAAAGGTGTTGGCTTGTTCGGGATGCTTATACACATAGGTTGGTAGCTTCTCCCTAGATCTAAAGTCTTTGGTGCAATCAAATAGACCGTCATCTCTAACTGTACAAACTCCACTTGTTGTCATTGTATATATCTCTCCTCTCTCTCTTTAATAATAAATAATGTAAATAAATAAATAAATAATAAACTTGATGGTTTGGTTGTTGACCTCTCGATGATTGCCACCGCAATAATGGGTGTTGAACAAAGTGTTGATCACTGCCAATGAACATTTAAAAATTTATAAAAATTAATTAAAATGAGTTGGGAATCCCGACGACATCTGATGGTCTGTCCCAGGCTGTAGCTGGTATCCAACTTCTTGAGCAGAACTCATCTATCATATGACTATACTTTGTAATAATTATGACGACGATTATAACATTTCAAACCTTGTTTCGATTATCTTGGATTAGACATGTAATATTCAATCAAATCAAAGAGATATCTTCATCATCGTCGTCATCATCATTGGTGCATGGCGGTGGTGCTACTGCTACTGCTACTGCTACACCACCAAAGAGATACGATGTAAAGAAGGGAAAGGATATTGTATCTTTACCTCATCTTGCAATGATATCAGATTATGCAATGCCATGGTGTTTTGTCAAACACTATATACCTCCAATCGACAGCGTATTGACTAAAAGAAGATTGAATGTGATCAGTAGATACTGTATGCATCCCAATGCCAATCTACAAACACTCTTACATCTTTTGGAATGGTATCCAGATTATAGTCCTCAAAACAACAAAGCTGATAGATACATGACAAAGAGTATTGTGAGGTATGGTCATAAAGATATATTAGAGTATCTCATTCAACGGTTTCCCAATATTGGTTTATCAGGTACACTTGAAATGGCAGCTCAACATGGTCATCTATCAATACTACATCTACTACTAGATGGTCAACTCGTTAAAGAATTAGTAGATCCCTATCTAATTGATATCGCTGCACGATTCGGACACTTAGATATCGTCATCTACTTGAGTGATATTAAAACACAGCTTTGTAGTGTTAATGCAATGGATGAAGCTTCTCGAAATGGCCACTTTGATATAGTAAAGGTAAGAATAAATCAATCAATCAATCAATCAGACAGTCGGACCGACTGTCATATAAATACAAACTAATTAATCATCATTTATTATAGTTTCTTCATTTCAACCGAACAGAAGGAGGTACAACATCAGCTATGGATCATGCATCAGTTAAAGGTCATTTTGAAATTTTAAAGGTATGTATCATCAACCAACTAAACCAACCAACCAAACAAAATACATGTGTCTAATAATAACTTTTTGGTATTGAATTGATAGTTCTTGAGTGAAAATAGAACAGAAGGATGCACTACACATGCGATGGATTACGCAGATGTTGATGGACCAGGCATTGAAATTGTTCAATATCTACATCAATATCGGACCGAAGGATGCACAGTCAAGGCTATGAATTTTATGGCATATAAAGAGAATATTGAAGCTTTAAAATTCCTTCACTATAATCGTACAGAAGGTTGTAACACTAGTGCATTAAATTATGCATGTTCAAAAGGTAACTGGGATATTATAAAGGTATGTTTGATCAATCATAATAATAATATACAAATATACAATATATATATACTTTTTAAAAGACCTATTATTATTAACAAAACAATTGTATTATTCATTAGTTTCTACATGAAAATAGAACAGAGGGATGTACAGATTATGCTATAAATCAAGCCATTATGAATAATTGTAGTTTGGAAATTATCAAATTTATTCATGAACATCTTGCGCAAGGGTGTTCATTTGAGGCTCTGCGATCATCGGCAAAGAATCCTCAAGTATTTCATTTCCTTTATCAAAATTATTATTCATCACAGTCTGATATATGGACTGATATAATGGATTATATAGCATATGATGGAAACTTTGAAATATTAAAGGTAAATGAATCCAGTCACTTCAATATTCGAATATTAATATATTAACAATATTTATTTATTAACTAGTTTTTACATGAGAATACTACTTTAGAATGCACAATAGATGCCATGAATAATGCGGCAAGTGCGGGCCACTATGATGTTGTAAAGTTCTTACATGAGAACCGTACAGAGGGATGCACAACTGATGCTATGGATTTTGCCGCCACAAAAGGTCATTTTGAAATATTAAAAGTTTGTATTCGTATCTATTTATACCAAAAGCTTATTGATTCAATATTTATTCAATTATCTTTTTAGTTTTTACATTATAATCGTACAGAAGGATGCACTTCACTTGCATTAGAAAAGGCAATTTCGAATGGTAGAATGGAGATTGTTAAATTCCTTTATGAAAACCGGACCGAAAAGTGTACAGAGAATGCTTTAAGAGTTGATACCCGGTATCCCAACTACGAAGTTATTCATTATGTATTATCAAATCAAATCATACCAAAACATTCACTTCAACAAGGAACACTCATTTCCATCATTGTTCGGTATAGCCTCAACCACACTTCAACTTTGTATTTTGAAATCTTGGATCTCATTGAACAATATTATGGTTATGGTTTTATTGATGAATGTAATGACGAATACAATTAACTTTAACTTAATTAATTCAATATTTGTTTGTTGGGTTGGTTTGGTTTGGTTTATTTTAATTAAAACGTTAAGAATGCGATTATATACAATATACATATAAACAAAAAAAACAAATGCAAAAGAGAGGAGTATGATTGACAATCAATCACCTACTACTACAATTATTATTATTATGTACTACTATTACTATTACGAATAGATCTATCTTTGTTTGTTGGTTGACCACTTGTGGGAGAGACAACAGTAAATTCATCTTCATGAATCTCTTCACCCGAGGATGATGTTGTTACACTGATCATGTCCTCTGAAGAACCTTCAACCAAAACAACATCCGAGTTTGTAGCATCACTAGTCATAGTAGCAAATGAAAGTGTACTATGATTTCTTGATGGTTGTTGATTGGTTTGTGATAATGACTGTTGTTGTTGTTCTTGTTGACTTGAAAGTTGTTGATTATCATCACCATCATTATTATTGCTGTTGTCATTGTTTAATGTTTCAGATGATTGATCATTTTCCTTTTCCTCTTCTTGTTGTCCATTATCTTCAACATCTTCAGTAGATCTAGCCAATCTACGTTTCTTATTGTTAAATGATTCTACAAGCATACATTCAATCACCTTGATTTCTTTTTTCGAGTTTTCCAGTGCTTGTTGTGGATTGGAAAGATTCGAACGAATAAATACAGGTGTGACAACAATGGCAAGACTATGAGCATCCATCTTTGTCTTTGCAATAAACTCTGGTTCTATAAACTCTACCAAGAAATCAATCACATAGTTTAATACCTTTTGATGTAATAATGGAATACCATTCTTTATAATCTTCCATGAATTTTCTGGTGATTCTATTATTTCATCACTAAAATAAATAAAATAAAATAAGTATAAATGATTGTTTTTTTTAGTTTTTCTATTATTATTTTTTCTATTACATACTAGATAGCAGAAGAAATTAAAGGATTTGGTAAATCTCTTAACCAATGTTTAAATAGAGTGGCAGCAAGATAAGGGTCATCTATATGATCAAGATTACCACCTTGATCCAACTTTTGTTTTTCTATTTGGATGGAATGATGTACTGGTGATATTCTAAATATTCCCTCTGTTTCCAAAGCACCAAGTCTCAACAAAGTTTGAATAAAACTATTGAGAATCAATGGAACGGTTTCATTTGGGAATTGTTTCTTTTGTGCATCCATTAGCTCCTCCAAATCAGATCCAAATATTGATGCTTTTGATGGTGATGATGGAGCTCCAGGTGTTAGAATTGGTGGTGATGAAATATTATTTGATGAAATTGATAATTGATTTGTCTAAAAATAAAAAAAGAATGAGTAAAGGAAAATAGTAAACTTTTACAATATTATTCATCTCTTCTTACATCATCAATTGATCTTGCCAAGGCAGCAGTTGATTTGTTAAAGAACCCAATGATATTATCTTTGAGGGATCTAGTTGGTGGACTTGGAGATTGTGGGATATGATTGGATTGATTCAGAGAGATGATCTTTGACTCTAGGTATGGTTCAAATTGAAAGGGGAGAGGTAGTTTTTTTTGTGATTGATGTGTTTTGATAAAGGTATTTAAATCCAAATCAGGGTCAATCCAATCTGTTTGTTTACATCCATTATTCAACTCTGCCTCCAATGAAGAAGGAATTTCCATCATTAATGCCATATAATTTTTAATATTACTTTTAATAAATTGCATTCTCATTAATTCAAATTGTTCAAATTCCTTAAAAATAAATATAAATATAAATATTAATTAAATATTTATCTCTTACTTTTAAAATTTCAATCTATACATACATTTAAATTATCAGCCATTTTAGATTGATAATTACCATAAATAAATTCATTTGTTTCTTTGATTTGATCTTTATATTCTTGTTCAGCAATCAAAGCCAATGATTCACATTTGGCAACTTTTTTTTCAATGGTTTGAATTTTAAGGGATGGACCTACTCCGTCTTGTTCTCCCTCTTTTTCAATCATTGAAATCAATTCCATCTTGGCCGACTCTATATCTCTACATAGTCTTTCATATTTTTGGTGACCTTTTCTAACTGCATCCAATGAATCCTTATAATCATTTCTTAATTTTTGTCCATCATTTACCAACTAAATTTAAAATTAATAATTAATTAATAATTATGTTATCATTAATCTCTTATTCCATATTTAATTTTACCTTTTTTCTTCTTGATTCCAATTCTTTAACAAATGCAGTAAATGGATGACAAAGATTATTCAACAGATTCTGAGAGAATGATTTATGTATATTTGCTTCAGCATCACTTAACATTGATATACATGTAAATCCTCTTTGGAATGAACTATAATAATAATAATTAATTAATATTAAAATTAAGTCAATGTTTTTTAACACTTTGATAGGACCAGTCAGATACTACTACTATTACTTGCTACCTACTCTGTTTCATCTTTTAATTTAAATTTAGATATTTGATTCTTTGATAATTTCTCTTCAATGGCAACTCTCTTTTTAAAAAACTCTAACAATTCTTTACATTGATCTAATCCAACCTCTGTACGTTTACATAGTGTTTCAAATCCTTCCCACATATCACGTCCAAATGATAATGGTCTCTGTGTACTATTGTTGTTACTACTTTCATCATCTTGGTCGTTTAAAATAACGTTGTTACCACTACTACTAATTGGATAGATGGATGATGGATCAAGAATATGATCATTTGGTAATCCACCTGCTGTCAATGTTGATGTCATGTTGTTGTTGTTGTCTCTTTTTATTAATGAATGTCTGAATTTACAGTATTATATATATATATATATATATAGGAATAAAGAGATAGATGATGTTGTATTTATATATATAAAAAAATAAAGGAGTACCCCCCTTTGGTTTTATTTATAGATATCTAAATCTACAAAAATGAAATGAAAATGGTGATGGGAATGCTAAAAGGAATAATAATAATACTAATACTTGATACAAATATTAATAAAAGATAAAAAGATGTATTTATTTATTATTCTTATTGATGATGGGGAAAGTTAGACGTTAGGGGGGTGGTGATGGGGGTTGGTCAATAAATAAATTAAAAAAAATATTCAATGAATGATTGATGGTGATGATCATTGGTGGATCGATTTATTGAGAGAGAGACTCAGAGTAAACTCTCTCTCTGTGTTGGCGGTCTGTAACCTTTGATAGTGAGTGAGCCAGAGAGAGAATCCAACCACATCAACAACAACGATCAACATCATGATCATCACCATCTGATCAGACCAACAACATGGTTGGTTAAAAGTATTTATATATATATATATTGATCCGATCAGATGGCGACGATGGAATGAGTTGTACAGAGTCTTGTATCTGTTAGAAGATTGTTCCTCTTTTGAAATGTTCAAAAGATAGTATCTATTTAACTAAGTTAACTTTGTCACAGGTTGCCTACATAATAATATTGCTATCTATGAAGAGGTTGAGATATCATAGTGACTGTTGACAAGGTTGATATAGGTGATGAATGAATGTTGTTAGAGATTATCTGCACCAAGTAAACGAACAGTAAAGGTATTTATATAAATATATATATTTGTGATTTGGTTACGAAATACGTCTTAATTATTGAATTGTGTATGTTTTATTTGTTTTTGGAAAGAGCTGTTTTTAACGTGCATGTTCACAGTTTTATTAGCAGAAAATAAAAATGACAACAAATAATAATAATAATAATCAAAATAATAGTACTAGTAACAGTACAGTAGTCATAGACACTGGTGATAAACAATACACAAAGAATGATTTCATCAAGTTGTTGTGTCTCGATGAACAGACTAGTGCACCAACTAGATACAGATTCGACAGTGATGCATCGACTCTCTTCTTTCTAGCCAATTCAAAGGTTCAACAAAAGATGAATCTTCACTATGTCAACTTGAATACAGTTGCCGATAAACAAGTTGGTATGTTTAACGAGGAATTATCAAATAATATAATAGTTTATGAATATTAATATATATTAATATTGATTGATTTCACATATCAAAACAGAGATCAAGCAATTGATTACCTACAAGGAATCATCAAATGGAGAAATGTCAATCGAAGAACAATTGATGAGAGAAAGACAAAGAATCGTTGCTCATGGTATCACTTCATATCAATATAATGATTCGTAAGTAGAGAGAGAGAGACTATGAATAGTGAATCACTATATTTATCTATTTATTTATTTATTTATTTCTCTAGTAATAAACAATTTTTAGCAGCAATGGGAAATGATTTAAATGTTATTGATGTTAAACAATCAATTGAACAACCAATTGTAACAAAGACCACTGCTGGTACATTTGATCCAAAGTTTTCATGTGATGGTAAATTCATTGCCTATATTCAAAATGGTGATATCTGGGTCAATGATGTTGATAATTCTAAATCAACAAGACTTACCTTTTCTTCTGGTATGTAAACTATTATAATGATCATTGATTGATTATATTTAATCTAATTAATCCATTATAATTACTTTTATTTTTATAGAAAAGAAATTTGTTTCATCTGGAGAATCAAAATTTGTATATTCTGAAGAATTTTCAAGATATACAGGATATTGGTGGCGTCCAGTTGTAGATACCAATCAATCAGATGGTACCAAAACCTATTCAATCTTTTATTTTGAAGAAAGTGAAGAAGAGGTTCGTGACTTTTACATTGAACAGTATGGATACAAAGGTCAAGTAACTCACTACAAATATCCATTGGCTGGTGATAAAAACTCTACCATTAAACCTGCTATTGTTACCTTTTCTGTTAATTCTTCTAAAGTATGTAATTGAAACAAAAATGTTAAAAATGATTAATAATTAATAATTAATTATTTAATATTTTGATTTTATCATAGGAAAACTATTCAACATCATCTCAAGTTAGATATTTATATCCAATGGAAAATCAGTATCAATGGGCAGAATATTATGTTAGAGGTGGATGGATGCCAAATGGACATAGTGTCTATGTTGAACTGTTGGATAGAAAACAACAACATTTGGCATTGGTAGTTGGTAGTTATGAGGGTATTGTGAATGGACCAGAAGGTAAACCAATGGAATACCAAACATTGATAGAGGAGACATCAAACTATTGGATCAATGTAAGAGATCAATTACACTTTTTAAAGAAATCCAATGCTTTGGTTTGGGGTAGTGAACAGAGTGGCTACAATCATCTCTACCTCGTCAGTTGGGAAGGTGGTGACAGCAACCAACCATCGTTTACCAATATATCGAAACGTCAACTCACCTCGGGTGACTGGGTGGTCAATGTTGACAGTGCTTGGATCGATGAGACACGTAAACTTGTCTATTTTGTAGCAAACAAGGATACACCTCTCCAAAACCATCTTTATGTTACTAGTTTAGATACTATTAATGTTGTAAGATTAACAAAGGAGGGGTTCGACCATACATCCATTCAAATGTCACCAACATTTACAAGATTTGTATCAAATTATTCAAATGTAAATACTCCACCAACTTCTGAAATTTATAATTTAGAATATTCCTCAAACTCTTCCTCATCCTCTTCATATCCAACAGCTGTTGCATATGCTACAATTACCAACCCAAGAATATTACCAGTTCCATTGAGATCACCAAAGTTATTTGATTTTGTCAATTCCAAAGGTGTAAAGTTATATGGTTACTACTTTTTACCAGAAGGATATGACTCTGCCAAAAAGTATCCAACCATTGTACATGTATATGGAGGACCACATGTTCAATTGGTCAAAGACCATTTCACTCAGATGCGTCAGTTGTACAGTACCTTTGGCTTTATCAGTGTCTATCTAGATAATGTCGGATCGTTTGATCGTGGTATAGAGTTTGAAGCATTGATCAAGCACAAGATGGGAACCGTCGAAATACAAGATCAAGTCGATGGTGTCGAACATCTCATCAACAACCAAAACATCTCTATCGATCGTTCAAGAATCGCTATCACTGGTTGGAGTTATGGTGGATATCTTTCTCTGATGGCTATTGCCCAACGTCCAGACTTTTTCAAGATTGCCATCTCTGGTGCTCCCGTAACTTTCTGGGAAGCTTACAATACCGGCTACACAGAACGTTATATGGATACTCCAAACAACAATCAAATTGGTTATAAAGAAGGAAGTGTATTAAATTATATTAATAATTTCCCAAATGAGTAAGAAACAATACATAATAATAATAATAATAATAATAATTAAAAGTGAACGAAAGAAATATTAATAATATTCTATATTTTATTTTTAATTTTTTTTTTAGACCAAATAGATTGATTATTGTTCATGGACAACAAGATGAGAATGTTCATTTTGCAAATACATCAATGTTGGTAGAGGAATTATCGACTAAAGGTAAACCTTATATTCTTCGTATACTTGGTAATGAACGTCATGGTGTTAGAGATTTAAATAGTAGAGTTAACCTTGAATGTCATCATATCAATCATTTGTTAAAGAATCTCTAATCTCTATAAATCAATTTATATTTATATATTTATATACTTCAATCAATAAAACCATGCATGGTTTGTTATTTTTACTTTACAACTATAATCTTATAAGTATAATTGGTTACACCCAACCGGTTGGGCGCGAGATCTGATCGCTCCCCCATTCCCATACCCGCACGGGGATATTATTTTTCTAATTCCGAAATTTGGGTTTATTTTTGCTTAATTGCCGACGATGATTACTTTGGTTGTAACCCCCATCCAACAAAACAACACACAAAACCATCCTTTCCTCATCCGATTTCTTTTTGAAAAGGGTAAAGAAAAAAAGAAATCGGGTGAGGAAAACACTATTCAATGAGACCATCTCCCACACACCCCCATTTAAATGGTGATCTTCACCTTTAGTATGGTGGGTGGGGTATGTTTTGCAGGTAATCAAGGTGTTCGATTAGTTGAAATGTGACTTCACTCTTTAAACAAATCTATTCATCCACATCTTATTCTTATACGTTGCTTTGATGATGATGGTGCAATTATGCCACCATCACCTACCAATAATTGTTGTTTTCTTTTCTTCATCCGCATTTTTTAAAAATGAGGGGATTAATATTTAAGCATCCAAACAACATTCATCTCATTCATTACAACAACAACAACAATTCATTGTTATAGATTTGTATCATAAATTTAAAAATATTTCAAAAGAATAGAGATAGAGATAAATTAGAAATCGGAAAAAAAATATATTATTTGTTATAATCAATGGTAAATCTATTTTTTAAAGAAAGAAAGAAAGATCTTAAAAAAATATAGTTCTAATTACTTTTCTCTATATTTTAAAATATTTTATAGGAACCAAATAATAATAATAATAATAATAATATTGATGAAGATATCGAATTGGAGATTAAGAAAAAGGCCAATATCGATCGAATGCTAGGTGACATTGAATTGGAAGAAAAGAAAAAGAATGAAGAGAATTATCATATGGATGTAACCTTTGATGATGATGATGGTGACCAAGACATTGATTTAAAAGTTAGAAATCATGAATTTAGCTTTGTCAATCAATTCTCTGCTCTTTTCAAAAAATCAATAGCCTATCAAAAACGTCAATACAAAACAAATATCCTTCAAGCACTAGTTCCAGTTTTAATGGTAACTAAAATATTTAAAAAATATAAATATTTAATAATCATTTTAAAAAAGAAGGATAATTAATATTTATTCTTTTCTCTTTTCTTTTTTTTTTTATATAAATCATTTTTTAGATTAGTATCATGTCATTAGTACAATTAGCAACTCCACCCATTTTATATCCAGATAATCAACATCCAATTAGTTTCCCACCACCATTTATTTTCCCACCCACTCTAAACTTGACCGTTCCATACTTGGTTTCTCCAACCATCAATCTTGCTGAATTAGGTTCATGTTGTCAAAACAACTCTGGTCTTCTTGGTTTATTTACAACATCTTATCAAACTAGTAAAGATCCACAAGTATGTAAAACTAACAAAACAAAAAAATAATAACAATCTTTTTAGAAATATTAATATTTACTTTTCTTTTTTTTTACTAGTATCCAGCATTAGGATTAATTCCAACTGAATCATTCCAATTCCAAAGATACCCAAGTCAAAAAGTATTGGATTATTCATCGTATCATCAAGGTGCTACAATTGGTAATTTTGATTTCTTGATGAGTTATATCTTCAACAAGTTGAATGTAAAGCCTGGATTGTCTGCTGAAACTGATATCGCTCTACTCAGTAACAATACAGTCTCTAGTTCATCCATTATCAGTCCTATTCACAATGCCATCTATAAAAAGTTGACTGGAGATATCAACAGTACTCTTATCACTGGTGTAAGACCATTCCCAAACTTTGCTACCGAAGAGAAAAAAGATATGATTCAACCTCAAGAAAGTATGTATAAAAAAACTAAACAAATAACAATAAGATTAACAAATTTATTAATGTATTTATTTATATTTCTATTTAGACTTTTGGTATTTATTCATGTTATCATTTTGTATGGTTATTTTCGTATCCAATGTTGTTTATGAAAAAGAAAATAGATTAAGAGAAAGTATGAAAATGGCTGGTCTAAGAATGAGAGTGTATTGGTTGGTTACCTACATGTTTAATTTTTCACTTTACCTTGTCATTGTATTCGTTGCTATTGCATTTGCTTATATTCTTAGTATGTATAAATATCAATCAATCAATATTTAATATTAATTTAATAATTATTAATCTTTTTCTTTTTTTTTTTTTTTGTTTTTTAAGAATTTAAATTCTTTACAGAAACATCATTCTCTGTATACTTTGTATTATTTATTTTATTTGGTATGACTCAAATATCATTCTCATTTTTTATTTCAGTCTTTTTCTCTTCGGTTTATACATCGACTGTTGTCAGCTTTATCTATATTATATTCACAGCATTGTCATCGAATCTTTTAAACAATGCGTTTATCGAGAACCCAGATACCAATCTAGCCACATTTGTCATCACTGCTCTCGTTCCACACGTCGCTTTTCATCGTGCCGTATCGTACATCTCGTTGGCCTATGTCGATAATATGCCAGGTCTCACATGGGACAGAATCTTTGAGCACCATCAAATGCCATCACTCTACGGTCTCTTGTTTGGTGAATTCCTTCTCTTTACACTATTACATCAATACATGGAAATGGTCATTCCATCATCCTATGGTGTTCGTCATCATCCACTATTCTTTTTACAAAAATCTTTTTGGCATTTTAAAATTTATGGTACTTCTCCAACAACCGTTAATCAAATTAATAATAATCAAAATAATCAAAATATGAATAATAATAGTGATAATAATCTTACATCAGTATTGGATATGTTACCACCAGATATAGTTGATGAAAATAGATATACCTATTCCAATGAATGTTCGGCATCTGTTAGAATTATGAATCTATCCAAAACATTCAAGGTTATGAATCGTACCATTCAAGCTGTCGACAATCTAACTCTATCTGTTGAAAAAGGTCAATGTTTTGGTTTATGTAAGTTTAAAACATAAAAATATGTATATACATATGTAATACAATATAAAATAATTAATTACCTTTTGTTTTCTTTTTCTTTTTTCTTTTTAGTGGGACCAAATGGAAGTGGAAAGACAACAACTCTTTGTGTATTGTCTGGTTTATATTCACCGACAAAGGGTAGCGCAATTATCGATGGACACAATATTATCGATTCTTTGGGAAAGGCACAGCAATCTTTGGGTGTATGTGCACAAGATGATGTCTTGTGGGGAGAGATGAGTGGTCGTGAACACTTGCTATTCTATGGAAGAATGAAGAATCTCAATGGTCAAGCTTTGATCAAGATTGTCAATCGTTCACTTGAAGAGGTCATGTTGACCGACGCCCAACACAAAGCAGTTCGTGAATACTCTGGTGGAATGAAACGTCGTCTCATGTTGGCCATCTCTCTCATCGGTACTCCTTCTGTTGTATTACTTGATGAACCAACTGCTGGTGTTGATATGTACGTATTAGATAAAGAAAGATATCATAAACAAAACAAAACAAACAAACCTGGAAATTAAATTTAATAATTATAAATATTAATTGATTCTTCTTCTTCTTCTTCTTCTTCTTTTAACATACATACATAAATATATATATATATAGATATAGTAGACGTATAGTATGGAATGTAATTAATAGTTACAAGAGTAAATGTGCCATTATTTTAACGACACATAATATGGAGGAAGCTGAAGTGTTGTGTGACCGTGTTTGTATTATCGATAATGGTCAGATGAAATGTATTGGAAGAAATGGTGATGTAAGTAGTATTAGATAACTCCTATAGGAGTGTGATGATTAGATTATATACACATATTCCTTATATTTATATTAACTTGTTCCAATTCCAACAACTTTAGCTTAAAATTAGATATGGAGCAGGACATACATTGTCAGTGTCTACCGAACATGATACCGATATCAATGAGTTTTTGTATCGTACTATTCCCGATGTCAAGTTGATCCATCAGATATCGTTGACCAAGAGTTATGCCGTGCCAAGATCAAGTGGTCTCAAACTGTCGGCACTCTTTAACACCATCTTGAATAACAAGGACAACTATGGTATCACCGATTGGGGTATCTGCCAATCCGGTCTCGAAGAAGTACTACTTCAAGCAACGTCTACCGATACCAACAACCACATCAATGTTAATAACAATAGCCATAACATCATCCACCATGACACCAACAACAACAGCAATGAAATTGCCATGAATACTATTGTTGATCATCAGCATGCTTAGACCTACTTCTCTGCTCTGCTCTACACTACATAATAATAATAAATAATACTATTGCCATCACGATGATATAATATTATGATCGTCGTTCAAACATAGATCTATCTATGTGTGGTATATATATATAATATAAAGCACGAAATGGTGAATAATATATTTGTTTGAAATAATGAGAGTAGTAATAATTATTTAACGAGAAAGAAGAAGAAAGTCATAAATAAATCAGAGAGGGACACATCGTGGTATTCGCGAGGACATAAGATGGGGTTTGGGATCAAAAAAACAAATATCTAAACAGGGCATTAAAATAGGGAGGGCCGCAAAGGACACATACACTCATTATTACTATTCTCCATCATCATTCTAGAATAATAATAATACGACAAAAGTATAGCAGATCTTTATCATCATAATAGTAGTAATAATAATAATTATTCCATCACTATTCGCCAACCAGTCATCAGCTGATCCATCCATTCAAGCAAACAGATAAACCAACCAATTGATTGTATGTAATATGAAGGAACCGACCTTCCATGAAGAAGAGACATTCCAATCCATCATGATGTGTTATATACTATACTATACTATGTCGACCCAACCCCCACATGATCGATTGATATGATATGTTTGATTGTTTTGAAAATACAAATACCAAAAGTGGATTTAGTGTTTGTTGTTGATGATGGTGATGATGGTTGTGGGCTATCCATCTCTTATGATAAACAAACACAACAACAAATACACACATCCAAACACCAACAACAAAGGAGAATTGAAGATCATTCACTAATATTGTGTCCCTCTCTATCTATCTATCTATCTATGTTATGTAGTAGTGATAACAGTAACACAGAACAACAAGAGAGAGGAATAACCCTTTGATAGGAAATTCTCAATAATAATAATAATAATTTAACAAAACTCTTGATTCCTTCTTATCACAACTCTAATATTGGGAATTAAGGTGATCGATCACGAAGAAGAATTAACTTTTTTTTTTTTTTTTGAATTTTTTTTGTTTTTGTTTGAAGAAGAAGAGGAGCTCACCCACTTCCACCAACCAACAAGAAGAAAATATATATTAGAATTTATATTATTATTATTATTAAAGATCAAAACAACTTGCGTTTATCACTTACCACTATCAACTTTTAACTACTATCTATCTATAGTACTGTACAAAAAACTCTCATCATTGTAAATAGAATTCTATTATTTGTCACTTTATAAGAATCATCAACAACCCAGTCAAGTCAACAACATTTCACAGATCATCTTTACATTGTAAAACCAAAAGAGATAACAATAATATAATATATATAACCAAAGTACTTGATCGATCAAGATAAAGTAGAAATAATAGTAATAATAGTAACATTGAAAGAAGAAAGAAAGAAAGAAAGAGATGGCAAGCGAATTCCCAATGGAGGATTATGACGACTTTGATAGCAGTTCATTGACTACCAAGAACTTGTTTGAAGGAGGTTCAGCAGAGTATGTATAGGTGTATAATATAATATACAGCGATAGAAGAAGAATGATAGATAGATATCTATCAAAAAAAAAAAAAAAAAATACTAATATAATCTAATGTATCCTACTCTTTTGTTTGTAGTAAATATCATGATAGTATAAATACAGTTATGCAGATGGGTTATAATACTGGAGGATTTGGTATTACGCAATCGGTTAATGGAACATTTTACTCAAATCAACCAGTTGACTACAGACCCGTTATGAATGGTGGACAGCCGACATATGTGGCACCCAACAGCGGTCCCCACTCTCCTGTAAATATGCAACCTTCCAGTCCGATATCCAGTCCGCTTCCATCACCACAGTCATTCCGTCAGTCTCAAGGTCAGCTCGGCCAGATGCCACCCCAACAACAACAACAACCAATCATGTACCAACAACCTCAACAACAGATGCAACCACAACAACAACATATGATGCAACAACAACCACAATACTCTATGCAACCACAACAACAACAACAACAACCTCAACAACAATTCCAACAACAACAACAACCACAAATTGTACACCAACCAATTCATCAACCACCACCACAACCACAACAACAACAACCACCTTCTACGGCAATCAGCTCACCACAACCAATCTTGGACACTATCTATAAATTATTGTCAGAGCAAGAACAGACACTTGTCCAAATGATTCACGAACAATCGATCCTTCTCAACAGGCTTCCACAAACCTTGGACGAAACCACCGTACAACATCTCTCCAACCTCAGTCAAAAGCAAGTCACACTCTCTAACCAAATGAACACTGAAATGTCTGCTTTGGATGCCACCAAGAAGGGTATGATCCTCGATCCAACCGATCTTGCCAAACTTTTTGCTCTCAAGCAAGATCTTCAAATTCAATTTAAACAATTACATTTACTTCACAATGAAATTCAAGCTGTTTTGAATCCTGGTTCTGCTTCTTCAAAACCAAAGTAAGAAGAAAAATAGAAGAAAAGATTATATAATATTTATTAATTAATTTATTTTAATTTAAATTTTAGTGTTGCATTGGTATTAAAAACTCAACCATTCCCAGTAGTTATTACAAAGGGTAAACAATTGGGAGAAAATCAATTGGTAGTTCAAATTTTAACAGGTGCTAGATCAAATTTCCATATCAATGGTCCAGTAAAGGCTACGTTGCTTTGCGATTCACACCCAACCAACAAGAATAATCCACAACAAGTTTTAGAGATGGATACTCAGCCAATCTATCCAGCTTCATTGACTGCTCATTTCCCACTCAAGTTTTTGGCTGGTACTAGAAAGAGTTCTGTAAATCTAAAGTTTGGTGTAAACATTCGTGACATGGATAGCGTCACTACTGCCGTTGAATCTGACTTTTCAAATCCATTTGTTGTCATTACAAATGAATGTCAATGGGAAGGTAGTGCTGGTGTTTTATTAAAGAAAGATGCTTTTGATGGTCAAGTATGTAATAGAAAATAGAAATAGAAAATAGAAAAATATATATAAATATATAAATATATAAAAAGAAAAGAGTATACTAATATATATATTTATTTTTAGCTTGAAATTTCATGGCCACAATTTATAAATACACTTCAAAGACATTTCCTTATAGCAACAAAACAAGACCCGGTACGACCAAAGAGACCATTATCTCAATTTGATTTTAAATATATACAAACTCATTTCTTTGGTAACCGTTCGATCATCCATCAACAAGATTTTGATAGATTCTGGGTTTGGTTTGGTAAATCAATGCAAACTCTTAGATACCAAAGACATATTTCAACTTTATGGCAAGAGGGGTAAGAAGATATATAAAAAAATAGAAAAAAGAAAAGACAAATAATATTTTGATTTTAATATATGTTTTTTTTACTTTCTATTTAGTATAATTTATGGATATATGGGAAGACAAGAAGTTCAAGACGCACTTACAAATCAAGATCCAGGTACATTTATTATTAGATTTAGTGAGAGAAATCCAGGTCAATTTGGTATTGCATATATTGGTTCAGAGGTACCACATCGTATCAAACATTATCTTGTACAGCCAAACGATACTGCCGCAGCCAAGAAAACATTCCCAGACTTTTTAGCAGAACATCCACAATTTATCAACATTCTTCAGTGGTCAAAGGGATCAGACGGACTTCCAAGATTCCTCAAATCTCATAAAGATACTGCTTTGAATTCATTTGCCCCAAGGAGAGCACAACCAACTCCAGTTGGTGGTTACGAACCTCTTTCTAGTTAAACAATCTTAAAAGAATGTTAATAATAATAATATAATAATAATAATCCAAAAATAATAATAACAAGTAAGAGTAATAATAATAATATTCATCTCCATAACAAGTATAAATACTTTAAAAAATTTTTTTTAGTGATTGGCCAAATAGTAGCCAATCGCTCCATTAACTCACCATCCAACAACCAAACAACAACTACACTCACTTATAATATTAATACTTTTAAACCCCCAATAAGATTGCAATGTAATAAAATCAAAAGTTATATTTATTAATCTATAAGCAGCTGTTGTAGGTTAATCAGTTTTTAAATATTTTCTAATTAATCTTGGTTTAAGGAAAGATTTATAAATAATGGCAGCAGCCAATATACTAAAAACAAATGTAATTAGACACCAAAGGAATACAGATGACATGCTTGCAGATATCCATAGTTGCCCAAATTCATTGGCACCAGTATTTACTCCACCGCCGGCGCCAGCACCACCAGATATCTCTGAAAATGATCCACCCTTGAGCCATTTGATGTGACCGTGATAGGTGAGTGTTGATCTAAGGTCAGATTTAACTTGAACAAACTTATCTTTGACTGGATATATAGTGGCACCATGAATAATACCATCCTCTTCATGAAATAAAACATTGATATGATCGGTAACATCCAAATGATCAGTTTGAACAAATCCCCAAACCGGTATATGAACAGGTATATAAATCTTTAATTTGTCATCTGGTGATAATGGTATTCTACATTCCCATGAATCTTTTTTGATAAAAGATAAGTTTGTTAATGTAAGTGAATTGATGTGATAAATGCTTGTGGTATGTGTACATACTTTCTTGTTTAATATTTTGAGTTAATTGTTCATACATCTCTTTTGTGCTGATCGCAATACCACAACTAAGGAACGTATTCTTTCCATAAAAGAATGTAATTCCATCATAATCACCTTTCTTTCTCTTTAATTAAAGATTGTAAAAGTTAGAAACTACCCTTTTTGTAATGATTTATAATGTAATAATGTATTATACAAACTCCTTCACATCTTGGACCTGGTCCCCATTCCATCGTTTGTCTATTTAAACATTCTAATTTAATAGCATCACCAGGTTGATATTCTAAAGAAGAGTGAGAGAGATTAGTAAGAAGTAAGCAACAAAGTATGATTCAGGCAAACAAGGTATAGTACATACTTGCAAGATTCTCAGCATTCGAATACGACGATAACAATAGAATCGTATATAGTATTACTAGTAGTATTGATGGAAGAGGTGAAAGTAATCTATTCATCTTTTGAATTCAATCCTCGTGTTAATGAATTTGATGTTATTAATAGTTGACTACTAAACACCCAAAGAACTGTCTGAGTGAACTTCATTTTTTTTAAAATTTGCTTGGCAAAGATGTTCGCGCCAAAAATACTATTTGGCAAACATCTGCTGATTTGATAGTGTACTCATTGATTGCACGTTATATCTTTATTATACATTATTTATTATTATTATATTATTAGTTAGCTACTACGACTATGTATGTGTAGTAAATAAATAGATCTACATATGGGTACAACAAGTAAAAAAACAACTACTTCTAGTAGTACAACAACAACAAAGAAATTAACAGCATCAGCTGCAGAAAAGAAGAAGAATGAAACAACAACAACAACTACTACGTCAACGACATCATCATCAACAACAAATAAAATAGAAGAACAAGTAAAACAAATATTTGATGAATGTCAAAGATCAATGACCACACATAAACGATCGATGGCTATTCTAATGTCGATCCTACACAAGTGTTACCAACATTCATCAAAATCGGCTGCGATCTTTAACAAGGTCATAGAAGATGTTATCGATCGTGTATTGGTACACTTTACAAAAGAAGCATCTATCGAAAGAATATGCAGATTCTTTAGTACTTTTATCAATGCCATTTCATTGCGTCGGGAAAATGAAGAGGACAATAGTGGTGGTGGTGGTGGTACTGCTGAAGGACAATTGGTACAACAGATAAAATATCCACAAGAGATATTGGATATTCACGAAAGATTTATTGTCAGTATTCTAGAGTTTCTAGTGTCAAGATCACAATCCAAAGAAAAGGCGGTTAGATATAGATCGACTATGCTCATTGCCGATATATTATTGGCGTTGCGTGAAGACTATGAATTCGAAACAACTCTATGGGACAGTTTGACATCATCACTTTTATTGAAGGCCAAAGACCGTATCCCCGCCATTCGTCGTCAATCCATCCATTGTCTCTCACGTCTCCAAGATACTTCTGATCCCAATGACATTGTTACTACCACTCTACTTTCAATGATGTCTCATGATACTTCTCCGTATGTCTATATAAATATTTAATCCAACCAATTAAATCATAATATTAATATTACTTTATATTTATATTTATTTTAGAGATGTAAGATTAACTTCTGTATCTTTTATAATGATTTCTAAAAGAACATTAAAGGCCATTTTGGAAAGAACATTGGATCAAAATACCAGTGTTAGAAAAGAGGCGTTTATGACTATTGCCAAGCGAATCGATGCTCGGTGTATCCCTGTGCCATTGAGAATTGGTTTGGTCAGAAATGGACTCAAAGATAGAGAGGCAAGTGTAAGAGAAGCTTGTCTATCAATGGTTGTTGATTATTGGCTTGAAAGATTAAATGGAAATTTATTTGATGTATGTAAACAAAATATAATATAGTTGGACCTTAAAAAAAATAATATTAATATTAATATTTTTATTTGTTTGTTTGTTTTTAAAAAGTTATTAAAATTCTTTGATGTCGAATCATATGAAAAGGAAACGGAAACTACATTGATGGAAATATTTAAAAATAAGAAGGGTGTACCCTATTTAATGGATCATTACCTGATGATTCCAAATGATTGCCAAAATATGACAAAGGAAGAAGCTATCTTTTTCCGGGTACTTTGTCAATACTTGCATCAGGAAAACAAAATCGAAGAGATGGATATGATCTTTTCATCAATACTTGAATACAATCAATTATTAATTCATTATTTAATTACAAGTAAACAACTGCAACAACAACAACAACAACCTAAACCCCAAGAAGAAGGAGAAGCAGAAGAGGAACAGGAAGAGGAACAATTGGATGGGACGTTGGAATTAGAAGATAGATTCTTTCAAGAATCACAAATCATTTTAATTGGAAAATATTTAGATTATTCTGATCATGTTGGATGTACACAATTGACAGATTTAATTAGACAATTTTTATTATCTTCTTCGTTGGATGACGGACATTTACAATCAATGTTGGATGTACTTTTCAACATTAATATTGATCAACCTGCCATCTACTTTTCGCTGCTTGTTGGGGTGTTGTCTGAACTCGAGCAGATCCTCAACCCGGAAAACAGCAGTCCCGACGACCAACAACTCTACGAGTTGGAAAAGATGCAATCTTCAACCATCGAACAGCTCTCTGACATTATCTCACAGAGCCACCAAAAAATAGAATCTATCAAACAAGCCAACAAAAAGTACATCCCACCACAGGCAAAAGAAGAGATTGATCATTGTAAACGAGTCATCAAAGATGCTCAAGAAAAAGTTGACATGTTGGAAACTGATAGAGATATTGTCTTGCAAGACATTGATCTCATTGAATCGTCAAAGATTGTCATTGATATTAAAAATCTACAAATTATTATTCATTTATTACAAAATCAAAGAAATGTAAGCAAATAGTATTTATCAATTTATTTATTCAAAATATTAACTTATAACTTTCTTTTTTTTTGTTTTGTTTTAGACATTTAATAATCAAAAAACAACAAGTTTGAAATTAAGAGATTTAATAGAGGGTCTAACACAACAGGCAAGAGTTAGATGCGACCGATTTGATAGTATCAAGGTATTGCCATTGGTTATTCGTAGTGTTGGTTTATACGCACTGGCAAATGTACAGTCGTTGCCAAATGCCATTCATTATCTTGAATCAATGTTGGAAACATACAGAGTATTGGATTTCCCATCAACCAATTCCGAACATGATGTTGATCGATTGGATGTATACTCCACTTTGGTGGAAATTACATTTGACATTATTTTATGGTACAGTGAATCATTTAATCAATATTTTGTAATTGACAAACAACTAAAAGAAAAAGAACAAGAAGATGATGAAAATGATCAACAAGAGGAAGAAGAAAAAGAGGAAATTACAACATTGGAAATAATTATTAAAAGATTATTTAAACTATTAAAATCATTTGTAGAATTGAATAATAATCAATCAAATGATAATGATAATGATAATGACAATGAACAAGATCAAGAAACTGTAAAGAATAATAGATTGAAAATCATTGAAAAACTTGTGGAAGGGTTTTCAAAATCTATTATACATCAAATCCTATCAAGAAGAAATCAAGATGATGATGGTTTGGAGAACCAAATAATGGTGTTTTTATTTACACTATTCTTTGATCCCAAGCAATCATCAAACTCTACCAACAAACAAATCATATCACATTTTATCAACCTTTATATTTTTACTAATAATAATAACCAAAATAACCAAAATAATAATAATAACCAAACTACAACTACTACTACAACTACAATTCAAAATAATATACCAATTTCAAATAGATTATCATTGATTCATTCAACCTTTTTACCAATCATTAGAAATATTAGTGATCGTCGTGCAACCGATGTCATGACAACTGGAAACAGTCTGGTGACGGTCGTCCAATTTTACCAATGGATGGTGATTAGCATGTTGGAGAAATGCGAGAGTGTCGTGGGGAGACAGATCAGCCAGTCACTCGTCAATCTCCAGCTTGTCACCCTCCTCACCAACCTTTCACTCGAGGCATTGGCAAACACTAAAAAGGCCAATGTCTTGGTCCGTCTCTTCCAACAGATAAAGTTCACCAATGCCCGTCACGTCGACGCCAACCAAATCAAGGAACTGGTATTCCTCTGCGACAAGATGACCAATGAAATCAAAGCAAAACTATTATACAACCAACTCTCCAAATATCGTTCCTCTCTAGTTGATCTAATCAATCAGGTTAACAAATTGAATGGTATTAGTAGTAGTAATAGTAAAAACACAGATGATGATGATGATGAAGATAATGACAATGGCCAAAGACATTACTTGGAGTTACCAGAGACTAGACAAGAAGCTCTCATTGAAATGATTGACCAACATCAAATCGATCATGATGATTTCTATATTGCCAAGCAGAATCAAGAGAAAGAAACCAATAATGGTAGTAAAAAGAAAAAGAAAAGTATTCGAGCATCTTCCTCATCTTCAACCAACAACATAACAGTTCAGGCTAGAAAATCAACCACCAAAACTACTACTACTACAACAGTTGTACCAGGAAGTGCCAAGAAAACTGGTACACCTGCCAAAAAGAAATATGAAAGTGATAGTGAAAGTGAAGAAGAGGAATATTCAATCTCATCAGATGAAGAAACTGAAGAGGAATATGTATCATCATCCTCTGAATCATCCTCTGAATCAGAAGAGGAAGAGGAATCTGAAGAAGAATTGGAATCAAAGGTAGTCATTGTTAAAAAGGAGCCAAAACAAGTTACCAAACAATTATCCAAACTTTCCATACAATCCACCACTAAACAACAAGACAAAGAGCAAGATGAAGATGAAGAGGAAGAGGAAGAGGAAGAGGAAGAGGAAGAATCTGAAAAGGAGGATGTTGTAGTAAAAAAGATGAATAGTCTTGATATCAAGAAAAAGAAACAAGAAATAGAATCTGATGAGGAATCAGAATCTGAAGATGAAGATGAAATAGAGTCGGATTCAGAGTCTGAATATGAATCTGATGAGGAATCACAGTCAGAGTCGGAGTCGGAATCTGAATCTGAATCAGACAATGATAGTGATAAAGAGAATGAAAAGCCATCCAATATACCAAAAAATGTACAATCCAAAACTAAACCAGTTCAACAAACAAAACCATCAACATCCACATCCACATCTACCAAATCATCATCATCATCATCGACGAATAGTAATAGTAATAGCAACAGTGGACAAAGACAAAAACTACTATCAATGACTAGAGGTAATAGAGCTAGTTTAAATAAAGTAAAATAATCCTTTGGGTTAAAATACAAATGGAAACTTAAATTACAATTATAATAATTTTAATGAATGTTCAATGATCAACGAAATATCAATGATAGGTACTTCTTGATTTGGAAGTTTTTGATGACACCAGATATTTTTTAAAATTGGTTAGCTTACCAATCGTCTTGGCTCAAATTAATGTTCTCCTGGGAACTCCCAAAAAAGAGATATTAGAATACTCGAATGGGGGACAGAGTTCTAATCAACCTGAATCATCATCTATTCAGTTTCAAGGGACATTAGGTTCTAGAATAGAATCTTATCAAAGATCAAATGATTAAATTTTAACCGAATATCTTGATTTAATAGAATCTTGGTATGTTCGATTAAAGGTAATGCATATGTATAAATAGATGGTGGAATTTCAATTCACTTAAAAATCAATACAAACAAATATAAATCTAATTCACAAATACAAATAATTAAGTTATCTTTTTTTTAAAAAAACTTATCCAATTTCTTAAATTCTAGAACAATGTCGCAACCAACATTATACTATGTATGTAATAGATAGATAATAATAATTATATCTTTGGCCATTGTCTAATAATATATATTTTTGTTTGTTTTAATTTATAGTTTAACGGAAGAGGTAATGGTGAATACCCACGTCTTATTTTATCATTTGCCAATGTCCAATTCAATGACAATCGTGTCAACGGTATCGATGATGCTCTCAAGACACGTCTTCCATTTGGTCAACTTCCATTCTATGAAGATGAACAAGTACAATTGGCTCAATCAAAGTCTATTGCCAGATACGTTGCTCAAAAATACAAGGTTGCTGGAAAGAATGAAGTTGAAGTTGCTCTCTCTGATGCCATCGCCGAAAGCATCTATGATCTCGTCAATCCATTTTTAGCTGCCAGAGGTGATGCTGAAAAGACTGAAAAGTTCAAGACTGAAACAGCTCCAAGATTCTTAAACAATTGGGAAGCATTACTCTTAAAGAATGGTGGAAAGAACTTTGTGTATGTAATACAACCAACCAACTAAATAACCAATCATCATACCATATTCATTAAATTAATATGTTCTAATAATATTATTATTGATCTAGTGGTGAATCATTTACATATGCTGATGTTGCTGTATTCCATGCATTGGATTACTTCAAGTTTGCTGGTGTTGATCTTCTTGGTGACGCCACCAAGTATCCAACTCTTAACACCTTGACTAAATCAGTCTCTGAAATCCCATCATTAAAGGCTTATTTGGACAAGAGACCAACCGATTCAAAGTTCTAAACTTATTCACATATACACAAACATATAAATATGTATATCTCTAAAATTAAATTAAAATAAATCCATTTGTAATTAATTATTATTCCAAAGACTATTCTTGATTGTGTCTTTTCCATTTTGATGGGTGTTTAGCATAACGAATAGTACATGTTATTAACGGAACGACGCGCGGGTTCTTCCTTTTCCAATTTAACTCTTATAGAGTACCCTATAGATGTGATGATGATGTTGATGATGACTATTCATGTTTGTCCCTAGCTAGCGATCTAATTAGTTGTAAACACACAACTATATATCTAATTCAAGTGAGGAAGAACAAGTGGATAGATGAATAGATTAGATAGGTGTAACAAGCTTTGAGGAGGTGACAGTGAGCTCTAAACTCTCTAGTGTAGGGCCAAACCCAGAACACCTTTCAAACTCTTTTTCTTCCTTTATGATCCCTGTTGTTGTTTACCTGTTCACTCCTCGCAGATATCGTATACAAGGAGGTGAGGAGAGTGTGCCAAAGTTAGGGAATTCGTCCTCGACAGATAAAAAAAAAAAAAGAAAATTCAAAAAAGATTGATTGAGCACAGTCTCACATCCTGTGTTTTTTGATAATACAACCGCTAAATTACTTACTTTCTATCTTTCTCCTCTCGTCATCATCATCATCAATCTTTGCCTTATATTCCATAAAGAGAGAGAGAGAAAGAAATACAGACACAGATAGAGACTATATTTATTTATTTACATTGTAACATTACACATACACAAACAAACAACAAACAAACAAACAAACAAACTCTTCTTCAATATATAATATCTATTTTTATAATCAAGTTTGATAAGAGTTTGTTTATCATATAATAATAATTCACTTATTGATTGCAAGTATATAAACTACATATATATATATATCATGGCATCAAATCACCATACCTCTGTTGTTGCAACAACATCATCAACAGATGGATTACAAGGTTTGTATCATATCATAATAATTATCAAGTATACTTGAGATTTTTTTTGTTTGATATTAATATCTTTCTTTCTTTCAAACTATATATACATATATTTATATTAATGATGATAGCTATATATTCAAAAGTTCATGTAGATAGATCAGAATGGAGAAGAAATGTATTAAAGGGTAACCCTGAAATTAATAATCTATGGTATGTGTGAAACTAAAGAAACAAAGACATCTATCTCTCTCTCTCTCTCTTTTATTATATATACTAATTAGTACATATTATTTAGTGAAAGAGTTTATCCAATGAATAGAGGTATATTGTTTGGTAAACAATTTAATCCAGGTAAACAAGAAGTTAAACAGAGATTGAGTAGAGATGTAGTTATACAGCTGATATTACAGCACTTGCAAACCAAAGGATTAAAACAAACCAAGGCAATGTTGGAAAAGGAGTCAAAGATTAGTACTCCGTCGGGCGAGGGATTAAACGAGAGCCGATTGGTAACATTTATACGAAAGGCGTTGAGAGATTCGGACCGTGTCTACGACCTGTCGATGGAACACGCCGAGTATGGTACAGAAGAGAAACAGGCCAAGATGTTGGAGCGTGAAGAACTGCTCTATCAAATGGACCTGTTGGAGGATGAGGATGAAGGTGACGGTGTCAACATATGGGAAGAGCCCGTAGAGAATATAATCATAGACAGTGTGCGCAACACCGAGGACGACCAAGACGAAGAGGTTGTCAAGAGTGGCTCGCTCAACAAGTTGGTAGAGAGATTGACACACGAGTCCAAAGTGGACTTGCAGTTCCTCAAAACGTTCCTCATGACGTATCAGTCATTTTGCACGCCCGAGAAGCTGCTCAACAAGTTGGTGCAGCGATACAACGTGCCCAAACACCGTGTGGGCACGGCCAGCATCTACGACGAGACGAGTATCAAGGCGATCCAGCTAAAGGTCGTCAATGTGTTGAAGAAATGGTTGGACGAGTACTACTCGGACTTTGACGACAAGTTGTTGCAGTCGCTCAGACAGTTTATCGAGCAGCAGATCCAGATCAAGCATCCGGGCCCATCTGCGGCGCTCATCAAGTCGATCAACAAGGTCGAGAAATTAGTCATCTCCAAGCCCATCTTTAACGAGAAGACGCCCGAGCCAATCGTGCCGCGTAACATCTTTTCGCAGAACCTGCAAATATACGATATCGACGAGGAGGAGATTGCGCGTCAAATGACGCTCATCGAGTTTGAGATATTCAAAAAGATCAAGCCACCCGAACTCCTCAACCAGTCGTGGAACAAGACCAAGCTCAAGCACCGTGCACCCAACGTGCTCAAGATGATCGATCGTTTCAACAGCGTGTCCATGTGGGTCGCCACCATGATTATCCAGACGCAAAAGGTCAAGGCTCGTGCACGTATGATGACCCGTTTCATCAAGATCGCAGACCACCTCCGTCAAATGCACAACTACAACTCGTTGATGGCTATCATTGCCGGACTCAACTTTTCATCGGTCTATCGTCTCAAATTCACACGTGACGAGTTGTCGCAGCAGATCATGCGTACCTATGGCGACTTGGAAAAGATCATGAACTCTGAGAGTTCGTTCAAGGCCTATCGTACGCGTCTGGCCGCCTCTTCACCTCCCGCTCTCCCCTACCTCGGTGTGCATCTCACCGATCTCACCTTTATGGAAGAGAATCCCGATCTCATCAACATGGAGGTGGCACCCAACAAAAAGGTCAACCTCATCAACTTTACCAAACGTACCCTTGTATTCAAAGTCATCTCTCAAATCCAACAATACCAACAACTCTCTTACAATCTACAACCCGTTCACCAAATCCAGGAATTCCTTCTCAATATTAAATCAGATTACAAGGGTCAATCTCTAGATCTCTATCAACAAGATCTTTATCGTGAATCTTTACGTCGTGAACCAAGAAAGGCTCAAAGATCTGATATTCAATAATAGTAAAAAAAAAAAAAAAAAAGAGGCAAAAGAAAATCAAAAAAGAATCATTTATATTTTAGTCAAAATAACAATATCACCTATAAAAAATATAGATGATATTGTAAAAACAACAACAAACAATCCCCAACCATTCCAAAAAAGTAAATAATAATAATAATAATATATAACATAAACTATATTTATAAATGTAATAATACCACTACTTACAACAACAACCAAAATAAAAAGAAGCAAAAAAAAAAAAAGAGAACAACAAAGTACCCTTTTTTTTTTTTTTGTGAATATATATATAAATCTAATTAGTTGAGTGATTTGATGGTTTATTTATTTATTGATTATTGGTTGTAATTATTTGTTTGTTTCCTTTTAATTCCAGATCGGGGAATTAATTTTCTTTTTTTAAAAAATAAAATTTTTTAATTTATTAAAAAATGAGTCATGTCTTGGTGTTTGTGAAGGTTCATTGTTTTAAAAACAACACTAAAAGCTTACTTTTGATGATTTGTTTGTTTGTTTATCGGTATATAATGATTAAAGAAGAAAGATGAGTACAACACCAACAACAGCAACAAATACTTCAGTTGATGTATCACAATCTTCAACACCATTAATATCATCACCAGCACCACACTTGTTGAGTTCATTAAACTCTAGTGCATCTTCTATTCCACCTCCCTCTCCCATCCCATTCAACTTGCCCAATAGCAATAACAATAGTAATAGTAACACACCAGCAATAACAACAACAGTTAGTTCATCTACGGGAGGATCTTCATCTTCCTTTTTAGACATTGTTGAATCATGGAAACAATTTGGTATCGATAAAAAGAAAGGTGAATTGGATAGCTTTGTATCACAAATAGCTTCAATGAAAGAAGAATGTGTACAATCAAGAAAGGTTTTAGCTAAACAAACTCAAGGTAAAGAAATAGATAAACAATAATGTTATGTTATCAATTGACCTAACATTTCTTTTCATTTCTTTTATTTTAGACTTTAGAAAAGTATCAGATGAAGATAAATTAAAATTATTTGGAACATTATTAAAATTGTATCAAGAGGAAGTTGATAAATTAACAAAACGTAGTAAATATTCTGAATCTTGTTTCTTTGGTGTATACAAGGATCTATCAGAATTAAATGATCCAGTGCCAGCACTTAAAGCTGCATTGGATGAATACAACAAGGTTGACCAGTCAACTAGCAAATTGGAGATTGAAAATAGAAAGTTACAATTAGAGTTGGCAGGTTTTAAAAAGGATTTTCAAGAGATTCAAAATCAAGAAGTAACCATTAGAAGATTGGAAGACAAGGTCAAAGATTATGAAACTAAATTTGAATCAACCACTCTTGAAAAGGTTCAATCTAGAGAGAATGAATTGAGAATAGAGTACAAATCAAAGATTCATAATCTCAAAGATAGAAATCAAGAACTCACAAGACAAAATTCTCAACTTCAAGATGATCTAAACAAAGTTTCAAAATCTCATGATCAAAATCAATCTAGTTTATTTGATTTAAAGGTTAAACATGGTAACTAAAACTAATAATAATTGCAATTGTTATCAGAGCTCTAATTATTTTTGTTTATTTTTAGATGAAGAAATATCATCAAAACAATCAGAAATTGAAATGTTATCAAATGAAATGGAAAGGGTTACAACAAAATTATCAACACTGCAAGCTGAAAATTCATCGATTAGAGAAGAATCAATGAGAGAAAAGAGTGCAATTCAACCATTGGTAAAGAGAATTGCAGATTTGGAATTGGAGCTTTTACAAAAGGATGGAGAAGTGTCGAATTTTTCAGACTCTATCAATGACCTCAAACTCCAACTTAAACAATCAAATGACTATCACCATCAAGTAGAAACATTGTTGCAAGTTGAAAAACAAAAGGTTGAAAGAATGGATAAACATATTCAATCGAGTCCATCACTTCAAGACTATGAATCTGTCAAAAAGGAACTTGAACAACTACAAGCAATCGTTGGCAATGAAGAAGTTCAACAACAACTGCAACAACATCAACAAAATGACAAGATTCTTAAAGATAAAAATAGACAACTCGAGAATGACCTAACCAAACATAGATTAACCATTGCCACCTATGAATCTGAATTACAAGATTACAAACAAAAACTATCGTATTTGGAAAATATTAAAAATGATCAAACTCAATTGATTCAAAAATTGGAAGAAGATATTTCCCATCAAGATCATCCCTCTAATAACTCTACTTTAAATAATAGTAACAATAATCTTTCATCTTTAATTAATGAAAGTAGTGGTAGTAATCAAAATAATTCACCAATTCTTTCAAATAGTACTGATCAACAACAACAACAAAAATCTGAAAGTGAAAAAATGATGGATATTGTTATTTCTCAACGTGATAGATTTAAATTAAAAATTATAGAATTGGAAAATGTAATTATAAAGTAGATTGATTTGTTTACTTTTAACCTTGGTCACTAACCTTTCATTTTATTTTTTAGGATAAAAATCAATTTGAAAAAAATATTGAAACATTAAAATCAGAAACATCATCTTTAAAACAAGATAATATTAAATTGTTTGAAAAGATTAGATTCCTTCAAAGTTATGAAAATAATAATAGAGGTGGAAAAATGACAAAACAAAATTCAATGGTCGATTTGGAAAGAGGTGCAACAGGACAACAACAAGGAGTTGTTGACAAGAAATATGAACAATTGTATGAAGATAGCATCAATCCATTCAACTCTTTTAGTAAAAAAGAAAAATATAGAAGATACAAGGAAATGAATTCAGCAGAACAAGTCATTCTCAATGCATCCCGTTTCTTCCTTTCCAACAAATATAGTAGAATTTTCCTATTTGTCTATTCTATCCTACTGCATCTTTTGGTATTCTACACTCTCTATTACACAAGTACAACCACTCAAGAAATTCATGAACTAAATTATGGAAATCAACAACATACTCCTCCTCCTTTTAATTCAACTTTAAAAAAAGAAGAATAATCATTGTTTTTTTTAATAATAAAATTTTACTAATATATATTTTGTATAACTAGTTTTGTTGTTTGTTTTTAAATTATTGTTTTGTTTTTTTTATTGTGAATGTTGGTTCCCCAGAGAGAATATTTAAATAAATCGATCGAGTTGATTAAAAAATAAAATATTATTCCAAGTTGTTTTTGTTTTGAAAGTGTGAGATGGTTGGTATAGTTAGTCAATGGATTGTTGTTGTTAAATTTGTCTTTGTTAATTAGTTAATGTTTTTGTTGTAGTTGTTGTTGTTTTTTTTTTTTTAAGTATTAACTAAGAAACTAAACATTTCTTGGTTATCCATATCATTGTCGTGGTGGTTGTCGTGGCTATCATAATTGTCATCGTCATCGTCGCCGTCATCGTCGTCGTCGTCAGTATAGTTTGAATAAATATCTTCCAAATAGGAAGTTTCAAATCCACTACTAATACTGCTACTATCGGAATCGTTAGAGTAGTCTTCACCGATATCGCTACTACTAGCACTGCTAACGTTGCCACTAGCCATAAACTTGTGCATTGTAGTAGGATACTTGGAAGCAAGGGCAAGAAGATGCTTGACACCCTTGACATGACGAGCCAAGTATTGAGCGTCGATAACAATCGATTGAGTGGGGACACGATCGTTGTCACCATTGTTGGACGGGGTGATGACCATGGATGAGTGCTGGTCCGAATCACCTTTGGCAGTGGTTCCCAAAGGAACAAACAATAACCACCATGTACGCAATTCAGCACCATCTTCGAGAAGATGGTCGCTTTCAACGTTCAAGTGAATGGCGTTTTGTTTCAAGTACCAACCAACCATTTTCGTTTCACTTTCAAGTGTAACCAATTGATATCTCTTGATCTTGTCCTCTCTAAGATGGTCTTGGAGACGGTGGAAGAATTTACCACCGACACCGTTACCACGCATGCTTGGATGGACACAGAAATAGTCGAGATGGTAAGCACGAAATTCATCAATTTCAATGATAAAGGCGCATGCAACTACCATGATGCTGCTGACGGTTCCGTCCTCAGCAATCGACTCTTCTTCCATCACAATCACACGGTAAAAGTGGTGTTGGACAAGTTGGGAGATGTGTCTCTCTGAGGGTTCACATGGAGTGAAGAAACTTTGGGAATATAACTCCAAAGCTTCCTTACACCCTCTATCACCAAGATCTTTAACTTCTCTTACCAAATACTAAAAGAAACAATTAATTATTAGTATACCGTTTTGATTCTATTTTTCAATATTAAAATTTCTTCTTCTTCTTCTTCTTACATTCTTTGTTATATTTAGATTGAGAGACTTGAGAAGTTTAGAATCAAGATGATTCACTCGTAGGGGATCCATGGAACCCTCCGAAGCACCACCTACTACAGTGAGTAAGTGTTGATCAGATCCCCTAGCACCGGTGTTTGATTGAGCAGTCTCATCAGGAATATGACTTGTGTTTGATGGCGAATCTTAGTGGTTCTGAATCGATTTGGGTGACGGGAGCAATGACTCCGTGCTTGACAGTGACAGAAGTGGAGGTGGAGGAGACAGCGGCATCAGAAGACAACGAGGCAAATCCAGCAGCAGCAACAGAGGCGGCAGAAGCTACCACAGAAGTGGTCTTTTTGCCATCGACTGCAGCCAAGATAAGAGATGCCAAAGAAGATGAGGATGAGGAGGAAGAGTCAGAGTCGCTGCCGTTGAAAGAGGAGAGAAGGGCAGATGGGGTGGTGGTAGCATCAAAGGTACTACCACCTACAACTTGGAATTGCAACAATTTACTTTGAGCTAATAGAGCCGTCATGGAAGACTGTAACAAAAGAGATAACAGTTAACTTTTCGTTAAGTTAAGATAAGAAAAACTACAGCGAGTTTGCTTTTTGACTTGGGTAATTGGTTGTGACTGATAACTAGTACTAAATATATATTAAATAACCTAAATAAATAAACCTTGGTAGAATTTATTTATAAATTATAAAATATAAAACTAAAATATATAGTTATAAAATAATATGTAACTTGTAAGAGATACTAAGGAAGACAGATAATGAATGTTAGTGTAAGTGGTGAAAAAAAAATATGATGGTGAGAGTTGGTTGATGGGTCACGTGATACTCACCTTAAAAAAAATCTTGGGATTTTTATAAAAAAAATAAAAATAAAATCAAACGTTGCGTCGAGACTGGGGAAATTGGTGCAAGAAGAACGTTTGTGTTTCAAATGAATTACTTTTTTAAATTTCATCAAAAAAAATGGAGAAAAGGTTACTGGTAAATAAATAAAGAATATTAATTCCTTTAAAATATGAAAGAAACCCTTCCTTTTTAAAATTTATTAGAGGAGATTGGTGTCACTAAAGAGTGGGGGTAGGTGGGGAAAGAATGAACCCAAAAATAACTCTTTCAACACCCCTCTCGTATCACAACTATGTTGTTGTTCATGATGTAAAGAGATTTAAACCAACAACAATGCAAAAAGGAAACCAATAATATACAATTTTTGAAATTCAACAAACTTGGAATTTCAAAATTAAATTAAAATAATATTATTTGTATGGTAGGTCGGTATTGTAATTACAATCTAAAATTATTATTATTATTATTATTTATTCCTCTGGTTTGTTTTGTTTTGGTTTTGGTTTTTGGGGAAAAAAAAAATCTTATTATTATTATTATTATTATTATTTAATTGTTGTTGTTGTTGTTTATATTCAACAATCTCCCACACATATGAAAGAAATATAGGTACTACTAATCTCGATTATTACTTATATAGTGATCAGTAATGTTGTTGTCGTTGTCGTGGTGGTGGGTATGGGCAAAAAAAAAAAAGAAAGATATCTATTTATGTATATATATATATATGATATGTGATGAGATGTGGGATGGGGAAGATCGATATTACAATTTTGGATTAATAAAGCCTGCAAGTGAAAAGTTATTTGGTGCTTGGGCGGCAACTTGTCCATGAACAAGAGGAGCTGTTTTCTTGTACTTTTCATTGTACAATTCGATGTAGGATTTCTGGATGTATTGGTTTTCCAAACCGAGTTTGGTGCCAGCTTCTTGGACAGAGGCAGCGTCAAAACCCTTGATCTGGATGTAGGTTTGACCAAGCTCTTCGAGTTCGTCAAATGAGATGATGATCTTACCGTCCTTGAATATAGTCGACTTGCGATGAATAATGGCGACCATCTGGTATCCGAGCGACATGAGACCGCCGAGCATGTTGACACCGACGACAAAATCGACACGCGGTGAGATGATAAAGCCCGACTCTTTAATCTCCTCACTAAACATGATACTGTAGATACCGTCGCTGTTACGCACACGGATCCAGTCGTACGACGATGACTCGGACAACACGACACCGGGTGGGATCAAGTAGATGTCATAGTAACGCGCAGTGTGTTGAGTGGGCTGCTTTTGGAGCACAGAGACCACCTGGTCGACGGTCACCTGCTTGAGCGACTTGAGGATGTAGATGGGGTTCAAGAGACCCGAGAACGGGTTGAACTTGTTGACAATCTTGATTTCGGCCAGTTGCAAGTCGGGCTCGATGAATGCCTTGTACATGGGGTATACCGTGTCGGTGATCTGTTGCAGCGACTCGTGTGGTTGCTGACCCGTACGATGCACGTCTCTAAAGATACGTTTGATCAGATCGAAATGGACACCTCCAGAAATCGAAATACGCAAGTCCAAAAGATCTCTGACGTCTTCGTGCAACGCATAGATACCTTCGATCAAGACAACCTTGGATTCAGGTGGTTGTACATTGTTGTAGGCGTATCTACCACTCTTGGTGAAATCGTACAATGGCAAGTCGGTGGCCTTGTTTGACGTGAGATCCGTAATATTCTTTCTCAACAACTCAAAATCTACCAATCTATAATCATCGTAATTCTCTTCTATAATCTGTCTACTTGAATCCAAATAGTTATCTAATGAAATTAATCTAAATGAAATATAAATAAACAATAATTGATTGATTAGTCTAGTGATGACATATCGTTCTCATCTCATTCTCGTCGTTTCAAACATACACAGTCTTTGGTAAAACAGATACTATTTTATGGGCAAGAGATGTCTTTCCAGCACCACTTGGTCCGGCTACACCAACAACAATCACTCTTCCATTATTCTTCTTTCTCAATTGTTGAATGGCTTTGACCGACAAAAAGAATCCTTTATCAAATGACTGTGCAAGAGTAGTAATAGATCAATGATTGAAATGATTAGTATTGATTTGATGTGTGATAGAGAGAGAGAGAGAGAGAGGACATACCAAAGTTTCTTGTTTTGGTTTCATTGTCCAACGTTGGTCGGCACGTTCTTGTAGTTCTACTTCTAATTCATTCATCTTTTATATATATATGTATATGTATATGTGTGTGTGTTGCGTATGTATTGTATTATCACAGTTAGTTGATGATACTTATATATAGATAAATAAATATAGAGGGAGAGAGGGAGGGATGTAGTAGAAACTCTTATAAATATAGGTTAGTATATTTATCTGTGAATCAAAAGGCGGGTTTAAGAGATAAACAAAAAAACTAAAACGAGACAGCTTCGTCTTTAATAACAATAATCCGTTGCAGCGAAAGAATCGAAACGAATATATTCAAATTTCCTTGTTCTCTTTTTTTTTAGATATGCTTGTTTGGGTTTAAATAGATATTATTACTACCGCTACTACTACTACCCCTACTACTACTATCAACCTTAATTGAAATCTATTATAGTTGATAACTAGCTGCTTGGTCGGTTGGTTAGTCAGTCGGTCGGTCTCCTTCCTTTTTATTGAATTTCAATAAGATAAATTGAAAGATACAACCACCATAACTATCTATCTATCCATCTATCTTGTTCTACTGTCCAAACAATATCATGCAATGAATCATCATTTAATACCATATTGTCCATCACTGTGATCAGTTCATTGGAGCTTTCCCAACACATAATGATGAGGAATGAATGATTTCTTGAGTTTTTTTTTTGTCGACTTGTTTCGTCAAAGATGAATGTTGATTAAAAAAGATCATTCTTCAAAGCACTTTCTTTCTTTCTTTCTTTTTATTATTTTATATCATACAAGAAGAGCAGCGATGTTGAGCAATAAGATTGTTGCTACGGCAACAGCGGCAAAAACATTGACATCTTCTTTAATAGGCAATAGCAAGAGATTATCACCATCTATAATCAACAATAATTATGTAAATTCACACCTCTCATCATCATCTTCACAACAACAATGTATAAATAACAACAACAACAATAACAATAACAACAATAAATTGATGAGAGATATCAACTATATATTCAATAACAGTACAACCAAAAATAATAATAACAATAGTCTTAGAAATAATCATTATGGTGGAATGATATTTAACAATCATTATAGATTATATTCAACAGAGAATAAGAATAATAATAATGAAGAAAAAGAAAAGGAAAAAGAAAAAGAAGAAAAGGAACAAGAGGAAAAGAAAAAACAAGAAGAAGAAGAAAAGAAAAAGGAACAAGAGGAAAAGAAAAAGGAAGAGGAAAATGTAAATAAATCATCGACTGATAAAGACAAGGATAACAATAAGGATAAAAAAGAAGATGATAAGAAGGATGGTAGTGGTGGACCCTTTGATTTCAGCTATATATTCCGTGCATTTAGTAAGTTATCTTACGTAACCAAAATATAACTTTTTAATATTATATATATATACTTACTTTTTACATAATTCTTTTTCTTTTTTGTTTTTAGAATGGTCAATTCCAATTACAGCATTAATGGTATTATTCGTAACAACATTGGAAACAGCAGATGGTAGAAATTATATTGATTATCAAACATTTAGATCGACTGTGTTGCCAAGTGGAACGATTGCAGGCATTCACATTGTCAATGGTAACATTGCGATGATTCGTGTAAAGACATCGGAAGGATACCGTCTCTACAAGATCAATGTACCAAACGTAGACGATTTCCAACGCAAGATTGAACAGGATCAATTAGAGTTGGGTGTAGAGTTGGGCGACCAAGTATTTGCCAGCTACGCCGAAGAGAATGCGATATTCAAAGAGATTATAAGTATCATCCCAACGGTGCTGTTTGTTGCAGCATTGACCTACTTTTCACGAAACATCTCGTTGATGGGTGGAAAGGGTCCCGCCAGTCTCTTTAGCAAGAGCAAGGCCACAAGAGGCACGTCAACAACCACATTCAAGGATGTGGCCGGTATGGATGAGGCCAAAGAGGAGATTATGGAGTTTGTGAGCTTCCTCAAGAACGCCGACAAGTACAAGAAGCTCGGTGCCAAGATCCCCAAGGGTGCGATCCTGGTGGGTCCCCCTGGCACGGGCAAGACGTTGTTGGCCAAGGCTACGGCCGGCGAGAGCGGCGTGCCATTCTTTACCATCTCGGGATCCGACTTTATCGAGATGTTTGTGGGTGTAGGACCTTCGCGTGTAAGAGACCTCTTTAAAGAGGCACGTGCCAACACACCATGCATCATCTTTATCGATGAAATTGATGCTGTGGGTCGTTCACGTTCGAGAAATGGGTTCCACAACGACGAACGTGAAAACACCCTCAATCAACTGCTCGTCGAGATGGATGGATTTGGCAGCACTGAGGGTGTCGTCGTATTCGCCGGTACTAACCGTCCCGACGTTCTCGACCCTGCCTTGATGCGTCCCGGTCGTTTCGATCGTACCATCTATGTTGGCGAACCCGACATCAAGGGTCGCAAGGACATCTTTATGGTACACTTGAAAAAGATCAAGATTGAAGGCGACATGGAAGACCTCGCCAAGAAGCTTGCCACCCTCACACCAGGATTCTCTGGTGCTGACATTGCCAACGTTTGCAATGAAGGTGCTCTTGTTGCAGCCCGTAGAAACGCCCTCAAGGCCACATTTAAGCATTTTGAAGAGGCTATTGAGCGTGTACTCGTCGGTCTCGAGCGCAAGAACCGTGTACTCTCCAAAGAGGAGCGTAACATTGTCGCTCATCACGAAGCTGGCCATGCCATCGCCGGCTGGTTCCTCGAACACACTGATCCGCTGCTCAAGGTCTCTATTGTTCCACGTGGCATGGGTACACTCGGTTTTGCTCAGTACCAGCCCAAAGACCAGTACCTCTACACCCGTGAGCAGCTCATCGACCGTATCTGCGTCACCCTCGGTGGCCGTGTCGCCGAATCCATCATCTTTGGCCGTATCTCGACCGGTGCCCAAGACGATTTGGAAAAGGTCACCAAGATTGCCTCGTCCAAGGTCGTCCACTATGGTATGAACGAACGTCTCGGTGTCGTCTCTTTTAAAAAGGAAAACAACGGTGAAATGACCATCGAGAAGCCATACAGCCAGGCCACCTCGAGGATGATCGACGAAGAAATCAGAAAAATTATCAACCAAGCCTACGAGAGAACTCATGTCCTCTTGACCGAAAAGAAAGAGGAACTATTAAAGGTTGCCAAGGTACTCCTTGAAAAGGAAGTCCTTCTCCGTGACGACCTCCGTGAATTATTGGGTCCAAGACCATTTGGTGAAAAAACAACTTGGGCTGAATTAACTGGTGAAGTTACTCCAGAAACTGAATCCCCTACCAGTAGTAGCAGTACCACTGCCACTGAATCAACAACAAACGAACAACCACAACAAGAAAACAAGATTTAAAAATAAATAAATTATAATATAATATATATAAAGAAAAGAAAGAGGCTCAGTGGAGTACAAGGCCGGCCAAATCCTGCCAACCAATATAACCAGTTCAATCGATGGATTATTGTGAAAATATATCCAAGTATTGAGCTAAGTGTTATTTGCTATTCTATTCTTTAAAAAAAAAAAAAAAAAACAAACCAAGGGGACGAAAAATATTCTTTTAAAAAAGGTATTGAATTTGGAAAATATTACCAAAAATGGAAGTTTCGTGTCGAGACGCGAATAAAATGAATATTTAATTGCCAAACAATTAGACCTCTGTCAGTGACTAGGGTTTTGGACAACAATAGATTTGTTGTTTTTTTGTTTTGCTTTGTATCTGGATTAATAAAAGTAGAATTGAAAATAGTAGTCATCCAACCAGTCAGCTTGCTTGTTGTTTTACACATCTCTAAAAAAAAAAAACTTATATTAAAGAGTAATAGATCCCGTCCCTACTCCCTACTCCCTTCCTCCACATACATCTTCACATCCAGACAGACACTGAAACGCACAACACTCCACTCTCACTGTCTCTCTTATTCTTTTTTTTTTTTCTAAAAGTAATTTTTCCATCTATATAGATTTCTAATAACACTCATTATTATTTATTTATTTATTTTTGGATTTTAATTAATTAATCATCCAACTATCCCATACTACTATCCATTTTGCTTGCTTGCTTGAAATCCTCGTTATAATCTATTATCATTACAATTTTATAACCCATAGACTAGAACTATTTGGATTGAACCCTTACATTACAATTGTTGTTCAAACCATACCATACCATACCTCACATAAATTAAATTAAATTTAAATTCTATTTTAAAAGACAGAATAATAATAATAATATGACTGTATGTAATAATAAATATAAGAATAAAAATTCAATATAATATAACAATCACCAGAGATAGAGATAGATACAGGTTCATCATCATTTAAAACCCACACCCACCCACCCACCACCTCCATCCTAAGATTTAAAATTATCTTCTCTCTCTCTACATCTACATAGTGTTTGTGTGTTGTTTTTATCTCTCTCTCTCTCTCATTACAATGACACACAATTGTGTGTGTGTGTGTGTGTGTTAATTCTACAACAATTACAATGACAATGATTATCTTTTTTTTTAATTCTTTGATCAACTTGCATGAATTCATAGTTGGTTTATATTGTTAACAATAACGTGGTATCGAAACTTAACTTATCGGTTTATAGGTTTCGTGTGTTTCATTTCATCCCTATCGCCATCATCGTCGTGTTCACCGCTTTTGCTTTGCACCTTTCGAATCTTGTCGACACCATTGTTGGTTTTGTGTTTTTTTGTTTTCAGATACCTCCTGCTTTTGTAGGGCGAAACGATGGTGATGAAAATTGAACGGGTAGACACATGGATGGGATAAGGAGGTGCGCAAAGCAGCTGATTTATTATTTCTTTTTTTTTTGTTTTTCCTCCTTCATGAACAGATTTTTTTTAAAACAAAAAACTAGCAAATTATCAATCGATTATCTCTTCACGCTTTTTGTTTTTTGTATTAATTGTTTGTTGTATTGTTGTCCGTCTGTCCGTCCGTCTTCTCTCTCAACAAACAAACAAACTCCCCCTTCCACATTATATATCTTGTAATAATCATTGCACAATAACAGCAACAACACATAGCTAAACAGTGTGTGACAATATATAATCTATCTATCTATCGGTCGACTGAGACATATAGACATATAGACATAGAGACATAGGAGAGACATTGTTGTTGCAACAATATAAATATAATACAGTATTTTAACATAACCCTCTCATTACCTATTATTATTATTACTATTATTACTTTATTTATTATTATTTATTCTTAAAATTATTATAGCACAGTACCAAGATTAGTCAAAAGTATTTGTGTAGTAGCGGCAGCAATAACATTAATACAAAAAAGAAGGCAACAGAACTCGCTTCAACACTATCAGCCAAATCGAAAGAATCAATGGATAAATTGGAACAAGACCCAGGATTGATGTCCTATGCCGACTTGCATGGTGAATGGGAAACTAGAGAAATCAGCATCTTTGGTGCTGTCAAGAGTTTCATTTCACAATTGGGTATTGGTCAAGAACTTACAAAGTATGATCGATCCATCCAACTTGTAGCCCTTTTTCAAATTCTTACTCTACTCTTTTTTATTAATTTTTATAGGGTAAGCATGCCTTCAATGTTTTTGATGCCATACTCCATTTTGGAGCTTGCTGGAGCAAGATATCTTAAATACTTTCACCTTTTATCTGCTGTTTCTAGCGAACCAGATCAAGCTAGAAGAATGGCAATTGTAATCCAATACTTTTTGGCTTGTATTCGTGATGGAAATGTATGAAAACAAACAAACAAACAAACAAACAATAATAATAATAATAATATTATTATTGGATTCCTATTTATTTATATATATATATATATTAACATTTATTTATTTGTTTATTATAGTTCCAAAGAAAACCATATAATGCATTGTTGGGAGAAACACATAACTGTTTTATTAGATATCCATCGGCTGAAGAAGATGGAAAGACTAGTACTGCACGATTCATTGCTGAACAAGTTACTCATCATCCACCATTAACAGCATTCCATATTGAAACAAGCGAAGGTTTAACCATGGATGTATGTAGATCTACGATACGATACGATACTTTACAAAACAAATTTTATATTTCTATAATAACTAATCAAACCAATCGATTGTTTTGTTTTGTTCTAAATATATATTAGTGCAATGTTCAATTCTCTGCTAAATTTCACATGAACTCTGTATCAATTGTAACATCGGGTGATATTATTATAAAGGTACCAATGAGAGAATCAGATGGAGAGCCTGCACACGAGGAGGTATATGTTATCGATAAGGGTCTTCCAGACGCCATTGTAAAGAATGTTATCTTTGGTACACGTTCAATCAACTGGACCGACTCTGTCGAAATCATGTGTCAAACCACAAACACCTCTGCCACTCTCCACTTTGACAAGAACGAGTTTGTCAAGGGCGATATTTACGAATACAACGAAGAAAAGAATGAGGAGGAACACCATGCCACCCTAAGTGGTTATCTCAACAGTACCGTCAACATTGAATATTTTGATACTCCTGCTTCTTCTGAAAAATCTGTAAGTCAAAACAAACAATATAAATGTTTGTTGGTATACTAACTATTATTATTTGATTGTTTGTGTTTTGTAGAAAAAGAAGAGTAAAAAGAAATCAAAGTCAAAGAAACAATTTGGTCCAACAGATACAGTTTTATTCGAGTCTGAAAAGTTACAACCAAATCATACATTATATCCTAAACAAACTGATCCAATCAATTCACTCAACGTTTGGAAAGAGGTTACCAAGCACATTGTAGCCAACGATATGGCCTCTTCCGATGTCGTCAAGAAAGAGATTGAAGACGAACAAAGAAAGCGTCTCCGCGCAACCAAAGAAGAGGAAAAGAAGGAAAGAGTATATTTCAAATTCGACGAAGAACAAGAACGTTGGGTTTTCAAGGGTTTCCCAACTCCAAACTAAATATAGTTATGAACCCAAACATTTTTATATATATATATATGTTTTCTTTCTTTTTTCTTCTTCTATACGATAAAGTAATCCCTTTCCATCATTCACTCATCCCTCTCAAGTAATAATAAGAATATTATACACTTTTTAATATATATATATATAAATATTTACAGTCAGCCAAACAAACAAACAAACAAAACACATTTACATAGATTTCCAAAAAAAAAAAACAAAAACAAAAACAAAAACAAAAGAATATATAGGTAAATATGTTATGTACAACAACGACAACAACAACAACACACAATAATAATTATATAATTATAATATTTTAAATCCTCCCCTCCCTCCCCCCCTCCAAATTAATAACAAACAAACAAACAAATAATAATAATAATTTTGCGCAAACAACAACAATAATCAATGTTATAATAATCAAATAGATTAGGATAGAACCCAAGAAATAACAATAAATTTCCTACCTACCTACCTGCCTACCTACTTGCTTGTGGTACTCTTTTTAAAAACTAACAAACAAACAAACAAACAAACAAAATGAGAGTTTCTGGAAAACTTTTATTATCTTGTTTCCAATTGATAAATTGATATCTATACTCTTTCTTTCCTAAAGAGTATATATTACCAGTGAAATGAAATATAATAGAATATAATAACTCGTTATTTGTTATTGTTGTTGCTTGAACAACACCTGGAATTCCTAAATAATCGAAAATCATGTTTAAAAAATAAATATTGAAAAAAATGAATAATAAAGGTAAAAAGGTAAATTCACCCTGGGCTGGTTCATTCATTTAATCAATCAATCTTTCAATATAAAAGGAGAAAGGGAGACGAAGAGAGAGAGAGAGAGAGATAAGATACTAGTATATTTGTATTTAGTAGTCGTAATAGTAATAGTACAAACATTAGCTATACTATTAGAATTATAACAACATAGAAAGATATCTTTTATCAAAATCAACAATACAACAATACAACAACTCTTTATCTACACTATCGATAAATCATCACAGACATACAGATAGATAGATACATTCTTATATTATAACAATTCATAGTAGTTGATAAAGAGAGAGAGACATAGTAGTAGAAAAGATTCTTTTCCTTCTTCTTTTTCTTTTAGAAACCTAGTTTCTATCTATCTATATATATACACTCTTTTTTTTAAAAATGACAGAGAATATTACATTGGGAGGAGGAAGTGGTAGTACAATGTTTCCAAATCAAATAGTGACAGGTGCAGCCAACCCAAACCCCAATACATTTGCATGCACTCATTTCAATGATGATACCTACTTTGCATACTCTTCGTCGAGAAATGTATATGTACTCAAAGGTGGTTCACTCAGAGTCATTCAAGTACTAACAGGACACAAAACAGATGTCACTTCAATCGCATGGCTAAATTATCATTCAAAGTTACTCACTGCCAGTTCAACAGAGATTTTTGTTTATGATATTGTCAAAAATCCTCAACAACCAGTTCAACCTTCATCATCATCATCATCTGAGACAAACAAAGATAATGTATGTATAAAAATCAAGCAAGAATGATTAGATTGTTGTTGTATATATTAATGTATTTTATTTGTTTGTTTGTTTTAGAAACTTGAATGGGAAAGAATTATGGTAATACCAAATCCATTTGAAATCAATACAATGTGTTGGTTAAATTCGAATTCATTTGTGGTTGGAGGAGAGTATTTGGCACTTTGGAAGTTGGATTTTGATCAGATACACAAGCAATATGCATTGACTAAACAACAGATGCAAAAGGAACAAGATAACCCACAGAGTGCTGCTGCTGCCAGTCTGGGACTGCACACGAGCTCGACCGCGATGTTGGGATCGGCATCGTCGTATCAGATTAGCAACAAGGCCAACATTGAAAGAATGGGTCTGCGTGAACAAAAGATATTTAGAAAGCAGGCGACCATTGTGTGGAGAAGCGAGTGTTCGCAGCCAGTACATCACATCTCGTGTTCACCCGATGGATCGTTGTTTGCAACGGCTGGAAAGTGCGATCGAATGTTAAAGGTGTGGTACAAGCAGCCCAAAGTAGCACAGACACCCGATCAAGACGACAGCAACGCTTCCACCACCTCTACAACATCGGCTGCAACGTCGACCAAAACAAAGGGTTACTTTAAAGACCATTTCAATCAACTCACGAGCAAAGAACCAAAATTCAAATTCACAACACAAAAACAACAGGAAAAGGATGACGAGTTTAACCAGAACCTCGCCAAACAACAACAACAACAGAAACTTAGGGCACAGCAAAAACAGAAGCGTTTCGAGTATGAATCCTACGGGTTCATCTATCTACCACATCCACGTGCCATTTCTTGGATCTCGTGGAGAATGAGAGATTCTTCACACCACAACATACTCTTGACCAACTGTAAAGACGGTGTCGTTCGTCTTTGGCAACAATCACTCCAATCGAATCGTCTTCAATTCAATGTATCTAATATTATTCATGCTGGAACTGAATCGGTTGATTGGATCAATTGTTATTCCCCTTTATTTTTACAACAACATCATATTTATCAACAACAACAACAGCAACAATCAGGTTCATCTTCATCATCTTCATCTCAACCACAATCATCAACTTCATCTCAACCATCAACTTCATCAAAACAAACTACTACTGCTACTACTACTGATGGATTAGAAATTAGACCAGATTTATTGACAAACTTAAAGAATCCTATTTTATTAAGATTAAAAGAAGGACATTTAACTAGAAGTAAATCAATAGTTGATTGGATTTTAGGTGTAAAGCAAGATGGTACACTGATCATGTGGAAGTTAAAGACTGATGATTCAACGTCGAGACAGACATCATCCATATCGATATGGATCAATTCACCACAGATTCTATCACCACAAGAGGTGGGTCCCAATAGAATCATTGCCCTTTATCAACCACTCTCTATCAGTGACAACACACCAACATCGATCACCATTTGTGTAAATTCCTTTAATGGTGCCATTTCATGTCGCAAATTCTACATTCAAAACCAAAACCAAACACAAATATCAAATACTTCACCACCAAGTCGTTGTTATGGTCACAAGAGTTCCATTCGTTCAATCAACGTTTCACCAGCTTCCCATTATCTCTCTACAGTCGATCGTCAAAATAATATCATTCTTTGGCAAACTACCGATGGTACCAAAATTCAAGCTCCCTATTATCTAGTCGACATTGGATCTATTGGTACAAGTCATTCAATTACTTGGTCGTCTGAAAATAATTTTTGTTTTTCTGCAAACAAAGATGGTATGAGAAAAAAAAAAAAAGAAACAAAAAAGTATTTATTTTATTTATTTTAATTTTTTTTTTTAGGAATATTGGTTTATCATATTGATCCACATGATAATAATAAACCATTAAAGTTACCAATTGGAATTATCGATCAATCATGTATACAAAACTCTGATCATGAAGAGTTTTATGAAGAGATACATGTGGTTGATTGTCAACCCCAACTATACAGAGGTATCAGCGGAAAGAAAAATGCACCAAACTTTTCATTTTTCATTATTGGTATAAACAACTATGGTGATAAACTAACGATTTGGGGTGTTACCGTTGACTATAACCAAAATGGTCCACAAACAACCGTTTCAACATCTTCAACCACCTCTAATTCACCATTTTCACTTTCCTCTAAATTGTTGGCAACCAAAACCTTTTCAAGTGAACAAAAGATTACTTGTATTTGTCCAACTCCAAAAGGTGTTGCTGATAAAATGTCAACCATTCAATTATTTAAACAACAAGAAAATCAAAATGAAAATGAAAATGAAAAAGAGAATGGTCATGATGATGATAATAGTTCATCAACTTCAACAATCGAGGAATATGAAGATATTCCATCACATCCAATTTGTGTTACTGGTAGTATGGATGGAATTATTACAGTATGGTCATTATCAGCTTTTGATACACCACAAGCTGACAATCAATCGGCAACAGGTGATGATGTCTATGATGAATTATTCAAGGAAAAGGAAGATCATGAGAAATCTGAAGTTAAAAATCAAGACAATGATGACAATGATGACAAAGATCATCATCAAGGACCATATTGGAAGATAACAGAGTTGTGTCATCATGCAGCATACCAACAACCGGTTGAATCAGTATCACCAGCTTACTTTGGAAGATTTGCTAGTACTCCTTCAATGAGTGCATTCCACAACTATGTCATTAATCCAGTCATTCACATTTGGGAACTGGAATCCCATACACCAAAGTTGCAATTGGAGGATACTATCAAGTTTTATAGCGACGAAGAGTTTGAACAACAACAACAGTTGGTGTCTCTCAACATTCCAACCTTTGCAAGTGAAGCCAACTTTTCCTACCAACAATCGTACGATCCGTTTGAACACCAGTCGTCAAACTCTAACTTTTCCATAAAGAGTGGATGTAATTTTAGTTTTGCTACGTTTGCCGACGGTACAGTGTCGCTTGCAACTGGCTTTAAAAACACTATCCGTGTGCTCAGAAAACCAATTGACAGAAGTATCGGATCGTACAATCGTTCATGGATGGAAACACACAGATACAACGATCTATCGTCTCAATGTGTGTCGATAGTGTGGGGCAAGGACAGAGAATTGTTTGTTGCAAGTGGTAACCAAATATTGGTCTTTTCAAAGTGGATGAAACCAACCGAAGCATTCCTTTCAATGTATGAAGGTATCTATCCAAGTATCGATACTGTCTACCACCAACACTCTATCCTCTCGAGACCACTGCCATACTACCATCCAAAGTTGTTGACAGAGTACATGATGGCTGGCAAGTTTGAAAAGGTTGAAAACATTTTAATGTTTATCTCTAGGTTTTTAATCTCTAGATTCCCATTCCTCTTGACTGATCCAAATCCAGTTCAACAACAATCAATCTATGATGATGATGACAGTGACGAAGAAAAGGATTATCATCAACAACCAAAACCATCTTCTTCCTCTTCTACTTCAGCAGCTGATCAAGTTGATCTAAGTAAACCTGTATTTATACCAACTGTAGATATTGAAGATATGTTATTGGATGAAAGCGATAGACCAATAACCGATGATAATGGCATGGACCATGAAACCAACAATGGATTCAAAGATAAAAGACAGGAAGAAGAACAAGAAGAGTTGGTATTGGACAAGTATAATAACAACCTGTCAACATCAAATGACGACTTGTTTAATCATGCAAATCAAGATGAAAAATCATTCACCAAGAAGCAAGCAGCCAAACTCAACGAAATTCTATCAAATGTCAGGTTGGCCGGTCTCAACAGCGCCGAACAGATCCAATTGTTGGCATTGACCGACACGTACGGTCAGATTGGAGAGATGAGAGGAGGGTTGGATGAGAATGGCCAAAGATTCCTATTGAATGTCAAGATTTACCAATTCCTCAAACGTTCAATGAATCCAACAGAACGACCCATCTCACTGAGTGCAGTTGACATTTTATGGGCTCTTCACTCTGAATGTCAAGAAACATTGCTTCAAAACTGTTTCCCAACTGATCCACTCTGGGAAGACTATCGTCAACTTGGTGCAGGTCTTTGGATCAAGAATCCAATCACACTCAAAAACACATTTGAAAAGCTTGCCAAGACCACCTACACTGCCAACAAGGATCCAAGCGAGAGTGCACTCTACTATATTGCACTTGGTAAAAAGGGTGCTCTCGTCGCTCTACACAGAGCACACAAAGAGACCAAACAAGTCGATTTCCTCCTTCAAGATTTTACTCAACAGAAATGGATCAATCTCGCTGCCAAGAGTGCCTATCTACTCCAAAGTAAGCATAGATATGATTTGGCTGCATCCATGTTTTTGCTGGCCGGTGATCTCAAGCAAGCCACCAACCTCATCCTCCAATCCAAGGGTGACTTCCAATTGGCCTATGCGATTAGCAGATTGTATGAGGGTGAGAATGGACCAACCTCGCGTATGATTCTCGAGGAGCATGTTATCCCCCATGCCAAAAAGACCTATGATAGATCGCTGCTCTCTGTATGTCAATGGTTGCTCAAAAACTATGAAGATTCGCTCAAGATTCTTTTGCCTTCGACCGAGATTAATGAAGCTTCGAAAAAGCTAGACTATGACCAAGTACAACACCTGTCTGCTTACAACTCTCCCACCAATACCTCTGGAAACAACTCACCACTTCCAACCATGGGTGGAGGATTTGGTAGAATCCCATCAGTCATTTCTCTTAGCAACTATGCAATGTCATCTTCACCGCTCTTGTCTAGAAATCAACAAACTCAAAAATCGACTACAACCAACTCGATTGCATCACAACTACGTACCTCTGAAATGGGTCCATCGGCACTATACTTTTTCAGATACCTTCGTGCTCACATTCTATTAAAACAATTGCCAGACGACAAGAAACAAGATTATCCATTCCTCAGATCAAGTATCTATTCCTATCTTTATAGTGGTTGTTCTCATCTTGCTCTTGAACATATCAAAGAAATTGAAGCTTCACATCCTTTAATTATTCTACCAAACAAAGAAATTGAAGAGGAAGAAGAGGAAGAAGAAGTCAAAGTGGTTGAAGAAGAAAAGAAACCATCATCATCATCATATGATGATTTGGGTTTAGATTTTGGTGGTTCATCATCTTATTTCAATAGTAGTTCAAAGAATAGTGGATTGGATGATTTGGATTTTGGTGGTTCATCATCTTATTTCAATGCACCAAAGAGTAGTGGATTAGATGATTTAGACTTTGGAGGAGGAGCAAGTAGTACTACTACTTCAAACAATAATAGTAATTACTTTGATATGGGATTAGATTTTGGTACAACAACAACCAAAAAAATAGATGATTTAGGATTAGATTTTGGTGATACCCAGTCCTCTACAAAGAATGATCTAAGATTAACCTCTGAAATTAAAAATGATGGAAAGGAATTCAAAGATGACACCAAAAAGAAAAATACATTGGAAAGAGAAAAGGTTTCAATTTATCCAATTGTTGATTTGGAATTAAAAGCTAAATTGGTTTTACAAGTTTTAGTAAATGTATGTAAAAAAGATCAATAATAATAATCATTATTATTATTTGTTCTAATTCTTTTATTTATTTATTTTTTATTAGAACCTTGTAAACTTTAAAGAATCAAATCAATGGAATGAAAATGTTGAAAGATTTGATGAAATGTTGTATTTAATGACAGATAAATATGAATTGGAAAAGAATATTATCATTGATCGATTAATTGTATTTTGTGCACACAGACAATACTATAAACAAATCATTCATCTCTACAATCTTTTGGGTGCATCCAAAAACTCTGCCAATGATTTTATGGATCAAGCTTGTCATAGTATTCTAAAGTCTATCTATCGTATCGATGACTATCCTCAAACCAAACAACAAACTCAACATCTTTTGAAATTATCAATTGAATTGTATAGTTGTATTCCTGATCTTAAAAATCCTTCACTCATCGTAATGTCAATTTATGTAAGTTACAAAAATGAGAAAACCTTAATACTAGTTTATTAATTTTTCAACCTTTTACATTTAGATGATATTATTTTTGGCAAGTTGGGGTAATTCTAGATTTGATATTCTTTTATCAATTCTTTATCAAGAAACACCGGCTGCTGCACCACCTCAACAACCAAAAAAGAATACTTTTAATAATCTACAATTCAATCCAGTCGTTTCAAATCAACCTCCACCCATTGGAAGTAATGTAGATGTGCTCTTGAAAGCAATTCAACAATTATACAAGTCTGGTGAAGGAAGTACCTTTGTCACCTATCAAGATGAACAACTTCAATCTCATCTTGATAGTGATGAAGAAGATAATGATGAAGATAAATTACTTAAATATCAAAAAAATATTGATGTAAGAGAAAAAGAAAAAGAAATAGAAAGAGAAAGAAAATAGATATCTATTTTTAAACTAATATTTATTATCTTTTTTATTTTATTTTTTTTAGACAATTAATTGTATACAAAAAATATTTGAATTATTTTGTTTAACTAGATTTAGAAAAGTATATGATGCAGTGATTAAAGATTTAACCTATCACCATGTATTTGATTTAATGCATCAAAGATTACATTTCTGGTTGGTATCGATTCAATCCAAGATTCTTTCACCACCTCGAAGCATCTATGACACGTTTTACCGCAAACCAAGAGCACAAGCATCGACCAATCTCTTGGATCTTGTAAAGACATTCCCAGTGTTCCATACACAACAACGTGTCGAATTGTGGCAACACTTTATCAAGGAGAATGATAATATCGATCTCCTTACCAATACCATTCTACCCTCTGAAGACAGCACCTACATGCCATCATCATCGAGAAAGATAAAGTTTGCCGAAGAGGCCATTGAATTGTATAAAGATGGTGATCTCCTTCAATCGTTTTGTGTCGATGCCTCTCCTCCAGAAGGCACAGATATTCAAGTGGTTGCTGTTGCCACTACAAGAGGTATCAGAGAAATCGATCTCAAGCATAGTCCACAACAACAATCACAACATCATCATCAAGACAATCAATCAAGTAGTGATGATTTTGATATTGACAGTGCTGTTGCAACGTCTGGTGAATTCCTTTCACCAACTCAGTCTGGTAGAAAATTACGTATCTCTGCCAAATCAGTTTCATCACTCAACTTTAAGGGTGGTAAACAAAATGTTTTTAAATCTGCTATTTCTTCTTTAGTATGTATATAATATAATATATTTTTGAAAAGTACTTATACTTTATTTTTAATTTTATAGAATGCATCAAAACAAGTAGATCATAATATAATTGTACAATGTTTAGAATCACATCCAAGTTCATCATATTATTTATCAGGTGGTATTGATGGATCAGTATGTTTATGGCAATTTGGTATACCAGAGGCATTGGCAGCTTACCAACTTCCAACTCGTCCAAGAGTGGTAAGATGTAGATTCAATCAGAGTGGTTCAAAGTTTGGTGCATGTGACATGTCTGGTAATTTGATGTTGTGGCAATTTGCAGCTCAAGAAGATACACTTAGACCATTCTATTCGTTGCAAGCTCATTCTAAACAAACTTTGGATTTCACATTTATCAACTCTGGCAGTTTATTGGCTACTGCCGGTATCAGTACCAATAGTAAAAAGGATGTTTGTCTTTGGGATGTATTACTACCTCCACATAAATCTTTGGTTGCAAGTTATACCGATCAAGAAAGTGGTGCCTCTTCCATTTCTTATTCACCAAAACATCAATTATTAGTTGTTGGTGGTAAAAAGGGTTCAATTTGTATGTAAACAAAAAAAAATCAAATCAAATCAAATGACTAATGATTATTTAATTCTTTTATTTTTAGCATATTATGATATTCGTACAAATAAGTTATTGGATAATTTCAAGGGACATACATTAAATACCAAGACATTGGCGATAGACCCATCAGAAGATTTTGTTGCAACTGGTAGCAGCGATGGTAATATCAAGACGTGGTCACTACCATCAATGAATTGTATCTCCACTTTTGAAGATTCACATAGAAAGCAAACATTTGTTCGACCAACAGGTGTTTTCAAGAGTCCAGTTAGCACATATGGTGTCATCCAAGTTAGAATGGCCAATAACCATATTTATTCCTGTGGTGCAGATGGACGTTTAACAAAACGTAAAATTTTATTTAATAAATAAATAAATAAATTAGTAGTAAATAAATAAATAGATAATTTAACAAACCTAGATAAATTGAGTTTTTAGATGAACCAGAGATTACAAATTTGATATCTTTAAGTGTTCTCTCTGGTTGCTATGCATTGAATACTATTTAGATGAAAGAGAATTTGACCACGGAGCCATGTTTGGATCCCTGTTTGGGTTTTGAACAACTGATGGTTTTAAATGCTGTGTTACCATAAATATATTATCAGATAACATTAACCCATTTTCTACTCTTGTTTTGATTACAAATTTCTTGAATCTTTGATAAAAAAAAAAAAGTTTTAATACTTTACTTGATTAATAAGAATACCATACATACTATGTTCATATTCAACTTCTTTCTCCTCTATTGTTGCTCGATGTTGGTTTCATGAGGTGTTGACTGATTCCAATAGGAGGAAAGTACTATTCTTTGTATTCTTTGGTTATGATTTTCACTTTTTTAAAGGACTAGTACTCGTTGAATAGAGTTTTGATTTATTGAAAACAGCCTTGCTCCGAATGAATCTTTAAAGATGTATTAACATACTATAATAATGATTCGTTTTTTTTTTAAAGAGATAATCAAATCATTAGAGAGGATTCGCATGAAAATTTCTTGCTTCCTTGATCCACGAGAGAACCCGATTTTTAATGATTTTTAATTAAAAGCAACCAAGATTGTTGTTGTATTTTTAAACTTTATCGATTATTATTAATGTTTTCTGCAACAGAACTAGTAGAAAGAGAAGAGAAATGAATCAAACACAATTAGTATTACTACTTGCAATTGTAGCATACTTTTCCACCACTGTAACATTACTTGATGCTTATCTACTAGAAGAGGAAATTGAAGTGTATTATGTCGAAGGTAGGGTAGACTGACCATTTTTGTTATTGATCACTTTTTGTCATCATGCTAACTCTCTCTCATCTCTCTTTCTTTTTCTCTCACTTTTAGCACCTTTATTAAAGAGTCAATTTGGTGATTTATTGGCAAATATCAATGCTTTTCACTCTGGTGTACTCTTTTATACATTGTACGTTCACCAATCAAACCAAGTGATTTACACAAAAAGTTAATGCTTTCTTTTCCTCTTTTTCTAGAACAACTGAAGAATATTATACTGTAGATTTCATTGCATATCCTGGTATTTTACCAACATTCTTCCCAACCATCTACAATGACACTGCCAACAACTTTATCGACATTATTTGGAATTCAAGTGGATTGGTTCAATTCGTTCCAAGCTATAATCAAACCTATTGGACTAAATCTAACCTTACAATGACCATTACTGGAGCTATTTTTGAACAATATTCATGTTGGGTTCCTTATTATAATGAAACTTACAAGTAACTATATATAATTAAGAATAATTCAATTCATATATTTATTTTATTATTTATTTAATTTAGTTATTATAATTTATTTGATGTTAAAGATGAACAATCAAATCAATTATACATTCCAAGTTCAATTTGTAATGATTTTGTATGGCAATCATTCCAAACTCTCTATGATTTGGGAGGTGAAGTTGTAACTACAGTTGACCCACCAAGGGATTTTGCTACCTTGTTTGTAGATGCTGAACCTATTTTTGTTGAATATCCACAAGAACCAGATAATTGGGCACAAATTACCAACTTTTATATCAATTTGGTTGGATTGTCACATAATCAGACAGCCGACGAATTACTCGAACACATCATCACACTTTTTAATGGCCAATTCTTCCTCTATATTGGTGGAAACTATTACAACATGTCACTTTCGGCAGCACCACTCTTTGAATATGTTCCAGCAGCACTTCCATCTGGTGAAAGACACTCTGAAAATGTTAGATATGCTATCAATTGTTTGCCATCTGAAACCTCGCAAGACGGTGGTATCGGTGGTGGTTGGATCTTTATTATCATCCTTGTTTGTGGTGCCACTGCTTACCTCTTGACAGGTAGTCTTTTCAATTTCTTAAATAATGGTAAACGTGGAACCGATTGTATTCCAAACAAAGATTCGTGGAGTCATTTTGGTGAACTTGTACAAGATGGAATTAAATTCATCAAAGGAAAGATTGCCTATACTGCTATTTCTACTTCTTATTCTTCAATTGAATAATCAAATCAAATCAAATCAAATCAAAAACAATAAAACCTCCTTCCCCCCTTCCCCCAATTATTGATTCTATCCATTCGGAATTAACTTGTTCCTATTTCGCGTATTATTTTTTTAAGGGTATTTTTAGTTTTTATTAATATAACAATGGTTGTGTGTTGAGATGATAAAAGTTGATTCAAAAGTACTATAGTGGTAATCCATTTTGGGTATTGCCAAAGGAATTAACTTGTTCCTATTTCGCGTATTTTTTGGTCCACTCCTTGGCTGTCTTATTGAAAGCGTTTCTGTCTGTTTTGAATTGTTGAGCAATATCGGCTTCGAGGGGGTTATCTGGATTTGGTTCAGTCAACAAAGCACGAATGGTGACGAGAACGTCTTGAATCTTTAATTGCGGTGACCAGTTTTGTGACAAGAGCTCTGAACAAACAGAACCATCAGATTTAATATTTGGATGATAGATTTTTGTTGTGAATTTCAAAGCAGGTGGCTTGAATGGATAATCATTTGGAATATCCAAATCAATTTCAAAAGTTCCCTTTTCAAATGGTGATCCTTCCTAAAAAAAAAATAGAAATAGAAATAGAAATAGAAATAGAAATAGAAAAAAAAAAAGTAGTGTGGTATGAGTAAATCAAGTAATTAAATATTGGTGGTTTTTTTTTTTTCAAAACTAGTTATTCCTCTCTCTTTCTTTCTTTGTCGATACATACTGGTCCAATAACGGTAGCTTTCCACTTGTGTAAGTTGTCTCCTACGACTGATGCTGACATCCATCCTTGTGGTGTCTTTAAAAGGTCTTGATATTCCTGTTTTATTGTGAAAAATAAAAAGAGTAAGCGATTTTGTCTAAAAATAACTTTTTTTTGTTGTATTTAATCCCTCCTATCATATCATATCTTCTATATAGATCTATCTATGTTGTTCTTCTCTTTCTCTCTATCTCTCTTCACGTTTGTGTGAATAGTAGTTGTAGTAGTGAGAGAGAGTCTCATGTGTTATCATTGATTTTTACCTTTTGAAGTCTTCTGCTTGCTGTTGATGGGACTGACATTGTATGATATTATTTGTTTTTGTTGGGTACTATACAAAGGATATAATGTTATACTATAAGAAGAAAAGAAGAAGAAAAGAATTGAAAATGATAAACTAAAATTTCAAACACTCACTTCACACCTGGACTATAAATTTAATTTAATTTTTTTTTTTTTTTCATCATGAGAAAGAAAGAAGTACGAGTATCATTCTGGATTTAGTGTGAGTAAAAACTTCGTTGAAACTCTTTCGAGATCTTTGGAATTGACTACGTAGGTTTCTACTTTCATCTATATAGTTTTATTAAAAATGAATGAACTTCTAAAAGAAACTTATAATAATATTCAAGAGGAGAAGAAGAAGAAGTCTTCTTAAACTCACCAACATAAAGAAGAAATTGGTGAGGGGGTTAGATTATTCTTTGTATGTATATTAATAAAATGAACAACCCAGAGCTCGAACACGCCGTGAGACATCCTAACAACAAACAATTTTACATGCCTAGTCAATTTTAAAGTGGTTCAAGTTGTTAATAGAAATTAATTTGAATGTTTCAGGATGTGTTGTTGTTTTGTCCTATATCGAGTTTACTTTGTGTTCTCTACCACCACACAAGATGAAGAATTTAAAAAACACTAACAAAGGCTGCTTGGACACACTTCTCGATTTGGTGACTAAATCAGGCAGCATCATATGGCACTGTGAGTTTTGAAATACAAAAATTTGATGTCACACTTTGGTTTGTTTGTAATTTGGTTTGGAGTGCCACCCCTCAGAATCTAATTATTTGTAAAACTTATTTCTCTCTATGGTCTTCTTTATTTTTATCCAATTTAGTATCTATCATATTGAAGTTTGTAGACTGTCCATCTTATGGAAACCAATAAATAGGTCCACTTTTTGGATGACATTCAAATCAAATCAAATCATCTACTCTTTTTTATCTCTAACATCGATAACAACAAATAAATATGAAACAAATCATTGTTTTAGCTATTATTGTATTACTTGGTATGGTTGCTTGTATTCAAGCAGAGGTATGTAGATCATTTCAATTGAAACCAAGTCTTTAAAAAGATGAACCAACACCTTTTTGTTTTTTTCTCAATCTTTTATTCTTTCTAGGATGCTTACTTTGCCTTTAGAACACATGGATCAACTCATGACTTTGTTTTCAAGTTGACCGATGTCAAAAAGATTGAACATGCTAGAAAGCTTTTGAGGGATGATGACCTTCAAGAAGTCCATGTCATGGGAAGAATCAGAAAGACTCAAAAAGACTATAATCCACATTACTCTTACCATCTCGACCCAGATACCATTACCTTTTTCAGCATGGCCATTGAAGTATGTGATGCTACTCTTCAATACACTGAGGAATATCTCGATGAAGCTTGTGGTGCTTTCCTTCCAGGTTGTTTCTTCTGCCCATGGTCATCTAAATTGACCAGAGAAGTTAAACCATAAATAAATAATCAAATAAATAAATAAATAAATCATTTGATTTTAAAATAAAAACACTCTATTGAATATTTCATTTATTCAAGTAAGAAGCTCAAAATGTTTTCTTTTCATGAGTTTATTGGGTTCTTGAAGACTATTTAATTATTATCGAAAGAATGATATTGAATGGAATCGGCTTTGTTTCCAGTGATATTATTTAAAATAAATTCCTTGTCTCTAGGATGATGAGTTGATATGCATTCAATATTGATGGTTTATTCCAAACATTAGATTCTCCAAACAACATGTTTAATACCCTCCGTTACGGAGTGTACTTTGATGTCTAAAGGTAAAATGATTCTTGATTGACACATTGATGAGGAGGGGTTTCAATACATACAGATCGATCTTATCCTTTAAAATAAAACTCAATATGGTCATCATTTTGATTGAAAACCCAAAATCAATTGAACCACCCCTTTTATTTTCTGTAGATAGGTGTGGTGTTTCAATTGATTTTGTAACTTGGTCTCTGTCAATGATTTATATAAAGAGAGTCTATAATGGGTTAAAATTGTAGATTGTCCATCTTATGGAAACCAATAAATAGGTCCACTTTTTGGATGACATTCAAATCAAATCAAATCATCTACTCTTTTTTTTTTACCTATCTGTCTCTAACAACAAATAAATATGAAACAAATCATTATTTTAGCTATTATTGTATTACTTGGTATGGTTGCTTGTATTCAAGCAGAGGTATGTAGATCATTTCAATTGAAACCACAAGTCTTTAAAAAGATGAACCAACACCTTTTTGTTTTTTTCTCCATCTTTTATTCTTTCTAGGATGCTTACTTTGCCTTTAGAACACATAGATCAACTCTTGACTTTGTTTTCAAGTTGACCGATGTTAAAAAGATTGAACATGCCAGAAAGCTTTTAAGCGATAATGACCTTCAAGAAGTCCATGTCATGGGAAGAATCAGAAAGACTCAAAAAGACTATAATCCCCATTACTCTTACCATCTCGAACCAGATACCATTACCTTTTTCAGCATGGCCATTGAAGTATGTGATGCTACCCTTCAATACACTGAGGAACATCTCGATGAAGCTTGTGGCGCTTTCCTTCCAGGTTGTTTCTTCTGTCCATGGTCATCTAAATTGACTAGAGAAGTTAAACTATAAATAAATAAATAAATAAACAGTTTTTTATTATTTATAAAATATATTCTGATGAGGATGAAATGACATTATTATTATTATTATTATTATTATTATTATTATTATTATTATTATTATTATTATTATTATTATTATTATTTGATAATTGTAAAAGTCTAATTTGTAGACTATTCATTTCATTCAATAGTTGATTAAACTCTTCTCTAGTTAGATTAATATTTCCATTATTATTGTTATTGTTATTGCCATTTAAAATATGATCCAATTCTGTTTTACCAACATCTTGAGCTCCATCGTTGACATTGATTGGGTAGATATCATCAAATTCAAATATCATATAATTATTTACCAATTCCAAAAGTTGGGAGAGATCACTATACTTTTTACTATTTTCATCATTGTTGTCTCCACTGCCACCACTACCACTACTACTATTACTTGTATTTAGTACATTAGCTCCAAGTTGACAATGTTTCTTTTCTTTTGTTCTTTTTGTTTTTAAAGTATCTTTGGCCGAAAGGTAAGCACCCTCGATCACAAAGATAAAGATATTTAAAATAACAACAACAAATAGAGTGATAAAAGAGTAAAGATAAACTTTACTAATGAATGGATAGGGATATGATGTTTCCAATTTTTGAAAGGTTGCATGAATATCATCACCATTTAATAGTGAAAATAGTGTTTCACATGTTTGATTTAAATCTGCAAACTATTTGAAAAAAAAAGAGATAAGATATTAATATCAATAAATATATATATTGTATTGTAATTGTCTAGATTTAAATAATTAATACATACTTCATCACTATACTCTGAGAATAAAGATACACCACATAGAACATACCCAAAACCAATGGGTAGACAAGATAGAATAAATCTACTACAACGAAGGAATGATCTTTCCATTGACAGTATCAGAGTATATAGTCGATCATTAAAACTAAGATACTTTAATAGATTGATTGATGTAATGAGTGACCCAAATCCAATAAATATACGATACGTATCTGTAGATATAATTCCAGGTGGTTCTGATAAACACATAGAGGTGGCTACTATAATCCAAATGTTTGCACATATATTTGACATGTTCCAAAGTCCAATAAATTCCAATTTAATCGATGCAGGAACATCAATCCATCCTCCTTTAAATGGTGTATTCTTTAAATATGATAATGGAATTCTATTAAATTGTTTTTTTGTTTTCTATAAATAGAATAGGTATTTTAGTAAATTAATAGGGTCATTTTTTTGTTTTGTTTTGTTTCATACAAAGAATAAACTAATATTAATAAATAATCTTTTTAAACCCAAACATAAAGAAGCAATGGCCAAAGTAAATAATAGAATATCCAAAACTTTAAAAACTATTATATTTGAATTATAACCATCGATTGAAGGAATTGGTCTAACTACACCCATAACTTGACCTCCATGTGAACCAAAATCAAATGTTATCTAGAAGAGACATGTAAGTTTATAGATATTAATAAAGTATAAAGATCTTCCAACCAATCCAAATAATATATAAACTTACATAGATATTCCAAATAAAAGAAACTTTACCAAACATTGAATAGGCTTGATTCTTGTAAGAGAATTGACATTCTGCACTTTTGATGTTATAGACTACATCTTTGACGTCAGAATGATTAAATGGTCCCAAAGGAGCTTGATCAGTGAGTTGATAAAAAGATTGAAGTTGTGAAGATGGGGAAGGTGTATTAAAATAGTTGATATTTAATCTAATTGGTTTGATTAGATTTGTATTGTTTAGGTTTAGAAAATCATATTTATCAATTGATTGACTTGGGAATGAGTAGTACTAAAGAAGCACAAACAAATAAAGTTAATATATTGGTTAGTGAATAAAAAGGAGATACATGAGCATTGGATAAAGTGTACATACAGTGTGAACGGTTCTATTCAACAATTTAGTAAAGTCATCAATCTTGTATACTGTCTCTCTTGACGTAAACACCTCTGACAATGTACTTATTGTATTTCTTCGATAAGATGTGAATGCTGCATGTATCAATAATGCCTGTGTTGTGATTACTATTAAAATAGTACAATGTAGTATAATCTTGAATGGTATTCTACAAAGCGTACATAATAATAAATGTTAATATTTGATTTTGAAAATATTAATAATAATTAAAATTTGATGGTCCATACTTTTTATAAAACCAAAGTTTGGCAAATGGAGAAAGAGTTAGAAACTCCTTATCATTCATTGTTCCATTGTTACTTTTTTCATTATCATCAATATGACTTTGATTATTTGAATGAATAGGAATCATTATTTACTATTATTATTTAAATATCTATATAATATTCTTTCAATTTATTCTCTATCTATTTTTTTATTCTTTTGTTGTTAGTATTTTTTTTTGTTATTTATGAATTAATTTATTTCAATTAAACAAGAAAGAAAGAAAGAAAGATAGATAGATTGAATTCGTATGGGTTGATAGATAAACGAATAAAATCCAACACCCCCCCCCCCCACATCATAACAAACATTATTATTAGGATTGTTTGTCCAAATTTATTCCAACCACTTTTTTTTTCCCCCAATCAGAATAAACAATAATGATAGTTTAGTTTTCTTTGACTTGAGAATATAAACAAAGTTATTTATTGAATATGTATTTCATTTTGTTTTTATCAAATGGTTTGAAGAATGAATTAATTAATGAACAAATCATTAATGATTCATTTTTAAGGAATTAAAATGATATACAAATTGGTTGGTATGGGCAGTGTCGAAAATTTGTAAACTGTTGTCGTTATCTCTCAGTTGTCACTGATCAGATCTAATAGTTTTCAAAACTATGCACTGCAGTGTGTGCTATCAACACTTCCACTTGGTGAAACTCTATATATCCGGTTTTGGACACTGATCGATGGTCAGGTTTCCAAACACCCTAGGGTGTGTTTGGTGATCTGACACCTCTTTAATGCAAAAAAAAACAAACCACACTTTTTCTGCTTGCTTAGTAATATTAACTACACCCCTTTTTTTGTGACTTGGTTTCAATCAATGATTGATTTATATAGAGTCTATAAGGTTAAAATTGTAAGCTGTCCATTGAACGGAAACCAATAAATAGGTTAGGTCCACTTTTTGGATGATCATTCAAATCAAATCAAATCATCATCTACTCTTTTAATTATCTATCTCTAACTAACAACAAACAAACAACAACAAATAAATATGAAACAAATCATTATTTTAGCTATTATTGTATTACTTGGCATGGTTGCTTGCATTCAAGCAGAGGTATGTAGAAATTACTAAAATAATTTCGATATCATTTTCATTATTATTGGTGCCCATTAAAAGTTGAAGAAATATTTACCAACACCTCCTTCCTTTCTTTCTTTTTTTTGAACAGGATGCCTACTAACTCATGGATCATACCATGAATTTGTTTTCAAGTTGACCGATGTCAAAAAGATTGAACATGCTAGAAAGCTTTTGAGGGATGGTGACCTTCAAGAAGTCCATGTCATGGGAAGAATCAGAAAAACTCAAAAAGAATATAATCCACATTACTCTTTCCATCTCGACCCAGATACCATTACCTTTTTCGATATGGCCATTGAAGTATGTGATGCTACTCTTCAATACACTGAGGAATATCTCGATGAAGCTTGTGGCCCTTTCCTTCCAGGTTGTTTCTTCTGTCCATGGACATCCGTATTGACCAGAGAAGTCAAACCATAAATAAATAAATAAATAAATAAACATCAATTAATCATTAAATAAATACACCAACAATGGTACCTTTAAAAAATAAAACTGTATTTAAATTTTAATCTATAAAATATATAAAATAAATTTTTTAGAAAAGATACGATCTTTTCGGAAGAATTAAAACTAATATATGTATTGACAGACTATCTATATCCGTATTTTTCTCTATTATGTATTTAAATTTACAAAGTGGTAGGTAATATTGAAAAAAAACAATCCTAAAAAATAAACAAATACCTATTTTATCAATTATTGATTGGTTTGGTTAGAACCATTTCTTTTTTGAGGGAGATTATCTATCCTATTATTCTATTTGAGAAGCCACACTTGGGAGGGAGAGGGGGATATTTTTCTTATTGGAATCGTTGCCAATTATGATTGTAACAATTTTTTTAAAAAACAATGTGGGTGTTATCCCAGGTGTTATGGTGAGCACATTTCTATGATGCAACAAAATGTTAACTATTTCTATAGAACCGATAACGTATTATCAACTTGCGTCATATATATTTACATGTTCATAGTAAGTGTTGTGCACGCATCCCTAATGATACAATAAACTGTTGCCATGGGGTATAAATAACCCCATCCTCATACCATTAAATAAATAACCAAGTTTACAAATTTGATCAATAAATATTATTATTATTAGTATTCTCAAACATATCATTATTATTATTTTTAATTAACAACAAACATACAAATGAAACAAATATGTATTTTAGAAATTATTGTAGTATTGCTAGGCACAGTTACATTTATCCATGCACAAGTATTTATAAAATTATCCTTTCTATTGTTTTTTTTTCCAATTCATTCATGTTCAATAAGCCTCCCATCTCTTTCTTTTTCTTTTTGTCTTTTTAGGCATACTTTTCCTTTACTACCAATCCATCCGAACCCGAATTTGTGTTCCAGTTAAACAATAATAATCAAATCAATAAGGTCAGAAGTATTTTAAAAGGTGAGGGCGGACCCAACGTTCATGTGAAGGGAAGATTCAAAGCTGGAAGAAAAGACTATAATCCAAACTACTCTTTCTACTTCCTTTTAAAAGAAATAGAACAACAGCCTAAAAGAAGAAGAATTTCAAAATAAATCTTTTAAAGATTGAAATTAATGGTCATCGATCCAATCCTCTTTAATAAAAAATACCAGTCAACCATATTAATATTATATTCGGATCCATTATTACTAGTATCCATCATCTATCTTTTATTGTTTTTTTTTTTTTTTTTTCAAAAAGGTGAAGTCTTCAATTTCGATTCGAATACATTCTGTGAAAGTTTACCTTTTTGTTACAAAGGGGCGTCTTTCTTGAGCAAACCCAACCCACCAAACATCTATCCACCCCACGCCACTTCATTTAAACACACACACACACACAATTGTCGACGTCCGGACACCAGTAACAAACATCAGTAGTAGAATTAATAAAGTGTATTAACAAATAAAAGTAGTAGTCGCGTCAAAGTAGTAAAAGAGTACAAGTACACACCGATTCAATTGAAGATGGACTGCTTCAAGAATGATTCCGACTATGCTCTTTTAGGGTCAATGGTGAAATCATATCTACAAAGAAGATCATTTCAGAATATTCGTATGTAGCTAATACTAGATGAAGGAGAAGAAGAGCAGCTGGCTTGCTATTTATATCTCTCTCTCTTATAATATTCTAACACCACATTCCTTCCTTCTTGTCGCAATATATACAAACACAAACAGGAAAGAGTAATGAATTACAAAGAAAAGAAGTATTCAAAGAGATTTATACGACCGAGAGGTTCTACAAAGATCAACTACTATCAATCATTGAAATATTCCTAAAACCAATGATGTTATTGACAAAGGAAGGTTCATCAAAAGATAAAGAAGCTTCAAAAGAAAAGGATTATTCCTCTTCCTCTGCGTCATCTTTATCATCACTGTCATTATCCAACTCCAACAACAATGAAAATAGTATTGGAAGTAGCGGCGGCAACGGATCAAACAGTAACAGTGGATTCATCAATAATAATTACAATAATAATAATAATAATGGAGCGAATAATAGTAGTTTAAATCCACTACATCTTAAAGACAAAGATAATAGTATAGGTGGAGGAAACAATAATAATAATAATGGTAGTGGTAGTAGTAATAATAATAATATTAATTGGGGTATAACAGAGAATCAGATACATGCAATATTTTCACATATTGAAAGTATTTATAATCTTTCGAGTATGTTGTTTGATCGAATTGAAACACGATACAAAGAGTCTAGTGAGAATATTGGTGATATCTTTATAGATATGGCTCCATTCTTTAAAGTATACAAATCATTCTCTGAAAACTATCCAACATCGATCGAGACACTCAAGAATCTCAAACAATCCAACACACATGTCTCCAACTGGCTCAAACAACGTGAAAAAGATCCACGTTGTCGATCACTCGATTTGGCATCACTGTTGATTGCACCGATTCAGAGAATGCCACGATACATCCTCTTACTCGAAGCACTCTACAAAGTGACACCACCACATCATCCCGATTGGAAACGATGTTCAACTGCATCCAATATATTAAAATCCGTAGTACAAGTTGTAAACGATGGTATTCACGAAGATATTAATAGAAGGAAATTAATTCAATTACAATCTGTTTTTGATCTACATTCAAAACTTGGTTTTGGTGCTTTATCAAATCAAGTAAGTTAAAAAAAAAAAATAGATACAAGTATAGTTGACTCATATCTATATATATTTGATTTATTTTTTTAGAATATAGTTGAACCACATCGAAAATTAATTAAAGAAGGAAAATTACAAAAGAAATCAATGAGAGATCAAAAGATCCAAAGTAGATTGGTGTATCTGTGCAATGATCTATTTATAACCATTACACCTCTCCCAAAACCAATTCAAGCTGCTTCTATTAACAAAGTAGATAAAATCATTCCATTGGTTACTGCTTCCATTATCTTTGATTCTGAAGATGGTAAATACAAAACGACAAATTAATTATTTATTTGTTTATTATCATCCTCAATACTAACCATACTTTGTCCACTTTTAGATTTATCATTTTATTTAATTAGTCCTATTAAAAGTCACCAATTCATTTGTGAAAGTGCAAAAGCAAGAGCTCAATGGTTATTAGATATACAAACAACCATTTTAAATCTAATTGAATCAAATCCATTATTAAGACGTATGTAAAAGAAGAATAATAAGAAGAAGAAGAAGAAGAAGAAGAAATAAAAATTATATGTCAAAGTGGTTATTAATATTTTCTTTTTCTATTTCTCTAGAACAAAGAGATCAATGGAGTATTATACATCAAAATGGTAAATGGAAAGCAGTTTCTGAAATTCCAAAAACAACACCTGAACAAGAAAGTAATGTTGGACATTCAATCGAGAGTTTTCATCATGAACCTCTTATTAAAAATAATACCTATCTCTTAAACAATGATGGAAAACTATTACAACAACAACAACACCACCGTTCCTCTCCTTCACAGAGTTCACCAAGCAAAGCAATCAACCTCTCTGGAAAATCCAAACAACAACAACATCACAGCGAAGGGTCACCACCAATTGGCAGTAAATCACCCATTGAAAAGGACTGGGTACACGGCAACAAACACCACCAAAGCAGAAATTTGGAAAAGGCATCATCTGCCTTTTTAATGTCACCAAGATCCTCACCTCTAATAATGATGAGTGGTCCATTAAAACAACATTTAGATTCTGATGATGATGATTAATAGTAAAAGTAGATAGATAATACTTTTATTATTATTAATACTATTACCCATCGATCATTTTGTATAATTATGCTATTATTATTTAAAACAATATATTTATTACCCTTATAACAACCAAAAATAACAAACTAAATAAATTAAAAAAAAAAAGTGTAATATTATTTATTATTTATTAAATACAAGTAATATCTATTAATATTTAATATTTTGGTTTTAGATTGGTGGGAATAATTAAATATTAAAAATAATTAAAAGGCTTGATTGATCATATTATATTGGAAATGTTTGCAACAAAAAAATTGTATGTAGTGTCTATTAATCTTCCACAGATAAATGTTTATGACTAAATATTGAGTGGCCACAAAATCTACAATTTGTGATGGAGTTATCTTGTTGTTTTACTCCAAAATTGATTCACTCACAGTGAATACATCCTAATGGGAGACAGGCCCCTGGTAAATTTAAAAGTGAAGCCGATATATTTTCCTTTATATCATTTGAGCTCTGAGTTGTTACTGCATTTGAATATTGGTGAACATATTGAATTATCTGTTCAAGTTCGCTTTGTATGATAAGATTTACATGTGAATAAATTTTTTTCCTCAAGTAAAGGAATCGAAAAACACTTTTCACGGTGGTATCCAAGTTTGATGATTCTGGAATATAGTCCCAAGTCGGTGCAGGTAATGAATCATAGAAAGAATAGTCTTCGTCTGTTTTTGGCAACTTGGATTGTGGAGTTTTGGTTGATCCATCAGAACTAGATGTTGAGTGAATCGAGTTGGCTGGAGAGCCATAGAAGGCTACGGGCGGAGAGAACCCCGCCCTCAAGTTGTCTTAACTTTTCAATCATCATTGGGGACATTTTCTTTCTACATAGATACTTTAAAATATCTGTACAAATGTGGTTAATATGAAAATTATAATTATTGGAGGCAAGTAGATTTCACAAACCTTCGTCTGTCTAAAGAATTAGATGGTTAGAAACATTAGATACTTTAGATAATTTAGATACTTTGCTGTAATTGTGTGATATTAATAGATACCATTTGTTGAGGAGGGGGGTCCTTTTTGAATCTATTTAAATCATTAAATAAGGCGGTACCATATTTGGGAGAGTATTCCTTAAACATGGTTTCTGTCCACTCTGACAGTTGCTCTCCATCAGGTAAAGGGTTTTCATTGTATTCAAAATCAAATACAGCCTTCAAACTGTAACCTTTCCTGAATTGTTCTTGCCAAGAATAGACATCTACAAAATTCCAATCCTTTGGCTCTAAAATTTGAAATGGTTAAAAAAAGAATGTTTACAATGCGAATGAACAAACCTTTATCCTTCCAGCTATCGGTATCCATTACTTGTGTTTAGATTGAAATATATAAATAAAGATTTGTAAAGATAACCAAACAAAGTAAGAGAACAATAAACTTGAAACAAAAATAAAGAATGAGTTTAAATCATGAAGAACAAATAAAAAAAATTTTAAATTGTTTTTTTATCAATAATATTTTTTTTACTATTGCCCATCATTTTTGTATAATTAATATTACAACAAACCAAACAACCTATAGAATTATTTAAAAAAAGTGTAATATGATTTATTTATTATTTATTATATACAAGTAAATTAATTAATTTAATTTAATTAATCATCTCCTCCTCCTTTACCCTCTTCTTCTTCTTCTTCTTCTTCTTCCTCTTGTAAATCAATATCTATTTTTTAAAATGGAAATAATTCAATAATTATTAATAAACAATAGTAATAGTTCATCTATTTGAATAATACAAACCCAATGAATTTTGAGGAGCTTCTAATATAGAATTTAAAATTTGTACGACTGATTGTAATTTCTCTACGTTTGCGTTTGATATTAATACATTGGCTGTTGTACCACCAGACATTCTCAATTCCAGTGTACATTTTCCTTGATTGACCATACCAGAGTATATCTTTGATAGAGATTCTTCAATCTTGAATACGTGTTGACCTACGACCATACATATCTGCAGAGTGTTTGGATCTCTCTTTAATATGAATCCTTTTGTATTTGGTTTTGTTGATTTACGTTGCTGTTGTAAGAAATCTACTACTGTATTACATTCAACTTCAATTGCCATTTCTTTTATAAATATATTTGTTGTTGGCAACTAAACACCTGAAAAATACTACATTGACTCTTGTTTCGATAAAGACAGAAAACGAATCACTCGCGAACTAGAAATATTTGGCGGGAATCAAAGATTCATAAATATATTTATGAATCCCAAGATGAGTATATATAATTTACAAGATCGAAGCAGAAAGACAAACAAACAAAAAAAAAAAATCACTACGAACCAAGATAATAAACAGATATCTGGATAAGGACATGTGATATATACTGGTGGTGGGTGTTTAAACTATGATTTACGAATGTCTCTTATTCTATAGAATCTATAAATCATCTGATCTAGACTGCTAATGTACTGGCTGTTCCTGCTACTATCCAGTCGAAAAAATAAATAATCTAAATATGTCGCTACTATGTTGTTGGGAGTTATTTATATTATGTGTTGCATTTAGGATTTATTATCTTAATCCTTCTTGACGATCTTTTGCTCCTTTGGCTTTGAGACCTTCTTTTCAACTTCAGAGAGTTGGATTTGGATGGAGGATGGGCTGCACATGAATGGGTTGATACGACCGTGAGCTCTGTAGGTTCTTCTTCTTTGCTTTTGGGCTCTTTGGACAGAGATGGCAGAGACCTTGAGTTGATCAACGTCGAGACCCTTGACAGTGGCGTTGGCAATAGCGTTTTCGAGGAGGGAGAGAACGTGCTCAACGGACTTCTTTGGCCATCTACCTTGGGAGGTACCGTGGTTCTTGGCTTGTGGGGTACGACCGATACCATAGTTGAATCTACGGAATGGGATACAATCACGGTGACGGAGAACGTTGATCAAGTATTGCTTGGCTCTGAGGGTGAACATACCCTTGATGGCCATGGCAGTCTCACGGGTGTTCTTGAAGTGAACACGGAGATCATCACCACGGGACTTGGCAACCTTCTCTGGGTTTTGTGGGGCGGCAAAGTGTGATGGTTTAGTCATTTCTGTAGAAAGTAAGTAATGAGACGAACGAAAGATTAGATGAAAGATGATGTACGTAAGGAGAGAGTAACGATCGGTTAGTTTGACTGTATCTGTGTAGTTGGGTGGGTGTATCTATCTAGTATCTATCATCTCTGACAGGTGTATCTCTGTCTCACTCTCTTGTTCTGATGATAGCCTCTTCTACTCTGTAATAACACATACTTAATGCAACAACTTTTTCTCTGTAGAGGCTAAACTGTTGCTTGTAATCGTATGATGCACATTGAGCGACTCGTTGCGGACCTCGTCAAAATTGAAAAAATAAAAAATAAAAATGTTTTTCCTTTTTGGCGGGCAGTTTTTTTCGTTCTTACTTTTTAACTCATTTCTCTCTTGACTTTAGTGAAAGAGAGTACTATTTTGATCAACATCACATAACCTATATGAGAGACTAGTAGAATAACAATGATAACATAGAGAGATTAAAGAAAAAGGAAGCATACTATATAATATATTTAACAATTAATTACAAATGGGTGACTCTTTTAGTCATATTTACTCTTATTTTAACTTGGGAGCTGCAGCAACAGCATCATCTTCATCTTCTACTACATCAACTACAACTAATATTGACAAGACAAATACAGATGATACTACAACTACGCACCTATCACCGTCGTCATCATCATTATCACATTCTCTTCTAGATAGAATACCAAAGCCTAATAGTAATGGTAACTACAATGACTATAGTGTAGATGTTGATGATAAAAAGGTTCAAGCAGATACTACTAGTACTACAGATACAACTTTAGCAAATAGAGTATTGAATAATAATAACAACAATAATAATAATAATAACAACAATAACAGGCACAAATCTTTTTTTGATAGTATCGATGACGATGATGACGATGAGTTATTCAGGCTGACACCTACAAAACTGACAACAACAACAACGACAATATTAAAATCATCGCCATCATCGACGTCATCAACGACAAATACATCACCAAAAATATATACTACAAGTCATACTCCTTCACCGTCTTCATCAACATATTTAAAGAGAACTACACCCGAAAGATCAACATCAACAACATCAACGACGACAAATATTGATAGTAATAACAATAATAATAACAATAATAATAATAATAATAATAATCAAGATACATATGGTCGTAGTGATTCCTTTGAATTTAATGATCAAATTCCAAGTTCACCTGTTGTACAACAAAGTATGTCAGAATATTCAAAGGAATCAATTGATCAATCCCAAACCTAACCAAAAGATTGATTTTAAAACAGAGACAAAAAAGACAAAAGTTAATTATGATTTAATTACTGGATCTGTTACCAAGGCAAAAAAGAAAGTAACAAAACCAGTAACACCTTTTAAACCTGCAACTAGGACTGCATTACAAACTTCACCACCATCTCCATTATCAAAATCCGATACTGTCATTATCAACAATAACAATAATAATGTAAATATTAATTTAACAATGAAATTGACACAATCTCTTTCATCAAGTTCATCAAATTCATCAAATTTATCAAAAAATGATGAAAGAGATTATTGTCCAATTTGTCAGTGTCGTCCTAGTAATCCATATGTATCACAATGTAAACATATGTGTTGCTATGAATGTTGGACAAAGTGGTTATCATTAAAGTTGGAATGTCCAGTTTGTAGAGAAAGGACTCGTGTCAAACATATCATACCTCTTGAAGATCATAAAAAAAGATTGGAACAAAAAAGAGAAAAACAAGAAAGAGAAAAGACGGCAACTCAAAATCTTCAATCAACACTTGCTTCTCAATCAACTATACAAATATCATCATTACCATCACAAGATCAAGTTAATAATCAAGTTGATAATCAAGATGAAGAAGATCAATCAACTCAACCTGATCCAGTTCTTCAAGTTCATGATAATGGAAACATTGGAAATGATAATAAAGATGATAATAATGATACCATTCCACCTTTAGTTGGTGTAGTAGGATCTCCATCTTTTGAATTTAGTTTCGGAGATGATGAAATATAAAATATATATATATTATTACTTTGTTATTATTATTATTTATTAGTTATTTATTATTATTATTATTTATATTATTATGATTATTGATGAACAAATAAAGAATAATCTTTAATATTAAAACTTTGTAATATTTTAATAAAAGTTTGTTCTACGATTGGTTGGCTGTACAAGGTATCTGGTTTGGTTGATCCAACTGTTTTGGCACTACTACTGGATTCACAGAGGAGGATAGGATGATATAATGTAATCAATACATCGGTTTGTGATTTTGACAATCTAACAATTGCCATATATACATTTACCTAAATAATAAAATAAAATAAATAAATATTATCATCTATGTAGTAGATTGACTACAATATATGTCTCTTACAATATTTTCGGAACCAGTTTCATTAAACTTTGCAACCTTTTGTTGACCAAATAATAGAAACTTTGGTGTTTCATTGGTAAAGTGAGGCATCTCTGCACTATCTATTGGACGATGATTGAATACGATTCGACCGTCTGCAGGGATATCAGATTCATCAGAGATTGTGTCAAAGTGGAATGATGCACTCTTGTTGTCCTCGATGTGACTCTGTCTTTCTAATAGTTCTATAATGACACTTTGATCCGATGTTTCATCGACAAAGACTTCTTGGTGATCGGGTACTTGTCTAAACTGTGATACATCTATGAATCTAGTTGGTATTTCAATCTCCATTGCTCCTCCATATAATCCTTTCTTTTCTTGTTGTTGAATTTTAGTGTCCATGATTAATAGATATCTATTGTTGTTGCTTATTGAAATAATGTAATATTTAAATGAATGATATATTAGAATCGACTCAATTGTACAGTGATTAAATAGTTCTTGAAAAAACCGAATGAAGCTCAAACTAAAATGAATCCCTCAATAAATTGAAATTTCCACAATGTCGATATGAACATTCTCATTCAGTCATCTTTGACCCCGTTCAGGCAGAAGTTGACAATATCATTGGTGAAAAGTAAATGACAAGAGACTTGAATAATCATTGAATAGTTGAGGAATAATACTACTATATCAAATTAGAATGTTTGGTTTGGTTTGGTTTATTTGGATGAGGTTACAAGTAAAAGTACAAATGATTAAATAAATAGTCTTAGACACTCACTATTACATATTATTATTATTATTATTATTATTATTATTATTATTATTATTAGTTATTAGTTATTAGTTATTATTTGTTTGTATGTTTTGTTTGTCGCAATATAGTGTTTTTGTTTGATTATAATATATTTTGTTACACTATATCTAAATTGATAATAAATATGTTTCTAGCTAGTACTTTGTGTAAAAGGTGATTACGTTGTTTGTTGTTGTTATTGTTGTTATTTGTTGTTTAAGCCAATTTAGAAAGGATAAGTTTAGTTGCATCATTAGAGGTGACGTAACCATCGTGATCGGTATCTATTTCTCTGATGAGATCATCAGCTTCTTGATGATTCAATACATCACCAAGTTGCATAAGAATTTGTTTCAAATGAGCACAAGAAATGTGACCATTGCCTTCAGTGTCAAAGCAGTTGAAAGCACGCTTCAACTCATCCTCTGGGTCAGTGATTTGAAGCTTTCTAACGACAACACCCAAGAAGCCATTGACATCAACACCTGCACCAACCTCACTTTCTGGTACATTTACACCCAATGCTTTAAGTGCCATAACAGCTTCTTTTGGACCTAATCTACCATCATTGTCTTTATCAAATTGTTGAAAACATGTATTGAATTCACTTCTTTGGTCTTCTGTCAATTGATCCTATAATATCAACTAAATTGTTAGAAGTCACATCTCTCTACTATCTCTACTATCTCTACTATCTCTATTCTTTTTTAAAATACCATTTCTTGTATAATATATAATAATAATAATAATGCAGTGATATATTACTTCCTTTTAAATAAGTTTTGATGATGGACAGAGCTTCTGATTTTTGTTTTCAAATTTTTTTGTTCATTTGGGTTCTGTCTTTCTTTGAAACAAATAAATAAAGATAGTAGTACTACTTGTATCTTATCTTATAGCTTTGTAATACACACCCCCCCCCCCCCCCCCCTAAAAAATAATAAATATATAAAGTTGGAGATGAAAGGTATTAGAAAATAATATATTAGTGAACGATCTAGTCATCGAAGTTCATCAATTTGAAAAATTGAATTCGGGGCGCGCTTTAACGGAAAAAAATTTTTACCCCCTCCCTCTTATATTACATTTTTGTTTATTATTCTTATTATTATTATCTCTTTTTATTTATTTATTTGTATAATTTATATATATAATTTATAATCATGTCTATATGGTCATTACTATTTAAATATCATCACAGCCGTCAATTGAAAAAGGAAGAGTTGAAGCGTGAACAACAAAGACAGAGACAGCTAGAAGAGTTGGAAGAACAACAGGCAGAGAATGAACGTTACAGATTAGCTGACCCACGGTCACCTTCTGACAACATTGCTAGAAGTCCAACACTCAAAAACATACTACACAAACAACACCTAGAGAAGCAGAGAATGATGCTCATCGATCCTAGATCGCCTGCTCGTCAAGTACCTCGTACTCCACTTAGATCTCATCGTCAACAACAACAACACCAAATAGAATTGGATAATGTTACTCTTCAATTGGATCCAAGATCACCATCAATCTCTAGAACTCCAATGCGTCCAAATAATAACAATAATATTAGTAATGATCCAAGATCTCCATCTATAAATATATCAAGATCTCCTATACCATTTAGATTGTTTGGTAATAATGACAATAGTACTATGGTATTGGATCCAAGATCACCTAACATGTCAATTAATCGAACTCCATTGAGACCATCTACCACCACGCCAACACAACAAACATTTTCAAAGGTTGAATTATTCGATCCACGTTCTCCAATGAGACATCGTAAAAGAAGTCCATTTAGAATGCACTCTCAAGTTCAAGAACGTACCATTGTTACTATTGACCCAAGATCACCAGCTCAAATACATCGTACTCCACTCCCAGTCAGAATTCAAGTCAACAAGACCCCTGTCGTTATCGCTGCAGACCAGGAACTCCTTTCTTTTGAAGAAGACTTGCATTTACCAGCTTCAAATTTATTAAATGCATTTTCAATGGCTGCCAATGAAACTATCAACAACAACAACAATAATAATATTAATAATACAATTGAATCAACTCCAAAGAAGATTCAAGAAGAGGAAAAGGAGGTTATTTCAACAACACCAATTATTTTAACCAATACACCAACAACAACAACTACGACATTTGTAATTCCAACAACAATGACACCAACAAAGAATAATAATAATAGTATTTCGAAATCATCAGAGAATGCATTTACAACACCAATTAAAAAGAATCAACTTGTTGGATTGGTTTCATCTAGTGCCATCATGTCTGGTTCGTCACCATCGACAAAGAAGCCAGCCAATATGATGTTACTTCAACAACTCAAAAATAGTGAGGCATTCCGTTCATCGCCAGTGCTCAGTAACTCTCCAAACAATAAGAGATTATCAGTCTTGCAAGATATCTCACTGCCCAGTGGTGGTGCAGGTGGAAATGTATCAACATCACCAAAGAGAACACCAACCACTTCTGCCAGATCATCACCAGTCAATAGTAGAAGAATGTCAACCAATCCAAAACATATTGATATTCATGATGAAAATAATCCAAATGTTATCAATAATACAGGTGGTCTAAAGGGTAGTGGAGGAATGACCAAACCACTTACACCAAAGGTTACTCCAAGACCATTCATCAAACAAATGTCATCCATTACATTGGGTGGTAGTAATAGTACTACCCCCAATTCACCATTTTCAACATTTACTCCAACTATCATTAATTAATCCAAAAAATCAAATAATCTCTGTATAGTAACATCATCAATCAATCAATCAATCAATCAATCAATCAATAATAATTAATAATTAACAACAAACAGTAATAATAGTATCATTTTCAATCACTCATTTGATTGAATTAATTCCTTTCTTTTCCAAACCGTTCCAAATAAACATTTTATTTATTTATCTTTTCATTTTTAATTCCTATATTTATTTATTTATTTACAATGAAATATTTAATTTCTAATATCATATCGATATTGTTTTGTTGTTGTTTTTTTTAATAATTATTTACAAATATTATTATTATCATTTTGTTTGTGCAATTATTTCCTCTCTCTCTTTGTCTATCTCTTTTTTTCTTCTTCTTCTTTTCTTTTTCTTCTTTTTTATTCAATCATTGAATCAGAATCTGAATTATTATCAATCGTAGAAAGTTCAGCGTTATTATTAATATTGAGTCTTGGAAAGGTCAGTTTATCATCTAGATTATTTTGAGCCCATTGTAATAGTTTGAGTATGGTTGGTAATTTGGGATCTTTGTCATGACTCTGACTAACAAGAATGGCCGCATTCAATTCACTCGCTGTCTTTTGTCTTTGTGATGCTTCAACCAATGATGATAATGGTGATTTGGCAATATCATCAAATGCCAACAAAGATATAGTCTTTTCCAATTCTTCTAAAAATTTATGCTACACAATGAAAGAGAGAGTAGCATTCAATCCAATCCAATCAATCAATCCAATTTAAAATTACAATTAGTTAGAGACAGTTACATTTTTTATCTTTCTTCTTCTTCCCTATTCTTACATTTTCTTCACATTGTGGAGCCAATTCTTCCTGTGCAAATGTTAGAGCTTCAGAGATCATACCCTTTTTAATCAATTCGATTAGTTTTTGTTGTTGAAGATGAAAGTATAGTTGAGGATTGGTGTCGAGTATCTCTGGGTTCAAGTCATTGACAATCTCTATACCTTGTTCAATGTCACCTCTTTGTATTGCCGATCTGATTGCCATACGATCAACAATCGATATCAAATCCACAGTTGCTTTGGTACCAGATTCATTTTGAAACATCTCTGCTGCTTCTTTGTATCCTTGAATGATTAAATAGTTCATTACAAGGTTATTCAAGTCACTACAACAATATTGGGTAATGTCAAACACATGTTAGAGAGAGAGAGATGGACAGTTTACTACTCTTTATTCTTTTATACCAACTTTTTAGATACTTGTACTTCATCTAGTTTATTTTCCCAATCTTCTTTACTAATCATTCTCTCCAAATCTTAAAGTAAATAATAACTTGATTGAAATTATTGATTATTATTAATAGTGCAAATATTTGTAAACTCTTTTAATGAACGAAATATTAATTTAATTTAAAGATCAATTTTTTGTTTTTTGTATTTGATGTGTTTTGAAATTCTCTTATTTTATATTATTTAGTAAACCTCAAATACAAGAATCTCTGATCAGAGAGAAATATTAAATCGAGCATCAAAATGGATAAGCAAATTGTAAGTATCCAATCGATTAACCTTGTATTGTTATATCTCTCCATTCCATTGTACAATAATGATTACTTTGTGTTTTTTTTTGAAAATCTACTTTTAAACAGTTCTAGTGCTCCATTTTTTTGGAATCCATATAGAACACCAATATCAACTTTAATCTCCTCCAACTCTCTTCAATGTTTAAGGAAGTTAAAGTTGATATTGGTGTTCCAGATGGACAGGTCCAGTATTCAACCAACTCTTTTGCCCATCCAGTTGAAACCAAGTACTCATGTCAAGTTGATGCGCATCTGCCCCCTTTTTCAAAGGAATACAAATTCAAACACAATGTTAATTATTACATTTATCTTCCAAGGTCTTACAGTATAGCCGATTTTATTATTTTTTTTTTTCAATTTTTCTTGAATTTTTTGATCTCTCTCTTTGGGGATCTTTTTTGAAAAGAAAGTTTAATTTATATATTATGTTATGTATTAGTAGTTTTATTTATTAGTGTAAGTAACAAAAATTGTACAATAACTCTAAAGAGAAAGAAGAAGAAGAGGAAGAAGAGATAGAGAACAGAGTTGTTTTTGATGGTAGCTCGATCGTCAAGTACCTCTTTCTTTCAAAGCCTCTCAGATTTTTTTTTTTAATTTTTTTTTTTTCACCAACGTCCACCATCCCTCACCTCCCTCACCATTACATGTGTGCATCTTTTTATAGACACTCATATATTCATTCAGAGAGTTTTAGATATCTATTCCTTTTATTTATTATTTATTTTATTACACTTTTTTGGTTGAATTTTCAATTTCGATCAAACCCCCCTCTTCTTTATATCTTCTTCTTCATCTTCTTCTTATCTTTCAAACAAAACAACCTATTTACTTTATTGATTCAAATATTTGATTCATACAACATAAATTAATAGTATTAGAACAATGGCAACATTAGAAAATAGTACAACAGGAGCAGGAGGAGATTATGAAATGGAAGACGCCTCTATTTCAGTATTGGATGGAGAGAACAAAGACGATGCAGTATTGGATCCCATTGCAGAACAACAAAAGAGACGTTGGATTTTGATTCGTGCCGTTTTGGGAGAGTTGCTTTGCACCTTCCTCTTTGTATACGTGTTGTGTGCTACTGCAGCCAACTTTGTTCGTCTCAAGACTGTCGACAATCCTACTATTGGTGCGATTTCGACAGGGTTTGCAGCTGTCGCTCTCATCTACTCGTTTGCCGATATCTCTGGTGCTCATTTCAACCCCGCCGTCACATTTGCCACATGTGTCACTCGTAAGACCTCTATCACCAAGGGTCTCATGTACATTGGTGCCCAACTTGTCGGCGCCGTCCTCGCCGCCCTCATTCTCCTCGCCACCTTCCCAGGTGACGATTTCAACGGCAAGACAGCTGCTGCTGCCGTCGCCATCAAGCCAGCCAACGACGCCAACATTGCCAATGCCTTCCTCACCGAACTCATCCTCACTTTTATTTTGGTCTATGTCATTTTTGCCGTCGCTTTTGATACTGTCGATGACAATGTCAAGGTTGTTCGTGGTAGCAAGACTCAAGGCAACAACTTGACCATCTACACCACTTCTGGTGCCACCAAGGCTGGTTTTGCTCCCATTGCTATTGGTTTCACTCTTGGTTTCTTGTGTTTTATGGGTGGTTCCGTCTCTGGTGGTGCTTTCAACCCTGCAAGAGTATTTGGTACTGCTTTGGTTGGAAACGTTTGGAACGCTCATTGGATGTACTGGATTGCCGATTTCCTAGGTGCTGGTATGGCCGGTTATGCTCAAAAGTTTTTCGCTACCAAAGGTAAAGCTAATTAAAGCTATCAAAGAGAAAGAGAAACGAGTTGAATACATTTCAAAATCAAAATACGGAAGATTGTAATATTATATTAAAAAAACAACAATCATTATTAATAAATTAAAATAACCAAAAAACAAACAAAACATTGTTAAATTAGTCTCATAATATTATTATTAATTCACAAATTTATTTAAATAAATAAGATCTCTCTGTCCTTTTATTTAATAAAGTCCAGCATCCTTCTTTTTGGTGGTTTGCTTCCAAGCTGGCATTTTAGCAAACTCTTCTCTTGAAACTTTCATTACAGTCTTGAATTCTTCATCATCCAAATAGGTTTCAAGTTTGGTTGGTACTAAACCAAGTTCAGTCTTTTTAGCTTTAATGTCAGCGTATGAGTAGTATTTAGTTGGGGCAGCATCAGAAGAGGCAGAAGCTGGGGCTGGAGTAGCAGCAACTGGTTCTGGTTTGGTGACAACTGGTTCTGGTTTGGCAGCAACTGGCTCAGATTTGGCTGGGAGTTTGGCATCTAAAAGTTTCTCTGATGAAGTAGATTTGAGTACTGATCTGAAATCAAATGGTTTGGCTTCATCAACTGGCTTTGGTTGATCAAGCTTTGGATTGGATGGTGCCTTTTTAAGAACGGCAGTGGTTGGAACGATTTTGGTATCTCCAAAGATATTTACACCTCCAACTGGTTTGAATGTTGGTGCTGATTCTTCAACTTTGATTGGTTCTTCAACCTTGACTGGTTCTTCAACTTTGGTTGGTTCTTCAACCTTGACTGGTTCTTCAACTTTGACTGGTTCTTCAACTTTGGTTGGTTCTTCAACCTTGGCTGGTTCTTGATTTTCGGATTCTGTTTCTGTGGTTCCAGTGGATTTGGTGGTTGATTTCTTTGGACGTGAAAGTGTAAGATGTTTGAGTGTTTGATGGTTCTTTTCTTCTTCTTCCTTGGCAATACGATCTTGTTCTTCCTTGTCTGACTTTTCTTTTGCAATACGATCTTGTTCTTCCTTGTCTGCCTTTTCCTTTGCAATACGATCTTGTTCTTCCTTGTCAGATTTTTCCTTGGCAATGCGAGCTTGTTCTTCCTTGGCAATACGATCTTGTTCTTCCTTGTCTGACTTTTCCTTTGCAAGACGAGCTTGTTCTTCCTTGTCTGCCTTTTCCTTGGCAAGACGATCTTGCTCATCCTTGTCTGCCTTTTCCTTTGCAAGACGAGCTTGTTCTTCCTTTTCTTTAGCAATACGATCTTGTTCTGACTTGTCTGACTTTTCCTTTGCAATACGAGCTTGTTCATCATTTGCTGCCCTCTCCTTGGCAACACGGTCTTGTTCTTCCTTGTCTGACTTTTCCTTTGCAATACGGTCTTGCTCATCCTTGACAGACTTTTCCTTTGCAATACGAGCTTGTTCATCATTTGCGGCCTTCTCCTTTGCAAGACGATCCTTTTCTTCTTTGTCAGACTTTTCCTTGGCAATGCGATCTTGTTCTGCCTTGTCTGACTTTTCCTTTGCAAGACGATCCTTTTCTTCATTGTCAGCCTTTTCCTTTGCTTGTTGATCCTTGGCAGCCTTTTCTTTCTTTTCATTTTCTAATCTTTCTTTTTCTTTTTGAGCCTTTTCCTTTGCAATACGATCTTGTTCTTCCTTGGCAGCCTTTTTCTTCTTTTCATCATCAACAGCTTTGTTATTATTGTTATCTTGAGTAGCCTTTTTCTTTGATTCCTTTGCAATATCAATAGATGGTATGGTTTCAGTAACCTTAAAGTTTGGATCATTCAATTGGCTAAGGATTTTATCAATATCACTATCCTTTTTGGGAGTAGCCTTTTTACCCTTTTTAGCCTTCTTTACGAGGGTAGATGGAGATTTGGCACTTGAAGATTTGGCAGCGACAGCGACAACTACTGGAGCAGCAGCAACTGCAACTGGTGCAGCAGCAACAACGGCAACTGGTGCAGTAGTTGTTGTAGTAGTAGTGGTAGTTGATTTTTTATCACCAAAAGTTGGTTCAATAATGGTAAATCCCTTTGGAGCAGATTGTTGCTTTGGTGATTTCTTTTCTGGTTTTGGCGAAGATACCTTTTTGTTGACAGATGAAGTTTGTGGCGATACAACCTTTGGAATTGTCTTGTTATTATTATTATTATTGTTATTATTATTATTGTTATTGTTGGTAGTTGTTTTTGAAGGATTGATGGTAATCTTGGTATCCTTTTGGATTGGTGCTACTGCTACTGCTGCTACTGGTTTAGTGGTTGGAGCGCTATTGACAATAGAAGTAGTTGGTGGAGTTTCAATTTTAAGAGCTTCAGGTGGGATATGGGTTGGAGCTGGTGAAGATACTGGAGTACCATTGGTATTTTTTTTGGGCTTACTCTTTTTCTTCTTTGGCTTTGATTTGAGGTTGATAGAAGTGTCGGCACTCCATTCCTTGATGGGAACTGGTTTGGAGAAATCGGTTGGTTCGATAATCTCAAAGGTGGTTGGAGTGGAGGATCCTTGAGTAGAGTGCTTTCTCTTTACAGACTTTGATTGCTTTTGACCGCCGCTGGAGGCAGTCGATGGAGATGAGACCTCAACAGCGGTTGGAACGGATTTGGAGGTTTCAGATGGTGACAATCTTTCAACTATATGAACTGGGATTTCTTGATGAGTGGCAGTACTAGCAACTTCTTGTTGTTGTTGTTCCTTTTGTTCCTTTTGTTCCTTTAGTTTTTGTTCTTGCTCTTGTTCTTGTTGTTTCTTTTTGTCCACTGCAATTTGCTCCTTTTGTCTCGCTTCTTCTTCCTCTTGTTCTTGTTGTTCTTTTAACTTTCTTTCTCTTTCCAACTTGTCCAATCTATCTTGTTCGATGGCACGCAACTCCTTTTCCTTTTTATCCTTTACTTCTTGCTCCTTTTTAGCCTTTTCATCTCTCTTTGATTGATACTCTCTCTCGATTTGAGTGAATTCCTCTGGTTCTTGAAGAGTAAATCCTTTAACAGGTGCTCCCTTTTGATTTGTTGGTTTCTTTCCTTTTGTCATGATAACTCTCTAAAGAAAAAGAAAAAGAAGATAATAATTAAAAGATAATAATAGTAAGTATATCATATGATTATTAATTATTCAAGACTAAATTTAATCTTACAATTAATCTCCTATTGTCTTTATTATACTATATAGTGATTATTAATATATGTATGGAGAGATAGAGAGATAAGATAGATTAGATTAATCTGTCTGTTGAGAACAATGAGCGTATGAGCTTGAAGTGACACAAGTTAAAAGTGGTCTTGAAAATTTTTTTTTAATATCCAAAGAAGCCAAACTTGGTTGTTCACTGAAAGTTCGCATTGTTGAAAATCTGGAGGGAAAAGTCGTTTGCCCAGTTTCTATATATTTTCTATCGATGAAAAGAAGAACTCTTTTTTGATCATATAGGTTTATTTCTATAAGATTCTTGTTTTATTTTTTATTCCCAATAAGATTTATAAAGTTGAACAAACATTTGCATGAACCAAGTTTGATCCAACAATCTAATATGGGCAGATCTTCCAATGACTCCATCCACACCTTTATGAGCTTCAAACAATACATTGAGTTTAATAATTGATTCTATTGGTTGATTATGTACACTATATTCTACTTTTCTACCTTGAATATCTCCCATTAAATTTTTAATCATTTGTGTTAGAATATTTTCTAAAAATAGAAAAATAAAGTAAAGTTAATAAACCTTTTTTCTTTTCTTTTTTTTTTTTTTTTCTATTATTTACTTTGAGTAGTATTTTTAAAATCTTTAATTGATTCTTTTGGTAATTCAATTCTAGCTGAATGATAGGGAACGTAACCATCTTGTTCTGAACTAATTAAAAAGACGTATTTGAAATGTTGTAGGGTAGGGGATTGAGAGAGTTTGTAGAGAAAGGTGTCATGGAGTTGACTGGCATCTTGCATCAAGAGTTGCTTGAGACAAGTGGAACTAGAGAACTTTTGCCAAAGCCAGAGAGCTGATGGCACGATGGTTCCAGAGTAAAACTTGACGCCTAAATGAGGCGACGAGAGAGAAACGTAGCTGTGGAGTTTGGGCAAATGCTCCTTGAGGTGTTGCGATGTAAGAGCACTTCTTACTACAATACCTCCCAAGGAGTGACATACAAAACTGATTTTGGTGATTTGGAATAAACTGTTTTCGTGAAGGAATCGATTGACCTCGAGTGCAATCTTTTCACCCAACTGTTGAATGTCGAGGAGCGTGTTTTCCTCGATCGACGAGCAAATGAGATAGAGTGCGTTTGGAAAATGAATGGTAAAGTAATTTTTAAATGTTCGCAAATCGTATGAATTGCCAGACAATCCATGAACAAATACAAATAAATGTCGACCTGGATTACTAGTAATTTGCAACATAAACTTTTTGGTTATACTTAGATGTTTGTTGTTTAATTCCTCTGTAATCTGTTCATCCAAACGATTTTGTTCAAATGAACTGACCAGCAATGCAGGTTGAGCCAAAGGTAAAAGGTCTGCTTCTGCAACTGGTCTAGTAGGGGTTTGATGAAACTTTATCTTTTGTTCATAAAATATTGGTAATGAATCATATACCATATCCAATTTAATTGGTATATTTTCAACTTTAAATGGTTTAAATTGGAAATATATTGATGAAAATTGTGATATTGAATTATTCCTAAAATAAAAGAAAAAAAGGTTAATATAAATATAAATAATTTATTATTTACTTACGAATTATCAGATAATAATAAAATATCTTGAATATCTTGAATATGTAATGTCATTCTTTGAATTCGATGATCCCATTTTTTGATACATTTGTTTTCAAATTGAATGGCATGTTTAAAGCAATGTTCTCGACTGACCATTGCAAATATTTTACAAAATGATTCCCAAAGATATGAAATTTGTTGACAAATGTTTTGGAAATTATTTATCATTTTTTTCCACATTGGTTGTTCAAAAGGAGGAGATAATAAACTATTACTATTACTATTACTATTACAAGTTGGTAAAGAGTCGGCACTTGAACTAATATTTGGAGATGAAGATGTTGGAGATTTTGATAAACTTTCATAACTACCAACACTACAATTTAATCCTGTACTTTCATAACTTGATACACTTGATAAACTATTATATCCACTACTACTATTACTACCATTACTAAATGAACTAAAACTACTAAAACTACTTTCTTCATCTTCATAATGTTTATCCATTAATACTCCTGTTGTCGTCTTGATATAAGATTTTCTTTTTGAAATATTATTATTATTATTATTATTATTTGAAGAATTAATAGTACTTGTGTTATTATTATTATTATTAGTTTCTAAACTATTTAAAGATGGGGAAGAATTTGTTTTGATAATGTGAGCAGGTTTCCAAGTCCAAGAAACCAAAGGAGGAATGTTGAGTGCTGGTACATTGACAAGTTCACCCAATTGAACTACCTGAGACTGTTTTAAAAGTAGTAATAATTGTTTGTACCTTTCAACTAGTCGACAATAAGATTCTACCAATGAAGATTGAACTTGTTGATATTTTGAAGATAAAAGATTATCTATATCTTCATCAAATGGTAGTATACTAGGTAATGATGATGTTGATTTACTTGTACTATTAATATGAATAGTTGATGAATTTGGTGATGATGGAGTTGAATGACTACCTGAATTTGATCCAGATAATCTTTTAGATGATCTTGGTGATTTTGATGAAAATGATACTGAAGCTGTAGTAGAATGATGGGTCGTCGTTGCCGTCGTCGTTGTCGTAGATAAATCCTTTTCAACAATTGAAGGTAAATTCAATTTATAGCCAACATTGGTAATGGTAGTATTGACTAGTACCTTTAAAATTGAGAAATACCAATCACCAAATATAACTGGATAATATTGTTGTGTTCCTCTTGCCGCTCTATTAATTCTTAATTTTTGATGACTAACTATTTTCTCTGGTACAATCTCTTCTGTTGCTCCACTAGATAGAAATAGAAATAAAAAGTTGTAATCAAAATACTATTTAGGGTTGTTTAACTTTCTTTTTTAATCTTACTCTTGTTCATTATGTTGAATTAATTCAAATTCTATTAATACATTTTGATTCATTAGATTCTCTAATGGAAGGTCTATTTGAAAGATACAACTATTCTGAATGATGATATTCTCTTTAAAATAACCAACAAAGAAATGCTTTGAACAATAGTTGGGTAGTTGAATCTCTGGTCGTTTGATATTATGACTTGGTTCACCAAACTTTTCTGATACTAGTGGTAATGGTGTTGCATGTAATCCATCAATCTCTCTATAACATTTTATTCTAATATTATATATTCTAGAGTATAGAAAAAAAAGGAAATAAATAACCAGGCCTGGTATAATAGTCTATAATAGTCTATATTACATACCCTCTTCTAATTAAATCAATCACACGTAATGATTCAATGTATAGATGAACATTGACAGTTGCATAAAGTGATATCATTATATAGTGATGAATAGATAGTACTAACTAACTAAATATATATCTATACTATTTTCTTTCTTTCTTTCTTTCTTTCTCTCGTTTTAAAAGTCTAATAATAGATAGATAGATATAAGATAGATAAGATATTACTTCTGCTTTACTATGATATCAAGCATTGAAAAAGGTGTGAATGAATTTAGATGGTGGGTGTGATCAATCCCAAAGCGCACACTGGCAATAAAAAAATAAAAAATTAATTTTCGCGCTTTTAGAATTTCCCATCCACTTTTCTATTTTCTTGTCTTTTATCGATTTGTTTAAAAAAAAGAAAATATCTAATCTCCGAAAAAACTATAAAATTATAATTATTGTGCATTGGGATTTTTTTTTGTATTATTATTATTATTATTAAAAATCACTTTTTTTTATTTATTTATGTTATTTGGAGAATACAGGTTTTAGAAATATTTGTTCATTAATTTAATTTGATTTCTTTTTGATTTCTTTTTTTTGTTTTTTTTGTTTTAATATTTGTTTTGAACATTAACTTTTAGAATATATTTAATTCTAATTTGGGATACATCATAGACGATAAATTCGTTATGAGAACAACTGGTATTTGTACCAGTTTTGATGATTGAACCAGCTGGTACAACAATGTCATTGTCAACCTTTACGTATTCCTTTGGATTGGGAATGGACATGCCGAGTGCTTTGGTAGAGTGAGTTCCAGATGGAGCCTTTTCCATGTACTTGTCATGTTTGAGTTCATTCATCTTGCCAAGAGCAACCTCACAGAGAATCATGAGAGCAGTTGGACTTTGCTTGGAAGTGAAACAATAGCTTGCACTCTTGGAGATACAATCGGCAAAGTAGACACCTTTACCAAAACGATAACCAGTCTTGGGTGCTTCAGGTGGAGCAATACGTAAACCTTGCGAAATGATACCACACCAATTGGTCAAACGACTACCATGCCACAATAACATCTTGTTGTCATTTTTCTTCCATGGATCAAAACGTGATACCTCTCCTTCTCTTTCAACTTCAAAGATATCCTCCACCTTTAGTCCAAAGTCAAAATAACTAGTATCATGAGACTTGTGAGCATAACTAACCAATGTTTTATAAAGTTCACTATCCTTGTCTAATGGTGCTAAATTGGTCTTTAATGATTTATAATGGTTATCAATTAAATTTCCTTCAGTATTTTCTGATTGTCTAAGAAAAATAAAAAGTAAATAAATAATAAAAATATTATTATATTTTTTTACTTACTTTTTAAGTTTGTTTGCAATTTCAATATCAATAAATGCTTCAATAAGATCCATCTTTTCTTTCAACATTTCATTTGTATTAATAATTGGTGGCAAATTTGAACCAAAATTATGTGGAACTAAAAAAAAAAAAAAAAAAAAAAAAAGAATTAATATTAAAATTATTTGATTTCTATTTTTTTTCTTTTACTTACTTAGAGAATAAAATCTATTAGCACAATCAGATAAAGGAGCAGTTGAAGTATTTCCATTTGGACGAGAAAGGATTTCTTGAATTTCAGCCAAAACTTGGTAGCCATCCATAATTTGTTTTTTTGAAATTTTACCAAGTGGCATCTTGTCAATATCAACCTTCATGGAAGCAAGTTGCTTTTTCATCATTTCCTGATCAAACATTAATTTGATGAGTTCAATGGTACGAGGAGCAAGATTGGATGGAGTTGAAAGACTAGCCAACATTTTTTGAGAATTGTCAGAACTCTTGTTCTTTTTAATGGCACTCTCCAATTCATCATTATCATCATCCCAACCATCATCAAGAGATACCATATAATATTTTCCTGGTTTCTTTTCAAAACTATGATGATCTCCCCATGTAATACCTGTAAAATATTCAAATTTACTTGAAAATAATTCTTTTGCTCCTTTTTTACTTGTAACTAAATTGGAAAATAAAAAAAAATTAATAAAAATAATATTATTATATTTTTTTTTTTGTTTTTTGACTTACAAAGTTCTTGTTTACTACCCATAGTTTTACCAATTCTACCCCATTTTAAGAAAACAATATAAGTATTATTATTATTTAATAATTGAATTTTGTAAAACTTGTTGTAACCTGAATGAATGTCTACAAGATTGAGCATAACATTGTAAGTGATGGTACCATAGGTTTGATCATCCTCCATATAAATGTTGTAAATGCTAGAGATTTCATCATCTGGTTTGAGAATATCAGATCCCATCTTTGGTTTCTTTTTAAAAATGATTTCCTTTTTCTCTGGTTCTTTTCTCTTTTTAAGAAGGGTCGACGATGATTTGGTTGAAGTGGTCGAGGTAGTTGCCTTTTTAGGTGCAACATATTTTGTAGTAACCAATTCATAATCATCTTGACATTCTGATGGTTCAATTACATATTTTGATGAAATACTTGATTTTCTTAATTCAATTCCTTCATTTTTTCTATCAACCAAATCTTGTAACCATGAAGTTGGGAAAATTGGAATCTAAATGGATAAAAAAAAATTAATAAATAAATAAAAATAAATAAATAATTTTTTTGTTTTTAATTCTCTCTACTTACAGAATCAATAGCATCAGAAACTTTTTTAGTTGGTTTTGACTTTTTAACTTCATCATCACATGAAATCATAATATTTGCCTTGGCTACAGTTTCTACAACTGAACCACCATGATCATTGATTAATGATTTTAATTCAGATGGTGATGGATCTAAATTCTTTTGATTACCTGCAATAATAAAAACCATACCATACAATTCAGAACCAATTGGTACAGCATCTTCTTGATCTTTTTTCTTTGTCTTTTTTGTTTTAGATACTTGTTCATCACCACTTTCTGGATCACTTTGAACAACATCACTATCAACAGATTCTGGTTCTGATTCTTCTGCTTCTGAATCTGATGATTCTTCTTTTTCTTCTTCATCTTCTTCTTCATCATCATCATCACCATCATAATTACAAACATCTTTTGGATAATCTTTTGAAAATTTAAAGTTTTCAATAAACTTTAATTGATTAGCCTTTAGGGATGATGGAATGACGATTTTGTGACGTTTGATTGTAGTACCTTTCCAATCACACTTTGTAAAACCAGTTACATAACCATAGCACTTGTATTCAACAGAGTTGAAACCAACATGGAAATTCTTACATGTTGGACATGATCCAGTACGACCAAGTAATAACCAATCGGAAAGTATACCAACCAATACATCACCTGGTACTTTTTCAACTCTACCTTTATTCTCTTCAATGATTGACTATAGAAAAATAGAAAAATATTTAGTAAAAAATAGAAATATAAAAAGTTTTATAACTTACTTTAATTTGAGGACCTTTTAAAACAGAATCTGAAAGTTGATCTTGAATCTTCCAAAGTGCATTGATGTATTCTTTACGTTGAGTGTCAAGAGCAGCATTTGCAGATGTATCATTTGGGAAATGCTTTGTTCTAATGGTCATTTGATCATCCCATCTAAGAGTCTCCCAACCCTTCAAATCTGATAAAATCTTGACAGATTTAATCTTGCACTTTACATGAAAGTAGCTATACTCTAATCCGTCGTGGTATTGACCTGGTTTGCCGTGGCCAACCCTGAGCTCTCCTTTGGAGAGACCGCTTCCACAGTTCTTACATGTAGATCTATCTGATTTAGAGTACTCTATACTAAATGCTTCTTGTATTCCACTCATCTTATCTATCTCTCTCTACAGATAATGTGTTTAAAAAGATTGGTAAAAAAAAAGCAGTGAAAAAAGGAGGTGAAGATTTTGCCCTACAGGGCTATAAATTTTTTTTTTTTTTGTTAACATTAATTTTCAAAGTTTTTGTTTTCTAAGTAATCATCACAGACATTGAACGTTGGCAATACGGTATACCGCTTTTTCTCAAAAGGTATAATCATTGGCCATGTGCCAACAACAATCTCATTGACCAAGGGATAAAGATAGACACATAAACAACAATCAAAGGTTGGATGAGAATATATTGAACACATTCAAGAGATGGAGGCAGCAGGTATCGCCAACCATTGCTGAAGTGAGAAGATAATGATGAAAAGAAAGATCGGTGTTTTATGAAGGAATGGGATGTTCAGGATGCTCACCATTGATCGACGTGGAAGTGTTTGTTGCTGTAATCATAAAGAGACAAAAGATGATAGACAAACGAGATATATGTAGATTGATTGTTTCATCTGTCACTGCTTGCTCTATCAACATGCAGAGAACAACATGTGTGATCATCAAGTATCTTTTAATCTCATGAAATGTATTATATATACAGTCAATCTACACACAGCAAGATATAATCGTTTCTAATTAATTAAAAGATTATTAATCGTTTCTTTAATTTTATTTTATTTTAGATATATACAATGATGATGATGATGACAACAAACAAAAAAGATTGGAGACAGAGCACTGATTGGACAACGATAATCGTGCATGGTGCAATTTTAATTATATAATAATTTAAATATTCAAGTAGATCAATGATACCAGCGACGATCGGGATCAGAGACGATGCACATGCAGTATCCTTGAATGAGAATGATTCGCCTCTGAAATCTCTCAATAAAGCGACCATTCCCAACACACCAGCACTGAAACCAGACCAATGACAGACCCTCCACAAATTGTAAAGAACCTCCACAAATTGTATCCAATGAAGAGGATAGGATGAGTCAGAGGTGCTGATGATACTGACTATTATCTATTATCTACTATAATAATAATAATAATAATAATAATAATAATAATAATAATAATAATAATAATAATAATAATAATAGTAGATAATAGTCAGTATGGATCTACGTTGTTGAGGGTGCACATTTCTTCATTTGTTGACCTTTTAATTCTAGATAACTAAAAATAGAGTGGTAGTAGTATTACTATTCTCTCAGCTTGTTCCGAACGACCAATGACATTCAGCGATGATATGGCAAACGAGTGGTAAAGGCTCAGCGGTTGAGTCCCAACCACTTCATAGTGATAACTCTGCGCCAGAGAAATAATTTGATAAGCATTGTTGGTATTGTTGGTCATTACCATATTGTTGCAAATGTAAAAGTATAATGAATATTGATATGATTGTTGGAAGAGGTGAGATTGGTTATTGAGGACAACTAATGTTCATATGCATATTTAACATAATTACAAATAGATTTTTTTTCATAATATTGATTTATTTATTTGTTTATTTATTTATAGTTCATACATCCATTGAATCTTTTACTGTTGTTGGTTTTGGCTCAGCTTTCTTGTTCTTTGTGATATTCTTCTTTGCTTTACGAGGAGATGTTCTGGTGGTGTAGGTGGCATTTTTTTGCTCTTTCCTTTGCTCTATTTAGACTCCACCAACACATTTAACACTTTGACTTGCATTTTGCATATGCGAGAATTGCCTTACCGCAAGGGACACCTCCAATACGATTATTGCAAGTGTTACTGTGGAATACCAATCGGTCGTTTGGATCAACATAATTGGCTATAGCGCACTCTGTCTTGCAATAGTCTGCATCTCTATCCAGTGGCCAGTCAGAGCAAACATTTTGTACGATGAGGTTGCACCCGTCTAGAAGACACTTTTGGTTTCTGGCCTTTCTTCTGTTTCTTTTTGTAGCAGGGCTTTTAGCACTTGGTAGTTCAACCTGGACTTGAAGGCCTAGCTGGGCAAGGTCAAGCTCTGAGAGATTTGAAGTATTGTAGTCTCCATCCAATTTGTTCAATTATTTGCTTTGTCATGAGGAAACGACAGAACAATTTAGTATCGTCGTCAAACTGGTTCACCAACTCGTCCTCTTCCAAGAAGGGGTCAAACTCTTCGAATGGAATTGGCAAGAGACCATCGCGGTTGGGTTCACAGTATAGATAAAAAAATCTAAACAAGATAAATTGGAACCCAACAGCGTGTGCCAATGTTGTAAAGCCTTCCCTTAAAGGGAAACACATATTTGCAATGTTTGTCCACTATTAATCATCAACTCTCAAATGATAGACTGTTGATACGAGACTGATCTAGAAATTGATGATAATAATGTACATTCACCATTTAGTTCTACTCTTGTATCTTTTACGATACTTTGTTGACTGTTAATGAAGATATCCAATATAGAATCTTTTAGTTGTTGAATGATTATATCGTTATGCTTGGTGTCGATTGCAATGATTGTATCTCTTATTTTTTTCTAATCGACGTTCTTCTTCTTGATTGATACAAGATAAATAGTCTCTATATACAACCTTGACAAACAAGATACGATGATTGAATGAGAGGTAGAATGTTGTTGCTGTGAAGGGATAATATAATTGTCTAATAGGCAATTCCCTATTGGATCAATCTATCCTTCGATCATAGGCAACACTTGAACCAATTCGGAAAGGAATACCTTGCAGTCATCATAGAGGATAATGAGTAAGATGCGAACAGAAACTAGTGTACTTCCACTGATCACATAGCTAATTGTTTGATTACTTTGAAGGAGATGAAGGAATGCAACTCACGAGAAACCTTTGATTGATCAATAGTTTACTCGACATCAACCTTTCCTCTGAGCTTACCTGTTCTACGAGCAGCAATGAGACCAACTTTCTTACCAGCTGCGCAACTATGCTTGTTGTTTGTGTTTAAAAAAAATTTCAAACCCAAAATTTTTACGCACACACACAAAAAGATAATTATTATAAGTTTTAGAAATATAGGACCTTTATTATTTGTAGAAACCTTTGATTGATCAATAGTTTACTCGACATCAACCTTTCCTCTGAGCTTACCTGTTCTACGAGCAGCAATGAGACCAACTTTCTTACCAGCTGGGTCATGTCTCTTAACAGTTGAGGCGTGACCGATATGTTGATGATTACCACCACCATGGGGATGTTCGACGGGGTTCATAGCGACACCTCTGACCTTTGGCCAGTTGTTCTTCTTGACTCTGTACTTGTGGTAGGCTCTTCCGGCCTTGAGCATTGGCTTGTCAATACGACCACCACCGGCGACGATACCGACCATAGCACGACAGGTCGATGGAATGTTCTTCTTGGCACCAGATGGGAGCTTGATACGGGTGACGTTTTCATCAACGTTGTGAGAGACGATGGAAGCATAGTTTCCAGAGCAACGGGCGACAGCACCACAATCACCCATCTTTTCTTCCAAGTTGCAGACAATGGTACCTTCTGGCATCTTGCCGACTGGGAGAATGTTTCCAATGGTGAGGGAGGCCTTCTTACCGGCAAAGAGGTATTGACCAGTGTACATACCTTCGGCGGCAATGAACAATTGCTTGTCCAACTTGAATTCACGAGTGCTTCTAAAGTTGACACGGGCCAATGGAGCACCTCTTCCTGGGTCGTGGATGATTTCAGTTACGACACCACGGATGAAACCGTTACGTTCAGCATAATCCAAAGATCTGAATTTGGGGACACCCTTACGATGACTGGTATGGGCACCAAAAACTGAACCTTGTTTACCCTTTCTTTGAGCTAAATAGATAGTATAGTAAAAGTAATGATTGAGGATTGGTTGATTAGATATATTGTACACATTTGTCTTGAGCGCACTGATTCTCTTATATCTATCTATCATGTGACACTTGAGTATTCGTTTGCTAATATATATGATAATTACCTCTGATTACTCTACCCATGTTTGGCGCTGTATATGTTTAATAGATATAATGTACAAGGATAAGGAAGAAAAAGAGTTAGTAAGATGTTGTCTTTGCGAATCTTTACAAAAGTTTATCGGTAGTTACCTTTGATATGGTCTAAAAAAAAAGTACAGTCGATGAATGTAAGCCCTTTGTGCGACAATTCCTCCCACGCTGGTGGCAAGAGACGACGATGAAAAATCAAAAAAAAAGAAAAAATTGGTTCAACAAAGACGAATTAATTGCCCCCTCTTTAAAAAAAACGAAAATCCATACCAACACCCGAGCAACAACAAACATAGATCTATGTTGTATGCTTCTTTACTTTTACATCAATACTATCAGTGCTATCAATATTTTGGTAAAAAAGAACTAGTCACATGATACATCAAGTCACATGATACATCAATTCACATGATAATAAGAGTCATAGATATCATCATAAACATTTTGTTAATCTTTTAAAGAAACAAGTTGAAATACTTTTTCTACTTTTTCTACTTTTTCTACTTTTTACTTTTATCATTCAACACTTTGCATCGTCGTCGTTGTCGTCGTCAGCAAAGATAAGTACTTTTGGTTTCATGACTTCCAAAGAGTCGTCACTCACTCTTGTACATTTTATTTTATTTTTTTCATCGGGTTATTATAATCATCGACGACGATAATAATAACTCATATTTGGAAAAAAACAGATCAGATGATAAATCATTGTCAACCAAATAGAGTATTAGGATCATACCACTTCGTCAAATAATATAAATATATTATTATTGATCTCTACTTTTTTTGTTTATATGTGTGTTTACACATTCTTTGGAAAAAGAACTATTATTCCAAGTCGTTATTTTAAAAGTGTTAAACGAAGTGGTCAAAAGACCAAAAGGTATAAAAATAGAGAAAAACAATCATTCATTCATTCAATAATAATAATAATTAAGAATAATAATAATAATATATATTTAATTTATCTATATCATGTTTGAAAAAAAGATAATAACAATTACAAATGCATTTAGTAAACAAGGATTGGGAGTTGTTTATGCATTATTGTCAAGTGGAAAGTTTAAAGTTAGAGCTTTGACTCGTAGAAATGGAACGGTTGAAGGAGAGGCATTGATCAAGAAATATGGTAGAGAAAATGTAGAGATTTGTATCATTTCTGATCAATCATTGGATTCTTTGACCAAAGCATTAAATGGAGCACATGGAGTATTTGTCATTACAACTGTATCACATCAAGATCCAAAGTGTTTGGAAATTGAATTGAATAGTGTCAAGAGAATTGCCGATATTGCCGTCCAAAGCAAGGTCAAACATATCATCTTTAGTTCACTAGACAAACCATCGGATCAAGCCATCAAAGAATTTAAAGAATATTTAATTTGGACTCCACGTACTCTAGCTGAAGAGTATATCAAGACATTGCCAATTCATAGTAGTTTTATATCGATTGCCTTTTTCTTTTCAAACTTTTTGGAATCTTTTCCACCCACCGTCAATGAATCTGGTGTCACTGTATTCTCATTACCAGATACACCAGGTGATCAATTACTTCCATATGCCGATTCTCTAGTAACTCCAGGTCTTGCTGTTAGAGATTTGTTTGTTCAATTTATCGAATCTCCAGAGACATTTGAAAATGGTCAACATTTACAAATTGTTAGTGAATACTTGTCTGGTAATCAAATGGCTGAAATCTTTCAAAGAGTTACTGGCAAGAAAGCAATTTACAAGAGAGCAGAAGCCAAAGAATATATTGAAAAGATGAAGAAATCTGGATTTGAAAGAAAGGCAAGATACAATTTGGCAGTTTACCAATACCCTGCCAAATACAACTATTTTGACACCAACAATCCAATCTATCAACCCTCCTCCTCCTCTGCCAATACCATTGAAACTTATGAACATTTCCTTAGACATTGTGGTTGGAAAGGTGAATCTTCAAATGATTTTAAATCAAAATTATTATCTTCTTATGGTTATTTATAAATACAAATAAATAATAAATAACTAGAATGCTCAGTACTGAGCCGGTTTACTGAAAATATAGAAATATTTAATTTATTAATTTTATAACGTTCATTTTACAATATCAAGTAAGAACATTCAGAGAAGAGATGCAAAGTGTCGTAGACTCTTCTGCAGACAGCGAGGTTAAAACTGGTATCAAGTTTGATATGCTATTTGATTGGCGGCGGCGGCGGAGGAGGTGGTTTCGTTGTTGTTGGGACTGAATCTCTCAGGATGGCAAATTGGTTTTTGATCGATCCAAATTGGCACTGACCTTGCCAAGCGTTTCAACCATCAAGAATCACCTCCCTCCTGTCAAATTCTATCGAAATATCTGCTGGTCTACTTTATGATCAACATGGAAAACAATTGGTTGGCATTGCGCCAAATCCAATCACCCAGGATAATCTCGCAGTTTTAAAGAAACTCAATGCCGGATGTCACGGATAATTCTCTGGATGGACTAGACAGCAGCGTCACTTTGGATCTCATCGGTGTGTATATTACTGTAGTAATCAAATAAATCTATTGTAAATAAAGAATACTACTATTTGTACACAACCATTTGCTAAACATGGTGACCCCAAACTTTAAAAGAGACATGGAATTATTCAACATATCGACTTTGATCAAATAATCCTTTGACTGTTAATGATATGAATGTTTTGTTTTTTTTTCTATAATGGTACAAAAGTAAATGATTATTATTTTTCTTTTTTTTGTCTCTCTTTTATCCTCAACTCACATAGAAAGCCTTATTTTTTTTTGTATAAATTTATTATAATATATAAATATAAATATATATATATATATATTGAATGTAATCATTATATACTATAGTAAATGAATAATATAGATCATTTTCAACAAGAACAAGAACAACCATCAACACCAAATGATGAAGATCAAGAACAAGTAGAAGTTCCTTCTGTATGTAAACAAAAAGTAGAGTTGTAGTTTGTTATAACTTGCTAATATAGATAACTTTACTTTTTTTTTCTACTTACCTTTAGCAAGAAGATTTAAAACAATTGGTTGATTTTTTAGATCCTTTAAAACATGATAGTGTAGCAACAGAAAGATTTAATGCATTATCAAATCTATCAGATTCAGAATTGATAACACAAGTCAAAAGATTAGAAGAATGGGCTCTTGTACTTTGTGTAGCTGAAGATAAACAATTAACAAGAGAAAAGAATCTTTGTATTATTAATATAGAATAAAAGAAACAAAGAAGAAGTTTTATTTATTGATTAAATGAATCTTGAATGATGGTTGGATTAAAGATTTCAATATATTTTATAATCTTTTTGGTTGTTGGATTGGTGTGTAGTATTGAAATATAATGTTGATTGTATGGTTTATTGGTTGGTATGATTCTACCGAGTGATTTGGTTTCTGCATAGATATGGTCATCATTGACTTTGGTTATGGTCACTTGGAAATCATCAAATTGAAATATAGATGACCAATCTTTATAATAGTTTTTAATCTCTTCTATACCATTTAATCTATTTGGCAACTCTTTACTTTGGTATGGAAATTCAATCACTGCAGAGTCTTCAAACAAATCATACAATTCTTTTAAAGAATCTCTATTTTCTTTAAAATATTTAAAATATTCTTTAATCTTTTTCTCTGCCATTAATTATTAAATTATTATTATTTGTATAGTAGTGTGATACGTCGTAATTACTCTTTTATCTTTGATTCAAGGAGTGGTTTGAAATGACCTCGAAACATTAAAATATCCATTTTTTCAATATTAGAAGATGAGCCAGATGGAGAAGAGGAGAAGCTTTTTTTTGATATTCTTTTTTTTTTTTAAATTAAATTTTTAATCAAACCAAAACCTATAAAAAGAACAATTAATTATTATTAATATATATCAAATCAACAAATAAATAATAATAATATATTAAAGATGACAAAACAAATAATAACAGTAACACAAGCATTTAGTAAACAAGGTTTAGGAGTTGTTTATGCATTACTGGATAGTGGAAAATTTAAAGTTAGAACTACTACTAGTAGAAAGGATACAGAGGAAGGAGAGGCATTGAAAAAGAAATATGGTGACAATGTAGAGGTATTGGTAATTCAAAATACTAAGCAAGATTATTTAAATGCATTTAATGGAGCACATGGAGTATTTTTAATAAGTCCAACCATTTCTTATGAAGATCCAGATTTCCTTTTAAAAGAAATCAATGGTGTAAAGGAAATAGTTGATATTGCAGTCGAGAGCAAAGTTAAACATTTAATTTTCAGTTCATTGGATCGTCCACCAAAAGAGGCTCAAGAAGAATTTAAAGATGTTTTAATTTGGACACCACGCTCTGAATTGGAAGATTATATTAAAACACTGCCAATTCATAGTAGTTTTGTATCAATTGGTTATTTTTATTCAAATTTCCTAGAGTATTATGCTCCAACTTTCGAGGAGGATGGTGCATTGGTATTTTCATTACCAGGTACACCAGGTGATCAATTACTTCCCTATGCCGATGCACTTGTAACACCTGGATTGGCTGCAAGAGACTTGTTTATCGAATTTTTAGAATCACCAAAAACATCTGATAATGGTCAACATTTACAAATTGTTAGTGAATACTTGTCTGGAAATCAAATGGCTGAAATCTTTCAAAGAGTTACTGGTAAAAAGGCAATCTATCGTCAACAAAACAAAGAAGATTATCTTGCCTTTTTATCTAGTATTGGTTTAAATCAAACTGGAAAAGTTTTATTATCAATTTTCGAATATCCAATCAAATATGGATATTTTCATCAAACCGACGACACCAAAACAAAAATATATAAACCAACAACACCAACTATTGAAACCTATGAACAATTCCTTCAACATTCTAATTGGAAAGGTGAATCTATTAAAGATTTTAAATCTACATTTTTAAAATCTTATAAATATTTATAAATTACTAAAAAAAGGTAAATTAATAAAAAGAAATAATATATATATTTAATGTTTATACATACAATTGAGTTGAACATTTTAAACAAACAACATGTTGACAACCAGAAATTTTTTCTACAAGGATACCACAATTTAAACCTGGACATCTTTTAATACTTTTAACAATTTCATTTGTTTTCTTTTCATTTTCAGATTTCATAGACAATTGATTATTTTGACAAGATGTACCAGGATGAGGAATAGATATACAATTTGTACAAATTGATTGTTTACAATGATCACATGAAACATTCAAATTCATATTGTTGATTGGATTGATAAATTTCTTATCACATTTAAAACAATGTATAACTCGAGATGGATATAGTTTAAAAAATACAATCTTTTCATATTCAACCTTTCCAATTGATTGAATCTAAAAAGAGAAACAACAAAAAATAAATTAATTATCCTACCAATTAAATTTTTTTTGTTTTTTTAACTTACAATTTTTGATTCATCTTTAATTAAATCAAGTTTTGATTTACATTTTAAAGATGGACATTGTAAAGATTTGTTATTATAAATATTTCTCTTGAAAAGATTGTTACCACATTCTACACATATCAAATGTTGACATGGTTTAAAATGAATTGAATCCTCTGTTGGTATTGAAGCTCTTAAACAAATGATACAACTCATTCTACCTAATTCCTTTTCTCCTCCTCTACAAATACATAATGCTTTTAAAATAGAAATAATATTAAATGTCATAGTTGTTTAGAATTAATTAGTTTTTAATATTATTTTTTTATGATTAACCAAGTTTACTTTTTCATGAATACTTTTAAAATTTCATTGCTTTTTTTATTTATTAACAACTAATCTTATCTGTGGAGATAAGAGTCTGATATAAAAATACTCTAGTTTGTACTATACCAAGAAGCATTTAGTATAGAGTACTTTAAATCAGCAGATACATCTTGTCATTATTAATATCGTCAAATTATCTTTGTTGAATAGCCGATATGTTTTGGTCCTCATCTTGACCTTGGTCTTCAAGGTTGTTGTAAGATGAGTCGATGTGTCTCGTGTCGTGGCATCATGAAAACAAGAGTATCTTGGCCCATGATGACAGCCGCTACGACCAACGGAAACTGAATGTTTTCAACCAAAGGTTCATTGTTGTAATGGTATTTTTTTGGTTGATCGATGGCAATTATTGTTGATTTGGTGGTCAATATCAACACCACTAGACACTGATAGGTGGAAGAGGAGTGATAGTTGATACTGTTGACTCTAGATGTTCTTCTCCACTCTTTCTATTAGTGTTGTCAAACCTAATCCTTTCCATTTTGATCAATTATTTCATTCTTGTAATGATTATAATCATTGAATGATTTGGTTGTATTGTTGGTGATTGTGTCGATAAGAATGATTGAATATTTAGAAGAGGTTGATCACATCAATGGTGTTGACTATATAAATAGTCTCCTCTACATGGTGTATAAATTAACTTTAATTTAAAATTGCTCTTTTTTTTTTTTTTAGTATTTCCTTCCTCTCTCTTTAAAAAATTAGATTCTCTTTAAAATTCTATTCATTGCAATGATAACATTTTATACAATTATTCGATCAATTTATCTGAGGAACAAGATATTTGATCAAATCAATCAAATTACAAAGCAATATGGAGGAGGACGAAAAGGAAAAGAAATCATCGCATTGGAAAACTATGAAATGATTGTAGACTATGCACTTCCTTGGAGCTTTATTAAACGTCATCTCCCAACACGAGTCAGTCTATCATTAAACATTAGAACCTATATCATCTCGCGCTATTGTTCACATCGTAATGCTACATTGGACACACTATTACATCTATTGGAATGGTCACCTGACTATAACCCCATACCATTTAAAGAGTCATTCAATGTCAATCTAGCATCAAACATTGCAAAGACTGGTCGTAGAGATATTTTAGAGTTTATCATCAACCGATACCCAAACATCAATTTAAGCAATGTCATTGATGAAGCTGCCAAACATGGTGGTGATCTAGCAGTATGGTTGATGAAAACTTTTAAACAGCTGATTGATTATCCACCCCGTTTAGCTTTACTAAACGCTGCAAACCATGGTAATCTATCAGTCATTGAATATTTTCATCAATTAAACAATCATTGTCAATTTACTACCAATCATATGGATTATGCTTCAAGAAATGGTCATCTTGAAATTGTAAAAGTAAATATATTTGAAAAAAAAAAAAGGAAATAATTGTATTCAAATTGTAATAATCTATTATAGTTTCTTCATTTTAATAGATCAGAAGGATGTACACAATCTGCTATTGATAATGCTTCAGAAGGAGGTTTTTTGGATATTGTAATGTTTCTTCATCACAACAGAACAGAAGGATGTTCAAAATCAGCATTTAATAATGCTTCAAGAAATGGTCATTTTGAAATAGTTAAAGTAAGTAAAGAAAAAAAAGAATATTAATAATTTGATATTTATTAATTTAATTGATTTTATCTATAGTTTCTTCATTTTAATAGAACTGAAGGATGTTCATTTTATGCTATGGATGGAGCTTCTACTTTTGGTAGTTTAGATATTGTAAAGGTAAAAAAAATTAAGATATCTTTTCTACATTTCTCTATTTCATTTATTAATCATGTTGTTTATTTATTTAGTTTCTTCATTTTAATAGAACTGAAGGATGTTCAAAAGAAGCTATGGATAAATGCAGTAAATTGGAAATCATTCAATTCCTACATTTTAATAGAACTGAAGGTGCTACCACACAAGCCATGAACAAAGCTTGTGAAAGAGGTGATTTGGATACTGTATCATTTCTTTATCAAAATAGATCAGAAAAATATTCTAGTATTGCCATAGATAATGCTTCAAAAAATGGTCATTTAAATATTTTAAAGGTAAAAAAGAAAATGATAGATTGATAGATATTATTTATTAATTTATATTTTTAGTTTTTAGAATTTAATAAAATATTAGAATATAATATTTTAACAATGATTGGATTGGTTATTCAAAATAATTGTAAATTAGAGATATTGGAATTTCTTTATCATCATGTAAAAAAGGAGGAAAATGTTCCTCCTTCTTCAAAAGAAATTTCAATTGAAAATGCAATATTAAATGATCGATTAGATATTATACAATTTCTTTATCATCATTATCCAAAACTAATATCTACCTCGAATGCAATACAATTATCAGTCAAATATGGTAAAACAGAAATTTTAAAATTCCTCTTTCAAGAAACTAAAAACAATCATTTATTATTACCAACCTCTGCAATGGATACAGCATCACAAAATGGTCACCTAGAAATGGTCAAATATCTTCATTCTAAAAACAATCAATGTACAACCAATGCTATGGATATGGCTAGTTCAAACGGCCATTTAAATATAGTTCAATGGTTGCACCAAAATAGATCAGAAGGACCTACAAAAATGGCAATGGAATATTCACTTGTTCAAGGTAGAGTACAAGTTGCACAATTTCTACGTAAACATTATCCAAGAGAATCAAAACGTATACGTCAATTAGATACTAGTATCCATTCAATTACAAATTATGTTCAATATTGTAAAACTTTAGAATATATTGAATCAATTAATATTAAAGCAAAAAGTATTTTTTTAAATTAACAAAATAAAATAAATTAATTATTTATTATTTATTTTTATATTTAAATATTTTTAGTAAAAATTGTAGATATAAATCCTTTACCTTGAGTCCAAGACAATAGATTTGGATAATAATTGGTTCGTATTTGTTGAGACATTTGATTCCATTGTTTATCGTTGATTTCACCATCTAGGTATTCCCCTTCTTCTCCAACATTGAATATGTAAAATGAAGTGTTCATCAACTGGAGACTGCAATGATTGGACATTTTTTCGTAAATTAAAGACAGTAATGTATCTGGAGACATAAAGAATTTTAAATCCAATAGTTTGAGGAACTTGCAATTGTTAAAAAGTAGATTTACAATCTGTAAACATTTCAATGTTTTATCTTGTTGTTGATCTTTGATCGATTTGAATTCAAAAACAATGGAAACATTTGAAACTCTTAACCCTCCGTCAAATCCAAGAAACTGTTCCACTAAATCCAAATCACATGATTGTAAATCCAATATTTCTAAACCCTGCAATAATGGTTGGATATTATTGAATGGCATTTTATATTGATCATACAACGATAGGAAACATAACGACGAGGTATTGATTTTGGTGAACGGTTGATCGATTCGATAGTTTAAAAAGAGTTTTTCCAATTTTGGAGAAGCAACCAATACCTCTAGAAATTCTATTGATGGTTCTGGCAACCTCAAATCAGAGAGACCCAATTCCAGAAAAGAATTTGCTTCATTCACATTATTAAAGTTATAGAATTCATAACCATCATCCATTGTGACCATTTGAAGTAGTACCAAACCTTTCAACTTTGGCATTCTTTTCCAAATCTTTAAACTAGTTTCGATTGTAAAAGAGTCTGTAAAATCATAGCTATTGACCGTCAATGATAGATTTTCCAAAGTTTGTTTCCATTTATCACCAACCAATTGATTAAAACCAATAAAAACATCTTGATTTACATCATTATTAGTTATCATTCCAAACTCTTTTAACCTAGGCATTTGTAATCCTTCCAATCTACGATAATCTAGTTTATCATTTAGACAAAGATAAAAGGTTTCTAAACTTGGAAATTCAATTGATTTTTTCATGATATAATCTAAAATTGGTGAAGATTCCTAAAGAATAGAAAAAGGATGGTGATTGATTGTTAGATAAGGTTATTTTTTCATTGTATGATGTATTACCATAGTTTTTTGAGATGTAATTGATAATTCAGTAATATTTGATTGATTTGACAGTAGGAAATCAAAATATGGTTCTCCTGCTGCTGGAGATGATAATGTTTCATGATATCTAATATCTTTTAGTGATCCAAAATAGTTATTTAAAAGGTTATAATTCTTTAATAAATAAATCTCCTCGATTGAATCACTTGCCAGTGTTGCTGATTCAGGAATTGAATGGTTGAAAAGAGACCATTTTGAACATAGAGAATGTTTTAAATTGTTTACCTTATTGTAGTCGAAAAAGGTGACCAAGTTTTCTCTAATATAGTTGAACCAACTTTTGCAGACTACTAGTAAATGAATTCTCCACCACTTTTGTTCTTGTGCGATGCAAATGATAAATCCATCCAAAGAGTAACAATAATCTAATATTTTCCTTTGAATAACTATATCCATATTAAAGATATTGAAATATATAGGTTTTTAAAATAAATAAAAAGGGGTGTGTATAATACAATTAAATAAATAAATAAATAAATAGAGAGGGAGATTCCTGAACCCATCAAGAATGTGAATGAAAGGGTGGGAAAAATTCAATATGATACACTATCTCATTGATCAAATTTTTTGATCATCAACACCATAAAGTGGTTGATGAAAGGGTTACAAACCACTGCTGGTCACCCACCACCAACCAGCCTATCAGTAAAAAAACTAGTATCCATTCAATTACAAATTATGTTCGATATTGTAAAACTTTAGAAAACATTGAATCAACTAATATTAAAGCAAAAAGTATTTTTTTAAATTAACAATAAAATAAAATAAATTATTTATTTATTAATTTTAATCATCATCTGAATAAATGTCATTGATTCCTTCATCACTAGATAATTCATCATCAAGAATAACACTAGTCATAAAGAATGGTAGGTTTTCCAAAGTAATCACAGTTGGAAACCAAAATAATGAATTGAATCTTTCAGAGATATCAATTAGGTTGATTGAATTTGGATTGATTGGTTCTGGTTGACCAATAGCAGCCTTGAGATAATCGACATAATCTTTAAATAAAACTGGATGTTGATTCTTGAATGATGGTAAAAGTGATGATTGACCACAATGATTTCTTATATTATTGATACAAGATAAAAGGATATCATCAAGTGGTTCATCTTGTTGGGTAATGTAATGAATGATAAGTTCAATAGGTGGAAATAAAACAACAATACCACATCCCTTGTTATTACCATATTCCAACAAATTAGGTAATAAACTTTCATCTCTAACAATTCTTGAAATTTGAGTACATGAAATGATAAATTTATCAAATGTCTTGCAATATTCATCGATCGAATTTATAATTACAACTAAATTATTAAAATTAAATTAATTAAAAAATAAATTCTTCTTCTTTTTCTTCTTCTTCTTTTTTTTTAGATTTACATACAATTTGAATGATCTTGATCAACGTTGGAATGAGCCATTTGAGAGAATAATGAAGAATACTTGGTAGATTTAAAAGTTAAGCGAGTAGCAGATACTTGATCATTGATGGCACGACTATCGAGATTAGTTGATTGTCTGGCAAATGAAACTACATTTGGAGTATCAAAACATTGACCAAGTGCAACAGACCAAGAATCATTACTAATAGAGTGTTGGACAAGATGATTGATTGGATGATATCTTTTACGATAGTGAGCAAGACTTGATGATGGATAGATAGTGTTGGTCAAACCTCTTAGAAACTTTTTCACTTGTTTCTTTGTATCCTTGTCAACACGATATAAAAGTTGATCAGTCTCTAAAAATGAACCTAGTAGTTCAGTTGGAATAACCAATTCACCTTGACTATCAAAAGAACAATGTTTGACAAGGAATTCAAATACAACATATTGAAAACCAACTGGCATTGCCAATGGAATAAATCCATTCTTGAATTGATCTTTTCCAAATAAATAAATCATTGAATTAATTGAATTGGTAGTTGAATTGATAGTTGATTGATTGGTAGTTGTTGTAGTTGTGGTAGTAGTGTTGGTTGCCTTTGATGATCTTGAAAATGAAGATGTACGAGCATGTGATCTTTTTGATCTCAACTTGTTAGTTGGTGATGGTGGTGGAGTAATAACAATCGATGGAAGAATAAGAGGATTAAAAGATGAACTAATACCATCAGATGTACGAATAGATGCAGTGGTGGTGGTGGCGGCGGTGGTGGTGCCTGTACCTGACTGTTGAATGATACCAAGTTGAATTTGAATCCAATCCAAAAGTGGTGAGATTCTTTTGACAATTGGATCACTCTTGATAACAATAACATATTTAATATTATTATACCATACAAATAAACCACTTGATCTATTAAATAAATCAATCAATGTTGGTTTACTTGTCCCTTTAAATAAATCTTGAAAATTGAATGTTAAATCATTACCTAAATTTGATAGTTTTGATTCAATATCAAATGATAACATTGGTACTAGAATATAAAAAAAAAAAAAAATAAATAAATAAGTGTATTTGATTCTTTTTTAGATCTCTATTGTATTATATTATTAATATTAATATTTACATTTAAAATTGTTTGTACAATAGATAATATTGGGAAGTGGATCAATGATATAATTTTGAAAGGCATTGTGAGTAATACATGCTTCAAATGACCAATTCTTATTGATTCCCTTTTCCTTGCAAAGTAGATCTAGTAGTGTAGAGTGTTGAATTGATGATGATGAGTTGAAGTTGATATCATCTACACTCTTTTTAGATAATCTATTCAAGATTTCATTAACACTTTGATTGAGTTGCATGTTTGAATTAAGAGACTATTGAAAGTGATTAAACATGGGACGATAGTGTCTGTTTATATTCATATTGCATCCCAGAGGGGGGAATAGAGTCGATGATTGATATTACAAGCGTCGGTCATTGTCAACCATCTCTCGACCGATTAATACCATTGTTGACATGTTTAAACATTAAAAGCGTGATTGTTCTTTATCCCTTGAAATAGAACAATAATAACGAAAAAATAGAAAAGCCAACCCTCCCACCATTCATTGTTTGAAAATTTAATCTTTGATCTTTGTTTAATCTTGAATATTTGATTATTTAGAAGGGGGGCAGCTATACTTGAATAAATAATACTCTACTGATGTTTATATAATGAAGCATGTCAAACAATCATTTCACTTTAAACAAATAATAATAATATTTAATAATGATAGCACAAGGAATAGATCAACAACACTTGAATGCATTAAAAGAAAGTAATGTGTTTAATAATGTGGCAACAGATGCTCAGAGAAAGTATGTTTTACTACACATTGACACCAAATTGTTTGAAAAGTATATCTATTTGAATAGAATCGATGAATATGTTAGAGGTGTCATTGACGAACAAGGTCAAACTCCCATTCCACCAGTAGAAAGAGGTTGGAAAAAGGTTGGCACCGTTAAAGATATCGACTCTGTTATGGAAAAGTATCCAGTCACCAAATACAAGTATGGTAGTTCATACAATACAAAATCAATTGAATCACTTGTCGTATCAACTTGGAATAGAGGTTTAAGAATCACTCACAAGAAACCATATGTAATGGGTGATAATGCTACTGATTTTCAATATGGTTTCGCTGGTTGGTATCGTGGAACTGATGATAACACCAACAAGGACATTTGGTATCATTCATACAATGCTCTCAACTCTTCTGGTCATATGGTAAAAACTTCATCAAATAGTGAATCCTATGGAGATTTATATGTTAAACTATTATAAACCTAGTAAAGAAATATTTATTTAATTAATTTAATAAATTTATGTATAAATGAAACTTTTGATAAAGATGATGATGATGATGATGATGATGAAGATTGTTTCTTTTGATTTGTTGAAGGCTTAATATTATTAAATTGATTAATTAAATTAATATTATTATTTAAATAAAGTGATGATAGAATATTATTATTATTATTATTATTATCTTTAATTGATTGCATTAAAAGGAGTTGAAAGAAATGATCAAAATTATTAATTGATAAATCTAAATAGGTTAATGATCTATTTTTTGATATTCCATTTATCCATTCAATTGATTGTTTTTCATCGAATCCTAAATCATTTGATTTCATTGATAACCACAAAAGAGATGTATTTAGAGTTAACAAATCATATATTAGATTAGAGTCTAGTTTTGATATATTATTTGATTTTAAATCTAAACTTTTTAAGGTTGAATTATTTAATATTAAAGATTGAAATATTCTACCGATTCCTTTTCCGCCATTACCACCACCAAGATTATTTCCTTGTAACTTTAATTCAATCAATGATTTATTATTATCCAACCAAACACCAATCATTGCACCATCTTCTGGTTCCAAACCATTACCAGATAAATCCAAACTAACCAATGAATGATTAAATATTAATTCTTTTGTAAATTCTATACATCCAAAACTATTATTTGAATCTTTTGAAAATGAATAACCAAGATTTAAATGATTGATTGATTTGTTTAAACTTAATATTTTTGCCATCTTTGGTTGTAAATTTGGTTCAAGTTGTGAAAATGAAATATCCAAAGATTTGAATGTCAAATTTGAAACAAGATGATTAATCATTAATTCATCCATTGCATCAATACCAGATGTACACATTGATAACTCTAAAGATTCAAGACCTTCAAAACATCCTTTACCATATACAAGACTGGGTAATAAACTCGAATCAATTGACATTGTTTCAATTAATGATAGATGAGATAATTTACATTGAGCAGATGCTACAATGATTGGAATGATTTGATCTGGTGGTATATTATTCGATCCTGCAATTAAAGTTTTGAGTGAACATGTCTGTCTTTGTTGGCTTTTAAAATACAAATAGTATGATATAAAATAACCATGATGATGTATAAAATTCTCTCCAATATCCAAATATTCCAATGTATTATTCTTTTCCAAATGTTTTAAAAATGGACCAATCTTTAATTGAATTTCATTTCTTGATAGATTAATCCATTTACAAGTACAATTTGTTGACAGTATTAAACCAATCTTTTCAATCAATTCACCACCTAAACTATTACCAGCCAAATTTAAATGTTCAACATTGCTTCCAAATACTATCATTAATTTATCTTGTAATAATTCAGGACCCAACCTATTATCAGATAAATCCAATGACACCAATTGACCAAAATAATCAAAGATTGAATGAAATAATCGATCATCGATGGGATGATTCCAATTTGAAAGTGGTTTAAATTTTAATTTTAATTCTTCCAAATTACATATGATACTATGATTGGAAAGAGTAAAACAATTTAAATCTAAAAATAATCTTTTTAAATGTTTAAACTCTATCATTTCATTATTAATATTAAATGGTTGTTGATCTTTTTTAATCTTTTTAAAACAAAATAAATCAATTCTATTTAAATTTAAATCTGATAAAAAAGAAAAACATTGATGATGATTAAAATCAATCAAAGTAATTGATATTGGTCTTAAAAATGGTAATATCTTTTCATTCCAATCTTTTGATATTAATTTAAATGTTGATAAAAAATTAAAATTTAAAACTTTTAATGTTATTGGTGATTGAAATGATAATAATAAATGATTTAATATTTCTCTATAAATTAAATTATTAAATATCATTTTAGTAATAAATAAAAATAGAATCATAAATAAATATATATAATATAAATAGTATGGTACGTTTGAAATATTTAGGTAATAATAGACAGTAAATCAATCAACCAATCAATCAATCAATCAATCTGGATACGAAAAACGGTCTACCTATCTTGTTTTGGAAGGGGGTAAAATAAAAATAAAAAATCAACCTAAAATAGGAAAAACAGTAGTGTGGTTTGAATTCACAAACAATATAATCATAAAACTACAAAACACTAAATATAGTAGTATCATTGTACTAGTAATACTATTTCTATCTCTATTTATATTTATATTTATATTTATATTTAATAAATTCAAGTTGAATTAATTTATTTTATTATTTAGTCGACTTGTTCCATTTGAGATTCACCGGTGGTTTCTTCCATTGGTGGGAGATCATCAGAGGTGGTGGTAGTTTCATCAGCAACGTTGGAGTCGTCTTGGATAGAGAGACCCAACTTGATCATACGATGAATACGGGTAGCAAAGGAGTTTGGATCTTCGAGGGAGAAACCAGAGGTAAGGAGAGCAGTCTCGTAAAGGAGATAGACAAAGTCCTTGAAAGTCTTTGCCTTTTCGTTGACCTTTTTACGGAGTTCAATGATGATTGGGTGATCTGGGTTGAGTTCGAGGGTCTTTTTGGAGGTCATGTAGGTGGACATGGAGTTATCACGGAGAGCTTGAGCCTTCATGATACGTTCCATGTTGGCAGACCAACCAAATTCAGAGGTGACGAGGACACATGGAGAGGTGACGATACGGTTAGAGAGAACAACCTTTTCGACCTTGTCGCCGAGGACTTCCTTGACTTGCTTGATGAGGTTCTCGTTGGCAGCCTTGTCTTCTTCAGCCTTTTTCTTTTCGTCTTCGGTTTCCTCCAACTTGAGACCTTCCTTGGTGATCGAGACGAGCTTGTGACCGTCGAATTCCTTGAGTTGGGTGACAGAGTATTCGTCGATTGGGTCGACCATGTAGAGGACTTCGAGACCACGCTTCTTGAAGGCTTCCATGAATGGAGAGCTTTCAACAGTCTTGCGGCTTTCACCAGTAATGTAGTAGATTTCCTTTTGACCTTCCTTCATACGGGCAATGTATTCACGGAGAGTGGTCCAGTCGTCACCAGACTTGGAGGTGTTGTAACGGAGGAGTTCGGCCAACTTTTCACGGTTTTGAGCGTCTTCGTGGACACCAAGCTTGAGGTTCTTGGCAAAGGCTTCATAGAACTTCTTGAAATCGTCCTTGTTTTCGGCGATTTCGTTGAACAATTCGAGACACTTCTTGACGAGGTTGTTACGAATGACCTTGAGGATCTTGTTTTGTTGGAGGGTCTCTCTGGAAATGTTGAGTGGGAGATCTTCAGAGTCGACGATACCACGGACAAAGCTCAAGTACTCTGGGATGATTTCTTGACAGTTGTCCATGATAAAGACACGCTTGACGTACAACTTGATGTTGTTGTGCTTCTTCTTGCTTTCAAACATGTCAAATGGAGCACGCTTTGGTACAAAGAGGATAGCCTTGAATTCGAGCTTACCTTCGACAGAGAAGTGCTTGACGGCGAGTGGCTCTTCCCAATCGTTGGAGATGGACTTGTAGAAAGAGTTGTATTCGTCCTTGGTGACTTCAGATGGGTTCTTGGTCCACAATGGCTTGGTCTTGTTGAGGACATCCCATTCCTTGGTGACTTCCTTGATCTTTTTCTTTTCCTTTTCTTCGTCAATCTCTTCGACCTTGGCATCGGTAGATTCCTCAGATGAGGCTTCCTTTTCTTCGTCGACTTCCTTTTCGGTTTCCTTGGTGACGAGGAGCGAGATTGGGTATTGGATGAATTCAGAGTGCTTCTTGACGAGGTTCTTGATCTTTTGTTCGTCCAAAAAGTCCAATTGGTCTTCCTTCATGTGCAAGACAATCTTGGTACCACGACCCAATGGTTCAGAGTGGTCGAGGGCAACGGTGAATTCACCACCAGCAGAGGATTCCCATACGTATTGCTCGTCCAAGTTGTTCTTGGAGTGGACAACAACGTGGTCGGCAACCAAGTAGGCAGAGTAGAAACCAACACCAAATTGACCAATCATGGAAATATCGGCGGCTCCACTTTGTAACTTTTCCATAAAGTTCTTGGTACCGGAACGGGCAATGGTACCGAGATTCTTAATGAGATCAGTCTTGGTCATACCAACACCACTATCGATAAGAGTCAAAGTCTTGTTTTCCTTGTCTGGAATAATCTTAATATCAAGTTCTTTCTTTGATTCTAATACTTCTGGTTCACTTAATGATTCATGACGAATTTTATCTAAAGCCTAAAAAATGAAAAAGAAAATGGAGGAAAAGAAAAGAGAGATTAGATGAGGAAGGAAAAGGTTTTTTTTGTTTTGTTGAACTTACATCAGATGCGTTAGAAATCAATTCTCTCAAGAATACCTCCTTGTTTGAATAGAAGGTATTGATGATTAAACTCATCAACTGATTAATTTCAGCTTGGAATTGGAATCTAAAAAAGATAGGAAGAAGGAAAAAAAAAAAAAAAGAGAAAAAAAAAGTTAGCGACGGAGAAGGAAAAAAAAAAAAAATCGGAAAAGAGATAACTATCAAGAGAGAAGAGGAGATACCCATCTATCTCTATAACTATCTTTATTCCTTCTGTTTGAGAGGATTACTTACTTTTCAACTTCGGCCATTTCTATATTTGTTTGTTTGTTTTATATGTTTGTTTGTATGTACAAAGTAAATGTGAAAGAATATACAATGAAGAGTGGAATGAATATATTTATAATGAAATAGTTTTGTGGTGAGAGGTGAGAGAATGTAAGGAGAGATATATAAATTAATATATAGTTTAACTTTTGTTTGTTTTATTGATAAAAGAACCAATCTATAATAATAAGAGGAGAAAAGCTTACCTTTGACTATTTATAAAGAAAATGATTAACGTCAAAGTCGAGTTCACAAAAAGGTTGCTGTGGTCGTAGAGGGTCTTGCGTGAAATTTAATTTAATTTTTTATCAAATCTCTAATGAAAGAGGGGAATTTCATCTAAAAATCCATGAGATGTGCTTTTCGAACTTCTTAAAATTTTTTAAAAATTTACGTTTTTCTTTCGATCTTAATTTGTTGAGTCTTGTCTTGTTAATTGTTGTTATTAATAATAATAATTCATCATATACATAATGTATTACATACCTCAAAGGTGATAAAAACAATAATAATAGACCTCCTCCTGAGACTCTGTTGATTATAACAATATGATTATTAAAAAGAATTAATTCTTTTTACCAGGATGAGCAACTGACCTCTCTGACGAAAAAAACAACAAATGAAACATTCTTTTTTTTCTTTACTTTTTAATATTTATAAGTATATATAATATGTCAAAATTATTTACAGATGAAGTTGAAGATGGAGATGAAATGACAATGTTGGTATGTCAATGGTTAGAAGAAAGAGGATTTGAACAATCGTTGGAGACATTACAACGAGATAGTGGAAAGACATATAATGCAAGTTGTGTAAAGATGGGTAGTCAATTGACCACCATTTACAATGACTATCTCGATTTACAAGTATCTGCTCAACTCAATGGAATGACAATCGACAATGAATCGGAAATAGATGATGATCTAAAGTTTGCTGCCGACTCTACTGTATCCTACCCACACACTCTTGAAAAGGATCTCACTCATGTTCACTCTCAAAACATCCTTGCTCTTAGATTCGCTGCCATTCAAGAAAGTACTCTTTTAGTATCTGCATCAACTGACAAGACTATCAAAGTTATCGATGCTGCCACCTATGAAGTACTCAATACCTTTGTAGATCTTGCATTGGCTCCTTTTATCTCTCTCGATTTCAACCCAATCCATCCAAACCTTTTATTGGCTAGTTCTGTAGATGGTAGTACCGTTCTCTTGGAGATTAGTAACGATGGTAAAGATGGAAAGGTATTACAACAATTCAAAAACCATGTCAAATATGTTGTACGTGCTAGATGGAGTCCATGTGGAACCAAATTTGCCACTTGCTCTTATGATAAAACTCTTTGTCTCTATACATTATCAAATCAAGATCAATGGCAATTTAATATGATCAAATCATTTGAATTTCAATTTAATTTAGAATCTTTAATTTTTACTCCTGTAAGAAATAGAAAAAACAAATCAAATTAAACAAAAAGTACTTAATTATTTATTTTCTTTTAGGATTCAAAAAAAGTGATTACAGCATGTAGAGAAACCAATTATTTACAATATATTGATACAGAAGATTTCTCAATTGAAAAGTATAATATGAATTCAAATGGTGATGATCATGTTAGTTTTTCTGCCATGGAATTTTCAATTACACCAAATCAAAAATATTTATTGGTATCTACCGATCGTAATCGTCTAATCCTTTTCAAGTTACATAGTGATCAACAACTTCGTAATTTCTATGGTGCTTTTAATGATGAATTTGTTACTACTCGTAATACTTTTAATTTATCTGGTAATTTTGTTTATTCTGTAAGAAATAGAAAAATAGAAAAAAATATATATAAATAGAAAAAAGAAAAGAATATTTTATATTTACCATTTCCATTTTCTATTTTTTACTTTAGACATCACAAGATAATAATATTTATGTTTGGGATATATCAACACAAAAAATTGTATCAAAATTAAAATCACATACATCATCAATTCGTGATCTTACTATTCATCCAACTCTTGGTTGGTTAGCATCATGTTCATTTGATAAAAAGATTTGTCTTTGGAAATAAATTAAAAAGAATTAATTAAATTCTTCTTTTGGATTTATATAAATATAAATATTGGTCATATTCTTCTTCTTCTTCTTCTTCTTTCTTTTACTCTTTTGTGTTTAACAATTTTGTTATTCCTTTTTTTTTTTTATTATTTATGGTAAGTATTTTTGTTTTGTTTTGTTTTTTCCTTTTTGTTTATAATAAAATACAAGTCTTTTTCTTTTTACTGTGAGAAGTTGTTTCTTGAGCATCAGAAGAAGTTGTTTGTTGGGTGGCAAGACGAGACTTTTTAACCTCCCTGACCAATTCGTGAAAAGCTTCGGTAACGTTGATTCTATCCTTTGCGCTAGTCTCTAAAAACTTGCAATTCAACTTTCTAGACAACTCCTCACCGTCTTCGGTGGGCACTTCTCTAAAATCTTTAAGATCACATTTGTTACCAACCAAAACAAATGGAACCGTATCCAAATCTTTAACTTTAAGTAAATGATTATGTAATCTTGGTATTTCTTTAAAACTTTGTGCATATGTAATTGAATAAACACATAAGAATCCTTCTCCTAAAAGAATTAATAAAAAGTAGATTGATTAGTTATCATATGATAATGATGATGATATATAATAATATTATATTATATTGTTTTGTTTTGTTTTGTTTCTTTTTTTTACCTGTACGCATATATTGATCTCTAACAGCACTGAAATCTTCTTGACCTGCAGTATCGTATATATCTAATAGACATTCTTCACCGTCGACGGTAGTTTGTTTACGATAGGAATCTTCAAGTGTTGGATCGTATTCGTCTACAAATCTCTGAGCTATGAATTGAATGGTTAGACATGACTTGCCAACACCACCTGGACCAACTAATACCAATTTAAAGTTGAACATCTTCGCAAAAGGTTTTCTTTGTTTAATAAATAGTAGTTTGTTTTTAAATAATACAGGTTTCTTCTGATTTAGAATTAATTATAAATAATATATAGATATAGATATAGATATGTGTGATTGATATATTAAAGTAAAAAGAGATAAGATATACAAAAAAAAAAAAAGGAAACAAATGTAGATCTAACTAATAAATAAGAATATGATGTGTTGAGTTGAGTTGATGATAATGTTGGTGATACTAAATAATGTTACTACTAATACTACTTTTAAGTTCTATCTATTTTGATGATATATATATATATGTATGAACTGTTATAAATACTCGATGTAAGATGTAAGACAGACAGAGAGAACCTTGGTGGGTGTGAATTAAAATTATTTGTTTTTTTTAAAATAATTGTTTTTTAGGTGGTGGTTAAAGTGAAGATGATGAAGCTATACTACTATTATAATCTTCAAATTAATTAATGTGGTAGAGATAGAAAGAAAGAAAGATAAATAAGAGATAAAGCAAGCAGCTGACCTCTCTGACTACTTGAAAATATCAATCAAACAAACTAATCATAAAAAAAAAAGTACGATGATGGATGGGTGGCAGCGATCGCCTTCTTGATCTTGGATCCATCAAATCAAAAGTTTAGATGGCAGCCAGCCATCCATCCATCCAAAAGCCAACAAGCAGTTGTGTGTACTTATTCTCCTAACCCCTAATTCGCCGATCACGATTTTCTTTTTTGATGGTTCGTCTTTCTTCTTCTTGTTGTTCAACTATAGAGTTCAGAGTTTCATAGAGAGTCTTGTTGAAGATGGAAAGCATCAAGTATTTATTTATTTAGTTAAAGAGAGAGAAATATATATATTTATCTTATTATTTGTTATTCTCTACTCTAGAGTGTCTTCATCCAATGACAGGTGACAGGGTGTAGGGAGTTAGATTTATCTTCTTTCGGTTTGACTGTGGATTGAACCTACTTTGTGGTATGTAGGTAGGAAGATAGGTTGGGGGTCACTCCACCTCATCTCTCTATCGTCGTACTACCCTCATTTTCCTTTAATCAAAGTGATTCATAGTCAATCATTATTATTGATTATTGGGTAGATTATAGGTGCAACGAAAAATATGGGCGATCTTTCTCGAATCAAAGCGAAAATGGCATCAATTTTATTAAAAGTCAGAAAAACTCATGGGGTGATACCTCAACATCATCATTCTAAATATCTTACCTAAAATGGGTTGAACATCATCAGCTCAAGTGTTCTTTTATTTTAAAAAGGTGCACTTTAGCTCTAAACCCAGCGTTAATATTAAGAGATAGATATTCAATACCAGAGACAACAACATACCCTTCTACGTTTTTTTTAAATTGTGATTTTTTTTATTCAGGGTCATTAGTAACACACACCAACCACACTTTAGTTGCTTAAGTTCTTCTTCTTTCTTCATTTCACTCAACGCCACCAACACACTAGACCAGATAATCCTTTATTTATTTATTTATTTATTTATTTGTACGTCAATCAATCATGTCAACGACTACTCAAGCATTACAAGATATCAAAAATGAGAGATCAAAAGCATCATTTCATGTTGAAACAATGACTAATATTATCTATGATCAAGAATCATTAGATACCAAGGTAAAACCTACTACTCAAAGAATCAATATAAAAGTATTAATTATTCTTTTCTTTTCCTTTCTTTTCTTTTTGTTTTTATTTTATTTAGAGAAAAGTAAAAGAAGCTTATTCAAAGGATCCAGTCATTTCAAAACCAGAACAACATTATTTCTTATCAAGAGAAGATCAATTTTCAAGATGTTTGGATGTAGTCTCTAGAGTGATCAATATTAAAAAGAATTTGGGTTTGGTCAATACACCAGGTCTGGAATTCCATAGAGAACTTGGTCATGTAAGTCAGAGAGAGAGAGAGAGAGAACTTGGTCATATGATTTGTTAATTTTTATTTATTTTTTTAGGAAATGCCATTATTATTACATGATGTTGTATTTGCTGGATGTATCAAATCATTGGCATCAGATGAACAATTAAAAGAATGGTTACCAAAGATTTTAAACTATCAATGGATTGGTTCTTATTCTCAAACTGAATTGGGCCATGGTTCAAATGTTGCTAGTCTTGAAACTACTATTCATTATATTGTAAGAGAAAGAAAAAGAATATATATATATATATCATATGATACTTATCAATTTATTCTCTTTATATTTTTAATTTTATTTAGGAAGAAACAGATGAATTTGAAATTAATTCACCAAGTTTAACATCAACAAAATGGTGGATTGGAGCACTTGGTAAGATTTCAACTCATACCATTGTTTTTGGTCAATTGTGGTTAAAGGAAAAAGCAACTGGCGAGTTGAAAAACTATGGTGTTCATCCAGTATTGGTCCAAATCCGTTCATTGGATGATCATATTCCATTAAAAGGAGTAGAAGTTGGTGATATTGGTCCCAAATTTGGGTTTAATATGGTTGACAATGGTTATCTTAGACTTGATAAATTTAAAGTACCAAGATCAAATTTATTATCAAGATTCTTTCAAGTTACAAGACAAGGTCATTATATTGGTAAGAACCTTTATATAATATTGTTTTTTCTTAATATTAATATACTTTTTTTTTTTAATTTTCTTTCTTAGCACCACCACATCCAAGATTAGTTTATGCAGGAATGGTAGGAGTAAGAGCACATTTAATTGAAGATTCATTTACACAAATGGCCAAAGCAATTACCATTGCCACTAGATATTCAATTGTTAGAAGACAATTCAAGACCAATTCTATTATTGAGAATATGGTATTAAACTATGGTAGTCAACAGATGCGTATATTCCCATCGATTGCTGCAACCTATGCTTTTGCTTTTATGGGCAAGAGATTGTACCAATCCCATGTCGCCATGATGACTGCCATCAAAAAGAATCATGATGTTTCACGTCTCTCTGAACTCCATTCACTGTCTTCTGGTCTAAAGTCTCTCTGTACCACCATTGCTTGTAAAGCAATCGATGATTGTAGATTGGCTTGTGGTGGTCACGGGTATTCAAACCTTAGTGGTTTACCAACTCTATATGCTGGTTATGCTCATGTTCTAACTGCCGAAGGAGAGAATAATATTCTACCACAACAAACTGCTAGATACCTATTAAAAGTATTTAAAGATGTTTTATTGTCTGGTCAAACCAAAGTAGGAGAGACTGTACAATATTTGGTCAATGAAAGTAATGATCAATCACATGCTACTTTGGAACAATTCCTTGGTCTTCCCGTAGGTCAATTTGCAACTGGTCAAACATTGTTAAAACCAGAAGTATTGTTAAAGTTGTATACTCAACGTTCATTCTCTGAATTGGCTCGTTTAGCATTCCTCCTTCAAGATGCTACTGCCAATGGAGATGATTTGGCTCAAACCTGGACCGAACTCAATACCGATTGTATCCGTGTTAGTCATGCCTATTGCCAGGTATATATCCTATCTAGTTTCTTTGACGAAATCAATCGTCTACCAACTTCACCATCCAAGGATGTCCTTGTCAAACTTGCACAACTCTATGCTCTTGTTCAACTCGAAACTAGTGCCGGTGATTTCCTTCGTTCTGGCTTTTTATTGCCAAAACATATTGATACCATCCGTGGTCTCATTCCCTATCTCCTTCGTCAACTTAGACCAGATGCTCTTCCATTGGTTGAAGCATTCGAAGTAAGTGATCTCGCTCTTGCCAGTGCTATTGGTCGTTCCGACGGTAAAGCTTACGAAACCTTATTTAATTTGGTTAAATCCCAACCATTCAATCAACCCAAAGTAGTTGATGGTTTTAATCAATATTTACAACCAATCATTAAATCAAAACTTTAAAAAAAAAGAAAAAGAAAAAGAAAAGAAACTACTACAAGTCACGTCACCTACTACTAAATCCATTGTTTGATTGGATTGATGATGGGGTTGGGCAATGTTCATAATTTATCCGTCACGTGATAAATAAAATTCAAATAAAAGTTTTTTTGTTGCTCAAAATTTGCATAAAATGAAACAAGTATTGTTTGTATTTTCATTGTTCAAATATATATTTAAATAACTATTAAAAATAGAATAGAGAGAGAAAGAGAGAGAGATGTCTTTATTAAAGAATGCAATTGTATTTGGTATTGGTGCTGTTTCAGGTAAATGAAATGATATGATTACATGCATCAACTGAAAGAGTTGATGATGATGAAGTTCAACGATTTTAATTTACGATTCTTTGTACTTGTAGGAATTTACACTGCACAAAACTATGATGTACCAAATCTAACAAAGACATTTGACAAGACTATTGATCAAATCAAAGATTTAGTTGGAAGTAAAAAGGATTAAAAACTAAACAAACAAGCAATCAACAACAATAGTCAAACAATCATTATTATCTGTTGATCGATTAATAATAATAAAAAGAACAAATTTGTAAATACATCAATATAATATTAATATTATAGAGTTAGTTTGTTAGAGAGATTAAAAAACATTATAAATAATCAATTTATTTTTGTTTGTTTGTTGTGTGATTGAGGAGGGATATAGATATAGATATAGATAGATAGAAGGGATCGTTCCTTCCTTTCTTAATTTCTTTTCCCTTCATTCCTTAATTTCTTTCTCTTTTTCTGTTTTAATTGACAGATTTTTGAGAACCACCGTTGATACGATTATTAAGTTTACTATTACGAATACCATAGGCAAAGTAGATGATAGAACCAACAACTGTCCAAATAATGACACGATAGAATGATTCAGTATCGAGATGCATAATGAAATAAGTGTTGACAATGATACCAAGACATGGTAGGACTGGACTGAGTGGACACTTGAAAGTGGTTGGAACGGTCAATTGACGTCTCAACGAGAGTGCAACCATAACGGCAATCATTGGTACAGAGAAACCAACTTGGTATCCCCAGTTCCAACTATTAGCACTACTAACACCAAACAAGCAAGCAAATACAAACAATACAAATAATAAAATTGGTGATTTTAATCTATATTCTTCATTTCCTTGTTCATCCTAAAAAAAATAAATAAAAATAAATAATTAGAATATCTTTTTTTTGTTTCTTTTTTTTTTATCTTTTCCTTTCTTTCTTTCTTACACTTAAACGAACAACGACAACTCCAGCACAAACAACTGTAAAGGCTAAAAGAGTACCAATAGAAATCATATTGGTCAATTGATCGAGATTAAGGAGGATAGCCAAGACACTGGCAAAGGCACCGGTAAAGATGGTTCCAAAAACTGGGACTTGGGTCTTTTTGTTGACAGAGGCGAATTGTTGGAAAAACAAACCATCCTTTGCCATTTGAAGATAGATACGTGGTTGACCCAAAAGTGAACAAAGAGTAGAGGCAGTCAAAGATGTCAATGTACCAATAACCAAAACAAAAGCTACCCATTTCAAATGTGGGTGATTAGTTGCCAATGAAAGGAATGCATCTGATAATGGTGAATCATGACTAACATCCTAAATAAAAGAAACAAAAATAATTAATATATAGTATAGTTTTTTTGTTTTTTTTTTACTTTTACATACTAAATATTTAATCATACCAGACAAGACAATTGTAACACCAACATAGAGAACAGTGGCAATACCAAGAGTGGCAACGATACCAACTGGAAGATCACGTTTTGGATTTTTAACTTCACCGGATAGAGTGGTGACCGAATCAAAACCAACGTAGGAGAAAAAGATACGTGAACAACCTTGGAAAACACCATTCATACCATATGGAAGGAATGGGTTGAGGTTAGAGATATCAACGTAAAAGGCACCAAAGATGATGAAAAAGAGAATGGTGGTAATGTTGAGAATGGTGATGGAGAGATTGAAACGAGCCGAATCTTTGACACCAAATACAAGAATACCGGTACAGATGATAATGATGACGGGCGAGAGTGGAGCAATGCTAAAGTAGTCATTGAGATTGTATCCAGTCACCCATTCTGGGGTGGCCTTGTTAAAGATCTTAAAGAACTCGGAAAAGTAACCAGACCATCCACGAGCGACGGCCGAGGCAGAGATGGCATACTCGAGTGTAAGATTCCATCCGATAAACCAACCTGCATACTCTCCCAATGCCACATAGGCAAATGTATAGGCAGAGCCAGATAATGGAATACGTGCAGCAAATTCGGAATAACAAAAGGCAGAGATCAAACAGGCAATCGCCGAAAAGATGAATGACAATGCTGTACCGGGACCAGAGAATCCTGAAATCGCAATACCAATCGATACAAACACACCTGCTCCGACTGTACTACCAACACCATAAGATATAATATCGACAATCGTCAAACATTTATCCAACTCTGTATCTTCGTCCAAGTTGACCGGGTACTTTCTAACCAACGATTTATATGAATAAACACTTTCCTTCTTTTCTTCTGTATTTATCAATGGTGTTGTATCACCACGATATCTAATATCATTTTCTGTTACCATAGTTGTATTAAGTATAGTAGTAGTAGTAAAAGTATTGTTAAAGTATTTGTTGTAATGTTATATAGTCTAAAGAGATTCTAATTGATATATATATATATATAATATAATAATGATAATATGTGTATTGAGTTGATTGTAGCGTTAAAAACATATAAATATAAATATATATATAAAGAAGAAAAGAAGAGAGAGAGATAAAAAAAAGTGTTTAAATGATTGATGTGGGATTGTGAGAGTGAATTGTTTGAATTGTGTGAAGGTTTTGTTTTTTTATCTTTGTTGAAACTAACTGATTAATAATAAAATTTTCTTCTCGATTCCTTCGTTTTAAAAACATCGTCGCTTCTGCCTCTAAAGCCGAAAAATCCAATGAACATTAAAGGTGGATATTTTTTAAAGACGGGAACCACTCGAGAATAGGACTTTCGATCAAATTAAGGCGGAGGTGGCATGATTTAGAGAAGTTGAACTTATCTCTCGAATATGAATCGACGTCATCCTACTATAATTGAGAAAAACAAGATAACTAGGTTAAAATATTATCTCTTTTAGTAAAAGATATCTAAATTAAACTCTTGATCTTTTGGCAAATGAGAGTCAAGCCTGGTTAAAACCCATGGTGTTTCCGAGCTAAAGTGTCTAATCCCTACTTTTAAGTTTCTCGATTAGTTAGCAATATTGCTCTTGAGGCTTAATTATTTTTGGTAAAAACAATCTCACTCTATGATCTTCTCCTTAAGAGATCAACGAGGAATAAATATCTTTCTTTTATTTGTAAGCTATTCTTCATTGTCAACTTGTTCATTGATATCCATTCCCATATTTCATCACTAACCATTCCCTTTTCTTTAACTGTAATTAATATTATTTTATCTTCTTCTCTTGTCCATTTTAATATTTCTATAGACGTTTGTGATTGTGATTGAATATTATTCAGATTATTATTATTTTCTAAATGTTGAATATTATTATTATTATTATTATTATTATTATTATTATTATTATTATTATCATTTATATCTGGATTAGTATTAATTATATTATGATTTTCTTGATGAATATAATGATCTTCTTCTTCTTCTTGATAATTATTTTGATTTTGATTTTGATTTTGACTTTGATTTTCTTGATTCATTTCAATATCAAATGAATCATCATCATCAAAGGAATCATCATCTTCATCCATTTCATCTTCATCCATTTCGTCATCCATATCATCCATATCATCCATTTCATTATTTGATTTTTGTTTTACCGTATCATTATCATCAATTGATAATAAATTTCTATTAAAAGATTGTTTAAATCGATTTAATCTTTTAACAGGTTTTGGTTTTGTTTGAGCCAAAAGAATAGCTTTTTCTTTTGTTTGTTTTCTTGTCCATTTGTCAAAAAATTGTTTGATGGTGATGGGAGTTTTGCCAGGCAACTTTTTAGCAATTCTATCCCAATCTTGACCATATTTTGTAACTCCTTTTAGCACCAAATCCATATCCTCTTGACTCAATCTTGATCTAATTGAATATTCCTTCAAGATATTATCGACAGAAGAGGCAGTAGTTCTATTTTTAAAACGATGAATGATTTGACCAATTGATTTTGTAGGTAATAGGTTTGTCTTGATTCTAGTCCAATCGTATCCATACGTTTCAAGACCAAACTTTAATAATAAATCTTCACTTGGTGTAAATTTCAATTTGTTTAGGTTACGAAATTTAAAATTGAGTTCTGCATTGAAAAAGTCGGCAAAGATATTCATAATGACAGCCATTGATTCTTCGCGTGGATGTTTATCTTCTTGGAGTAATTCGTCAATGTATGGATGCAACTTTAAGCATTCATCGTCAAAGTAGGGTGAAGAGATTTGATTTCGTCGACTATTTGATCGTGTAATAATCTTTGATGGTGATTCAATGTGTTGAATCAACATTTGAGAAAGATAATTCTTGTCTATATGTTTTTTGTACTGAAAGTAAATATCATCCAATAACTTTTTACAAAATTCCATAAATGGTGGATATGGATTAAATACTGGTTCTTCATCTTTTCTTCTAGGGAATGATTGTAGGTCTTGTTGTTGTTGGTCTTGTTGTTGATCATCTTCTTCTAAAAGTCTCATTACTTCATCTCCAGCTAATCTAGTTTTTGGTGGTTTTGGTTCTTTTCTTTGTCTTTTGTGAGCATTGTTTGCTCTTCTTTCTTTGGTTTTACGATGTTTTTCATTCTTGTCTTCCAATTTTTGGCCCTCAACACGCATCCTAAGTAATACTTGAAGAAGGAGTTGATAATGTGAAGATAATTGTTGTTTTACGATGGTTATTTGTTCTTCATCTATAAACAATTGAACCATATTTTGTTGTTTGATTGGACTTGAAAATGTTGTTGAAAATAAATCAAGTTGTTGATTAAAATCGATAATATTATTATTATTATTAAAGTTTGAAAAGTTATTATTATTATTATTATTATAGTCGTCGTCATTATTTGTATCAAAACCGCCGTTGTCATACATTGACTCATAGTTAGTATTAAAGTTATTATTATTATTATTTACAAAGTTTTCATTATTATCATCTAAACTTCCAAAGTTTAGTTGTTGAGTAGAATTGGTAGTAGAAGTGGTAGAAGTAGTTGTTGTTGTTGTAGTCGTAGAAGTTGGTAAAAATGAATCAAATATACTATCACTAGTTTCAATTTGAAATGGTTGTCCAAAATCTGTAACCATTTGATTATTATTATTATTATTTGGTGATAGTTTTTTTGTTGGCGTTGTTATATGTGAGATATTTGGTGTCACCATATTTGAAGTAAAGGTAGTCGCAGTAGAAGAAGAAGTAGAAGTTGGAGTGAATGGTAATTGTTGTGGTAAAGGTGGTGGTGGAGATGATAATAGTGCATTCAAATCGGGAAAAGATAAACCATTAAAGTTTAAGTTTCCGTTACCAAATAAATTTAAATTTAAAGGAGTAGATGGAGGGAAAAGTGGTAACTTTGAGAATGAAAAGGGGCTAGGTGGAATTAAAAAAGATTGAATTGAGGATCCTGGTGTCAATGGTGGCATCAATGGAAGAGTTTGTTGCTGATTTTTACTTGGTGTTGATAATACTCTCATAATTTCATTATTATCACTATCCTTTGCTTCATTTTCCATAAAATCTGCTATTAATGCTTCAATTTCATCTATAGAAACAAAAAAATGTTAGAAAAAAAAAGGTAATAGATAATATTCTATCTATCTGTCATCATACTTGGTTGTTGATCAAGAAAAGTTTTATCACGATCTTCATCATCATCATCTTCTTCTTCATCATCTTCTGGTATATAATCTTCATCATCTTCATCATCATCGTGTGGTAGTGGTAATGGAGGTGGGGGACTAGGTGGTAGCATTGGTAAAACACTGTTTGCACTTGTTCCATTGATCAATGAATCTTGACCATTCAAACCCATTAAAAACTTTCTATATTCTTCATTTCCACCATCTATACTCATTTCTATATCACTTGTAGTTGTATTATGACCATCCATTATATCAAATGGTAAATTATTTTCAAAATATTCTAAAAAAAATAAATAAAAATAAAATTAACATAAATATTTAGTATTTAATATTTAATATTTAATATTTAATATATTTACCATCTAATTGATCAAAATCTAAATGTTCTAAATTAAAGTGAGATCTAGTTCTATGTGATGGTCGATGATTTGAATTGACCAATTGATCAATATCTAATATTACTTTGGGTGGTGATGATTCTTTGTTTGGTAGTAGAGATGGTTGTGATGGTTGTGATTGAGATGATGATTGTTGATTGTTCATTAATTGTAATGCTTGATACCCAGTATCAAACATTGAAAATCCATTATATGGTGAGAAAAAGGATGACATGCTTCCATTACTATTATGTAAACTTCCACCACCATTTCTTGGTGGACTATCAAATAATCCATTTGGTATATTTGTCATTGTTGTAGTAGTTGTAGTAGAAGTAATAGGTAAATCTTGATCACTTTGACTGTTTTCTATTATCTCTTCTTCTTCTTCTTCTTCTTCTTCTTCCTCATCCTCTTCATCTTCATCTTCATCTTCTTCCTCTTCTTGTTCTTCTTTATCAATTTCATCTTGTTGGTTATCAATTTGACTATCTTGAGTTTGATGAAAACTATTATCTTCAATATTCATTGATGAATTTGCACTTGGTAAGTGTTGTACAGGTGATGGTAACGATGCAGAGTCTCGAATATTACATGAAGTTGAACCGGTAGAAATATCCATACTATTCAATTCAATTGAATTATCAACTACTTCTTGTGATTGCAAATGATGATTGTCGTTTTTTACTTGAGCTGCTTCATCAACCTGACTACCATTATTATCATCTTCAACAATAATAACTTGATTATTATTATTATTAATTGGACCATTACCATTCCTTTTCGAGGTTAAAACATTATTATGATTGGTTGTTTTCGTCATCACCATAACATTATCGTCATCATCTATAGTTATAGTTTGTTTTGATGATTGTTGTTGTTGTTGTGTTGATGTAGTCGATGTCGTAGTAGTCGCAGTAGAAGTATTTATATTTGACAAGAATTCTGATATATTACCTAACTTTGAGTTGAATAAATTATTATTGGCTTGTTGTAATTGTTGTTGTTGTTGTTGTTGTTGTTGTTGTTGTTGTTGTTGTTGTTGTTGTAATTGTTGTTGTTGCCTTTGTTGTTGTTGTTGATTTCTTTGTTGATTATTATTATTCTTATTTTGAATAAAAGGATATTTCCCATTCTTTAAAGATTGCTGCAATAGTTGCAGTTGTTGTGCAAATGCCGACATTGTTTAAAGTGTTGTATATATATAGTAATAGATAGAAAAGAGGGGGAGGGTGTTGTGATGATTCTACTATATTAGGTTCTGCAGACACAGTGCATTGTAAACATGGTATACCAAACTGCACAATGCAATCTATCTATTACAATAGCCGTATTCGTCGTCAATGTAGTATTTGTTGTTATAATGTTTAAATGATATACAAAGTATGTATTTATGTCTATCTATCTATCAATCTGTTTGTTGTTTGTTTGTAGTGTGGTAATAAAAGAAGAAGAAGAAGAAGAAAGTGCGTGTTGTTTGATGAATGATTAGGAAATCTCAAACTTTCAAACATTAAAATGTATATTCCCTCCAAAAAAAAAAAAATCAAAGTCATTAAATATTTATTAATTTAATTAATATATATATATATTTATTCAATCTCTCTAGAGGTTAGATCTTTCTAACAACTACCAAGTATAAAAGTTATATTGGTTACTATAAATATTGTCGGTTGTTGGTTTAAACCTTGAAATAGTACTATCATCTGATGATGATGATGATGATGATGAATTTAGTAGAAATATTGGTAAAGGTGATAGTTTACATGTTGTATTTGTATCTTTATCTAATTGATCCAAGTCTTTTCCACAATATAATATTCTATTTTGTTGATCGATAAATAAAGAATTATAGGTTGAAGTTGATATTGATTTAATGATTAAATCTAGGTCTGATAAAGAGTCGATAAGTGTAGGTGTAGGGCAACTATCGTTGTCTCCATGACCCAATTGACCATACTCATTCCATCCAAAACTATATACATGTCCTTGATCGGTCAACACTAAACTGTGCCATGCCGAACATGAAACATCGACTATATTACATTCATCCAATGTCACCAACATTGATGGTGAGTGTATATTATTTGTATTACCATGTCCAAGTTGATGATACAAACCAAATCCAAAACTATATACTTTTCCCTTGGAATCTAATAATAGATTATGAAAATCTCCACTACTTGATAGGATAATATTATCTATACCCTCTACCTTTTTGATAACATTGACCGCTGATGAATGGTTTGATTGTTCAATATTGATCAATTGACCACTTTGACCAAATTTATTATCACCACATGCATAAACATGTCCATGTTGCTTCTCGATAAATATTGAATGATTCCTTCCACATGACAAATATGCAATTTCAATTGATTGATTAATAAACCAATCAATTGATATTGGCAGTATTGGTAGTATTGCAGTTGAGGATCTAAATGATTCAATACCACTTATACATTTATCAATACCCAATTGATTATGATTATTTGATCCATAAATAAATACTTTTCCTTTTTCTAAGAGAAACAAACAAAATGATAAGTACTACTAGTAATTTGTGAATCTAACATAAAGTTGTGTGTCAATTAACATACCATCTAAATATAATAAATGATTGTAACCAGATGCAACAAGTATAACCTTTGATTGTGAATGAGTGAATCTAAGACACTTTGATCCTTTCAACAATGATGTTCTAGTATCAATATGAAGAGTACCATCATCATCATCATCATCATCATCATCACCACTGTCACACAATAAAGCAATAGAATCACAAGTAGTTCTTAATAATCTTAATTTAAAATCTATTTCCTTTTTATAAATATGTTGTGGTTGTTGTTGTTGTTGTTGTTGATCAATATTTAAAAGATTAAATGTATTATCTCCATACTGATAAATTATTGTTTTAATAGTAGTCATTGTTGTGTGATGGTCGCCATCAATCTTGTTTGGGTACCCAATCTCATTCTCTTAATTTGACAGATTTTTTCAAAACTTTAAGTTTTTTTTTTAGGCACCATCCATCACAGTCAACTGCAAACCCTCATCCACAAGTTATTTTATCTTTTGTTTGATAGATAGATAGAGATAACTCCCTACCTACCTATTTATTTATTTATTATCTATTGTAACAAAATCAACTATATATATTTAACAATCAAAGTAGTAATACATATCATATCATTGTCATAGTTAGTAGTAGTTTAAAGCTTTAAACTTTTAAGTCCATTTTAATCATCATGGGTATCCAATCCTTATCAGATCAAGAGAGGGGTCAATTGAATATACTCCACGGTAATGGTGATGTATTGACATCATCTGTTGCTAGATTATACGAGGGAAAGAATAATGTATGGGAATACACTGGTGTCGTTGGTGCTCTCTCTCTTATCTCTCAACGTATCGAAAAATCATTCTACATTAAAATTGTAGATTTAAAGGTAAACATAGATAAATATAAATATAATCAATCATCATAATCATTTAATATCATAATTATTAATTTCTTTTCTTTTCTTTTTACTCTTTTTGTTTTGTAGAATACTAGAACTGTATTTGAACAAGAATTGTATGATGGATTTGATTATCAAAAGTCAAGAGACTTTTTCCATACTTTTGAAGGTGACAATGCTGTCTATGGTTTGTCATTTGCTGAAGTTAGTGAAGCACATGAATTCCACAGTGTCATGATGAACATTAAGAGTGGTGGTACTGGAAGAGCCCCTGCTCCAACTTCATCTTCATCTTCAAGTCTCAATGTTAGTATGTTATCAAACATATAGTATTATTTATTTATTATTTGTTATTATAATTTATCTAACATCTACCTATTTAATTTTGCTTTCCTAGGTAAATCAACACCAGCAGCAACCAAACCAAAAGAAAAGAAAAAAAAGAAAGGTTTCTTGTCATCATTATTGGGAGGTGAAGAAGAGGTAGAGATGGATATTTCAAGTCCAACTGGCTTTGAACATAGAAGTCATATTGGTTGGAACCCAGAACAAGGTTTCGAAATTAGAAATATTCCACCCGACTGGAGAAAGTTGTTCCAGTCTGCCGGTATCACTAAAAAGGAACTCAAGAATGCCGAGACTGCTCAATTCATTGTCAATATCATTGGTGAGAGTTTGGCATCTGCCGGTGGCGCTCCACCTCCACCTCCATCACGTGGACCAGCTCCACCAAGCGGTGGCGGAGGTCGTTCAGCACCACCCCCACCCCCACCACCAGGTGGAAGCAGAGCTACTGCTGCCCCACCCCCACCTCCACCACATTCGACTGGCGGTGGTCCTCCACCTCCTCCACCTCCAATGAAGTCTGGAGGCGGTCCACCACCACCACCTCCTCCTCCAGCACCAGGTGCACCACCCCCACCTCCAGCTCCAGGAGTCGCCCCTAGTGGCGGAGGCGGCGGTGGCGGCGGCGGCGGTGCTGCTCCAGGAGGCAGATTCGATTTACTTGCTTCTATTCGTGAAGGTACCTCTCTTAAAAAGGTCGATGCCTCTCAACCACTCCCAGAACTCAACAATCTCGGTGACGTTGGTAATCGTTCACTCTGTGATACTTTGGCTGCTGCCATGGCTCATCGTAGAGGTAACATGAGAGAAGATGAAGATGATGAAGATGATGATGATGATGATTGGTCCGACTATTAAAACCAAAAAAAAAAAACAATCAAATCAGATCAAATATTCTTATTGTATTAATATAAAATAAATAAATTGTTTTGTTTTTTAATATTACAAATAAGTTAATTTATTATTTATTTATGATTGTTTGTTTGTTTAATATTTATATTTATATTTATATTTATATTTGTTTTAGAGAGATAATACTTCAGATTTAAATTTAGGGAAGAAAGATTCTAATTTTTCATGTAGACCTCTTAATTCTTCTGGACAACGTTGACTGTGAATATAGAGACCACGTTCCAAGATTTCTACTTGATTCTTGAGAGCTGATGATAGTTTTGGAATAAATGGTTTGGAGATGGCATCGAGGACATCTTGTTTCTCAAAGAATGCTTCCTTGTAGAGTGATACACCACCATTGACGGCGGCATCGATACTGCCATTAAGTGCCATGGCAAGTGGGTTGAGATTGAGTTGTGGATTGGCCAGATACTTTTTGACCATCTCTGCGAGTTCTTCGTTTTTGAGATCGACACTATTGACGGCATTTTCAATGGGTGTGAGTTCGGTCTGCTCCTTTTTAATGACTTCTGCACGACGGTGAATAGTTGGGAATGAAGAGTCGGCAATAAGGAAATGATTACGAATCCATAGATCGGCAAACTTGTTGTTTGGATTGGATGGTGAGGCAGCTGACTTTTTCTCAAATGCCTTGCTGTAAAGGAAAACATTGACATCGTTACGACGGTGGTAGGCTCGACTGTTTGATGGTGTTCCTTCTGTGACATGTTTGACTCTTTTATGGATCTCTTCAGTGGACGATGGATTGACAATTGTGATGAGTAGGTACTGTGCATCTGCGTTGAGAATGTCGGCTGATGGCTCGCCAGTCGTCTTTAACAACTCGGCGTTGGGGAATTTGGCCAAGATACGTGTGGTAAAGTCTGCGAGACGTTCGAGCTCGAACCCACGGTACAAGAACTCCTTGCCTTGGATTGTTTGGGGGAACTTGCGACCATAGTAACCTACTCTAAAGTACTCGGCAAAGAACCGTTCTGTAGAGACTATCTTGTCGTAGAGGTCGGCCTGTTGGTTGGCAACATCTGCCAGTCCTCTGAAATTGTATGTCGCATCATAGTATGCTGATAGTTCCTGTAGTAGGGTGATACACTTTTCCCATACCTGTCCCTTGTCGAGGTATTGAATGGCCATCTTGACCAAACGTTCCTTTCGACTATGTGCAGGTTCGGCTGGCAGAGTGATAGGGGCAGGTTGGTCAGGTGTGGTAAATGTGAATGCTCCAACAGATGCTTGCTGTTCTTCATCAACATCCCATGAATACAAATCGGCATGCAACAAGAATGTGAAACCAGCTTCTGTAAAGTATCCACTATTGATGTGTTGACTGAGTAACTCGTGTACATATTTAATGTATGTATCTTTTCTATCTTTAAAGTATTCCATCATCTTTAGTGTAGCAATTGTACGTTCTTCTTCAAATGCACGATCCATTGGTAATGTTCTAAAGTCAAACAATAACGACAATAGTTGTAACAAATTACCAATAAATGCCTTGCCCTCTCTCTTGTATTGTGCATCACCATGTTCTTCACCAGCACTCGAAAAGAATGGGTCTAGACGTTGGTTCAAAAAGCGTCTAAAGATTTGTTCGTCAGTCCAACGCTCACGAATGATGATCTTGTCCAATATTTCAATTGCTTTACTCTCTACACGTTTAAACGAACGTTTTTCTTGATGATCCTTTTTCATGACTGCAAAGAACAAGTCTTGACACATTTCATCCACTTCGGCAAATCCATTGAGTAATGATGCCAACAATAATTGTACCATGTGTGTTAGGAACTGACTCGAAGCACCAATACTAGTATTCCAAAGCTCGCGAACCGATTTTACCATACGAACACGAATATCCAAGAGAATGGGTTGTAAAGGTGCCAATCTATGTGCACGGTAACGATTACTACGCATCAAATGAGTTGTAAAGAAATTGAAATGTAATGCAATAAATGATAACCAATTTTCATTATTTTCTTGTCCAATCGGAGTATTTCCTTTGACAAAGGCAGGTGAAAGCAATGTCAACAATCTAAATGTAATTTTGTGATGGAACAATTGCATGGTTGGGAATCTATAGTGATAGACACCACGTGCCAATAAAGTGTCGAGTAATCTCAAAATCTTTTTGAGGAATAGCTTTGAATCTGATCCAACACTAACATCGATCAAATACTTGTTGGTAAGGTTAAATACAACCATATAGTGAAGCATTGATAAGAGACAAGTGACCAAAAAGGTAGTGTCATAGTTGAAAGGAGCGTCTTGACGCCAATTGGCCATTTGATTGGCTGCAGAGTTGTTGTGAGAATGGTGTGCTTGATCGTTTACCAAAAATTGATCAACCAATCCCAATACCTTGGTAAATACAGTCATGATGACATTAAAGTACTTCTTTTTCAAATCTACACTGTCAAGTGTTTCGAGTGATTCCAATGCCAATGACAATAACTGAGTTGAAAGTTTTAGTTCTTCACCCTTTGTAAGATGTTGATCAGTGATGGCCATGAGTGTTGGTAAAAGATGTTCTACAGTCTCTTGATCAATAGCCAAATGAGCAGATAGGATCTGATAAAATACAGACAACTTGTGAGTGTTTAGATGCTCTTGTTTCTCGTTGTAATGTACCGATTCGATAAACTCGCAGAGTACCTTGCACAATGTCACCTTGTCCAAAAAGTAAGATAAACCTTTCATCATTGATGCAAAGTTACGTAATGCCAATGTCTGTACTACAATGAGTAAAGGTGAATTACTTGCCATCAACTTGTTAAGTTGAGACAAAAACTCGCTAATATCCTTGTACCATTCTGAATCGTTGATAGAGTTGAGTTGCAAACCAGGCATACTACTCTTACTCTGTTGTTGTTTATAGACTAGACGAGACTTTGTAATCAACTGGAACATATAATCTAAACTTTTGAGAGTTGGTGAAATCTTGGCACTCTCCTTGGCCGAGATATCCTTCATATGATAGGCCAAACAATTGAGCAGATGTTTATGAGTCAGAGCACCAGAAAACTTGGTTTCAATGTATTGATCAAGATCGACCTTGAAGTTTCTATATCTTGCCATACGTTCATCTGTCAACAATCCAATAATAAATACGATTGTATTGTAAACGAGTAATGACATTGGTTCGACGGTAAACAAACTACCAGCAGTACTAGACTCGTAAATTTGGAACAATGAATCGACGATACCAGACAAATTACGCATAATCAACAGAGGTTCTACAAACTTGAATTTATCCAAAATATGTTGTAAATCCTTTTCATGTTGTTTCCAATTCAACAGTTGATGAATACTTGGGTGTTGAATAAACTTGGTTGTATGGAATGTTGATTTAATCTTTAGAGACTCTCCCTTTTTAATTGAGAATTTGCCAGTGTTGGCAGACGACAATTGTGGAGACGACGATGGCGACGAATGATCAATCTTTTGAGATTGGTTGAGTGGAGGTGACATTTGTTGACTAATATTCAGTGTTGACATACCAGTCGACCCACTACTTAAAAGTGGTGGTGACGACGTACCAGTTGTACTACTAATACTAGAATTGATAACCGATGGAATATTCTCTGTCAAATAGTTGATTGGAACATCTGCAGACGATGCCTTGTAAATTAACAAGTTATGATCAGCATTTTGAATAGCAACTGAAGAATCGGTTGAACCAAGACGCATAAATGCAAAACCAATGATATTAGTTTTACTCTGCTTACTACTAGCACTCTTGATAGTAAACAATAAATGACAATTTAAAAACTTGTCTTCTGGTATTTGGAATTGAAGGTATTCGTTCCAAGTGGGAGTCAAACTATTGTGACAGACAAACGATTTAATCTCTGATGCCCAAAACTCCTTTCCTCCAAGTGATATGCAATTGTGGAGGAACTCTCCACTATCATTCATACGTACACGTACCGACACCTCAACCTTTTTATCGGCCGTAAACTTTCCACTGTCCAATGAAATATAGAGATGATGTTTCTTTTCATTCTTTACTACCTTGTGTTCCATCTTTTCAATTGTCTGTGCCTTGGCCAATTGTTGATACTTTTCCAAACATTTTTCATAACTCATATCATAAAAACTACATGCTATCGGTAATATAGCTGTTGGCATTCCTTTTGGTATTGATTCAACTCCATGTTTTTTTAATTCTTCTTCATTATTAAATTTTAATACATCTAAATGAAAAAATAAATAAATGTTAATATATATATATTTAAATCATTTTAGACCCTTCTCTTTTACTTACTTTCAGGAATTAAATTAAAATTTAAATCATTTGAAGAATAGAAATAAAGATTTGAATCCTTTTCGGTGGCAATTTGAGTTTCAGAGAATGCAGAGATTAATTTAATGCAGGCATAGCCAAATGGACGACGAAGGTCGGTTGATGAACCCTTTTTGATTGGGGTAGTGTCTGCATGATCCTTCATGGTACCACGACGAATAACCTTGCATACTAATGCAATGTCATCGGTCAAGTCGGCAGGTTCAATATCCTTGAATAGGAATTTGACACTACTATTGGTATCGGACGGGATGATTTGCATTTGTTCGGTAATGAATTTTGATTGAGTATAGTTGAGTAGTGAGAAATAGTATTCCAACGTTCCACTATTGCCAGCACGTTTCAAAGTAGATTTGTTTAATTTAACGTCGACAGAGATTTGTGCATAGTCCCATCGACGTGTATTAGAGTCTGATGCCTCGCGGTTAGTATTGACAAACTTGTCATACTTTAGACCCTTCTTTTCACCGACCATTTGGAGATGGTCTTTGAGGAGACCGACCGGACTACTACTCTCTTCATTTTCAATCTCTCCATTGTTGGGATTCGATACGTAAAACTCGTTGGACAGCATAGCATGGGTAGTTTCAATCTCTTGACGCAAGTTGGCTTGCAATTGCAATAGACGTGGTTCGTCAGTCTCGATGAGAATCGCGTCTTGAATCGATTGGAGTAACTTTGTCTTGTCACGCAACTGAAGTTGTTTCTTTTCAAGTTCCTTTTCACTGCCGCCTTGAATCAATGATTCTGGGTCCATGAAACGTTCGCTCACCTCTACGACCAAATCCAGCAGGTCGCTGTACAAGATATACTCTTTTTGAGAGACCAAACGAATGTTTTCAAGTGGGAACTCTCCAGCATCACTCCATCCGTCCAATCCCAGTTTGACACGACCCAATGCCACAGAGGCAGTTGTACGATTGTTACGATCGATGATGGCAATGACATCACCCTTCATAATAGTGAGTGAGATTCCTTGTTTACCTCTATGATCCTTGACACAAACCGCCTTTTCAAAACGATCTACCGTAGCTTGAATGTCTGTACCAACACTAACCACCATAGGTTTGGTATTTTGAATGGAAAAGTTTCCAGTCTTGTATCCATTGAACCCTGTCCAAGTATCCTTTTCACCTTGTTCGGTAATCTCTACAATATCACCACGATGCATATTCAAATTGGTGAAATCACCCTTTTGATAGGACAGCACACGTACAGTCTCTTTCTTTGGTTGTGCGACTTGACCACCCTCAATGTTTCGTGTTGTCAATTGTGAAAATTCAGATGATCCACTGGTTGCTACATCAACTGGTAATGATAATTGTAATGATGATGCTGATGTTGTTGGTTTCCATTCTCTCTTTTTTGTTGTCGTATTTAAATTGGATTTAATTGCAGTAGAAGAAGAAGAAGTGGATGATGGTTCTTGTTGTGTTACAGGTGCTGTAGCAGTAGTAGTAGTAGTGACTGGTTCGACTGGTACAACTGGTTCATCTTTGGCAATAATCAAACTTGCTCTTTTGGCCAATGTTGGTTGTTCAGTTTCCGTAATGATTGAATTTAATAAATCTTCGGTTACAATCTCCTCTCTACTCTTTGGTCTTTCGAGTGTTTTTGTTGGTAGTACGGTAGTAGTAGTAGTAGGAGTAGAGTTTGAATCTGGTGAAATGGCCGACGACGTTGGTTGTTCTTTGTTTGGTGTAGTTGGTGGAGATGATTGTGATGGTGACTGTGAAGAAGAAGGTGGTGTAGGAAGAGGAGTAGCAACCTTTTTTAACAATACAGGTCTTGGTGGTAATTTGGCTACTCCATTCCCATTTGGTGATGTCGGTGTTGTTGTTGTAGTTGTTGTTGTATTTGTTGCAGGAGGTGGTTTATTGAATTGATTTACAGATGGTTTTACAGTTGGTGTTGTAGTAGTAGTACTTGTAACATTATTATTAGTAGATGTAGCAGTGGATGATGGTTGTTGTTGTTGTTGTGGAGGTGGTTTATTTAATACAGTTGAAGCTACAGGTTTCAATTTAAAACGAGGTTGTGGTGGCTCAGCTGGTGTAGACGTATTACTGTTATTAGTGTCGGGTGTCGATTGATTAAATACACTTGATGCTAATCTAAAAGCTGATGGTTTCACATTACCCTCGCTTGCAGATGTTGTAGTTGTATCGTTGCTGCTACTGTTGTCTCCTCCTCCTCCTACTGTAGGTGCAGGTGCAGGTTTACCAATCATTGGTCTTACCAAACCCGCTGCTGGTTTGAGTTGTGGTGCAACTAAACAAAAGATACAAAAAAAAAAGGTTAATACTCGCACGCACATATATAATATACCTATCTTGATCACTTACCCTTTCCTACACCACCAACAACAGGTTGTTGTTGAGCTGGTGGTTTCGATATATTACTCATTCCAATACTCTCTATATATATATAATATTCTATCTATTGTACAGTATGCGTGTGTATGTAAGTGCGTGTGATTATTGTGGTGTAAGCAGCAATGATGTGATGTTGTTGATTTTTACAACAAAAACTACTAAAATATCTTGATGTGTGTTTGTGTGAAAATCTATTTACAGGCAAGATAGTTATAACTCTATCTATCAATAACCCCTTATTTTCTATCACTATCTCTCTCTTTGCTGAATGAATAAAGAATGAAAGGAGATCGTGTTCGATGAGGATAAAAAAATCCGCTGGATTTGCAGCCACCCATAGCATGTGGCTAACGGTGCGTCCCGAGTTTGGTTGATTTTTTTACGCAACAAGACCCTCTTTCAGTGCGATAATCTTAACTTGCCCTTTAAGATCTCATCGAATACTCTAGATTTAAACGATAAATCCCATTCATATGAATATGATGATATTATGTAGTAATAAATATTGTGTATTATTATTTATTTATTTATAAGTTGGTTAATATACATCTTCTTTTTTCTCTCTCTCTCTCTCTACTTCTTTCTTCTCTAATATATATGTGTGTGTTTAATCTATCTATCTACCTATTCTTCATTTCCTTGTTCAAAATATAATAATTATGCAAAGAGGGGTGTTGGGTTTGATAAATGAATGGTTGGGTTGGAGTCTGTCTTTTTGTTACAAACATCAGACCAAAAACTAGTTCTCTCTTCTTCTTCTGTAAGTTGTTATAAATATGTTATGTGTTTTGCCTATTAATTGTTGTTTGGTTGTTTGTTGTTTGAATATTAATGTATGTGTGTATGCTTTATCTTGGTGCAGTTTCAGAAAGATTAGCATCACAAGCTACAAGCTTGACTCTATCGACAGTAATAGGTTCGCCACTGTCAACTGTGAATTTAGCATCGTCAATGATAAAGGTCCAAACATTGTCACAGAATCTATATGTATGAAGATCACCCTAATCAATTGCAAATCTTTGTTAATATCATATCTCCTCCTATTTCGTTGTTAATAGTAGTCAAAGTCTATTGTCTAAATGATCATACTTTGAATGAATACTTTGATTTGACTATAGTTGATAATGCTTCATTCATTGACTATATATATATATGATATGATAAAGAGTAGTATGATTAGAGAAGAATGTACTCTTGTTGTTCAAATGAGATATCTATAGTATACCTTATCGAATTGATGCAAGACCTTGTCATGAAGGTTTTTACTAATGTATTGACTTAGTAGTAATTCCTCCAATGTGTCGGTCAAAGCTTCACCGACAGTACTTTTTCTGTAGAGTTCATAGTATCTCTTATTAGCTGTTGGAGGATTCGACATGTAGTATATTGTATATATATATAACTCTTCAGTAGAATCTAATAATTATATACAAAGCTAATAAAACAACTTAAGAGGAGGTGGGAGTTCAACAGGCCAACAAAATTGTTTTTTATTAAATTTTTAATATTTTTTAAAGGGGTTGGTTCGTTGCATTCATTCATATTAACAAGTCTTATTATTAAAGAACAAAGAAGTAATATTAATATTATTAGTACTCAATCATCATCATAATCATTGTATTTCATATTGTACAATTAAATATATATAAAGAAAAACTAATAAATACATATACATACTTTAAAAACAAAAACAAAAAGTTAGTTACAAATAAATAATAATAATAATGGCATCAAGTATTCAAGTATCAGATGAAATGGTTTCTTATTGTTTTGATTCTTTAATTTCACATTATGAATCAAAGAAATTATATAAACCATCTTTTACAAATGACCCTTTGTATGTGTATCAAAAAGAAAAAGAGAGAAAGAGACATTTACTAATATTTGTGTGATATTCATTTAGCCCATTATTTGTTACATGGAAGATTGATAAGCATGGTAAAGGCGATCATGAATTAAGAGGATGTATTGGAACCTTTTCAAATATTCCTTTGGTTGAAGGTTTAAATAAATTTGCTTTGTCAAGGTACGTAAGAATAAGAAGAATACAACAAATAGTTAATAATTAACCTATTTTATCTGTCTATTATTTTAGTGCATTAAAAGATGATAGATTTAAACCAATACCACAAAGAGAACTTGAAAAGTTAAGTTGTGCTGTATCACTACTTGTCCAATTTGAAGATGCCAAAGATTGTTGGGATTGGGAAATTGGAACACATGGCATTTGGATTGAATTCAATACTGACGGTCAAAAGAGAAATGCAACCTATCTACCAGAAGTAATGCCCGAACAAGAATGGACAAAAGAAGAAGCACTTAGATCATTGGTTAAAAAAGCTGGATACCATGGAAAAGTGGATGAAACCTTTTTGAAAACTATTAAATTGACAAGATATCAATCTTCTAAAAAGACATTATCCTATACTCAATATTTAAATTATAAAAAGGATAATAATCAATAATCAACAACAATCAAAAGTGATGACAATCCCCCATTTCCATTCCTCCTCCTCCTCTTCCTCATTTTGTAGATAGACATTCTCAACAACCAATATACTATTTGTAAATTATATATATATATATAAACCAAAACTACTATACTTGTTTTAATTTATCATTTTTTTTATTTAAACAAAGATTGGATCAATAACAGTATCTTCTTCCAATTTAAAGGATGGTTCTAAACAAATTTGAGTGGCAGTGTTGAGAAGACCTTTAATGGTAGTCTTTTCCTTGCCAAGTAATTCAGCAATCTTGGTTGTTAAATCATCGATATTGATCGAGGGATCTACTTTGAGTCTACGGTATATCTTGAAATCCTTGAGTTGGTTACCTACGAGGATAGTGGTAGTCGATGGTCCGTCATTGACGGTGTAATCGATGTTTCTGTCTTTGAGGATTTGTTTGGTCTCTTCTTTGGTGTCGTCGAGGATGAGTGGGTTGGATGGATCAATTGGAAGAATAGTTCTCTTGCAACGGTCCTTGAACTTATAGTCCAATGTAGAGGTGGAATATTCAATCTCCTTGCCAGTATCAACATCAAACGAGACGACCGATGTAGTAATAACGGTTGGAGTCAATGACAATGTTTGTACTGGACTGCCACCAGTACCTCCAGACACTGATTTGTTTGACACTGTAACAAATCCAAGTTCATATTCACGGAATCCAAATGTACGTTTCTTGTCATCGAATCCATAGTGTCTAATGACGGCTTGTTGGATCACCTCTTTACCAACACACATTCCTTGGAAGATTGGTGCCAAATAATTTTCATAAAGTGTTACAGTCTAAAGAATCAAAAAAAATATAAGTAAGTATTCTATATCTATCTATCTATCTATCTATCTATTTTTTGTTTAAATCTTACAAAATCAGCACCATGTTCATCATCATCATCTTGTGGAGCTAATCTTTTATATCTGCTTGCTCTTCTACCCCAACTGTTACGTTGACCCACTGAATGGCTGTATGACATGACATCGAGGAACCCACTGTCTTGGTGGAACTTGGCAAGTGCCTTGTTGACAGGCTCATCCTTTTTCTGTACTCTGATTCTGCCTCCTCCAAAACCAAATGGGTTGGCGGCCTCTTCAAAGGCGTTGGGTTGAACCTTTTCCTTTTCTTGTTGTTCTTGCTTGGCAATAGTCTCTATAATCTTGCCTTTGGTCTCTTCACTCCACTTTGGATTAACATAATCATTTGCAAGCATATTCTTGTCAAATGACAAATACATTACAACACTATCTCCCATTTCGTCTCTTCTAATTCTATTTAAAGTTTAATATTTACAAAATATATATATATAACAAGATAATAATATATATAACAAAGATATAATAATAATAATAATATACAAATGAATACAATAACAATAGTCTACCGCGATGACCTTAATAGATATCTTGAATGAAAATTAGAAAGATCTATGAGTCTCGCGGCCAAGATATTTTCAAAAAAGAAAGAAAAAGGAAACTAATTTAAAGGGATGACGCAAGCAAAATAGAGTATAGAGTCTCTTGATGGAATTAAAGACGAAAAAATAAGCACATTTACTCCATTATTTCTAACAATGATTAGATGATTCTACTTTACTACTACTTGGCACTAAATACTACTATCTCCTCTCTCTCTTTACTATTGATAGATTCCAGAGAGAATTTAGATTGACCACCCCCAAGTCCTTTTACCTCTATGAATCTAGATGTATCATGTGAGATGACAAAGAATATTCTTGAAGTGATTGAATGAATATATATGTTTATCTATGAACAAACATATAAAAGTATTTTTTTTAAAAAATGGTCTTGATCTTTTTTTGAAGAATGATAATCAACTAGAAATGTTTTCATTGTTGATCTCATCAAACAAACACTTAAGCTATGAATATGAATAGAATTACAAGTAGAATTATTCAACAACACCAACTTGTTGTTGTTGGGACACCATCTTTACAATCATTTAAACGATTCATTTCAAATAGTAGTAGTAATAATAGAAACAATAATAATGATAAAAAGAATGATGAAACAATATCAACAACAACAACAACAAACAAGTCAAAGGTGATAAAGATTACAACAGCAGATCCACAATCATTAAAAATGTATCGAAAATTGATTAGAGCATCTTATCAAATGCCATTGGTAGCAAGTGTACGAAACAAGATTCGAGTCAATGCCAAAGAGATGTGGGACTTTCATCGTCAGGCAACTCAATCTGAACAGACTCAACTATTGAATAACGCCAATAGTATTCTTATCGTACTTTTAAAACTATCAAAGTTACCTGAAATATTCTCTGATTCTCAAAGAAGAAAGGATAACTAACAATACAATACGAGACAAGTGTAATAGTAAGTACTTTAAAAAAAGAAAAGAAAAGAAAAGTAAATATTTTTGAAAATATCCTTTTTAGGAACACTTGCATATTTAATTATAATGCATGCTTATTGTTCAATAATACTAATATTCAATTAGATATATAGATAAACAGAATCAGAATGAAATATATATTAATAACAGGACATATAGCAAGTGACTATGATACATTATCATCGATAGTTTGTTCTTTTATCATTCAAGAGAACAGACCAACCTCTTCATTTTTCAATAATTTGGACGAGGAACAGATGTACAAGGTTATATGTTATCTACCACCTACACAGTACAAGCATATGATGGATTTCTATCAACAACATCGATCCAATATATTGTCACGTTTCAACTTTATCAGTGGAGAGTCACCTAGTCAAGATGTTATCGATAATACAAGTCACATCATTATCGTTGACACCAAGAAAATAGCACGTCTCAAACATATACACAAGATATTGTATCGACATCTTCCAACAAGCTCCTCCTCCTCTTCTTCATTGGTGTCATCGATGACAAGTGATATGATAGATCCACAATTGACGATAACCGTTTTCGATCATCATCCCGATACCAAAGATGACATTCAACCAAGAGTTGCCAAAGACAGCGTCAATCAAATATCAGTAGATTCTCAACAATGTGGTGCATGTACTTCCATGATGATCAATAAACTCAAAAATGATAATAATCAACAAAATACTCCATTGATAAATCTATCAACTGATATTGCAACAATCATTGGTAATATTAATATTTAAATAGTTATTCAAATTTGTACAACAAATGTTAACACAAATCTACTTTCTTTTGCTAGCAATGGGAATATATGAAGATACAGGAAGATTAACTTATAATTCAACCAATCATATAGATTTTGAAGCAATTGAATATTTATCAAGATTTAATCTTAAAATGGATGTAATTAGAAAGTTGGGTGGAAAAAGTTTAATCCCTAAAGATGAATCGTCAACGATTGATTCCAATTCCTCTTCTTCTTCTTCCTCTTCTCCAACTATTATGACAAAAAATACATCAATAAGTAATTTATCAAATATAACATTATCAACATCATATAATAATTTATTACAAATATCATCAATGAAAACATTTTCAGCTAAAGATATGACAATCTATGAAAATATTTGTCAATCAATTTATACAGTCACTTTTAAACACCAAAAGTCTTCATCTTGCTCTGAAGATTTTAAAGTTCATATTGGGGAAATTGTTTTTGATGGTGCTTGTCCATCACTCTCTCCCATTATACAAACTATAATGGAAATGAACAAGGATATTAAAACTGGTATTTTCCTCGCTCAATCTCCTGAATGTATTATTGTCATTGGAAGATCAAGTCAACAAAAACCAGATATCAATGTAGGTGAGATTGTATCACAATTTGGTGGAGGTGGACATCACCATGCTTCCTCTGCAACCATTAAAGCATTTAGTTTACAACAAGTTAAAAATATGTTATTTTTAATGATCAATTCTCAAATGAACAACTCAAATAATGATATTATTAAAATGAATCAATATCAATCAATTTTAAATAATCAATTAATTAAGAATCAAGAGTATGTATTTAATATATTAAAATTTTAAAGATACTTTATAATTAATACAAATTGTGTGTTTTATTTTATAATGTAGGATTAAAATGAATATAAATATAAATAATTATCAACAATTTGAATTTTATAATGAATATTTTAAATGTGTATCAATGACTGCTCAAAATATGGTTGAACAAATTCGATTGATTACAAAAGAGATGGGTACTAGTCTTTATCTCTATGGAGACACTGTTTTTGGAATTTATAAAGTTATTCAAAAAGTTGATACCATTCAATTATTTACTTTTACAAATGATATCAATCTCTTTAACAGTAAATTGGGATCAATTAAATCAAACAAATGGGATTTAAAATTAGAGAATAATAATAATAATAATAATATCATTTTAAAAAATGGTAAGTATACTATTGGTATGTTTACAAAAAGATAATCAAACATTTATATCTTATATTAATAATTTAATATAATTTAGAACTAAAAATAGTTAATGAAAATGATTTATATAGTGAAAATAATCCAAGTAGGTCAAAGATTATGTATATTGGATCAAAACAAAATTATTCATTCCAATCTTTGGTTGTACATGTCGAGGACAAGAATCATTTTATTTTATATGATTTATTCAACTCGATTTATGACATTAAACATAATATTGTTAGAATCAATCGTTCCAATTCTTTTATAAATGATCCATCTTTATTATTTAGGTAAATATATATTAAACATTGATATAAATTTAAAAGTAATTATTATTTATTATTAATTAACCTTTTATTTATTTTTTAGTATTATAAAAGAATCAATTGAAAATGATATGAAAATATCAATGGATACTAAAAGATTTATTAAATCATCAATTGTAAAAGAAGAGATTATATCAAGATTAAGAGGTAGAGATTTTTTAGACTTTTTAAAATGGGTATTTTCTAGAGATGATTTTCTTGACATTTTAAAGTTGGCACATTCAATTGGAGCGTTTGAAATATTATCAGAGTCTAAAGACAAACCATTTGGACTAACAAGAACATTGACCTATTACAAACAAACATTGGATTGGTTAGATTCGATTTTCTATACTGGTTCTATCAATCGATACGAGGTTGGATTTAAATGTCTAGTCTATTGTTTGGATAAAAAGTTTTTGGTCAATCAAGTTCCAGGTAGACTTGAAATGACACCAAATGAAATTGATTTGTTTATAAAATCATCTGAACAAATTAAATTGGCAAGGAAAATAGTCATTGATTGGGTTAAATCAACAACAATAACAACAAAAGAAGAAATCAATCCTCCTCCTCCTCCTCTTCCTCCTCTTCCACCATCAATATTTAAATCAATGTCTGTTGAAGATATTTTAGTTACACGATCGATTTGTATAGAGAATCAACAAACAAAACCAAAAGACCAAAGAAAGTTGTTTAGTTTTAAATATCAAATACCTTTTTCAATTTATTTCCTCAATATCAACAACAACAACAATCAATAAATAATATGTATTTAAAATATTTATTAATTTATTTTTTAATCCATAGTGATTCACTGTGACACGTTGAAAAGTTCATTATTCGATTTTATTTTAGTTGTTCGAATTCGCTTTCATCTATTTATTTATTTATCATTCTATCTAAAAGAGAATATTTATTTATAAACATATTATGTAGTGCTGCAATATAAATATATATATATATAGTTTATAGTTTCTTAACAAGCAGTGTGTGTGTTTAAAGAATATTCTTCTTCTCTCTCTCTACCTACCTATCTATTAATAGATAGATTAGGTTTTATCATTCAATTGATGATATCGAGAAAGGCACTGTTACCAACCATAACGGTATTGGCATTGTTTGTAGTATCTTCAATCATCTTTCTAAACTTTTATACCAATAGTGGGGGTAGAGGAGGACGAGGCAATGACCCTTACAGTCCAAAACAGACCATAGACAAGAGACAAATACAAACATTGGTAAATAGATTAAACTTTCAATGGGGTGTTCAAACTAATCGTAATAGTCATGACAACTCCACCTATTGTAAATATACTGTACAAAGTTCAAAATATGTTGTTGACGATCAAGGTAAATAGAAAATTAAAGTTAAAGATAAAGATAGAATTATTTATTAACTCTTTTCTTTTTTTTTAGGACATATTTGTTTAAGATCTGAATTGGATTCGGGTTGTTGTAATATAAATAATTTTGATAGATATTCTTGTAATGGATGTTCAAGTAAATATAGGTGTTGTGAAGAATATACCTATTGTGTATCATGTTGTTTGGGTGCACGACAAGAGACATTGGAAGCAGTACTCGTTCAAATGGTAGAGGGTGTATCTCCTATTGGAGAACCACATGACCAATTTGATTTGTGTCAATTGGTTTGTCGGACATCATCTCATTCTGTTATACATCAACGAGAATATAAACATCCAGACACAAAATATTGTTATGGATACTATGAACCGGAACCTGAAAAATCATCATCTCAATAAACTCATTTCAAATCCATATATGTGGACAAAAACTAATTGTAAATTATCTAAACAAAAAAAAAGTAACAAACAGTTGCTGTATTGTTATCATTCAATTTATTGGTCATCTTGATCGTCGTTGTTGTCTTCTCTTTGTTGTTCTTTATGTAGTGCATTGATTCTTTGTCGAAGTTGTTCATTCCAGTCGTCGGATTGTGATTTAACTACTTTTTCCTCCTTTGGTGGCGAATTACTATCAATGTTTGAGGAAAAGTTGGTAGTAGTAGTAGTGGTAGTAGAAGTTGTAGAAGTTGTAGATGTGGTAGAAGTAGAAGGATAATTATTTTCTTCTTCTTCCTCCTCTTCTTCTTCTTCCTCTTCTTCTTCGTCTTCCTCTTCAATTGTTGGTTCGTCATAAATATGTTCTTTACTTTTAATATAGGTTGCCATAGTTGAAGAAAATGTAGGAGTTGGAGGTGTAAACCTTACATTCTTTTCCTTTTCTTTTTTCTTTTCATCTTTACTACTACTACTATCAATATTATTATTATTTTGTTGTTGTTGAATATTATTATTATTATTCATATTATTCATATTATTTGTCCATTGAGGATTTAAAGATAATTGTAATGATAATAATTCTGTTTGTTGACATAGATATTGAAGATGTTGTTGAATAAACATTAAATGTTGTAATGGATTGTATTCAGTTGTACTAGAGGCTGCATTGGCAATTAAAGTTTGTTGTTGTAATCTTTGTTGAAGCAATTGATTTTGTTGAGTTGTTTGATTCAAAAGTTGATTTGGATTGATTGCAATTGTATGTTGTTGTTGTTGTTGTTGTTGTCCATCCATATTATTATTATTATTCATATTTAACATTGGTAATCTACCATTTCTGACTGCATTTTGCAACAACATTTCACGAAGAAGTGGATTTGCAATTTGAGGTCTAAAGTTTGGTAGTTGTTGAAGTGGTGCAACTGCTGCCGCTCCAGCAGCTGGATGTTGTTGTTGTTGTTGTTGTTGTTGTTGTTGTTGTTGTTGTTGGTCGAGTGGTTGAACCTGTGCTTGAGCTGGTGCAGCAACATCTACTGCTGGTTGTTGTTGTTGTGCTTGTTGTTGTTGAGCTGCATGATGATTAACAACTGGTGGATCAGCCAATACATCTGCACGACAAATAGGACATGATTGTTGTCTTTCAAGCCATGATCGCAGACAGGAAAGATGAAGAATATGACCACACGGCAACTTCTTTCCATGTGTCATATCCTCACGACACACAATACAAATTCTGTCAGTGTTGGCCAGTTCTTGTTCTGTTGCATCGGCAAATCTTTCGTTTGTAATGTTTCTATACTTTCTGATATCATTGAATCTTCTAATCGAAGTCTTTAATGAAATAAATATTTGTCTAATAATGTGAATTGGTAAACCTAGGTTCCAAAAAGAGAAAATATATACATTAATATTGTTTGCAATACATAATATATATAATTGTTACTCTCGCGACTTACCATAATTGTAAAATAGAGTTACAAAGAAAAAGATAAGGTAGAGTGCAGCTTTGATGGATTCGGTAACAAATTCCAAATATAAAATGTACAATCCCTTGTTATCCCATCTGCCTTCTCTCTTGATACCTTCAATATTAATGAAAAATGTAATCAATGTTGATATATTTGTTACAACTAATAATCCAAACTAAATATAATAACAACAATAAATTAATAACAATACATTTGTTTTGTTTTTTCTTTTTGATTTGTTGTATTTACCTCTAAACCAAATAATATCATAACATTTGGACCCTCTCTCATTAATGATAAGACGGCATAATAAATAAAACCAAAGTCTCCACCCAAAAGGAATAACATCAATGCACACAATCTGCATTGATTTAAAAAGTTATATGGAGTATGTTCAATCTAATTAAAATGAACAATGTGATTAATAAATTCTCTCTCTACTCTAAATATTCATTCTTTTGAATTTAACATACATATTCTACACGATTCTTTGTTAACCAATGGAAAACTTGAAAGAATAATAATAAAAGGAATAAGAATACAAATTGGGCATTGAAATGATCTCTAAAGATGGTTAATGCAAGTATAGTATCGGTAATTGATGATTTTAATCTATCACTAACATACTATAAAAGATAGAGATAAAAAAAGAACAAGTTAGAATAATTCAATCTAAATCTAATCTTTCTTTCTTTCTTAATATTTGACATACTTCAGATTCACGTTCTTGTACTTTATCTAGATATAAGTAAACTACCAACTTTCCCAATAGATATGCTAATATAAGTAACATATTGGCAAATACCAATAGAGAATGCTTGGCCGTTGCCAAATAGACACCAGAAGGATAGAACTGATGGTATTTGCTATAGGCATGATACACTATGCCTGCTGTTGCCGCAACCGACATTAAACTGTATGTTCGTAATGATAGTCTCATCTCTTATATATATCTCTCTCTACTATCTCTTACTACTTTGTCTCTAACTATCAAATCATTAATACTCTTTTTTTGATGTGTGCAGTACAATATAAAAACAAAAAGTCAGAGTGACGAGGCAAAAGTGCTTGGGGTTGGAGCAAATAACACCAATAGTATTTGTACCTATAAACCAAACAATTGATACAAACAAAAAGTCGAGACAGAATGAAGGATAAAAGATATTGTTTTATTGAATAATGTTTCAAGATCGACATTGATGGGCTCGGCTACGACAGGCAAAGAAGGTCTGAGTACCTTCATGGTTTGCAGTGGGAAATTGCAGGTGGCGTCACGGACCTCGAGAACCTCTTGGTAGCATTCAATGTTGTGAATATTTCAAAGGGACTTGTTACAATTTCCATCAAATGTTTCTATTTATCTGACTGTACAGTTGGTGCCAAACATTGAACCTCTTGTTGACTAAATGCAAAATGAACATATCGATGGTATTACAATGGTAGAAACTACTTACTTTGTATTGTTGTAAGTAGGGATTACGATCAATGATCCATCAATATCGCCACATGCCTCTATATTGTATATTGTTATAATATATTTAGTAAAGCAATTGTTAAAAATTAAATAATGTAAACTGCTGAGGTGTCTAGAATATGAGCTCTCGACCAATTTTCTTTTCTCAACTCTCATGATTTTTTTTAATTTTTAAAAATGAATATTTATTTTCTTTGGGGGTTTTGAAAATTTTTGGTTGGGAGTACCGCCTCAGAATCTATTTATTTGTAAAACTTATTTCTCTCTATGGTCTTCTTTATTTTTAATTATTCTTTTACCAATCGATAGATCTTTTAATTATCTATCAAATGGTTGACAAAAAAATTTGCGAGAGGTTCACCCTTCTAAAAAGTACTTTCCGTAAAGTCGCCATTAGCCATGGGCTAAGATGAGGTCTAGAAAGCATTGTTTGGAAAAACAAATGATATAAACAGAAAGAGCACAAAAAGTTGTATCTATTGGTGATATTGGATCGTCGTTTCAAAGATTATTCAAATAAAAAAAATGCTATTCTTCAAAGCCTATCTCATATAGTAAACATGCAACCATATAAAACTACGTGCTACATGGATCGGATCACGATTAATCAAATAAAAAGACAAGCGCCAACGCAAGAGGTGTAGGTGCCTTGAATCTTCAACATTATATGCACTGGTGTCGGCAGTGTTCAATGCATGCCACATCCAGCAACGCTAGACAAGATGGTTAGTATATTTGGAATGGATCAATAATCAAATAATTCAGAAGTGGTCAATCTCAAAACAATTGTGAACGCTCAAGAGTAATGGTAGCTTAATCTCATATATCGATATCATGGTTATTTATTTGGTACATACTAGTATTATTGTAATTGGCTCTTTTAAAACCCATCAAGGCTAGTGGTCATGGACAATTTCGCATTCGGTCTATCAAAACCATCCATTCTAAAAGATAATAAATAATAATTAGTAAACAGTATTTATGACAGTAATTTTACAAGATACATATCTTTACAGTTTTTAAAAATGGACCAACTCGTCTCTAATCAATTGATTCTATATTTAAAGTACCAATATATACAGACTTGTTATAGATTTAAAATAAAAAACCCATCATCAAGAAAGAAAACACATACAATCTTTATGAAAGAAGAAATTGACGACCAATCAACTTTGCCCTCACGCGGTAAACAAATGGCCTTGTTTGGAAACTTATGAATATACCTACCGAAACAAACCCGCACACTCCAAGCACGCCAAATGATCGATCAATTCCCCCAACACTCAAACCATACTTGTTTGGTTCCCCAACTTTGAGAATCCCATTTAAATATCTACAACATATCATCTAACAACTGTGTGTATGAAAAAATCTTTCTCTTTTCATTGCGGTTGTGGAAGAGGAGGATGAAAGAGATGTAGGCCTGGAGGAGATGAAGAGGAGGGAGGAAGGGGCCGAGTTATCATACAAATTTAAAACTATAATGGGTTGACATAGTTTTAAAATTAGTTGTGAATCATCACAGAGTGATTGTTGGTCTACGTCATGTCCTCTAAAGGCGTCATTCCCATTGTTGATTGACTGATTGATGATTGTTTAAAATATCTTGATGAATCTAATCGATCGATGGTTATTGTTGTTGGTGTCATGATGATGATGAATGAAAATTCTCCCTCCAAAATTAATTAATTCTCTTCATGACATGATAGTGCTGTGCTGTACTGTGTTCTCATATTTACTACTTGTATTGTACTGCGCGAGACCCATCCTAAAGTTAAATTCATTCATTCATTCGAGACAGACATCATCCATCAAATGACGATGATGATTGAGATTTAATTTAACTTGTTACCCTATACTACTTGTGTTGATGATCAATATTCACATCATCATCATCAACATCATCATCATCATGACTTTTATATCTCTAAGTATTGTATTGTAATTGTATTGTTCTTATTCTTATGACTCTGTGATGATCATGATGTTTGTTGGCGTTTGTGAATGCTCCATTTGCAAATTTGAACCCAAAATCTCTTAGTTGCTTACTAGTATGAAAAGGTGACACTGATGATAATATTCTTTTGAAGAAAGGAATTAGTATACATCAACAACTACTACTAGTTAATATCGTATATGCAACTTACTGTGTCGCTTTATAATAATTCTTTTTTCCATCTTTTGCTTCCTTGTGCATCTTTCTAATGATGTTGATACAACTAAAATCTCTTGGTGACATAAAAACTGTACCATCTTTGTTGATCTTTTCTCCTTTGGGGTCGAGAGTTGTCTTGATACCTCTTCCATGTTTAGACATGCTCAAACTTCTTAGAACCTCTGCTTGTAGTACTTCGTCGCCATTTGTATGTCTTCTCAACAGGAATGACGTTTTATTTCTAATGCGTTGCACTTGTCTTAATGGGAATGTTGGTTTAACACGGTCGCCAATTAATCGTTGGTAGACTGTTGGAAGTGTTGTTGTTGTTGTTGTTGTTGCTGCTGCTGCTGCTGGTGATGCAGAGATTGTTGTTATTGGTACTAATGCTACTGATACTGATGCTGCTGCTGATGCAGTGATAGTTTACTCATGATTAATATGCTTAAAATAAAGATAAAAATATATCTATAATATTGATAATTCATTAAATAAAGATATTATCAATTTAATTAAATAATTAATTGTTTGTTTATTGATTCTACACTTTTTTTTTTTTTTTTTTTTAAATTTTTTTTTCTCATGAGATAGTGCGATCTTTATGCGTGCCGTAGGTGACTGACCTGATACATTGCGAGGTTTGAACATTTGTTTCAAAACAACAACAGCAAATAGCCCCTCTCTCTCATTAATAAATGGATCCTATCAAAAAGAAGAAACAACAATAGAATCATACCCTGATTTGGTATCATACACCCCCCCTCTCCCTCCTCCTCTTCTCTTCCATTTTAGATCTTGGTTCATATAATGAGCCTAATCCGCACCCCCCATCCTCCTCCTTATCCGCCTCACTCATATAGTGAATCAACACGCCCATAATCTGACGGTTACATCAAAGAATGATCGTGCTTTGGTGATCATATCCAACCATGACTACCACCCCCCTATCCTCCTCCTTATCCCCCTCACTCATATGTTGAATCATAAATGATCGTGCTGCTGTGGCTCACCTAGGCATCATGAATGCCCCCATTAAACGGTGGTGATGACACAGTTCGGGTATTAAGAAACCACCATACGATTATGATATCATTGGGACACAACCCCATCTGTATATGTATCACCCTCACTTTTTGTTGGTAATCAACAAAGACAAGAAAACATTTGTTTAAAATAAAATATTATTCATCAAGCTCCAATGTTCTCTATTTAAAGTGTTCTTTTTTCTCATCACATCATTATTCATTTTATCTATCTTTTCTTCAATTCATTATCTTTCTGCTATATTGTATTACCTTTATATATTTTTTATATAGGAAGCTTCTAATTGAGGTTCACTATCGCACAGTGGTCATCATGAATGGCCCACTTCCATCCGCAACAGAGACAAGAACAACTCAATACCCTCTCGATCGTCTCATGGGTAAGAAGTGGAATAACGAACAAAACTTGTTTGTGACACATCTCGGCCAATATGCAAGATACTATCACTCTGTTAAGAGGTTAGTAGGCCAATTTTTTTTAATATTTGTATACGACTTTAATAACAGTAAGATATCATCAACCTTTTTTTTTTTTTGAACATGAATCATTCAGATAAGTTCATGAACTAATTGATCGATTTCATGTATTTTACCATTTTTAGTGTTTAGTTTGTCCCGACAAGAACTCGAAAAAGTAATACCAAAGTATTACGACATGAGTGTTCTTTCAAAGAACAAAACAAATGAATTATATGAAAAAATGGAAAATCGGTTGACTTTGCCGATTCGATGGGATTCTCTAATTGTGGAGGCCATCATCTCAAAGGTGATGGACATAGACACACGCAAAAGCAGTAATAGTCCAAGAGATTATGTATGTATAACAGTCTGTGACAGTTATGATGTGTAATAATAAATTAATTTTTATTTTATTCTTTGTTTACTCTTTACAGAATTCTGCACAAGATGTCCAAGCAAAAGAGAAAATCGTCAACAAAATGCTATCGAGAACATTTGCCAAACTCAAGGTAGACGAGATGGTTGCAAAATATCAAATCCTCCGATATGCACTCCTTGACCCAGATCTGAATCCAATTGGCTGTTGCCACTCTTATAAAACCGCCTTTGCCAACTCCATTTGCAATAGTTACTCGGCCGAGGTGGCCGAGACCTGCAAAAGGATGGTGGAGAGTGCTTTAGACCGTCAAGATGACCGAAACATATTCCACCACGAGTCCAAGTTGGTGTCGGATCTTCTGGAGGATATACTTGCCAAAATAGATGATGGTGATATCGGTGAAGGGTACCAAGCTCTCAAACTAATATTTTCATCTCAACCATTAAAAGGTATGTCATTGATATTAACACCATCACAGGTTTTTTTTAAATATCTTCTTGCGTCGGTTCATGTAACTCTATCTCTCATTTTGTTTATCTTTTGCTCATACACGTCAAAAGGGGTCGATGACCGCTACTGAGAGGATGGTGGGCAGTTTGCGGAGTGTCGATCAGATTTTTTTTTTTAATATTTATTTTCATTTTTTTTTTTCATCTCGAACAACTCACAGAAACCAAATTTAGAGAATGTATATTAAACTATTAAATAACATCTCACACTCAACACAACATTATCAATAGATAGAATACAGCGAGTATTGTTTATAGTTACACTTTTAGTGTAAGAACCCACACATCACTATCATTACTCCTCTTTTACACCATTTCTTTTTGATTATCTTTTGTTTTCATTGGTTTACCAATCAATGCACCACCCATCTCTTTCCTTTTAACTACTCATTGTTGGCCAAGTTCATCTTTACATATCATTGACCTCTTGTGTTCACTCATAAATTATATAATCCTTTTTGATCCAAATCAAGTACCAATCTACCACTCTTTATCGCTCTGCATCCTTTTTGTTGTTCGTTTGATCCACTCTCCTATCCGACAAACTTTCTTTACCACTTAACTTTCCATCAGATACTGCAATCAATCACTACCATTGCTCCTCTTTTACCCTTTCTTGTTTTGATTATATTTGTTTTTATTATCGAGATGCACCACCCATCTAACCACTCGCCTCATTGTTGGTCCCAGTCTTTCCATCAGATCGATAATGCAAAACATTACAATCATTGCTTTTACACCATTTCTTTTTTGTTTTCATTATCCAATCAACGCATCACCTATCTCTTTTGCCTCATTGTGGAGAGAGAGATAGAATTTATAGAGTATAATTGTAATACAGCGCGTATTAATTATTGCAGAGATTAGAGTGATCTTTGATACCTCCATTGATAGCAAGAAGCTCTCTCTATGCAGTGACAGGCCTGTCAAACCTTTTTTTTTTTTTAATTTTAAACCTCTCTAACATTTATTACATTTATCATTATAGATCATAATTTGGAATGCGAAAAGAAAAGGTCAAAATTAAAAGAGGAAAGAGAGGCCAAGCAAAATCAAGAGCCAGCCATTCCCAAGGAAAAAAAAAAGAAGAAACAGTTTTTGGGTGACAAAAGGCCTGAAAACTTTGATGAAATCAATTTTGATGGATCTGTTTATTCAATATCAAATTTGGCCACAGATTTAGAGATTGATAGCAAAAATGTAAAGAAATTAAAGGTTGAAGAACATATATCTGGTGATTATTTACAATCTGAACTCTCATCAAAGTTGGAAGCGTTGATCCAATCATCAACATCAATAAGTGCCTGGAGTGGGTTAAATACCCTCCAATTGAATAGATTGAAAATGCTAAATTTGGAAAATATAATTAATCCGTAACTATTATTATTATTATATCTTTTGTTATTTTTTATTATTTTCATTATAATTAACTAATCAAATGCTTTTTTTGTAATCTTATTTTTTTTTCTATAGAGAGGACAATTCAATCGATTTTTCAAAGTTGACAAAAGATCAATATCCATCTTTAATGGATTTTTGTGAATCAAATGGATACAAGTTTCCAAAAGGATATGACCCTACAGGATTGAAATCCCTCATGACGTCCGATTTGGAGACGATAAAAACTACTCCTTTCGCATTGAATAGCTTTGCACCACAAGCAAAGTATGTATAAAACAATTGACCAATATCTTTTTTTTATATTTTTAAAACTAATCCTCTTTTTTATCTATAGATTCAACAGTACTTTTATCCCATTCTCGATAGAGTTGTTTGTCAGTATAATCGTCAACTCTGGAATAGATATGTCCCTTGGTTTGACCGACAAACACAAAATATTAAGGTATATTTCAAAAATATTACCTAATTTGGAAAAAGAAATTGGTCATCCATTGGAAAGTGGCTATCCATTGGATAGATTTAAGTTTTTCGACAAGGAAATTGAGATCCTCAAAGCTTCGCACTTGGCTTCTTTTCCTTCATCGTCAGATGTAACAATATCACCATCCTCTTCGTCTGATGTAACAACATCACCATCCTCTTTGTCTGATGTAACAATATCACCATCCTCTTCGTCTGATACAACAACATCACCATCCTCTTCGTCTGATACAACTACATCTCCATCCCCATCATCAAAAAAAAAAAGAGGTAGACCTCGTAGTGAGATTGTGGATATAAAGTTAGAAAAATTCCCTGATTTTAAAGATTTTAAATTGGAGGATCTTAATCGACAATTGGAACTTAGAGATATCGAATCCCCAAACATTGATACACGAGTCCAAGAAGAGGAAAATATTAAAAGATTGAAATTGGTTTTATGGCAAGACATGGTAAAACGCTTGCAAATAGATTTTAAAGAAGACTTTGACTACAGCAAATCCAGTCAAGTTAGCATTTTAAAATGGTTATCTTTACCTACTAGCACTATTAAAATCGAATATGATTGGTACTGTTGTTCATTGCCAACACTGAAAGGAACTCTCAAGAAACTATTCAATGACAGCCCAAAGGTGAAGAGAAATGAGCCAAGGAAATGGATGCCAAAGTCTCTTGCTTCAACAAAAAAATCGTTTCTTTTTCGTTACTATACGATTGGATTTGTTGGAAAATCAGTCCTCTGCGATTATTTGCAATCACCGTATGTAAAAGACAACCCATTCGATTTCAACGGGTCAACAAAAACAATTCACCCCAACTTTAATGATTACGAAAGAGACAATATTGGTTACATTTATAACCAAAAAATGTCGGTCCTAATCAATCAAAGGGCGATGATGGTGACAACCAACGTTCCCAGCCATATCTGGTTCCAAACAAAAAGTAAATGTCATTGTTTTAAAGCATTATTATCTTTTACGACCCATTCATTTTACTAATATTTAATTTTAATCTTTATATAGGTGCAAATGAAAAAGTAGTTTCTGATGTGCAAATATCCATGAATTGCCGTCTCTTGCCATACCATTTGAAAAAGAGACAAAAACTAGAAGAATCTTTTCCAGAGCAAAGTTTGGTCTCTCAAAAAAACGGTCAAGATGGCACACCCATGGATGATTCCGATGATGATGATGATGAATCATGGAAATGTAAACAAGTAGAAGAAATGGAAAAGAACCATTCATATTCATACAACCATCCCCACTATGCTTGTTTTGTGGCAAAACAAGTTGGGTTGAAACCAAACATTCCCAAAGTCAAGGATAGAGATATTATCTGTGCCAATTGTTTGTCATCCCACTCACTTAAAGATTTGCCTATGGTGTGCGAACAATGTGATGCGACCATTCCTATTCTATCGGAACATGAAAAAAGATTGGATTTATGTGGTGACCTGATGGATCTGTACTCGGTTGATATTCAACTAAAAAGGAATGCATTTGAAAAAATGCCACCCTTTGATTCAAAGGATGATCAATTCCCTCCACCAGTACCATTAATTGCCGAAATCAATCATCGACTCGTCAAATTTGACCAACCTGAGTCACCCCACGTGGAGATTTTTCTACACGAGGCTCTCAACACCACCTCGATAGCACTCAACAGTAACAGGTCAGGAATTGCACCCTCCATGCGGAACCTATTCAATCTTATTAAAACTACATCCGATCCCTCGATGCAATTTAGAATTCGTGATGCATATCCCTTTGTCCACGACTCGTCTACTGGCGGATTTGAAAATGAAATCAAACATGAAATCATGGTGAAGGAATTAATGAACCATTTTTCAATGACAACGTCCAAGCTCATTATTGTTTGTGGACAATTCCCTTGCAAGGCAGCCAAAGAGGCTTTTAATGCCAATCCTTTGGATTACGAAATGGTTGACTATAGTCAAGAATCTTATCACACCATTTTAGATAAAGCCAAAGGCACAACCGAGGACAAAGAGGTGGATGTAAGTAGGATAGTTCCTAAAAGGCTCATTGCTATCGCCCCGCATCCATCAGTCATGTTTGCGTTGCACATAACAGCAGCCTATATTTTGATTGCTCATGATATCTACAAAATGGCTCCAAAGGTATCTCAATTTGACCCAGTTCAAACATTTAAATCGAATTCCCCCTCGTCTGCCTCGTCCTCCTTCTCCTCCACGTCCTTATCATCCACGTCATCTTCATCATCTGCCTCGTCATCTTCATCATCTGCCTCGTCTTCCTCGTCTGCCTTGTCCCCGTCCTCCTCGTCCTCCTCCACGTCCTTATCATCCACGTCATCCTCATCATCTGCCTCGTCTTCCTCGTCGTCCTTATCATCCACCTCCTCTTCATCATCCTCCCCTTCGTCCTCCAATCAAAATACCACCAAACGCCCAAATCTAAGTAACAAAACAAAAGATTTTCCTAAACTTAAACAATGGACGTTGGAACATCTAGTTGAAGAGGCCACATCCCGTAAAATCGACGTAGAGAATATCAAAGAAGATCGTCTTCAAGTGGAATGTGTTTTGTTGAAATCGGTCCTTGGGGTTCAAATATGGTCAGAACAAAAAATTGAACAGTTTGATCTAGAGAAATCAAACTCGAAAAAAGATATACTGACCTATGCGAGAGAAAAAAATATCCCTTTGACAGACTATTGGTTCTTCATGACGTTGGAAACCCTCAAAAAAGCCGTGCAAAGGTGTCTCGCTTCCACCTCGTCCCCATCTCCGTCCTCCTACTTGCCCACCCCTTCCTCACCCTTGACCGATATCTCACTCCCCTCTTCCCCATCCTTGACCGATGCCCCACCCACTTCATCCTCATCCGATACCTCAACTCCACCCTCTTCCACCGATACCTCATCCTTGACCGATACCTCAACCACCTCATCCGATACCTCAACTCCACCCTCTTCCACCGATACCTCATCCTTGACCTATACCTCACTCCCCTCACACTCATTCTCCTACTCCTCCTACTCTAAACCTTTTGTAAAAAATGAAAAGTGCGTTTACAAAGATGAAGAGAAACATATAAGAGCAAAGAGAGATTTTTATCACTCTGGAATGTGTAGAAGGCGCCGAAGCAAATGGAAAGTTATGAGGGAAAACAACCGTGGCAATTATCTTTATATCGGAATTGATCCTGGAAGGTCAAAATGCACGATTGTAGACTCTATGAATCGTGCTCGAGTGGTTTCAGTGGCATCTTATTACAACCTCATGGGCACTGACCGTCTTCTGGCAAGACAACAAAACTACAAAAAGAACCCGGTCCTGTCCAAATTTGAAAGTGGATTGCCAACCTATAATACCTTTGGTAAGTGTTATTTTAAATATTCATTGTCTATACCACCTATATATTATAATATTAATATTTATAAACTAACTTTTTTTTTAATTCCTAGATACTTTATTCAATGTAGAATCTGTATTGAGACGAATAGAGTATGAAAGAATTACCCATAGGGATCAATGTCGTCTTTATTCCCATGTAGTGACGTCCTATACGTTTCAGACCATGGACAAGAACAGGAACATTGACAAGAAGCGCGCCCAATATGCCTATGCAAAGAGCTTTGTACCACCAACAACAATCCCGAAAAATAGAATAGTGATTTGTATGTTTTTTTTATTTCTTCAAACCATTTATTATTATTTGTTATTAATCTTCTTTCTTTTTATAGATATTGGAGGGTCTGATTTTTTCCGTGGATCCCGAGGTGGTGGTAGAACTGGTTGTACATCAAAGACACTACTCAGACTGTTTTTGAATATGGGTTACAAGGCACGTCTTGTCAATGAATTTAATACCTCCAAAGTATGTGTGTTTTAATAATTGAATTTTTAGATCAACCCTCGAAATGGCCATTCATTAATATTTTTTTTTCCAAGATTCATAATGCATGTGCCTCCAAAATTCATTCTACCAACAACAACAAGTTCCTAGAAAAAGCTAAACACCAAAAGGTTAAAAATGTGTTGCCAGAATCTTTTGAAAAGACCCATGTTGTTGGTGCACCCATATCCTCCACGTTTTCAGACAATGGTGTTCGTTGGCAAGGAAAGGATTCCAAGTTATGTGATGGTTGCAAATTGACTGATTACAATTGTCAATGCTCCAAGGCTCAATTGGCGGACAAAGAGAATGATTCAACTCTGAAAGTGTCTCAATTGGCAGATGATATGAATGAAACTCTAAAAGTATTCATATCACTTGAAAATACTTCACCCTCTCCAACTATGCTATTGGAATCCCTTTTCTCTTTAAGCAAAAAGACTGTCAAGGAGTTGATAGAGTTTTGCAATCTAAACTCTATCAAATACTATCAACAAGAAGAGCCAACCAAAGGGAAAAACAAAAGAGGTTCTCACAAGGATAGTAAGGGTGGTGCTACCAACAGCAAAAAGGACCAACTTATCAACGCTATCATCAAGTTTAATTTTGAAAAACAAAAAAGGGATGCTAGCAAAAATAAGAAAAAGAGGTCAAAATCGTCCTCAACTACTAATGATCGTTGTAAGGACCAAGATCAAAGCAATAGTCAAAAGGATGGGAACAAGTCTACAAGCAACTCTGTTTCGACCCACGATTATGGTTTTGGTAAGTCTCTTTGTGATAGTCAGATCAAAGATCTCTGGAAGTCAAAGAACCCAAATGCGACAGAAATGCCATTTAAAACTAAATGGCAATGGCTATATTGTCCAGTTTGTGATCATTTCTTCAACAGAGACTCGAGCGCTGCAAAGAATATTCTCTTATTGGGAATCTTACACCAAACCGCAGATTACAGGCCATGGATTTATCGTCCTTTACCTGCCGATATCGTGCATATTGGGAGGGTAGACACGACCTAGTTAACCTTAACAGGGCCTTCCTGCATAAATATGAAAGTCCCCCCCCCAGCTGTAAGTTATTAGATAGAAAATATAATGTTGATCTCAATTTACTGATTTTCCCCTTTTTTTCTGTACTTTGTCTTTTTTTTTTACTTTGTCTGTTTTTTTTTTCTTTCCTCAATTCAAAATAAAAGTTCAAATGAGAATATGTCCCACACTATTTCCATTTTTCCAATACTGATAATATCCAATATACAATCATGCCATCCATCCACTTTATCTAATGATAATTGTTTAATTGTTGATTTTGATGGTTTCATATAATGTATATATCTTCCAACACGTAGTTTCTCTTTCTCCTCTCCATCCTTTTCTATTTCTTTATCTTTATCATTTTGATTTTCATAAATGAAAACTCTATATCTTTTTTTAATTGTTCTATCTTTAAATAATTGATTAAATCTATGTATTTCATCCGATTTTTTAACCAATAAACATAAACCTCTTGTTGGGAAATCTATTCTATGTGGATTATAAATAGGTGTGTCTATAGATTGTTGTTGTTGTTGTCTGACCATCCATGATAGATTATTCTTTAAATTATCAATTAATGGCCCAACATTGATACCATGTGGTTTATCACAATTGTGCACTTCACCACAAATATTTTTTTTATTAATTTGGGTGTGGGTCGGATTGTTGTGTCAACCATCCTCTCACTCTGGATTCTGACTGACCACTTTTGGTTGGATGTATTTGTGATCCACAATCATCCTTCTTTTGATTATTAATAAGTATTATTCACATTCTTTTAAGAAATAATAAAAGTAAGTAAAGTAGATAGATTGATTGATAGATAGATAGATAGTTACAACCCAACAAACAACATTCGCAGTCAGTGGTAGTGGGTGATGGTAAGTGTCAAGTTATAGGAATGGTCTATAATACTTTAAGACTATTAGTAGTATACATCACATCAGCTGTCGTTGAGCAGAGTAGTTATTATTATTGTTGTTTTAATCAAGACATCATCAAAAAAACCCATACAAAGACAAATCGATTTTTATAAAAAAGGGGGGTGGATCTCTAGAGGAATCTTGCGGTGGCCGATACCCAATCGCACCTTCGCCTTTCAGGTAAAAAGAAGTGAGTGTGCTGGCAGCACTAATTTTTTTCTCTCTTGAAAGTGAAAAGTCAGAAAACAGTTGAAAGACTCTAGCTGCCTTCTGTCTATGATAGGTTGTTATTAGTGAGGTCACATCCCAAAGATTAATCACCTTCCTCCTCCTCTTTCATCACATCACCCAACCAACACAACCCGTTCCATCGATACATTGTTTGGTGCAACCAATAATAACATAACATATAACTCATCATAACTCATAATAACAAACAAACAAACATCCACATCATCTGTAGAATAGATTCATTCATTCATTCATTGTACTAATATATACTAGATATCATACCCTAAAGATATAAATACTCGCACATATACAAGTTAAAAATAAATCATCATCATCTGACCATAGTAAAGTACCTACAACAACAACAACAACAACAAGAACAAGAACAATAATTAGTACTAGCAACAAATAGTAACAGTAGTATTATAGTAATAGTGATAATAATAATCGTAGTTAGTAATAGTAGTAGAACAACAAGAAAACAAGCAGTAAAGGGGGTGAGAGGAAACAGAGGAACTGAGAGATAGGACGACTCTCAAACATAGATATATATATATATAATATCAGAAATAGTCCATTCCAACGAAAGAGGTAAGCGATATTATTAATACATGTAGCGACGAATGATCATAGTAGTAGTAGTATCTAATCATAAACCCCCTTTTATCTACAACCACCCCATTAATCCGAAAATCACTCACCTCACTCACAAACCATACGACGATAGTGCTTGCCGTATTATTCGTTCGAATCATTCAAACCCACACTCGAGCGTGGTTTCATAATAATAATAATAATAACTATTAGCTTGTCCTATAGATATCTGTCAATCATCAGAGTAGTTAGTTAGTTTTGTTAGTTTGTTAATAATCGTATTTATTTATTTATTCATTCATCATCATTCAACCCAACCCAATCATAATTGTTGTATTATTTAGTATCACCCAAACCAAACCAAACCAAACCAACCAAACCATCAAACAAACAAACCAACAAACAAACCAACAAACCAACGAAATCAATTCTCATAGTCTACTATAATCAGATTAATTATTATTAATAATATTATTATCATAAGAAGAAATGGATACCGATTCATCATCATTTAAAAAGAAGGAAAAGGAAAAGGAAAAGGAGAGAGACAAGGAAAAGAAAAAGGAAAAGAAAGAAAAGGAAAAGAAGGAAAAGGAGAAAAGGAAAAGGAAAAAGAGAGGGAGAGGGAAAAGGAAAAGAGTAATGGTGGTAGCGGTGGTGGTGGCGGTCTTTTTAGCAAGGTCGTCTCTATGATGTCATCAGACACTGCTCCCAAGGAAAAAGATTCCTCTTCCTCTTCATCTACTTCGTCCTCATCTTCATCTCAACAACCTTTCCATGCATCTGCCAATGTTGCACCAGTCGTAGTATTGTCAACTCCAGTCACCAAAGAGAATCATGCCAAAGCAATGGACTTTTGGACAAACCAATCAACTGGTACTCAGGTGACAGCCACCCCTTCTCCCAACAGCAGTATTGGTGGTCCATCCATAACAGTCGGTCAATCCGATCCTAAAATCAGTCTCAATAATAGTGGAACTAATAATCCAAACAACAACAATAGTAATAGTAATAATAGTAGTAGTAATGGTGGTAATAATAGTGGTAGCACGAGCACACAATCATCCTCCTCCACCAATACTTCTTCTAGTAACGATAAATCCTCATTCTTTTCCAAACCCAAAGATAATCAATCACCAAAAGACAGAGATTCAAATGCCAAGGATAGCAAAGACAAAGATGTAAATAACTCGCCATCTGGGTCATCGCCAACGCTCTCTAAAAAGGAGAGAAAAGAAAAAGAAAAAGAATCCAAAGAAAAGGAAAAAGAAAAGGAAAAGGAATCAAAAGAAAAGGAAAAAGAATCAAGGGAAAAAGATAAAGATAAAGATAAAGATCATGAAGATGGAGGTTTGTATCTTAATATTTAAATAGAGTTTTGTCACCTTTCTTTTTACTAACTTTGATATTTCTGTTTAATTGTAGGAGGAGTAGGAGATGAAAATAGAAAGAGACATGTTAGTTCATTTTTAATGTTTATTAGTTCATATGCCGATGCGATCAAGACAATGATAGATGCTTATTATGCACCATTGAAAAAGAATGATCAATTACTTTCACAAGAGGAAACAAGAAAGATTTTCTCAGTCATTGAAAACATATCTAGTTTTAATCATGTCATTCTTGATGACCTCAAGAAACTTGTACAGAATTGGTCAACTTCTTCTCCAGCTGCTCTTTTATCTATATTTTCACAATTTGTAAGAAAAACTAAAAAAGATTATAGATAGAAAAGATAGGATAAATATTAATTATTATTATTATTATTATTATTATTATTATTATTATTATGTTTTAGATTGGATATTTAAAATTATACAAGGTTTATGCTTTGTATATTAATTATGGATTATCTTCATTATGTTCATTGTCATTCAATAACACTCGTTTTGATCATTTCCTTAAAACAGTTGAACAAAAACTACAAAATGATCAAAACTTTAAATCAAATTCTTTGGTTGAATTTTCAAGTATGTAGACAGCAGAATCAATCAATTATTAAAAATAATTTGTAATAACCTTTTTTTTTTGTTTCTTTTAGAGAATGGAATTTTTAAACCAATATCATTATCTGAAATATTGGGTATTGTACCTACGACAAATACATCGACAAATTCTACTTCACCATTGGTTCAATTGAGAAGAACGACAGGTGGAGCAATGGCCACGGCCAAATTTACATCTGAATATAGTTTTAGTGGTCTACCTTCACTCATGGTTCTTCCAGTTCATTTCCTTGCAAGATTCAATATATTTTTCAAGAGTTTTATCGAATCTATTCCAAAATCGGCACCACAAGAATATCAATCCTATTCCAAACTTTTTAAACAAGTCGGAGCCATGGCCAAAGAAATTGTCAATGACTCTGAAAATATTAATCGTGTCATTTCAATTTCAAATTCAATCAAATCAAATACTATTGGTTTATTTCATGTATGTTAAAACAAAAATAGAATAACAGATTATCAACTCTTATTAATTTATATCTATTTTTTTAGAATTCCGAAATTGTTCAAAATCGTAGATTTATTAAAGAAGGAAACTTAATTGAACAATTTAATAGTCAACGTACAACTTTTTATACGTTCCTTTTTAACGATATCATTCTATTCACTGAAAAGATGGATGAGACCACAAGCGGTTCACTCATCCCTTACGAAGGTTCACTTTATCTACTCAAAAAGTTGGAAAGAATTCAAAATTGTCAAGTTGAGGAAACACCCGAACTTGGTTTTGGTATGTTAATAGAAACACTTGAACAAACAAAAAAAGATGTTGAAAATATTTATTTATTTATTAACTTTTTTGATTTATATTTTTTACTCTTTAGAATATAGAAAAGGATTCCAAATTAAAACAAAGGAATATTCAATATTTTATATGGCAACTAATGAAAAGGAAAAGACTGAATGGTTCCAAGGTTTGTCACAAGTGACAAAGGGTGGAAGTGGTGGAACAAACACATCGACCAATGTTGCTTTGCCAAGAGGTGAACCAATTGTAGAGGTGGAGGAATTTGATGAGGAAGAGGTAAAGGATATACCATCGCTCATCAAAGCCATCCAAAGCGGACAGAGACAAAAGTTGGAGCTCACTACAGCATTGCTCAAGACAGCTGATCCAAAACCACTTTTCACTCTGTTGACACAGTCTATGCTTGTGAGCAATTTGACGTTGACCCCTAGCGCATACACTGAAAAGATTGGACAGATGTTGACCATGACAATGGCTGTAAATAGATCGATTACACATTTGACATTGACGTTGAATAATATTGGCGACCAGTGTGCATGTGCGTTGGGTGATGCGTTACGTTTCAACGTGACTGTTACACAACTCGAGCTCAACGAGAATAATATTAGCGATAGAGGGTATGAAGCATTGGTCGATGGTATATTGGCACATCCAGCCATCTCGATTGTGTCACTCACGAGTAACCAGATTGGCGACAAGGGTGCCAAAACGACTGCCAAGCTGATTGCACATCACCAGACTATCAACGCGCTCTTTCTCGACGACAACCCTATTTCGGCGTCGACAACGTCCGAGTTGCTCGATAGCTGGGTCACCAACTACACTACGCCGCTCACACTGATCGTGCTGCCCAACACACCTCCAGAGTATGGTGAAAAGATCAAAACCAAGATCATGAGCATCAAGAACCGTATGGATGAGCGTAAGCGCAAGGAGCAGTCGATGAAAGCCGCCCCACCTACACAGTCGCGCACAATGCTCGATTTGGGCCGTCTCAACTACCCCGAGTTGACACTCCAACTGCTCAACAAGCTCAATATGCTGCAGTTGGACAATAGACGTTTGTCAGACTTGACCGAGCTGTACCTCGACCACAACTGTATGTCGAGCATCGCACCCAACATTTGCAAGGAGTTGACCAAGCTGCAAGTGCTCGATCTTTCACACAACCAGCTGTCGTCGCTGCCCATCGAGTTGGGTGAGGTAAAGGAGTTGCGTCGACTCAACGTCGCACACAACAATCTCAACAGTTTGCCATCGAATATTGGTCAGCTGACCAAACTTGTCCACCTCGACTTTTCCTTTAACCATGTTGACACGATGCCAGCCGACGGTATCCCCATGCTGCATTCTCTCAAGACGCTGTTGATGCAACGCAACCATTTGAGTCGTCTGCCTCCTCAGCTGTTTACCAATCTCACTCAGTTGACTGCATTCTCGATCAATGGGTCACCGTGCTTCCATCCGGCCAAGCAGCGTGTGCTCGAGGCGTGGGCTACAAAGGTCACCAAGCTCGACTTGTCCGATTCGAATCTATCGCATGTACCTCTTGAAATTGGTAGTGTCACCTCGTTGGTCGAGTTGTCAGTTGCTATGAACCGTATCAAGCATCTACCACCACATATTGGTAAGCTGTCCCAACTTGTCTCACTCGACATATCGCACAACCAGATCCAAGAGTTGCCCTGGCAGCTATCCAAACTCGACAAGTTAAAGTCGCTGTCGATTGTTGGTAACCCGCTCACATTCGAGGTCAAACTCGATCTCCCTGATGTGCTCCAAGACGAGCAGCTGCTCGGTATCCTCTCGTACCTCAGACTACAAGTGTCGAAAGATCGTGCATGTATGCGTATGAAGCTCATGCTGGTCGGTCAAGAGAATGTGGGAAAGACATCGATTGCCAAGTGTCTCAAAAAGGAGATCATCCCAGTATCCAAGAAATTGCGTCAGACCATTGGTTTGGGCACGAAAAAGAGCAAGCCTGCCGAGTCGGACGCGATCGTTCCATTGGCAGGCGGTATCAACCCACTCAACACGACACTCAACCTGTCGACCGATGGTATTGATATGGACGACTGGAAGCCAGCTGCACAAGAGCAGGATCAGGCACCAGTCACATTCTCATTGTGGGATTTTGCCGGTCAAGAGGTATACTATGCGACGCATCAGTTCTTTATCTCTAGTCGTTCCATCTTTGTGGTGGTGTTTAACATGGCCACCTACTTTGACGAGCATGGCCTGTTACCACAGGAGAGTCGTGTGCCATACTGGTTACAGTGTATTGAAGCTTGGGGTGGCGATTCTGCCATTATTCTCGTCGGTACACATCTCGACGAACTTCCATCGGGCATGGAAACACAGATTGCACATGATATTGAAACCAAGTACTTTACTTCGTTCCCCAACATCAAGGCGTTTATGCCAGTCTCGTGCAAGAGCGGTAAAAACATCAACAAGCTGCAAAACATCATTGTCAAGCATGGCAAAGCCGAGAAGAAACTAGGTGTCATGCACAGTCGCGCCTTTTTCCAACTCGAGTCGTTGATTTTGTCGGAACGTGAAATGAACGTGCCACCCATCATCACTCTCGACGAGTTCTCGACCATGGCCGCGCAGTGCGGTATCCCGGCCGAACGTGTGCCTGCAGCTGCCGCCTTTCTCAAAGAGCTCGGTGTCATTGTCTACTTTAACGACGCTAAATCTGGGCTCGACCAATTTGTCTTTATCGACCCACCCTGGCTCACCAAGCTCATGGCCACACTCATCACGTCGAAACCCAACTTTGTGCAGAGTGGTGTGCTCGAGCAATCCAACCTCCACCAAATCTGGAAGGCACCTGATTTCCCAAGCCACTTGCATTCAGTTTTATTGGCTATTCTCCAAAAGTTTGAGATTGTTCATCCCCTACCCGACCCCCGTGCACCTGCCCCCTCCCCACCCATCCCCAAGCAGTTGCCAAGCAGTAGTAACAATATTGCTCGTATTCGTTCAAACTTTTTGAATCAAGTCAATAATAACCCTACGACCACTCCCACAGCCAATACAAGCAATTCTTCATTGGTGCCACCAGGCAGCAAGAGTTTTATCAATGTATCAAGCAAGTTTGGTGGATCGATTGGTCGTGGGTCAACACTCAACCTAAACAAACGAGAGACTATATCTGGTGATACTTTTGTTAATCCTCAACAACAGCAACAACAACAACCAACTCCATCAGTTGCACCACAATCAACATTGGTAGCAAAAGCATCAACCAAACATTTGATTCCAGTATTGTTGAGTGAGGAAAGACCAAATTCACTCGACAAGGTGATCGAAGACATGAAGGCAAACCATCAATCGACTCTGTTTGAGAGAATCTACCAATTTGAGTTTATTCCAGTTGGTTTGTTCTCCAAGCTCATGATTCGTGTCATGTATTTCACAACGGTCAAGGAGTTTTGGAAGCACGGTGTGTTGGTTGAGCGTGATGCCAGTTCGTCGCTCATAGACGTCAACCATCACACACACCAAATCCATATACGTGCATGGGGCAAGAACTCATCAACACTACTCAGATTCATCGTTGAAACGGCCGAAGTACTGCTCAACGGCTGGTACAAGTTGCGCTACCAATTTTTGGTGCCATGTAACTGCGAGAATTGCAAGATTCTAGCATCGACCACTGTCATTGGACGTAATGGTAGTGGCGGCAATCTGCATCTGTCTATTGACCCACTCTCGCTTGCTGGTGCAAACGACCACCACGACATTGGTGTCACACCGGCACAAATCTCGAATCTCCAAAGCCAACTTTCGCAGCTAAAGGATTCATCGGCAGTTGAAAAGTCGGCATCCAACCCACTCAACAATAGTAGTGGTAGTGTACCGGTTGCTTCAGAGGACGATGGTGTCGACCGTGAGGATTGGGAAAGTGACAGTATCTCGCCGGGTGGAACACTCAAAGGCAAGAGAAAGAAAAACAAAAACTTCCTCACACTGTACAAGCCAAAGGTCAAAGGATCGATGCTCAACCTGTCAGCTGCACCCAGTGGTGCAGGTGGAGCGTCTGCAGCGATGATGGACAGCAGTTCCATGTCAATGGCGAGCAACAAGAGTCCACATCTGACACTGACCCCCAACAACGTGTCTGCACTCATCAACCAGACACTAAGCAACAACTTGCGGTCTGCACCCACCACAGATCTACGTACCATGTTCTTGTACGAGGATTTGGAGCGTGCAGTAATTGCCAAAAAGTCAGAGGTACTCTGTAAATCTGGTGCATTGCTCAAGCTCGTTCCAGAGGACCGTCTTGTCAAGTTGGAGACACTCGTTCCCGAGTTGTTGATGGCTGATCTCGGTGCCAACTTTACCATCGATTACAAAGACCTCGAAATTATTGAAAAGGTCGGTGAAGGTGGTTTCGGACTCGTCTACAAGGCCAAGTTCAAGGGTCAATTGGTTGCTGTCAAGCAGTTGACACTCGAGGGACGTATCGAGGTGGAAGATATCTTTAGAGAGTTTCGTCGTGAGGTTTGGTTGTCCAACACACTCAACCATCCAAGTATCGTGTCGCTCAAGGCGTGCTGTCTCGACCCGTGTTGTCTCGTCATGGAGTATATCCCAAATGGCAACCTCTACAGCTTCCTCCAAAAGGTTACTCAGCCATCGTGGACGTTGCGTATGAAGATTGCACTCAATATCGCCTCTGCCATTCAGTATCTACACGACTTTACACCCAAGATTTGTCATCGTGATCTCAAGTCACCCAACATTCTCATGTTGACCGATACGAGTGACGCCACACCCGTGGTCTGCAAGGTGTCGGATTTCGGTGAGACTAGAGCTGTCGTCACATCGGCACTTGGACGTGAGAAGCTGTCCAATCCACTCTGGTTGGCACCCGAGATTATGAAGGGTGAAGAGTACACTGAAAAGGCCGATGTCTACAGTTTTGCAGTCATCCTCTGGGAGATTCTCACCGGTCTGCATCCATTTGACGAGTTCCCAGTCGCACACTCTTCATTCCTCTATCAGTTGGAGGATGCCATTTGCGAGGGTCTACGTCCCACCATCCCACCAACTGCTCCACCAGCCTACACTGCCTTGATTCAAGATTGTTGGAACAAAGATCCAGTTCAACGTCCAACTTTCCAAGTCATTCATCAACGTCTATTAAATATTCGTGATCAAAAATTATATAATATTGTTGGAAATGGAAGCGGTAGTAGTAGTAGCAATAGTCCATCAACAACATCATCAACAACACCTATCATTTCATCACCCCCTGTAACTAATAGTAATACATCACCAACTTCAACAACTACTGTACAATTAAATAACAATCATCACACTATTTCATCACCACAAGTAACTACAAAAGTAGCTACCCCTCATCAACAACATCACCCAGCTTCAACTCCAACTCCACCACAAAAACCAACAACCTCTTCAGCAGCAGTCGTTGTATTAAATAACCAGAATAATCAAATCCACCAGAATACTAATAATCATAATAATTCATCAAGACCACTCCTCAGACCACCACTAACTCCATCACAATTTAAACCAATGCCATCACCACCAACAGGAGCAGGCGCTAATGCCACTAATGTTGGTGCTGGACATGGACACGGACACGGACATGGACATGGACATGGACACGGACCTACCACGGCATCAAATGGAGCACCAATGCTTGTTTCAAGATTATCTTCAAACACTTTGACACCAAAACCAATGTCATCATCTTCACTCAATGTATCAAAGTTTAATAATACTACATCATCACAAACGACAGCACCTCAACCAACACCTGGTCATCCAGTTGGTTCGTCTGTTGCCAAACCACCTATCAGTGGTGGTAGTAGTCTTCTTCTTAGACCAACCACGATGATTGCCAAGAAACCTGCAGCTGCCCCATCTGCTCCCGTTTCATCAACTAGTCATGCCCCAACAACTAGTGGTACTACTGTAACAAGATCTTCACTTCCCACGCCACCAGCACCAAGTTTGAATCATTCCAAACCATTGCCACAAGCACCAAGTGTTGTAAGCACCGCCAAGCCATTGCCAACTCCCGTCACTCCACACTCCAAACCATTACCAACCCCGCCTTCAACAGCCAAACCACCAGCTTCAAAATAAATCAATAAATCCAATAATCACACAATAATAATAAACCTTTTTAAAAAAAAACAAATAGGTAAATTTAAAATATATAATAACAAACAAAACAACCAAACAAACAAACAAAAAATAGATCTTTTAAAAATGTTTTATATCTCTGGGTGTGTTTTAATTTGTTTATAAAATATGTTTGAATTCGTGTATCGCAACCTGGGTAAAACTACTACTTTTCATTCTTTTATTATTTATTTATGTTCAGCGCTCTCTCACCGTGAAACAGATATATATTTGTTTATATAAAATGGAACAAAAGGATGGAATACTATTACAAGGATATTTATTCGATTACTTGGTATCGTCGTCTGTACCATTTAGAGAATTCATTAGGTTTGGTTCAACATGTAAACATTATCGAAAGTTGATGATGCGATCAAACAAATGGTTACACGTCGATGTTTCTCCACTCAACGAGTTCTTTAAAGACACTAATCTATTTAATCTAACGAGACTGCTAAACCAATATCATCGTCAAGATGTTGGAACACCATTTATCAATCGTCTCACTCTCAATGGATGTTATCAGTTGACTGATCGAGCATTGTACTATCTATCAAATTGTACATTGTTTGTTCATCTCGAACACATTTCACTTGACAATTGTGTTAAAATAACTGCTATTGATGATCTATTTAGACCTTGTCCTCCAATGCCTGAAATATCAACTACAACCACATCAACAACAACCGACAATAATAATAATATTGTAGATGATTTAAATCAATTGACCATCACTTCTACTCCTACTACTCCACCTACACCTCAATTAATATTGGATAGAACACCTTTGAAATCTATATGTCTACCATCACTTCATACAAGAACTATACCAAATATATTAAAGTATTTGTCATCGATCACTTCACTTTCACTAAATGGTTCAGTTGAAAGAATTATCTTTCTACGATTCCTTGAATCTACTCCAAAATTAACTCATCTTGTAAGTCTTCTTAAGATTACCTCAAGTAATCTATTCATCGATTAACTAATTTATTTGTATATTCTAGAAATTAACATCAAGAACCAAAGATAATATATTTTCATCAACTATATTGGATAAATTATGTGCATTTAGAAATCTAGAGAGATTGGAATTAATATCAATGATGCATTTAACAGATGAAGATGTTGGAAGAATGTCATTCTCTTTGGTAAATTTGACTGGTCTTGTTATTACCAATAATTTACATCTATCAGGTTCAGTTGTTAATTTAATATTAGAAAGTTGTCAAAATCTATTTGGTATGGAAATAATCAGAATAGAAAGAGAGAGAGAGAGAGAGAGATATTATTCTATCTTCAATTATTTATTTTATTTTATTTTAAATTTAGAATTAAGAATTAAATATTGTAGAAATGTTGAAAGAATTAATGTTGAATCAAAATCATTAAGAATATTTGATGCATCATATACGAAACCATGTTTAGATATTAAATTCCCAAATCTATTTGAAATGGCAATAGGTGGTTGGGTAATGAATGATGATGAATACTTGCAACTATTTTCAAATATATCACCAAAACTAATTCATATGGATCTATCTCATACTCAAATCACCGATAAACAAGTTGAAATAGTATTACCTCTTACTAGAAATTTACAAAGATTAGATTTAAATGTATGTACATATATTAAAGGTAATACAATAATCTAAATTCTTCTTCAAATATTGATTCACTTCCTTCTTTCTTCTTTCTTCTTTCTTCTTCCTTCTACTTCTATCTATCTATCTATCTAGTACACAAATATAACATTGAAATCAATCGAAACGATTTCAAAATATTGTAAACAATTATTTAAACTTGATATTACCAATCATGATGGAAATATAACAAAAGAGAAATGTGTACAATTGCTTCAAAATATTAAAAGTTTGGAACAATTGGTTGTTCATGAACCAAAAGCCAGAAATAAATCGATCAACATACATTTGAATTGATCGATGCATGTTGTGTGTATAACCAAAGGATAATTGTACAATATTTGTCATGGCAATGTTGTTTATTCTCTTGCTTGCTTTCTTGCATCCATCCCATTTATTGAAGTTTCTTGGCTACAATGACAGCAAAGGCAGTGAATAAACCAACAACTGCTGTGAATTTGGCCATACCAATTGCATCAAATTCTTGATTCTTTTTGATTTCACGAAGTTTGTTGTGAGCACCATCACAGAATGGTCTAGTTTTGAGAAAGAAATCGATAGATAGATAGAAGAGAGAGATTAATAAGCTTGTTTTAGAGTACCACATGTATATCATATCATATGATATGATGAAGTGAATCTTGTATTACCTATTTTTTGAATAACCACATCTGCAAACATAGACAACATCTTCACCCTTGGCAACCTTGAGAGGAGTTACATTGGTTTGATGTTCTTGGTTGTATTGCTTGTGAGAGCCATCGCAAAGGGGATATGAAGCAGATTGACCGCATCTACAAATCCATTTATCAGATTCACTTGGGTCTACTGGGATTGGACCTTCAGTTGAGTAGTTCTTTGCAGAGATATCCCATTGACGTTGTAATTTTTCTGACATGATGATTATTGATTATATTATATATATTATAGTTAGTTGAGTATTAATAAAAGTGTAAACTGAAAGCTTGGGAGTGTTCTTCATCAGGGCAACTTTGAAAAAATTAGAAAAAAATAAAATCAATCCATAAAAGGAAAGGATGTCAACCGATCGCACATGAGATAATATTATTTCATTACTATCATATTAATAATTATTGTAGATTGAAGGTAACATAAATCATAAGTCATAGATGGGGAGTGTTTGATTGACTCTCTCTCTCATTATACAAATGCGATACGATCGATATTAATATTAATTTTAGAGAATATCTACTATCCTGAGAGAAGTTTACAAACTTGTTGACAATCCATACATTCCATACATACATACACGAGTTGTATGCTTCTTCTTACAAAACTAAAAAGGAAACTCTCGCTAGTACATGAGTAAGGAAAGACGGTCTCCTTATCCAGAGTCTGGTAGCTGTCCTAGGGTGAAGGTTTGTGCCTGTCTCATTTTTCGATATGTTTGTTGCAACACAACCAGCAGCTGATTCTATGAATGATGATGTACATTGATCTGCTCAACTCAAGGCATGCTGCTCACTTGCGAATTGCTCACTCGTCGGGTGGGTGCGACGATGCGAACATGCCACGACAATTATGAGTTTAAAGGGGCCACCCACACTCTTTTGGTGTGCAAAAGTTTTCAAAGCAAAAAGATTTTCTTTCAAAATGGGAAACCTTTTTTTTTTAAAGACCTCCCACCTCATCCTCTCTAGATTTATTGGGTGCACTGGGCTGCTTGCTTGGAGTATTCTCTCTTTTCTCTCTCATCTTCTTTCTTTTTTTGTGTGTTCTACCTAGTCTATCTATCTGATCAGAAATTTATTCATCACCCATCATCAATCATTTCAATTCATTCATTCATTCATATGATCAGACAAGAAGAAAGAACAACAATCATCAAACTACAGGGTCATCATTGTTAACTGTCTATTGTCTAGACACATACAACCAACTATATACCTACATACCCATTATAAATAACACCAATCAATATCATACCAACTATTTATTAGTTAGACCAACATGTTGGATGGACAGATAATCACACTAGAGTCGATACTGACTAAACTCGAGGAGAGTCTTGGCGACTATGATTACAAAGACTCGACATTCACAAAGGTCAGGAAGAGAAAGAATGAAAAGGAGGAGCGTCTGTTTGTCGCGAGGATCAGTACGTTGATGCGACACTTGGCAGAGTTTAAGGGAGACCGTACCATGGTGCATATCTTTCACCTTCGCTTCATTCACACTACTTCACCTGTCAAGAAACTGAGACAGAGCAAGATCATATCACAGCTGACAGAATATCTACGTATAATGAATAAACATTATCAGACTGGCGATCATCAACAACAACAACAACCTCAACCTCAACCACAACAACAACAAATAATATCTCAACAACCTCAACAACAACAACAAATAATATCTCAACAACAACAACAACAACCTCAACAACAACAACAACAACAACAACAACAACAAATAATATCTCAACAACAATCATATAACTATTACTCTCAAAGTGGTAGTACTATAGTGAGCCAGAGTGTTACGACATCGATTACTAGTAGCAACACGAGTGATGTGCCAATGTATGATTCCCCACTTCAATTAGAGCCTTCTTCTACTAATGGACAACAATCATCACCTCCCTCAACATCGGTATCTTCAAACAGCTCGTCTTCATCGTCATCATCGACAACTACGACAACAGCCAATAATAATAATTCAGCACCTCCCCTTCAACTAGGATCGTCATCAGCGACTCCAGAAATGACTACTTCAGTGGCACCACCACCAACAACTATTTCAGAAAAGGTCAAGTTGTCTACACTACATTTAAATCTTTCATTTTCCAATCTATACTCGCTTGGTAACAAGGATAAAGATCGCGACAAAGATGGTGGTGCAGGTCCCAGTCCAGGGACACAGTCTCCAAGCGGTACGGCATCTAGCGGTACAGCACAGACATCACCATTAAATGCCGACATTAAGATTGCACGAGAACTACTTGACTATCTTCATACACATCGTGTCGATCCCGACAACTCGCTGGTTGGTTGCGAGCTCAATCAGTCGTATGTAGACGAGTTGCTCAAGTTTAGATCACAACATGCATACAATAAGCGGTCACTTGTCAAGATGATCAAGAGTTGGGGATGTCTCAAAGACGACAGTCTCATTAAAGAGGTGCGTAAAATGTCGACCATTCTCAACAACCTAGACTATAAGCGTGGCGAGCTTGTTATCATTGATATGACAACTAGCAGCAAGCGTGTAGTCGTAGCAAAAGAGGTGCCAGTCAGCAACACGACCATGTCAGCCGATGATGACACTGGTACCGAGTTTGATTTTGGTGATAGTGACTCTACCAATAGCGGGGGTGGAAGTGCTATCATTACAGACACTCCATCTACTACCTCGAGACAATTAGATGAATCAATCGAGCTTGTAAACAATGTATATATATTTGCCCGTGTTGACGAGGAATTATCGTCAAATCGAACCTGTAAAGTTTACACCAACCCTTCTGAAGACATGACGTTGACGGTTGACATTGAGAATGTCTACAAGTTGGGACCCGAGCTGAGCGAGCAGATCCGCAGCCATGAAAAGGTGATCAAGCTGGTGGCAGACCCGTCCATCCCATTTGTACACGCACTCTCGTTCAAGGAAAAGAGTATCTTTAGCAGCTACCTCGAGTCGCACAAGATCGACACGCTCATCTTTGAACGATGTCGCAACAACACTGTCACGCTGTCGGACGTGCCCATCATCCGCAAATGTATCATAGAATGCACCGAGCTGGATCGCTCACTCTCGTCAACACACCTCTTGCAACAGGTCAGCCAGAATGCCAAGCAAGACGCCAAGCCCTTCCTCGAGCAGGTGCGCAAGACCTGCTTCTACATTCCCATCCTCAACCAAATCGAAGAGATGGTCAAAAACATTGCCCACGATCGTGAAAAGAAGTTTAGAGCACGTATTCATCAGGCAATCATCACACTCGACTCGTCCAACTTTAAACTACAAGTCGAAAAGAAAGAGATTCTCGAGGGTGTCACCAAGAATCGTCTCTCGCAATGGTGGCTCTCTATTATTCGTGAACACGTAGACTCTTTTCTCATCAAAAATAACTATGATTTCCATGCAGTCCCACAAGAATACATGGAAAAACCTCCTTCCAATTTCCACAATGTAAAATATAATTTATCTCTTCTTCATATTATAATGAATCAATTACCAACAACTTCAACTTCACCAACTTCTCTACAACAAGATGATTCCACCACCAACTCAAATTTTTCAAATGAAGAAATATTGAAAAAGGAATTTGAAAAGGTTTTAAAGAGATTGATAGAGACGATCTATCCTATTATTGAAGAGTTTATATTCAAGAGTAAATTGGTTATTTTGGATTGTTTGGGTTTATTTGACGAAACCATCAAATCTTTGGAATCAAAAGGATTGTTGGATCTTGTAACTCTAAGACAATTATATTCTCAAAAATGTTCAACTGAACATTTCGAAAAGGCAAAACAACAATTCATCGATAGAATTTTCAAAGATATCGACTATATCTTGGAAATGAAAAGATTGGAAAATGTTTTAAATGAAAAAAGATTAGATATCGTCCCAATTTCTGGTATTGCAATTGGTAGAATTCATAGATTTGAAAATGGTAAGAAAAACATAAAAGAAATAATATTAATATATATTAATACTTTTTATTTTATTTTTCTTTTTTAGAAATGAGAACAGTTATCGAAATTTGGAAACATCTTGATCCTTCAAATATTCCAATTAATAATCAAAATAATAGTAATAATAATAGTAATAGTAATCCAAACTCTTCACCATCAATGGGAGGTGGATCACCAAATAATTCATTTGTAAATAATAATCAAAATCAAAATAATCAAAATAATAATAATAGTGGTAATAATAATGCTGCAATGAGTTCAAGTAGTAGTGGTATAATATCAAGCAATTTAACTAGTGGTGGTATTAATCAATCAGTGGCAAAATTATACTCAAGGTCAATGTCTGGTGATCTAAGCACAAATATTATTAATAGTAATAATAATAATGGAAACAATAACACTCATACACCTCCACAAAAACCTTTACCATCCTCTCCAACATCTTCACAAGTTTCCAAATTAAACATTAAACAACCACAACAACAACCACAACAACAACCACAACAGCAACAACAACAACAACAGACATTAGAAAATAATTCTGATGCTACAAAGAAATGGAATGAACCAAGCAAACCAATCAATAGATTATTAAATCAAAGAAAGGTTTTAGTTGGTTCAGGTGGTTCTTCTAGTATCCAATTATTACAACAAAACCAACCATCACCAACTCACCATCTTCCACCTCAACAACAACCCAGATCCTCAACACCAACCTCTTCAGAGTCACAAACTCAACCACAACAATAACAATAATAATAATAATAATAAATAATTAGTAATGATGTAATGTTTAAAAAGTATTACAACCAACTAAAAATAACTAAATTTGTGTAACAATTAAATAATAATAAAAACAAAATATATTTATTTCTTTTGTTTTTTAAATTTACTTCCCAATTTCTTAACCTTGACCTTGTTGTTGTTGTTTTGTTGGTTTGGTTTCTTTTCAGGTTTACCCTTCTTTTTTCCCTTTTTATCTGCCTTTTCAGAGACCTTTGGCACATCACCTTCAAATTCCAATTCATCTTCACTGTCGGTGGTAAATTCTTGATTGGATAATATATTCTTGCTTTTAACTTTAGTTCCTGGTGCAGCTGGATCATATCTTTCACCCAATCTAGTATCATCCTTGAATCCTGAAAATAATGAAACAAATCCTCCTGTTGGTACTGCTGAAGCTATTATTGGTTGCGATTTTGTAATTGGTTTCTTCATTTCTTCTTCTTCGCTATCATCCTCTTCCTCTTCTTCTTCTTCATCTTCCTGTTCTTCATCCTCTACTTGTTCTTCTTCATCTTGATCAAACTTTCTCTTTAAATCTTTATCTTGTTTATCTTTTGCCAATTGTTCAATAACCTTATCAATTTCATCACCAGGAGTTGAAGGGATTTTTTCAAATAAAGCTACAAAGAAACCAATAGTATTATCAACTTCTGGTGCAGTTCTGATACTATAGTCACTGGTTGGATACATTCCAGCAAACCCTCTACTCTTGTTCCAGTTTGGTAGAATCTTTACCAATTTCCATGTTGGCTTTTTAGCATTTAAATATTTAAGTGCTCTAAAAACAACATCTTCATTTTCAGTTTGATGAATTGAACATGTAGAATATGCTACCTTTTTAACATTTGGAACTATTGAAAAAAAAAAAAGAAATATAAAATTAATCTATGTTTGTTTGTTTGATTGATTATTTTGTTAAATTTTATACATACAACCAAAAGCATGTTTAATAATTGATAATTGGAAATCAGCCAAAGTTTGAAGTCTATTTTGATTGTCTCTAGCTTCATTCTCTTGGGCTTGTTCTTTTTCTTGTTGTTCTTTTTCCAATTTTTGTTGTTGTTGTTTCAAGGCAGAGTTGTTGGTCATACCAAACTTTTCATTTAATTTTTCTAATTTCTTTACTTCTCTTTCTTCAAATCCCATTGGTCCTTTTTTGTTGTTGCTATTTTGTTGTTTCTTTTTTTGGAAACTATTATTATTTTGATTTGGATTTGGATTATTTTTTAAATTCTCTTTAATTAAATCTTCAACATCATCGGCTTCATCAGTTGCAAAATGATTTCCCAATAAATGATCAAGTCTATTTACAATACCTGATCCTGAACATGATGGATCACAAAGAATATACTCTACATCTTTAAATTTTGGATCATCCCAACTACATTCCAAAAAACTATCATTAATTGCTGTAATATCTAAAAAATAAATTAATAGAAATTAAATAAAATTAATTAAATTAAATGGTTGGTTGATTAATTCTTTCTACTTACTTTTACATTGTGATCTAGTAGTTAATTTAATAAGTGTTCCACATCTTTTCTTGTCTTTTTCAATAGCATAGATTCTACCAGTGTTTCCCATCAATGCAGAGAGTAATGATGTCTTGTTACCAGGAGCTGAACAAGAGTCAATGACGGTTGCACCTGGAGGTGGTGCGAGAATATAGGATGGCAGACAACTGGCTTTATCCTGTAAAATGATTTGTCCAGTGGTGAGTAACTCGTCGTCATGTAGATCAATGGCCGAAGTGAATATGATAATCTCTTTGAAATCATTGTCTTGGTAAAAGAACTTGTCATTGCTAAAATCTAGTTTAGATTGATAGGTATTGCCATCCTTGAGAATGAAACCTCTATCTTTAAACTTTTGGATGATCTGTTGAATGAATTGTTCGTCTGTCTGCTGTGTCTTTTTGGCCAATGTGTTGATTCTCACATAACGTGGTAGTACCAATGGATTACGAATCGATTCGGGTAACAATCCAGTATTACTAGACACTTGTTTCTTTATCTTTAGTCTTGCCAACGACGAGTTTAATTGTGTCTTGTATCCAATCACTATCTTTTTAGCAAATCCACCTCCTCTAATATCCTTTGCTGTACTAAATAATAAATCATATATCATTACTAACATTATACCATATTTTAGCTATAAAAGAGAAAGAGAGAAAGAGAGATTAATAAACATAAACACAAACAAATTAATGAACCGATTATCTCATTCTAATATAACTCTTTTAAAACAACATACATTCTTTTCCTTTTTAATATTTGGTATAGTTGTAATTAATTCATCTATTATATCTTTATCTGTTAGGATTAAAAGTAGTAGTAGTAAGGATGAAAGAAAGAGTTAGTTATACTATATACTATATATATATACATATATTTGTTTCATTGTTGATATGTTCTTACACTTTAAAGTTTCACAAACCAAAGCGTATGCAGTCTTGTTCTTTGAGTCGTTTGAAGAAGAACTATTTGCAAAGGCTAACCCTTTGATACTGCCCTTCTTCTGTAACAACTTTTCTATAATATTTGAAGCTTGTATGTAGTAATCTGCCATTCTCCTCTCTCAAATACAAATATAAACAATAGATAGATAAGATACAAATAAAACCAAAGATATATGACAAAAAACGAACGAAAGGTGTGTCCCCAAAAATATTGAAAATCATATTGAAATTCGGGAAGAAGATAATATCTTATTATGTCTTTCACATGTGTTGTGTACAATAATAATAATTATATAATGATATTAATAATGATATTTATTCTTTGCTCAATCTGATCACCGATCAAAAGAGAGTAGAAGAATATTATTAATTCTCAAAGTCTTTGATCTAAAATAGACAAAACAACAACAACAACAACATTTTTTGTGTAAGGACACCCTCTCACAATGCTCCAATACCTCTTTAGTGATCACTGTCGATTAGATAACTTTGAAATGTTAAAACATTATCGGATCACTTTTAAAAGTGGTAGTGCTTGGTTCATCACAAAAAACATAAAACAATTATTTTCCATCTAAAAAAAAAAAAAAGATATAACACATATAACATATGTGTTGATATAACAACTTGGGCGATTATTCTTGATGAAAATGTTTTTTAATTATATTGTTTTTTATTTATATTGTTTGTTGTTTGTTGTTTGTTGTTTGTTGTTATTGTTGTTTTTTATTTATATTGTTTGTATTGTTTGTTGTTGTTGTTGTTTGTTGTTGTTGTTGTGTAGAATACCTTTAAATAAATACCTACTTTTTCAAAAAGTATATATTAATATAGGTGTTCCACTTTTTGTTATTTTAATAGTTCTTCTGATTTGTAGTTCACAATTCTAAGATATTTGCTGTGCTTATCTGATGGATGACCCCAGGCTGATCTGAATTGATCAACGAATTGAGATTCACTTTCAAAATAATGCATGACTTCATAGCAGTGTCGTATAACAGGCATCTTACATAAATATTTGATTTCGTAAATCGAATCCTTTTCAAGGGTAGTAATGTTGAATGTTGATACAAGATACTTGACATATTCAAGGTGACCACAAATTGATGATATAATGATTGCAGATTCAATATTATCTAGTTGGAGGCGTGCTGCTTTCAATCCTCCTATATCCTCTTTTTCTTTGATGAAAATATCGAGCAAGAACAAAGGGATTTCATTTCTTTGATTGCAACATGATAATTCTATTGCATCTGCTACATTTACTTCTTGTCGTCGATTGTTGTATAAAAACTATATTAGATTAGATTAGATTAGATTAGATTAGATTAGATTAGATTAGATTAGATTAGATTAGATTAGATTAGATTAGATTCAAATCTGAAGGGCTGACTGATTGGACAGCTGTATCGCTGTATAAATACCTTTAGAATTTCAAAATGACCATATTGAGCTGCATCAGACATTGCTTTATACGTTCCACCTTCAGTTCTGTGTTGATGAAGGAATAATACAATATCCATGAATCCCTTTTTAGATGCTTTGTTTAGAGCTTTGGTGGTGCATCCTTCTTGACGATGCTCATGAAGGAATTTGACGATATCCATGAATCCGTATTTACATGCATTATCTAGAGCTTTGACAGTACATCCCTCTTGACGATGCTCATGAAGGAATTTGACAATTTCAAAGTGTCCCAGTTTGGCTGCCAAATTCATATCACTTCTTGTCCAAACACCACTGTTGTTTGGATAATAGTCATGAAGAAGAGATAAAATATCTAATCTACCTTTTTCTATTGCCATTCGAACTGCAGCCGATGAACATTCACTTTTGACAACTTGAACAAGATATTCAACCATTTCAGTGTGTCCACTTTCAATAGCTTGATGGATTGCTAAGCTTGTTGCACCCTCACTACGATGTTCATAAAGGAACTTTACAACATCAATGTGATTATTTCCAGATGCCGCATCCATAGCCCGGGTTGTTGCACCTTCAGTTCTGTTGAAATGAAGAAACTTTACAACATCAAGAGCCCCTCGAAAAGATGCCGCATCCATAGCCCGGGTTGTTGCACCTTCAGTAGCCTGGTGACCATTCCAATAGATATTCAAGAGTATCAGATGTTGCATTACGATGACGACAATAACGATCGATAACGTCTACTCTTCTTGTGGGTACTACTTTATCGGTTGGTGGTAGATAGTGACGAATGAACTGCAATGGCATTGCATACTTTGATATCATTCCAAGAAAAGGCAACTTGATGATATCTCTTCCTTTGACACCCAAATATCGTCTATCACCTTTTTGGTTTGCATCATACTCTACTTTGAATATTTGACCAATTTGATTGAATATCAATGATCTGATATATGTCATTTTGAATATATCATTAAATGTTGTCGTTGTTGTTGTTGTATGATCATTATTACTATTACTGTTATTAACTGTTGTTGTTGTTGTTGTTGTTGTTGTTGGTACTATTAAAGTCATAACATGCTATAAACTATGGTCGGTATCAAGTGCTAGACTATCTTGTTCAAAAGTGTGACTATCAATTATCACACAATGAAATGCAAAGAATTTTCAGTAGCCGTGAAATAACCTGTGCAATACAATACAATAGGGGATACCAGGTTTTGGTGATCAGATACGGCGCGAGCACGTTCGATTGAGATTTGAAAGAGTTTTTTTTTTAGAGCCACACCAACAACGCCTTTGCACCAACACACAATTATTTTATTTTCAATAATTTTAAAACAAGATATATAGTTGTATAGATCCCCGCCTACCCACCTTACAAAGGTTATTTATAATTAGTAGTCAAAGAGATAGATCACCAAACTTATTTATATTAAAATCTAGAGTATAGATAGATAGATAGATAGACAGGTAGAGGGTTAGGGTCCATATCAAAGATATATATTTAAGTCAAGTCATTGGTTAACAATAACAACAACAACAACAACAATGGGAATGACAAAAAAGGTATTGTATATATCTCTAACCTAGCACCCGTTCACACATTCCAACGACAAACAAACAAACAAACAAACAAACAAACAAACAAACAAACAAACAAACAAACAGACAGACAAACATAAACGAGAACAGTAACAGTAATTGAACGTCGATCAACTTTTTGTTGTTGAGCTGTCGATAATGAAAGAAGAGGTTAAAATCAAAGCAATACATAATAACAAGCAAGCAAGCAAGCATTGGTTCAATACTGTTTGTTCAGTTCAATTTGGTAGATCTTAAAACCACCAACAAACCAACCAACCCAAACCCAACTTAACCATAAAGATCGATCTTGCAATTGGACAATGCCAACAAGAGAGAGAGAGAGAGAGAGAGAGAGAGTGAGTGGTGATTCATTCAATCCTCCCTCACACTCACACTGCCTCCTCCTCATTCACACACAACACACACACACATACAATGCTTTCAATTGGGGGGGTTTAAACCCATCACCCATGATCGTTGTATATATATATATATCGTTGCCGATAAAACCATACACGACACGACACAGACACACATACACACCTACCTACATACAGATATAAAATTTAAAAATCCCAATGGAGGAGGGAATGAAAGCTGGATGTAATCACTTTTAACCATTATAAAAGACACATACACACACACAGCCTGTTGACATTCACTCCCTATCCATCCACCCACCCACATACACATCACACACACACACACACCCCTCCACCGTTATCATCACCTTGCCTTGTTCACAACTACTACTACTATCAATATCACAATCATATATGCAGCTGCTATGATTAAATAATAGTTTAGTTGAAAACCATCATCTTCTTCTTCTTCTATTATCTCTCTCTCTCTCTCGGTCTCCCTATATTTTTCTATTCCAATACTATATAATCATCAAAGAGAAAAGAAAAGAAAAGAACATCACCAACATATATCAACAACAACAACAACAACAACAACAAGACAGAGAAACAAGCTCGACAGACGACACACACACATTTGCAAACATTTATAATGTATGGTTTGAATTGAAATTATATTGGTTGGAACAACAACCATTTCTATTTTTGGATACCGACCGTCCTATATATATATGGTGTTAGGTTTTTTGTTGATTTTATCATAATTATATATACAATTATTGATTGTGATTGACGTGTGTCACACAATTGATTGGATGTGTAGTTGAAGAAGGAATATATATATATTATACATATATAATATTATACACATTTCCATATTTATTTGTTTTATACACAATCTATATTCATTGTACACCTACAATCCAAAAAAAAAAGAGAATTTTAATCTAATATCCATTTTCCATTTATTGTTGAATAGAAATCAAATAGCAACTCTGTGGCAGCAACGACTGTACAAACAACCACTGGTATTACAACGACGACGACATCGACAGTGGTTAATAACACAAAAGTAGAAGAAATGATAGACGACGATCAACCAGTGATCATCAAAAAGTTGGACAGCAACAACAGCAACAACTCTTCTGACAGAAAACTTCGATTGAGAAGAACCGACTCGATTGCAAAATACAAAGCCAAACAATTACAACAACAACTCCAAAAGAAATTGGAAAAGAATGATCGTGGTGAAGAATACTCTTCAGATGAAGATGACGATGATGATAATGACAAAGACGACGATTCAGCAACTTCATCATCATCAGAGGAACAAGAAGTTCCAGATCATACAACAGTGACAACACCACCAACTGACGATGACGATAATAATAATAATAATGAAGAAGAGTTGGATAATATGGTAGATGAAGCACGTACAATGAAAAAGGGTGGTGGTGGTCCACCTAACGCAAATGAAACACCATTTGATGCAACGATGGTGGTTCGAAGAAGACGAGATTCATTGGATTCTGATGACCCCGAATTTGGGTATGAAGATGAACCTGTCTTTACCACCATTTCTCGTCGTAATCCAGGAGATGAGTCGATTCGACCAATCAACAATCCCATCCCAAATCGACCTGTTTTCCAAGTCGAGCAAATCAACGATATTGTCAACCTTTCATTCATTGCACTTCGTACCTCTATTCGTGTTGGTGCCGATGAAGTAGATTCAATCACTCAAGATCAATTTGAATTAATTAAAAAATATAGAGTTTCAATGTAAGAAGCAAGCGACCCATCAACAACAAATATATATATATATTTATATATATATATAACAATCACTCGAGTATTAATCCAATTATTATTCTACTTTCTTTCTTTCTTTTAGTTCTGAAAAGAGAACAGCCATTAAAGATTTTTCACCAAATGTATTCCATAATCTTCGAAATAGATTAAATATATGTCCAACGGATTTCCTAAAATCATGGTCATCATTCATCTCGATCGATGCACATCGATCCAATTCATCATTCTTTTTATACTCTTCCGACAAGAAATATATTCTAAAGACATTGTCAAAATCAGACTCTATCAAATTAAGAAAAGTTTTACCTCATTATTATAATGTAAATATCAACATAGATAACAATAACAATAATATATATATATTTATATTAATAATTATTATCTATCCATCTATCTATAGTATTTAGTTTATAATCCAAATTCATTATTGGTAAAATATTTGGGATTATTTAGAATTGAGAGAAAGTCAAACCAACATGTATATGTTGTATTATTATTAAATATTTTTAACAAGTCACATAATGTTGATGAGGCATTTTATATAAATGTAATGTATATCCAACAACAACAGATATATATATATATATATATTGTATTGTATAATATTAATATTTATTCTCTTTGTCTCTTTCCAATTAATTAGAACGAATCAGATAAAAAATCTCATAAAAGAAAGATACTTTTGGATAATACCATTAAACAAACATTATATAAACAAATTGAAAAGGATACAACATTTTTATCGTCACATGATTTATTGGATTACAGTTTATTGGTTGGAATCAATCGAGTCAACAGTAAAAATGAAGAGGACAAGGAACAACAACAAAAGGAACAAAAGGAACAACAACAACACCTTCAATTACAACATCGATCATCTGCACTTAACCTTATCCAACAATTATCTCCAAAGTTGGTTTCATCGACATCGTCGGCACCTACAACCCCACAATTAAATACTCCACTAACCAACAGCACCAACAGCAATAATAATAATAATAATAATAATAACCTTCCATCGACAGCATCGACACCTGTATCGACAGGCACTTCTTTACTACTTTCTCCTTCACCGATCAACATTGAGGCTGTTGCTGCATCAGCCTCGACACCCTCTTCACTGCACTCTTCATCATCTAACCTGACACCACCTGCCACTCCGACCATCGAGCTTTTGGACTTGGTCACAGCCACCTCGGCAACACCTATCAACAATGTAGTGATTGACCCAATCAAGTCTGTTCCAAGACTATTATTCTTTATCGAGGAAATCGAAACAGTACGCAAATCAAAGAATCTAAAAATTGGCAAATCTCTCAAACGTTCATTTGCCGTACTTCCTCGATCATGGTCACTTCAAGATGTTGTTTTATTAGACAATGGTAATAGTAATGGTAATAGTAATAGTAATAGTGCAACAACACCAGACAGTATTACATCACCAGTATTATCATCATCAACTCCATCCTCTCCACTTGTATTATCATCTAGCACACCTACCTCTACCACCACTCCAACCATTGTCCTTTCCAACTCACTTCCTAATGTACCCAATGTTATTCATCGACCTACTGCTCCACTCTCTTCATCTCCACTTAATCCAAATAGTCATAGCAACAACAACAACAATCATAACCAAAACAGAAACAGTAGTGATAACAATCAAATGAGTAGTCATGGTAGTTCAACCAATCTAAATGGAATGTCCAATGGCAATAATAATAACAATAACTCATCAACAGCATGTTCAAGTCTCAATTCATCAAGTAGCTCAATTACGACGCCAACCACACCACCAACACTTCACAGCAGCTTGAATGGTATTGCCAACTTTGGAAAGAAAAAGGGAAAGAATGGGTTCTACTCTGAGAGCAAGGCCAATGAAATCTATTACTTTGGTGTAGTCGATTTCCTCACCAAATACGATGGAAAAAAGAAAATATCTGTAAAGTCTGCTTTAAAACCATCCATCTCTAACAACAATCCAAGTAATTACCTTAAAAAGTTTTTAAATCATATTAAAGATTTATTACAATTACAACAACAACCAACTGATAAATAATTAATAATCATAATCAAAAATAATAATAATAATAACAAACAAAACAAAACACTACTATACTATACTACTATAAAACCAACAGACAATTTTTCCAAGACATACTAGTAGTGTGTTTTTTTTTTGTAAAGAAAAGAAAAGAAAAGAAAAGAAGAAGAGGAAATATATATTTATTTAGCCATGGCCACCCATAACAATTAACATTTGCAATCTAACTCAATAGAAAATCGATCATAATAATTAATTAATAATTAATAATAAAACTAACATGTAACCCAACCAACAAAATAAGACATACAACAAACTAAATATAAAAATATATTTATAATATATTTTTAAAATTATTTATTTATTAAAATTTACCTTTGTTAACCGTAAACACTGAGTACTGTACTCAAATTTAAAGCAATTGTATTTTACGATTGGAGTATCCTATTGAAATTCAATTAAAAAAAAAAAATATCTTTTCTGAAACGCCGTCGCACTTTTGAGTTTTAACGAGCAAAGGAGGGAAATTCACAACAATGAAAAGAGAATTATTTCCTTTTTGAACCAAAATTTTTTTTTAAATTCCCTTTTTATTATAACATAAAAAATTGAATTCATAGCTATAGCTATAGTGTAAATTGTTTCTTCATAATATATTATAGCTACTATACAAAATAAAAGTTTAATTTATTAATTAATACAACAACAACAACAATAGAGTAATATTTGATCACATTAATAATAATAATAATAATTATACACAATAATTCAAGTTTTAAAAACAAAGAGTTTAAAAAAGAAATATTAGAATGTCAAGGTTCTTTTCAAAATTAAGAGGTAATACAGCAACAGAATCAACTGAAGGTGGTAGTTCAAGTAGTAAAGAAGTAGAGGCATCAGCAGCAGCAGCAACAGGTGAATCACACGATGGAGCACCTGTAGAAGAGGAAGTAGTTTTGAATGAATCAAAGAGAACTATCATCTCTCATTTACTCAAACAAATAAAGTTTGGTGAGCCTATCAAACATCTTTCTCTACCTTGTTTTGTTTTACAACCAAGATCAATGTTGGAATCTTTTACAGATACTTTTAATTGTTTGGATGAATTATATAGGTATGATATTTAAAAATGGTACACATAAATAATATATACATGTGTATTAATATTATTCTCTTTTTCATTTAGAATACAAGAAATACAAGATGATGAAAAAAGATTTATTCAATTCCTAAAATTCTCATTGACTGCATGGCATACTAGACCAAAGGGCATTAAGAAACCATTCAATCCTGTGATTGGAGAACTGTACGATTGCTACTGGGATCCATCAATTGACGAAAAGGAAAAGATGCAAGGTACCACAGAGACTGGTGACGATGTTTCACATTTTGTAAGTGAACAGATAAGTCATCATCCAAGTTGCAGTGCATTCTGCTTTTACAACAAGAATAGAGGTGTCGTTGTCAATGGTAACGTCAATCCAACCTATGTCAAGTTTTATGGCAATTTTGCCGAGTCTTCACTCAGAGGTTTGATCGTATACCACTTTCTAAAGATCAATCAGGTCTATGAAATGACACTACCAGTGATTGGAGTTCGTGGTGTTGTACTTGGCAAGTTGGCTCCATTTGTCAATGGAAAGGCTGTCATTCGATCAGCCGATGGCAAGTACCAGGCTCACCTCGAGTACTTGACCAATGGACTATTATCAAGTTCAAAGAATCATAATGGTATCAAGGGTCATGTCACTGTCAATGGTAAAACTCTCTACAAAATCAAAGGTCATTGGGATAGCCAAATTTTCATCACACCCGATTCCTCTTCCATCTCTTCTGCCAATCTTCCAAATGATCATATCCTAATGGATTGTAAGAAATTGAAAAAATATTCTCATTTTAATTATCCAATTGAAAGACAACCAAAAAATAGTTCTGAAAAGTAAGAAGAGATAAAAAAAAAAAGAATATATATAATATATATATTCAAAATATACTAATATTATAATTATCTTTCCATTTGTAGTATTTGGAGAGTTGTAATTGATAGTATAAATAATAATGATGACAAGACAACTGCTGAGGAGAAAGCTAGAATCGAACAAAAACAAAGAGTTGAAGAAGCACAAAGAAAAGAAAAGGGAGTTTCTTGGGTTCCGGAAAGATTTGTTTTAAAACCTTATAATAGTGAATACCCTGAAACTTATATTTATAAAGATTTAGAGTAAGCCAGAAATATATAATGGAATTAATTAAATATTTATTAATATTTATTTTTTGTTTAGATCAATATTCCCAAATTATTATTCATCAAAACCAACTAGCTAAATCAAACCTCAACCTCAACCTCACCTCACCTCACCTATTACTATCATATAATAGTATTTCACAAAATCATTGTATTACAAAAATTATAATTTATAATCAATAAATTTACAAGATCTTTTTATTTTATTTATTGTAACTAGGTTGACTGACTTCTTATAAATATATTATATTATATTATATTTATTGTTTTGTAACATTTTGATTCATATATTGTGGAATGATTTTCATTACCTGTGACCCTGGGAATCTACCTAGGGCACCTTTAATACATTCAATTTCAGAGAATGTATCAACTGAATCGGTCAATGAGAATTGGTATTTAGAGTTTGATTCGTCTTTGGACTTTAATAATTGATCGACAAGTATTGGTTTGGTAATGACAAATGGAACTGGTTCACTTGAATGATCACCGCTTAGGACGGGAGTAGAATGATCACCAGTGACACAAATACTATAATGACCGTTTCCATCTCTTTCTGCTTGTGCCAAACGTACAATGATCGATTCCAACATTTTATCGATACGTTCTAAAAACGATACTTTGAGATCTTCATTCTTGTCATGTCCGGCATCATCAACTGCCTTTATGTGAAGGAAACCAAATTGATATGATTTCTTTGTGCTGTCTTGTTCATCAACAATAGTATTTACAAGTGTATCTGCCTTTGATTGAAGATTGGTATGATAATCTCCAGTTCCTCCTGGTGCTTCGACTACATCGACACCTACAGACATACCCAAACCGGCAATAATACAAGTTGGTGCAATCATAAATGCATTCATATCGTACAATTCATTAAAAGTTGGTGCTTGCACTCTTACTCCACATCCACGAAGTAGTACCACATTGGCTGCTGCCAACCCCTTTTCTCTTCTATCTATATTGATTGGATGATTCTCTAATGCCTTTTGAATTTCATTTGATAATTCATTGGTTACCTTTGCCGTTATCTTTGCTTCAGTTGTTTCATTTAATGGTTTTGCTTCTAATAATGGTAAACTAAATCAAATCAACAAAATCTAAATAAATAATCATGAATGAAGGTATTTAATATATATATCTTGACATACTTGTCTTTAAGTGGATCAGTACTTGAAATTGCATCTGATAATAATGGTCCTCTAACTCTTACACCACAACGATGTTCAGTTGCATATTTAACATCAACTCTATATTCTGGGAATGATGGTAATTTACTATATAATGAAGAAGAAAGAATCATTATTAGTATATTTTATGATTTGTTTGTTTGTTTGATAATTTACATTCCAGTTAAATGATCACAAAGAGTTGGACCTAAATGTTCAAAGTTACGATCAGCTCTTCTTTGAATGACGATACCAGTCTTTGTATCAAGTGTAGCAAAGTTTGATTTAAAAGCAATGTCACCTGGGTTCATATCTAATCCAGCACCCATCGATTCAAACGCACCACGACCACGATAATAAGTACGTGGATCATAACCAAGAATTGAAAGATGTGCAGTATCACTGCCACATGCATATCCCGGTTCAACAGGATCCATTGCTCCACTAACTCCACTCTCTAAATAAAAATAAAAGAAAGGAATGATTAATCATCTTTGTTCTTGATATGTGATATGTGATATGTGGTATATGTGATACATACTAGCCATTAAATCCATTACATTTGTATTTGCCTTTTCAAGTGTAGTTTGTCTATTGTACTTTGGTATAGATGTATCTCCTAGACCATCGACCATCACAAACACCATTTTATTCTTCTTTTGTTGTTGTTGTTGTTGGCTCATTCTTGAATCTATTATCTATCTTCTATGTATATGTATATGTATATGTATATGTATGAAATATCTAATTAAAGAAATGAAGATGTTCATGACAAGTCAGCACAAAAAATGAATCTTTTAATTTATTATTCTAGTTTTGAGGGAAACACATAAAATGGAGATAAATAATAGTTATACTATTAGTTTGTTTTCACATGTTGTACAAACAAACATTATCAACCGTTTGATTGATTTAATCAATTCATCTAGAAAGATTAGTCGGTGTGACAAATACGGTCGATTAGTTAAAGATGATGGCGACGGTGGTCGAGACCTTTGCAAGCTTGTTGCACCAGATGACACTCGGTTACAAAGAATCACATCCGACGAAACATTATATCTAATGTATAAAGGACACCCAATTGAAAAGAGAAAAGAATCAATCAACCACAGTGAATTGATCAATGGTATTGCATTGGTGTCTAGATGGTGGTTACATGTAGTTAGACAATCAAGAACTAATCTTGTTATTAAAGGTCCATTGGAATATTCATTCTTACACGATACATTGCAATCAGATTATTCAATCTACTCTTTTAATAATATACAAGTACTTGATTGGCAGGTCTTACATAAATCAAACAAGACTAGTAATGTGCAATCAAATAAATATAAAGAGGAGTTTAAAGTAGTCGACCAATTAATACAACTATTGCCACAACTCAAGATAGTACATTATACATGTGAAAATGCACCTGTCGAAGCATCAAATACCATCGTCGAGATGATAAGACTATATAGTCCACAATTAGAGATCAATATTGATTTATCTATCAATGGTGTTGGAGTATTTAAGTGGCCACTACAACAACAACAAACTGGTTCTTCCAATAACAACAAACCAAATCATACAGTCATTCGTATTGGACAGTTATTTGGTGTATATCAATATGAAGGAGAAACATTTACAAAATCTTTCTATCAAATGTTGGATATGCTCAAACCAAGTATACTGAATCTATGTTGTTCTCAAAACAACGAGAATGGGCCGTCATTTGATCAACATGTGCCAATCGATGAATTAATCGCCCATCTCTCTGGTTCCATCAAACACATCAACTTTGGAGATACTTTTATTAAATTGTCAACTCTAAGTAGATTAGTAAATTGTACAAAAGGATATGGTTTGGAATCAATCAGGACTGTCGTCATACCACATAATCACAATATAGCCAATTGGAATGAAATTTGTTCAACTCTTTCATCCAACAATACTCGAGTAAAGAGATTGGATTTGAAACGTGTTAATCTTCCAATGGCTTGTGATATGGTCGGTGAACCATTTGCATCGATTTGGGCAACCAATACAACCGTCGAGTTTCTTAGATTGACACATTTTGATTGTATAGGTACGACATCTTTGTTTTATACCAATCTATGTCATAACCAAACTATCACCAAGTTAATGTTGACTCATGGTACCATTCAACAGAGTCATCTTGCCGAGTTTAGTTTGGTTCTATCTAGTAACACCAATATTGTCCATTTAGATATCAACTCTAATTACCTACAATCTACCAAAGAGTTGGTCAATGCATTCAAAACAAACAAATCAATTCGTGTATTGAATATAATGAATAATCAATTTACAAATAATGCCTCTGCTATCATATCAGAGGCATTATTAGAAAGTGATACAGTACAATACTTATTCCTCGACAGAGACTGGATCAACCCAAACCAAAAGTATTTCAAACAATCAAAATCATTAAAAGAGTATTACCAAGAATGTGAACCAACTCTATCCAACCATATAGATGAATGTTTCTTTGATCGTTTTCTTTTTGATTAAATAAATTATTAGTTGTATTTATTATTATTATTATTATTACTATTATTTGTTGTTGTTTGTTAAGAAGAAGAAGAGGATAAAGATATTTCAGTATACATCATATCTTGAGTTGTTTCAATAAAACTACGATCTATATGAATATCATTCTGCCAACATGATACTAGTGTAACGAGTTGATCTCGATCATAGATTGATAAGAGTGTCTCTATGATACTCTTTTTGTTGTCTAGTGATTTGGTATACATTGCAATCACCAATTTAAACTGTTCACTATACTTTGCCAACAATGTAGTTGATATAGACCGAGAACTAGATCCTGATGATCTCTCTTTAACAACCAATTCCAATTGACCAACCTTTTGATTTAATTTATCTGTTATCGATGACTATAAATAATATGATTAATTCTTTTCGTAAAAGTCAAACATATATATTTATTTATACATACCAATTCAGAATAACAACTATAAAGTCTTTGATATTGTAGAGAGATTGAATCAAACATCTTTGATCTAAGTTGATTCTGTATAATGTGATTATCTTTGATTGAAGCAGGCCATTGATAGGCGTCGATAAACGATTGTTTCAAGTGATCGTTGACCATTTGGTTCATCGTCTTGGTACCCTTGTCTCTGAATACGATCCATTGTTTCTCCAAGTCATTGTAGAACTCGAAATAACTAGTAATCACATCCATAAATACATTGATTATGAGAGAATAGAATCAAAAGTATATCTATCTTTCAAACTTTAAAAAGTCTATGAAGGAAGGACACTTTTGCAATTTTAGTTAGTTTTTTTTTTATTTTTTTGATTAAAAATTAATAAAAAAAGAAATATATATTATTGTTATTTTACTATTCTAGAGAGGAGTAAATGTTGTGTGTGAGAAGGATGGGGTACCATAATACATGATTTTAGACAATAGTTTACAACCTATCGAACCTTAAATAAAAAATGGTCATTCATCATCATCATCACAGTTTGAATTTATTAATTTATTTGTTATTTAATTATTTATATTTTACAAGATAAACCCAACATCATCACCTTCAACAACATCAAACAATATGATTAAAATGAAAGGGCTACCAATTTAGAAGATGGAACCAACTTGAATGAAAGATAGGATAGAGATTTTTCGCTTGTCTATTACCATTGTCTCTGATTCTTTCTGAATCCCTTGAAGATGCTGTTAATTGAATATTTATATTATCTATAATTTAGTAAATATTCTACATCTTCAAGGGATTCAGAAACTATAGTTTCTTTTGGAATGGTCTAATATATACCAGTGCACAGATCTGAACTGATCTGACCTTTCTAAGATTGCTTGAATATTTATAGAATAAATTTAATGATTATTTGATTCAAAAAGTGACTAGTCTAGAGGTTTGACATTATTACTAATACATATAACTTTATATATATATATATATATATATACATAAGCTAAGTTATTTATTTGGGTGTAGTTGTTGGTGGTGGAACTGTAGTTGTTGGTGTTGGATTGATTGGTAATAAAGCAGTCTTGTCGATATTCTTGAATTTGTTTTCCAATCTTTTAGTATATTCATCGATCACTTGAACTGTCTTTTCCAAGTCCGTTACATTCTTGTCCAAATCATTAATCTTTTCAATATATGGTTGAAATTGTTCATCTAAATTGATTGAATGAGTTATTAGTTCATCAAAAATATATATATGATTGATCTGATCTGATCATTCATTCATTCATTAGTTCATACATTGTATCTTTAAATCATTCATATATAATGTTAATCCCTTTGTTATTTCAGTCATATCATGATACTTTGCAGATGTAACATTATTCATTTGTACCAATAGGTTATAATCGGCAAGTGTTGCTAAAAAGGAGAAAGAGTGAGAGGGTCAGTCTAAATATAATATCAATCAATCAATCAATCAATCCGATACATACTTGCCAACTCTCCACTTAGATACTTTGATACTTTTGTAAACATCTCTGTTGTCGATGCCTGTAGATCTTGTTGTACTGGTAATTGTGGTCTTGCTATATCATTCTGTGCCTTTTGTTGAAATTCATTCACTTCTTTTGGTTGTTCTGTAGAGGCTGTAGCAGCAGTTGTATTCTCTACTGTACTATTATTATTATTGTTTGTACCTTCCATGTTTATAGGTATTTGATTTATATTTAATATCAGATGCAGCTGAAACAATGAAATTTGTACTTTGAATTTTCTTGGTTCAAATTTAAAATCATGGAGGTTGACTACAAAGATTATTATTATTATTATTATACTTTCTTTAATTCATCGCAACTTGTGATCATTAATTTTACTTTACTTTACTTTACACTTATATAAGTTGTGTGTAGAGAGAGAGAGTGATAGATAGATATATATATTTATGGATAATAATAATATAGTATTTACAAAAGTTATATCAACAAAGTATATTAGAAATATTATATTTAATCAAGTTAGAAGATTGAATAGATTACAGAATAAAGGTGTATCTATTAAATATAGAGATGTTGATTCGTTGGAATGGTTGCTTGGACTCAGAGACACTAGTGCTTGTAAATCATTGGTGAGAGAAAAGTTGGTAAAGAGTATTGGTCATATTAGATTCCCAACACATCAAGCAATGGAGTTGATGTGTCAATTAGAGTTGGATCTATTTATACAAGTGTATCAACACTTTAAAGACGATGGAATTGGTCGACATCACATCATACTAGACAGTGCATGTAAAATTGGTAGATTAGATATCGTACAATACCTCTTGTTGGATCAACAACATCATCCATTCACAAATCACGCTATTGAATATGCCGCTCGCAATGGTCATTTGGATTGCATAAAGGTGTTGTTTGGGTGTGGTCAATTCGATCGAGATGTACATATCACATGTCTAGCATACGATAGTGCTGCCAAAGGTGGACATATTGAAATACTACAATACTATGACAGTTGCTTTACAATTGAATCGACAAACAATTGTATCGATGAGGCATGTAAATTAAATCATGAACCGATTGTTAGATACTTGCTTGATAATAGACCGGACCTAATGTTCTCAAACTATGCTGGATGGAATGCTGTGGAGAATGCAAATGACAGTCTGTATCGTCTGTTACTCGACCATCACCAGACACGGTGCCAATACACACACGGTGACGATATATTCACAAGACATGCATCCGAATCACCGTATGTGTATGGGGCATTGGCCAAAGGCAACCTACAAGCCATCAAAAACCTCATTGCTATGGGTGGCATCAAACCGACACTCTCTGCAGGCTCAATGAATAGTATCGTGGCGTCGGGCAACACCCAGCTGCTGGAATACCTCGTCACCGAGGTCAAAGCATTCCATTATCTGGATTTCACGTCGTACTATCAATTTAGAGGCTGTCTTGACACTGCCATTAGAATCAAGCATGTGGGTATGGTCAAGTTGGTCTGCAAGCTCTTTAGCCTGGCGACTCCGGCAATGCGTATGTTTGACCAGGCGTGTCGTACACGAGACACTGATATCATCGGCGCTGTCTATCAAAAAATGCGTGATGACGGGACAGAGTTTGACCAAACCATCACTGTACGTGACACCAAGTCACTCCTATACCTCTACAATCTAATGCCAAAAACACACTTGTTTTCAATTGATACAAGGTATTTTCATCAAGACACTCAAGATGATGATCAACTCGATGACATACTAGAGATTGACCCAACACGTCTCCCAGGAATAGATCATTTCACCTATGAAAATACATCGTTTGCTCTAAAGAGAATTGCTAGGTATCCCAACCTAAACTATTCCAACAAAGACTATGTTTATATATCTCGACTTGGAAACCTGGTACTTTTAAGACACTACATTGAAGTATTGGGAATCAGTCCTCTAAACGATGACCAAAAGGAGAGAATGTTTACACAGGCGGTGATTGGTGGACACTTGGATGTGGCCCAATACATTGACGACACGCTTGGGTTTCATGTAGATAGTCCAAGTGATAAAAACCTTCTTCACTATATCATACCAACCGGTAACCTACAACTATTCGAGTATCTATTGGCATCACCACGGTTCTCAGCCACCTACAAGATCACTGAAAAGACTGTATTGCTAGCTGCCACCAACCATCAACTAGGAATGATTAAATTAATATTTCAGTATCGAAAAGGAATGACAGTCACACAATCAATGATTAGAGCAGCTATAGATACCAATAACCTCCAAATGTTTAGACTCTTTGAATCCAAAATACCAAAAAACAAAGACCGATATTCATTTGTCACCAAGTCTTCATTCAAAGGTCCTTTGGTCAATGGTAATTTTGGTATATTTAAAGAATTGGCAGATTATTATAACAGGTTTCAGGCAGACCACCAAATTGTATTGGATCAGGATGATTGGTCACAATTTGCAAGGATTGGGTCTTTTGTGGCACTTGAAATGTTAAATGTGTTACCAAGAGACCTAGAATCACTACAAATCAATCAAATATTTGTTAAAAGGGTATTCGAAAATAATCATTATACCTATTTTAAATCACCACTCTTTCCAACTCTAAAATGTAAAGTTGCACCTCTCTACACGGATCTTATGCACATGTCCAACTTTACATTTCTTAAACATGTAATAGATCGGTATGGTCCATTGGGGTCTGGTTGCGCCCTCCCATTTAATAATCCAACCATTTCAAAATATATTGTTAATACTAATCTTAAAATATTTAAATAAACTAAACATATATGTAAATATTAAATAAATAAATAATAAATCTAAATAGTTTGATATTTTACTTTTTTTTTTTTTTCTAAGACACAACGGTCGTCTTGTGATGAATATGCATTTTCTGATCTAAAGTGCTCATCATTCGTTTTCAGCCTCTACTTATACTTAAGTATAAATGAATATTGGTAGTATTCGAACATATATCTCTCGATCAGAGAAGACTATAGTTGGTAGTACTCATCGATTAGTCATTGGTAGTAGTACTACTACCCCTTATATTAGTAAAGATAGTTGTAGTAATAGTATAATCAATCATAGTAGTAGTAGGTTTTATAGTACTAGTAATAGTAATAGTGATAGTAGTAATAGTAATAGTGATAGCAGTAATAGTAGTAATAGTAATGATAGTGCAACTTCAGATAAATCTATATGGTCAAGTGTTAAACAATACTTGTTTGAAAGTAATGGAGTGATTTGGGAATCATCACCGGTGGAAGTGATGAGTAGAAGACAACTGAAACAACACAAGAAACAATCGAAAAAGGATGGTGTACCAACCAACCTCTATCAGGCAAAGGTGACATCGTACGGACCCAACTTTCAAGGTATTGCACAACATCAAGACGTGATTCTGAGCAACCTAAAGTCAACACCACTTAAAGTAAAACAACCTCTTCATATCATCGATGCACTCAAAGATGAGATAGTAGAGGCTCAGGTATTTGGTAAAGAGGATGGTTATTATACAGGTAGAACGAAAACGGTTTTAAAGAGATCACCAAATCGTGCTCATCCACTATGTGATCACTATGGATTGTGTAATGGATGTAATATGATGCATATGGTCTATGAAACACAGCTGCAAACAAAAGTAGATTATTACAAACATCTATTCCACTCGAGTGGTGTTGTAGAAAGCGAAGATCAAGTATCACTACTAGATATCCCAAAACAACCAAATGGATTCGAGTATAGAAGAAGAGCACGTCTCAGAGTACACTTTAATCGCAAGACCAACAAGATCGACGTTGGTTACGATTCCCCTAAAATCACAAGTTTCCAAGTTGAATATTGTCCGGTACTCGTCAAAGAACTTCAACGTATGCCAGTTGAACTATCCAAATTAATTGAATCATTATCAATTAAATTACAAATACCTTCAATCGAAGTAACTCGTGCTGATAATATAACGTACGTGTGAAACAAAAACAAATCAAAAACAAATCAAAATAATAGTATAGTATATTGTTTTGGAAATAATATTAATAATAATTCTTTTTTTTAGATCATTTTCAATAAGAGTATTAGAAGCACCTGAAGAATCGGATAGAATCAAAATACAGGAATTTGGAAAACAACATGATGCCATTATAATTTTACAGCATGGTGGACCTGGTTCATTTGAAAAGATATATCCAGAGCATCATGTAGATATGAAATATTCACCAATCGAAGGAATTACTCTCAATATATCACCAGTTGATTTCATGCAAGTTAATGCAAATGCAAATACAGTAATGGTACAAAAGGTTTTAGATTATTTAAATTTAAATCCATCAGATAATGTATGTTAAAATTAATAATAATAATAATAATAATAATAATACACCACATCTTTAACTATTAGTACTAATATATATAAATTGATTAGTGTTATGATTTATATTGTGGAGTAGGAAATTTTACTATACCAATGGCAAAGAAGGCAGGATCAGTCATTGGATTTGAACTATCACAAGAATTACTTACAAAATTAATTCATAATGTTCATTTGAATAATGTCAAAGGAAAAGTACAAGCTGTACTATGTAATTTATTCACAGAAGATATTCCATTTTGTGGCAATGATGTTGCTTTGGAAAATGGTGTAGATGCTACTCAACAACAACAACAACAAATAGAGAATACCCCAATGAGAATTAACAAGATAGTGTTAGATCCACCTCGATCAGGTGCACAAAAGATTTGCAGGTCGATTCCTCCCGGTCTAGATTGTATTGTCTATGTGTCGTGTGGTCCCGAGACATCACTTGTCAAGGATCTTTTATTGCTTTCACCAAACTACCAAGTCAAGGAAATTAAACTATTGGATATGTTTGCTCAAACTTCTAAAATGGAGGCTATTGCTTATTTAATTCCAAAATAAATAAATAAATAGCGTAGTTGATATTATTTAATTAAGATTTTTTAATATATGTTTTTACACAGGGTGTTTTCATCTTCATTTATTCATTTTGTTTAGTTGTTGCAATTGAGTATAATCAATCAAACATACAAGCTGTGACAAGATGAGTGGTCGAGTTTGGTCAAACGATAGCGATAGCGAGGAAGATGATGAACAAGATCAAATCAGCAATACCATTGGTGATGTAGATGATCTAACATCAAAGTTGGGAACTTTATCAACTAAAGAACAAGATATTAAAAAGAATGATGTTGTTGTAAAAAGCAAAGAGATAAAGTCTACCACAAGTGACTCAACAACAACTACTACTACTACTACTCCTCAAGTAGCACATGTAATACCTGCCTCTCAAAGACCAGATGGTACATGGAGAAAAGAGATTCGAGTAAGACCTGGTTTCATTCCTCAAGAGGAACAACCAAAATACCAACCTCCACAGAAACGTTTTGATGGAGATGTCAACAACAACAACAACAATAGATCACCTGTTAAGCCATCAGTTACACCAACAAAACAACAACAATCATTGACGACAACAACGACAACAACAAAAGTATCCTCAACAACAACAATTATTCAAAAGGGTAGAGGAACGTTTTCAAAACCTAAACAACAAGAAGAAGAGGAAGAAGAAGAATACGATCAAAGTGACGACTATGAATCGGATGAAGAGGATAATGAAGATGATGAAGATGATGAAGAGGATGATGAGAAAGTAAAGAAAGAAATAATTCAAGAATCCAAGAAAACAACCCAATTTGTAAATAATAGTAGAGATAGAGATAATGAATTCACATCACCATCAAGAGATCATTATAATACTAGTAATAATAATAATAGATATAATTCACCAAGAGGATTCTCTCCGTCTAGAGGTGGAGGAGGTGGTGAAAGAGGAAGAGGAGGATGGAGAGGTGGAGAAAGAGGAAGAGGAGGAGGAAGTGGAAATTATTCCTCTCCAACTAGATATAATAATGATAATAATAATAATGGTCCAGCTCAATATTTAAACAAAGGTTTTCTAACAGATGATGAAATTAAGTCATCACCGTCATCATCATATAAAAATAGATATAATAATAATAATTCACCATCAAAGGATTATGATCAAAACAATAACTATTATCAACCAAAACAAAATTATTCTCCAAGAGGTGGAGGAAGAGGAGGAGGATTTTCATCACCAAGAGGTGGAGGAGGAGGATCGAATGGATCTTGGAGAAAATCAAATTCAAATAGTGATGATAATGGTATAGATCCAAATAATCAATTATAATTAATTAATTATACTGCACACAACAAATTCGTTATAATAAAATAACTTTTACCACAAGTTTATTTATTATTATTATTATTATTTAATTTTTGATTTAAGATTCTTTAAAACTTCAATTTCATTCTCATTTTCATTTGGATGTGTCATTAATTTCTTTAAACGTTTATCAATTTCTGCTGGTAGACCCAAATCGATGCATTGTTTCTTGTTGTGTGGGTTGCCAGATAATTCCAAAAGAGTGGATTCACATTTTTCACAGAGAATGGTAAGATGAGCATCCTTTTGATCGTTTCCATTGTTGTAACTCTTGATGAGATTGACCAAAGCCTCGACAATACCCCATTCAACACCTTTGAGTCTGAGTGATGGTTTGCCTTGAAGGATTTTTCGTAAAATGTGTACTGCCTTTGTCATACCAGAGACACTGTTGGCAACACTGTAGGTTGTAAGTTCACCAGTAATTGGTTTGGGAATCATAATATCGACGCTTGGTGCCAAATAAGAGATACAAATCTTCAAGACAGTGTCTGCCTTTTGTTGATCGAGTGTGTCAACATTACCAATAAGACTGGAAATCAAAGACAAAAACTTTTCTCTACACTTTTGATCGTGTTCTCTACCCAAAATGTTGATTGCCAAATCCAATACACCAATACTATTCAAATATGCTTGAATCGATTCTTCATTTTGACTAAGGATTGCTACACAACTTGTAGCTTCTGCTCTAATTCTATCATCTTCATTTTTCATTAATTCAACAATAATTGGTATACCTCCAATTTTAATGTAATCTAAAAAATATAAATAAAAAGAGAATAAATATATTAGTATTTTGTTATATTTCTTTTAATGAATGTTTTAATGAATATATAAATATATGATTTCGTCATACCTTTTGAATTATCTATATCTTCAATATAGAATTCTAATTGTTCAAGTGCAGTTATGATTTGATGTTGAGTTGATTGTGGATCGGCCAATACATCATTGATCTTTTTCATTCTCTTTGCGTCATCTTCCAAGTTTTCAAATGCTTGTCTTAACCAATCGTAATCTTTTGGGTCACGTTCTGGTACTTGTGAATCTTGAAGGTTTGGTGAATCTGAATGAGTAAGACAAAACTTGAGTAGACCAGGCCCGATATCTCTTGGTAGATTATATGAACTGGCAGGTTTAGGATTAGGTTTATTAGTCTCTCCTTTTTGTTGTGATTTTATTGGTGCTCCTAAATACATGTTTGAGTATAGTATAGTATATGTTATGATATATAGATAAAAGATAAAGATCGTAGTATATTAGCTAGTATTATTATATAAAAAAAAGATAAAAAGATAAAGTTTATCTGTTGTGAATGAATGATATGATTTATATTAAATGTTGTAAGTTGTGTATATATATATGCAAAGTTGTAAAGTGGGTTCTAATAATAATAGTGTGAGAGAATTATTAATTTAATATGACTCTGAAACAAGGGTGAGTTTCATCGTCTTTTCCTTTTTTGTTGAACTAGTTTTCGTTTGGATTCGTCATGTTTCTCGCTGAAAATCACCATACCAAAAAACTAAAATTATCTCTTTTTATTATTATTATTATTAAGATAGATACAAGATGGATGATAATAATATATTTTATTTTGAGATGGTTAGTTTGTTAGTGTGTTTAGTTAGTACATTTATTTATAAATTAGGCGCATTTGTGTGTGTGTTTTAGATATATTTTGTTTTTTCTTTCTAGATATGTTTAAATAAACTTGGAGGAACTGCAAGATAGACAGTTTCAGCACCAGTTGAAAGAGGTAATTTCAATTGGAGGGCAAGGAATGGACCACCGTGCATTGGTTCTCTAAATGGTTCGTTTTTAGGTTGATGACGTGTGATGAGTTGTTGAAATGATGGATAGACTGTTTTACCGCCTTTGTAGAGATAGCTGGCTCTGTTGCCGTCGTAGAGCACCTTGATGTTTCCGATATCACTCGATCGACTCGATGCGACATAGGATATGGTGTAACACGACTTTTCAGAGAAAGAGAACCGCACAAGATAGGCTCCTTTTTTCTGACCGGCAAGAGCCGAGTGAACCTCGTTGGTCGACATTGCACCTCTAAACCCTGGCATGGTACATACATCCCACATTCTATCGAGTGGATGCATACCACCATGTCGAGTGATTGGTCCAAAGTATTGTGTGAATCGAGCAAAATGTTCGAGTTGGACCGTTCCTCGGTTGGAATCGGGTTCACCAACCTCGAGCATTTGCTTTAAACATTTAATCTCTTTAGAGTATAGTGGCACCACTGAACTGTCGAGTCCGAGGTGTTCGACAAATCCGTGATAAAACTCCTCCCACCCCATCTCGGTGCGCTCCTTGGCCACACTCTTCCAAAAGCATAACGAGTCCATATCCTCTTGTAGCAGTTCGTGTATGATGGCACCTTCAATCATGCGATTATCTATAATCTCTTGGAACGATGGTCTCTGAACTGGGTTTTTGTGCCAACACATGTAGAGAAAGTCTTTGAGTCGATTCGACCATTTCTGGTCGATGGGGGGACGCACTCCCTCCTCTATCGCACCTACCATCTCTGGATAACTCTTAAACATCCCTTCATAAGGATCACGTTGTGTTAACATTGCCCATAAACTAATCCCAAATGAATAAACATCTGATCTTTCATTATATTCTCTATTTTGTAATATTTCCTAAAATAGCAAAAAAGATAATATTATTATTAATATTCTCCATCTTTTATATTTATCTCTCTTTTTATCTTATCTCTTACAGGAGCCATATAAGCAGTACTACCAGCTTGACCAGTTAATTTAGAACCTTGTTTAACTTTACAAAGACTAAAATCACTAATTTTAATTTGAAAGTTGGTACCATAGAGAATGTTTGATGGTTTAAGGTTCAGATGTACCATGGGAGGAGATTGACGATGCATCCAATTCATTGCCAATGATACGTCCTTGGCAACCATCAATGCACGTTTAGTGTCCATCAACAAGGAGATGTCGTTGAGTTGTAGTTGTTGCTGTTGTTTGATGAGGTGGTAGACAGAGCCTTGCAAGTATTCAGTGACTATGTACAATTTGCTTGGTGTTTTACAGACACCCATCAACAATATAATATTTGGATTACGTAGTTGCAACAATATCATCACTTCTCTCAACATATTGTCGACGATTGATTGTTCCAAATCCTCTAGATCAATTATCTTTACGGCTGCCTCCAATCCTCTAACCAATGCTCTATGTATCTTTGACCATGGACTAGAACTAATCTCCTCCATCAACTCTATCTCGTCTAATTCAATTGTCCATTTCTTTAATTCTCTTTCAATTTCTTTATTAGAGTACATTATATATTATAGATATTTATTATTATTATTATCTATTGACTATAGTATATATTATATATTATTGTTGTTTATACTGTGATGGACGATGATGATGATGGTAATGATGATTAGACTTTAATTATAATAAAGTGATGTGAAAGAGTGAACAAGGAAACCTCTAGAGGATGTGAATTTAAGGGAAGGTGATGGATGGATGATATGTACAATATAATAATAATAAAAAGAAAATAAATAATAAATGAATGAAAGAGAGAGAAAGAGTCAGATGTCTTTGTTATAATAATAAAAAAAAAATATAAAAAAGGAGATTCTTTGTTTCTTTTAAAACCGAGTGTGTCTGTGTCAGTGGTATTAATTTCTACTTATATCAATAATTATTACTAATCTTTGTATTATAGTAATAATTGTTACAATATTATTGATGGTAATATATAAATATATATGTTGAAAAACAATGCAAATTTGCAAGAGAGTCGATTGATTGATGCATACGTACCGGTACGCCTTCCACCAATTTATTCAAGTCCAAAACAACATTTCGATCGACATCGATAATTGAGGTTGTAAATGAGAGATGAGTGACTACTGTTTACTTGAAAAGATTCATGATTATCTAGGAATCGATTTCTGTCAATACAACCAACCATAAACTATATATTTATAAAATTATGTAAATCTATCTTTAGAGTTTATGACTATGATAGAAGGAGGAAAAAGAAAAAGACTTTTAAAAGTTAAATTATCTTCCCACTATATTAATATTTTGTAGTAAATGAGTGAATTGAATGATTATCAATCAACATATCATAGGTCAACAAGTAATCTAATCTAAACTATACTAAACTACTCAATGGTTCTACTACCAAAAATAGGTTCTTCTGAATCGTATTCATTGTTGTCGATTTCTAGTAAAAAAATAAAAAAAGATAAGATGATGGTCGACTCAATTTGGTTGTTTATATTATTATTAGTTTCAAAGAAGATACAGATAGATATCTATATAGATATTAAATAGAAAGATAGATCAATTCTGTAAGGATGAATTCAATTGATACATATCTACCAGTTCTGCCTAGTACACAGATTGTTAATCTGAGATCATCAACGACGACTGGTGGTGGAATCATACAGGAATATGTAAACTATGAAACTGAAGATAGAGCAATCGAATCATTGTCTGATATGGTTGGTAATTCTCTCTACTTTGCACCCTCTGAAGATAATTGGACTGCCGTCGGTGAAGATCACGAGAGAATGATGATACAAATGCGTCTAAACTTTATAAAGACTTGTTTACCCTATCTCAGAGAACTTTGTAGACTTGTATGTAATTGAATTCAAGGGAAGAAGATGGATGATATGATATATTAATATGTTTTATTGATTGATTCGCGAATATGTTTATAGAGTGTAGTTAAAATGGATGAGGGTAGTGACTCTGTATTGTTGGATTACCTGATGTTGAGAGACCATGTATTTAAAAGAGAGGATCGTTTGGATTTGATGATTAGAGATTACCCACAATTGGTAATTGATTGTATGGGTGCTGCAATATACCATATATTGTTTGGTGCTGGCGTACGTATGCGACCAAGAGATGCAAATGATGTCAAGTTTGGTGATGCACATATCATAGAGGAGCGCAGTAAGGTGACGGCACGGTTATGCAACTTTTCACCTATGCTACCTCTCTCCAAGTTGCGTGCACATTTGCTCGGGAAATTCGTGTCGGTTAGAGGCACGGTCATCCGTGTCAGCAATGTGCGACCACTTATCAAATCCATGTCATTCTATTGCTCGGCGTGTGCAACTACGATTAAAAAGTATTTTGATGATGGTCGTGTGCGTATACCCACTCGATGCAATACATCAAATTGCAAGGGTAAGATCGAACCACTACGAAACACAGCAGTCTCTGTCGATTGGCAGAAAATACGTGTACAAGAGGAAAGTGATCCAAGCGATCATAGTGGTGGTGTTCCCAAATCCGCTGAATGTGAATTGACAATGGATATGGTTGAAACTGTTGTACCTGGTGACATGGTAACAGTTTGTGGTATTGTTAAAAAATATGATGGTAAACTAAACTAAAGAAGATTTAAATTATTCATTCATTTATTCATTTATTAATAGATTTCTTTTATTTATTTTTTAGATGGATCACAAAACCAACAAGGTGGAGAGAAAACTGTATTTTATGTATATATAGATGTAAATTCAATTGATAGTAACAAACATACTGGTGGTACAGTTGATACGAGTAATGGTGGTAATAGTGAAAGTAGTGTAAAATCAAAGTTGGCCAATTTTTCTGTAAAGGATATGTATGGAATTAGAGAGGTAGCAGGACAAGCTAATATATTCAAGTTGATTGTACATTCAATGTGTCCTAGTATATATGGACATGAGATGGTCAAGGCTGGATTGACATTGGCACTATTTGGAGGTAATCCTAGAAACACTGAAAGCAAAAACAAACTTTCGATTCGTGGTGATCCCCATGTACTCATTGTCGGTGATCCTGGTCTTGGTAAGAGTCAAATGTTAAAATCCTTTCAAAATATATCACCGCGTGGTGTCTATGTCAGTGGTGGGTACACTTCACGTGCCGGTTTAACAGTATCACTTCACAAGGAGCAAGGGTCAGGTGATTTTGCATTGGAAGCTGGTGCATTGGTTCTAGGGGATCAAGGGTGTTGCTGTATAGATGAATTTGATAAAATGCCAAAAGAACATCCTGCCCTCTTGGAAGCAATGGAACAACAATCAGTCAGTGTAGCCAAAGCTGGTGTTGTTTGTAATTTACCAGCAAGAACAAGTGTTATTGCTGCTGCTAATCCAATTGGTGGCCATTACAAGTAAGACAAAGAAATAAAATCAAAATAGTAATAGAAAAGAAAGATTCTTTTATTAATTCCTTTTTTTCTTTTTTTAGTCGAGCCAAGACAGTAGCAGAAAATATTAAAATGAGTGCACCTTTATTATCAAGATTTGATTTAATATTTATTCTACTTGATAGTAAAAGTAAAGATATGGATGCTATTATTTCAGATCATATTATGGATGTATGTATATATACATTAAATATTAAATACTTATATATTAATCAATGATTGTTTAATTTTAATAGTTACATTCAGTCAATGGAAAAAGAAAACAAAATAGTCAAAAATGTATGTAATATCAAAGTTATATAACTAGACATTTAATTTTATTTATTGATAGACTTATTAATTCATTTGTGTTTTTTTATTTATTTTGTTTAGATATTACACAAAGAGCAGAAAGTCAACAATTATCATTAATGCAGGGAGAGAAGGTTCCATTGGCAACAAGATTAATAGTACGACCTGAAGAAGGATTAGAGGCATTGTCACCATTGGTTATGCGAAAATACCTTGGCTATGCAAAAAAGTTTGTTACACCAAAGTTAACATCAGAGGCTGCAGCAGTGATCCAAGAATTTTATTTGGGTCTTAGAACTAGATCGAGCAAGTATGACTCGGCACCAGTCACAACCAGACAATTAGAATCACTCATTCGATTGGCAGAGGCACGAGCAAAGATTGAGTTGCGTGAATATGTCAACAAAGAAGACGCAGAGGATGTAGTGGAAATTATGAAACAATCGTTGCTAGAGACACTGGAAGATGAACATGGAAAACACGATTTTAGAAAGTCTGCTCGTGGTATGAGTAATGCTTCATTGGCTAAACAATACTTGGCGGCTATTGAACGGTTTGCCAAAAGTAACAGTAAACGTCAATTGACCAAAGACGATATATTTGGAGCTGTCAATGGAAAAGGTCTTCCAACTGATAATTTCGATCAAATCCTCAATTCACTTAATCATGAAGGAATGTTATTAAAATCTGGTAGAAATCTATTCTCTCTTGCTATTTAAATAAATCATTCAATGTATATACGTACATGTATTTCGCTTACTTGCGAAAATCTGTAAATATAAATAAATTAATAACAAAGTTGGGGTCATGACTTCACGATTTAGTTTTCATTGTTATTATTGTTTGTTTCAAATATCCCTCCCTCTTGAAAGAAAAGAGTAGATAGAATGAAAAGAGGTAGAGGTACTAGTAATAATAATCAAAATAATAATAACAATAATGTATCTGATTATCATCTTCATGCTTCAACTACAACCTCAACAAACAACAGAGGTGGTGGAAACGATTATATGAAGAGATATTTAGAACATGAACAACAACAACATAATAATAATAAACAACATCAACAAAAAGGATCATCGTTGATTGGAACATTAATAGGTGGAGGAGATAAACAAGATTCTTCTTCCTCTTCTTCAAGTACAAAAGATAACAAATATTTACCAGTTTGGAAACAAGAAGTAACAGATGAAAGAGGTAGAAAGAGATTTCATGGTGCATTTACAGGTGGTTATTCAGCAGGTTACTTTAATACAGTTGGTTCAAAAGAGGGATGGACACCTACAGCATTCAAATCATCAAAGGATGATAGATCAAGCTTTAAACAATACTCTACATCTGACTTTATGGATGAAGAGGATCAAAGAGAATTGGCAAGCAAAGAATTAAAGACAAAATCAGAGTTTGATCTGTTTGGTGGCACTGCTTCATTTATGGATACATCATCTGACAGTAATAATAATAATAATAATCAAAATGATAATACTTCAAAACTGTATGAAATTAAAGATCTTTGTTATGTTATTGTTGATGATATATTAATATTAATATCAAACCTTTTATTATTATTATTATTATAGTTTATTTGAAGGTGTATTTAAAGATATTGTTAAACCAAATAGTGATCCAATAGGTTTAAAATTACTTAAAAGAATGGGATGGAAGGAAGGACAAACAAGAGTTGTCAAGAAACATTATCAAAAGAGAAAACCAAAGAAACAAATTGTAATCGTTGATAATGATTTTGGTGTTGGTTTTCAATCAACTATAGTTGATAAACAAGTAGATGAACAAGAGGATGAAGAGGAAGAAGAGGAAGTGACTGTATTATCATCAATTGAATTTGGTAAAGAGTATGCCAAATCAGTAGAATATGCACCTAAAAATGATTTATATGGGGTTGGGTATGAACCATCAGCAGAAGTTAAACAAATGAGACAAAATATACAATCAATCACATCATCTTCACCAATGACTTTGAAACCATCAACAAACAAACCTAAACAACAAATTGGTAATAGATTGACATTTGCAGGATTGGGATATGATGACGATGATGACCAAGATGAAGACAATGACATTTACAACAACACTAATAATCTATTAAGATATGATAAAACATTGGGTAAAAATGGTGGTTTAACAAAAACAGGAAATAATAATAATAATAATAACGGTAATAATAATAATAATAGAGTAAATAATAGTAATGTAGATTTTTTGATGCCAAAAGATACAAGTGCAAGACATAGGAAGTGTTCCGATGGATCTTTGCCATTACGTGGATATGTGGTATCACTACAAACAACACTCTCTACCAAATGGTTTAAACCACCGTCTCTTCCATCATCATATGTTGAGCATAGACATCGATACACTGCTCCTCTCGACCCGGCAATCATCAACAAAAGTTTGCAACTGGTCTCGACCAACACCTTCACAGCCGATAAACGATCAATCATTTTAGATGAGGTCATGTTGACAAGAGACCAACCTAAAAAGCAACAACAACAACAACAACAACAAGGTGGAATGGTGCCACCTTTAATTAGAAATTCAGCACCACTTGCGACGCCAAACCAACAATTAGAATCAATTCAAAAAGCATTTGCGAGTAGATTCGTTTCTGCAGAGGAAGGTTTAAATATTGCTAAATCAAAGGAATTGCCAGACAGCAAAAAAGTAAAACCTATACGTACCACATTAACTTGGCGTCCTGAATCATTGCTATCTAAAAGATTTGGTTTGGTACCTGATAATAATAATCAACATAGTAATAATAATAGATCTGGTTCATCTCGACGAGATGATAATAATAATAATAATCAATTAGATTGGGATCTAAATTTTGATCATAATAATCAATCAACAACAACAAAATCATCATCACCGGCAGCAGCAGTGGTACCAAGAGAAGAATCATTTATTCAAGCAGAAAGACCTCCAATGGATCTTTTTAAAGCGATTTTTGAAAGTAATGATGAAGAACTATCTACAAACGAAGATTTTGATCCATTTAATTTCACAGAGCCATCTACTACAACAACAACAACAACAACTACCAATAATGCATCTACTTCAATTTCTACCACATATACACCAATTCACAAGATTGAACAAGATAATTTATCAAAATCAACTCAACTTCAAGATGATACTGATGGGGATCAAGAGGAATACGATCCATTTAAAGAATTTAAAAATGATAACCATAGTAACAAGGTTAAACAACAACCAATTGTAAATATTCAACTACAACCAATTAAAACAACAAATAATAATAATAATAATAATAATAATCAACAAGTAGACGATGAAGATGAAGAAGAATATGACCCATTTTCAGCATTTGTGAAACAAAACCAATCAAACAAACCGATTACTTTAAAGGTAAATAATGGACCCGCAATGACACCAACCACTAGTACGACTACAACAACAACAAATCAACCACAATCCATTAAATCAATTGATAAAGATATTTTAATGCAGCCTACTGTTCCTCCTCCTCCTTCTCCACAACCACCTTCATTTAATCCACTTCCTCTTCCACCACCTCCAAAAGATCAAGATCTTGTTGAACAACCAACCTATTATAAAGTTATAAATATCAAACCTGCACCTCCGCCATTAAAAGTCCAACAATTACAACAACAAAGAATGGTGATCGATGTCGACAGTGATGTTGTTCCATTTAAACAAGTGAAAAAGAGAGAAAAGGAAGACCAATGGGTGGAATCTATCAAAAGTTATTTATCCAATTTTAGTGACAGTAGTAGCAGCAGTAGCGATAGTGATAGTGACAATGACAAAAGGAGAAAAGAAAGGAAAAGAGAAAAAAAGGAAAAGAAAAGGGAAAAGAAAGAAAGGAAAAAAGAAAAAAGAAAAAAGGAAAAGAAAGAAAAAGAGAGGGAAAAGGATAAAAAAAAGAAATAAATAAACTTTTTTTTTGTTTTTCTTTTTTTGTTTTTCTTCTTTGATCATACATGTAACAAATATTTGTGATAATGAATAATAATAATAATGGATAATCAATCATACTCATATGAATACACAAAAGAAGAGTTAAAGGGATATGATTCAACAAGATTACAACAAATTTGTAGTGATAGAAAGATAGGAGGAGGAAGCTTATCAAAAAAAAAGAAGGAATCAATCCTTTTAATATTAAACAATCAAGAACAAAGAAAGAATCAAGCTTTATTGGAAGCACCAACCAAACAATATTATGTTGGTACTGTCAATTATGCACTACCAGTACAGCTCATCATCAAGATATTTAGATTTACTTGGGATGAGTTATTAGATAGTCGACAAGAAGTTGATTTGTCGTTACCATTGATCACTGATAGACAGACCAGATATCGAATGGCACTCTACTTGGCATCGGTCAACAAACAACTATTCAATGTTGTATCAACCTTTGGATCATCTCTTCAACTCTCCTATTGTGACTTGGACCACATGACACTGGTATCTTGGAACGCTCTCAAACGACCTACATCAGTTACAATGATACATTACAACTTTGATCGAATCTTTTCAACCAAGTATCCAAGTGTCCAAGAAACAGAGATATTATCGGGTGTCACCAAACTATCTGTATTCTATGGGAGCTTTGGCATTAGCAAACAGTCACTCGTTCAAATGAGCAACATGTTGCAAGGATTGGTTAGTTTTACAGCTGGAATGATGGTGTTGGACAAGAGCGACTTTAAAGTACTCGCTAGTATTCAAACATTGGTCAAGATCAATATTAAATACATTACTTATGAACCTGAATGGATCTACCAAAAAGGTGGTGACTTGGTATTAGAGTTGGTCAAGTTGCTGGATCGTCCAATGATCAAACTCATCATGCCCGTCAAATATAGATTAGGTTTGACGGTCAACCCCATCCTTCAAGACTCTGTCGAAACGTATGGAGCAGCCTCTTTTGGAGAGGAACAACTGGTGAGTTACAAGAACCTCAGAAAGTTTATTTGTTCAGGCAATCAAACTCTCTCCAACAATCATAATAATATGAGTCATCTCAACAACATTACACATCTATGCGCAGAGTTAGCACTTAGAGAAACCAACTCAAAGGAGAATTGGATCAAAGTCATCTCCTCATTTTTTGTATCATTGACAACATTGGAGAACCTATCCAAAAAAAATACCAATCCAAATGGTAGCTTGGATTTTGAAATTGCATCAAGAATATCAAATCCATTATTCAAATATTATATTGTTCGAATTCAAGATTTAAAAACTGTAAATAATAGAGTATTACAATCTCCCACCATCATCTCTTCTTCTTCATCTTTATCAATAACCCAAACACAATTTAAATATGTAAAAGAAAAGTGGAAAAAAAAAGAGAGAAAGGTTTGGTATATTAAATCAAGTAATCAAATTATTTATAATAATAAATGATTAAAGGATATTACAACAAGAAGAAGATCAAAGATGTAATTGAATCCAGTTTATATATATATATATATATGTTATATATTATATTACAAAAAAAAAGAGAGTGTTTATTTATTAGAGATTGATGCAAATTCATATTAATCTTCACTAGAGTTATCATCATCGTCTTGGTCATCATCTTCTTCTATATATTCCTCTTCTTCATCTTCCAACTCTAATGGACATCGTAAAATGGCTGCAACTCCTGATAATTTTGATAATTCTAAAAAAAAATAGGAATTAAATAAATAAATAAATATAATCTTCTTTAATGTTGATCAACTATCTGTCTCTTTTTGCTTTGTCAACATACCACGATGCAAGTATTTAAAGCATATATCCTAGTTCTTTATTATTTGTACTAATTTTTGATTAAAATATTTATTTTTTTTTTTTGAAAAGAAGGAAAACCAAAAAATTGTTGGACTTGCTTGATAAATCTTTATTTATTTAAACATCGTGTTTAGGTTTTATGGGTTTCCATCATCGTTTGGAGAAGTTACATCTGGTGGAAAATGTAATTAATGCAATTGAAAAAGATTGGACGGAATGATTTGGTATTCCTGGAATCAACATTCAACAATATACAATTGGACATGAAAGAGTATTTGTAATAATAGCCGCAAAGAAACCAATATCAACAATATCACGATTCAAATGGGACAGATGAAGAGGAAGAGTGTCAAGAGGATATTGACAAGACTTTGGAAGAAAGTTTAAATATTTTGTATATCCATGGATGAAAGATTGCCAAACACGAGACGACCTCCAACAAGACTATATGTCCAAGAAAGAACAAGTTTAAATGTAACAAATCGACAAAATAATAATAATAATAACAATAATAATAATAATAATATAAAGAATAATATAACAAACAATTAACCATGATAATAATGAACATACTAGAAATGGAGTCATCCAAAGAAAGGAGAGTCATATAATTATGACTCGTAAAAATTAAATAATAAAATAAAAGAATCTCACTGACCAAGTGTTTTGCTATCTAGAGATTCATTATATATCTTTGATCATCCAATATCTATTTATATTACAATCAACGTTGATTGATTAAATTTAAAGATGTTGTGTATAATTTAATGGTGGGTCGAGAATCTTATTGATTTTTTAATGGAAGCTCATGAATTCATGCGATGACATTCTATTGTTGAAGGGCCAACATTTAGACAAGTGATTCAAATTTGATCACTTTGGGAAGAGGAGTGTTTTAACAATCAAATATGAGTATTCCCTTGATCTCTCTCTTTGTGAGTGTTTGGACAAAAGGACCCTATCAATACAACCACATTTTTTTTCAAACTCTTGATAAATTAATGGCTCCAAGACTATAAACATATTTTTTAAAATGGTGGTGCTCAATATGTATGTTATTTATTATAATTGGTCAATCGTGAAAAGTCAAAATCATCATAGTTGTAGTATGATTGGTTAGGCATGGAGGAGGTGGGTACCCCAGACCTCTCGTTGTCATTTGGAAAACTGACTCGAACCTCTCCGTTATTTAAAGGATCGTCACCATACGATTCTACTGCTGCATATAGCTTCCAACCAATCATACAATATTTTTGAAAGTGTTGAGCTTCTTGAAACCTAGTTGAGCCAAGAGATTGAAAGGCTGGAAGAAGGATGTCTTGCATTCCTTCTAGAAATCCATCATATACAATGATGGCAACTTGCACACCTGCTGGTATTGAATTCACTTTTATCACAAACTCCTTCATATATTGTGGTGTTTTTGGATAGTTTATAAAGTGAAAGGGAGTACTACTAAAAACCTGGTCTTGTCTATTGAATACCATAGATTGATACCTGAGCCTATTCTACAATTCATGTTTATCAGCCCATGCCAATTGATTTGTGATCGCATTTCATCCAATGATACCACTGATAACATTGCCATCTCTCTTTGTTGTTGAGTTGAACGTTATAATATCGTTGCTTTGGAGCGAACAAGAATGATAGAAAGGAGATTTGATAGCTTATGTTTCTGATGAGATTTGATCATTAGAAACAAGCTCAAAATGTGCAAACAATTATATAAGATTAACAATACTTACACAGTTACAAAAGAAAAAGAGAGGGAAAGAGAAAGGGAAAAGGATAAAAAAAGAAATAATAAACCAAATAATCTTTTTTTGTTTTTCTTCTTTGATCATACATGTAACAAATATTTGTGATAATGAATGGATAATCAATCATACTCATATGAATACACAAAAGAAGAGTTAAAAGGATATGATTCAACAAGATTACAACAAATTTGTAGAGATAGAAAGATAGGAGGAGGAAGTTTATCAAAAAAAAAGAAAGAATCAATCCTTTTAATATTAAGCAATCAAGAACAAAGAAACAACAAGGTTTATTGGAAGCACCAACCAAACAATATTATGTTGGTACTGTCAATTATGCACTACCAGTACAGCTCATCATCAAGATATTTAGATTTACTTGAGATGAGTTATTAGATAGTCGACGAGAAGTTGATTTTTCGTTACCATTGATCACTGATAGACAGACCAGATATCGAATGGCACTCTATTTGGCATCGGTCAACAAACAACTATTCAATGTTGTATCAACCTTGGAACGCTCTCAAACGACCTACATCAGTTACAATGATACATTACAACTTTGATCGAATCTTTTCAACCAAGTATCCAACTTTGATCCAAGTGTCCAAGAAACAGAGATATTATCGGGTGTCACCAAAAGATGTATTCTATGGAAGCTTTGGCATCAACAAACAATCACTCGTTCAAATGAGCACCATGATGCAAGGATTGGTTAGTTTTACAGCTGGAATGATGGTGTTGGACAAGAGCGACTTTAAAGTACTCGCTAGTATTCAGACATTGGTCAAGATCAATATTAAATACATTACTTATGATCCTGAATGGATCTACCAAAAAGGTGGTGACTTGGTATTAGAGTTGGTCAAGTTGCTGGATCGTCCAATGATCAAACTCATCATGCCCGTCAAATATAGATTAGGTTTGACCGTCAACCCCATCCTTCAAGACTCTGTCGAAACGTATGGAGCAGCCTCTTTTGGAGAGGAACAACTGGTGAGTTACAAGAACCTCACAAAGTTTATTTGTTCAGGCAATCAAACTCTCTCCAACAATCATAATAATATGAGTCATCTCAACAACATTACACATCTATGCGCAGAGTTAACACTTAGAGAAACCAACTCAAAGGAGAATTGGATCAAAGTCATCTCCTCATTGTAAATGGTCTCTTGGATTTTGAAATTGCATCAAGAATATCAAATCCATTATTCAAATATTATATTGTTCGAATTCAAGATTTAAAAACTGTAAATAATAGAGCATTACAATCTCCCACCATCTCTTCTTCTTCATCTTTATCAACAACCCAAACACAATTTAAATATGTAAAAGAAAAGTGGAAAAAAAAAGAGAGAAAGGTTTGGTATATCAAGTAATCGAATTATTTATAATAATAAATGTTCAAAGGATATTACAACAAGAATCAAAGATTTAATTGAACCCAGTTTATATATATGTTATTACAAAAAAAAAGAGAGTGTTTATTTATTAGAGATTGATGCAAATTCATATTCATCTTCACTAGAGTTATCATCATCGTCTTGGTCATCATCTTCTTCTATATATTCCTCTTCTTCATCTTCCAACTCTAATGGACATCGTAAAATGGCTGCAACTCCTGATAATTTTGATAATTCTAAAAATAAATAAATAAATAAATAAATAAATATAATCTTCTTTAATGTTGATATCCTGTCGGTCTCTTTTTAAAACATACGTTCACCAGTAACATGTAAACCAGAGAAAATTTTAACATCACCTCCATTATTTTTAACAGATTGTACTAATTCTACATATTTTCTTCTTGTTGTAATATCCTTTCTAAAAAAGTCGTCGGTGACTAGTAGAGTCTCGACAGCCAATTTTTCATTTGCCTTGTTGACATGATCGTATCCATAAAAGGCACGATTTGGATCCTTTTTGAGCATATCATAAAAGCAATTAAGTGCCTTTATCTCGCTGGCAGCCTTGGTGTTGGTCATCTGACTTTGAATCGTTGGTTCAGACAATACCTCCTTTAAAGAGTATCTATGACCACTCGATGAATGTGCCAATATGAATTTTGATTTGTTTAATTTAATATCTTTATACATATCATTCTTGGATGCTTGTTCAACCATATATTGATAAAATTTATCCTACAACCAAAATAATATTAATATTAATATATATTGTTAAGTTTAGTTTAGTTTGATTTGTTTACCTTTGTAAAAGCAGGACTTGCAATAATAAAACATTTAACAACTTGAAAGTTTATATTACGTTGAATGGATTGAAGGATAAGAGAAAAGAAATTCTCTAGACCTTTTTGATGACTTTCAGATGTGGAACGACCCTTGCGTGGCACGGGTACTTCAATACGACCTTTGATGACGGTCATGGATGAAGTGATGAGACAGAGGTTGGCAAGACCTTCGTTCATGATGAGTGCAGCGACATCGGCACGTTGAGCAATGTCGGTCGATGTCTTGAGCAACTCGATTGCAACCATGTCCCACTCGTCCTTGGCCACCATAAAGTCATTGTTTACCTCCAAATCGATCGTGTGGAAGCTGCCAAGCTTTACGAGTCTGTTCTCCTCGCACACAGTACCAGACACACGCAAGAGATTCGAGTTTTCGTCATAGTCAATCTTGGTCACCTTGATGGTGATGGTGATACGTTGACGTTCATTCTGTACAGAGCCTGTAGCCGATTCCTTTTGTATCTTTCGAATAGTAGACGATGTCATTCGATCGCCTACCTGCAATAGATTGTATATATGCCAAAAGTCTTCCTCCTCTTCAATGTGTAGTTTAACACTTCCACTATAATCTTTTTCTATTAAATTCTTTATTAATTTCATTCTCTCTCTCTCCTCCTCTCTTATCTCTTATCTATATTATATTATTATTATTATACAAAATGGTTGTTTATATTATTCTTATGTTTTTTAAAAAAGCTTTATGTCTCTTTCTTCTTTTATCAATAAATATTTATTTGTTGTTGTTGTTTGGTTTAAATGACAGTTGTTTATATGTATGTATATTGTGGTTTGCACAAGTGTGATGATGTGATTATGTTAACTATATTTCCTTATTTATATATGCGAAGATAGATGCTAATGTGATCACTGCTCTGACAATAGTCTCAGTTCATATCGAAAAAAAAAAAAATAAAAAAATAAATTGATCAATATTTGATAGTGTGCTCTTTTTGAAAGTCTTTCTTTTCTTCATCCTCTCAGCCAACTAGTAATAATAATTAGTTATTTAATTAGTTAAGTAATCATTGTTGTTGTTGTTGTTGAACAGAATGATTGATGTGATGTTGTGAACAAAGATGAGTTAGAGGAGTACACCTACACTAATACCAAAAAGGAGAGAGACAAAGATATCTTTGTTCTATCTTTTCACAAACAAAACTATCTCTCGAGAACCAAAGAGAGAGAGAGAATTCGATACAGACTTGGGGGTTGCTATAGATTCTCATCAGATGATTTGGGGAATCTATCTATCTATCCGCCTGGTTAAACCTTTGTGTCTTTTACCAAAAATGGGTGTTGATCAATTTCGATTGTCGGACCACCTCATTTTTTGACCAAAGTGCCACCTGTTTGGTGGCGGTGGTGGTGGCGGTGTGGAGAAGGGTTTGTATATATAAAGAAAAACAGCATTCCCCTTTTATTTTTAATTGCAGATAGATAAACTACATAGATAAGAAACTAGTAAGCAAGTCATGTCATCTCCAAGCCCTGGTACATTTTTTGGTATATTCTTTGGAGTGGCTACGTTAGTGTCCATTATTATGCTGGTTTGTGGTTGCGCAGCACATAGAAATGCAAAAAAGAAAAATCGTATTAGTCGTAGTACCCAAGAAGCATCAGAAAGAAAACAACAAGAGTTTCAAGTAAAACTGCGGGCAACCTATACACCAACAGTGGATCTATCATCGCCTCCACCAATGGATTATTCCTACTGGCCTTCAGAAGAAGAAGAACCACAACAACAACCATTCTATGGAGTCAGTGGTGGACCTTATCCATATACTCTTCAACCTCCATGGCAGCAACAACAATATCAACCACAAACAAATGAATATGTGCCCTCTCCACCACCTTCAGCCCCTCCTCCTCCTCCTCCCTCTTCTCCCCATCACAATATCCAAATGGTTAATTTACAAAAAGAAAGCGATTGTCAACAACAATTCAGTGTTACGCAATTGGGAGAACCGGATCATTCCAAAAGAAATGAAAAGACAAATAATAATTTGGAAGAAGTTGATGATGATTAACAAGAGTGGAATAAATAATTGTAAAAATCAATCAATTAACTCCCACCAGCCAGTCCTCTCTCTCCCTCTCGTCAATTATTGGTTGGTACCTTTGAACAACAGTTCTGCTCTCAAATTTGTTTGGAGTGAATGTATATTCGATTCGGCCCATATCAAAAAACATACACCATTTCTGATACATTGACTAGGAGACAGAAATGTATGTATTAATTTATATAATTTAGAATAAATTCAATAATTTTTTTAAATAGAGTATGTTTATGAATTTTGTAGTATTATTATTATTATTATATATATATATATATATAGAATTTATTACAAAGAATATATTTTATTAATTAATCATTAAAATGGTAGATTGAAAAGGTCATTCATAGAATTTGAGCCAAGTTTGATTTGGGTTGCTTAATTTTGTTCATTGTTCGTGTGGTCAAAAGAAGATGGAGAGATAGATTGCGACTGATAATATTATGTTCAACTCAATTCGAGTATCATTCATTTATAATGAAACAACAACTACAACAACTATAGTTAGAATAGATAAAGAAAGAAGAAATAATAAGAATGTCTAATAATAACAGAAATAACTATCAAATAGTGATGCTAGGAGACAACTCTGTTGGCAAGATGAGTCTAGCACGACTACTTTTAGAAAAGGATGATACTTTTCAAATGAATGATGATCTCATCTTGCATTATCCCTTTTCACCTCCACCATTGACATTCTATGATCAAACAATAACCTCGATCACATATGAACTTGTAATGTATAAACAAAATGTTTGGAAATGAAATATTATAGTATTAATTTCTTTCTTTCTTTCTTTGTATTCTATTTAGTATCTATTTAGATTTAATAATAGATGGGATAGAACATGTTATGGAAGATTGAGAAGAGCAAAGTTGGTGGTATTGGTAGTCGACCTAACTTCTCGACAATCATATGACAACATTTTAAATTGGATGCGTGAAGTAGAGAGATACTGTCACGAAGATATCAAAGTCCTAATGATAGGAAGTAAATCTGATCTCTTGAAAACGAGATGTGTAACCTATGAAGATATGATTGACAAGATGCAAGAACATGAGTGTATCATCGAGTATCTTGAAATGTCAATACATGGAAATAACAACATCGTTGAATCACATCGATTAGATTTCCGTCAAGTAATTGTCAATCTATTTAATCAACAGTATATTGATAGTATACATAATGATGCTGAATTAGGTGGTATCAAAATTAGACCTATCAATCTACTCATGTACAACAAAAACAAAAACAAAAACAAAAACAAAAACAAAAACAAAAACAAACCTAAAAGTAAATCAAAATCAAAGTCAATCATTTCAACTACAACAACAACTTCAACATCTACTGGAGTTTCACCAAAACTATTCCATTTCTTATTTGGATGTAAATTAATAATGTATAATATATTTAATCAAGTTCGATTGATTCATAGGGTGATGGGAGTAAGATCGGTTAAACTGATATCAACCAATCTTGAATTTTGGTTCTCTCATCCACGTCTGGTACAAGTTTTAAAGTATCGACAACAACACCCAAACTATCCAACCATACTGCCAACGATCAGTAACACCACATTTAACCAGAAAAGTGTATTTGGAGCATTCCTTAGAAACAATACAGACTTTGAACTATTCAAAGCTTTCTTTCCAAATTACAGAGTTTCAAAACAACACCAACAAAATAATTATGGAGGTAATGAAAATACTAGTAGGATCATTGATGAGTGTTGTATAGCTGGATCACTAGAGATTGTACAATACCTATATAAAACACAAGGATTTCAATTCACACCATATGGTTTGATGATGTCAATCATATTCAATCACCTTGAAGTCACCAAATACATTGTCAAACATTCCGATATTTCCCTAACACTATGGGCAAGGATGGCAAAGCAACATAGTAGTAGTAACAACAAAAATATGACAATCAATGACAATATTCTAAAAGAAGCAATTGCCATGACAAAGACCTATGGACGAGACGATACATTAAAATATCTTCAAGACTTGTCTGTCGGTCCTCCAGACCACCATCCACATGGCAATCAATCTATTTTAAAAAAATTTACTTTATTATTTAAATAAATAAATTGCAATTGTTGTTGTAGTATTAATACTACTATTCTTCGTGTGTAGTACATAACATAACATTATACAATATTAATTTTTTTGATTTTTTGTTTGACCTGTCGATTTGGTCGGTCATCATATCGAAAAAAAAATTAATTTATCTTTATTTATTCATCATCGATGGACACTTACATCGACAACATACAATTACCTTTTAACCAAGGTATTGTAAATAGAATAATAGAATATGCTTGGCATACAATAGATTATTGTGTGTGTTCAACAGAAGATGTGTACGGAGAGAAGCTGAGGAGACGGTTTAGTGAACAGAGGACATCACTAGCAAGACTACAGTTGATAGAGTATGCTCAGAGAGTGTACGAGAAATGTCCTTTTCACTCACTCTATGATAATAGAGCTGGTGGTGGAGATGAATCGCGTAATAGATTCTACCAAATCATTGGTATCAATGATAGAGGACATGATCGTAATGGTGAAAGTGATAGAGATGTTGGCGTTCAATTTCCCGATCGTATACCTCCCACACCCAAAGACCGGTGGAGATGGAGACTTAAACTATCGACCATATCAAAGGATACTCGTCAATTTGTACTATCTCATCTATTCACAGATATCATCATTTGCAATGGACGTCCACAAGTCATCGCTGGACACTTGACAAACATGTACAGTCCAATCAAAAATATTCGGTCATTGACAATACCACTGTCACTATTTACATGGGTATTCAGAGGTCTTGGAGATAAGAATAACGAAGCCATACTAGAGAATTGTACTAGATTAGAGATTACCAATATCGATAATCCAAATCGTCAACAACAAGTAGACACATTTGGTCAAGTCGTGTCACTACCAACATTCTCAAAAGTCAATAGTCTTGTCTTATTAGGAACCATATCTAAAGACAAGACATTGATTCATTTATTGGTACATCCATTTCATTGTCACCAGAAACTAGTCTCTATCAACCTACTTGGTATGACAACCACCGAACCAACTGTAACCTATTTTCTTGGGCAACTTGATCGTCCACTCTTAAAGTTATTATTACCATACCGATTCAATCATTTACAATTTTCATATTTAAAAGATTCAATTAAACAATCACTTCAACTTATTTTCATTAGTTTTAATCAACAAATTTATCAAAATAATAATAATCAAAATAATATTAATAATAATAAGAATAATATTTTACAATTTAAAAATTTAAAACATATTTATATTGATACAAATAATAGTAATAATGTTACATTTGATAATTTAATATTACCTTGTACCATCACTAAAATAACAACCAATTATTCATCATTTCCAACACCAAAGTTCCTCCATTCAAATAATAATATTACTCATCTCAACATCAAAGACGATAATTGGGACACCAATAGAATGACATGTCGTTCCATTTCATTCTCTGGTCTAATTAATCAACTTGCCGACAATAATAATAATAATATTAAAAAAATAATGATAGAATATGAAAAAGAGTTAACAAAAGATGATATAGAAATGATTGATTGTAAAGGATTCAAATTCAACTCTTCCAAATTCAACTCAAATAATACTAGACCAAAACAAATTATTTTAACAAGAAGAAAAAAGAATCAAAAACAAGTTAAACAACAACAACAACAACAACAATCACCTATTATCTTGCCACATGTGATTCTTTATCAAATCATTGTTGAATTGTGGAAGAGTTATACATCACTTTGCACATGTAGAGTATGGGATGATCGATTATGGGATTGTTTCGATACATCAATGGTAGAGGTTTATAGAAGAGAAACCAACCAGTGTCCACAACACCATCACCAAGACACTGTATTTTTTACAACAAAGGAATCAAGATCAAAACAATTAGAGTTAATGTTGATCAGTTGGTACATAACAAAATACCTTCGAACAAACTTTTTACTTTCTCACAGATTAGAAGAGAATACAAGAGGTGTATTCCCAATTGGTAGTTTGTTTACTCAAGGAGGAAAAGGCATTTCCACGGAAAATGTTTTTCAATCATTAATCTCTCCATCGATTCAAAAATATAGTTTTAAATATGGTGACGATATCCATCGTTTCAATTTCGATCCAAAAGACCCATCGTTTCCATCACAACTTGTACATCTCTCTGTGGGATCCCTTTGGGATGGGTTTGGCAAGATCCCTCTCATTTCGTCACTAACCGTTTTGGATATGTCGAGATTTATTCAATCTGACGAAGAATATGATTATGCCAGCAAGTTACGATTCTCTGCATTGTCATCATTGACATCACTTGTAAAACTATATTTACCTGTCCATCTCCAAGAAAGGTATATGGAACTAACTCAGTCTACCAAAGATCGATTACAAGCCATTTCACTTAACCTTAGGAATGCCGATCGAAAACACATAGAGACTGTATTATTAGCATCATTCAAGAATCTTAACAAACTTCGACTTGAAGATATCACATTCTCACCACCTATCACTCTACCTTTATCCATTACTGTCTTAAATATCGCTTTATCAATGAGGACGACCTCTATTTATCACTCGATCAAAGATAACATGAAAATGTTGATTTTAAATAATCATCATATTAAATCAATCAAAATCCAACACGAAAGTGGAACTTGGGATAATCCAATACCATTTGTATTGGAATTGACAGGTATTCCACAAAACATTCAATCAATGTCTATCAAGTGTCATTTTAACCCCTACACCTTTCCACTTACAGTCACTTCCTATCCTCACGAATTTGATTATGTTGGTGTAATACAAAAATTGGAAAAATCAACTTTTAAATATTTTTTTAAAAGAATTTAATAATAATAATAATAATCAACAACAAATAATACTGTAATATTAATCTAAAATAAATCTAATAATAAAAAAGAATAAATCAAAATGTTAAAACGATAAGTTTGAAAATAATAAATAACATTGTTTATTCTTTTTTAAGTTGGGGTTTTTCAATGAGAGAAATGGCTCAGTCACGTTTTGTTTCTTATTATTATTTGTTATAACCATTAATTAAGATGGTTGGTACGTATACTTTATCAGTTGGGGAAGTTCTCTTTAAATCAGCAGGGAGATATTTATCAAAGAATTGTTTGGTCTCACTTGGATCGTCAAAGATGAGTGATTTGGCACCTTGTATAACTACAACTGTCACACCTGTCAACAATGCCAAAGGTCCACTCCATGCGACTCCAGCAAATAACAAGAGAGCTGCTCCAAGAGAGATAAATGCTGTTACTCCATCAAAAACGGCTTTTCCCCATCCTCCTTCTTTCAGATCATCAACAGTATCGGTAAGAGATTTGATAAATGAAATACCTAGTAAAACTGGAGTAAATCTAAAGGAAATTAAAAAAAAAGGTATTAATATTATTAATCATTAAAACATCATTCCGTTCTATGCTATTTAATACCTAGTTAAAATAAAAGAAGCAGCATCGGCAACAAAGATGTAATCAAATGCAGTTTGAAGTTCAGCATTTGGAATGGTTCTGAGAAGCTTGCCAATGTAAGTTCCAATCTCTGTGAATCCTTCGTTCCCAGCATTTATAGAGGTAGCAACGTCTAAAACAACTCCAATAGAATCAAGTGTAAAGTATGCCTTGCTAAAAGTATCCAATGACTTTCTGTTGTAAATTGTATATCCAATCAAAAGTGCCTTAAAAAAAGAGATTCAATAATAATTAATATTAATTATTCAACTGTTGTTATATAGATATTGGTTTTATAAATATATATATATATATTTGCATACTTGACAACCACGGAATATAGCCAAACAAACATTTTTAAAGGCAAGATTATAAACGAGCGATGGACATTTAACCTTGAGTTTGGCATAAAACTTGTTACCAAGATCATCAAGAAAGGCAGCAGGTCCCTTTGTAAAATCGACGCCATCAAGTAATTGGTATTGAATCTCAACAAGTGCTTTGTGGAATTCAGTTGTTGCTCCACCCATTCCTGCGCTGAACGACAAAGATGTTATCACATTCTGATGGCTTTGGCTACCCTTTTCCTTGATTCTTTTCATGAGAACTGCTACACTCTCTTTGAGTGCCTTGTCAATAACATCATTTTTCTTAACTGCAGTGATTAATCGGATAAAATGAGTTAACAACAAGCAGGAGTTTCTAATCTTTCCTTTTCTTTTTGGTATTGATTTATCAGATAGTACTTACGAGATGGACCCATATAATAAAACATAGTGTGAACATTCATATAGAATACTGCATCGTTGGCATATTTGCCAAGTGGTTCAAGAACATTGAGAATGGCCTTAACATTTTGTATTTCAGCAAAATAATCTTCTCTTGTTCTATGTAATACGACAAGAGTAGTAGAGAGAAATTATTATGTTAGTGTTGGAAATAGATGAAGAACAAGAGTAAGAATAAGAACAAATCAATGAAATGTCACATACCTAGCATTCTCCTTTATGTACAATGAATCCCAAGTTTTGTAGAATGCATCTGATCTGGTATACAAGTAAAAGAGACGAGACCATCTATCAGGATTTCTTAAAAAGGTACCCATCCACGGTCTACATTCATAAAATGCGTATTCAAACAAAAATCTTGCATGGATACTAAACATATCTCTATAATGAGTTGGAGAGAGAGAGAGTGATGGTTATGGTTAGTATGAGTGATATAAATATTTATACTGTTGAATATTGAAACATACTTTTTTCCCTTGTGTTCCAACATTACACTCTTTAACTTTTCAAGGCATTTTGAGACACTGATTCTACTGACAATTGGATCGGTTGGGTTCTTTTCAGCAAGAACATAGGCAATGAATGGAACTGATAATTCTTTGTAGAAACTTTTACGGTCATCAGTATCGAGAAGGTCCAATCTCGAGCCAGCTAGATCTGGCTTTTTAATATCAAATAATGCCAAGATTGCTGGATCTAAAAAAGAAAAAAGAAAAAAGAAAAAAGAAAAGATAAATATATTTGTAAATAAATACACAATGAATGATCATTCGAATGATTGATTGAAACATTGATAATATTAATATTACATACCAGTACAATAAAGGATATTTTCAATCATATACTTTTCAGCTCTTTCTTTGACAACGTTTCTTCCCTTGTTGTCAAAAATAGACATGTTCTTGAGGATGGCCATACCCTCTGCATCACCAGTGGCATCATTTGTAAACTCCTTGAAGATGTCATACTCGGGAACTTCATCATTTTTGGCAGTGATGTTTAATGTTCTTTCTGGCTCGTCTGATCGTTTGACTCTTGTCTTGGGGAGGGCTGTATAAGTTTTGCCATCATCTTTTTGGTAGATATCAGTACGCAATGTTTCCAATTCAAACTCGAAATGATGAACAATATTGGATTTGTCTGGTAGTTTTTCAGGTTGAGCTTCCAAGATTTGTTCCAACACAGTTGGTGGTCTTAATATACCTGGTTTTACAATATCCATCTAAAATAAATCAATAAATAAATAATTAGTTAAATATTGGTTTGATAAAAGGTTAAAAAAATTGTGTGTTTGTTACCTTATTACAATGATTATTATTTGTTATAATTAATGTGTTGCAATATGGTTGGTTGAAGAGTTGTATTTAAAGGTTGTTGTTGATGTTGCTAACCTCCTCCATTTTTGAAAAATTGATTATAATATCTTTTGTAAACACAATCATGATTAGAAGATTGAGTGTGTCGTGCGTTTATCGGTGCTAACATGTTCTTCTTAAATAAAATGGTGAGCCATGGACACCACGTGGTTCTTTGACCGACATACCCAAATGTGTGGAGACACGCCCTCCATACCTCCGATGATAGTATGGGGGGAGGGTTGGGACAAAGAAAGACTTATCTTTGCTGTCAACAGACAATTCATTTCCAACCCAATATATCTAAAAGGAAAATTCCTTGGTTGTATAATACAACTTGTATTGTATTGAGAAGATGTGACACCAACCGACGCCATAGTGTGACAGTGTTATTATTGTAACAACAAACCTCCTCATCCTCTTTTGGTGATCGCAGCTTGGTTGATCGGATCGGCACGACACGACACGTGGAACAACCCTTGTGTTCCGTTGCCTGGATGGAGTCAACTCCTCGATCCTTGAACACGTGTCGAAATCATGTTGGGACAAAAAACAAAATATCTTCAAAGTACTAATCCTTGAAGTTCATATATATATGTACTATATAGATAGATTTATCTCGTTCATGACTCTATATAAATAACTAAAACTATTATAAAAATTGTTTAAATAAATAATAAATAGATAGTCTTTGAACATCGCTATACAAAAAAAAAAAAACCTTTTTTTATTAAATTTTAATTATGTATATTCTAATGTTTCTACCAACAAACTAACTTAGTCATTCTTCCTTTGGTTGAGACAGATAATTAATTAATTGTTCAGATGCAAATGTTGAAATTCAACAAATGGTTACCAACATCATTGAACCTCAGGTTTGCAGCTGCATCACCTTTGTCTGCATTGCACCATCCCTTCATCCATCGTTATAGTAGTACGACGTCTTCATCCTCTTCATCATCATCATCATCATCATCATCATCATCATCATCATCATCATCACCAATCAACAAGTACTATAGTAGAAATCAACTTGTAGATGACATTAAAACATTGAGGAATGATATCAACAAGTATAACGACTTGTACTACAACAAATCAGAGACTGTCATATCAGACTTTGAATATGACATGTTGTTCAAAAAGCTAGAAACTTTAGAACAATTGTATGAATCACAGTACTCTGGAAGTACAGACTTGTCGGCTAGTGGTAGTGGTAGTACAACACCAATCAATCAAGTAGGAGCACCTATTGCAACGGCAGGCAATGAAAGAGGTGAAAAGGTTAAACATATAGTTAGAATGTTATCACTTGACAATACCTATTCAAAAGAAGATTTAATGGCATTTGAATCAAGAGTATTGGGTAATCTATCAAAGAGTAGTAGTGGTATTTCAAACAACAACAATAATAATAATTTAGAATTTAGTTGTGAATTGAAATATGATGGTATTGGATTATCAATAGTTTACGATTCATTTGGTAAATTGGAAAGAATTGCAACAAGAGGTGATGGAGATATTGGTGAAATTATAACAACCAATGCATTATATTATATTCCATCATTACCAAAACAAATATCTACTTCTCATTTGGTCAACAACAACAACAATCTTACACTTGGTCAAAACGACAAGATCGAAGTAAGAGGTGAAGTTGTATTTAAAAAGAGCCAACTTGAAAAGTTAAATACTTGGAGATCAATGAATGACGAGGTTGAATACAAGAATACAAGAAATATAGTATCTGGTAAACTTCGATCTATTCTAGACCCAAAACAAGAAGAATTGGATAATCCTTTTGGTATTGAATTTGATTTTATATCATATCAATTATTTATTCATCAAAATCAAAATAATCAAATTAATAATAATCAAAATAATAATAATCAAAATAATAATAATACTAATACACATAATAATAATATTATATTACTTGAAAAGATTGGATTTAATATTGATAGAAATGCTATATTGGTTGGATCATTGTCACAGAGAGATTCATCAAGATTGGAAGAATTTATTAAAATGTGGTCTGGAGAGAAAAGAGAATCTTTTGATTGGGATATCGATGGGATTGTGGTCAAGGTTAATTCGTTGGAGAAACAAGCTATACTGGGACAGGCTAATCGGTCGCCGAGATGGGCTGTCGCCTACAAGTTTGGTGCAAGAAGTATGCCGACGGTGGTAAAGAGTATCCAACTGCAGATTGGTCGGTCTGGTAAAGTGACACCCGTGGCAGAGGTGGAACCCGTCGATATCCACGGTGTCACCGTTTCGCGAGCCACACTCAACAATCTACTGTTTATTCAGAAACTTGGTGTTCGTACAGGATCGCGTGTATTGGTTGAACGAGCTGGCGACGTCATTCCCAAGATCATCCAATCACTCGATGCAAAAGAACCAATGACCAAGAAAGAGTTACTTGATATGTTTGATCGGTGTCCTACATCCGCCACCGATGGCGACTCACTCAAATGTCCGTGTGCACTAGGATCACCGTTGTCTCAGCCAGATGGGTATCAAGACTACTACTGCTTTGAGAGTAACTGTCCTAACCAGCGACTCCAGAGTATCAGTTGGTATGTCAGCAAGGACGGCATGAATATGACGGGGATCGGACCGTCGCAGATCAAAGTGTTGCTCGAGTATGGCTTGATACAGGATATCGGCGATTTGTACAGTCTTGCCGACAAAAAGGATCAACTCTTAAAGCTACGTGGATTCAGCGACAAAAAAGTCGCCAACATGATAGAGTCGGTTGAGAAGAGCAAAAAGGAGAATCTTGCACACCTCTTCTGCGCGCTCGGTATACCGGGTGTTGGCAAAGCCAGCTGCAAGTGGCTGGCCGAGCGATTCACCACGATCGAGTCACTAGCCACCGCATCCCTTCAAGACATTGAAGTTGTTGGTGATCTCGGTCCAAACATTTCAACCAACATTTATTACTATTTCCATCCAACTGATCAACAATCAAAAGACGGAATCGAAAAATTATTATCAATCATTCAAAAACATAATGTTTATGATAGTCAATCACAAAATAGAAATCAAAATAGATCAGATGAAAAGAAGAATAGTTCAACAACAACTTTACAACAATCGAGTATATTTAAAGACAAGAATGTGGTAGTGACAGGTAAATTCAAAAACATGACAAGAGAGGAAATCCAAGACATTGTGCAACACAATTTTGGAGGAATCATTCAAAGTCAGATTCGAAAGAATACCAATTATTTATTAATGGGTCAAGATGCAGGTAGTAGTAAAATAACAAAAGCTGAACAAAATGGAACAACTATTATTACAGAGAATGAATTTGATGATCTATACAAATTAATCCAAAAATAGATTTACATATATAATTATTATATATTTATACACACAAGCAAATAAATCTAACGTCCTTCATTGGACAGTTAGTTTAACTCATTAATTAATTAGTGGTAGTTGTTCATAAATCGAACGAATCCAACATCATCCACCACATAAAACGTCAACAAATAATAATTTAATCAAATAATAATAATAATAATAATAATAACCAGTGTGTTGTTTGGTTTGCTTGAAAATACTAAAAAAATATTATAATGGTAACCATATATATACATATATTTATAACCCTCATATTCTCCAATTCGATTCGATTCTTTCCCAAAATATATGATCATATTTAAACGAAATGATAGACAGTTACAGTTAAAGTTCAATCCCAATCTTTTTAATCATCAAAAATACAAGTATTTTAATTTATTTGTATAAAAGACAAAGATCAAGATCATCTAGATGATCATCCATCCTTCTAATATTACCATCAGTATTATAACTGTGAGGTTATTATATCTTTGTTGGTCTTGTCAATTGGCAATAACAGTGGGATAACCAGTGCACCGTCACCCCCAACTTTGGAGGATGCACAACAAACAAAACAACCACAACATGCTTTAAAATCTACACTCATAAAGTTTTTCGATCACTCACTACGGGTAGCTGGTTACTGTTATTATTTTTATGAGGTTATATGTACCTACTAACTAGCTAGCTACTGATCATCATCAGGATACGGTGTCAGCCTTATTTAAATCATCATTGTCAAATAAATATTTTAATTACTTACTCACAACACCATTAATAATAATAATTAACTAATAGTTTGACTTTTAATAATAATTAATCTCCTTTAGGATTATAGATATATTTATATATTTATTTATACACCCACCCATCCATTAACAACAAACATAACTTACTTTATTTAATTTTTAAAAAAGGTGTATTAATATTAATATTTTGTTGTTTGTTAAATAATTAAAGTTTTGATGATCGATGGATAGTTTGAAACGATTATCAATATTGTTATTGTTCTTCTTTTTTATAATACTATATGTAAATAATAATAATCATCATGTGTTTGTTGATTCATCAGCACTATCTTCTCCACCACCTCCTCCACCAGAGCCTGCTCATCCATGTATAGAGAGACAACCAACACCTATTAAACTACCACTTCAAACGTCACATTTAGTAGACAATGAACAAGAGCAACCTGCCGCTGCAAAAGTTGTCTTGGAAGTATCTTCTTCTGATGATAATGGTAATGGTGACGGAGGTAATGATAATATACCATCACTACGATCATTCCCAATCAAAGTAATAGACATTGTACCAAAGAATGAAGGAGATGATAAGACACCTTACCAATTGTCTGGCACACAACCTATCATTGTGGCATTTAACAGACCGATTATTGCACTTGGTGAACCATCTACCTACTTTCCATTCAAGCTGAGTTGCAAAGGATCGGATACTCCAGTACCGGCCGGTAGTTATCGTTGGGTGACCACATCGATTGCAAGATTCGATGTATTGGTCAATGGATGGCCATCAGACCTACAGTGTCAATTCAGTGTCGATGAAACGTTAAAGTCGTACGATGGATTGGCCATCTCATCCGTGCCACCACCCATAGCCTACTACACTGCATCTCCATCACTGTCAATCACTTCGATCACATCCAATCGGTCTTCTGAGATGACTAATGGCGAGTGGACAACCTACACACCCGCTAGAAGAGTCGATGAACAAGACTACAAGGACAACTATGAAGTGCCACCCGACGCAGTCATCAAACTGTACATTTCGTCGCTCTTTGAGATTGATCGTGTTAAAGAAGCAATGCGTGTCTACCAATACGAATCAAAGAATGCTGCGGTCCTCAAAATCACCTATCTCACCGGTGAAGGGTGTGGAGAAAAAGAGGTGTGTATCACACTTGGCAGCCAACTAGAGGTCAACCCATACTCTACCTATGTCATTGAAATACCTCAAGGTATTCGTATCCACAATAGCTCTGGTCCACTATCTGAAGCCATTAGTGTTAAAGTTAATGGTTTATACCCATTTAATTTTTATTTCATGTAAGAATAGAAAAAGATAGAAGATAGAGACTTTATCTTATTTGATTGATTAATTATTAAATCTATTTATTTATTTTTTAGTGAATCAGAAGCAACTCATCATAGACAAAGATTATATGTTCGCCATTCATTAATGCCAAGTGTAACGGAAGAGGATCTTGCTCAAGTATTTAGCCTTAAACCATCACTTGATTTAAAGGTATCAATCATTACGCCAACAGTCATTGAATTGGAAGCAAAACTTAAACCATCCACCACTTATAAACTCATTGTTTCACCACCTAAAAACAAACCAATATTGGATGGTTGGAATTTACCATTACTTGCTCAAACTCATACCTTTAATATGAGTATTGGTAATAATTATATTGCTTATGCTAGATCTCCCATTTTTGATTCAACCATATCATTTCCAAATCAATCAATGATTTTTTATCAAAATCTTTTAGTATGTTTATAAACAAAAAAAACAAAAAAGAAAAATAGAGTATGATATTAATTTATGTTTATTTTTATTTTTTTTTACATTTAGGAAACAAAAAAATCATTTTTAACATATAATCCAAACAAACCATGTTCAAATGTTGATTTTAAAATGTATGCATATCCAATTACAAAGAATAATATAATTGGTGTATTAAAGACATTGGAAGATTCATCTAGAAAACCATTTATCATCCCATCACAGTCACAACAAAGTATACCATTGATTGTTGATAGCAACAATACAGTGTACACTGCAAAGATTGATAATGTTGCAGCGTTTAAACCATCGGGATCATACCTTCAAATTAGAACAGACTATTCATACGATTGTACTGCCATCTATTCATCAGAGTTGGTGCAAGCCACTCAGTTGGGTGTGACACGTCTAGACATTGGTAATGAAATCATTTATTGGATCTTTTTATTAAAGGATGCTTCCAATGTTGCCAATGCCACAGTCTATGGATACGGTCTAAAACAAGGTGATTACAACGTTGACAATTTACAATTGATAGGTAAATCAATATCTGATAAAAAGGGATTGGTTACTTTTAATTTGGCTGGTTTCAGATTAAATTGGATTGTTGTAGAGTATGGTGGAAAACTATTTACTTATCGTTCCAATACCTATGGACCTTATGGTACTAGTCCAAGAATTAACTCTCAAATCATCACTGATCGTAAACTCTATAATGCAGGTGACACTATTCATCTAAAGGCCTATTTGAACGGTCCCAAGGATATCATCCTCGATCTCATCTTCAAAATATCGGTTCAATGGACTATTCTTGGTACACTTCAAACATTTGACAAGGTGGTCGATTTTGACGATGTCTACAATTCTCTCAATATTTCAATCCCTATCCCACCAGGTACCAATTATGGTTATTACTCTCTTTCAATCTCTGGTTCAAGTGTAACTGATAAAAGTTCAAATAATTTTTATAGCAATACAGGTAAATAATAATAATCATAATAATATTTTAAAACATTGAAAATCTTTTATTAATTCAATTTATTTTTTGTTTACTCTATAGATGTATTGATTGCAGATCCAAGAATACCAACTGGAATATTAGAGATTAGTACAAAAGATGATTATATTAAATATGATGAAGATTCAAAGATTACAGTTTATGTATCGACAACCAATTATATTGGAGAACCTAGTAATGGTCAAATGGTTAAACTTGGTTGGAAATTAATTGGTGATCCATCACAAACGGAACAAGTATCAGTTACAACCAGTAAAGATGGAAATGCGTCATATACATTTAGTTTCCCATCGGCCAAATATGATATCAAGAGTCAGATTGAATTCTCTGCCTTTTATATCGATCCTACCAGAGCCACAGTCATGTCAAACACATTTGAACGTTTTGTTTTGGTCGATCCCTATGACATTGAAATCACCTTGGTCGCATTCTCTAGTCAGTCGTCCAAAGTACCATACATTCCACAAGGTCTCAATGCTAGAATGTATTATGTACCAACTGGTGAAACCATTGAAAATGTTGCACTCACCGTTCAATTGACTCATTGGGAGATATTGGCTCTCAGTGTCACTGAAAAGAATGCAGACAGCGCAGATAGAAAACGTAAAAATGGAAAAAAGAATCGTCACTATCACCAAGACAACAACAAGCAATCCAATGTACTGTGCACCATTCAGAGTGAAAAGAGAGAACAGTATGATGATGCTCGCTTCCCTCAGTGCACATTCACGTTTGAAGATTTTGTAGAGAATGTGATTGTCGTCAGGGGTATCGAGCCAAAAACCAAGCAGGTGGTAGTACAGACCTTGGAGATTGAGGACAGACAAGACCACTATGTCTATTATGGATACTCACCCAACAACATCATCACAGAATCCAACCACGATTTGAAATTGTTTACCAATGACAATAACCACTATGTCGGCGACAAGGTTGTTATCACCTATTGGAATCCATTCAAAGAGGCAAGAGCATTGTTTTACTGGGGATGTGACTCCAAGACTACCAATGACCAATTCAAAGTTGGCTATGGATTCAACAACTACACGATCAAGGTGGTTCCAAAGTGCCAGACTTTGGGAATGTTTGCAGTCATCTCGATTCAAGGACACGAGGTGGGATACAAGATTGGTGCAGGTACAGTGTCGCAAGTATATGATCCACTCTCTGCCAAGAGTGCATCGGGAAGCATCAATTTGAATGTCAAGGTGCAACCTATTCTCAATCTATCTGTTTCGTTGGAGAGCGAGATTGTATCACCCGACTCTGAAACGACCATCACCCTCCACGTTGACCAACTCGATAATGGAAAACCTTTCCAAGACCAAGTCGAGGCATGTGTCATGGTGGTCGATAAACGTGTTCTCGACCTCGTTCCATCACAACTGCCAGACAGTCAATCCTTTTCAATGTATGCCCACAGCTTTGTATCGTACGATCAGTCTACCAAGGGGCTGACCAGATCCTACGCAAAACAAGCAGAAATACTCCTCAGACGATTCAAAATCGATCAATGGATATCGGATTGGAGTGGATTTGAAGTTGAAGATCCAGCCTTTTTCAAGAATCTTTTCAACTATCTCACCAATATGGCCAATCCATACCGTCACCGATACTATGCTTCCTATGGAGGTACAACTGGAGGAGGTATTGTTAACCTTGAAGCTGCAGATACTGGTATTCCAATGTCGTTTGATGCCATTGCTGCCAAATCTCGTGGTCCACCAGCACCTGACGCCGGTAGCGGCGGAAAAACAGACAATTCTAAAACATCGCTTCGTAATAATTTCCAAACTACACCTCTCTTTGCTAGCAAGGTTCTCATCAAAGGTGGTAAAGGACAGGTTACCTTTAGATTACCCGACGACATTACAACATTCCAAGTCCGAGCATTTGTTGTTTCCAAATCAACAGACTATCTCTACTCTACTGAAACATCGCTCACTTCAAGAAAGGATGTCAATATTTTACCAATCATCCCTAGATTTGTTCGTATTGGCGATACATTCAATCTTGGTGCTTCCATTGTCATCTCCAACCCCAAGCTAACGCAATCTGGAATTATGAGACTTGTAGTCAAGGTGGTTGATCCCTCTGTCGCAGAATCTACCGAAGGCTACAGTAAAATTGTTGCCTTGTCGTCAAATGGAACCACCATCAACAGTTTATTTAATTTCAAAGCACTTAAAAAGGGAACTGTTGATTTGGGATTGTTTGTCTATTTGGACAACCGTCTTTTAGACTCAATCGAGGTTCAATTTGATGTACTCGGACGTCAACTGTCAATGTATGTTGGTACAAGTATGGCTGTTTCAAGTAATACCACTGTAGAAGAAGGAATCAACTTGCCAGATACTGAACCAGGTACTGGACAATTGAACATGGTTGTCGGTGTCGGACGTTACCCATCCGTAGAAACCATGTGCAACAAGCTATTGTCCATTGGTAATGACAGAACACCATCTTCGGTCGACCAACTATCAAAACAGGTAACCTATGCCTCTCTGACCAGTTACAATGCCAATACCACCCTCATCAACGAAGCTCAGGCTCAACTAAAGGTTGTCATGTTGGGTTTCGATAGATATGTCTCGGGTAACATCAAATGGTATCCAACCGATGTAACTGGTAGTTTCTATCCTACTCTATACGCCCTCCAATTGCGAAATCTCATGAAGGGACTCAAGCACATTGATGGATGGGTGTTGTTGGATGCTCACTTTAGCGACTGGCAACGTTTTATCGACACCTATGTCAACGAATTGGTCACCACTGCACATCAAGGCAATCATACTGTTGACAAGAGTCTGATCGGTCTCGCTAGTATTGCACTTGGTTATTATTGGGCACCATCCAATGATGAACTCATAGAACTCTACTCGTTTAATGCTCTGTCTGCCAACATTTCAGATAATTGCGATCTTCAATGTCAATCCTACTTTATGATTGCAACACTTTTGAATGGAGACGGTGACCAATCTTCATTTATTCCAACTGTCATTCAAAACCTTGAAAATGCAATTCGTATCCAAGGTAGAACTGCCTATGTCACTGGAGGAGGAGGTAGATCATCTCTTTCATTGACCATTTACGCATCGATTTCATTTATCATGGCCAAGCATATGGACACTCCATTCCTTGAAAAGATGGTCAACTTTATAGCGTCGGGTGGTGTCGTCCCCAGCATCACCTTTGACAAGTGGGTACCAGGTGTTTCAAGTGAACAGATGGCCCTCTCTATCATTGCAATGACTTGTTATGACCTGGCTAAAAACAGTACCCAACCAAATCTTACATTTAGTGCCTACAAAAACTCTGTCAACAATCTATTACTCTCTCAATCATTTAATACTACAAGTCCAAAGAATATTCAAAAGATTATTCAGTTTGATGGACTTGTAAGTGGTAACAATAATAGTAATAATAGTGGAAAATTATTATTCTCAGTAGTTGGTGTTGGAGAAGTGTCGGTTGCTGTTGGTATTGAATATGTACCAACCAAACTACCAGACAAACCAGTATACAATGGTTTCTATGTAGAAAAGGTCATTAAATTTATGAACACCAACAGTAGTAGTAGTAGTAGTAATAGTCAAAGTTCAACAACCTTCAAGTATGGTGATTATGTAGAGGTTGTCATATCGGTTACGACTCACGATGATGTTGGAGTTATCTATGTCGAAGATCCATTACCATCGGTAATTGAACCACTAGACAATAACATCTATCAAAATCCAGACACTCCACCACAATGGGATACCGTTCGTTACTATTGGTATTCTCCATTTGGCTACAGAGAAACTAGAAAAGACAAGGTCATCTTCCAAGGCACAGATATCTTGGCAGGTAGTTACACAGTCTCTTACTTTGCAGTTGTCACTAGTTCCTTTGGAGTTTATTCACTTCCACCAACCAAAGTTTATTCTCCTAATCAACCTGAACTATTTGGTTTATCAAATGGTTCAATTATTTCAATTCATTAAATAATAAATATTAAATAAATAAATTAGATATTTAAATATTTTCATTAAATTTTACAACAACAAAAAATATATTTATTTTGTATTTATTTATTTATTTAATTTTTTTTTTTAATCATCTTTTGGTGGAGTAAGTTGATTTACAACTGGTTGAAGGAAGTTGTCAATTACTTGTTGAACGACTTGTTGAAGGGTAGATTCAACCTCTTGTTTGTTGTCTCCAATCATTTCAACATAGTATTTGAGTTTTGGCTCGGTTCCACTACCACGAAGGGTTGCAATGGCACCATTCTTAAAGTAAAAGGTGATCATTTGGGTGGAAGTGCTGACTGGGAGACGAGCCTTGTTGTCTGGGTAGGCAGTGTCATAGTCGACTGTCAAATCACGGATACGGATGATTTCATAGGGACCACACTTGTCTGGGAATTGGCCGTTGTTTGACTTGCGAATGTCGTTGAATATTCTGACCATCTTGGATGGCTCGTAGCAGAAAAAGTATCTATTCTTGCTAATGTGGTAGCCATAACGTTGCATGAGATGGTCCAAGTGGTCTTGACACGATGATCCATTGGCGTAAAGGTTGAGTGCGTATTCAGCAAAGATTGGTGCGCATCTGACACCATCCTTGTCCAAAGAAACGTCACCATACATGAATCCAATAGCCTCTTCATAGGCAAACAAGAACTTGTAACCTTGGTCAATCATCTCCTTGGCCTTGTTACCAACCCATTTGAATCCTGTCAAGGTCTCCTCGCAAATGTATCCTTCCTTCTTTGCCATTGTCTTTAGCATGGCCGAACTAACAGCAGTATTAATCATAAAGAATTTTTCGGCTGGTACATCTGGATGATTAATCTTTGCATTGGTCCATGCCCAATCTGCCAATAAAATACCAATTTCATTTCCATTAAATACTTTCCATGATCCACTAAACAAATAATAATAAAAAAATAAAATATTAATACTCTTTCTTTTTCTTTTTCTTTTTCTTTTCTTCTTTGTACTACAAACTCTTTTAATTTTTCAGCAACTGCCAATCTATCAGCATCTGGATCATTGGCAAGAATGAGTCTGCTGTTTACAGATTCTGCAGTTTCAATTGAAAGTTTCAAAGCACCTTTTCCTTCCTCTGGGTTGGGGAAGGCAACCGTTGGGAATGCTGGATCTGGTTTGATTTGTTGAGCTACTTCAACATAGGGTGGTAATTTAAATGTTTCAAACGCCTTTTTAACATAATCACCTCCTACTCCGTGCATAGCAGTATAAACAACCTTTTCATTTGCCAACTCTAATGGTGTCGAACGATTCTTGACACTATAACTATAAATCTTTGAAAAATATGCATTACTAATTGTTTCCAATGGATCGTTGACTAATTCACTTGAAAGTAATTTATCAATATTAATCTAAATAGAAAAAAAGGAAATTAACAAAATGATATTTAATATTAATTGATTGATTAATTATCACTTACAGTCCATGGTTCTAAATTTAAATCAATTTGTTTGGCAATACCCTTATCATGTGGAGTATTAATTTGACATCCATTATCCCAATAAACTTTATATCCATTATCATCCTTTGGATTATGTGATGCAGTTACCATAACACCAACACTTGCACCAAGTTCTGGTACTGCAAATGCCTAAATTATAAATTTATAAATATTAGTAAATGCAATATTTATATTTATATATATATTTAGATATATTTTTCTCTTTCTACATACAACAAATGGAGTTGGTACAATCTTTGAGAACAAATAAACTTTGAAACCTTTTGATGCAAAAGTAGCAGCTGTCAATTTAGCAAATACTTCTGAATTGTATCTACCATCATATCCAACAACTACACCCTTTGATTGAGCTTGTGAAATTGTTTCTTGAACATAGATACTAAGACCTTGACTTGCTTGAATCACTGTTAAATCATTCATGTTTGCAAAACCTGCTTTCATTGGTCCTCTTAAACCTAAATATAGTGATTAACTATTAATAATTACATATTCATATGTGATTGAACGATCGTTGTTGATACAATACCAGCAGTACCAAAAGCAATTCTATTCTCTAATCTAGCTCTTAATTCATTTTCATCTTTAGCTTCTACTAATTGCTCAATCTCCTTGTGTGTCTTTGGGTTTCTATCCCATTTTAACCAATTTTGAGCTAATTGATTGATATCTGTCATCTTTTGTTATTAAATATATATTTTATATGTGTACAAGTAAATAAATGAAATTGAATGTGACAATGACTCATTAAAATATCTCATGCTGAGCATTGTCATCAACCCGTTTTCACCAGTTTTCTCAACACCAGAAAAGAGAAGATCATCACCACACAAATATAATATTTATATTGTGAACTACAAATCAGAAGAACTATTAAAATAACAAAAAGGATTAAACGAATTGAGATTCACTGATCCAAATATTTGGGAGATGGTAGTTTACCTGCTGATCCAATGCGAATGTACAGATACAAAGATATAAAGAGTGTCACGTGGATGATTAGAAATCGATATCCAAGACTACTCAAACACAAGTTGGTACATCGACATTTAACAACATTACTCAATAGTAATGATGTTGCATTTGTGTGTAAGATGGTGACTGAACAAGATATTGACGTATTTGACTATATCTACTTTAAATATAGTCATCTATTTCTTTGTTATTCTGTGGTTGCTGCAGCTGCAAAGAATCGATCAACAGTACACCCACTCAAGTTAATACTATCAAGAACACAACAAGACGGTGGTTATGCAATGTGGAGTATCAGTACTTCAATCATGGATAGTTGCTCCTGAGATAGCCCGCCTAATATGTCTGTGGATACAAGAACTACCCCCCAATCTACCGGTCATGCCCCACGTCACCATACAACGACATCCTATTGCAATCGAGCTGCAATATTATCATTTCTATCTACCAATTGATGTATTTAAAATCACATTCTCGGAATCTTTGGGATCAACAACAAATAACTTGAATGAAGCACAATTCGTCAAGTGTACATACCAATATTTAAGTTGGTTGGGCTATCTCTTAGGTAATGATGAAGAGGAGGTACCACCACTCCCCAGCTATCATAATCAAGCACTCTTTGACAATCAGAAAAACCAAACCGTACCATCATTATCACCAACGACACACCCGTCACCTGTAACACATAGTAATATTGAAATGATAGAATATATCGAATCAAAACTGGCCACCTATCATAGTGGACAACAAAGAAAGAGTATCATCGAGTGTATCACGGACAAAGACACCGATGAAAAGAATATAAATGGGTTTATCTTAGATGGATGATAGAGTCTGGTAGAGTACAGGATATTCCACGGAAGAATGAATGGGTTCAAGGTATGATACGAGCAACCATATTGGAACAACGAGAACCAGAATTATTGCTACTATTGTCTGACCATAGGGTACGAGACAATGTCGATTGGGTGTTTACTTATTACCACGACCACGGCAACAAAGTTTACAATTCCATGATCCGAAGAGAAATTAAAAAGGCCTACCCAACCACACAATTTGTTACATGTATAGATGAAGTGGACAAGGATAATAACCATTTCGACCAAGAATATCATCAACAAGATAATACTGGATACATTGAAAGAGTAATCAATCGTGCCATACAATGTGGTCATTTACCTTTTATTAAAAAGATATACCTAAAGTATCACCCATTTTTTTGACGCCTTATCTACATCAAACAACTCGATTTCCTCTCAAGGGCAGCTCAATTCAACCAATTTGCAAAGTGGTTGATCAAAAAGATTAAATCTGATCGATTTGAAGACAACAAGTCTCTCAAAGTCGAGGAAATGCAGACAGCACTAGAGATAGCATTGCTTTATGGACACTATCAAATCACAGATCTAATCCTGTCACAAGTGCCAAAAGACTATATCTTTTCATTTGATTTACTTCAAGTGGTAGCCATCTCTGGAAACCTCGAGTTTTTTAGAGCTATGACCAAGTTTGTCGACATAGATTATACAGACCGACAAATGGAACCAACAATGATATCAGCAGTACAGAGTGCACATAGGATCAATTGAATTGGTACAATATATTATCAATGATCTCTTGAAATGGCGTCCACTATCATTTCCAATGATTGCTACTCTATATATTATCCCCAGTGCCATTCGATATGGTCACTTTGATATAGTCAAACTTTTTCTCGACTCTATTCTGCGGTATCGATACACCCCAGGAGACTTGCCAAAAATTGCTTCAAGTGCCATTGAATTTGGTCGTTATCAAGTGCTTGACTATCTTGTTCAAAAGTGTGGCTATCAATTATCATATTATAATATTCGCAAAGCTTTTAGTATTGGTTCAAACGATGGTGGCCATACATCCCTACTCCAATACATTATCAGTTGTCATAGTCATTTGGATCCTTTTAAATTACTCAAGAGTGATATCAAAAAGAACCGTTGCTACCGATATGATTTTTGTTTTCTATCTAAAAATAAACAAATAATAAATAATAAATAAATATTAATACTCTGCGCAATGGATCATGACGATCTTTTTTTGGTTTTTTCGGGTGATTCTCAAGACGGTTGCGAGGTGGGGCTTGAGAATTCACTAAAGTAGTTAAGGTGAGGGGAGTGCCCTTATTGCGCAGTAAAGCCTAGCTCGTAAGATCGATCAGTTTTGCACCACAAAAAGGGATTCCTAACTCCCCTTCTCTCCTCATTATATTTAGATCTTTTCTTTGATATTTTTGGAGTCTAAGACTATCCTTTATTCTTCTCTCTTTTTATAGTACAATAGTTCGTATTAATCAACATAGGTACAGATATATAGATTACAGATACTATCACAAAAAATTAAAAAAATGATACGGTGGTCGACATTCGTTGTGCTGTGTAGCACCACCATTGCCATACTATTATCTTTAATTTTAAACACATTGTGTGTCAATGCACAAACTACACCTCTTAGTGCCCTTGAATGTATGTATCTGTAGACTAGTACGACAATAGTAGTATTCATTTATTCATTCATTTATTCATACCTTAACTACTCTAGTGAATTCTTGCTATTGGTTAAATAGACAGTATGGACTAGGTTTAGTAGAAAGCGAACAAGATGTTTGCGGATCTGGTTATTTCAATTGTTCAGTTATTGGTAATCAATATTATATAACAACAATGTATGTATTGCGTACTATTTGTACAAAGAAACACCAATGTCGACCGGGTTAGAATGAATCAATATTAATATTAATATTTTTTTGGTTTCTACCTACCTACCTACATACTCACTCTTTCTTTTAAAAGATTAATTGAACCATCAACATATGTTACTCCATCATCACAACCAAATAGCATTCTAGTATTTGTGTTTCCACAATTGACCTCGTTCCAAGTAGAACCCATTTCAGTTACAGATGTCAACCAAAATATCCTTGATCGATTAAAATCATTACCAAATCTATCACTCATTACGTATGAATCTAAATGATTTTAAATGTAATTTATATAATATTTATTCATAATATTAACTATAATTTATATCTATATAGGATTGATGGTGATGATTCATTAGTTATAGTACCAGAAGATTTCCCAACTGGAATGCCATTATTAAATAGAGTGAATCTCTATAATAATCCACTTTTATCGATTCCAACCTATTTCAATAACTCTAATCTAGACTACTTTTCAGTGTACACACCAACCGTTCAAACAATGAAACTCGACGATACATTGAATCTCCCACTATTGAGTCACATTGATATGGATTTCAATCCACTTTTGGAACAAACCTATGTCATCTCACCAACTTCACTTCCCAAGTTACAATACTTGAGTTTATACTCTAAAGGTGCTGCATTGGTCAATGTTCAAATTAAAAATAGAATTACTGATATAATGTATGAAATCAAACAAAACCATCCATCCATATCAACCAAAATTTTGTCTTACTTATTTATTTTTTTCCAAACAATTATTAGTAAATTAGATTCAGATAATAATGGATACATTCTAAATATTGATCAACCAGATGCAGTCGTTGAAATGTAAGATATATATATACATATTTGGACTATTATTTTTAATAATATTAACATTTATATTATTATTATTATCATTATAGATTACTAGCAGGAAGAGGATCAAACTTTTTCCCAACTGATTTGGGTTTGTTTACAAGTATTACAAAGTTTTCATTGAAAAAGTCAGAGTTGACTGATTATCCAATTGTAACAGGTTTCCCAACTACATTAACAAATTTGTAGGTTTACCTATCACCCAACAACCATATACCACCAACTATAATAATAACTAATTAATTAATTTATTCAATTTTTTTTTCTTTATTATTATAGAAATTTTAGTGGATCACTATTTAAAAGTATTCCAGATGTAATTTTACCAAGAGGATTAAGAGAATTGGGATTACCATCAAATTTAATTGATCAACCTATTCAATGGACCGTTTTTTCAGATTTGGATGATGGTTTTATTTTAAATGTTGAAGATAATCCAAATCTTTCTGGTACTGTTCCAGAATCATTCTGTAATCATAAGCTCAGATCAAGAAATACATCCCTCCTCTCATTACCAGCTTGCTTTATGTGTTATATTGGTGACCCTGATATTATTACAACTTCTGTTCCTGCTCCTACATCATGTGGTATGTTTCGATAAAAAAATAGAGTTTTATTGGTTATGATGATACTAACAAAATGAAATGATTTCTACTCTTAGATTTAACATTTAATACAACAGATTTAGTAACAATATTTAACAAGACAACGATTGGCGGATATGCATTGGGGTGGGGTAATAGTGAGAGTGGATTAGAGGTAATCAAACCAAACGAAGTTTTATTGTACACTTCTACTGATCCGGTTGTTGGACCAAAGAAAACAATCAACCTTTCATTCAATGCAAAAATACCACTACTTACATTCCCATTCACAGTCATTGAAGCTGGTATCACACTTTCTGGCTCGAATGCATTCACTGTAAACACACAAGGTATTTTATTAAACATTGGAGCCACCGTGTTTAATAGATACATGCCTCACAATTTTAAATTGCTTGGACACCCAAATACCGTTTGTACTTTTGTCAATATTACTACCGATGGAAATGCTCATTGTCAAATCAAAGGAATTATTCCAAATGGTCCATTAACCGTTAATATTTCAAATCCCTATTACAATGCCAATGCATTACTAAGTATAAGTATGTAACGAAAGATAAGATTAATCTTATCTAAATTTAATTGTTTCTAACTTTTATCTTTTTTTTTTTTTTTCTATTTTTCTACTTTTAGATCTTGTTCCAAGAGATATATGTACATTTGAAACATCACAATGTGCTGGAAATGGTAATTGTGATGATGGTGGATTGTGTGTTTGTAACAAACCAACCTTTTATAATAATTGTTCAAAACCATATCCAGTTGCTTCATCTGGCTCGGTTGAGGGATCCAATCAAACTTTGATCAGTTTATTTGGTGATTTTGGTATATTTGGTCAACAAAACCCATCGGTTTTGATCAACGGTACCATGAGTTGCACGGTCACTAGTAAATCCCAATCGTGGATAAACTGCACTCTTGCCAGTACCCCAACTACATTTGGATATGCCTATGTCAATGTCACTGTCGATTCACTGCCATTCAACAGTCCTGCCAAAGTATTGTATTTCGTTCCTCCTCCACCACCTGCCACCAATCTCCTACAAAAATGTATAGACGATACTAGAAATTGTTATGGTCACGGTCAATGCCAAGACAATGGCAAATGTATCTGTCAATTAAATTATAATCCAGATGATTTTTGTTATACTCAATGTATGTAAAAGATAATAATAATAATAATAATTAAATAATAATATTTAAATTAATATTTATTTCATTTTAATTTCATCAGTTGCAAATGCATCAATTGATGTAAATACAACATCACCAACTACATCATTTGATGTGAATGGAGTTGATTTTAGTTTTGAAATCATTGCTATTCAAGAGATTGATATGGAGGGTGGTATATTGAAAGAGTTGCTCACTGAGAGTTGGAACGCCAATATTACAAGCAATACCACATTGACAACAGCCATCTACGCACTTAATATTACAGACACGGACAAGGAAACTATGTTGTTGGGTAATACTGACATTTCAGCCGTGATTTCATTTTCTTCACAGGCACGTGTCATCCGATTCGGTAACCAGGATCTTAATATTGGCGCCAACTCGATTAAGCTATCGGTTAATATCACCAACTGGCAATACTCTTCTAATTTGGCAACACTACGAGTTGTCTTTCAAACCATTGTCAATGAGGAACAATTGATTCAGGTCGATTGTCAAGACAAGGAGGTGGAGTCATTCACCAACAATGAAATATCGTCATCACTACAGTACTTGCGTGTCGTCAAGGACAATGTTCAATTCAACGGTCGATTCATCGACTATGTCTTGTCGGATGGACATCAGGCCATTTCAACCACCTATCTCATCAATCAAACTTCGCTGGGTCAAGGACAATCCCTTGCAGTGCTCGGAATCACCATGCCACTCTGTGCAGAGTGTATTCTCGATCCCGACTTTACACCACTCCTGATTGACAAGGGTGATGACCAATGTGACCAAACCGACTCGAAAACTTGGAGAATTATAGTTGGAGCCGTAGTAGGAGGTGTTGGTCTAGTATCCCTTTCCGTCGGTGCTGTCATTGTCATTAAAAAGAAAAGAAATAGTGATAGATCAAGTAAAGAAATGAAACGTAAATTAGATAGATTTGCCTAAACAAACCAAACAAATTTAACCCAAACAAACAAACAAACCAAACACCCATTGTATTATAAATAATATCCTAAACCACATACATAAACCTTATACCAAACTATTTCTGTTTTTTAAATAATAATAATAATAATATCTTTCTTTTTTTTTTTTGGTTTCGCTTCCTTTTTCATCACTCCGTCCTGTGTCATTTTTTGTCTCCGTCGACTTCATCGATCTTGTGGAATGCTTGCACCTAAAACCAAAGATGGAGGTTTTTTTTAGACACCGCGACATGATGATTCGAAACACGAAAAGTCGAAAAACAAGTAATACGGGACATTCGGTTGCTTTGAATATCTCTGGGACAAAAGTCAACAACAGCAAAAATAAATCAAATTTCCTTCTTGTCCTTGTTTTACTGGTCATAGCATGCATCATGCATATTTAAGGTAGAAGATTTTTTTTCAATTCCCGTTGGGTTAGGGACAGATGTGCATTCAATGCACATCTCATCTGTAGTCTCTTCATAGTTGTAATATTCATTCATTCATTCATTCGCAAAGGAGAATAGAGATAAAATTGTATCATTAAAATTTTTATTGTATTAGTATCACCCACCCATTTGTTATTTTAAGAGCGACTAGTGTGTTTAAAACATAACTTGGAATCACCCTTAAACACCCACAGTGTCTCTTTAGTAACCCTCAACCACTCAGACAGAACACCCTTTACACAAGTTGATTTGTATGTCCGATTGTTTTATAAGACAATAAATCATTTGAACCATCCTTTTATATTTTACCGTTGATCAACCTCCAACGATTTTGTAAATTTTAATCATCACCAATCATCATTATCTAATCTATCTCATCACATAATTCAATAGTACTTTTTTTGTATATATAATAATTTTTGTCCGTTATTTTTTTAATTCAACCAATAATAATAATAGTTATAGAATCATATCTAAAAAAAAAAAATAATAATTAGAATAAAAAAAAATAGTAATAATAATAATAATATTTTTAGTGTAATGGAATCAAATGGAATACCAAGGAATGTTTCATGGGGAGAAAATTTAGAGTATTATGTTGATCAAAATGCAGCAATTGGAGGAGATTATCATTTAGATGAATCGTCAGATGACGATGATGATGATCAAGAATATGATAGTGTATCATCGAGATCAACCATTTCCACTCCATTGTTGACATCATCGTTTGCCAGATTGATGGGTATTGCAGACTCTCCATCATCATCTTCTGACTCTTCAGCCTCTTTAATTGAACAACAACCATTACAATCACCAGCATCGGAACAATCATCGGTGGTCACAATCAAGCCAGAAAAGACATTTTGGGAATTCATGACACGAGACAAGATTAATCTCTATTGTCTAATGATATTCTATGTTGTCTATATCTTGTTGTATGGCCTTTTGGTACCACAACTATTCATCACCTATGTATTTGCAAAGTATCCAGATAGAAGTGATAAAGATAACAATGCAGCTGCAACTCGATTAAAATCAGTGGCCGATGCTCTTCCCTATTTGGTCTTTTTCCTCGTCGGTCCAGTAATGGGTGCTTTCTCTGATAAATATGGTAGAAAGAAAACCTTTTTTATATCTACTTTTTGTTATTGTAAGGAAACAAATAGAAAAGAAATAATTAGAATTATTTATATTTTACAAACATACTAATATTTCCTATTTAGTTATTGATGCATTTGGATATTTGGCAACTTTAAAAACAAATAATTTAATCTATTTCTATGTTGGTCATGCAATTGGTGGTTTTGCACAATCGATACAATCAAATTCAATGTCCTATTTGGCAGATGTTACAACACCGTTGGAGAGAACAAAAGCATATGGCTTTTCGGGTGGATGTGCTGGTTTAGGAGTATTGCTTGGCCCAGCTGCCAGTATCTTTCTAAGCTCGCTCGGCAACCTATATTACAATGTCTATGCTGTACTTGGTATCCTTGGTATTTGTTTGGCTTTGAATATTACACTACCAGAATCGATTCACAGAGCACCCATCACTGCACCCAAGGTTAAACGTACACTCAACCCATTCAAAGCATGTTGGAAGCTTTTATCCAACTCGAGATATCTATGTTTTGTCGCTCTCATCTATGCCTCCTACACTTTTACATCACAAGATACCATTAGTACATCTTTCATGTACACTCGTATTCGATACAACTGGTCAGCACAAACATTTAGTACTTATATGGTTTTCCTTGGTGTAGCCTTTGTTTTTTGGAATGTAATTGTTGTTCCATTTGCAACTAAAAGAATTTGTAAGATTAAATTAGTATATATTAATTTTTTGATCGACCTGTTACTTACCTCTTTTTTTTTTTGTTTCTTTTTTGTTTAGCTGAAAGAAAGATAATATCATTTACATTGGGATATGCAGCAGTATTCCATATACTTTATGGATTTGCAATCAACCAATATATGTATTGTGCAGTTGCACTGCTTGGTAGTTTCTCAGCCATCCTTCTTTTTACAATACCATCTCTTTTGTCAAAGGGGTCGCCTCCAGAGATTCAAGGTAGTGTCTTGGCAAGTTCTGGATCACTGTCATCTCTTGCATCGTTTCTTGGATCGTTGACAAGTCAGAATCTGATGGCCTACTTTACAAGCGACAGTGCACCTACCTATATCCCAGGTGCACAATTCTTTTTCAACTCTATTATTTTAGCCATCATTTGTGTCTGCTCGATTCTTGTGTTCAAGTATTGCAAGAGTCCAACCAAAGGTGATATTAAAAAGGCTGTGTCGTCTGACGACCTCACACAATCCATCTTTTCCAAACATAATGGTATCATTGGTATCAATGTATCTGAAGATATCAATGATGATTATGATATAAATATAATGAGGAATGAACGTTCCTAATAAATTATTTGTATATTCATTATTTATTAATATAAACAAACAAACAAACTGTATAATTGCTTTTTTTTTTTTTGAAGTTGGAGGTGACTCCCCAAATTAAAATTTAAATTAAAAATTACTTGAAGCTGATTATGTATCTTCCCCATTCATTCACACAACTCATTTCAGAATAGATAGATAGATAAAAGAGATAGATAGAGAGAAGAGATAGAGAGAGAGAGAGAGATGATATCAAACAAATCAAACATTATTTGGAGAGAAGAAATATGTATTTGTGACAGTGGGAACAACTATGTTTGATGAGTTGATTGAAGAGGTTGACAGTCAAGAGTTTCAACAGGTACTCAAAGGATTTGGGTATGGAGGTTTGTTGATGCAGGTTGGTAACTGCAAATACTTGCCAATCAACTCGACACTACTCGATCAAGAGACTGGTGCACCGGTGGACGAGAATGACAGTGCATCAGCTGGCAAGATAGTGTCGTACTATTACCGATTCAAACGATCGTTGGCAGAAGACATGCAAAACAGTGCTCTTATTATTAGCCACGGTGGCTCTGGTTCGATTCTAGAGGCACTACAATTCCACAAACCAATCGTGTGTGTCACAAACAGCAGATTGATGCACAATCATCAAGTCGAGTTGGCTGAGCGTCTCAGTACCTCCCCCTACAACTATCTACTGCCATGTGATCCCTCCACTCTACAAACTGTCATCAAACAAGATCTCAAGGGTTATTTAACCAATCGACAAGAACTCGACGAACATGTGGTTGTAAAGAGTTTGGCTGATTTTGGTAAACGTTTCCAACAAGAAGTATCATTTACAAGACATCATTCAAATAAAAAGGATGATGATGATAGACCAACAACAAGACCTAAATCAAACAAGACAATGGTTGTATTGGGATCAGGTGGACACACAGCAGAGATGTTTTATCTCCTCAAACACATCCACGGGGATTATAATCGACTATCCTATGTATTGGCAGATTCAGACAAACGATCATATGACAAGATTGTCGAATTTGAACAAACCTCAGCTGCTTCATCCTACTCGGTTCATCAAATACCAAGAAGTAGAAATGTTGGTCAATCTTATTTCTTTAGTATATTTACAACTGTAAGAAAAAATTGATGAAACTATAAATATATTATACTAATTTGATTTAATTTTTTTTAGATTTATGCATTTTTTTATTGTTTATTACTTGTATTCAGGGATAAACCAGATATTGTTATTTGTAATGGTCCAGGTACATGTGTTCCAATTGTCATTGCAGCCGTTCTTTTTAGATTTTTACGAATCCATGCTTGTAAAATAGTCTATATAGAAAGTATAGCCAGAGTTCAACACTTATCATTATCTGGAAAGATTCTACAATATGTTGCCAATTGGATGATTGTTCAATGGCCATCTCTCATCCCAGAGTGTAAATCTAGTAATCTTTGGTGCAATAATATCTATTTTGAATTATTAGATAATGATAGTAAATCCAACAACAAACCTTCTTCTTCATCTTTGAAAAAGTAAATTAAAATCAATTAAATTTAAATTTAATTGATCTTTGATCTTTCAATCCACATCCTTTAGAATCAAAAAGTTTTAATAAATAAAAATAAATAATTGTATACATAAATATATCTATCTATCTATATTTCATTATTATTGGTTATTATCTATTATTTACAACATCATCATTTCCATAATTTATTAATTCTTTTTTAAAAAATAAAAAGAATCAAAAAAAAAAATGGAAAGATAAACATTTATCGATTTATATATTATTATTATTATTATTTTGGTTGTATTACATTATATCTTCTCCGTGCTATATTAATTATTTCATACATAAACCAAATAATTTTGTTGTTATACTTGATAACATAGCTTGTCCAAATGGAATATAAGATAAAGAGTACCAAACCACTGAAATGAATTGACAAATAACCAAAAACATTGTCAATATAGTTGATTTTAACTAAATTATAAAATATTAATGAATTTGGTTAGTTTACATGCTCTCTTCTCTCATCTATATGTATTACATACACCCAAAGCACAATATAAAGTTCCAAATATAGAAGATAGATAAATAAGTGTAGAGTATAGTCTTTCCTTTGACGATATAATATTTTGATATTGTTTCTTTAGACCAACCAAAAATACCAATCCAATGATAACACATAAACTACCAATTGTATAAAACTTTGCAAATGTCTTTGGTGCAAATATAAAGAATGTTGACTATTATAATAATAATAGAAACTATATTAGTATTCATAATGCAATATGTGAGACAAAGAAAGTCACAAACTAAACATACCATAATTATAAATCCAACACCAATTGCCATTAATACTAAAAATACTGTTAATCTCTGTTTATTTTGTTCAAATAGATTTGTTGTTAGTAATAAGCATAAAGTACATCTTTTAATACCTTCAGATATCATTCTATTATTAGCATACCTGAACATATGTAAAACTTGATTGTTGTTGTACTTCTTCATAGAATGTAGGATCTTTTTGAGGACCACCTATACCAACAGTAGTCTTTAACTTATTGAATACGCCTTCACCTTGGCCTTGTATATCATTCCAAAACTGTTGTGTACCTCCATTGATATTACCAGTCACTCCATCAAAGAATGTTCTATTGTTATGAAATTCTAAATTATCAAGTTGATTACTCATTCTCTCTCTCTATATATGTATGTTATTGTTAATATTATATCTGCGTTGCCTGTGTATATAAATAATGTAATGTGAGGATAGGGGCTAAATATAATATAATATAATACAACCGACCTAATGAATCATCAAAGTAAAAGTCATTGAACTAGTTTATGTTTTAGAATTTTTTTTTGAAGAGCAATATTCAGTATCGACCATTTTTGGAAAGATTGTTTGATTTATTTAATTATTTATTTTTATATATATTTTTACACTTTAATGAATTGGATTGAATTGACTTTTGGACCTTTTAAAAGATTGAAGCTACAATGATTGAAAGGATGACGATCAAAGAGAATGAAGCAGAGACCATGTTGGATGAATTGTTGGCACAGATTGGATCGTTTCTTTGACATGACTCTGGAATTGGGTTGTAGACAGCCTTGAAGACATTGTCGGATTGGAACTTGCACCATTCAGTGGCACACTTGTCGTCGGCACAGCTAGAGTAGGCGGGTGCTTGGAGATTGTTTTCCAAGACACACTTGTTGGTGTTGACACAGTTGAGGTAATCCATGTGACTGTTCTTACGGGTCTCCATGGCAGATCCGGTCAAATCCTTGGTATAACAGGTTCCACTGGTGGCATTGGTGTCACCGCCTTTACAGATACATACTTCATAAGATGTGCAGGCTGTGGCAGAGCAGTTGGTGGTCGATGGAGTAGCAGCTGGGATGGCGGCGCATACACCGGCAGAGCAAATCAATTGGTCGTCACAGAGACTGTCGTCGTTACAGGCAGCATTGGCAGCCAAACTGTACAAGGCAACACACTTACCGTCGGTGTTTTGGGCAGATCCGAGAGCACACTTTTGGTCGGCCTTGACTGGAATGGATTGACCGGCAGCAATGTCGGTGGTACAGTTTCCAGAGCTTACATCACAAGATGTTCCAAATGGACATTCAACGTTGACCTTGCATTTGTTAGTACCCAAAGTACAAACAGAGCTGACACAAGTCATAGAACCCATACATTGGTAATCAGATTGACAAGTTCCATTGTTTTGAACATTATTGGCAACGACACTAAAAGATAGAAAAAAAAATAATAAAAAATAAGTGGTAGTCAAAAATAATATTGATAATGGAAACATTTAATAAATGACATACCATTTGTTGGACTCGCAAGAGTAGAGTGGACTACAAGTAGTCTTGGAACAATCTTGATTCAATTCAGCATATTTGACACAAGTACCATTCTGGACGGAATTTCCATTATTGTTACAATACAATAATTCAGTACATGGTTGATCGTGATTACTATAGATTAAAAAATAATTTTAAAGAAATTAATAAATTATTGTATTATTTGTTGGTTGATTGTTTGATTGATACATACCATACATCACCTTCACCAACACATTTGGCGATAGTTGTGTAACCAGAGCATTGTTCAGCAGAAACATAAGCAATAAGTGCTAGTAAGAGTACTATTAAGAATTTCATTATTTTGTTTTTTTTTAAATAAAGTGTATAAATATAAATATGTGTATGTGTTACAATTAATTAATTTATCTTTTGTAAGATATAAGATAAGATGTGTGTATTTGTAATGGTATGAATGTGAAATATAATAATAATATCAAAATTCGATCGTCTTTTAAGACTGTCGGGAGACTCATCCTTTAACGTCGATCTCTGGAAACCAACCTCAAATTAAAGTGGTTCAATGATCGATGGTCACCAAATATTTTTTTGGTACACAGGTGCCAAGGCACCCACACTCTCCTAGGGAATTGAGGAGCTACCTAGGTTAGGGTTGTATTATTAATAACAACAACCCTAACATGCTTATCAATGATAAGTCGATCGTTGTCCAATGGTAAATAATTTCAAAAATGAACTTGACCAAACGACTCTTTTCACAAACGAAAAGGCATTTTAACCGAAAAAATATCCGTATGAACAGCCTATCACCAATTTTCCAAAATGTTCCAAAATTAAATAATTCATTTTTTTTACTTTCATAAATCAAAAGTTAGCATCCATTTAATAAAAAATGATAATTAATAAATAACTATCAAATAATTACCAACTTTTTAAAATTGACAATAAAAAATTATAATAAATTTGAAACAAGAAAATAATTATAAACAAATAATAAATGATTTTGGAAAGAAGGTTGTAACAACCGGTTGGATTTATCATCAAAAAGAAGTAATCGTGAGACAAAACCAAAAGAAGGAATAAAATAAATAAATTGTTTGTTTTTTGAATTTTTTTCTTCAAACTTCTGTGGTACAATCGCTGTGTGATGATCATAAGAAACAATGATCAATTCAAAGTAAACTTTAGAAGACACACCCAAAAAAGTTAAACATGGGAGTTCAAACCATGATCACTTATAAATAGAGACACACACAGAACATCATCCATCAGCTGATCAGAGGACAGTGTAGATTGAGGTAGCTCTCATTCATTGTACGGCTACTTGAAGGGTGATCGATATAGCATTGCAATGCCGCATCTCTAGCTATAAATGTGGTGGTGTGAGTTCAAACACACACACACACAACCTCTATACTTCCTTCAATCGTTTATATTTAGTCAACACTCACTTTATTATTATTTAATTATTTAAAACAATTTGCGACCCAATCAAACAACAATGCAACCCTTTTAAACAGAACATCTGTTATTCTCTATTCAATTTGCAACCAATCAACAAACAACAACAATAACATAAATAATATATAATTCGAGATGGATAATATTGATTTCAGCCAAATATTATTTGTTATTCCACCATCAGAAAATTTCCAAAGTGATTGTAAGTTGGTCAAGATTCTACAGCAATATTAATATATAGTTCAACTAAATTCTAATATCATTTTCTTTTCTTTTTTTCTTTTTCTTTTTCTTTTTCTTTTTTTAGATGATACTGATCAATTATTATGTTATTGTAAATATGGAACTAAATTAGAGAATGATGGACAATTATGTGTGAATGACCAAGGATGTAGTACCATTATAAAATTGGGAAACAAATTAAATCACGAAGCACAATGTAAATTTAATCCAGCCAACACTAGATTTGATGAAGATGGATTCGTTATGTTTTCCGGAAGTCAATCACCAACCTTTTCATCGCCATCCTATCAATCGATTGATAGTTTACCATTTTCACCTTCTTCTTCATCTCCTTCATCACATTCTCATTCTCATTCTTCCTCCTCTTCCTTTTCATCCTCATCATCGTCATCAAATTCTTCTTCAGGATCAAGATTAAATTCTCCAAGTAAATCACCAAACAAGTCTCCATTTTCATTATCAGATGATCATTCAACATCAACCACTTCTACAACTTCCACATCATCATCATCATCATCATCGACATCATTATCATCACCATTTAGAGAACATGTAGAAGATCATCCACTTGCCAACAACAACAACCAATTGTGGGAGTCTAGTACACAAATGTTCTTTTGCAATCGATTCTGTCCCAACAAGGAATTGGGATGCATGTTCTTTGCAAACTCTGAGGATAATATCCAATACCACCTCGAACACGAGTGCCAAGCTGAAAGAATGAAACTTCGAATCAGTCAACTAGAGACTATCATTGAAAAGAGAGAGACAGAAATTGTCCAACTTCGAAAGTCATCAACCTTTTTTTCGTCATCACCAATGTTATTGGATCACAATCGTCATAATACTAGTATTAATAATAGTCTACAACACCACTACCACAACAGCAGCGGTGGCAATTTCAACGTCTCTGGTCATCTTTCCAGCAACAAGAATAATCAAATATCAAATTCCAATCAATTTTCATCTATTCTTTTATTTATTCTAAAGTCTATCAAAAAAAGGTAAATACATATATATATATATATACATATAATATATATATAAATATAGATGAATACAATCGAACATAATAATATATTAAATACTTACACTTTTTATTTTATTTATTATTTAGTATTTCAAAAGGTATTCAAAAATTGAAAAGATTCTTTAAGAATTCATCCTCCTCCTCCTCCTCTTCTTCTTATTCTTCATCTCCATATGAAGCTTTGTTTTAATCATTCATTATTTATGATCATTCATTAATCATTTTAATATTCTAATAACCAACCAACCAACTAATCAACCAACCAACCTACTCAACCAAGTACTTCTCTCTCTCTCTCTTCTTATTTTATTTATTTTATTTTTCCTCTAAACAAAATAAAATAAACAACATTAGTGACAACCAACCAAAGCACACACCTTCATGACAGTCTCTCTCTAAAGCTTTCCAACAACTTCTCCCTCATTTCGCTCCCTCCCCTTTTCACTTTCCCCTCTCTGCTTACAGTTGATGCAGCGGCTGGCTAGTCAATGATTGGTCTCTCCTGTCTCCTCTCGCTCCTTTATTTTTTTTTGTTTGTTTGTTGAGCCCCCACCCTCCCCTCCCACACTGACGAACGAGGAGGGTTTTCTCTGTCTGGTATAGATATACATCAGTTCACACCCCACCCACACTAATACGGTAAAACCATACACATAGTACCAACTTGGGTATCATTCTCCACATTATCATAAAAGTAGTTATTGTTGGAAATGTTGTTTGTTTATATCTTGAATTTAAATTAATTTTTTATAAACAACAATAATTAATTATTTTCACCATCAACAACCAACAACAAGAACAAGAAAAAGAACAACCACCAACCATACCACCACATTATTAACAAACAAACAGACACACAGCAATCATAGTTAGTTAATTGTTTTTTTATTTTCTCTATAACAACAACAACAACAACATCATCATCAACATTTGTTTGTCATTCTTTTTTCATTGCTTGACTTATCTGTATATTTTACTATTCCCACACCTATTCTTCAAGTACTGTGACCACCATCATCATCATCATTGTTTGAATCATTATATTCAATCTCACTCCATATCTCCAAACCATTATCATTTCATTCAATCACTTTCCCAATATTTTTAATTCATTAAAATATCTAATCAATCAAATTAATGATGGATCCATCAACAATTATTTCAAATTTAAATCAAAATAATAATAATCAAAATAATAATAATAGTAATAATAATAATAATAATAATAATCAAAATCAATTAATACTACATAAACAACAACAACAACAAGATCAATTACAACTACAACAATTCCAATTTCAACAACAACAACAACAATATTTAAATCAAAGAAGAGAATATTATGTTAAAGAATTTGATGTTAAATTGGCAGAGTCAAAGGAAATGACATCGATCCAATATTTTTGTAATAGTAATAGTGAACCAATCTATTTTCCAGATAGAACGTTGGCGTCACTGTTTCGTGTCAATTTGTCAACATTACGAGGAAGATTCAATAGACTCACCAAGAAATACGAGGGTTACAGACTACTAATCAGTGAAAAGTCAAAGACCCGTCTCTCACAAAACCATTATATCAATTGGGGAACATCATTAAAGAAAGAACAACCACAACAACAACAACAATCATCAAATAATAATAATAATAATAATAATAATACAAATAATTATTTGGGTACTGGATATGGAGCTGATCAAGATGACATTACTACATCGACCACTTCCACCGACTCACCAAACCAAACCACTCCATCATCATCATCGCCAACCAATTCGCCAACACTCAATTCAAGTTCACCACTTCATGGACTGGTTGCATTGAATCATATTCGATTGGTAAATGTCGCACTCTCTGATTGGATCGCTTCCAATTACGAACGTTTGGGTACCAACATTGACCACATTTGCGAAAACTTTGATAAATGTGAAATCCCCTACAAAAGAAACGGTGATAATATTACAATCGTTGTACAAAACAAAGACGACTACTTGCCTCCCTACTCTAGCATGGGCAACAATTTCGTACCTCCCTACTTTCCCTCAAGACAGTATATTTCCCCTCAAACTCATCCAATGGAAAATGTTGGTAATCTCCTTCTTCAACCATCAATCATCAATAATAATATTAATAATAATAATAATAATAATTCTCTTGGTAGTAGTAACGGTATCATCCCACAGTATGAGGATGAATTTGAAGATTTACTCGAATCTCCAGTACAATCATTTTCAAATATTATGGATGTTGAACCACCCCCTTCTTCAATGACCTGTCATAATGCAAGTAATAGTGGTAGTATGACAACCACCTCTTCATCTTCAACACCAACTACCAATAGTCCAAGAAACAGACCGTCAAACAGTATTCCAAAGTTGTATGGTGCTTCTAGTGGTGCAAGTATGTACTACCAAAGTCCTCCATTTGTCCACCAACCTCCTCCTCCTCCTCCACCAATCTCTTATCTAGTCGATGAAGAGGATTTATCTCCTCCTTTAACCTTTTCACCAAAACACCTTCCTACCTATGATCATGATATTGGTCAATATTCACCAAGAGATTTAAAAAGTAAGTAAAACACAAATCAAATTATAATTTATTAATTTATAAATATTAATATTTTTATTATTATTTATTTTACTTAGGTCCAAGAAGATTAGAAATGAATGAATTCAATTTACAGCAACAACAACCAATTTACAACAAAAAACCATTATATGTTTCACAAGCAATTCCACCACCACCACTTTCTTCTTCCTCTTCTTCCTCCTCTTCTTCTTCTTCTTCTTCTTTAAATGGAAATATTTTCATTTCATCAACACCACCACCAATCTTGCAATTACCTCAATCTAGATTTAGAGGTAAAAAGAGACCATTTTCTTTGGGTGAGTCTGTTCCAAATATCCCTACTAGTAGTGTCTCTGGTGGTAGTAGATTTATTGCCTCTTCTCCACCTCCTCCAATGCACTCTCCCATGTCCTCTTCTTCTCCAGCTATTCGAGGAGGATCTTTTGAATCATTCCCAAAGATTGGTGGTGGCGACCGTCAACCTTTAACCACAACCAACAATGAATGTCCTCCACCTACACCATTAAATTTTTATCAAGGTTTTGCAACTCCTTCTCCACCTCTTACGCCCTCCTCCTCCTCCTCCTCCTACTCTAGTTCTACAGTTCCATCACAACCAGATTATCTTCAACTTAGACCCATCCAAAATCCAATTCATTATTCTTCAAATAATTCAAGTGGTAGTAACGAGGGATATAACCAACAACAAATCTATTCTCATCAAAATGATTCCAATCCAAACACTACCGATAAGTTTTCATCTTCCTCATCTTCATCTTCACAAATTTACCACAAATATATCGATATAACATCTTATCCAACACCAACCTCTACACCTACTTCAATCATTGGTAATGGTCATATCATTAAACGTAAAGCAAGCGAACCATCGTCATCATCATTATCTTCACTTTCATTATTGGCCAGAAAGACACCATCACCACCACTTGTCCACCAACCCAAATGGATTGACTGTTCACTGGATGGAGACAAACAAGTCAGAATGGTTGATTTGTCCAACACCAACGGCTACGATGATCTCAGACAAAAGCTGTCCAAACTCTTTACCATGATGTCGTTTTCAATCCTAGTGTCATCCAAGAATCCACTTGAAGATACTTATCTTTTAGATCAATCCACTGAATGGAATGACTTTTGTCATCAAGTTGCAAAGTTAATCATCAAACCAGTAAACATCACTCCTGACATTAGAAATCTTGTTAATGACTAGCCACATAATAATAATAATAATTATAACCATCCATATCCATCCAATCCCCACATCCTATCCTCTCCTCATTTGTGTTCAAAAAGCTATAACTAGTGTTGCTTTTATTTGATTCGTCCTTTTTCTATTTTGTTTTATAAACAAGCTAGATATTATATTATATTCTCTTCTTCTAGAACCAATGAATAATAAAAAATAATATTATTCACACACTTCAATAATGAATAATTTTTGATGATCATAATATTCCTTTAAAGTAATCAATAAAGAATCATTGCTTCTGTACTCCAATCATTCAGAAAAAGACAAATGGTAAATAAATACATTTTCATGGAAAAAAATATATTCATTATTCAACATGATCATATGATTTTCTTGCAAGAAGGAAATATAATCAATGTCTTAATGAATAGTGCATGTTATGACTTTAATAGTACCAACAACAACAACAACAGTTAATAACAGTAATAGTAATAATGATCATACAACAACAACAACATTTAATGATATATTCAAAATGACATATATCAGATCATTGATATTCAATCATATTGGTCAAATATTCAAAGTAGAGTATGATGCAAACCAAAAAGGTGATAGACGATATTTGGGTGTCAAAGGAAGAGATATCATCAAGTTACCTTATCTTGGAATGATATCAAAGTATGCAATGCCATTGCAGTTCATTCGTCACTATCTACCACCAACCGATAAAGTAGTACCCACAAGAAGAGTAGACGTTATCGATCGTTATTGTCGTCATCGTAATGCAACATCTGATACTCTTGAATATCTATTGGAATGGTCACCAGGCTACGAACCTGTTGATCAATTAATCATCCAGGCAATGGTTTCTGATGGAAATATAGAGTTGTTGGAATTCATCTTCAAGAGATATCCACACATTGCAAGAAGCAATCAAAGAGTTGATTTGAGTGACCTATGTAATAAAGGGGATCTCTCGATTGTCAAGTTAATTGTAGAGTTCTATTCCATGGAGAATGGACTACTAAGTAGTCATCATGCAATAAGTTGTGCAGCTCGTAAAGGGTTTATTGACATTGTAAAGTATTTACATGAAAACAATGCAGTTCCAAACAACACAGTAATGGTAAGGAAGGATATTAATCAAATATATAAAAAATAGTATCATCAACTAAAAGTATTGATTTATTTTAGGATTGTCAAAATTTAGAGATTATAAAGGTAAGTCATATCGTACCGATATAAATGAATCAACCTATCTATATATTAATGATCAGCCTTATATTAATAATACCTACATTATTTTACTATTGTTTATCGATCATACTATTAGTATCTTCATTACACTGTAGGTGCTGAAAGTTCAGACTATTCGATCATGTTTCTGACCAAAGATAATAATGATCGTCTCGATATTGTTAAAGTATGTTTGTGATCACAAATATGTGTATATATATATATATATATATATATATATATATATATATATGGTCCTCACATTCTCTTTTATTTATTTATTAATTAAATTCCAGTTCTTTCATGCTCAAGAAAAACATCAAAGAGTATTCATGGATCCAAAGGTCATGGAAAATGCTGCTAAAAATGGATTATTAGATGTTGTTGAATTTCTACATTATAATAGAACTGAAAAAGTATCTACTCAAGTAATGGATAATGCAGCTTTTGCTCATTTGGATATTGTCAAGTTTCTTCATTACAACAGAACTGAAGGTGCAACAACAAGGGCAATGGACAATGCATCTAGTCGAGGGGCTCTTGAAATTGTAAAGTTTCTTCATTACAACAGAACTGAAGGTGCAACAACCCGGGCTATGGATGCGGCATCTTTTCGAGGGGCTCTTGATGTTGTAAAGTTTCTTCATTTCAACAGAACTGAAGGTGCAACAACCCGGGCTATGGATGCGGCATCTGGAAATAATCACATTGATGTTGTAAAGTTCCTTTATGAACATCGTAGTGAGGGTGCAACAAGCTTAGCAATCCATCAAGCTATTGAAAGTGGACACACTGAAATGGTTGAATATCTTGTTCAAGTTGTCAAAAGTGAATGTTCATCGGCTGCAGTTCGAATGGCAATAGAAAAAGGTAGATTAGATATTTTATCTCTTCTTCATGACTATTATCCAAACAACAGTGGTGTTTGGACAAGAAGTGATATGAATTTGGCAGCCAAACTGGGACACTTTGAAATTGTCAAATTCCTTCATGAGCATCGTCAAGAGGGATGTACTGTCAAAGCTCTAGATAATGCATGTAAATACGGATTCATGGATATCGTCAAATTCCTTCATGAGCATCGTCAAGAAGGATGCACCACCAAAGCTCTAAACAAAGCATCTAAAAAGGGGATTCATGGATATTGTATTATTCCTTCATCAACACAGAACTGAAGGTGGAACGTATAAAGCAATGTCTGATGCAGCTCAATATGGTCATTTTGAAATTCTAAAGGTATTTATACAGCGATACAGACTGACTTGGACAATCAGTCAGCCCTTCAGATTTGAATCTAATCTAATCTAATCTAATCTAATCTAATCTAATCTAATCTAATCTAATCTAATCTAATCTAATCTAATCTAATCTAATATCATTTATTTATAGTTTTTATACAACAATCGACGACAAGAAGTAAATGTAGCAGATGCAATAGAATTATCATGTTGCAATCAAAGAAATGAAATCCCTTTGTTCTTGCTCGATATTTTCATCAAAGAAAAAGAGGATATAGGAGGATTGAAAGCAGCACGCCTCCAACTAGATAATATTGAATCTGCAATCATTATATCATCAATTTGTGGTCACCTTGAATATGTCAAGTATCTTGTATCAACATTCAACATTACTACCCTTGAAAAGGATTCGATTTACGAAATCAAATATTTATGTAAGATGCCTGTTATACGACACTGCTATGAAGTCATGCATTATTTTGAAAGTGAATCTCAATTCGTTGATCAATTCAGATCAGCCTGGGGTCATCCATCAGATAAGCACAGCAAATATCTTGGAATTGTGAACTACAAATCAGAAGAACTATTAAAATAACAAAAAGTGGAACCACCTATATTAATATATACTTTTTGAAAAAGTAGGTATTTATTTAAAGGTATTCTACACAACAACAACAATCCAACAACAACAACAACAACAAACAATACAAACAATATAAATAAAAAACAACAATAACAACAAACAACAAACAACAAACAACAAACAATATAAATAAAAAACAATATAATTAAAAAACATTTTCATCAAGAATAATCGCCCAAGTTGTTATATCAACACATATGTTATATGTGTTATATCTTTTTTTTTTAGATGGAAAATAATTGTTTATTGTTTTTTGTGATGAACCAAGCACGACCACTTTTAAAAGTGATCCGATAATGTTTTAACATTTCAAAGTTATCTAATCGACAGTGATCACTAAAGAGGTATTGGAGCATTGTTATTTCACGGCCACTGAAAATTCTTTGCATTTCATTGTGTGATAATTGATAGCCACACTTTTGAACAAGATAGTCTAGCACTTGATACCGACCATAGTTTATAGCATATGTTGCAAGCTCTGACAAGTCTTGTGGGGTGCATCGAGTAGAGTCTAGAAAAAGTTTGACAATATCAAAGTGACCATATTGAATGGCATCGGGGATAAGACTAAAAGCAAGAAATGGAAACAATACACTATTCCATTTCAAGAGATCATTGATAATATATTGTACCAATTCAATTGATCCACTTTGTACTGCCGATGATAATGTTTGGCGCAATTGGTCGTTTCCATAATCTTTTTCGACAAACTTGGTGATTGCTCTAAAGAACTCGAGGTTTCCAGAGATGGCTACCACTCGAAGCAAATCAAATGAAAAGATATAATCTTTTGGCACTTGTGATAGGATTAGATCTGTGATTTGATAGTGTCCCCAAAACAATGCTGTTTCTAGTGCTGTCTGAATAGCTATAACTTTGTGAAGCATGTCTTTCAATGGATCAGATTTAATCTTTTTGATCAACCACTTTGAAATTTTAAATTGGTTGTATTGAGCTGCCTTGTCTAGAAAATTGAGTTGTCTGACGTAGATATCCATGTCGACGTCACTACCAACATATATCTTTTTAATAAAAGGTAAATGACCACCTTTGATGGCACGATTGATTACTCTTTCAATATGCACGTTATTTTGTTGATGGTATTCTTGGTTGAAATAGTTACTGTCCTTGTCCACTTCATCTATACATGTAACAAATTGTGTGGTTGGGTTGGCCTTTTTAATTTCTCTTCGGATAATGGAATTGGCAACTTTGTTGCCGTGGTCGTGGTAGTAAGTAAACACCCAATCGACATTGTCTTGCACCCTACGGTCTGACAATAGTAACATTAATTCTGTTTCTCGTTGTTCCAATACGGCAGCTTCTATCATGACTTGAACCCATCCACTTTTCGATGGAATATTATGTACTCTACCAGACTCTATCATCCATCTAAAGTAAACCCATTTATATTCCTTTTCATCATTGTCATTTTCCTTGTCATTGTCCGTCATACACTCGATGATACTCTTTCTTTGTTGTCCACTATGATAGGTGGCCAGTTTTGATTCGATATATTCTATCATTTCAATATTACTACGTGTCACAGGTAACGGGTTATATCGTTGATGAGTGTAGTTTTGGTGCGCTCGTATTCTCTTGAGTGTGTCCATGGGTGACCTACGGATGGCGGGTGGTTGTCTTTCGTCGACTGTCAAGTAATCAGATGGGATGGTACCCAGCCAGAGCATATACTTGGATGTTATACTATCGGTGATTTGAGTCGTCATTGTCATCGTCGTCGATCCCAATGAATCCGAGAACACTACTCTAAATACATCAAGTGGTAGATGGAAATGGGAGGGTTGCAGATACTGAAATGAGATTGGAAATGGTTGAAAGGTGACTTGTGGCATGACCGGTAGATTGGGAGGAAGTTCTTGGATAAACTGACATAGTAGACGAGCCATCTCTTCTAGATTCCCTGGATCACCTCTCCATGAATTAAACAATTCGAGTAGCTCCAAGGTACACGCACTGTCATCATGTGAAAAGAGAGGATCTTGAAGTTGTCCAGACATGATCATCCCCAATCGATCGAGAAGAAAGCTCGTGCATGGGACTGATCGACTCGATGCAGCTCCACGTAATGTACTGATACTCCACATTGCATAACCACCGTCTTGTTGTGTTCTTGATAGTATTAACTTGAGTGGGTGTACTGTTGATCGATTCTTTGCTGCCGAATTAACGACACTATTACAAAGAAATAGATGACTATATTTAAAGTAGATATAGTTAAATACGTCAATATCTTGTTCAGTCACCATCTCACACAACAATGCAACATCATTACTATTGAGTAATGTTGTTAAATGTCGATGTACCAACTTGTGTTTGAGTAGTCTTGGATATCGATTTCTAATCATCCACGTGACACTCTTTATATCTTTGTATCTGTACATTCGCATTGGATCAGCAGGTAAACTACCATCTCCCAAATACTCTAGCCGATGTATTCTAACTTGTTTAAAGATACAATATAATAAAACCTTATTTCTAAACACCTTTCTAAATACATCTGAGAAGAATATATCTGTATCTTTATCATCATTATTATTCATTCTATTATTATTATTATTACTTTACAAGTATTATATATACACAGTACTATCATCATTATTATTATTATTATTATTATTAACTATTTTGGACAAAAAATTGTTTGTATAATATCACGCTTCTGCTCAGAAGTATCTACCTCAGGCGAAGTTCACTTTTTTTTGAATAAACCCAAATAAAATTGGAAGGCGGGAAAGGGTGTTTGTTCATCTGTCACACTTTTACTCCAACTCTTTAAAAAGTAGTCTTAGATTAAGACTACAGAAGACATCAGACTAGACTAGAGTTTGTGAGTGATGTAGACTAGATGATAAATATACAACAACATGTCAATTAAAAGAGCATCCCCTCCTATTCCAACACAACAACCACCTCCACCTCCTTTAATTTCAATAAGACCAAAAAGAAGAGTCGTTGTGAATAGTAGCAGCAGCAGTAGTAGTAGTAGTAGTATTAGCAATAACAAGAGTATCAATAATAATAATAATAATAATAATAATAGAAACATATCAAATGGCAGTAGTAATGGTAACAGTAGCAGCGGTAGTACTAGTAGTACTAGTGGAGTAGACAAACAGTATGAATTTGATGCACCGCAATACTATGATTTTAGTGTGGAGCAACCATCTGCCATCGACTACTTTGAAACACAAACAAACAATTCAATGCCAAGATGTAGTTTATTGTTGAGTGGGCCGTTGACACCTTCCATATTCTCATCTTCTTCATCCAATCACTATATTAATAGCAATAGTAATAGTAATGGTAGTAGTAGTACTACTAGACCATTATTTCAAGTATACGACCATTACTATGACTTTTACAACGACGAAAGATTAGAAGCGGAATTCAATAAATGGTTTTCAAACCATCTATCAATCGAACCTGATAGAACCAACAACAACAACAACAAAGATCATGTTGATACCTCCTCTTCGTCGTCATCTGATCAGAAACCATCATCGACCAATACTTTGTCAACCAAGGTTTCAACCATCCCCACTTTCAAAAAACAATTAAAAAAGGTACCAGTATTACCTTCCTCTTCCTCTTCTTCCTCTTCAACTTCATCATCCATATTATCCTTACAAGCAGGAGGAGGATCAAGAAAACCACCCATAGCAGCCAATTTACCATCATCAAGAGCGGCACCACCACCAATGGTACCAATTATTTCCAAACCCTTGATGGATCAAGAATCCCAAAAGGAGAATTACACGCATATTAATATTAATATTAATATTAATAGTAGCAAGAATAATAATAATAATAATATTCATTCAACAACTACAGCTGCCAAACCAACAAAGAAAAAGAGTTCATCTATCACTCCAACCCAACAACAACAACAACAACAACACCAACACCAACCAACAGTTGGAAAACGGAATGCATTAAAGGATAAAAATACAAATATTATAAACAATGCAATCAACTGTATTAAAAAGGTGGATGTTTCCATAAATACTACAATCTCATCATCCTCCTCTTCTGTACCAAAATTATCAACATCGTCATCATCATCATCAACGAAACCATTTCTACAAAGAAAACTTGAACTTGATGATGAAGTCAAGGAACTTTTAGGTATGTAATCATAATATTACATAATATATTTATATATCCCTAAAGAATAATAATATGAATTAACCATTCCTATCTTAATCTTAGCCAACCACAATAAAAAGTTTTATAAAAAGACATATGAGCCAAGAATGCACTCTACCAGAGATGTTAAAGACGTAAGTTCAACCATTTCTCTATCTATAATATTATATTATATTTGTGGAGGAACCTTTATACTGATTATATTCATCTCTATCTATCTATCCACTATATAGTGGGAGGCATTCTCTGGACAGACTTGGTATTCACTGTCTATAGAAGAGAGAGAAATGGCAAATAAATGGATTACTGATCGAAAGAATAATAATAATAATAATAATAATACTATGAACAACAACCAATCAGGTTCAACAACAACAACACCTCCACCAACAACAATTGTACAAACTACTACCATATCAAATTAATTAATTAAAACACATATATACATATTTATATTAATGATAATATAATTATTATTATTAGACTGTCGTTTCAAAAGACCTTATACCCAAATTAAAAAGATTAAAAAGGAAAAGTTTATTGCCTTTTTTTTTTTTTTCGAAACAAGATTATCATTGTCTTGTTGGATATCATTGTTTGTATCTCTGCATTAATTAATAATAATAAGAGAGTAGAGATAAAAGAGAAGAAGAAGATGGACAACCCTAAAATATTTTCAAACTTTCTAGGATATATCGTAAAGAAAGAGTTTGATAATGATCAAAATCTAGATGGTGTAGAATCATTAAAAGATCTTTTGTTTTCTGATACTGACTTGACTACAGATGGTAAACATTACATTCATATATAACAACACAATCAAACAAACAAACACATTACTTACTTTGTTTATTGTTATTATTCTTCTTCTTTAAAAGATATCATTGCAGTGTATAATAAGAGTTTACAATTCATTGACAAGTGTGCATACTTTGATTATGACTTGTCGGCATTTGAATCAAACATTAAAGATACAGATTTTACAGATATACAACAAGAATGTTTTATAAAGTTTTGGAAGGTTAATAAGAAAAAAGTATTGTATCTAAACCTTGTTTAAAAAGAAAGAAAGATATCTTCTTCTTTTGATTCTAAACCTATTCTTTTTATAAATTTCTATAGATTCATGAAACCAACTTTAAGAAAACAAGATTTAATAATACATTACAAAAGATGAGTTGGAGAATAGACCTAAAGACAAAATCAAAAGATGTACCTGAAATGAATGAACCAACCTCTATCATTGAATTCAATTTAAGCTCAAATTTAAAGGTAATAAATTATAATTACACAATCATCATCATCATTCATGGTCATACTAACTTTTATTATCTTAGAATGACAACAAAACGATTCGATTTGAAATGGATCGTGACCAATTACATGACACTTTGGAACAAATTAATAATATTCAAAAACATCTTAAATTAACAACCAGTACTGCTGCTGCTACCACAAGTTCTTAAGATTAATCCTAAGAAGAATTATTATTAGTACCCATAAATTATTTATATTATTAGATATCTTTGTAACATTTTAAATTTAATTAATTAATAATTAATTAATAATGAACATTTAGGAAATTATTCATTGGATTGGACGTCCGATCGAATTGTTTTTTTTCATTTTGTTTTGGATCCTTTTTTTTTAAAATACTATTTTTCTTTTTTAAATATTAATAATTAATTTTTCTTTTTAAAGGAAATCGTCAATGGAATCCATCTCTAATGGTACCTTGGTGCAAAGACCAAAGAAAAAAAAGGGAACAACAATTGTCTTTCAACCAAATTAAAAGACATATAATAATTAAATAATAATAATAATTATCTCTTCACTCTTGCAAACAACAAAAGACCAAAAAAGAAAATGGGTAGAACAACAAAATGGTATAATGAAACAGAAGTTGCCGACGCTTTCAAGAGATTCGACAAGGACAAGGATGGATTTATCACCCGTTTCGACTTGCTCCAAATTATGAATAGCTTCCCAGAGATGAGCGAAGCAAGTAAGAAGTGCATCAACTATGAAATCCTCGAGTTGCCAGAAAGAGTATCTCTGTCAAAATTCATTGACGTTGCCGATGATGAATGTGAAACTCCATATCCAGGTTTATTAGAATGTAAATATAAATATCTATCTATTAAATATCTTTATTCATTAATTATATATTAACCAATTAAATTTAATTCATTCTTGTTGTTTGTTGTTTAATTACCAGTAATTAAAATGATGGTAAGAAAGTAAACAAGTCGTTTCTTCAAATGTCCACCTTTTTAAATAAAAAGATAATAGTACCTCCAAAATACTATTATTTTCTTTTTACCAATTTAAAGGAACCAAAAAAATAATAATACTATCATTCCTTCTTCCAAGTTTTGAACAATGATTTTCACATATCTCCTTTTTGTTTTGATCTACATAGTTATTTTACCGCAGCAGATGATTATTGTTGTTGACTAGGTGAATAGTAGAATATCAGATGTTGCAATACATGATGAATTATTATTACAATTATTATTATTGTTGTTGTTGTTGATTTGGTCTTGGTTTATCAATATTTCAGTATATTCACAATTACTATTATTATTATTATTATTATTATTATTATTATTGTTGGGTGATATATCAGAATCCAATTCATTGTCAGAGGAAGATGTTTCATTGTTAAATGTGATGATGATAGTCAATGAATTTGAATAGTATCCAATAGATTCAATGACCTCATGAATGGGGAATACATAGGTATCAACCATAGAAAATAAATGATTATGTATCCATAGTTTTAACCAATAATATAAAAGTATTGGGTATTTATGATTAAATAAATTTGTCATTGTTGTTGTTAAAGTATTCTACTTTTTTGTTACTAGATTATCTATTTATCTATCTATCTATCTCTAATAATTGAATGTTGGTTGAAATAAATAATATTCTTTTCTATCTATTATTCCAAAAAAAACATAAATGTTTGTTTGTGTAAAGTTGGCATTGTGCGTAATAATAACACTATTATAATAGTGTAGAATGCTTTAATGCAATGCAATGTCCATTTCATTCATTCTGTTAACCCTCCCTCGAGAGATGAAAATTTCATTATTGTTTGTTGTAGTAGCATTGTTTCTTTACATGTATACCCCCTATATTCTCCCCCCCCCCCCACATCAAGTGAGTGTGTGAGTGTTTGTCTATTCTCTGTCTCTGTAGAGGTGTAAGGTGAAGTACATCTATTATAAGTGTAATACTGACTATAGTATCTACTTATACATCTAAACCAAAACGAACAATAAAAATCCATAACCCTAGCATGATGACTATCAGTCGCATGATATGATGCCAAATACCGTTTTTGGCAACGGATTTGCCGATTTTTAAGGACGCTGCTGTGTGATTCACACATTATTACATTATTATCATTATTATCATTATTATTATACTTGTTGCTTGCTTATCAATATGTTCATATAAGTGAGAGGAGAGAGAAAGAATGGACAGTCATATTAACCCTACCCACCCTCTAGAACCAACAACAACATCAGAAACAACTGCATCACAAACACAAACTACAACTACTACAACAACAACAACAAATACAAACAAGACAACAACAATGAGAATAGATGAAGAAGATAGTCTACCAAACAAATTTACTCCTTTATCAATCGATATTAATGAAACAAATCATCGTTGGAAAATAAAGACATTTAATTCAATTGTAAGAGAGGAATAGGACTACGAGAGTAATGATAGTTGGTTGTACTTACTCATTTCTCACTCCCTCTCACTTTAGACATTTTGTGATTATTGTGCAGGACTGTTATGGGGAATATGTGAACAAGGATTCCAATGCAAGGATTGTAATTTTAGTAGTCACTCTAAATGTATACCTTTGGTAAAAGATATATGCAAGAATAGTGGTCGTACAAACAACCCTCTCCCACCTAGACAACACAGCTTTGTAAAGGCAACCAAAGGAATCAAGAAGTTTTGCAACTATTGTCGAGAGACTACCTTTACCATATCGAACGATTGTTTTGTTTGCAAGGATTGTAAATACATTGCACATGAACAATGTCGTCAAAGATCACCGCCCATGTGTCGTGTCCCATTTAATCACAAGTCACCGTCTACATCACCCGTTCCCTCCTCCTCCTCTGGTACCAAGGCAGAGGAAGATGACACACAGTTTATTCATAATCATCATTGGGTAGAAGGAAATTTAAAGAGTGTAAAGAGTTGTATTGTTTGTACACACAAGATTGAAACAAGTTTCTCATTGGCAAATTATCGATGTACATGGTGTAGTGAATGTATTCATAGTCAATGTTTTGATAAACGTCCTTTAAAATGTACAATGGGAGAGTTACATGAAATGATCATCCCTCCATCAAGTATTCAAATGATTGATGGTGATGGTATATCATTACTTGATTCACCTATATTATCACCAAATCCAATAGGTGCATCGGAAGATAAGAAAAAGAATAGTACATTGCAATGGAAATTGGTATCACCAATCCCAACCAAAACATTATTTATATTTATTAATTCAAAGAGTGGAGGACAGATGGGTGAGACATTTATCCGAAAGTTCTCGGCGATTGTCAACCCGTTCCAAATATTCGATCTTATTAGAGACGGACCTGACCAAGCCATCACCATCATTAGAGACTATCTATTGGAGCATCCACAGGACCAAAATCGCATTAGACTGTTGGTTTGTGGTGGTGATGGTACTGTTGGTTGGGTGCTACAAGTACTCAAGAAATATAATCTACCTCCTCTTCCCATCTCTATCATTCCACTTGGTACTGGTAATGATATGGCTAGATCATTGGGTTGGGGTCCAGGTTACGACAATGAAAAATTAACTGGTATCTTGAAAGATATTTCTGATGCTCATTTAACAAATTTAGATACGTAAGTAGAATCAAAAAATATATTAGTATACTATCAATATATATATATATATATATTAATTAATTTGATTTATTTTTATTTATTTTGATATTGTAGATGGGAAATAAATATTAAACATGATTTGGAAAGAGATCAAGAACAAGACAAGATGATAGTAATGAATAATTATTTTAGTATTGGATTGGATGCACATATTGCATTGGGATTCCATGAAGCTAGAAATGCTAATCCAAAACTATTTATTGGTAGAACCATCAACAAGATGTGGTATGGAAAGATTGGATTGGGTGAATTTGTAAGCAAGAGCTTTGTGAGACTACACGACGTGTTGGAGTTGGTGGTCGATGAAAGGGTAATCGATATCGATCCGGCAATCGAAGGTATCATGATTATCAATGTAAATAACTATGCTGGCGGTGCAGACTTGTGGAAAGGAAAGCGTCCAAACCACTTGCAACCACTCGAAATTGATGATGGCAAAATTGAATTGGTCGGTGTCACTGGTGTCGCCCACATGGGTACTGTGATTAGTGGTATGGCCAGTCCTATTAAAATAGCCCAAGGTCACTCGATATCCATCCGATACAAGGCACCTGCCAACCCAAAAAAGATTAAACACACCAGAATAGCCGTCCAAGTCGATGGTGAACCATTCAAAGTACACGATTGCTCCATCTCTATCACCTTTCAAAGAAAGGTTAGTATGTTGGTTAAAAAAGGTTTCCATACCAAATCCCACCACGATAATGAAAACGTCGATAATAATTTATACTATGGTGAATCAATCAATAATCAACAATCATTTGTCATTGCAACTTCACCTTCAAACAATGGACAACAATTCTCACCTTTACCAATGAATGAACGTCCACCTCGTCCCAATACTCATAATGGTCATGGTGATTTAGTTGAATTGGATTTAATGATTCCATCTAAACAACAACTACAAAATAATAATGAAACTTTAGATTAAATATATATATATTTAATCTATTTGTTTCCTCCTCCCCTCCAATTAAATTTAATCAATGTATCGAAAAGAAAAGAAATTAGATAATATTCTATCACAAAAAAGATACAACAACAATAAAATCACGAATAAAATAATAAACTTGTATAAATATATTTAAAAAAAAAAACTAACAATAACACAAATGATTGAATTATATATTCTAGAATTTATTATTATATGTTCATAGAAAAAAAATCATTATTATTATTATTATTAATTATTATTATTTGTTGTTGGTTGGTTGTTTTAGTGTTCTAGTTTTGTTAAAGTAAATATCAGATGTTGATAAAGGTTGTCGTGATGTGAAGTCGTTGTAATAATATGGGTGGATTATGTAAAAAAGTGGATTTAGAATATAAATAATACACATTTGCCAAACTATATTTAATCGTTGACAGGTCTAAAAGAAAAATAAAAAAGAAAATAATATTAGTATAAATATAAAAAAAAAAAAAAAAATAGTACAAACTATCTACAACAAACAACAACAATCTTAATCCTTTAAACCCTTTCCTTTTCCTCTTTACTCCTCACTGCTCCTTCTCTCATCATGTCACACTATTCCTATTCCTTTGTATTTTTTTGATGATCATACTTTGATACAACAACTATAATAAATTTTGGATACCGAGAGATGACGAGATTTTGGAGATGGGGGATGGAGGGAGTTGGGGATTGGAGGTAGGTAGGTAGGCCTACCAAGGATAAACCGATCGATTGATTGATTGATTGTTTTTGATTCCTTTTTTTTGTTTTTTTGTTTTTTTTTTACCTATTATATTTGTTTTCTGGAACGTGAATACCAAGTTTACCGTATAATTGGTTTCTAAGATATTGTGGAGATTTTGGTTCGATGGGAGTCTTTCTATGGACTGGCATGACATCGACACCAGCTGGACCCAAACCAGGGATGACACGAACTTGGACCTCTCCACCGTTTTCGAGAGCAGCCTTCTTGGCCTTGATCATGGAACCGATACGGTAACCCACCAGACCAAGTAGAATAATGATAAGTCCCGCCACTGACAAGCCAGAGAATGGAGTAACGGCAGCACCCATGATAAAGTGAAGAGAGAAGACAATGTTGGTCAATGGGAGACGGAGGGTGTTGGCAATCGAGTAGACGGTGGCACCAGCGTGCTTGATGACGAGTAAAATGAAAATGTTGTAGATAACGTTGATGGTCATGTAACAAAGAATGATAATGTATGCATGGTGACAGTTATCACAGGTGGTTTGCAAATCTGTACCACAATTGTCAACAATGATATCATGTCCGGCTAAACATAATGCACCATTTTTCATCTAAACAAAAAGTATATAATAGTATATTAATAATTGGTTACATTCTTTTTTAACTCTCTTCTTCTTGTACATACAGCTGGAAGAACTTGATTGAATGGAATCTTTGCATCACCTGGAAGGATAGCATTGATTGGGAAAAGGAAAGTACCAATGATGGATTGGAAAAAGGCATCCCAGAATTGCAAGTACCAGACATCCATGTCAGCGACGGCTTGGAAACCAATATCTTTGTAGACATTGGAACCAGCAAATGGAATGATGGAAATGAGGTAAAAGAAGTTCCAAAAGACAGAGTTGGTGGGATCTGGTGGACCGGTCAACGATGGGATGAGCGAGACGACGACACCACTGAGAATGACGGCGGCACCACCGACTTGGATAAGAGAGTAACGCTCCTTTAAGAAGATGAGCGATGCCAACATGGTGAATGGAATGATGGCTTGATTCAAAAGTTGTTGGAGTGGACCAGAGGTACGCACACCACCAATAACGACAAAGTAACCAGTGACAGCATCAAGAGCACCCATAATCAAAAACTTGTATTTGGGGAACAACTTGGTTTCCTCTGGAATATCATTGGTAAAGTATAACTTGTATGCTACTACTGCACCGAAAATTGGAATATATCCATAATTTGTCAATTGACTAAAATAAGGTAGGTAGGTAGGTAGGTAGGGAGTATACTTGAGTGTTAATAATTTGATTATCTTCTTTCTTTCTTTCTTCATTCATTCTTTCTTTCTTTCTTGTTGTTTGCTTGTTTGTTGTTTTCATTTTTGATATTTGATATATTTACTTTAAAAAGAAACCATAATTTTGGAAAGAGTTCATAGTTAATTTAAGAAGAATACTGTTGATTACACCAGATACAATGTAACAAAGGGTGTAGATGATGATTGGGATGTTTTCCTTTTGGAAGATGGTTGCAAACATTCCTTTTACCTTGGCACCAATACCATTTTGTGGCTTGGCATACCCTTCCTCATCTTGAAGAAGGGGTTGAGACGATTCCTCTACCATTTTCGTCGGTTTGTATTATATCAAATAATAAAGAGATTTGAAAGTGGTGATGTTATAATTGATTGTTGTTGTTGTTGTTGTTGTGTGTTGTAGGTAGGGGAAGTGAACAATTTAATAATATTGCGCTTCTATTATTATTTTTATAAACTATCTATACAAAAAAAATAAATATCTATCTGTTCTGTTCTTTTTGATTTCGTTAGTGTCGTTGTTTTTAAGGAGGAGCCAAAAAAAAACCTAGAAGATAGATATTCTGTGTAGTAGTAGTATAGTAGTAGGTGAGGGGAAGGATGATTAATTAGTATATTATATTACTTTCATATGAGATCTACTCCGAACTGACGATGAAATGATAGGTACAATTGTCGATGAAGGATTGATGATTGATAATACTATGTTATGAGACAAAAACAAAATAGAATAAAAAAAAGACAAAGCAAAAACTTGACTTTGACACGCACGACCCTCTTTTCTTTTTCTTCTTCTGTCCCTTTGCAAAAAAATAAATGATTTTAAAGAGTTGATCTTTCTTTCTTTCGGTTACGAGTATTATGTATAAATAATAATAATAATAATAATAATTGATCAAAATAATAAAATAAAATAAAAAAAAGGTAGTGTGTGCTGTATACTTACAAATAGATCTATGGGGGAGGAGGGGAGGGAGGGAGTAGAGAGGGTATTTAATAATAAATAAAATATATATATACAATTGTAAAAGATTTATCTGTGTGTTCTATTATCTATCTATCTATTTATCTCTGTCTAAAGAAGAAGAATTGAATGTTGGTTGACTGGATTCCAAAGCAATCCATCAAGAGAAAGATTATTCTGCTCACTTTTGGGTGGAGAGACCGAGATTTCAACGCACTTTTCAGTGGAAGGGAGGGGTGCATGGAATTTTGTTTTTCTTATCACTGAGAGATGGTTGAGTCCCTTCCTCTCCCTCTCCAGTCCAATGAGGGGAGTCTATGAAACTTAGCTTAGTATGAGTGGTTGGTGGTAAAGACAGAGTAATGAGTACTCATTTCTTTTCCAGCATCAATCGTCCAGCCAGGGATATTATCAATATAAAAACCTCGTAAATTAATATTTCACTTTCCTAAATACTCTGATCACAATAATGTTTGATATCGATCATATGTTGTTGTGTGTGTATATATGTACATCACCTCTTTTAGATTTTGATGATTTCGATGATATTATATTAATAATATCTCACTCTTCATAGAAAAAAAAAAAAAAAAAAGAAAATTAAATTAAAAAAAAACTTGATTATTACCTCTTCATTTTCACTATCGATATATTTTATTATTAATAAGAATATTATTAATCAACACACAACAAGAAAAGAGATACATTTCAGAGAGAGAGAGAAAACTATTAATCATCAGATAGATAATAAACAACAAACTAAACTAAAACAATGTCTATGCTTACTTCACTTCAACAAGCAGTACATAAAGCATACGTAAAGACTGTAGAAAAGGTTTCTCCTACTCTTCAAACATCAAAGTTTTTGGATGAAGGTGTGCTTACTCCTGAAGAGGTATATGATCATATAGATAGATACAAACAAATGATGATTGTTTCAGTTGAATGTTATACTAATCTCTCCTCTTTTCCCTATTGTCTATTGTTTACTGTTACTGTTACTTTTTAGTTTGTACAAGCAGGTGATTTATTAACACACAAGTGTCCAACTTGGACTTGGGAGTCTGGAGATCCATCAAGAAATGTAACATATCTTCCAAAGGAGAAGCAATTCTTATTAACTAGAAATGGTATGTTGTAGTAGTAATAGTATACACTCATTCTTTTATACATACTTATACTTATTATTTATTATTTTAGTACCATGTTACTCTAGAGTAAAATCATTAGAAAATGAAACAAAACATGCTAAATATGATATATTAAACATTGAGGGAGAAGACAATGAAGAATGGGTTGCACCATCAGCTTCTGCTTCAGATGTAGTCGATATTCAAAAGGATCTTGCATCACTCTCTGTTCAAACTACAACTACCACTACAACTGCTAAACCATCTGCACCACAACAACAACAACAAGATGAAGATTCTGACGATGATGGAGAAATCCCAGATTTGGAAGATTTCCAAGATGATAACTTGGTTGAAGATGATCCTGTAAGTAGAGATAGAATTCATTTAGTAATAATAGATATATTACACTTAATTAACATATACATTACATTTACTTTTAAATGATTCAATCTTTGGTTTAATCAAATTAGTCAACACTTTCTAAACCAACTGTAAACAAATCAAATAATACGACGACTACTACTACTTCTACTACCTCGAATAATACTTCAACTGCAGCAGCCGATGATGATAATATTTTGCGAACTCGTACCTATGACATTAGTATAACATACGATAAATACTACCAAACTCCAAGAGTATGGTTGTTTGGATACGATGAAAATAGAAGACCATTGAAACCAGAGGAAATCTTTGAAGACATTTCAGAGGATCACGCTCACAAGACTGTAACAATTGACTCTCATCCACATCTCGGTATTAGTTTTGCATACATTCATCCATGTCGTCATGCATCGGTCATGAAGAAACTCATCACAAAGCAATGTGAAAATGGCAAGGAACCAAGAGTCGATCAATATTTATTCCTCTTCCTCAAGTTCATTTCTGTTGTTATTCCAACCATTGAATATGATTTTACTTTGGAATTTGATACATAGAAAAAGTAAATCAAACAAAAATTGGTAGTAATATAATAACAAATAATAATAACAAATAATAATGATAATGATAATGCAAGATATCACCTAAAGGTCCAAGAATGAACAATGTAAAACAAAAAAGATAAAAAAAAAAAAAAAAAAGAAAAGATGGTCAAAAAAAAAAGAATCCTTGAAATCTAAAAAACTATAAATTAATAATAATTAATAATAATAACAATAATAATTAATAACAATATCTATATTGATGTTTGTACAACAACCATAAAATATCCCTTCCCCACAACATCCTAAAGAAAAAAAAAAACAATTACAAAATAGGTCACTATCCTGTTTCCCAACCAAAAATATTGTATAGTTTCAAAAAGTAGAAGAAACAGTATTGTGATAAAATAATAATATAAATAATAATAATAATAGTCATTTTTTCCTTTTTGTATTCTTTTTTTTTTCTTCTTGTTAAAACAATAAATTATTCAAAAAAAAAAAAACAATTTACTAAAATACATTTTTAATTAATTAATTTCTATTATTATTATTATTATTATTATTATCGATCAATTGTATATCTCCAACCAGATGTATTGAGTAACATTCGATCAAGACACCATCCGCCATTTGAAAGTTGTTGAATAAAATCTGATGGCAATTTAGAGTGTCCATGAACCAGAGTAATTGATTCGAAATAACCTTCAATTATATCACTTGATGTGGCAGTTGATGATATAGCTATTTTTATCAAATGATTCTTCTTTTGTTTGTTGTTTGACCATATCATATATTTATCATCCTTGTCACTACCAGATACTCTTTTAAGATCTCCATTTATATCTGTGAATGATACACCCAATTCAATTGATAAATCACTTTGTCTAAATAATATATTTTCTTTTAATGATATCTAAAAAAAAAAAAAGAGAATAAGTATATTATATTTAATTAAATAAATATTTGTTTGTGTTGTTTCATACTTGTTTTGGAGTTGGAATTTGATTATTATTATTCTCATTGAAATGTTGATAAATGAGATTAGCTCTATATCTATTGATTGAGGTTAATTGGACAAGAGAGACGGCACGATAATTACACAATAGATGAATGACGGTAAAGATGATAAAAAAGAGCCATGTTTTGAAATAAACTTGAATACTATCATCATCATCGGGGATACTAGCTGCCATGACCATACCTAGTAACATTCCAACCAATGCAATGGCAGTTTCTTGAGACCCATCTTTGGCAGAGACATCGGCCAAGTTGTCACGTTTGGCAAAGTGTTGGGTAAGAGATGCCTTTGTACAACCACCGGCAACACCACAGATAGATTTTGATATTAGACCTAGACACGATATCGGGAGAAAGTAAGATGGACCAAATAGAGGACTGATCATTTCAAGTGTCATTCCAAAGTCGTTCAACAAGTCAGCAGCAAATCTCCAAGTCTTTGAGTTACAGTCCAAATCAGTTCCCCACTTCCAAGCAAATATGATTCTACCAAGCATCCCAGCTGCATCCCTTGTAATCCACTGAATCGATGCTGAAGCCACCGATGCATTCAAATTGCCAACACCATAACCTTTTAATATCGCACGTGTTGCCAGTACACCAGTCAATGAACTACACAATGCCTGTAATGTATCCCATGTTTGATAGCCTGTATAGTCTGATGTAACACTATTAGGGTATCCCTTGGGTAAGAACATGTCTCGTAGTACTTCAATAAATGATCCATGTTTTCTTGTTTGTTTTGTAATCTTGACGTTGGTTTGTTCATCTTTTGTTGTTGTAGTAACATGTAATCTATTGATAATAGTATTACATTCCAATGATTCTGTTATATTCATTGTACAATATTATCAAATTTATATTTGTATGTTTGAAACAAACAATATGAAATTAATGAAAACGTCAAGTATGCTCATTTCATTCAGTTTGTTTCAAAGAGATATATTTATCTATCTCAGATATGAATGATTTAATTAAATCATATTTAGGAGGAGGAGAAGGTAAACAAGTATACGAATGGAATCCACCCGAATCATTTAAAGATAAAACACCTCAAGAGTATAGTAGACATCTAGCAGTGTTTATTAAAAAGTATCAATGGTTGACGAGTGCAAGAACGATCGATTTCTTTATCGATGATCTATGGCAATTGGTACCAGAAGATTGGAGAGATGATCTATTAGAGTTGACGGATGAAGAATCTATACAATTTACAACTGGTAATGTTATTAAAGTATGTAATTATATACAAATGACAGTAGTATTGGTATTATAGAACTAATAACACTCGTTTGATTGTTATTTTACTTTAGGAAAATTGGAATGAATCATTAAAAGAATTTATAAATGATGCAAAGAGATTATGGATGCCAAGGGATGTATTGAGAGAGGATAAAGATTGGAATGTTAAAGACTTTAGTTTACCATCTTTAAAGTTGAAGATGAATGCTAAAAAGTTACACGAAATACTTCGAATGTCTGAATTGTTGGATGACTGTATCAAGAGTATTCAGCCAAGTCAAGTGGTTGATATTGGCTCGGGTGAGGGATATCTAACACAAGTACTTTCACATCAATTCAATCAAAGTATCACTGCTGTTGATTGTTCACAATCCTTTATTCAAGGTGCAATTAAACGTCAAAATGTTATAGAAAATGAATTAGTTGGTAGATTAATCCAAGAAAAGAATAAGACATCAAAGGTTTCAAAACAAACAAATCAAATTAATCAAATTAATCAAAATAATAATAATGTAAATTTAAATCAAATGGATAAAGAGAAAAAAGAAGATGGAAAAGAGAAGGATGGAATACCTAAAAAGATTAAAAAGAAATTAACAAAAGAAGAACAAGATTTAATAGTTGAACAAAAAAGAAAGGAGAGGTTGGAGAAGAGACAAGAAATAATGAATGAAATTGGTGTTTCTGGACCTCAGATGTGTGTGGCTACACTTAGACCAGAGATGACAACCGAAGAGTTTTTGGAGATTCTAACAAGACACGATCAATCAAAAGACTATAGTAATACAATGTTGGTAGGACTGCATACATGTGGATCGTTGGCATCGACAATGATTACAAACTATGTGCGATGTGATAATATATCGAGTATTGTCGATGTTGGATGTTGCTACTATCGTGTCACTCAACACCCCTACCAATACATGTCCAAGCAATGTGGAGACCTTGGAGTTGTCATGGGAGCAGCCGATCTTAAACTCTCTTGTGAATCATCAGAGAGATCCTATTCAATTAGTCAAAATGGATTGGATGAATATAGGTATTCAATGGACGTTCACTTTTATCGTGTCATATTTGAAACCTTGTTGGGCAAAAATCACAACTATACAATTAGAAGTATACCTCGTAATCATTCACAAAATTTCCAATCCTATTCTCTATATGCATTAAAAAGAATTAATAATCAATCCAAACAAGAAGAAGAAAAAGAAAAAGAAGATACAACTTCAACAACTTCAACGACAAATATAGTACCACCATCAATAGAAGAATTAAATGATACATATGAAAGATTTAAAAAAGATAAGAACAAGATATCAATACTTTTATTGTTACGAGGATTACTTGCACCAGTGTTGGAGGCATTTATTGTTATTGACAGATGGTTGTATTTAGAGGAAACCAAGCAACAATCAACTCGTCCAATGTCATCTTATATTATACCAATATTCCATGAAAGTTTATCACCTCGTAATCTAGTATTACTAAGCATCAAACAATAAAGAGAGAGAATCTTTGTGATTCATCAGAAGTAAAATGATCATAAATATATATATATATGATTGAAGTTATAACTTACAATTATTTAGTTCAAGGTTCTTTTGGTGTTGAAAAGCAGACCTAAAGAGTCATTAATCATCAATCAAATGGTTATAGATTGACAGATTCTTTTGTGCATTGAATTTATGATTAATGACTCTTTGGTTTGCTCTCTTGGTTTGCGATCGGCTACTGGTTGTTATTATCACTTTTGTGGAGTTCGAAAGGGCATTGCATTTTGATGACCAACGACCTACGATTAAATATTGCCTCTCCTAGATATCAAACAGGGTGATCCAATGTTAACTCTCTACTTTTACATCCTCCTCTATCCTATCTGTCTACATCCTCTAAAAACATTCATACAAGCTGAAACAAAGCTTTGTTAGACGAATGTAACAACAGGAAACTGATCAAACACAGTTCAAAGCTCTTGACAGTGAAAAACACATACATACCATTAATACTAAAAAGATAATCAAATAAATAAAGTGACTGATACGTAAAGTACAAAAAATAAATTAACACAAGAAAAAAAGTGATGTGCTAGTCAATGATTCGGCGCTAGTAATATTTATTTAATTGTTTTTTATTTATTATTAATTTGGTTGGTTTTGTGAGTTGTATTTCTTGTTCAAGACAAATTTGATCTTTTATTCATTCGTTTATTCATGGATTGCAACGAATTTATCTTCACCAATTTGTTCACCTTCTTCGATTGGATAATTGAGAGAGAGTGGGATTTTGAAATGAGTATAAAGTACTGGTCCGACAGAGATCAAACTCATCATGATAAAGATGAGGTAATGGTTGATGGGGAATGGGTGACCAGAGCTAAGACTCCATGCAAGACAGACCGACGCAATGGTTGGCGCGATGGCTCTGGTGAGGGCTACAGCAGACTGACCTAGTCCATTGGCAGCTCCCTTGGAACGCGACGTTGCACTGTTGTTGATAAGAGTCATGACGGGTGTGAATACTAGTTGACCGGCGACATTTCTGATAAACAAAAGGATACCCGTTACAATCCAGAACCCTACCACACTCGATTTAGATGGTGGTTCAACATAGTCTGATGATGTAGACAGTGATGACAAGGAGTCCATTTGACTGTCAGATATATGATCATAGACACCGTATGGACTGAGATAAGTTAACAGAGGAATAGCCATAAATGTGGCAATAGCAAGAATGAGACCATATTTGAATGTATGAACCAATCCGAATCGTCTAATGAATGGTTTGATGATGACCAATTGCATGAAAATGACACTGATACCACCAATCATACCAGAGAGACCGATTTGTGATGACGAAAACTTGAGTCCACCTTTGGATACCGGTGACAATGCCCATAGAGGAAAAGACTCGTCGTACATGGTAAATACAAATCCAATGGCCGCATACAATGATGAAGTGGCAATAATCAATTTGTTTTTGAATACATTGGTTTCATATTTCGTTACACCTTGATCAATCTCTTGAACTTGGTCGTCCAATGAATCGGTACTGTCAGTCAATTGTTTCACTCCAAATGTAATAGTAGCATCCTTTTCCATCATTTCTTGTTCTGCCCTATCGACCAATGGAATTTCATCATTTTCATCGGTTGCTCCATCTCTTCTTTCATTGTTTGGTGTAGATTCACCACTATTCAAAATAATTGGTGATTCATCTGATGATATATCTTCATTATGATTATCATTATGAATAGTATGACTATCATCCATAATTTCTTGAATATCATTTCCATTTTGATCAATTATTAATATTGAATTATTATTATTATTACTCTTATTACTCTTATTACTCTTATTACTCTTATTACTATTAATACTATTATTACTACTATTAATATTAATATTGTTATTTGAAACTAATCTTTCTTCATCGATATTATCTTCTTGATCATCAATTTCTTGATCTTCATCCAATTGATTATATTTTTTACCATTCCTTTTGGTTTTAATGTGACTTGTGTTACTGATTACTTCCATTTTAATGGCTGATCTTAGAGTTTCTTTCATTGTAACAAATGTGAATACGGTACCTATGGCAGTGGCAACTGCAATGACAAGGTTGGGCAAGAGATAGGGAAACTTTGAAAATAATACGCTGCCACTGAATAGAGCCGGGTAGTTCTCGACTGGCTTGATTAAAAGTCCACCAATCATTGGACCCAAAATAGATCCAAGACCCCATGTCAAACCAATCCATCCAAATGCTTCGATTTGATTACTCTTGTCTGTGATTTCACCGATATATGTTTTAATGACTCCAATGTTTCCATTCAATACTCCATTGATGGTACGTGATACAATCAACATTGGCAATGACCAACTCGTTCCAACTCCAAGTACTGAAATAACAGATCCAGTTGATCCAATCAATAAAATTGGTTTTCTTCCAAATATATCAGACATTCTTCCCCAAAAGAAACTACATTTAAATCATAAATAAATATTATTATTATTATTATCGTTATTATCGTTATTATTGTTATTATTGTTATTAATATTAATATTATTATTTCTATAGATATATTTACCTGCTAACAAATTGAGCCAAACTAAAAGAAGATGCAACATAACCTGCATAGTATCCAACTTTTTCTTCATCGGTGACAGTTCCAAAGGAAAGAATCATGTATCCCATATAAGAAAAGAAACTTGTCGTTCCTATTGCCTCACATAGCAATAGTACATATGGTCCAATTAACTTTTTCCAAGGTAATTTAGACATATTTTATGATATTTTATATTATTCTTTTGTAAAAGAGATTTAAAAAATTAAATGGTTGTGTATTGTTTTGTTTGTGTAGATGGGAATTGCGTGTTCCTTCCTTTGCTAAATAAATAAATTAAGTGTTGCTGTTGTTGTTGTAAGGTGTGTAGTGGTGGTGTTTTGAAGGGGCGTGGTGGTGCGAAGGTGCGCTTTGCGTAAAGTTTAATGATTCCTGTTTTTTTTATTGTTGTTAGTGTTATTGCCTAGTGCACAAGCGTCGTGATGATGTAAAAACAAAGGTAACATAAAAGTAATGCAAATGTGATAACGAGACGAGTGAGAGATAAAGAGTGAGAGAGTGAAAGATATATAAGCTAACTATATAGATCGTTGCGTGTGTAGATAAATAAACAAACTATATATATATATATATAAATATATTGGATTGTTGTGCTTATACTATTCGATGTTTATAAATAAATATATATATATATATGTCTGTTGATTGATCAGAATCAGATAAGAATAATATCAGTGGGTTTTGCTAAAGATACTAGAAATAAACAAATAACCTCACATGTGTTGATGGTAATGCAAGTGATGATGATGAGTTATTACTTTGAGAAATTAGTGGGAGAATGATTAATGTGTTGGAATGGAATTCATTCGCATTAATATTATTATTGTTTTAGGAGACCGAACAATCGAAATTTAAGAAGACAAAGAGGTGGTTTTGCAAACATCGAAATATCGTGATCCCCTATTTTTATTCGCACCCAGGGAGAGGGGAACTTTTGGGAATCATCACATGGAACGACGTTCTAATAAAGTTTTGATGGTCTCAGAACACGCAATTCCCAAACTTGGTCGAATAGAACATGCACCCCCTTCCCTTTTGATCTCTTGTATAGTGTACAGTTCATCTGATCTATTGTATTCTCTGCAACGACGATCAACGAACAAAGACGATGATGATGATGATGTCGGCTACATCTACTCTTACGACTATTCGATCGATAAGTATTGCACAACGATCGTCGGTAGTATCTTTAGTAAAAGCATCAACTACTACTACTACAACTACTACTACTTCTACTCGTCAACCATGGTGTAGTAAACTACAATCAATAAGATCATATTCTACAGATACTTCAACTCAACAAACATTGACATCAACTAATACAAATAGAAATGAAGATATAAATAACAAGATAAAGATGATAATGGAACAATTCCCAAAGATTAAATATGGGTTTGCATATGGATCAGGTGTCATTGCTCAAAAGGGTTATGATGTGCAAGATAAACAAATACAACAACAACAACGACAACAACAACCAACAACAGAAGAGTTATCACCAATGATAGATATGGTGTTTGCAGTTGACAATGCAAATGATTGGCATAAAGAAAACTTGGAGAGAAATTGGTCACACTATTCATTCCTTGCCTATGGAGGTCCAAAGCTAATCAGTTTTGTTCAACGTACTTCTGCTAAAGTTTATTATAATACTTTATTATCTTTTAATGGTGTTGTATGTAAATATATATTCAACAAACAAGGAGATTGTTTCAATAATTAATAACTCTGTTATTTTTATTTTGTTTAGAGATATAAATATGGAGTAATAGAATATAAAGATTTAAAGAGTGATTTAATCAATTGGGATAGTTTATATGTATCTGGTAGAATGATGAAACCAATTTTAAATCTACCTGGATTGGAAGAAGAAGAAGCAATCAAGGAAATAGAACATTTCAATAGGAATGCAAATCTATGTTATGCTATTAGTTGTTCTTTGATGATGTTACCAGAACAATTTACAGAATACGATTTTTATCATACTATTTGTTCAATCTCTTATATGGGTGATATTAGAATGAAGGGTGGAGAGAATCCAAACAAAGTTCATAATCTAGTGGTTGACAATCTCGTCCAATTTAGAGAAATCTATCAACCCATTGTAAAAGAACATTTCTCTTCAATCATTCAAATCACTTTTAATAATCAAACTAATCAATTTGATTTTAAGGTATAAGGAAATCATTTTTAATCAAAACCAAATATGAATATATATATTTATATTAATACTTTACTTTATTATTCTTATTTTTAGGCATCACATTCACAACATGATTTATTTGAATTAACTAATCATTTACCACCAATTATTAGATCATATGTATTAAAAACAATGAGGAAATCAATAAGATTACTTGATCCAACCACTCAACAATCAACAGATAGTCAACAAAGAGTCATACAACCAAACAATATAAAAGAAATAATTTCAAAAATAGTTGGCAAGAGTAGTTTTAATCAATCATTTAAAGGTGTTTTCACAGCTGGATTTACAAAATCACTAGAATATTTAAAATTGAAATTAATCTCTAAAAAGAAATAAACAACAATAATATATAATATAATTATTTAATTACTTTACTTTTATTTTAAGTTTATACATTGGGAGATTTCATTTCAGAATTGAAAGAGGGGAAAGCAGATTTACCCAATGGAGGTTCTACGAGTTGAATTCTTTGGGTTGGTGGAAGAGTTTCGATGCCAAGGTCTTCAATCCATTCCTTCATTTTGAAAAAGAGTTCGTTTTTAAGTGGACGCCATCTCTTTACGTCTTGCCAAGAGGCAATGATGGAAGCGCCATAACGGACGGTGATGTGGTTGGTACCTTGAATAGAGACAAATGTGAGCGATGTGTCTGGTTTCCACTTTTCTTTTTGTGCCTTGACCCATTTATCCATCTTGGCTTCGAGTTGGTATAGTTTTTCGATTGGTGTTGTAAAGTTCATCAGGACGTCGACACCTACCCAAACCTCTTCGGATCGTTGATGATTTTCGAGACGTGAGCTTGTGAGTATTGGATTGGGCATATAGACTGCCTTTCCATCGGTACTCTTGAAACTGGTAAATAGGATACCTATTCTATCGACAAAATAGGCTTCATTGGCAACGACAATCTTGTCTCCCACTTCAAAGGGTCGAACGAAAAAGATGAGTATCAAAGACTCAAATACATTACGCAACGTAGTTCCAAATGCAAAACTGAGTGCCAGTATCGTAGTACTCAAAGGTACCAAAAATACATTAATATCTACTCCATACAATGACATTACAAACAAAAACATTAAAAACCAAAAAATAAAATTAATTACTTCATTTATAACTCTTCCAATACTAAATTAAAATAATAGAAATTAATGTTAATATAAATATAATATATATAATGATTAATTATTTGTTTGTTTGTTTGTTTGTTTGTTGTTTGACCTACTCATCATGATCTCTTAGACGATTTTCAAGATTTTTTCTTGCTCTAACAACTCTTAGAACCCATGAAACCAAATCATCTCTTGTAATCATATCGTCATACAATGAACCAAATGTAGCATAGGTCTTATCGACGTGTGAATCTTTGACATAACATTTTAGATCTTCGCGATTGACATAACCCTTTTTGAGACGATCTGCATTTCGTAGGATTGCCTTGGCAACCTTTTTCGCCTCTTCCGGTGTGTAATTGTCGGCACGTTCTTGTAGTTTACCAGATAGATTACTTCGTTTCTTTATCATTTCCAACCATTGAGTCACTTCTAATCTCTTTCTCTTTTTTAAACTGGTTGATACACTGTGGTTTAGTCGGTTTGCCTTTCTCGTCGACATTTGATCGAGCAATTCTTCGTTGAGCAAAGATTCCTTGAGTGTCGAGTAGAAAGCCTTGCGATTAGTCTTGGCGGCCAACACCTTTACGAGCACGACACGTGCACAATAAAATAGTGACACATAGATGATTGCTCTGAGGGTGGTATAGTATTTCTCCATATCCTTGTCGGTCCAACCCGGCAAATCGAGAATAGGCCCCGTTGCAAACAGACAAACAATCGCCCAAATCATAAAACTAAGTGGTTTGACAAATCCATTGATATAATAATACACGTGTTGTTGTAGATACAGTGTAACTTGAAACAATGAAAAGAATAATCGAACCAACCAAAATGCCAACATAAACGACAAAATTGCTACATCTATAAATAATGCCCATCTTAGTACTTGTGATCCAACAATTGTAATATCAGGCCAAAATATTCTAAATATTATTCCTAAAGTTAAATCAAACAAATAATAGAGTTAGACTATCTAATATATCGTCGTATTATATTACTTTTATATCTATTTAATATATTTACCAACACCAGAAATTAAAACCAAAAATGCAAGTATATAGATGATAACCATTTTCTTTGAGAATAGTATATCTGAACATTTTCTTTTCTTTTTCTTTTTCATGTTTCCACCATCGTCATCACTACTACTATCGTAGTGGTCGTCGGGTATAGATGATTCACCATCACCCAAGATTTGTACTTGGTGGAATGGTAATTCTTGTGCTTTGTTTAAATCACCAGTTGTTGAGGTGTATCTTGATCGACTGCTCGAGCTGTCGTTGGTGTTTGAGTTGCTGACACTGACATTTACGTTTTCGCTGACAGTACGATTCGATGGTGAAGTGGTGGATTTAGCAATGAGTGGCATACTGCCAACTACTTGATCCTCCATTATCGAAGGTTCCGATTTGGTTAGGTTATTTTCACGGTTGATAATCTTTGATATCGATTGCATTTCAACCTTTTTCTCATCTTTGGCATGAATTGCTGCCAATTTATCTGTTAAACTTTGATCAAGTCTATCATCTCTACTTGTATTTATACCAATATAATTATTATTATTATTATTACTACTGTTATTATTATTATTATTCATATCGTTTTCTTTTTTATCTTTTTTTGTCATTGCTTCATTATCTTTTTGTTCAACTACGTTTTCAGACTCTTGTTGACTACTAACCAAGTTGTTATTATTATCAGCTGACGACGATGATGGTGATGAAGTAGTAAACTCTTTTGATATTTGTGTATTATTATTTATATTATAGTTTATTCTCTCTTCTTGTTTCTCTTCTTCTTCTTCTTCTTCTTCTTCTTCACCAATTACTTGTTCTTGTTCCTCTTCTTCTTGTTGTTGTTGGTCTTGTAATAAATACTTTGTGCTTGTTCGATGACCTTTCTTTTTCTTCTTTCCCTTATTATTATTATTGTTATTGTTATTGTTATCCTCTTCTTCGTCGTTGTCGTGGTTGTTACTATAGTGATTATCAGTTATGACAGCATGCAGAATTTCTCTTTCCTCTTGTTGATGTTGTTGTTGTTGATTACTAATATTATTATTATTATTACTTTGATTAATATTGCTGCTTACTACTGTTTTATCGTTGTTATTATTGTTATTATTATTACAATCTCTTCTACTTTGATTATTATAATTGTTGTTGTCAAAGGAATGATCGTTTTTTGTTGATTCATTCATGTTTGTGGTTGTGAGAGACAGCGGGGTTATCCACATAAAATTCTGTGAATCGATTTATTTTATTTTTAAGTGAGCGGTCGGTCCAACTACTACTGTGTTCTGTTACTAGCAATGATATGTGTGTATGCGGTATCAAAAAATTAAAACCCCAAATAGTAAAAAGTCAGACTGGACTGGACACAGGTCTACTTTATAATAAGTTAGTTCAACCCTGACTCTTTGGATCTCTTTAAAGTATTTTTAAAATAATTATTAAAAAAACACAATTTTCAAAATACTTTAAAATAATTAAATTTATCCTTTTTTTTGTTGACAAATACAAACAACATCTATAAAAAAAAATCAATAACAATATTATTATTATTGCATCATCATGATATTATATTTATTTTATTAGATTCCATTGCACATAATTCCATTTGTGGGGGTGGTCTATGAAACGAAAGATGTGAATTTAAATATATATATATAATGATATATATTCACTCAATATAATAATATTAATATTAATTAAATGTTGAACGAGAATATTCAAGTTACCAAATAGATTATCACACAATCTAATGGAAAAAAAAGAGATAGATAGAGATAGATAGAGATAGAGATAATTAAAAATAAAGAATGAAAGATAGAAGAAGAGAAAATAATATTGAAGGTATTTTTTATGAAAATATAATTTATTAGTATATTTTAAAAGCAACAACAAAATAATTGTTGTTTTGTTATAATTTATTCATAAAGTTTATTAATTTATTTTATAATTCATCATGCGTTGATGAAGTTGATTCTTCCATATTTGTTACAGTTTCCAATTGAATACCAGATACTGCAGATTCCATTCTTGTATCGGTCGTATATTTTGAGGTGAATTGAGAGTCTGTAGTAGTTTCCCAAGTAAAAGCGGCACCAGATGTACCGGATCCAAGTCTAATAGAAGTGACACGTTTAAAGAAATGTCTCAATCTTGAAAAGATGGTTTGTGATATTCTGTGATTGATCAATGTAGACTCGAGCCAAATCTTTTTGGTACGTCTACTGATACCATAGAAAAAGAGTGACTCTATACCAAGCAATCTCATAAAGAATAGGAATGTAAACTGTGCACTATATGGAATGATACTGGCAGAACAACCACCAATAAAAGCTTCACATTTTAGATATTCAACCATTTCAGCATACCATTCATCGGTATTTGCTTGAACGTAGAAATGATAAATAAACAAATAGATAAACTCTCCACATACAATAAGGATAATGAGTATTGGTCTAATATTCATTTTAATCATATAAAATCTACCTGATGTTCCCTCTCTATTTACTTTTGATACAACCTAAATTTAAAATATTCAAAAATACAAATTATTAGTTTCCAAATAAATAGTTTTAGTTTTAGTTTGATTTGATTGACATACAGAATAGATTTCTTTAATAATTAAAATAATAAATATACTACCACCAAGTAGACAAACACAAAGTGGAATCCAAAAGACTGCATTTTGGTATTTATCAGATAGCATCCAACATCCTAACCCACCGTATCCATATCCATACTCTTTTTCAAAAAGTGGGACAATCGTAAAGACCAATGCTACAAAGTTGAGTATTGCTATATAATAGTTGTGATAGGATTGACTAGTCGTAACCTTTCGAATAACCAACCATAGATCAAATGACATGCATGACCACCACAATACTGCTGATACTGCTCCAAACTAAATGAAATAGAATAAATAGAATCAGTGTTAATTCATTAATATCTATATTTATATTTATATTTGTTTGTTTTTTTTTTAAATTTGTTTTGATATCATACTTGAAAGATAATACCGGTAGCAGCACACCCAGCATCAAATTGACGAGCATATCTACCAGGTTCTGGACAAAGTAATTCCCAACCTTTGGCGGTAAAGACAATATCGGCAAGCATCATTAGAAAGATGGAAGTGGAAAAGAACAAGACAATGATGGTATGACGATCATACTTTTTGTTGAGTACTCCATAAGTGAAAATATTAAATGTCATTGCTACAAATGAGATGGTCGATACTATGTTGACCATCAGTTGATAGGATCTCCATTGATCAGTACTGAATAACATACTGGGACAGTTCATAGCACAATCAGTATTATCGATCATTGCGTAACCTGATAGATCAGATTTGTCGGTCGTGTTTACATAGACAAATGGTGATGGACAGACACCATTGAATGGGTCGGAAGAGTTGGCAGTCACATTGACAGTATTGGTGTTGAGACACTCTACCACTTGTGATGCTGGACCATTTCGAGATGCCAAATTATAAGTATTGGAAACAACAGGAAATTCAAATAGACTTCCATTTTGAGTTGAACAATCGATACCTGCCATTGTCAACAATGGACAAAGATCAACAACATATTCACAATTCACTCGGCACGGTCTAACTGCCAATGCTTGTGTACCAGTCTCTGTTCCACTAACATTTAAACTAATTGATATACATTGTTGAAAAAACTAAAAAATATAAATAAATAAATAAAAAAAGGAAACAAAATTAATTAATTTATGGTTGGGATGACTGACTTTTCATCAACATCATTGAGAAATATTAAAACATACATTATTACACAATGCAGTTGTTGCATTTGAAGTTTTACAAGTTGATGGAGATGCTGAAAATAAAGTTGAAATGGTTGAATTCATTTGATCTTGACTAGAATATTGTCCTCCAACATAAATAGATGCTACAAAAATATAATTAATTAATTAATAAAAGATAGTAGTGATTTGGGAGGGGACAATCAATCACATGTGTAAATGTCACACATACCTTCGTTATTTAATCTTCCTTTACAAATACTGTATCCTTTGTATGGTTCACATCTAGCATTTGGATCCAAGTCACCATCCATTGAATGGATACCAGTGATTAAAAATACAGATATTAACAATATTATTATTATTATTGATCCTTTCATTTTTAAAATAAATAAATAAATAAATAAATAAATAAATAAATAGATTATACAAATATTATTAATAATATTGGTGATGGTGATGGTGATGGTGATTATTATCGATCATTAAATATTAATATTAGATTTGATTTGAAGTTGAGTTTGTTACTAAATTCTCGCTGTATCTCTCTCTGAAAATGACACCAATATAAATTTGTGTAAATGATCGGGGGGGTGTAATAAATAGAATTTCCGTCAGCTGTATAATTTAAACGAATGATGATGGAAGTAGCCCTCAACAACAACAACAACAAGAGCCTTAGGCCAAGGGGGTTTGATGAATGAAAGGATAAATTTAATTGATTAAAAAATAAAATGGATGATTATTATTCGTCATCGATCGAGTTGTCAACAGGTTCTCCACACCCCACTCATCATACTGCTACCCATCTTTCATTGTTGGTGTCTACAACTTGCCTCTAAAGGGGGCAACAAACACTGCTGCTTGTTTAGAGTTCTAAAGATGTGTGTTACAATAAAATCAGGCTAGATTTTTTTTCGCGAGTTAAGGATTTTTTACTTTTGCAAAGACGAAAACCGTTGGAGCCACCTCGAAAACTATATCTATTGGCCCCGCTCCTTCAACCATGCATGGTGTCTGCGGTCAAATAACAAATAAAGCCGGCTGGCGGCGTTGAAAGTTTCAGACTCTTTGAAAGATGGGGATCACCCGAAAATACTATCTATCCGTACAATGCATTTTGCTATCATCATCAAACTCGTAAAGATTGATTTGATCCTAAAAACAACCCTATTAGAATAATAAGAGAATAAAATAAATATATAAGTTGACAATGAATGTGAATGAATATTGATTCTAAAAGTAAGTAGTATAAGTATGTATATATGCAGTGTGATGATTGATAGTAATAGATAGTGACAAACCAGAACCCGAGAGGAACAATATATGCGTTGTTTGTTGTGTGACAAAAAGTTGGTTGGACTTCCTCGAGGTTCGATTTTTCAAATTTCAAAAAAGACCGCCAAACACACAATCGATGATTTTTAGTGCGATTGATTTGAACAAGTACACTATTAATTTTGTCAAGTAGTAAAGTAAAGAGAGAAAGAGAGATATATATATGACAAACTTTAGTTTTCCACCATTACCAGTATCAGAGATACTTGGACCATTACAATTATTTGGTGTTCAGTTTACAGAGGATGATATCAATAAACCACAACCTGATAACATCAGAAAGGCATACGAAAGAATATTGACCACTCTAACTGGATACAGAAAAGAGGATAACCAACAACAGTTTAAATTCTCTGCTGTCAAGCTACTCACTAATCCTGAAATGCATGATGAATCAACTCTTGAAATTACCTTTATTAGATTATTGTATGTAGTATTGTCAATATATTTAGTTAGATATACTCATACTCACCAATATATCGATATATATATATGTATTATAGTACAAAGTTTATTAGAGCCATTGGAATACATGATTTTGGAGCAAAGGATATATACACACCACAACCAGCACGTGTCAAGAGGATTCTAAGTGGTGTCATCAATTTGGCAGTATTCAGAGAATACAAGATACCAAAGTACCAAGAACTATTAAAGAGAAGTGAAGATATTAGAAGTGAACGTGACCAAATCTATCAAGAAACTGAAGCTCTCAAAATTCAATTGGATAATCTTAGGTATGCATATGCTACATACTTTGCTTGCTTGTAAATATTAATTTATTATTTATTTGTTTGTTTGTTTGTAGACATGAAAAAGAAGAAAGAGATAGAATTGAAAATGAATTAAATGGTGATGTACATACACTACAGACACAATTGGATATACTTAACAAGACACAGGCGGAATTGAACCAAGTGTGTAATGAGTTGAAAGAGAATGCCGAAGAGTTGGGTCACAAGATTGAAGATCAGAAATTCAATATATCTGCGCTCAACCAAGAGATTGGTAGAGTGGAAACACTGATTGTTAGATCACCAGACAGAATGAAACGAGTCATTGAAGACATGGAGACAACATTGGCCGCTGAAAAGGAAAGTCTCAGCAACATGGAATCAATCAATGGAAAGACACAACTCACTCTAGCAACAGTCGACAATATCCTAAAAGATGTTAGAAAGACATCGAATCTCATCACCAAATCAGAGAGTGAAAATGCTCAATTTAAACAAGTCAAACATACTGGAAAAGATACTCAAAAAAAGATATCAGATCAACAAAAATTATTAAGAGAATTGGAATCAAAAATTATGGTAAGCAAAAAGAAGAAGTTGATTTATATTATATTTATTATTGTTTATTTATTTATTTATCTTTCTTTCTTTCTTTCTTTTATTTATTATTCTATTTATTTATTTATTTATTTATTTATAGTTGACAGAAAAAAAGATTATAAATGAAAATGAAACAATGGCAAGTGCACAAGAAAGATTTAAAAAGTATAAGGAACAATGCCAAACATCGATTACAGAGGCAGAGAATGAAAACAAAACATTGCGTAAAGAAATGGGAGAGAATGAAGAGAAATGTATAGAGATTAGTCGTGCCATCCTTGAAATTCAAACAAAGTTGGAAGATGATATTCGTGTCAATGCAGAGATTAAGAGAACTCTTATACAAAGACATAATTCATTGGTTCATTGTATACAAAGTTTTCATCAAGATCTTTTAAATACTTTATCATCTCCTATTCAACCATCTACCAAATAACACATCAATACATGTGTTTTACAAGAATATTAATATTAATCTTGTTTTGTATAAATTCCTTTTCTGGAACAGATACTAGCGAGCTAGTTTGTAAATTGGAAATATATTAAAGTTATCATTTCCATCCACTATAATAGTAGTAGTAGTAGTAATTCCATTATTCCCCTAATCAACAAATAAATAAATCCATTATTTAATAATAACCAATTAATTATTATTACTTTGTTTGTGTTGTTTTGGTTTATTATTAAAAAAATATATATGTATCTGTGTATGTTCCATTTCGATTGTTTAAATCTTTCCAAGTCTCTTCTTTAATGATCTCAATTTTCTTCTTAATTTTCTTCTCTTGTGATTCTTCATCATAATCTCTCTCTTTTTCATGATACTCGACATTTGCAATGGGACAGCTGTCTTGTTGCTATTTCTATTTTTAATAATGTTTACATTGTTGATTTCATCTTCATTGATGATACTGTTATCTATAGATAAATATAAAACAAACACACAACAATTAGTTATTGTAGATCGCGGTCGCGGTCATGTTCATGTTCATCTATTTATCTTGTCTCGCTCGACTTACTAGTTGGTTCTTCAATTTCGATGATATTGTTATTATTATTAATATTTAATGGTTCAATGTTAAAGTTGAATGATAAAGTATTTGACTTTGATTGATTGAACAAGTGTTGTTTAAGTGTTTGTGTCAATGCAGATGTATTGTAAGTGTTGTAGTTGTAGTTGATCTTATTATTGAAAATGATACCAGATGAAGAGGATGATGAAAATGCTGCTGCTGTTGATGATGTAGATGAAGCAATTGATCTAATAGCTTGTCTATTGACCAAACATAATGATTGTCTAAATGCAAACATTCTTCTTCTTTTGATATTAGTGTATATGCAATATACTCTTCAACCTTCGTTCAAAACAGAGAGACAAGCAGACGATCATTGTTAATAAAAAAAAAATTCAAAAAAAATCATGTTTGGTCTGTCACCCCATTTTGAGTGTGAAGTGAGTGAAACTACAGAGATAGATAAGTACTTAAAGATTGCTCAAAAATACGAGATTGTTTATACACATATATATACAAACACATACATACATATATATATTTATTATAGTTTATTTATAAAGAGAGGGGAGGTTTGTTTTGATATAGAAAAGGGGTGTAGGATATATAGAACCATGGTAAGTTTTATGAACAAACTATACTCAAACACTCTGATACAGTCATAGCTAATCATAATCATTGTTATTTTGTAGAGAGTATTTCATAGATTTTCAACATCACATGATGATTTGATTCATGATGTATCGTATGACTTTTATGGAAAGAGATTAGCAACGTGCTCGAGTGATCAAAAGATCAAGGTATGGGATATGAACGATAGTGGAAAATGGGAGTTGTCTGCAGAATGGAAAGCTCACTCTGGCTCTGTTTGGAAGGTAGCTTGGACACACCCTGAATTTGGTCAAGTATTGGCTTCTTGTTCATTTGATAGAACTGTTTGTATATGGGAAGAAGGTGAAGGTTAGTATATGAAAGAGAGAGAGAGAGAGAGAGAGAGAGAGAGAGAGATTTAACCCAATGGTGTGTTATAATCTACCTATATTGTATATTTACTCTTTCTACTTTTCATTTTCATATCTAGATGAAAAAGGACAAAAGAAATGGAATCTTAAAGCAACATTGGTAGATAGTAGAGACTCTGTAACAGATATAAAGTTTTCACCTAAATCGTTTGGATTGAGATTGGCAACGAGTTCATGTGATGGACTGGTACGTATATATGAAGCGATGGATTTTATGAACCTTTCACAATGGTCACTGTTGGAGGACTTTGAATGCCAAAAGAGCATTCACAACTCTATATCATGGTGTCCAAGCTCTTTTGAGAAGCAAATGATTGTCGTTGGCAATAGCGACGCACATATTAAAGTTTGGGAATGCAACGAGGCAAATCGTTTCCTGGACACCTGTAAATTTAGTTTCAAGTGGCCATCATCATCATCATGGTCACCATCATACTGGCTCTACCTCTTCTTCTTCCATGTCTTCCGATCCATCTGAATCACCAAAGACGATTCACGACGTTTCGTGGGCTCCCAATATGGGACGTTCCTATCATCTCATTGCCGCTGCATCCAAAGATCACAATGTTAGAATTTGGAAAGTATCAAACAATGAGAAATCAAAAATGGAAATTAAAGAAGTTTTATGTAATCCACTTCATAAAGCAGAGGTATGAAATCTCAATATAATATATAAAGTAATATATAATATCTCTCTAACATTTCATTTATTTAATTAATTAGGTATGGAGAGTTGAATGGAATATTACAGGAACTATATTAGCAAGTTCAGGTGATGATGGTAATGTTTTTTTGTGGAAATGTAATAATAATGGAGAATGGAAATTATTATCATCGATTAGTGGTGAAGAGGAAACTGACCCTTTGATGAAATAAACACAAAGAAAACGACAAACTATAGTAGGACTCGATTAATTAATTAAATTATAATTATGTTACCACCTCTTTAAAGTTGGTTTGGTGTAACCATTGTTGGTTTGAGCCCTTAGAAGAAGGGCAGAGCATGTTGCGATGAAATGAATATCTGTTGTTTGGTTATATCCAAAAATAATTTGTTTTGTTCACTCACATCAGATGACAAGCTCGAAAACGGGAAGTGAAGTGTACGATTGATCAAAGCGGGAATCAATGATGGTGGCTAACGCACTCTTTTGTCATAGAGTAGGGGTAGTCCCTCGTTTGGCGATGGGTTGTTGACTTGTTCTGTCTTCGGCTAAAAAATCCCAAAAAGAATTGTGTTTTTTACAAAAGAAATTTAAAAAAATTGTGCAAATATCTGAGACGGTCGCTGTTGTTTTCCCTTTTTCTTCTTACCTGTTTGACTTTGTTTCGTGGTGGCAAATGGGTAGGTGGGTTTGGGAAATAAGAACAACAACAAAAAGACACCTCTTGCTTTTTCGTGCGCGATGGAAATTTCGCATGTTCCATGTACCCCCCTCCATGCAATTACGATTGCGAATGGGTGTTCTTTCTTTTACAATTTTTTGAGAATAGCCCTACATCTCCTTCAAAGACGTGCTGTTTTTTTTTTTGTTTTAAAATTTCTTGATCTTTCAAACGAGACCTGCGATTCCAATTGCAATTCAAATTCAACTTCGTGTCCGTCCCTCCCTTTTTTTTTTCATCATCATTCTTACACATTCAACAACAAGACCGAGAAAGAAAAGTCTTTCACACCAAACATACAGATAGATAATAACAAAAAGAGATAATAATAATAATAATAATAATTTATTTTCTAGTCTCTGATCATCAACTTTTTTTTTTTTTTTTTGACAAAACATATTTCTTGCTTTGCTATCCTATCCTTCTTTCTTCTTTGTTATAACAATCTAATCTATAGATTTATCTATCTACCATCCAACAACTTACCCAAATATATTCTATTTATATTTATTTATTTATATTATTATTATTCACATACAGAGAGAAAGAGTCAAGATCTTCTGCACATTCCTCGAACCACATCCTTCCACCTCCATCTTTTTCACAATATATACCTACCTACCATATATACAACATATAGCAGCAGAGTATACACAAATTTAATTATACATATATTTTTCAATCGCGACCACCTAGGGATTTTTCAATTGTAAGTAATCACTGATTGATTTTTATTGATCAAAAATACCATGTTCTTGTCATCCCCATCAACAACAACAACAAACAAAACAACGGTTCATCTCATTTCATCTAATCAATTCAAGTTTCCAATCAATCGATTATGGACATATGATCTTGTCGTGGTCATCTTGATCATGGCATGGCAAGAGACTGTTGCCAACAGACCATCATCATCATCACCACCACGACCTTTTTATTTTTTATTGTTTATTATTATAATAAAACCACAAAAAGATCCAAATTCAAATCCATCCATGAATATTGTGATGTGACTGTCAGTTCATTTAGATGATGATAGTACAATAGTAGTAGTAGTAAAAAACCAACCAAACAAATTGATGTTGATTGATAAATGATGATGATGATGATGATGATGAAAAAAAGTGAGAGGTGTTGATATTATATTATATCAACCATCATCATAAATTCATGATATTATTACTACTACTACTTGCAAATAGATGTGAATTGATCATCGACAATAATCCCCCCACCGCCGCTTCCACTTTGCCATCTTTCATTTCCACACTTTCTCTTTTTGGCATGCAAGCAACAAACAAACAAACAACCCTAAAATATATTAATTAATATATTTTAAACAACACCAAAACACACCACCATATATATAATAATAATAATATATTATATAATTTATAACAACAAAAACATAGCAGTTCCAAACTAAACTAAACTGCTTGGAAAAAAAAAAAAAGTGTTTGAATGGCAGACAGACGGACGGGTATCAAACACATTAATACCCACCCATTCATCCATATGGTAATGATGATGTTTTTGTTGACCTTCCTTTTTCTTCACAAATTTAATTTTGATCATACACACATGAAACATCGAATCGAATCGATCCCTTGGGTGTGAAAAATCTGTATTCTCCATTCCCTTTCCTCATCACCCACTTTTCTAGCATCACTCACCCCACCCACCACCCGCCAAACCCCAGTTGCTAATGCTGCCAACAGTCTACTATTACCACATGATAGTGATTTCCAATTGTAAATGCTACCCCCCCACCCCCACCCTTTGAAACAAAATTTTAAAAGTGGGTGTGGCCCAGCTACACCTCACCAGTTTTTCTTAAAAAGCTCAACCATGATTGATCCACCCACCCTACCATCAATCAAACAACAAACATACATACATATATCAATATTGTATTTTCCATCTATCCATTCATTCATTTATTTATTCATCCCCATCCGCCGACTTTGCATGAATCGTCGTTGTTTTTGTCGCTCGAGCGGTAGTCGACAAAGAGAGAGAGGGAGAGGGAGAGAGAGGATTGGGTTGTTGGTGGGTGGGTAGGTAGTGCTACTACTACTACTACTATTCAACTGCTAAAACATGCTAAATTGTTTTGAAACTAGCAGTTTCCTTCTCATCTCTCCCACCACCTTTTTTCTGGGTGGTAAAAAGGTGGAAGTGGTAGTCGACTATTTATCATCTATCACACTTCCAGTCAACTCAGATATAGATATACATGAATTGGATTTGGTTGACTGCTTGCTTGGTGATTGATTTAAAAAAATAGGAGGAGGAGGATGATGATGACTAGTCAAGTCATGTAATAATAATAAGCTACCAAGATAGGCGGAGCAAAGAAGAACAAGTAAATGGAGGGGCATTTCATTTTCATTTACCGCCATCCCCTACCCTACCCTGTTTGATATGGATATCCATGTATTTATGTGTGACACCCTTCCGTTCCCAACCCTACCTACCTACCTACCTACCTACCTCTCATTAGTTCAAGTCATCATCAACTACTAGTACTACTACTACTACTACTACTATATGCAATAATATTTAAACCTCTACACCCAAACAAATGGTCTAATTAATTTATCTCCTACAACGCAACCATCATCTTCATCATTCTTTAGTAAATCCTGTGAAACTTTTTTAAAAAAGCCGTATTTTTAGAGACATCATCAGCATCAGCATCACTTACCCTCCCTGGTACAGTCAAGTTAACCGATCAGCATTTTTGGTTTACAAAAAAAAAAGGTAAGTTCAAAAGGAACCGAAAATCAGGACAATCATTAATAATCAAATAATAATAATAATAATATATAATAATAATTATTATACTTCTCCTACTTCTCTTCTCCTCTTGCAACAATAATATATATATGATTTAAAAACTCTACATATCTTGCTGTAATTCTCGACTCCTACTTTTATTTCTTCCTCCTCAGGCCAAAATAATTTAAATTCTTTATACTAACAGACCCAAGAAACTTTCTTTTTTTTCCAAAAATTCTAGGTTCCCCCAAATTACTCTAATATTATTATTATTACTACTATAATTTATTTATTTATTTATTTATTTAATTATATATTATAATATATTTTATATTATTATTGTTTGTGGCCAACTCATATATATAACTACCTTATAATTCTACTTATAATATTATTCTTTAGGCAATCAAAAGTAATAGTTTTGATAACTGCTACTATCTCTGTTATAATTATATATCCCCAAATATTTATTTATTATTATCAATTGTCCTGTCCTCATCCTTATTTTGAGAAAAAGAAATAAGAAGAGCTCTCATCTATTTTTCTATTTTTCTACTTTTTTTTTTAATTGATTGATCCAATTATCCCTATAAAATATAATACAGATCCCAATTATTACCTATTATTTATTACCTACCTTTTATATATATAATATTACTAGTACTATTATTATAATATTATCTTCATTGTGTGTGAATTATTATTATTATATTATTATTATTATAAAATTATAAAATTATTATTATCAATCTATTTCTAAAAATATACTACTATTACTATTACTATCTACTTTTAAATGACAACTATTCTCAAAGGATACTATTTAAAGGTAACGCTCGAGAATAGAATCGTCAAGCATAATGGACGCAAAGTCTATTTATCGATTGTCGAACATGGCAATGGCATACCCGACAATGCTCTCATTCTCAAAATCAACGCCACCTGTGCCAAATTTTCAGTGTGTCTGAGCATCCGTTCGCAATGTGGCTGGAAGGAACTTGACCAAAACGAAAGCGGAGAGTTGACATTTGATCTAAAGGTAGAGGTGACCGGAAAGTCCCAAAGAGCGCCCCTCTTCCCACTCGTCTTCCAACTCTGTGAAAAGAACCACGACCAAGTGTCTCTCATCTCCAAGTCGGTCATCCCCGTCAAGGCCATCACCAAGATCCCCAAGAAATCGTTGCGCGCTGAGCTTGTGCCATTGGGCGAGCAGCCCACCAAGCCTCCCCAAACCTACCCCGCCAACGGCTCGGGATCCGGGTCGCCAGAACCCGAGGAAGTCGAGCAAAACGACTTGGTCATGGAAGATGATGAAGAGGAAGAAACCGACTCTGCTTCATCCTCTGATTCGTCCTCTCCAAGATTACAATCTTCCTCTGCCAACAAACAATTGCTGGTGGCTAGTCCCCCCGCCGGCTCGCTGTCCACCTCTATCACTGGTCTAGTGTCATCCTTCCATATTGGCCAGTCCCCATCATCATCCACTTCGGTTTCTCCAAGCAACTCATCCACATCGTTGGTCCTCCCACCACTTTCATTAAATAATAGTAACGGTAATACTAGTAACACTGCTAGCAGTGCCAATAGTAGCAACAACTCGTCGCCATCTGCTTTGAAAAAGAGTAAGAGTTGTGCACCCAATCAATCTACCGGCCCCAAACTATCCATTTCCACATCATCTAATGGTCTCTTGACCGCTGCAGCTACATCAGCAGCTGAACCACAAGTGGAACGACCATCATCTGCTGGAATTCCAACCAACCCACCATCACGTGCTATTAGCAAATCAAATAATGAATCATCGGCATCACAGCCGGTTCATGCACACGAAGACTCCTTGGCATTTTTATCTGCCTTGGCTGCAATGAAGTCCTCATCTTCACCAACCCCCTCTTCTCCCACAACAACAACCCCAAACACATCGGCCTCTTCATCTCCCACCCCTTCCTCATTGTCTTCTATTCTCTGTCAACCAAACGAGAATGACAATGAGCTTTTACCAACCCCTCCTTCTCCTTCAAGCCAACAACAAATACAAAGAAGATCATTATCACCAAACAAAAAACAACCAATAACCCTAACCCAATCCAATAACAATACCAATAATACTATTTCAAATATATCAACATCCATTAATCATTTTTATTCCCAACATGTTTTCCCACCTTCTCCTCAACAACAACACCAATTACAACAACAACAACAACAACAAAAATTAAAGATCCAGTTACAACAACAACAACAATCGTCACCCATTTCATCACCAACTCAAACCACCAACTTTTCCCCAAGATCTTGTACATTTAATACCATCAACAACATTAACAACAATAATAACAATAATAACAATAACAATAGTATTTATAAAATGATTTCCCCACAACAACCATCATTGACATCTGTACCACCTACAATCAAACCATCTCCATTGGTTTTAAGTGTTCCAACCAACACTTTAATTGTTCCAACAGTTGCAATGAATAATAATAACAGCAGCAGCAGCAGTGCATATAATACTCCTAAAATGGCTTCATTGGCACCATTATTTGGTACCAATCTTTTAACAATGAATCATCACAATAACAACAACAACCATCATCATCATAACCATCATCTTAACCATTTCCAACATCATCATCATCCTCATCACAACTCGTCACAACTACAAAATTTGATGAACCCAATTGGCAATGGGACATGTAGTAGTGAACAATTCAACTTGTTTAGTCATAACAACAAACGCAAGTTGGAAGACGAGATGTAATATAGATAGATAAAAAGATGTACGATAGAATATAATATAATTAATAATATAATAATAGTATCATAATATAATATAATAGTATAGAATATAGAGTAGAAATATAATATAATATAATAGTATAATAATAATAATATAATAATATAATAATATAATAATATTGAATATTTTGAAAATTGAAATAGAATATCAATCCAATCTAATCCATTGAATAAACGAATGAATGAATGTGCCGAATGGGTGATCAAAGATACGCTTCGCTAATCTTGATGAATACCTGATATAATAGAGATTCTTTTGTCCATTGAAGGTGTCAATGAATAGGTTTGTATGTACTGTAAAGAATGAAAAATAGAAGGAGAAGAGATAGAAAGGGAGGATGAATGAATAATTAAGAAAGACTAAATTAATAATTATTCTTTTATAAAGTGTTTCTTTTTCTAATTTTTAAAACATACAAATTGATCAACGTTTTTTTTGTGAAACGAACCGGAAAATTCTATTCATGTTTATTATTAGATTATTTGTTGTGTAACAAAAAAAAAAAAAAATAATAGTTATACTTGTAAAAAAGATATATGCTGATGATAGGTAGGATTTTTCAAAAAGTTGTAGGTTGAGGTTTAGGTAGTTCAGGGGGTCGTAGGTCCCTAACCTACCTATGGGCAAAGCCTGATTGTAGATAGTGTGTGTATATATATATATATTAAAAGTGAAATAAAAGATAACTTGTTGATTGCTACTAGTGCTCAAATGAGTGTATTTATAGTTTTTGGACTTCAATTATTAGTCAAAAAATCAAGACAAAATCCAAAAGTCATACTATTTCCATATATAGTGACTGATACTACTGGTTTTATCATTTTATATTTTAACGTCTGAAAATGTAGTTTGTGGTTCATAGTCATCATCATAATATTTCCATATATAGTGACTGTTACTACCTGTTTTTAACGTCTGAAAAGGTAGTGTGTGATTCATACCTTTTATAGCTTTTGTGGTTTCTAATCTCCAATTTTTATGATTTTTTTGTTATTTTTCTACATATACAAATAAATTTATTTATTTATTTGATTTTGGTGTAATATTCATCTTTTTTGGTTGTTGTTGTTGAATTGGAATAACAATGAGTGAGACATTAACTTTAGTCTTGAGGTGTTGGGTTGTGTATTAGCCAAACCATTGGTAATGAATGGTGATTGTGCATAGCCAAGACCTGTTGATGGACAACTTTAATACTTGCACATGTTATTATCAACACCAATTGCCCAAACTAAATATATAGTTTTGTAGACGACTCGATTATCCATACAGGTAGTAGCCAAAAATGGATCACCAAGACATGTTTGTATTTGTTGTTGGAAACTGTCAGGGTCCAATTTTTTAATGAGTTGTAGATTTATTTGCCACATTTCAGTACCGATTCTACCAAAGTTTGAATAAATATTTATATTTTTTTATTTCTTTTAATTTACTTACTATTTTGTCTATTATTGATTAACAAAATCAAATTAATCATTTTCACAACTATGAAAATCTTGTTTAAAATTTGCAATACACGTCCTGCCATTGTTGCAGAGTGAAGAAAATAAATTAGTTTATTTTAAAAAGAATTAATAGTATTTGATGTTTTCAATAGTTTATTTATTAAATGTGTTATTATATATTATTTCAAGTAGTTTATTATTCATTTTGAGCAGCTGACAAGGTTAAAAACACTTCTTCTAGGGATGATTGACTTACACCCCATTCTCTGATACCCAACTTTTGTTTGTTTTGTGAAATCAAATCAAAAATGATGGAAATATCACATTCTCTTGGAATGAGAAACGTGAGAGTCTCGTTCATGGATTCTTCTTGAGTGGCATCTGGGAAGGTTTGGTTGACCATTTGGATAAGAGAATCTTTGAAATGTTCAGATTCGGGGACAATGTCCAATCTGAAACCCTTGCCATAACGATTTTTCAAGTAGATTGGCGATCCAACACATTGGAGTTGTCCATTGGCGACAATAGCAATCTTTGAGCATAATGCATCTGCTTCTTCCATGTTATGAGTTGTAATAAGAACAGTCTTGTCTTGTTTAATACTTTCAATAATATCCCAACTTTAAAAAAAAAAAAAAAAAAAATTAAGAGAGAGAAAAAAAGATAATAAACCCAAGGCCTCAATGGCAATAGGTGCGTAACTTACATGTCTCGTCTACTGCCCGGATCCAAACCCGTCGTTGGCTCATCTTCGGATGTGTAGTTTAATATAGATTAGTTGGAATATTAGTTAATTGAACATTTTCTTATCACTGGACATTGTTACATACCTAAAAGTACCAATTTGTTATCTCCAAGAATGGAAATGGAAATACTAACACGTCTCTTCATACCACCACTTAGTTGTGTAATTCTCTTATTCTTTTCATCCAACAATTTAACCTTGGAAAGAATTTTATCCTAAAAAAAATATATTTTTGGTAAATATTAATTTAAAGATTTTTTTTTTTTTTTAAAACATACAATATTTTGTTCTCTTTCATATGAAGTATTATATAATCCCTTTAACTTTGAATAGAATTTTAAATGTTGATAAATAGTTAGATCTTCATAAAGAATATCATGTTGTGGACAAAATCTATAGAAAGAAAAAAAAAAAAAAAAAAAAAAAAAGTGTCAAACCAAGTTATAAAACCTTCCTTTTTATCTTTTTTTACAAACCCTAAAAATTGATAAATTGTATCCATTTGATCCAAAATATTGTAACCATTAATATAGATATTACCAGATGTTGGGGCGTACATGCCACCAATGATATGAATAAAAGTAGTTTTCCCAGCACCATTTGGACCCTTTGAGTTTGTTTAAAAAAAATAATTAATTAATTCATTAATAAATAATAATAATATATAAATGTTTTTTGTATTTAATGTTATACATACTAAAAGTCCTAAAATTTCACCTTCCTTGGATGTTAGACAAAAGTTTACAAGTGCCTCTTTGACGACAGAACCAGTCTTGTAAGTCTTTTTTACATTAATTGCCTTTAAGAGATAATTGTTTGAAGAATTTGCATTTTCTCTTTCAACTCTACAATCTTTATCTTCTTCAATCTAAAAATAAAAATAAAAAAATTATATTAGTTTAATCTAATTAAACTTTCTTGTTTGTTATTCTATTGTTTTTTGTTTTTTTACATACAATATCATGAACATTAATACTATGTGATTTATGAATTAAAGATGTCTTTTCTTCATGGCTAGTTGATCCAGTATTTCTACCCTTGATCCAATCTCTCAAATCATGAATTGGATAGAATGGAGAATATGCATTACCAAATTGTTTTGGAATTACATTATTACAATAACTAAAAGAAAAAAAAGAAAAAGAATAAATAAATTAATAAATATTTTTTTTGTTTTTTTTTTTTATATTTTATACTTTACATTCCCAAAATATAAAAGATAATAGTTTCTAAAAAGAGAGCGATAATGACTTGACTAAATTGAGATGATGGATCAGAGAGACTGATAACCTCGTTAAACTCTGAGTACCCATTTCCATTCAAATAGAGGAAGATTTGGGAAAGACCATGACAAAAGGCAAATGGTGGATAAAAGAGGAATGGAATGGGAGCTGGTTTACCTGAAAACACAAAAATATCAATCACAGTACCAATGGTTGGTGTAATGATGACCAATAGATATGATAGAATCGATGATGTCTTTGCCTTCCAAAAGAATGAAGAGAATAAAAATGCCATTGAAATTAATGCTAATCCATACATGAATGATAATAATAAGAATTTTCCTCCTCTAAATTAAAAATTAAAAAAGTTAATATTTCTATTCTTTCTTTTCTTTTCTATTCTTTTCTATTTTTCTATTATTTACTGTTGAGCAAAGAAATCAATTTGAGAAGCAAAACCCATGATTGAAAGGATTGCCATAATGATTAGATAAAGGAAAACGTAAAAGAGTTGATTTGCAAAAGTGTAGACTGAATTTTTGAGACCCATCATTGCCATGACTTGGAAGAGTTTTTGTTCCTTTTCAAAGACCAAGTTGTGAACGAAAACTGGAAAGATAAAGGTAAACATACTTGGAATCATAAAGGCAGACATCAAATCGACCACAATCATAATGTTGATGGTGGTTTGAACTTGGAAAGCCGAGTTATAGGTATCGATGAAATAGTCGTAACCACCGACCATTTTCAAGACGGCATTGGTAACATAGTTGATGTATTGCCAAGAGTTGTCGGCTCCATACATGAATACTTGCGAGTAGTATCTCGACGCTTGAAGAGGGACTGCATAGTTTTCAAGAGTGTATGACAATGAAGTATTGGTGGCAGTACTTTGAAATGCATCAAACAAGAGTGTTGCAGCTGGTGGTGCAATCGAGAGATTGTAACGATACTGGTCATTGGCAACATCCCAATTGGCTGCAAATTGGGCTACAACATCTTGATCGACGGTTGCCTGGTTCGATGGATCAATCTCTTTCCAAAATGGGAACATCCAAGTGATATAAGTACCATTGTCGGCATAGAGTGTGGTAGTCTGGTATGGGAAATAAGTGAGTAGTCCAGAGGTTGGATAGTACTGTGTGTCATTAGTGAATGTGGAAACCGGTTGACCGTTTGTTGGATTAGTAAACCATAAATAGTTGGGCATGATTTGAGTAATATTGTATTGATTATTAAACCATATTTGATATTGATTTGATGATGATTGACTATTATCATTACTATCACTACTACTACCACCATTATTATTATTATTATTATTATTGTTATTATTTTCTTGAGCACTTTTCAACATTGAATTCATAACAATCAATACCAACATGCATAATACAGGTAACAAAATTTGAAATATATTTGTTTTAATCTGTCTTAGTTGTAGTATACTACTACGGTACAACTAATAGAAATAATAATAATAAATAAATAGATAGATATTAATAATACACACATCTATATATATATATATATATCAAACAATCTTATAAGCACATACCAATGCACTAACTTGACCAATTAGTGTAACTGCCATGATGATGATGATTGTTTGTTTACTCTTTCTTTTCTTTCTTTTCTTTTTTTTTAAAAGTAGATCAAATAAAGTAAAGTAAACAAGAAGAGGTAGAGGTATATAATAATAATAATATTATATCTTTAAAGAGAGAGAGAGAGATCAATTCCAAAGAACACCGTTTGCCCAATGGCTTCGTTTTTAAAGAAAGAATCAATTTTATCGTAGGAAGAATCACACCCTCTTTGATCCCAAAGAATCAATTTTAAACTAAAATATCTCGTTTCTTTTATCTTGAAGAAGAAGAAGAGTTATTACAATATTATAGTAATAGTAGTTAGTAGTAGTAACAAACACACAACAACAGTGGTTGTACATCGTGATAGAGATACAACTAAAAAGAGACAGAGATTTAATAATAATAATAATAATAATAGAAGAGAGATGGTGGATCAACATACAATCCCATTGTTTAACAATGGCGAGAGATCATCTTCATCTTCCTCACCATCTGTTACACAAAAAGCTAGTGTATTTCAACAATTTAAAATATTAATGTATAAACAATTACTTTTATTGGTATGAAATAGATAGATAGAAAAGATACACAGGATCACTTTTTTTTAAACTTTACTTACTTTCTTTGTAAATTTAGGCAAAAAATAAAGTAAATACATTCCTTAGATTAACATTCCCATTTTGGGTAATGTTGATTTGTTTGATCACTGCCAAGAGTATCAATCAATCTGCTATCAATGCTCAAACTAATAGTACTTTTACTCCAACAAACATGTTTATTGATTATCAAACAAGAGTATGGAAAACAATCAAATAATGAATGAATCAAATAATGAATAATAATCATATTATTTTATTTTACTAACTCTTAATCTTTTTATTTTTGTCTATTTAGTGTGATTACACAATGATGTATTCATTTACAAGTGAAAATGGAAGTATTGTAGCAGCAGATACTGATATGTTAAATTTGATTGCAGAATTGTTAAATTTGGATGCCGGTGTTGATTTTGCACCGATTCCAGAACCCTATCAATTACCAACTTCAATGGCATCGTTGGTTAGATACCAACAAGGAAATCAGGGTCACCAAACCACAGGATTTGCACTTGTCTACTTTACCTTCACCAATGAAACATCGATCAGATATGCAATGACCTATTATGTAAACGATCAAGATGTAAAGAATGGTTTTGTATTTATGAACTTTAACAACGATTATTACAATACCATTGAAACTCAATACTCTTATTCTATTCGTCTCGCCATTGAAAAGGTTCTCCTTTCAAAACTTACAAATGGTCAAGGTAGTCTTGGAACAGTTCAAACTGTTAAACCTCCCAGTGCTCTTAGTAATATGAATGATGATTATGCTCCTGTTCCTAGTAATATGTGTAAAGTACAAAACTAAAAAAAAACAAATCAAATCAAATTTAATTAATTAATAATATTAATACTTACTTGTTATTTTCTATTTAGTATTTGCAACATTTACACCAGTATTTTTATGGTTTGGTATGACATTCCCATTTATCCTATTTGTTTATTTAATAGTAGAGGAAAAGGAAAGAAAGATTAGATCATATCTTCGTTTATTTGGTGTTCATGATACTCTCTACCTTGCATCATGGTTCTTTGATGGTTTGTTTGCCACTTTTATCAATACGGTTTTGGTTTTATTTATTGGTAATGTTTCCAAAAGTGTTTACTTTTTCGCCTATGGTAATAGTTCTGCCATCTTTATTACCCTTATGACCTATGGTATTAGTTTAACTGCTCTTGCAATATTATTATCTTCTTTACTTTCTAGAACTAAAGCTGCTGGTATGTTAAAAAAAAAAATAGAAATACTCTTTTTAAAAAATATTAATCTTTTTTGTCTCTTTTTTAGTAATTATAGCAGTATTAATATTTTTAATTTGTTTATCAGCAACTATTGTATTGGCAACTATGGGATCAGTATTTTATGGTATTTATTCGAAAAAGATTAAGGTCTATGCTTGGTTGTTGCTTTGGTTGGTTTTGACGCCATTGGGAATCACCAAGATTTTAGGTGACATTTCAACTGGTATTTTGGGAAGTGATATTTTCAGTGGATACAATGGTGTCTCGAAACTGTCCTATTATTCCTGGGACGACTTTGTTGGCAATCTTCCCTATGAGTCTGACCGTCATATTACCACCACCTATGCATCCGTCTCTTATATGTTTATTACATTGGTCATCTACCTCGTGTTGGCTTGGTACTTTGACAAGATCATCCCAGATGATTTCGGAGGTCGTAAATCCCCCCTTTTCCTCTTCCAAGCAAACTATTGGTTCCCCAACTCTAGACCATACCCCATCAGAGAATACCAGTTACGTGGATCTGTCCAATCACACGACCCAGACGTTCTCAATGAGGCCAACTGTGTCAATATGTCCAATGTCGACCATCACGCATTAATCGTCAGAAATGTAACCAAACAATATGGTAGCAAGCTTGCAGTCAACAATCTTAGTATCAGTGCCGAGCGTGGAAAGATTGTTGCCCTTTTGGTATGTATAACATTAATGTTAAATACCTAACATTTATATATTATTATTTATTAATGAATTAATTATTTTAACAAACCCAAAGGGTCACAATGGTGCCGGCAAGACCACTCTAATCAATATGGTGTCTGGTCAAACCACAATGAATAGAGGTGATGTATTTATCCAAGGTTACGATGTGGCCACTCAAATGGACCACATCCGTTCTTCGATGGGTATTTGTCCACAATTTGATGTTTACTGGCCCGACTTTTCTGCCCGTCAACATCTCTACATTATGACACTGGTCAAGGAAACTCGTTCCAACATCAACCACGATGTTGATGAAATTCTAAAATCCGTTAGATTGTCTTCGGTTGCTGATAACCCTGTTGGTAGTTACTCTGGTGGTATGCGTCGTCGTCTATCAGTTGCCATGGCTATCATTGGTAATCCTCAAGTTGTCATTCTTGATGAACCTACAACGTAAGTTATAATAGAAAAAAACAAAAACAAATAATTAGATTCTAACTTTATTTATTTATTTATTTCTTATTCTTTAGTGGAATTGATCCAGCAAATAGAAGATATATTTGGAGATTAATTAAAAGTATAAAGAATGATAAATTAATTTTATTGACGAGTCATGCAATGGAAGAGTGTGATCAATTAGGTGACAAGATTATGATTATGGATCATGGACGATTGGTTACAGTCGGTACATCTTTACATCTCAAAAACAAGCATGGATCAGGATATAAACTGCATTTGGTGTCATCTGATCCAGAGAATACCCAACATACAGTCCGTGAAAAGTTACCTACTGCCAAACTTATTCGTATCAACTCTAACAATATTATTTACTCTGTACCATCGATGGAGGCCTTGACACACTTCCTTCGCTACCTCACCGCTCAAAAAGATCCACACATTACCGATTGGCAAATTCAAAATACATCTCTTGAAGATGTATTCCTTACTTTGGTTGGTGAAGAAGACCAAAAAAAGAATAAATAAAAAAAAAAACAAATATATAATATTTTTAAAAAATAAATATAAATCTAGATTAGATAGAAATAGATTTATTAATTAGTTGAAAAAATAATTATTTTAAAATATGATGATCATCAAAAAAAACAAACTTCAAAAAAATAATAAGCAAGTCGAAATATTTAAATCTTTTCTCTCTCTCTTTTGTTAGTTTTTAGTTATTTTCCTATTCATTGTAAAAAAAAAAAAAGATGAAATATTCTAAAGTAACAATTAATATTATAGGATTTATTAGTTTATGTGCTGCTGTATCACTATTGGTTGTATCATTCCTATGTAAGAAACAATATTTAAATTAAATTTAATTATTATTTATCTCTTCTCTAATCAATCTATTTTTTTTTTTTTTTTTTTTAGATCCATGGTATGAACAAAAATCCACAGTTACAGGATCAACAAAAAGATTCAAGAGTGGTGGATTTATTCAAAATCGTGATCAATTTGTAGAATTTGAAAATCATCAAACTATAACATCTGATCTCATGTCGACAGTGTTTGTCTCTTGTATACTTTCCTTTTGCTTTGCTACAGTGTCATTGCTATTTATGTCTTGTAGAATATTTACAAAGAATGAACCATTTGCCAACACTTCCATCTCTGTTTCTATTTTCTTAGCCTTTATCATTGGAATGTTTTCATTTTTAATGTTACTTAGATTACCATCTGCTTTAAATTCTGTATGTCAACTAAATATTAATATTAATAATAATATTTTAAATCTCTAATAATAATATTTTTTTTTGTTGTTTTTTTTACAAAAGGATTGTACCAAAGTATATAATGTTGTTCTTTGTAAAGAAGAGAATCCATCAAGATTTTACTATTCCAATTCAAACTTTGTTTGGGGTCCCTACATGGCTTGGTATTCTAGTCTTGCTAATCGTGCTACCGTTTTATTATTAGTTTCATTGTTTTGTAGTCTTGAATATTATGTTCCACCAAAACCAATTGAACCTTTGGTTAAAGATGGTGCCCACCTTTAAAAATATTTTAGAAAATAGAAAAAAAAAAAAAACAATTTTAGAAAGAGTTAGCAATCAATCATACATACTTTTTTGTTCAAATAAAAACATCATCATTATCATTGACCAATTTCTTTGATATCTGAAAATAGAACAAAGAATTTATATGACTCCTGCCTTCGTCTCTTCCCTTGCTTTGAAAAACCTTTGATCTAAAAAAGAAATTTGTGGTAAGCAAGTCAATGCTAAAGGCTCTCCTCTCTCTTGATATAGATATTATTATTAAAATAGTTTAACCCCCATTGATTTATTGGGTTTCAAGACCATGAAACATATAAAAAAAGAATTCTTGACACTTTATGCTTACATCGAAAACCAGTGTGTCTAAATTAAGCATCTTATTGGCTCGGGGTCCAAATTTAGAAAAACTAAAACAAAGGTAAAATTTGCATCGATGGTTCGTGGATGGGTTTTTTATTCAGTGTACGATAAATAAAAAACCCATCCACGAACCATCGATGCAAATTTTACCTTTGTTTGTAGGTACCAAGGGTTTTGATTGCCTACGTACAAACCATTCAATATAATCAAATCAATCATTTGATCCCAATCTTTTTAATCACCTGTTGTTTGTTGTTGACGTTTGATTTGACTGCTTGACTCTTTTTTGATTTCAAAAATAGAGTCTTTGGTATGTTGGGGGTAGTTCTCGACAAAAGACACTCACGTGTACAAAAGAGGTAAAAAATCGATATCCAATAGCCTCTCCTTAAACATGGTGGTACTAGTTGTCCACATGATGATAAATCAAAATGAAAGAAAGAGTTTTTAAAATATCTTGACTTTGTGTTGGGAGGGGTGAGCCCTACGTAGCTTCAAGCCCGCTGCTGGCCTATCCTCACACCTTTCGAGTATCGAAAAAATAGTGGTATAGTAGGAGGGGTTGTTTTCTCACTCTGTGAACTTGCAAAAAAAATAAAATCGCTGCTGGTTGTTTTGCATGGGGCTGGGGATTGATTTGATTGTAATCTATTTTTGGGGACACAACTTTTCAATTCCCTTTCAATATTGATACAGGGGCACCTTTTGTTTGAGAGTCTCTCTCTTATATTATCCCCATGCAGATGATAATCTCTGTCTTGTAATTGGGGATAGCCAATTTTTAATAAAAGTAAATTGCTACTAAAAATAACACATATTCTCTACAGAAACAGAAAAGACAACACCCTTCCTCTAATAGATACTAGTAACTCACACACAGACACACACAACACAACAGCAGTATCAAAAGAGGAAGATGACCAGTTCTTTTCAAGTAGTATACTTTAACAACTAAAACCTTATCAATCTTGTTATATACAACAATTCGATATTTACATATATATACATAAATATATAAAATAATATAGAGATAATCTAATCATAAAGAGATAGAGAGATATATAAACATACATCTCGCATTACATTCTCCCGTGTCTCAACAACAATTTTTTAATTTTTTTTTTGATTACACGAACTTACATCTTGAATCATATTATCCCATTGACACGAAACTAAAATTCATCATCATCATCGTTCTCCCTTATCATCGTCATTGATCATATTCATATCAACACCCACCAACCAACACACTCCATCCCCTACCATTACCACAATAGAATAATATTAAAGTCTTTAGAATTGCAACACACTAACCGCACCACAAACCACGTAAACTCCCAATATATCTTCACCACTATACCATTTTTAAAACTCGATTCTCCTTCCACCTTCCATATGAGCTGCTTCTCTCCACTTTCATTGACACCATCATCATTGCAGTACAACTAACAACCAAAGTTATAATTACAAAATAGCGCGCAACAACCATAATCAATAACTTTAAAATACGTAGCGTGTGTTGACCACCTCTAAACCAAACCAGATATCTCTCTGAGCTGGATACCCCCTCACCATCCATCCATCCAACCACCCTATCAATCAATCAAATCCATCCAGCTCTTTCATAACAAAGGTGTCATTATTTTACTCCTCCTTCCTCTTCTCTTTCAACCTAAATATTAAATAATACTAATAATAATCCTGTGTTGCCACCTCCTTTTAATCAAAATAATACTATTTTTCTGATCATCATCCATAATATACATTTATATATATATTTATACATATCAACTTGTATTTCCTATTTCATATATAAATATACATACATAAATAATAATTATTTTTTTTTTTAAAAAAATACAACAAACAAACAAACAATGACATCTGTTAAATGTGTTGCATGTCCAAAGTTTTGTATGGTTGAATATCGAGATATAGAGTTGGATAATACTCTTGCGACCTTTATTCAAACAAAGACTGGTATATTTCCAACTGCTCCAACTACCAATGATAAAGTCCATATTTGTAAGGAATGTTATTCCACTTTTATGAAAAATAGAATTGTATGTATAGAGAGATTGAGTTGATAATAATTTATAAATTATTTTTATACCAACAACAATTTTTCTTTTTTTCTATTTCTATTTCTATTTTTTTTCTAATTTTATAGAAAAGATTATCATCATCATCAATAAATGGAAGTAGTGAAGTTGATTCATCATCTTCATTGGATCGTTTTTATTCTTCACCACACCAATCCAATGCTGGTAGTAGCAGCGCAGGATCATCACCATCGTCACCACATACATCGCAACCAGCATCTCCAAACCTCTATGGAATGGAGTCTCCACACTGTCATTTTGCCAACCAACAGGTTCCATCTGACGTTGCTGGTGCTGGTACTGGTGCTAGTGCCTCTGCAGCTGCTCCCAAGTACTCTGATGAGGACCTCAAGACCATTTGTGTTGGCTACTTGAAAAACTTGAAAGCTGTAGAGTTGCAGTCGCTTTTGCGTGATGTCAACCAATCGTGCAAGGGTGCCAAGCAAAAGTTGGTCGAACGTATCATTCGACACATTTTTACCTTTCAAAAGCCTGGCAATGTGCACTTTGACAATAACCTCCCAAGAGAGCGATTGATCGCCGACTTGAGATCGCGTTATGGTATTGACACCAAGTCTGTCAAGGAATACACACTCCAAGAGCTCAATGGCATGTATGTCACCTATTATTGTATCTTTGGTGCCTCCAAATTCAAAAAGGATGGTTCTTTAAATCCAGTTGCCTCCAACAATGGTACAGGTGCATCTCGTCGTGCCTCTTTAAATGCTAGTCAATTAAAGACTATGGTCAATAATAGCCATTCAAAGGTCGTTGTCGCTGCCACCGCTCCACTTTCACCAACTCCATCATTTGTACATCTTAGTATCAATGACAAGGCGGCAGTTGGTGAAGTTCCAAAATCAATATCTCCAAGACCATTGTTGATGAGTAATACCAGTACTACTACTACTACCACAAATACAATTAATAATAATAATAATAATAATACTACCAATACCTATAATAATAATATTGTAACACCAAATAATAATAATAATAATAATGTTAATATAACTAATAATAATAATAATAATAATAATAATAATAATAATAATAATAATATTGTAACACCAAATAATAATATATCTTTTACTTACCCATCAACAACAGCCAATTATGACCCAAATAATTATGGTTATTATCAACCACAACAACAACAGCAACCACAATATTCTACACCATATGCTATAAATATTTCACCAAGATTGTTACCACAACAACAACAACAACAACAACAACAAATAACTGAACAACAACAATATTATAATCCAAATACAAATAATTATATATATATACCAGTACCAGTATCACCAACTCCATCACCACCAATGACAGCAAGAATGGCAACTGCACCATCGCATCCATCATACCCACCAAGCATATCTATAACTTGTTCGACAGAGTTTAACAATACCATCAATGACAACCATATGATGAATGCCTACCATTCACCACATTCATCGTCATCACCAATCTATAATCCAAATAGTAATATTCATATAGTCTCTACAAACCACCACCACCAAAATTACATAATGAATGAAATGCCAACTATCGTTGCTGCACCAACTTCAATAACCACCACCTCCAACAACCATAATAGTATTCCTTATTCTAGCTTATCTAATCATTTAGCTGGAAGTGGTTATTACTATTAATCTATTGTAGATATATATATATATATATACATATACATATTTCTTTTTTTCTTTTCTACTACTACTACCACCACTACAAACTGTAACACTACAAACTGTACTATGAAAATAATAACAGATTTTCTTTTCTGTCTCTGTCACACTCGTTTGATCATATGATCAAGTAATAATAATAATAATTATAATATTTATAAACAAACATAATAAAAAATGGATACATTGGTTTTTTATAACATACTCTTCTTCTCTCGTCTTTGTCTCGAGTTTTATAATTTATATTATTATTTTTTTTGATGAACTAGTCTTCTGTGATGTTCAACAAAAAATCTATTTTGAATAGTTTTCAATGAAGTTTTTTTTTTAGTCTACATATATAATTATTATTATTTGTATTATTTAATTTTTATCGGTTCTATTATCTATTTATCTATCTATCTATCTGTCTCTGGTTAGGGTAATATAAATAAAAATAAAAAGAGGATAATTAAGAGAAGAGAGTGTTATTGATTAATATTTAAAATGTGGATTTGACAGCAACAACAACAAAATATTATTAATTAATTAATTGGGGTTGGGGGATTTAATGGTTTGATTTGGTTTGGTTTATGTGTGTGTTTGTTTGTTTGTGTGTATGAATCAAATGAAAATAATAAGATAATTTAAAGTCATGTTTTTGATTGATGTGGGGAATATTATTTTTCCAAACAATCATCTATCCTCCTCCTCTCACGACTTTTTGTTTCCAGGTGTGTGGATGAAGGGGAGGGAGGGTGGATACGGTTTATAAATCTAGCAAGCCCTGTATACCTATCACATAATTCAGAGAGGGAGGAGGGACTGATACATCCTAGTGCAAGGGTTTTTTCATTGGGAGATGGGAGGGGGATCTGGAGAGAGATGTAAACAGATAAGATTAGATAAATGAATTGGTTAGTCACACTCTCTTTGAAACCATGGAGGTAATTAAATGAGGACAGAGGACAGATGTAACATGATCAAAGATTTAAACGCTCACTTATATCTCGCGACTCCATGACCAAAGCAGGTGCATCTCCAACCCGTCTCAAATTAATTACTCTAAAATTAGGGTAAATCGTGCCCACAAACTTGGATAGGGGCAAAAATCCACTTTGATTTGGTGTGATTGCCCCCATCAATCAAAACTCACAACTTCCTACTTTATGGGCAAAATCCAATTCTAATTTGAACCGTCACATGATCCACTCTCCAAATAGATCTATCAATCAAATCAAATACCATGACAATTCAGATGATTGAGGGGGGGTCATGAACAGGATTATCAGTCTGTGTTGGACAAAGTATGGTCATTTGATTGACACTTTTTGATTGACACTTGCCTATTCTCTAAAAATGACGATATCGTCATCTTTCAAATCAATGAACTTAAGTAAAGTAACCCCCCTCATTTCTAGAATAGGAAAAGAAAAGAGTAGAAACAGTTTCCTAAAGAGTAAAAAAAAAGTTACTACTTTTCGAAAAAGGAAATCAAGCAGTGATGATGCTAACACTTTGTGTAAAAATAAATAATATCCGTCTTTGATTGACAAATACATTTGTTTCATTCACCCAATACAATCGTGCTTTGAATAACATGGAATGAAAGAATCAGGTTTCATTTCCTTTTAAAGAAAGATGATCATCAAATAGTGTAACAATCTCAATCTCGCCCGAGTGTACGCGCAATAATAGTAATAATAGTAATAATAGTAAAGTATTAATAAAAATAAAAATAATTATTTTTCCCTGGTATTCCACACATCGTCTTTTGGACTTTTTTTTTTTTGTTTGTTTTAGAATAATAAAAATTTTGTAATAATAAAAAAAAAACAAATAATGATAATCATAAAGAAGTTCACAAAAACGAATGTGTGGTTGATGATGATGATGATTCGTGTGAATAAAAAAAGAGAAGGTGAATAATAATAATAAATAGTAGTAGTAGAGCAGTGAAACCACCATCCTCCTCCACCACCTCTACTGCACCTCTGAAACGATGGATGATGATCGTTTCAAATATTAAATAAAATTAATATGAATTTGATAATTATGAAAATGAAAATGAATGTGGAGTAGTTGTAGTACTACTAGTATTAAAGGTTGGTGGGGTTTATTGATTATTATTTTTTCATATAACATTTAATAGTATAATACTCAAGAAAGATAATTATAAATATAAATAAATAATAGAGAGTAATAATAAATTAAATGACAGAATCTGTTCCAACATTAAAAGTGAATGCACATGATCCTCCTCCAAATCTGCCCATTCAATCAATGTCACTCAACCAACCAAAACAACAACACGAACAACAAAATCTAGATCTTGCACTGATTGGCAATTGTTCATTTGGCGCTCTAGTCGATAAAAAGGCTAGTATCAAATGGTGTTGTATACCAAGATTTGATGCTGATCCTATTTTTTGTTCACTTGTTAGAAAATCAAATGATATAGGTAAATATATGAATAGAAACTAACAAGTTTTGGTTGTGAACATCCATCACATTTACAACGAATCATATTTAAATTAAATTAAAATTTTTTCTTTCTCTTTTTCATTTTACATTTTACTTTTGAAGGATTCTATGATGTTGTATTAGAGAATTATGCATTTAGTGAACAATGTTATATCAAGAACACAGCAGTATTGGTAACCAAACTATTCAACAACAATGATGGTGGAGTAGAGATTATTGATTTTGCACCAAGATTCAATATGTACAACAGACCATACAGACCTAGTATGCTAATGAGAATCATCAAACCACTTGGTAATTGTAGAATCAAAGTTAGACTTAGACCTACTTTTGGGTAAATATATAAATATTTGAGAGAGATAGATAGATAGATAGATCACAAGTTTTATTAACATTATTATTCTTTTTCTTTTCTTTTTCTTTTTTTAGTTATGGATGGGGATCACCAGAAAAGACAAGAGGTACAAATCATATTAGATATTTATTACCTTCAATGGTAATGAGATTGACTACCAATGCACCGATATCTTATATTGTTGATGAAGTACTTTTCGAAGTTGATGAACCTCTTTACTTTGTATTCATGGCCGATGAAAGTTTAAAGGAATCATTAAATGAAGTTACAAACACCTATCTTGAAAAAACAATTGAATATTGGCATGAATATACCAAATCTTTGGCTGTATGTAAAATATATATTAAACATACTCTTATTTAGTTTAATTCTTTTATTTTTTATTTTAATTTTGTTTCTCTCTAGATTCCATTAGAATGGCAAAGTCAAGTATTAAGAGCATGTATAACTGTAAAGTTATGTCAATTTGAAGAATCTGGAGCATTGATTGCATCGGTGACAACGTCGATTCCAGAGAAATCAACTTCTGAAGGGTTTGACCTAAGATTCTGTTGGTTAAGGGATACTGCATACATTATCCATACCTTTAACAAGTTGGCCAACACCAAGATGATGGAGGATTTCCTTACCTATCTTTCCAACATTGTGGCAGGATCTCAAGAGAATGGTGGTATCTTGCAACCAGTCTATGGTATCTCGCTTGAAACCAAACTCTATGAAAAGGCAATGTATCGTCTTACTGGTTACCGTGGTATGGGTCCAGTTAAAATTGGTACTCGTGACTACAAGTTGATTCAAAATGATGTCTATGGTCATTTAATCCTTTCAAGTATTCAAATGTTCTTTGATGAAAGATTACAAAAACCTGGTGATGTCAAGTATGTCAAAAAAAAAAAAATATATAATCAAAGCAATAACTTATTCTTACTCTTTTTTTTTAGTTTATTCCAAAGATTAGAAGGATTAGGGATTCAAGCTTATACCAATTATAATAAACCAGATTGTGGACCAAGTGGTAATGGATCGGTTGAAGAGGGTAAGATCTATACCTATACAAGTGTGATGTGCTGGGCCGGTTGTGATAGATTGGCAAAGATTGCCAACAAGTTGAGAATCCCAGACAAGGCAATGTTTTGGCAAGAAATGGCCGACAAGATCAAAAAGGATATCATGGCAAATTGTTTCAACGACAAGTTGGTTTCATTTGTCAGTACCTGGGGTGGAGACTGTGTAGACCCTTCCATTCTCTTCCTTGGAGAATGCGGTTTTGTCTCTCACATGGACCCAAGATACCTAGGATCTGTCAAGTTGTTGGAATCTACCCATCGTGTTGGCATGTATATTGTTGACGGCCCCAACTCCAAGACTGCATCGGTCACTCAGACACTTCTCTATCTTACTGCTCTCCACAAGATTGGTAGACACGACGAAGCAAGACAACTCTTTGAAAACATCCTCAATGACTGTACCTCTTTGGGTCTCATCAGTCAAAACATTGATCTTGAAACAAAAGAGATCTGGGGTAACTTCCCAAAAACAGCTTCCATGGTTGCTATTATTAATGCTGCTATTTGTCTTAGCAAGACTTGGGAATCTGAAATCTAAAAACAAAAAAGGATAACAAAAACCAAAAGGACTAAAAACCAAACTCAACCACCAACAACAAAATTATAAATAAGTAAATAAATATTGTTTTTTCAAAAGATAAATAACAACAAATATGAAACATAAGGAAAATATTTATTTATTTATTTTATTTATTCTTTTTTTGTGTGTTATTACAAATCACGTAATTGGAAATCAACCATTGATTGTTTGAGGTTTTGAATTAAACTACCAGAATCTTCTTGACGTGCCATTTCAATAGCCATAATAAGTTGTTTGATAGTGATTGGAGTTGTATCATCGAAGCATTCTTCGGCGGCACGTTTAACTTCTGATGGACCAAATACACCAAGTTCTTGAACAACTTTTGAGAATTCATCTTTGGTGGTGATTGATGGGATGGGGAGGGTTGTGGCAAAACAATTACCAAGACCCAAATCTCTAACAGCTTCTGGAACGGATGAGGTGGCGAGGACAAGTAACTTTCTTCCTTTTGGTGGAGTTTTCTTGAGTAAAATTAAGAGTGTTTGGAGAATGGAGTTGGAGAAACGTGGTCCAATTGGTACAAATTCGATTAAACGTTCAATGTCGTCGACTACAATACATGAAAGTGGTGATCTATAAGAGTCTTCAAAGATCTTGGTGATTTTAGATGTTTTGGCAGATTCGGTGTATCCAACCAAATCATCTGGACTGATGGTTCTGACATATGGGAAGTCTGAGCTTTGAGCGAGGGTGGATGCAAGAGATGATTTACCACAACCTGGTTTACCAGACAATAAAACAGAGACGAGTGGTGTACGACTTGAGTTTTTAACTTGTTGAATGAATGAATTACCTGATAATTGGATCTTTTCAAAGGTGGGACCATAATTGATAATACCATTGATAGCATACATTCTAAATTGTTCATCGTTTTGACCAAATGCTGGTTTAATATCTTTAAGTGCACGTTCAAAATCATCGGCACAAACATTTAAATCTTCGACTTTGAGTGTGACACTACGTAAGTTCTTGGTATCAACTTGACGAGAGAATGAATAAGAGGTGGCAGCTTTAACGACACCTTCAATTTCAGCACCACTATAGTTTTTAGTGACACGTGCTAAATGATCCAAAGAGACGTCTTTGGCAAGAAGTCCATTATGTTGCATTTTAGATGTATGGATCTTGAAGATTTGTTGACGTCCATGTTCATCTGGGAGAGATATTTCAACGTGTACTTCAAGACGACCTGGACGAAGAAGAGCTTCATCAATCATATCCTTTCTATTGGTCATACCAATAATAAGAATATTATTGAGAGATTCAACACCTTCAATCTTGGCAAGTAATTGATTGACAATTGAATCGTTGACACCAGCATCACCAGTCTTTGTACCACGAGTCTTACAGATTGAATCGATTTCATCGAAAATAACAATATGTAGAGCAGAATCATCACCTCTTGATTTGTATTCAATTTCAGCATCTTTGAATAATTTACGAATATTCTCTTCTGGTTCACCAACATATCTACCCAATACTTCTGGACCAGATACAATCTTTGGTTCACGACCATTGAGCATCTTTCCAATTTGACGAGCAATCAATGTCTTTCCAGTACCTGGTGGGCCATGTAATAGGATACCTTTAACATGTTGAACACCAAGTTTGGCAACGATGGCAGGTGGAAAGATACGTGATGCAAATGCACGACGGAAAATATCACGGAATTCATTGTCTAAACCACCGATACCCATATTTTCAAAGTCCCAATCTTGCTTAAAGATTTGATTGGTTTGTTGTGGTCCATCGAGTGAGACATCGATATCGATGGTTGAGTTTTCAGCCTTTTGAATGAGGATTTGGGAGGTGGATAGGAGCATACCATAGCTACCAGAGAGGTATGGTGGTGGATTGGTTGGGTGATCCGACTCTGAAAGTTTAATGTCAGAGACTGTGATTTCAAGATTATCACGTACTTGAATAAGAGTTGCTTGACCTTCTGTAAAGTACTGATTGTTGTAATCTCTTGATATCTGAGCAATGATAGCCTTTGAATCAAACTTGGGACCCTTTTTACCTCTTGTGAAATAGTCAATCTTGAATGTAATCGATGCAATAGTCTTTATCTCTGGACTATAGTATTGTACTGAAACCTCTTCCTTTAAACCTAACAACATCCAATTTCTATGTATCTTTGATACACCAATTGATCCTACTGGTATCTTTGGTGATGGTCTGCAAACATAAAAAAAAAAAAATATTATTAAATTTATCGTCAGATGATGATGTTCAACAAACGAATAGATAGATAGATAGATAGAATTAGTAAATGAATGATAAACAATGTGATTTATTGTTGTTTAATGATAACTTACGAAACTGAAAGAACTTTCTTTGAACGGTCATTGTCTGTAAACAATGTGATGTAGTTACCATTCTCTGATACTTTGCTAGATGGACCAGTTTGAATGAGTTCTTGAAAGGTCTGTTGGTTGATGTATACTCTGTTGGTGTATGCATCTGTATCTTGAGGTACTGCTACTACAGCTAATCTATATATCGTCTCCATTTATCTATCCTATATGTATATGTATAACCTTTTAATAATAATTTAAAAAAAGAGATAGATAAAATAATGAAAAAAGTAATTAGGGGAAGATTTTTGTTTTGTTGTGAGTCACAACCACATTTAGAAATATTTTTGATTTTTACTCTATTCTTTATTTTTTTTCAAAAAAGTAAAAGTATAATAAAGATATTGAATAATTAATTCTGTATTTTTAAGGAATTGACAAATAATAATATTATTTATTATTTTTTATTTGTTTATTTATTAATTATTTATTTTATTTTATGTTAATACAAATCACGTAATTGGAAATCAACCATTGATTGTTTAAGGTTTTGAATTAAACTACCAGAATCTTCTTGACGTGCCATTTCAATAGCCATAATAAGTTGTTTGATAGTGATTGGTGTTCTATCATTAAAACATTCTTCGGCGGCACGTTTAACTTCTGATGGACCAAATACACCGAGTTCTTGAACAACTTTTGAGAATTCATCTTTGGTGGTGATTGATGGGATGGGGAGGGTTGTAGCAAAACAATTACCAAGACCTAAATCTCTAACAGCTTCTGGAACGGATGAGGTGGCGAGAACAAGTAACTTTCTTCCTTTGGGTGGAGTTTTCTTGAGTAAAATTAAGAGTGTTTGGAGAATGGAGTTGGAGAAACGTGGTCCAATTGGTACAAATTCGATTAAACGTTCAATGTCATCAATGACAATACATGAAAGTGGTGATCTATAAGAGTCTTCAAAGATCTTGGTGATTTTGGATGTCTTGGCAGATTCGGTGAATCCAACCAAATCATCTGGACTGATGGTTCTTACATATGGGAAGTCTGAGCTTTGAGCAAGAGTAGAGGCAAGAGATGATTTACCACAACCTGGTTTACCAGATAATAAAACAGAGACGAGTGGTGTACGACTTGAGTTTTTAACTTGTTGAATGAATGAATTACCTGATAATTGGATCTTTTCAAAGGTGGGACCATAATTGATAATACCATTGATAGCATACATTCTAAATTGTTCATCGTTTTGACCAAATGCTGGTTTAATATCTTTAAGTGCACGTTCAAAATCATCGGCACAAACATTTAAATCTTCGACTTTGAGTGTGACACTACGTAAGTTCTTGGTATCAACTTGACGAGAGAATGAATAAGAGGTGGCAGCTTTAACGACACCTTCAATTTCAGCACCACTATAGTTTTTAGTGACACGTGCTAAATGATCCAAAGAGACGTCTTTGGCAAGAAGTCCATTATGTTGCATTTTAGATGTATGGATCTTGAAGATTTGTTGACGTCCATGTTCATCTGGGAGAGATATTTCAACGTGTACTTCAAGACGACCTGGACGAAGAAGAGCTTCATCAATCATATCCTTTCTATTGGTCATACCAATAATAAGAATATTATTGAGAGATTCAACACCTTCAATCTTGGCAAGTAATTGATTGACAATTGAATCGTTGACACCAGCATCACCAGTCTTTGTACCACGAGTTTTACAAATTGAATCGATTTCATCGAAAATAACAATATGAAGTGCAGAATCATCACCTCTAGACTTGTATTCAATTTCAGCATCTTTGAATAATTTACGAATATTCTCTTCTGGTTCACCAACATATCTACCCAATACTTCTGGACCAGATACAATCTTTGGTTCACGACCATTGAGCATCTTTCCAATTTGACGAGCAATCAATGTCTTTCCAGTACCTGGTGGGCCATGTAATAGGATACCTTTAACATGTTGAACACCAAGTTTGGCAACGATGGCAGGTGGAAAGATACGTGATGCAAATGCACGACGGAAAATATCACGGAATTCATTGTCTAAACCACCGATACCCATATTTTCAAAGTCCCAATCTTGTTTGAATATTTGATTGGATTGTAGTGGTCCATCGACAGATACATCAATATTGATGGTTGCATTATCAGCCTTTTGAATAAGGATTTGTGAAGTTGATAAGAGTAAACCATAAATACCAACGAGGTTTGGTGGTGAGTTGGTTGGTTGATCCGACTCTGAAAGTTTAATGTCAGAGACTATGATTTCGAGATTATCTTTTACCAAAAGAAGAGTTGATTGACCATGTTGAAAGTATTGATTATTGTAATCTCTTGATATCTGAGCAATGATAGCCTTTGAATCAAATTTTGCACCGGTTCTACCTTTTGTGAAATAATCAATCTTGAATGTAATCGATGCAATAGTCTTTATCTCTGGACTATAGTATTCTACTGTAGCCTCTTCCCCTATTCCAACATCCATCCAAATTCTATGTGTTTTTGATACAGCAATATCTTCTTCTTTAATTTTTGATGATGGTCTAAAAAATATAAAGTAAGCAAAGTATTAGAATAGAATAGAATAGAATAGACTTGTGATAATGACAAATAGGTATTACATACGATATTGAGAAAACCCTCTTTGAGTGGTGTCTAACTGTATAGAATGTAATGTAGTTACCATTCTCTGATGTTTTGCTAGTTGGAGATGATTGGATGATCTTTTCATAGGTCTTGGGATGTAGATACATTCGGTTGGTGTATGCATCTGAATCTACACCTACTTGTTGTACTTTTAGCTTAACAAATGAACTTGTCATCATGATTTACAATATATATATATATATTTAGTTAGATAATAATAATTAAGTTGTATCTAACGTTATGAGAATTGATCCCAATATTTATAAATACCTTTGCCAAAAACCTCCATCGCAATTTCCAAAATGACTCAAGATTTTTCATCGAATTTTGTTTCTCTTTTCCACTGTTTTAAAAATTTCAACACTTTGGTTGGTGACTCATTATATTTGATTAGATATACAATTTTGTTTTATTATCCATTGACTATTATTATTATTCATTATTATTCATTATTCATTATTATTATATTATTATTATATTATTTGTTATTTGTTATTTCTTCTTTAATTTGTTGAAATATCTTTTTGGATAATTGATTGAATAGCTTTAACTGGACTAGAAGATCCAATTAAAATAATTGAATTATTAATATTTACATAAAATCTAACATTACTACTTTTACACAATGATTTCCATTTAGATTCAAGAGCACCCTAATAAATTAAAATAAATAAATAAATAAGCTATCTTTTCCTTTCCTTTTTACTTTTAGTTTTTTTTTTTTTTTCTTATTTACATACATCAAGAGAATCATTTAAATTTTCAAATACTTTATAAGTCCAATCTGGTTCTCTTAGGACATTTTGTAATTCATCTCTAATGTATTGAATATCTTCTGATCTTTCAGTGGTTACATTGATGACAGAATCGAGTGGAGTCTTTGGAAATGTTGGCATGAAAGACTGTTTTGAGGACCTGTCTCTTTGACTTTGACTCTGGACTACCCTTTTTGTATTTTCCACTTTCAAGGTCATCCTTTTCGAGAAAGGCCAATAATTGTTTAACGTTTCTTGGACTGTACCCATCGTGATGCAAGCTGTTCATATAGTCTTCGAGTTCATCGACAACGTCATAGACCTTGGATTCGACACCATAGAGAATGGTCTTGTTGATGTCATACTTGGAGTTGTCTTCCTTTCTCATTGGACGATACATGCCAACCTCGCTTGGAAGTGTGTCAACGGTGGCTTGGATCTTGGTCAATAATGACATAACCTTGTAGGGAAAGGTATTGTCTGAAGAAAAGTCGACCTTGCAAGTTGTAAAGAATTCGAGTTCCCTGTCAACAGTCGACTCAAAATCCAACACTGCATTCGATGGTCCTGTCACCTCTACACTCAACTTTGATGGTGTTTGAACCTCTATTCTAAGATTGGGATATTTAACCAAGAATTGTGGAATAATTTTTCTTCTAGTTTCTAAATATTCATATTCATATTGTTCTAATGAAATTATCTTTGTTATTATCTAAAAAAAAAAAAAAGGAAAATTAAAATGAATAAGTAATTGGAAATATAATATTATTAACCCTATTTGTTTTATCTTTCGACTTACTTTTTGAATATTTGTAGTTGGAGTTTGAATTTGATGATTTTCTTGTTTTAATTGTTTTTGAATTAGACCAGCCAATCCACCATTCCATATACTGTTTTGATTAACATTATTATTTTGATCAAGATCTTCAATTATTTGTTGTTGTTGTTCTTCTTCTTGCTCTAATTGTTGTTCTTGATCTGAAGAATCTTCTCCAACAATAATATTTCTCTCTTCTAAAAGATTCTCTTCTTGTTCTTCTTCTTCTTCTTCTTCTTGTTCATCTTCATCTTGTAGTTGTTCTATTTCATCTTTATCTTGTTCTTGTTGATGATGATGATTTTCAATTATTTTATCATTATTATTAAATAGAGTATTTTTTTCAATTTCAACAACATTATTGTTGAGATGTAGTAAAATACTATTATTATTTTCAATAAAACTATTACTACTATTATTATTATTTCCATTATTATTATTAATTAGTTGATGATTATTTAATATACTATAATTTATATTATTATTATGATTATTATTATTTGTTATTGGATGATTTAAAATATTATTAAAAAAACTATTGTCCATTGAATTGTTCCATGTTGACATTAACGAGGTGTCTGGAACCAAATGATGGGTATGGATATTACCAAAACCATTTTCATTTTCAGTGGCATTACCAAAATATAAATCCTCGGGTTGTGTATTTAATTTTAATTTGTTGAGTAATTGAAGTTGTTGTTGTTGTTGTTGTTGTTGTTGTTGTTGTTGTTGTTGTTGTTGTTGTTGTTGTTGTTGTTGTTGTTGTTGTAGTAATAATTGAGATTGAAATAAATCTTGTGAATTTATAAATAGATTGGTTGAACCATATGGTGATGGTGATAGTGGTGTTTGTTGTTGTTGTAGTATTGTCTGTTGTGGTTGTTGATGTTGATGTTTTTGTTGTTGCGAGTTGACTTGGAATAAACTATCAATGTTGTGATAGGTGTGTGTCAAGATATCCTGAGCCGATACATGGTCATTAAAGAATACACCAGTACCAAAATTTTTAAATACAGTTAGATAGTGGGTATGTTTGATGACTCGTAGCTCTTTGGCCTCTTTGACACAACCGAGTTCACACAACAAGTTGTCCATCGATCCCAAAATCCCAATACAAACATCAATATTAATTGATGATGTAACCTCTTGTTGATGTTGGTGTTGATGTTCACCACCACCATTCAACAATCCCAACAATCCAAGCATACCATTTGAAGTGGATAGTGAAGAGGATGAAGAAGAGCCATTTTGTTGTTGTTGTTGTTGTTGTTGTTCTTGTTCCCAAATAATGTACACTCTTTGTATTTCCAATAGACAGGCTCTGACACAGCTACTACTGTCACTGTTGCCAAATGCCTGTTGCACAGCACCCTGAGTCTTTAGGAAAAAGGCGCAAAACATGCCAATGTCCCATTGTCCGAGTTGCAAAGAAGGCTGTTTTTCATAGTACATTTGTTTTTGTCTGGCATTCTCTTGAAACTGTATCATTTTCTTTTTGAGTTCAATCTTTTCTTGTTTGTTGCTGTGATTGTTGTTGTTGGATCTCTCTTCGACTACTAGACCTTCCAAAAATTTGATAAAGAGGGGATGACACAACTTAAAGGCTCTTCCAACTAGATGATTTGAGTTGGGTAATCCTATTCCCCATCCTGTTATATACTCTGAAACAGTTCGATTGTTATTGTTATTATTATTTTGTTGTTGTTGTTGTTGTTGTTGTTGTTGTTGTTGTTGTTGTTGTTGAGCATGTTGTTGTTGAAGTAATTGTTGTTGTTGTTGTTGTTGTTGCAAAAGTTGTTGTTGCATTAGATTACTAATTATTGATCAAAGAAGAAGAAGAAAGAAGAAGAAAGAAGATTAGATTAACATTTAAAAAAAAAAAAATTAAAAAAAAGGGGAAGAGCAACAATCTAATCAATCAATGGTCCGGTCCATTTCATCCACTATCTTTCTTATCCAATGCGACCATGCAAACAAACAATCAATCAACCAACATTCATCAATCAATCAATCAATCAATCAATCAATCAATCAGTCAACTTACAATGGAGGGTAGAATGCATTGCTGCTATTGCTAATGTTTGATGTTATAGGTTTCGATATAGGCATCATTTGTTGCTTGTCTATATTATACTGTACTGTGTGTTGTGTTGTTCAATGATGATGATGATGATAATCTGTTGTGTCTATTTCTCTATTCTCTATTCTCTATGTATACAATGTGTGTTTGTGTGTAATTAAATTAATGATGAAAGAAAGGATGATTAATCAAAAAATCTTTTCATCAGAAATTATTTTTTATTTTTTTTTTTCAAGAAGAAGTTGAAGAAGAGGGTCTTCAAAGGTTCAATCTCTCTCCTATCCCACAATTCTCACACAAAAGATTATTGTTCAAAAAAATAATAATTTCTAACTCAGTTTACACTTTGACAAGACAATGTCTCATTATTATTATTATTTTTCAAAAACAATAAATAATATAATAAAAGAAATAGAGAAAAACCAATGAACATGAATATGTTTTGATTGTCTAAATATAGATTTTAATTATTAATTGTTTTTCTTTTCTTCACTCACCTCACACTTCACCCTCACATACAGTACATACAGAAAGTAAGCAAATATAAATAAATGGTTTATTATTAATTGAATTAATTAGATAGAGTCATTAAAAAATCTTCTTCATCAGCATTGAGCTTGCTAAGTATGTTTGGTAAAGTATATTGGTCGACCTCGTAGGTATTAAGATTGACCATACAAATTTCAAGCTTTGTATAATCAAGAAAGCTCGTTGCAACCATGGCTAGATACCCATTGATATTATCGAATACAAAATATATATAGGAATCAAATGGAGCAGCGTTATCTTTTTGGATGGTGGCTAGTAATGTTGTAGTGTTTCCAACAATATCCACTTCAAATATAAATGATGGACAAGAACCTGAGGCACCATAGAGTCCGGCATAGAACTTGGAGTTATATTGATACATGGCAATCGAGTAGTAACAACTATCAGGAACATCAAATGTAATGATGTGTGATGATGTATTTCCAGTCACCGAGTTGTAGGTGGCAACTACCATCTGACTAAATTGATTTGCTACTTGGTTTGTACCACCCAAATAACACATATTAGTTGTCTCATTGTATGATGATTGTATATACCATCCTGTACCTGGTAAACTTATTACTTCCCTAAAATAATAATTGAATTAATAATCATTTAAAAAACAATAATATGTATGTGGATATAGTTACTCTTTTTGTTGATTATAATCAAATTTGAGCAACACTGGATATCCTTTAAAATCAGCATTCAAGTAAACTATATTATTAATTGAATCATAAGATGCTATCTGAATACCCCATTGGTAATAGATTTGTTGAAACTTTACATCTATGAATGATTTTTGGACTAGAGTATTGGTCTGTTGTTAAAAGAAAAAAAAAAAGAAGAGATATATAGAGAGAGAAGTATTTGAATTAATATTGTCACTGTATTATTATTATTATTATTATTGTTATATATATTACAAATGTCAATAATAATACGTACCAATACATTATAGGACCAAATGATTGGAATATAAGATTGACCAACATCAGTAATATTACCTCCAATCAGTAGAAATTCATCGCTAGTTGAAGATGGTAGAATAACACCATTCAATTCCACCAAATCTGCTCCAGGTAAAGGTATGCTTTGTTTAGTGATGAGATCTCCACTCGAAATGTTGAGGGCGTAATATGTTAGATCAGTATCAAATATGTGAAGAATTGTTGGTGCTCCCTTGATGATAAATTGTGTGGTTAGTAAGTGTCTAGAATCAATCAAGTATAAAATTGCAGATAGTTATGATGATGATAACAATACATACGGCTATTGATACACTTGCAAGCAGAGACTGCAACAATAGCAGAACAGCATACACATAAAGATATATCTTCATAGCTATTAATTGTATTGAATAGAGAATGGTTGAGACAACATAATATTAATCATAACATGTTATGTTATGTTCATTGATCCAACCTTCGCTTTGGACATGCCACGACACCAATTTGATTTCCTCTGATTTTTCTTTTTAAAAAAAGAAATCTAGGTTGGTCTCCACGATATCACCTTTGACCATTTTTAGGAAACAGATCAGGTGATTGAGGAAGGAATTAGGACCTAAACAAATATCTCATAGCATGTTTTTCAACTCTATACAACAAAAGGCGCTGCAGCTTAGTTGAAGGGTTGTTGGTACCTTTTCTGATCAAAACCACCTCAGCATAAAGATTTTTTTTCTTCCAGTTCCTAAAACCGCGACATCCACCACGTATGTAATTCTTGGTTGACTGGTCGGACTAATTACAATTAAATGATTTTTTAATTCATTGGATTCAAACAAAAAAAAGTAACCATACAATTTTCTTTATTTATTTTATTTATCCACAATGTTATCAAATAGAATATTATTTATTTGTTTATTTGTTGTTTTATCAATCTCACTTGTCAAAGGAAATGGTGAATTTAGTCCAGAACTGGCCTACAATGGACTCGTAATGAGCTATTCTGCTTACTGCTTTGGTAAATATGTCAACTACTGGTCCTGTCCTTTTGAACACCCTACAGATTCCTGTGGCAATCCTTTGTCTGGTGGTTTTTTCAACGCATCAGAAGACAAAGTGGGTAGATTTGACTTCATATATCAAGAAGCTGTTTCAGATAGTCTCTTCTACATTGCTGAACAAGATAACAACTGTAACTTTTAATATATTTACATTAATATTCTGCAGACCAACATATATATTTATTTTTATTATTCCTATTCTTTTTTTAATATCCAGATTATTTAGTATTCAGAGGAACTGATGACATTATCAATGACATGGAAGATATAGACTTTGCTCACCAAAAACCTTTCCCACAAGATGATAGTAGTGCAATGGTATCCAAAGGTTTCTATGTTGCTTGGCGTGGAGGATTCATGGGCCTTCCACCTGTTTATATAGATCAACTTCGTCAGCCTGTTATGGATGCGCTTGCCAGTACTAGTATAAATTCAGGTTCTGGTTTGACCATCGTCGGTCACAGTTTTGGTGGAGCTATGGCAAGTATGTCATATATGAATCCATTCACCAACCATGCATGTGTGTATTAATTCTTTCATTTTCTCTTTCTATTTTTTTTTCATGTAGCTCTTGCAGCTTTAGAATTTTCAACTATAAACGACGAGCAACCAGAGTTACCCTATGGACCAATTACTGTTTATACCTATGGGTCACCAAGAGTTGGAAATGAAGATTTCGAGGTTCTCTTTAACACCAATACCAATATTGAGACAAGCTACAGAGTTGTAAACTTTGAGGATACCATTCCCCATCTTCCATTGCCCGCGTTCACCCTCTTTGGATCCAATGCTACCTACTCGCATGTCAACACCGAGGTGTGGCTTTATAACTATTCAAACGATCCTTCCCAGTACCCTGTATACCTCGAATGCCCATTGACTGAACAACTCAACTGTTCCACCAATAGTCTTGTTCATTGGACCCAATTTGACAATATGACGCAGGTCATGTATTACCACAGAAGATATTTTGCCTATGATTTGGAAACTTTCTGTCAAGACTGGATTGCAGATCTTGAAGTACTCCAACACCCAACCATCTTCCTCAATATTACCAGACATTGGATGGCTGGAGGATACAACTACACCAATGTAGTTGGTACACTCACCAACAACGGACCAGTCGATATTGCCAACCCAGTCTTCACCTCCAATCCAAACATCGTACCTGTTGCTGGTATTTGGGGACTCACTCCAACAACAACCGACAATGGTATCATCCATTGGCGTCTCACTCCCCTTAACGGAGTTACTCCAACCATTTCAATTGGTTCAGAGTATATCTTTGCATTCACCTACAATTCAACTGCAACCTATTCATTCACAAGAATCAAATAAATATTCTCGCGAATATTCAATTCAAACAAACAAATTCTCTTTCTATTGATCCTCCTGTCTTGTAAAGATTTATAATTAGTTAGAGTATTTAATTTGTCTGCTGTTTCTATAAACTTACAATATGTATGTCTGTTTTAAATTTAATCCACCAAGCAATTTGATATATGTATTTGGACAAGTAAGTATTTCTTCTGGCTAATTCTTTTCTTGTACAATTGCTATTCAATACCATTAAATAAATTTACAGTGCCATCAACCAAATACTGATAGAGGTAATCGATCTTGATTCTATTTCATGAATCTTGTCCATCCAAAGGAACTAGATCCGTCCTATCCAAACCAATTGTCTCTTTAAGTGACAATGGTGTTGGATAAAAAGATATAGTTGTCTTGGGTTGGGACAAATGAGCATCATTATTTCCCACCCACAAACAATCATTCTCCTCACCATTCCAACCTCCTGCCTTTATTACTACGACATCTGTTGGTGTTCATGAACTGTACCTCTTATACTCTTTGGTAAAAGGCATCTGACAGTTTTTGTGCTTCGAATGATTACATCTTCTTCTCTTGTCATTCTACCCGTTGATTTGATTTGAATTCATCTCTATAGACCTTTTCTTGCTACATTTAGTTAGCTCTGCTACTTTTGATTTTGTTCTATACCTATATAGGGGATCTATCTATATGAAATAAAATATATATATTATTTTAATTAAAAAATATAACTAACAACAATGATCTTGATCTGCATGTTGTGATCTTTTTGCTTATTCATTTTAATAATACTCTTTTTCTATCATAAAGTTTTAATAGTCCATCCAATCAATGATATTTAGGTATGTTGGTACCTTATTGATACATGGGTACTATTCTCAGAGACTGCAAAGTCTCATTATTATTATTCAAAAAACAATAAATAAATAAAATAGTATTTTTTAAAAGAGAAAAACCAATGAACGTCAATGGAATATGTTTTACTACTATACAGTGTTTTTTCTAAATATAGATTTTCATTATTATTAATTGTTTTTCATCACTCACACCCACCCACAACATACATAATATATTTTTTTTAAAAGTAAAAGTAGATTCTTAGTTTACATAAAAATGAATATGAATAGGAAATGTTTAATTAACAATTCGTGGTAAGTAGTCAATAATAATAATAAAATAATAAAGAACAAAGAAGAAAGAAGAAGCATAAGAAGAAAAGAGAAGAAGAGGTAGGTGACTGTACAATCATCATTCATGATATTAGATGATTTGAAATTAGTCATCATATTCATCATCTTGTTACTTGTTTAGGAAACATCTATCATCTTGAATATTATTATTTGCAGGTTGCGCGTAAACAAATCTCGAGATATTTGTGGGTTCGTCGTCGTCATCGAATGCACAGGCTTGAAAACCAGCATGCTCGATGAATCGAGGTCAAGTCGCAAACAAAACAAACCGGTTTTACACTATTTTCAATTAAATATTTTGGGTGTGCACTTGTTTCATAATCATCAATTTCACATAACTCGTGTTTGTTCAAACTAGTTTAGTAAACATACATACATACGTTCACGCTCATTTTATTTTCACACACACATAATAGACTTTCATTCTATACCAAAAAACAAACAAACAGTAGTAATCATCACAAAAGAACAGACAGTAGTAACAGATTAATTTTTACACCTTTATTTAATTTTATATTATCTATCTATCTATTTATCTATTTATTTATTACCTATCTCATTACAGTTATTTATTAAATAAGAAAGAGACAGACAGATTCATTAAAACCCATATTATTTCTCTATTTATTTTATTTGTTTTTAAAAAACAGATTTAGGCATTCATATACATTCATACATATATACATTCATACATTTAAATTAAAATAAACAAAAATGACAACTTCTTCTTCTTCAACACCATCAATTATTCATTATGAAAGAGAGGAAAAGTTAAATAGCCAAGAAGATATGGTGGGTCATCAAATCTCTTATAGATCAGGTTATTTTTGCAATTCAAGAGGTTATAAATTGGTTTGTCAAGAGTGGATACCAGAGAATCCAAAGGGTATCGTATTCATCCTACATGGTTATGGTGACCATGGACAACACATGCTCGCAGACGACGCCAAAGAATTTGCCCGTAAGCAATATGCCTCCTACATATTCGACCAACAGGGACACGGCCTAAGCGAAGGTCTCCCTGCCTTTATCCAAGATTTCGATGATCTCATGGAAGACTCTATTCAATTTATTGACGATATAGCTTCAAGATTCCCAAAACAAAAAAGATTTGTTTATTCGTAATGTATCCAAAAAAAAAACAAACAAAAAGATAATAATAATACTAACTATTCTTTTTAAATTTTAGGAGTTCAATGGGAGGAGCAATTGGATTATTAGTATCATTAAAGAAACCAGAAATATTTAATGGTGGATTAATATTATTGGCACCATTGATAAAGTTGGATGACCATATGGTACCAAATCAAATGATTGTAAATTTATTGACATGGGTGTCTGGTTATTTCCCATCGTTGCCAATTGTACCCGGTGACAATGTCAACGCACTCAATATTAAAGATCCAAAAAAGAGAGCTGAACATGCCAACCATCCCTTGACATACAAGGGACGTGCTAGACTTGGTACAGGGGTTGCCATTCTCAAAGTTACAAGCAAACTTCAACAACAAATGGCCAATGTCAATGTACCTTTGCTCATTCTACATGGCTCCGAAGATAAAGTATCTTCGCCTCTTGTAAGTCAAGAATTATATAAAGTTGCTAAAAGTCAAGATAAATCATTGAAAATATATCCTGGAATGTGGCATAGTTTAACTTCTGAACCTGAAAGTGATGTATGTAGAAATAGAAATAGAAAATAACTATATATTACAACAAAATACTAATATTATTATTATTATTTTATTATTATTTAAATTGAAATAGATTGTTTATGGAGATATAGTACATTGGATGGAAGAGAGATTGTTCACCCAAACACTAATGTCAATCATTACACCAGTACCAGAATCAACTGGTGATGCTAGTTTTTAAAAGTTTAAAAACAAGTTTTAATTCAAATCTAGAGCAGACACACAAAGAGAGCACAGCACTATTATTGCTTAAAAAACAATACTAGTCAAAATAATAATAATAATAATAATATTCCAGCTCTTCCAATATATATATTGGATGGGCATTCATTGTAAATAAACATTTATTTATTCCAAATTTAGGTACCCAAATTTCTAATTCAATCTGAATTTTCCTCCTTCAAGGTCAATCTATTTCAGATAATTTCAGTGCCAAATGGTCATATATAAATATATATATATAGCTGGATAATCCACTGCTTCTACAGTAGTTCTTTGTAAATGTAACTTCAAAATTATTATTTTTATTTTATAGTAAGGTATTCTTTCTTTCTCTCTTATCTTTTTTCCCCAGCCATATTTTAAGAATACTATTAAAATATTTTATTATATTTTACTAGGATTTTATAGGATCCACTTCACCAATGTAGCATCATTTATTTCCTCAATGGATATTTTTTTTTCTACCGTGAAGAAGTTTATTTCTCTTTCGTTGGTTTTCTATTAACAAGTTTATTAAAATTTGTTTGTCCAACTTTGGAGGGAACGCTATGTTATTTTGTATGTTTATACTTTATCACTTATAGGTTGATATAGAATTCCGAACCACAAAGACAGCCAAATAGTTGTGCCAATCTCCATGAAAAGACAACTTTTGTTCGTTAATTTTTAAAAAACTGGAAAACATAAATTAAACGAACGAAAGTTGTCTTTTCATTCTTTGGTTGGCGGTTGTCATTTCATTCGTGTTTGTAATATTATCTCTACCTATATATAAATATACATTCTAGAATAATGGATACAAATACCACAGATGATCAACATCAATTACAACAAGATACTAGTAATAATAATAATAACAACGACGACAACAAACAACAAAGCAATTGTAAAGTAAACGAAGAAGAAGAGGAGAAAACCGAGACAACTACATCTACTACTACTACTACCACTACTACTGGTGATACTAGTAGTAAAGATGTAAAGATGGAGGAGGTCGATAACATTGACATTGTCCAACCAAAGGTTGAACCCTTGGAAACAACTGTGGTAGATACACCAACTACTCATGAAAATGCAACTGTCAAGATGGAAGAGGACACCCTTCAACAAAAGGTCGAACATTTAGAAACACCCACAACAACAACAACTATAGTTGAAGATACTACATCATCTACGACGACTACAGAACCCTCAAAGAAAGAAGAGGAGTCTAGTGGCGACAGTAGTAGTAGCGAAAGAGATAGTGACGATAGCAGCAGCAGTAGTAGTAGTGAAAGTAGTGAAGAAGGTGAGGATAGTGACAGTGATAACGATTTAGATGATATCATTGCACCTCCAAAGATAGTAACACCTCCTACTACCAACAATAATAATAAACAACAACAAAAAAAGAGAAAACAAGATGACGATAGTGACGATGAAGCCAAGTCTAGTAGTAGTTATTCAACAAACAAGGATATTGAATTACCACTTATCGTTAGTATCCCAGAAGACATTCAATTGAACGAACTGGGAACATTACATTCACAAGTTGACGATATGATCGTCATCAAGTCAACCGTTAGCAGATCGGATACATCTGCTTTGGACATTGATTCAATTGTTTGTTTGCAAGATCGAACTGCTTTTGGAAGAATCTATGAAGCTTTTGGTCAAGTATTGAATCCTTACTATAGTGTTCGTGTACCTTCCAATTATAGTATAAATATTGTAAAAAATAATAATAACATAAAGAATACAACAACAACTACAACTACATCAACTACAACAGAAATTAAACCAGAGTCAACTCTGACCAACCCAGAATCATCATCTGTTGTTGCAGAATCAACAACAACAACAACAACACCAACAATCATTAAAGAGGGAGAGGAAATACCAAAAGTAGAAGAAAAAAAGGAAGAAATTCAACAACAACAACCATCATTAGCAGCAGTCAAGATTGAAGAAGTTGATGGAAAGAAAACCATTTCAATTCCACAACATACCAAGGTATTCTTTGTAAACAAACCAGATTTGACAAAGTTTGTCATTCCATCGATGATTTATACCAAGGGATTCGACGCATCCAACGAGAATGATGAAGAGTTGTCAGAGAATGAAATGGAGTTTAGTGATGATGAAAAGGAGAGATTGGCAAAATCAGACAACAAAAAGAAAAAGAGAAAGAATACTAAAAAGAATAATAATAATAATCAAAATAACCGTCAGCGTCAACCTTCAAATGACATGGAAATGATTGCTCAACAACAAGAATTTGAATATAATCCATTAAATAGAGACTCATCTTCTTCTGCGACAACAACAACATCAGTTGCTAAACCTGCTGCTGGTGGTTTTAAAAGACCTGCATTTTTACAAAGAAATCAATTTAATCAAAATAGAAATAATCAAAATAATAATAATACTAATGGAAATGGTGGAATATATCAACCACCAACTCAATATTCTAATAATATTAGACCACCTATTAATAATAATGGACAACCAGGATCATATGTTCAACCAACCAATGAGAATCAGTACCATCAATTGATCCAACAACAATTGACAGGGTCGGCATCTTCAGATCCAGCCATTGCCTATCAACAACAATTGACATCGATGATCAAACAACAACAACAAAGACAACAAGTACAACAACAACAACAAGCACTCCAACAACAACAACAACAAGTTCAACAACAACAACAATTACTCCAACAGCAACAACTTCAATTCCAACAACAACTTTTACAATTCCATCAACAACAAGGTTTGGCAGGAGTTATTCCATCCGCAACAACTGCTCCAATTCCGACCACTATTCCAACTCCAACCACTACATCTACAACTCCAACACCAACAGGCATTCAAGGAGGGTTCCATTTACCTCCATCAACACAATAAATTATATAACATTATTATTTTAATTTTAATGATGTTTATTTTTCCACCATACTCTAAGAATTTTCTCAAGTTCAACCAACCTCGCTGGGCTTTTAAAAAAAAAAAGATGGACTTGTGTTGTGATATTGCAGTTTTGTGTGTATATTATTTTATTAGTTGTTATTTCATCGATTAGAGAGAGAGATATAGATAAATGTTATAAAGATGAGTAATCAAAATGTACAGACAATAGATAATCAATTAAAAGTATTAAACTTGAAAAGAAAGGAAATACCAAAAGATGGAGCTTGTATGGTAAGTATCATTGGTCATTATCATCATCATCATATGACATTGATTAATGTTGTATTTTGAAAATACTATTATAGTTTAGATGTATAAGTGAATTCATATATGGTACACAAGATAGACATGGATATGTTAGACAAAAGTGTGTAGACTTTTTGATGGCACATAGAGATTCATTCGAGCCATTTGCATGTATCAACAACCCTTGGGATAAATACATTCAAGAGATGAAAAAGGATGATACTTGGGGTGGTGAAGTAGAATTACAAGCTTTATCACTTTACTACAAGTATGTAATTTAGTCATTAGATTGAATCATGACAGAGCTGATTCTAATCTATCTTTGTCTTTGTCTCACTGTGTAGAGTAAACTTTGTTATTTATTTAGGAAACTCAACTACAAGAGTTGATAATAGTTACAAGAATACAATATCACTAGCCTATTGTCAAGGTGAACATTATGATATTGTTTATCCAATTGCTCATTTGGAGAATCTCATGGCCGCCCAAACATTGGTCTATCAAATACTCTACGAACGATTACAGATTGAATGTGTTGATGAAATGTTTAATTGGAAGAATAATCCTATTGTTTGGTGGGATGAATTGGTAAAGAGTAAGTTAAAACAAGACTCTCTATTTGTGTTTAATGAAAACAATGATTAATCATTAAATCCTCCTTTCATTTAGTCAAACAAGAAAAGGACAAGAAAATTGTAGATACATTGAAATCAAAGTCAAGAATGTATGTCGATCCAGTTGAAGAATACCAAATGCAACTTAGGAAAAAGAAAAGAGAAGAAGAAGAGAAAAAGAGGAATGAAAAGAAAAATAATAAGAAAAATACTTCTAAAGATTCTCCTCAACAACAATCAAACAAGTCTCCAAATTCTACTTCTACCACTGGTTCGACTAAAACTTCTCCTTCTCAACAATCACCATTACCATCAACACCAACAACAACAACAATGATTGAAAACAGCAATGGTGATGAAGAGATTGATGAAGATTTACAAGAGATTATAAGACAAATCGAGGAACAAGATATGGAAGAACAAAGAAAACTTGGGAGGGAAAAACATTTTCCACAATTGGGAGGTTTTGGTACAACAGCACCTAAACCAATTCCCCAAGTACAAACCACCAATGTTGTTGCTACTGTTGACAACTCTCCAAAACTATCTGTACAACCAGATCTTCCAGCTGGCGAGGTTGTAGTTGACCCTAATCAACCAATAGAGGGATCTATGGCCTGGAAAACAGCTCAATTGTGGGCACAAATTGCTGCTACTTCTCCTCCTCCACCTCTTGTCCAAGAGACTATAACATCAACAACTACAACTACTACTACTACAACAGATGATGTAACTACATCGTCTCAAACACCACCAGATACCGAGTCACAAAATATTAATAATAATAATAATAACAATACTAACCAACAAAATAGAAAACAAAGAAATAGAGGTGGTAGAGGTGGTGGAGGTGGAGGTGGGTCCGATCACCATAATAATAATAATAATAATAATAATAATAATAATAATAATAATAATAGTAGAGGAGGAGGAGGAGGAAGCAATAATAATAGAAATCAAAGAGGAGGAAAAAGAAATAATAATAATAATAATAATAATACTTCACCTTCTGCTACCAACTAATAATAATAATAATACCTCAACTTGTTCAGAATAGAATAAATATTAAAATGTAATATTATTTGATTTTTTTTTTCATTGACATAATAGTAAACTAGTGGGAATGGAGGAATCATTTAATCTATTTACAGTTTCTTTAGTTTAATAATGAATATTTAATAGTTGATGGTTTTGGATGAAATAATAATTTTTCCAAATTGATTGCTGGTTTTTCAATTGTAAGATGAAGAATAAAGGCACAGACAAGTGAGAAAACAATGTTGGAGATGGTAGTGGCAGCAACATCGACAACTGCATAGTGAAAGAGTGTTACTCTACTGTATGCCAATGTCCAAATCACAATCGGATGCACAATATAGGTAGAGTAGGTGAGCTTGGAGAGGTTCTTGAAAATGGGACGCTCTAAAAACCATGCAACAATACCACCACGACCTGCAAACGCGGTGATGATAAATAGACCAGCACCAATAACAAATCCAGTATGTCCAGTAGCATTGAAAAAAGCATTTTGGAGGGTTGACCATCCATCACCAATATACGAATTGTAAGGGATGAATGTAAAAAAAGAGGTGATACCTAGTGCATTGATATAGCAGAGGTAACGAACAGGTGCCTTGTTTTTGATTACATGCATGATGGCTGGTGTGTCAACAATCATTGCCATGGCCAAACCAACTGCATAGGCACCAACTCTTGTCCAAGGCTTTTGATAAATATCGGTTGTAAAGTCGGTGACCTGTTCTTGGAGTTGGGTAATCTCGAAAACTGTGTTGAGTTTATACTTGAGGGTGATCCAGAAATTGGTTGTAAAGGTAATGGCAAAAAGTATAAATACAAAAGCAACTCCAAACTTTTTGTTCTTTTTGTAGAGGACTGCGGCGATAGGAGCGACAAAGATATAGTAGATCATATCGTTACCTAAATACCAGCTCCATCCCATACAGCCAGTTTGTGGGTACAAAGTGTTGATGTACAAGAGGTTGGACCACCAGGAACCTTCACAACTAGACGTCTGGCTATAATAACCAAACCACCATGGACCAGAACCAATTTGAGGACTGAGCTTCCAAAAGAAAAACAACATGAAAAAGTAGAGTGGCGAGAGACGGATATATCGATGTACAATGTATTTTAACCAAAACTTGTATTTTGGTCCATCAATGTAAGTTGCTTTTTCGAGTTGTTGCAACAAGGTGTGACACACCAAGAAGCCAGACAACATGAAAAAGATATCAACCGAGAATTCTGCAGCACCAATTAATTGGAATGGAATAGATGGGACGATATTGACCAAGACAGTTTGTAAATTGTCAAATCCAAAATTTATGTTGAATAGAATATTGTGACCAATGACAACCCAACAGGTACCAAGTAAACGGATGCCATCCAACACATCAAAATGTTTCTTGTCAGAGGACGAGGTTGTGAAACTATGGTAGTTTTGGATCAACGAGAATGCCAATAGTATTTGGAGTGGTGTGGAGGCCTCTTTCATTTCTCCTTGGTAGCTGCTATAGTTGATGGAAGAGTTGTGTTCTTTCTCTTGTTTGGATTGGTTCCTTTCCCAATCGTTTCTGTTGCTACTGATACGGTATGATTCAGTGTCTTGGTTCTTTTTAGATAGTGCCTTGTGTGTATAGAGAAAGTATTCGGCAAGTGTACCAGCACACACAAAGGCGGCGATAATAGAACACAAGATAATCATTACAATTGGACCAGCAGTCATTGGTAACTTGTCAGTAAGATGATCACCAGAATAACAATAGATTTCAAACTCTCCTCCAAGTCCAGTTTCGTTCAAGTAAGGGGCCATACCAGTCATATTGATCAATGTTTGTAATGCCATATTAATGTCAGTCTCTGAGCATGAAGAGGGAAGACATAATGCAGCCAATGCAGTAACAAATCCATTATCAGTGGTCACTGCACAATATTGTGAAACATTGCTTGGTAAACTTAAACAATTATCATAGTTTCCAAGATCAAAAAATCCTTTTCCACTTGCTTCAATTACTAAATTAAATAAGATATAAATATGGATTAATTCATTCCATATCCATTCAATGATTTATTTAATTTATACATACTTTCAAATGAACTTGGATACTTTAGTTTTGATAAATCATATAAATCTGTTTCACATTGTGGTGATATAGACGCAGATGATGACGATGAACCACCAATCTGTTGTTGTTCAAATATTGAATCATTTGTTAATGATTGTATGCTAAAAGAAGCTCCAGATGCAATCGATTGTTTGGTAAAACCAACAAGTTTATGTAGGTCTGGAATAGATACTCTTGCTTCCACAACAATTGCAAATACTAAAACAACTATTGTTACAATAGTTATCATTCGATTTAATCTCACCATCTTCTTTTTTTTTGTTGAAAGCAAATAGAATAATATATAACTCTTAACAAATAGAATGATGATTTATAAATGGTTGGAGATGATGATCATCTCTCTAATTTCATCTTTGAAGTACAAGAGAGGAGGACGAATAGAATACTCGTACATATCGTCATGAGGAAACAACATCACAACTTCACACCTCGATGAAAATATTGAAAAAATATCTATATCTATCTAATTTGGAGATATTAAATTTGCCCACCTGTACTGTTTGTATTAATATCTTTCTTTTCTTTAACTTTTATTCCTTTCATTTTAATTGATTGTAAAGTTACAAAGTGGACAATTTGACTTGTGAGAAGTGGAGAACCATCTAAATAGACAACCACTGTGGAATTTGTTTTTACACTGTTTGCATTGGAACTTGGGTATGGTCCCATTAAAGAATAGGGAATAACAAATGGGACAAACCTCTACACCATCAAAATGTTTGTCAAGACTTGCCTTCCACAATAGACTGACATCAAGAACCGATCCATCTTGTGTCAAGAGTAAGGAGGTCATGGACAAGAGCCATGTTTTCCATTGCATTTCACTGACACCAACACGTTTGGCAAAGTCTACAGACAAGACACGTAGTGGATAAGTGTCGGGGATGGAGAGTACCAATGAAATGTTCATATCCTCCTTTTCATAAGAGGCAACCACCTCTCTTTTGGCAAGTGATGCCTTAATGTTGAATATAGAGCCTGCTGGTTCGACGTGTTGTTGGACAAGAGCAATTTCACGACGCAACAAGAGTGGACTAATATATTTTACAATATATTGATCTACTTGGGCGGCAACCTTGTTGCTACAGAAATCACCCCACCATGTTCTAGCCATACTTGGTAGATTACGAACGACCACATACATCAAATAACCACAAATCACACTGATGTCCATATCTTCATTGTCCAATGGGAATTCGTCATGTTTAAAATCTTTGGTTTCAGTATCCACCTTTTTGAAAATACTAGTTAAAAAGGTTGCAACCTTTCTACCATTATTTAAATAGGAACTAATAGTTGGTCTCTTGTTTAATTCTTGTTCATTATAATTTTTTAATAATAAATCCCATATCATTAAATGTCCAATTGAAATCTAAAAAAAAAGGAAAAGAATGGAAAGTTAATAAAATATATATATTTTTTTGTTTTTTTTTTTTAATTACATTTTTTTCAATATTATCAAAATTTAAAAGTAAATTTTCCAGAGTACCATTTATAATAAATTCAATATCATCTTGATCTTGTTGTTCCAATACATAAGTTTGAATGATTTCTGATTTTTTGTTTTCAAAATAAGGAACCAACAAGAGATAGGATGATTTTTGTATATTGTGATGATTGGATGAGAGCATTTCCAAAAGTGAAGTAAAATGATTACTTGCCAACTTGTATTTGATGATTGGATCAATCTTTGAAATTACAATACTATATAGATTATATAGTCTTTTCAAACTATTTCTATTGATTGTATTGGAACCATCAATCCATTTTTCAATCAATTTTGATGTAATATCGATTAAAAATTCTTGACTTGTATTTGGTAAAAGCAAGGATTGATTATTTGAACCAGAGAGGATAATATTGATAAATTTCAAAGCATTATAATTTAATACAATGGATTGATCCAAGACGAATTGAACCAACAATGATTGAACCAATTGTGATTGATTTGGTGAAAGATTGATGTTTTTAGATACTGCATATTGACCAACAACGATAAAGAATTGGGAGAGGGGAACGTCTAGACGAGAGAAATTGACATTTTGATCCTTCATCAGTGGTGATTTGGATCTTAGGTACCATTGTTGAATTGTTGATAGGGTTTCTATTAAAATGTCACCTTGTTTGTCTGAAATTGGATTTTCAGAGTCTGATTGAACGATAAATGACAATAATGAAAGTTTAATACCAACACTATCAATATCATTTGGCATAGAGTTTCCACTCCATTGTCCAATAGTATCAAAAAGTTCTTGTCTTTTTGTTTCTACCAATTGTGGTTTATATTCAATTAAATATTCCATCATTACTTGAGTTAATTGATAATTATTATCATTTGTTGTTGTAAAATTGAATTCTTCCAATACTGATTGTATAATAGATTCTTTTCTTTCTCTTACAACTGATAATATATTACCAATAATAATTGTATAAATTGGATATTTATCAGATTTTGATTTTATATTTTTCCACCATTCACTTGATAAAAATGAAGAGGAGGTAGAGGAGGAATTTTGGTTGATTATAATATTGATTAAATTTGATTTAAAGGATTGATAATGTTTTGAAAGGATGATTAAATTTTCAGTTTGAATATTATCACAATCCAATAATACCAATCCAATTAATAATGATTCTACCAATTGATTATCAAATTTGATTGTAACCTTTTCTTCTTCTTCTTGTTGTAAAAGATTTTCCAATACATTAAATAAATAAAGATTTAATGTAATAAATCTATTATCCAATTTATATGAATCTGATTGTTTGGTAAAACCAAAATCAAGATTATTAATTTGAATATTAATTTCTTTAAATGAATCAAATTGAATTTGATAACATTTTAAAAATTCTAATATATTCAAATTTAAATCACCAATCTTTAATAATTTAATTGTAATTGTTTTAAAAAATTCAATCCTAAGAATAAAAAAAATAAGTATTTTGGTTTTAGTTTTTTGTTATTATTATTATTTACATACAAAGGATTATTTAAAATATTTAATTGATTAAATAAAATTGAAATGATTGATTGAATACCATTGTTGGAATGTATACAATCTAAACATTCTAATAAATTGGTTGAATATTTTTTGGTATTTTCATGATGATATAATTGAATAATCGATTTGATCAATTCTCCTAATAATTCAATCTTGCAATCAATCTGATCACGATTTGATGAAAAGATAATCTTGCAAGTTGAAATTAAATCATCCATTGAAAATTCAAAATCTTCTCCATTCAATGCCAACATTATCATCAATTCTTTAATTTGTTTTGTTTTACTTTGAATGATTAATTTAATTATATTATTTGAAATAATTGGTGAATCTAATAAAAAAATAGAAAAAAAAAGGAATTAATAATTAAAAGAGAAAATAATAATAATTTTTTCTTTTTCTTTTTGTTTCTTACAATTATTATTTTTTGTAAAATAGTTGAAAAGAGTGAAAGATTGTTATTATAAATTGGTTGATATAAAATAGTTGAATCAATTAAATTTAAAACTAATTGATCAAGTGATAAAGTATTTAAACCGGTACGATCATCAAGTGAGTCAATTGTTTTGACAAGATAAATTAAATCATCTTGTTGCACTGAAAGTAATTGTACCAATCTATTCCAAGATTCTTGATAATTTTCATTTCCATTTCCATTTACAATGGTTGTATATAATGTTAATAAATTAAATATACTAGACTTCTCATGACTTGGTAATTTAATTTCAATATTTTTTAATATTATATTATTTAAAAATTCTTTAATATCTAAAAAAAAAAGAAAAAATATTAATAAATAAATAAATTACTTTTCTTTTTATCTTTTTTTTTGTTTTTTCTATTTACCTTTAATTTCAGAATGTAATAAATTTTCAACATTAAAATTTAATAATAAAATGGAAAGAATTTCAAAAATACAATCTTGAGATTCGGTAGTGTCGAGTTGATTAAAAGAATAATGGAATAATTCTTTAGACATTTGAATGGTTGGTCCAAGTGAACTAGTAGATTGGAAAAATATTGATAATCTAGAGCACAGTGTTTTGTTTGTAATACGATCAGTAGTGTCTTTAGAGATGATAGATTGTTGAGTTTGTTTGGTTAATTGATCAAATAGATTGACCAAATTATCGGCGCAAGTTGGAATGGTATCAATTTTAATCAAAGTTGAAGTGATCACCTTTAAAGCTAAAGATTCTGTAAATAATAATTGTTCCTTTCCAAAAATCTCCAATACCAATTCAGAGAATAATCCAAATACATAATTTTTAATTTCATTATTATTTGACCATTTTCTAAAAAAAAAATTTGAAACAAAATAAATAAATATATATTTTCTTTTATCATTTCTCTCTTTTCTTTCTTTTTTTTTCCATACTTTAAAGTAAAATAAATACATTCAACATAACAAGATAATAAAGAATTTGTTGGACGATCATTATATTGTTTAGTATTTTCCAAAACTTCCAAACCCTTGTACAAAGCAGAAAAGAATTCTTTAAAGAATTCTGGTCCAGTACCAATAACACCATCTGGAATCAATGATAAAAATGGTAAAATCGATGGATAAGAAAGATCAAAACTACCAAAAGTTCCTGCTCTTAAAAATGCCCAAAATCTTGGTAAAACATGTTTTCTAACATCAACTCCTATCCATGCTTGTTCTTTATATTCTAAATAAATAAATAAATAATTAGTTCTTTTCTCTTTTTTTGTTTTTTTTTTTTTGTTTTCTTTTTACTTTTTAAAAAAGAAATGATAGCATTCCACATGAATAAATGAGCAGAAGGATCCTTTTCAGAAAATAAACCAAGGATTTTAGTTGATAAATCCTTCATATTGGCTTCACAATAGGAAGGAAGAGTTGAAACGAGACCACTGATTAAACGATAACATGTTCTTCTAATGACAACACTCTTTGATGAAAGAAATGTAAAAAATTGTGATTCAAATATTGGTTGATAAATTGTTTGAATTGACTGATTATTGCTTGATTCATTATTACTATTATCTTTTGTTTTTTCCATTAAATATTCAATAGCCAATAAACTATTTGAAATTAATCTTTCATAACGTTCTTGAAGTACTTCTGGTGGAGTAGCCTTTCCATCACCAAGAGTATTGACATTTTCTTGTAAATTCTCGCATAGATATTGAATGGCTTGTTCTTGACCAAAGAGTAATACGTCTCGTCTCTTTTTCTCTGGAAAGATTGATTCAAATGCACGAAGGGCACTATTTTGTTGTTGATCACGTTGATCGCAAATACCAACCACCCAAGGACCCAAAAGTTGACGTACATGTGGTGCCAACAACTTGCCAACCTTGGCACCCATAATCTCGAGACACACAAACGTCATCTCTCTCACTCTTCTATGATCATCGTTTACCAATCTCTTGAATATCAACTCCCATGCACAAAGCAATGACTTGTTTGATTGTTCATTCTGTACATCAATCTTTGAAAAAAGTAATGCCAATTCTTCCAATGCTTTCATTCTACTAACTTCATCTTTTTTTTGTAATTTCTTAAATTGTACTTGATATTCTGAATCTATTTGCTAAAATAAAACAAAATAGATATAAAGAGAATGAATAAGAAAGAGCATTACTATCTATTTCATTTCTTTCAACTTACAAACTCTGTATCTATAGCATTACTAAGACTTGAAGTAAACGCTGAAAAGCCTAGAAATCCTCCACTATTTGATGCTGCTTCCCAACTATTTGCTCCTTTTGCTTTTGTATTCTTTCCTTTATCTTTACCCATTCTCTGATTTCTCTTTTTGTTAAAGATAGATAGAAATTATATATCTCTATATTGTGTGTGAAGGAAAACTAAACTAGTGAACTGAACACTATGTTTTTAAAAAACTATTACCACGATTTTTAGAAGTTCGTGAGAATAAATGCAGAAAAAATATTTTTTAAATTTATATTTATTTATTTTATTTCTATGTTGTTTAAATATTATTTGTTTATTCATCTCTTGGATAAGAATAATTAATTTTAATTAAATGAGAATCCAAATCCATTTTACTTGCGATTGGTTCCCAATAATCCAATTGTTTGGTCATTGAATCAATCTTTGCTCTTGCCAATTTAAAAGCATCGGCTCCTACAAATAGTTGTTTTGGTACTTTATCAGTTTCTTGAATGTTGGCAATTTGTACAATCAATTCTGAGTATTTCTTTGAGTCTCCCATATGATTAAAACAACCCATACTGGTAAAGTAGTCATGAGCTAGTTTTGGACATTCAGCATAGGCTTCATTTGGTTGAGATGGTACTTTACAATGATCGGTCGACAGGAAGCTGGTTTGAAATGCTCCCGGTGATATTAAAGAAACTCTAACTCCAAAGATTTTCATCTCTTCTGCATAACATTCTGTCATTCCATCAATTGCATGTTTAGTTGCTGCATAACTTGACCATCCTGGGAATGGATTTGTAAATCCTGCTACTGATGATACCTATTAATGAAATATAGGTATTAATATTAATATTTAATTGAATTAATCATTATTTTCTATCTCTTCTTCTTCTTCTTCTTCTTTCATACATTAAAAACATGACCAGATTTTTGGCTTCTAAGGATTGGTGAGACGTGTCTTAGAACATTGACAGTACCATAATAATTGACAAGGAAATTTGATTGGATTTCTTGATTGGTTAATTCTTCAACTGTACCAAGTTGACAATAGGCAGCATTATTTACAACAAAGTCAATTCTTCCAAAATATTTCATAACAGAGTCTATTGATGATTTGATTTCTTTTTCATTGGTAATATCCATTTGGACGCCAAGGAATTGTTTGCTGTCTGGACCCAATTCCTTTTCCAATTCACTTTTGTATCTTGATGTTGATGCTACTCGATAGCCCTTTTCCAACAAGTGTTGGCTCAATGCCAACCCCAATCCTTTTGAACATCCAGTTATAAACCAAACTTTTGATAATTCTTCTTGATCTTCTGATGGCATCATTCTTGAAACGAAAAAGGAAAATTTGATTAATTAATATAAAAAGTAACAATTGGTTAAATATATTTATAGATAAATTAATTTAATTGATTGATGGATTGATGAAATGGTTTTCTATATATACAAGATATAAATATTGATGATTAATTGTTTTTTTTTTTTGGTATTTGAAATGATCAAATTTATCAATTTCCTTGATGATAATAAAATGATTCTATAAAAGGGTAATCCTCCCCCCAATCAACAACATTGCACTCTCTTTTAATGGGTTGGAATGAGACCTAAAGTAAAAAAAAAAAATGTGATTTAAATCTTGAGATTCTCCAAGGGTATGAATGCGCCCAATATCTATCCAAAATCATTGTCATACATATTCATTTTCTTGTTTTGGAAGCGAGATTAAAGATTAAACATTAATATGGTGGTATTGGATATACGCACAAGTTATTTGTTATTTTAATTTCACACTTGTTACATCCAATCAATCTCCTTGCTTCCCCCAAATTGATTAATTCGACAATGATAATAGCAATTATCATCAGTGTCAATGAAAAAAATTAACATCAATGATAGAGATATAATTTGATGGGTGGGAGTGTGGGGGTTTTTTTTGATATTGTCATCAATGCCAAAATATACACCGATCGCACCATTGTTGTTCAACACTTGACTAATTTTTTGTTTCCATTTAGGGTGATATTATTATTATTCTTTTTTTTTTTAAAAAGGAGATAATTTAAATTAATTTAATTTTACCTATATATATATAAATTTTTAGTTTATGGCAAAAGTTGGTAATATTGTGATTGTTGTTGTGGTATTGTTGATTTTTTTTTTAACTTGAAGCCAATCTATTATAGTATGAAGTAACCGGATTATATTCTTTCAAGAATAATGTAGAAATATTTCTTTCCAAGTATCTAAAAAATGAATAATAATAGGTTAATTAATTAATTTAAATATACACATATTTTATAAAATCAAAACACATTGGTGGGGTGAAAATGATATGATTGATTTACGCGCGCGCGAGTGGGGTGTGTAAGAGTACGGGTACGTGTACCGCACATGTCAATTGAGAGAGTGACAGTTGTTGGATTGTGAGAGATGGGGGTGTAATTCTAATTAATCGATTACGATTAGTTTGTTTTTAATCGCTTGTTCCTTTTAGATGGTCATCAATCAAAAATACAAATATAATATAATGATAAAATTATAAAAGCAAGGATGTTGTCATCTAGCCAGTAGGAATTAAAAAAAGACACTAAACAAAAATAAAATTTATAATATTATAAATATAATTCCTCTGTTGATTGATACATACTTGACAATTTCATCGATGGTTTTAGTTAAAATGATTACAGTTTCTGGGATCATTTCTGATATTGATATAAATTCCGGTAGCTTAACTATTGTACATTTAAAAAAAAAAAAAGGTTAGGGTAGGGTTAGGGTAACAGATTGCTCTCTTTTTGACACCAATCACAGATGATTGTCTGTCACTACTATAGTAGTAGTAGTAGTCAAAAGTTATACATACCAAATAATCTTAATAAATGCTCTGCACCATATATTTCCGAGAGAGGTTTATCGGGATGATTCTTGAGAATATCACTGTACTGAGGTCTCTCAAACTTGTATAATAGTTGACACCCCAATGCTTTGTTGAAATAACTGATCACTCCTTCAACTATTAATCTTGTTTCAACATTGTTACTAGATAGATTAAAAAAAATTAGATAAGTTGATCGTTTGATCATTGTTATTATCGACTGTTGTGTTACATACTTGTTATTATTTACAAAATCGTCTAATAAAGTTTTAATAGATGGGTTTCTTGGTAGTGATACAATCTATTAATATAAAGAGACAAAGATAGATAGATCGAGAAAGAGAGAGATGAGGATCAAAGGGTTAATAAATTTGATTGTTCTTGTTTTTTTTAATCTTTGATACCCAACTGATTTATCGTTTGTAATGAAATTCCAATCATCTACTAGTATCTTTTTTAAAACCTCTGGTATCTCTATGTTTATATTTGATGGTATCTCTCTTTTTCTTTTATGATGTGATGATGATGACGACGATGACGATGAAGCGGTACTAGTACTAGTTGTTGTTGTTGTTGTTGTTGAAGTAGTAGATGTTGATTCATCTCCTCCAGCAGCAGTACTGCTACTATTACCATTCTTTGATTTTTTCTTTGAGGTTAATGGGACGATGGGTGGACCCGGTGGACCTAACCTTGTTCTACCTCGTATAGATACCATCAATTCAACATTTTGTTCATTATATTTTAGTAATCTTGATTGTTCTACCCATTCATTCCATCTTTTTTTTTTTAAACAAATGATCATCATAATGTTAACAAAAGTATACTATATACAAAGAGGAGTATGTATCATTTCTTACTTTTCATTCCAACCAAGATAATGTATAAAGTAGTAATGGTATTTCTTAGGATCACTTGATTTCTTTGGATCTACTTTATATTCATGTTTAAGAACCTAAGAAAAAGACAAATAAACAAGTTAATCATCTTGAGATAGATTATAATCATTGTGCAAAAATTACTATTTACTTACCTTTGCTTCATAGATTGTATTTTGATGATGTACTAATACCTTTTCATTCTCTTGATATAATGGCGTCTTGTCTTCGTTTGACATGATATGTGATGATTGTCGAATAATTGATCAATGTCTGTAAGTAGTAGTAGTATCCGATCCAACAACAAATGAACTTGAAAAGTATTGGATTTTGGATATTAAAAAAAAAATAAAAAATAAAAAAAAGGTTAATAAATTTGATAAAAAAAAAAGTTTAGTATATTCTTTCTAAAGTTTTTATCTTTTATTAAGATTTTATTACTTTTATATACAGAATTTGGATGGTTCAAAATAATTTAAAAGGGCATTTATTTTTTTTAAAATGTTTTTATTTTATTTTTTTGTTTTTTTTTTTTTGAACCCAATGAGAATGTGTGACACAAAAAGACGAAAACCGAGTCATTTTTTTTAATCATCTTCAACTTCAACTTGTAAGTTTTCATACTAAAGAAGAAAAGGATGATATATTTGTACAAAGTGACCAAGATGATGACCAAATTTATCTACATTGCCTGACGATATCTCTGAAAGACAATTATTACAAATACCGACTGATTCCGTCACTACAAATCAAATTTATTATCCTTATTCCTTTTTTTATACTTTTTTTAATAACATAATAACTAACTTTTATTTTCTTTCTTACCTTACTTTTTAATCAGATACCAACCTTAAAGATCATAATGATGAATAACAATATAAATAAAATTATAGTTTTTAAAAACAAAAAAAAAAAAAGAAATCATATTCATTTCAAATTTGATTTATATTTATTTAATTTATATTGTTAAAGAAAATGTTTTTTTAAAGAATGGAGAAGGATCAAAATTAAAATCCAAAGTGAAACCAGAAGAAACGATTCTAGCGATAGTGTAAAACGAGATTGTACACAAAAAGACAAGGAATAGGATGAACAGACCAATTTGTAGTTTGACCAATCCTCTTACAACTGGTGATCGACTCTTCCAATATTGAAGAGAAAGTATCCAAAGACAAAAGATACAGAATCCAGAGAATAACAACAAGAGACATTCCTTTAATTCTCTTTCCATTCTTTTTTTTTCCATCAACTTTTTCTTTTCAGTGATAAAGAGGTATGGATCGATATCGTTTGAAGAGGGGAGAAGGAAATCATCTTCATCTTCATATTGGTCATCCCCTTCCAATTGATATCCACCACCACCACCACTATTCACTATCGATGATGATGACCTTGGTACTTGTTGTTCTTGTTCTCGTTGATCCAACCACATATTATAATCATTTGATGCTGAATATAAATCATCCATTCCTATCTCTCTCTCTAAATATAAATATATATATCTCTATATTTTTCGTGTGATTATGATGATGTCTCTTTCTTTGACCACACATATATATACATTTTCCTTTTTAAATATATATAAAATATTTTTTAAATAAAACAAGAGTTGTTTGTTGTTGTTGTTGTTAACCTGTGGTTGATGGTGTTTGTTTGTTGTTTTTATTATATTATTATATTTTAAAATGTACATTATTATTATTATTATATTTTGTTTTTTTTTAAAGGGAAATAATAGTATCCAATAGATCTAATATAAAACAAACTTGAGAATCAAAATCGATAGCTTCGAAATGTGGAATATGAACAAATAATGATTTACACTTGTATCTCTGTGATAGACACAACGATGAGAAATAGATATAGTTGCAAATGAATCTACCTGGATCCGTTGATTCTTGCACTTTGTGCTTCTTGCCGGCAAGACTATTGACAAGTTGATTGGTAGGTAGATTCGTTTCAATAGAGTTGTGAATTTGACATGTATCATTGATTGCTTCATTTAAAGCTGTCCATCCTGCTTCATCTGGATTTGCAAAGTTTGCACCTAACAGTAAATAATTATATAATTATAATTAGTTTATACACTCTGATTTATATTGTACAAATTATTTATATGTATGTTCTCTATCTTACAATTCCAACCAAATCTTTCAATATTCAATTCTTTAGCTAATCCAGAGACACCCAAATGTAATAGTACTATATTATCTTGATGATCATCAGCATCAGTTGTATTATTATTGTTATTATTATTATTATTCACTTTTAATACATTTGTTTCAATGTCTTGAAGATATTTGTTAACAGCTTGAGCTGATACCTCCAAGATATCAGTCTTTACTACTTCAAAGTTCTTTGTCTGTGTGAAATAACAATGTATCAATAATGTGTATTATTATGATCATCACGATGCTTTGTCTTTAGATAGTTACAGTATTCAAAGTATGTAATGACTTTTGTAAATGATTGATCAAATGAGTTGAAGGATTGTCAACTACATTTGCAAATTTACCAAACCCTGTGATTATAAACTTGGTCTTTCTTGTTGTTGTTGTTGTTGACATGTTATAACAATTGTGTTCAAAAATATATTATCAAGTGTCTCTTTTGTCAGACTGGTCAACCCCCTTCGTATTGAATTCGTTATTGATACTCAGATTTTTGGCGGTCAATGCAATTAATATTATTCATTCAACCTTTAATATTGTCAGAAAAGAGTAGATAATGTATATATATATTATGTGTGCAATTTCTATCGATACAGATATTATATGAAATTTCACAAAACAATTTCTGTGTATTTATTTATGTGTGTGAATTCCAAGAGATAAAGCATAAAAAAATGATTTGATTGATGGGAAGATCAGAGTACCCACACATCGAATAGATTGGTGTTGATTTGTAAGTGAATGAATGCCCTCCCCCAGTTAACCAGTAAATTTCAAAGTTTTAGCAAAGCTCACGTGAAGTTACCAATCGTCAATCAAAAGTCAATAGTGTGGTTGATCATCCTTGAACTTTACACAAGAATAGTAATTCATTCAATGCCATATTTGTTATGATCACTTAATTTTATCTCCTTGATGCAAATTTGAATCGACCCTACTTCTTCCAATCTAATCATTTTACAAGAGTTATCCTTTCTTCGATTAATTCTATTAATAATTTCATGGATCACCATCATTTTTTGGAAATTCAATTGTAAAAAGAAAGGTATAAATACAAGACTCCTCCTTCCAAGTCCAATTTCAAATCATCAAATCAATTCATTCAATCAATCAAATAATATTCAATCTAATCAAATTATTCAATTAATCTAATCAATCAAATCAAATTTTAAAGTTTGTATATTTTCAAACTAATATTAAATTAAATCCATCCACTGGAACCTTTGTTAATTTTTTTCTTTTTCTTTTTCTTTTTCTTTTTTAGAAATGGAAGCAAAGTTTTTAATTCTCTTGGTCTTGTTCTTGTTTGCCCTTTTGGGATCTCTTAATGTAGCTTATGGAATGCCATGTTGTTCATCATGCAAGGAGAATGATTTCAGATGCCAAAACCGTTGTTCTGATGGTTGCTAATTGTTGGGGTCTTTAGATCAACAATTGGGACTACCCAGTCCCCCTACCTACAACTTGATCATTATTTTTAAAACATCATATGTAAAGAGCAAATTACTTATGCAAATAAATAAATAAATAAATAAATGTTTGGCCAAACACAACTTTATTATTAGATTAGTTGTCTTTTTTAGCTTGATAAATAAATATTCATTCTATCTATTGTTCTATTCCTTTTTGATTCCATTTAATAACATGCTAACCAAATTTTGAATAAAAGGTTCAGAGTCGGTTTTGAATGATGATAATCCATTTTGTTTTGTTGTTGTTGTTGTTGTTGGTGTTGTTGTATTATAATCAATGATTGGTTCAGTTATAATTGAAGTAGTTGAAGGAGGAGGAGGATGGGAATGATTATTATTATTATTATTAATATTAATATCAATATTATTAATTTGATTAATATTGTTATTATTATTATTAATTTGAATAGTTTCGGTAGTTGGTTGTTGTTGATCATTAATAAATCGTTTACATTGTTTGCAAATTGTATTATTTTTAATAAATAATAAAGTTGATAGAGCGATTGGATTTGTATTACAAATCTGTTGGTGATCCAAGTTTGTACAGGTTCTTGTCGATGCTGAAAAGAGAGAAAGAGGAGGAGGACGTTGTGGAGTAGGAGTCAAGGGTATTTTAATAGTAAGAGGTTTGCTATTATTGGAGGGATGATTATGAACTCCTTGATAGATAATCAATTCAATATAACGATTGTTATCGTGATTGATTGGATAGTGTTGAACCAATTTGATACATTCACAATCAGTGACACTACAATTGTATTGGTACTTTGTAAAGTTGATACCATCGGCTTTAGTACTACCCATTCGATTCCAAGAATATGGTAGTTGTTGTTTCGAAGAAGCGATTGTAACCAAGTTGTCTACTACGTTAGTATCACTAAACACTTCTTTCATTGTAAATGGAGGTTGATGATATTTGTTCCAAATTAAACATTGGTGACATTGTGTTGATGTCTGAGAATCTGTCTCTAAACCATTAGTACTATTGTTGTTGTTGTTGTTGACAGGAATTCCCAAAGGAGAGTAAGCCCAAAGTTTTTGGTGATCTGGATTACAACAATCCATTTTAGTAGTTTCCAATCGTGGTGTTGAATTCAATTTTGGTATTGTTATTGTTGTTTTCAATAAAGATAAAGATGGATCATCTTCATCATCATCATCATCTTCTTTAATCTTTTTTGTCTTTGTTTCCATGATTGATGATTGTTGTTGTTTAGTGACCAATTTTCTTTTGAGTAGTAATCCATGATAACATTCCTTTTCACTTTCACTATTAGTAGTAGTAGCGGTCGTAGTAGTAGTGGTAGTAGTAGCTTTTTCATCACTACTAACATCACTACCATCACTACTACCTTCACTATCACTATAACTACTGCTATCATCACTATCACTATCACTATCACTTTCACTTTCACTATCTCCACTACTGTCACTGTCATCACTATCACTACTTTTATTATTATTAGTATTATTATTATTATTATTATTATTATTATTATTATTATTATTATTATTATTATTATTATTATTATTATTCCTTCTAGTTCTATTTCTAGTTATAAGACTATTGTATTCACTATGTGATTTTAAATCAATGCAAATCTTGCAAGATTTAGGACAGTCTCTATGTGATTGAAGACAATTTACATGTTTGGTGCCGAGGTAGGTTCTTTTGCAGCCTTGATGAGGACAAGCCTTCCCTTCTTTAACGGAAAATCGAGCACATCCAGGACACTCGATAGAGGGATCTATTCGTTCGCATGGCTTGCTGTGGTAGTCACTGTCATGCTTGATTCTTCCTCGTCTTGACCTAAACGCAAAGACATGTACACCATCTATACATTGATTCTTGAATGTCTTGCATTGTAAATGTAAACAAAGTAACAACTCGTTTAAACGGTCCGAAGGTTTTGAACTTTGACGACCAGAACTACGAGGATAACGAAGACCACTACTGCTTCTACTTCTACTTCTCCTACTATTATTATTACTACTACTATTACTATTCATTTACAACGAAACTAAATCATCATCATCATCATCGTTGTTAATAATAGAATAAAGAAACTAAAACAAAAGAAGAAGAAAAGTGAGTGAGTGAGTGGAATGGCGAGTGAGTGTAGACACAGGAGGAGGAGGAGGGAAAGGAGGAGGGGGGACTAAATTCCTAAGTACCTTTGATTCGAACTGAAACCTCAAAATAAAATTGTGTGATTTCTCTCAACGAGAAAGTAATATATTTTAATTTAAAAAAAAAAACATTAAATTAAATTATTTATTATTATTTATTTATTTACTATTTAAATAACTTTGTTAAATTCCTTAAATAGTTTATAGTTGAAAAATGATTTAAATTAGTTCCTATATAATAGCCAAGGTTAGGGTTACTTCTACTACTACTACTAGTATTATTATTAAAAGTAGAATAATTATTTTTTAAAATTCTATCAAAATCAATAACTTCCTTTGAAACTGATTTACTACTATTTTTCCTACTACTATTATTATTATTATTATTATTATTATTATTATTTCTTCTATTATTATTATTTTGATTATTATTTTGTTTTTTCTTTTTTTCAAAATGATCCCTTGATTCAACAATAAAGGAATTTGATTCTTTTTGTTGTTGTCTAGTTGATTTTAAACGACTAGCAAGTAGGTTATGAGTTTCTTGAAAATTTGGAATCTCTTCATTATCCTCCAATCCCTCTAAAAGTTGTGATGGTAGTGGTACTTTTAATTTTTGTTGTTGTTGTTGTTGACCTTTTCCTTTTCCTTTTCTTTCTTCTTGTTTTCTTTCACCAAGTTGATGTTGTTGTTGTTGTTTACTTTCTTTTACTTTTTCTTTTACTTTTTGTTCTCTTTTTAATAATGATATTGGTTTTCTAAATGTTGTTTTTTCTGGTTTTTGTTTCTTTGGAAATAGTTTTGAAACATAATCTATCAATGGATATTCTGGTTCCATTAAATGTGAAATCTAAAATAGTTATTTTTTGAAAAAAAAAAGAAAATTATTAAAATTAGAACCAAAAATACTTTATATCTTTTTAAATATTTACTCTATAGTAGTGATAATAATAATATATAAATGGTTATTCCCTCAATTTCTCCCTCGTTTTTTTTTAAATCTTTATACAATATGTTAATTTTCCTTTTCCTTTTCTTTTTCATTTTCTTTATCATCATTATCAATTTGTTTTCTTTTTTGTTGTTTTTGTTGTTGTTGTTGTTGTTGCTTTTGTTTAGCTCCTACCTTTTTAGGAATGACAGAAGTAGAGACTGTATCATTACGTTCTTGGATATCTTTGAGTCTTTCGAATTCGGCTAGAGTGTTGGCAGGCTGGATCAAGCTTTCGAGAAGTGGGTATTGGAAGGGAGCGACTTGTAAGAGATCAAAGGCAAGTCCGAATCGCGCGCGTTGATTTTGTTCGAGTTGAGGCATCTTGGGATAACGTTGACTGAAATGAGTGAGGATGGTAAACTTGGCACCCATGTCTTTTCCAACCTTGAGTGCTTCACCAACGGTGCTGTGACGTTTCTTGATGGCCTCTTCCCACAAGTCATCCGACATGGTTGCTTCGTGCAAGAGTACGTCTGACGATTTACCCTCTGAAGCCAACAACGGACATGGACGGGTATCGCCTGAATAAGTAAACTTGAAGCCATTCTTGAGTGTGACGACAATACCAAACGCCTTGTAACAATGGATCACAGGCACATTGATAATCTCGACAATACCCAGATCGATTAAAGCAGGCTTGAGTGTCTTGATTTCATTGGCCATACGATCGATCGAAATGCCTATATGACCCAACGGACGTACCTTGTCCGTCTTGTTGAGCCATGTGATAATCGACTGTGGTGCAATGACAATGACGGGTGGCAACTTGATATTATCACGTTTTTCCAACTCTAAACGTTTCTGGAGAATGCCTGGTGTACCCAAATGATGATCGGCGTGTAAATGGGAGATCCAAATGACACGTAGACCGGCCAACACATAGTCGATCTTGTCGGGACCGTAGAAACGAGACATTTGTCCAAACGTCCCCTCACCAGCATCCAACAACATACCAGCACCAGTCTCCATCAACACATGATGACCAGTTACATTACGCAACAATGATGGGATAGCAGATCCCGTCCCAGTAAACAATATTCTTGGATACATCTCTGAATCCAATTTCTCCATACTCTCCAACTTGGCTTCCATCGATTTGATCTCTTCCATTTGACTTGAAAATTTTGAATTTGATAAAACACATTTTTCAACTACTTGTTTTGCTACTTTATAATTCATTTCTGAATCTTCAGTTTGATTATTAGATTGTTCAGAAATATTTTGTTGTTGTTGATTATTTTGTTGATTAGTATTATCAGGAGTAGTAATTAAACCATCATTTATACAATCAGATAAAGAAAGAAATTCAATTTCACCAGCTTGTTTTGGTGGACCCAAAGTTACACGAGTGATCTTATTGATTGGTAACATATTTTTGGCGAGTGATGGAGAAATACGAGCTTCATTTTGTGGTGTTAGAATGGGAGAAACTTGACGTGGTTTGACACCAGATGGGAAGAGGGATGATGTCAAGAGTGATAGTTGAGTGACAAATTGCTCAGAACGTTGGAATGATGGAAAGTATTGACAACTCTCTTGATTCATAATAATGTGTTTGGTTTCATCTCCAAATCGTTCTATAAATGTCAAATAATCGGGATGATTCAATACCACCTTGGGTGCAATATGAAATACTGTCAATATCTTTTTAGCATTGGTAGGATCATCTTTTCTAAAATACTCTGAAAACTCCTTACATCCAATTACTCCTTGAATATATTCAATTGTTGGACATCTAATAATTCCAATATTCTAAACAAAAAATATCAAACAAAACAAAATTAGTTACTATTTTCTATTTCTCTTCTATTTTTCATTTACAACATACAGAAGAAGGAGAAGCAGGTTCCATAACTTGATGAGGATGAACTAATATACCATCTTGATTGGTAAGTGATTCACCAGCTACCAATCTTTTAAAAAGTGGACCTGGACGAATTCCAAGTTCCTTTGCTTTGTCTGGAAGAAAAGTTCCTGCAAATTCATTACTACGAACGATATAACAATGTACAACATCTGAATCAATTGATTTTCTTGGTGAATCTAATGACTTGTGTTGTTCTGGTGATGATGATGTATCTTGGTCAACTGTAAATCTAAGTGATTGCTCTGGTGATTCTTCAGTTTTCTTTCTCTTTGTTTCTCTTGTTTGGTCTTCTCTATCTTCTTGAAGGTTTGATGTTGTTGTAGTTGAGAGAATGGTTGATTGAGGTGACCCTTGTCTTGTTGTACATTCTGCATTGATTGGATCAAATGATGATGATGATGATTCATTTTCATCATCTGATTGTGGTGTCTTATTATTATTATTATTAGAAGAAGAGGATGATTGAGAATTACCACCAATTGTAATATGATTAACTGATGGTTGTTGTTGTTGTTGTTGTTCAGTATTGGGTTTATTTGAAATTGGTAAGATTTGAACACGTAATGATTCATCTTGAAATTGATGTGAAGAGACTACTTCCTTGACATGAACAATCAACGATCTCTTGAGGAAAGGTTTGGCGGCTTGTAAGATGGCCGAGAATCCGACCGGTGCATAAATGACCACCTCATTGGTCCCAATATCGCTCATAGTGAGCAGAGAGCCCATGACACCTCCTACAGAGTCCCATGAAAGCGACGAGAGGAATATAGCATTGAGTTTAGCCAAACTAAAGCTGTTACGTTGTGTCACATATCTCTGTGTACCTTCACCGCATTCAAACAGGTATCGGTCACGATCGAAAAAGACGTATAGTGAAGGAGAGGTTTCTACATTATCGCCTGATGCCTCTATAAATGCTTTCACCATCCTATCTATCTAAACAAATATATATATATAAATATAAACTAGTGATACTAAAAGATGAGAATGAAACGTGATAATCATATCCTCTCTCTCGTTTCGTGTGTTGTCTCAAAAAAAAAAAATAAAAAGCTTTTTTTTGCAAGTTCACCAAACAGACAAGTATTATGTATGTGCGCTTTGACCAAGTTTGTTGTTTTGTGTATATATATTAATCATGGATATTAATCAAAGTGAAGTAGCACAATTAAAAGAATATAGAGAAAAGGTATATAAAAAGTCATTTGATGCAAAGTTGGTGATAGAGTTTCTCCGATTCCTTAGAATCACAAAGCTTAGATCAACAAGATTGGTAGCAGACTTGGGTTCTACTCTTTTATCTAAATACTTTTCAAAGATTACTACAGAGAATGAAGGTAAAGAAAAAGAAAGAAAGATATATATATGAATGGTTAGTGACTAATACTTTCTCTGTTTGTGTAGCATATGATATTGTTGAACAAGTTGTATTGGCATTATTAGAATGTAACAAAGCAAAGGAAGCATCAGAATTTATAGAAGATAGATTGGTTAAAAAGTTTGGAGAAAAGAGTGTAAGAGTATCGAGATTGCGAGCTATGCAATTAGAGTGTAGCAATACCTTTGGCAAAGCAAACGATATCTATGTAGGTGTATTGGAAAAATATCCGGCCGATCAATTGACCATGAAGAGACAAGTATCCATCTTGAAATCAAAGGGTCAATATCAACAAGCCATCACAATGTTAAATACCTATCTTCAAGCTTTTATGATTGATCCTGAAGCTTGGTTAGAATTGGCTCATCTAAATATTAAATTATTATCGTAAGATGAAATGAATAATAGAAATAGAATTGAATGAAAGATAAATGAATATTAATCTAATCAATATATTAATATTTGTAGATTCAAGAATGCAATGTTTTGTTATGAAGAATTAATATTGGCAGCACCAATCAATTACATTTATTATGTTAAATATGCAGAGTTGATTTATAGTATAGGAGGTGCTGAAAACTATATCGTCGCTCTTAAATACTATACTCATTCACTCGAACTTAATAATCACACCTCTCAAGATAATGCTATTCCTCCAACTAATCTAACTGCTCTTTATGGTATCATTATGGTAAGAAGAAGAAATCAAAAGAATGAATATCTTTCTTTCTTTCTTTTTTTAACCAATCTCTTTCTTTCTTTCTTTTTTTATTTAGTGTATATTTTCATTCTGTAATACACATGGTTATGGAACTACTAAACTTCGCGAGCCACAAATCGAATTGTATCAATGGTGTCAATCTGAATTGCGTGCCATCACTGCCAAATACACTCCTCACAAGTTATCAATAGTCAATGCTTTTATTCAACATACCGACGTTCTCAATAAATAAACTAAATAATAATAAATCAATATAGAATATAGAATATATAGATATATACTAGTATTGAATGATCGATTCGATTTATAGAGAGAGAGAGAGAGAGATGAGGGGGTGTAACTCCAACTCTCGTTTATTTTCCAACTTCATCTTTAATTTAATATTTGTTTGTTTTTTTGAAGTCATAATTAGTTTAGTTTTCATTATCATTCTTTGGTGTAAGATCTATCAATCTATATAGATCGATCGATCAATCAATCAACTCGTTCAATACCAATACTATCATATCAACTCATCTGACATTCTTATATTGATTGATTGGTGCATCAAATGACTGGTGTGCATGCAAGTTCACTTGGAACATCAACATCAACAACAACATCATCCACAACGCAACCACAACAACAACAACAACAAACTATAGGTTCTCAATCGGACTTACATACAAATAGAAGAATAGCAATGAAGAAAAAAGAAGAGAAACAAAAGGTTACAAGAGAAAGACAAGTTGCAAAAGAACGTGTCAAAGAGAACCTTCAATTCTATATCGTCAATGAAAATGAAGAACAATTGGTATGAATCAAATGATATATATATATCTCTATCTATATTTATACTGATTATATATACCTAATCTAATCTATCTATTTTATCTTTTTAGAATTCTGTTGGATTGGTTAATAATGATTTCTGTGATGCATGTCATGATGGAGGTGATTTGTTATGTTGCGAATCATGTGAATGCGCATTCCATATGATGTGTTTGGATCCACCAGTATCCTCTCTTCCTGAAGGTGATTGGTTTTGTCATTCTTGTGAACAAAATAAAGTATGATATGATCGAGATGTGATATATATATATAAATATGTGATATTAACACCTTTTTTTTTTCTAGAACCCTAAACCAAAACATTCAAAATCAATACTGTCATCATTATTTGATTCATTAGATACATTGAATCCATCATGTTTTACATTACCTGAAGAATATTTATTAAGTATGATATGAATGATCTAAAAAAAAAAAAAATCAAAATATTAAACAATCCTTTCTTTCTTTCTTTTTCTTTTTACCTTTTCTAGATAATTCATTTAAACAATCATTTTGTAATGTTTGTGATGGTGATGATTCAATGGAAGATATGTTACATTGTTCACATTCAAAATGTAGAATTTCAGTTCACACTTATTGTTTGGATCCTCCATTGGTTCGAAAACCTCTTACTTGGAAATGTGATTTACATGCCGATAAACAACAACAACAAAAAAGTAATAATCAATCAAACAAAAAAGAAAAGGAATCAGTAGCATCTACATCTTCATCAGTGTCGTCGATGGAGAACAATCAAAATAGCTTTACAAACGATTCAAACAAAAATCGTAGAAATATTCACTCTCCATTCCTAAGTGATCGATTCACTCTTGAATTTGGTGGTGACAGTACTATTGGTGGTGCAACTGCTCCCAAAGTATTTCAAAATCGTTATAATCCTTCTTATCGTGATCCATTCTATGAAAATATTTATGGAAATGTTTGTATCCCAAAACAACTAAATCTAGAAGATTGTTTTTTATTAAACATTATTATCTTTTTAATGATCATTTAGGGATTATCATCAAAAGATTATTATGATCATCAATTAATTGTTGATTTATTTGGAAAAGATAATTATTCATTTTTGACTAATAATAATCAACAACAACAACAACAAACGGATATAAATAATAATAATAATAATAATAATCAAAAGAATAATAATAATAATAGTAAAGTTTCTCATCGTAGTGGAAAAGCTACTAGTAGGCAAAAAAATAAGGATGGAGATCATGATGTTTATATGGATGATGAAGAACAACAAGACGCAAATAATGAAAATTTAAAGAAATTGGATCAATTACTAAAAGAACAAAGAAGATTATCTGTTGCTTCAATGGTATGTTTATTAAATTTTGAAATTTTAAACAATTGACATTATAATTTTCTTTTTTATAGCCATCAGAATTTGGAATATTCCCAAGTGATTTATCAAATCAACCAATTGATAATTGTAATTCATTTGTAATGTCTTCATTATCACCATTATTTACACAATTTCTTGCATGGCAAAGATTAATGCAAATTAATAATCAAATATTCCAAGCACGCGCAAATTTTCATTCAACTTCAAATCCATCCTCTAATCCATCTTCATCTTTTAATCCACCCCAAGTTCAACCGACAACGACAACAACAACAACAACAACTTTTGTTTCCGAACCATCTACTCCAACAACAAACTCTATGATGGATATTGATAGTAGTAGTAGTAGTAGTAGTAGTAAAAAATCAAATGGAAGTAGAAGAGTCGAAAAGACAAAAGAAAAAGAGGAAAAAGAAAAGGAAAAAGAAAAAGAGATTGAAATTCCTATTCCTATACCAACACCACCAATACCAACACCAGCACCAAAAAAAGATTCTAAAAAAGAGAGACAAAGAGAAAGAGAAAGACAAGAATCTGAAAGAAGAGAAAAGGAAAAAGAAAGAGAAAGAGAGAGAAAAGAAAAGGAAAAAGAAGAACGTGATAGAAGAGACCGAGAAAGACAAGAAAAAAGAGAATTGGAAGCACAAAAGGAAAAGGAAAAAGAATTACAAAAGGAAATTGGAAAAGAAGAGGAGGAACCACAACAAATGGAAATTGATCGATCTCAATCTCAACCTCAACCTCAATCACAAAACATAGCCAAATTTTTCAAAAGAAAATCAATGGATAAATCGACTATAACCAATTTGCCAACTCTAAAGAAAACAAAGGGTGCCGCTACCACTACTGCCACGACTTTAGATGATCAAGAATCTTTTAGTGAAGTATCGATTGTTATTCCTGCCAGTCCAGAAGATACAACAAAACACTCTGTCACTGAACAATGGGTGTCTAGTCCTTTACCAACTATAGCTCCCATCTCTACACCCGACAAACCAATATCTACCGATCATCGACAAATTTATGGTCGATTACCACTTCGTATTCAACACAAAAATTCACCTTCATCCTCTCCCTCTGCTACTACTACCACCACCACACCTTCTGAAATTGTTTCACCAATTCAAAAGTCTGGTCAATTATCACCACCTACCACTCCAATGTCTCCATCATTGGATTCTTCAACTATTTTAGTGTCAACTCCATCTGCTTCATCGTCGACACCAAACACTTCCATCCAACAACCAGAATCACCATTTGTTCCAAAGACAATACTTAGTCCAAGATTACCAAGATTACCAAGAGTACCAACCATTGTAGGTCAACAACAACAACCACCTGCTGTCGAAACGTTATCATCATCGTCATCATCGACCATTTCACCTTCACCATACAAACCATCAACCTTGCAAATTCCACAACCTCCACCATCTAAAAAACCAACAAAGTCAAAGACTGTACCATTACCACCAGCTGTTTTCCCATCTCCCAGTACCCCATCACCACCTTCACCATCACCAGTTATAATACCAACTGCTGTTGTTTCATCGACAACAACAGCGACAACTACAACTGGTATATTGTCATCACCCTCATCAACAACACCTGTTACTACACAAAATCCAACAATCTCTCCATCTAGACTAAATATGACATTCAAAGTACCATCTCCAGGAGGTGATTTTAAAAAGGTTATTGTAAAGATGGGAGGAACTCAATTATCTGAATCAAATAATACACCAACTACAACAACAACAAGTCAACCTCAACCACCTACATCACCACAACCAGTACAACTTTTACTTCCACTTTCTAATCCTCTTGTTTCTCCAATTATAACTCAAGTTGATCAAAAAATAGATCAAGTTGCTCAAAAAATAGATCCTCCTCCACAACCACCTCTACCTCTTTCTCCTACACCAATTCATTCAGTTCAAATTACATCTTCTTCAAACATTGTACAACAATCATTATCAATAGCATCACCAACATTTGTAAGAGGCATTTTTACAGATTCAATTTATATATTATCTATACCGATAGCTGTATTATATATGATTACAGCAGAAGGAGGAGAATCTTTAGCACATCAAATGAAATTGAGTAGAATTATCATTGGTAGAGGAAAGAAAAAGAATGGTATATCTACAGATATTTGGCTAAAGGACAGAGCAGTATCTCATCACCACGCAGTCATTGAATATGACTTGACCAAGAATCGATTTGCAGTTGCCAGCTTTGCAAGAAACAACAATACATTTATCAATGGCACCAGAATACTTCAAGATCAAATGGCAACATTCACCAAGGAAACTCAATTTTTATCACCACCCGAAGCCGTCTTTTACAAGGAATCAAAACCCCTAGCAACAGGCGATATCCTTAAAATATCAACAACCTCTTTTAGATTTGAAATACTTCCAAATAATATTACAAGTGTTTTAAATCTTTTTAAATCTAAAGGTTTTCCTAAATTAATTTAAATCTATAAAATAAATAATTAAAAGATATTTTCGAAACTAAAAAAAAGAAACTAATAATATCATCGAGTTTTCATAACCCCGAAATTCTCATTCTTGGCAACCTAGGAATCAATAGCCCAATACCCGAAAGAGGTGATCGTGTTTACGTGATGGCATATATCCATACTCCCTCTCTTTTCTTTTAAAGACTCTCAAGGAGATGAGAGATGTAATACTTTTCAATTTTAAAAAGTTGCGAGTTGGAGTTTATCAATCATTCTAGATTTATATTTCAATTTCTTTTTATTTTAAACAAAAGAAAGATGGTGAGATTAAATCAAATCATAACTATTGTAACAATATTTGTTTTAGTATTAGCAATTGTTGTTGATGCAAGAGTATCTAGACCAGACCTACATAAACTTGTTGATTTCACCAAACAATCGATTGCATCTGGAGCTTCACTTGTCAATGTTTATTCAACATTTGAACAACAACAGATTGGTGGTTCATCATCTGAATCAATATCACCACAATGTGAAACAGATTTATATGCTTTATCAAAATTAAAGTATCCAAGCTCATTTGAAAGTATGTATAAATTAAATTAATCAATCTATCTTTATTCTAACTTTTTTTTTTAATTTAGTAATTGAAGCAAGTGGAAAAGGATTTTTTGATCTTGGGAAACTATGATAATTGTTTAAGTTTACTAAGCAATGTTTCACAATATTGTGCAGTGACCACTGATAATGGATTTGTTACTGCATTGGCTGCATTATGTCTTCCCTCTTCATGCTCAGAGACTGACATTAATATGGCATTACAAACATTGATCAATATGACTGGTATGGCCCCTTACTTGGAAGAGGCTGGTCTTGGAGGTGGTTTTGACATTCATTGTTATTCTGGTGATAATCTTACTGACAAGTTACCAATGACTGCTGGTCCAATTGTAATGATTATCTTGTGTTCTATTATCGCCGCCTTTGTGTGTGCTGGTACTATTGCTGAATACTATCTCTATACACATAAGGCAATAGCCAAAAAGAATCAAGACACTGAATCATACCGTATCAGTAGCAACAAAAACGATGATTGGGAAAAGAATCAAATCAACCACAACAGCAGCTACCAAGGAGATATGAAAGAGGCCTCCACACCACTCCAAATACTATTGGCATTCTCGTTGATCCAAAACTACCATAGTTTTACAACCTCATCCTCTGACAAGAAACATTTTGATGTGTTGGATGGCATCCGTTTCTTTGGTACCTGTTGGGTTGTCATTGGTCACAACATTTTATTCAACATTAATTTTGGATATGATAATTTACAAACTGTCTTGGTTAATATCGTCCCAACTGTACCATTCCAATTGATAAGTGCTGCAGAATTTGCAGTTGATACCTTTTTCATGTTGTCTGGATTTTTGGTTTGTAACAGTTTGTTGCAACAACTTGAAAAAGCAACTTATATTGATGGACCAAAATACAAGTTTTGGTTAAAATACATTGTACATCGATATATCCGTCTCTCGCCACTCTACTTTTTCATGTTGTTTTTCTTTTGGAAACTTAGTCCTCAAATTGGTTCTGGTCCATGGTGGTTTGGTTATTATAGTGTAGCTTCTAGTTGTGAAAATTCCTGGTGGTCTAACCTCTTGTACATCAACACTTTGTACCCACAAACCAGCTGTATGGGATGGAGTTGGTACCTTGGGGATGACATGATCTACTATATCTTTGTCGCTCCTATAGCCGCAGTCCTTTACAAAAAGAACAAAAAGTTTGGAGTTGCTTTTGTGTTTGTACTTTTTGCCATTACCTTTACAACCAATTTTTGGATCACTTTAAAGTATAAACTCAATACCTTTTTCGAGTTTACCCAACTACAAGGAAAGGTAACTAATTTTACAACTGATATTTATCAAAAGCCCTGGACAAGAGTTGGTGCCTATGCAGTTGGTTTGGCCATGGCAATGATTGTTGACACACCAGTCATTATGCGAGTCATCAAAAACAAGGCACCTGTTCGTTACCTCTCCTATATCATTGCACTTGGTATCACCACTTTCTTTACATTCATCTCTTACAATTCATATATTGGTGATGGATGGTCAACTCTTCATAATGCCTTTTTCAATGCATCTGGACATACTGGATTTGTTATTGGTGCTGGTCTATTTATCATCACTGCCTTTGCAGGTCGTGGTGGGATTGTTGCATGGTTGTTTGAACAACCTATTTTCAAGAACCTCTCCAAACTCACCTACTCTACCTATATTGTCCACCCTATTGTGATTTGGGTATTTGCATTTTGTAGAGTAACACTCTTTCACTATGCAGTTGTAGATGTTGCCGCCACCTCGATATTCAACCTTGTAATTTCTTTGGCATGTGCCTTTATTCTTCATCTTACAATTGAAAAACCAGCAATCAATTTGGAAAAATTATTATTTCATCCAAAACCATCAATTATTAAATATTCATTATTAAATTAAATAAATTATTTTTTTTAATTATTTTTATTTATTATTAAATATTCAATACCATTTGGAATTGATATTAAAGGACTATTTATATTCATTGAATTATAAGTGTTTACTAAAATTTGACCAATTGGATAATCGGTAATTGTCAAGGGTGTACGGAATAGTGGTGCACCTTGAATTTGGAATAGCTTAATGCTTTGACTATTTGCAATTAGATTCAAAAGGTTTAATTCTAATTGTCCAATTTCATCAACTTTAATCATTTCTCCAAAATAACTTGATAATACCAATTCTTGAATATTTGGTGATTTGCCAATTTTAAGAAAATCTGAAACCATCTCTATTATATTTGATAGATTCATATAAACATTGACAGAAGCAGTTGCTTCTAATTTTAAAACTTTTAAATTTGATAAATCATTTTCAAACAAGAGACGTTTGAGAATTGGAAACAATTGAGGACTATAGAAACGAATGGAAAGATTTTCGACGGTAGATGGGAGTAGTGGAGCAAATTGACCAATATCTTGCATCTCTATTGGAAATACAAGACCAAGTGAAATGGTGGTCAACCTAGTCAGAGGCAATGCACCAAAGAGACGTGACCAGTTTTGATCTGAAAACATTGCACTATTGATTTGACTGGTGGCAAGGTATTTGTAGTAGCCGTCTGAATTTTCTTGTCGTTTGTTGATGAGGACCAATTGTTTGAGGGTGTGTGGTAGTAAATGGTAGGGGTATGGTACTTTTGGTTCGACGTGGAGTGTAAGCTTTTCGACCGATCTTGGAATACTCGAAAAGAGTTTGTCGAGAATAACCAATCGACTATTTTCAGTAGTGATACGCACATCTAATATCTTGGCTCGTTGACAATGACCAAGTACTTTGTAAATGTCATTGTGATTGATTGGCTCTCCAAATGCAATCTTTAATTCTTCCAATTGACCAAATATTTTTGGATTGATTCCTTTTCTATAATCAATTTGTTGTACTCGTTTTAAATGTGGTAATAGGTGTGAATGTGGTGTTGAAAGTAAATTATCTACCAATCTATTATAAACTGTGAGTCCTCCTCTATTGAAATTGATTGATTCTAGTCCTGTACCAATAGTTTCTAGATTAGAATCTATATATTCAATGTTGCTTTGATATATAGTTTGATTTGGAGCTACTAGTGGCATTTGAAAGTATCTTATATGTTGAAATAAACAAAATGGATGGTTGATGTGTTTTATAAAGTCTTGAATGTTGTGTGTACCAGGATTTAGAGTTAAACCAACCTCGGTTTGTCTTGTACTAATCATAGACTTGGTAATATCTCTCCATCTTTTGCATACATTTGAAATGTTGATCAATGTTGATAGGTTTACTTTTTTCTCTGCTCCTATTACAAAATTACTTAAAAGATATATAATCTTTGATTCTATTGTTGTTGGTAGTAATGAATTCATTATTTGTTACTATTATTTATTATTATTGTTGTATATTATTAAATGAATGAGATTGATTGCTTTATATAACATTTTGTTGTCTATTTTTGTGTGTATTTAGTTTCTCTCTATTTGTTTGTTTGTTGACACGTCTTATCATTTGACTCATCACAATCTCAGAGCAAATCGCTTAATTACTTTTTTTTCTCAAGTTCTTTCACTGTCATCACTGAAAATATTTTTGAACAAAATGAATTCTCGCGTCTACAAGTTTGGACAACTTGAAATATTGTACAGAAAAAAAAAAAAAAAAGATTTATAATAAATTTAAGGTGATCTGGTGACCAAAAGTAATATGGGAGAAGAATGGACAAAGTAGAGGAACTCAAAAGTTGTCATTTGATCCAACAAAAGTTAGAACAAACTTCAAATGAAACAAGTGGACCTAAAATGCAGGTGACTAGAGGGAATATTCAATAACTAACTTTTAAAAAGGACTTTAAAAAATAAAGCAGAACCAAACAAACTTTTAACAAGGTATCTTGGAGTGGTCTAAGCCGATTGACAAAGAGATCAATCAAATAAAGATGAAAATCAATGTATTTTTTTCCTTAAAATTAGGGGGGGGGGGGGGGGTCAATTTTTTTTTTAAGTAATTCTTTTCCTGTTCTCTCCTATCGGGAAGAGTAGTACTCAGAAGTTACAAAGTTTTATTAATTATACTTTTTAATTGACCAGCAAGAAATAAAGATTATCTCGAGAAGAATTAAAGTTAATTTGTTCTGTGATACATGTTGTATGGACGTTGATCATGTATCTTATTGTATAGTGTCAAGCATGTTGCTTTGGGGATCAAGATTTTTGCCTATAAAAGGCCGAGGGACAAAAAACTTTCAACCAAGGCATCTTGGGTGAGTGGTCTAAGCCGATTGACTAGAAATCAATTCTCTTCGGAGGCGCAGGTTCGAACCCTGCAGATGTCGAAAGTCTTTTGTTTTTATCCTTGGGTTGGCCCAGAAGAAGTTTTTTTTACCATTTCCATGTTCTCCACATCAGGGGCTACATTTATATCCAATTTTCATCGATTTCCAATGAATCCTCATCATAAAAACCTATAAAAACAAAAAGTTGATTGTTTTTTTATCGGGGTTGGCCCAGAAGTTTTTTTTGCCATTTCCTTGTTCCCCACGTCAGTGGCAAGATTTATATCGAGTTTTTATAGATTTACAATGAATCCTCATTGTTATTTTTTTCCCCTGCCAGAAATGATTGTATATCCTCCTGAATTTAAAAAAAAAATCAAAAAAGGGAAAATTTCAAAAGAGGATGAAGTTACAAATATTAAAGAATCTTTATTTGAATCACTTGATCCTTTTCGATTGAGTATAAAATTATGTTTGAAATTGGATCTAAAAAGAATTAATAGTTGGATAAATAAATAAATAAATCTTTTTTCTTTTTCTTTTTTTTTTTAAACATATATCGATAATTCAATTTGATTAGATTTAAAGGTATTATTAATTTTAATTAAATGGTACAGTTTGATTGATCAATTTTTATGTCGTCATTTTCATTATTATTAATTAATTTTAATTATTGATTGGGAGTGAATTTGATAAATAAAAATGGTACAATTTGATTGATCAATCTATATGTCGTCTCTATTTAATATCAACAATAACTCGTACGATGATTTGTTTTTGTGGTTTTGTTTGTATATATCCAATCATTTTTGTCTTTTTTCTTCTTGATTATTATTCATCTTTTATAGTTGTAGTTGGTTTGAAATAATAATAATAATCTATTTCATAAATTGGTTCATTTTTAAAGTTGTGTTGATGATCTTTGTTGATTGTAGTTGGTGATAGTTTAATAGTTGTTGTTGTTTGTTTGTTCTGCTAGAACACACTTGTTGGTCTTTGAGTTTATCTTTGCCTCGGCAGATCTCGTGTCAATTGTTTCTGTGCACAGTTGACGATGATCATTCCGAACAACAACTTGTTCACATCAATAAATAGATGAATATCCGCAACATATTATGTTTTGATACTATGATGACACCCTGTATTCTATTTGAGTCATCATCAAAAAAAAAAAGTAAATGATGTATTTATATAAATGATCAATGTGAAATAAAACATATGTTAATAGTCATATTTCCTTTATGTTTGTTTAATTTATTCAATTACATACATTTTAGGCACCATTTATAAAGAAGGTAATGACCAAACAAATCATTTCCATATAGAACGCGCATAAAATATAGATTTGATTCTGTACAGCTGCTGTCTTGACCATCATAGTGAGAATGTCTCCAAAATGATTGAATAATAGTAATGGTTTTACATTGTTGTTGTTGTTGTTGTTAAAACTAATTGTTATTAAATATAGAATTCCAATAAACAACAATCTTGTTCCTTTTCATGAATGAATTACAAAGAATTTGAAAAAAAAAGGGTAACAAAAAAAAAAAAAAGAAAATTTTATTCTTTTACAAAAAATTAACACAAAAAATGAAGGCAAGTAATGTTATTCAACCTTTTATTCAAAACCTTTGTCTTTTAGGTTTTTACTATTCTAATCATTGTAGTTTTTTTTGTTTAAAAAAGGTAATGATAAATTCTATCAAGAGATTAGATCAATTCTATTAAAGTGTGGTGTTGAGAGTGGTTTGATGGATTAAAACTTGGTCAACTTTTAGAGTTTTCAGAGTTTTTGGATGGTAAGAATTATATATAAATATATAAACCAACCAGAGATTTATTTAATTACATTACTAGTCCCAGATCCTCAACTTACAAGAGATGGATCCTTCTTTACCCCAATAGATGTACAAATAGCTTTGCAACTATATACATCTCTTAAATCACATAGTCTACAATTTTTAAATCAGCTTTTGAAATTAATCGAGGGAGATGATCTATTTATTGCCACCCTGAACTTTTTACAGTTTGAATCTCTCCATATTGGCTCACCTAAATGATAAAAAGTTGAGAGTAACCATCACTCTATTTAAATATTATATATTTAAATAATTTAATAATTACATATACTTTTATTTTAGTTGTTTAGATGGTAGTTTTATTAAAAACAAGTAAAAAAATAAAAAGGAAAAAAGATCAATTCTAGATGGATGACTATCATCACCTTGATAGAATCCTAATTTATCAATAAATAGTTTGTTGAGATAATAATGATAATTGTAGATGAATTGGTAATTGTATTGGTGTCATTGGACCATATTGATTCGACATTCTAATATCTTTACATGATTGTAATAAATCTCTTACTAATTGAGCTATCTTTTGATTAATGAATTTAAATTTGATAATCTTTGATGATTATGTCTTTGAATGATTCTCCTCCTCCTTCTTAAAGATAAAGTAATAAATAGGGGGTTGTGTAAAATAATGCCAATACTATGTTGATGATCTTGCATTATTTTTTTTTTTTTTAAATAAAAGATAGTGATGACGATGATGATAGAGATTATAGAATACTGATGCGTAGCTATCTATAAGTATATTTCTATCTCTGTTGAAATAAAATCTTGAGTGAAAAGCTCGGTTGCACAAGCTGCCAGCTAGAGATAATATTTATAAAGGGCAAGACAACCATTGTTATCGTTAGTTGTCCATCGTCTCTCTCTCTCTCTCTCTCTATAGAATCCAATTATCACCATCATTTGCAATGGTACCCATCATTGAACAAGGTAACCGGTACAATGAAACTATATCATTTCAGTAGATTTGAAACTAACCAACAAATTCAATAAATAACCATTGCTCCAACAAATGATGATATTGTCTTTGAATATATAAGAGTAGTGTGACCAACAATTGTTCTTTTCATTCTTTTGACAGAGGTCAACCTTTACTCCTTAGACAGCTGATCATCTGAATACTCGAGTAGCACACCTCTCTCTCTTTGGACCAACCTTTAACATTTACTGTATCGCATTTTTTGAAAGAAATGTTTTCTTTTATTCTATTACTATTATTATTCTATGGGTTATCATGATAATATTATTCAATATAATATATGATTGTTGTTGTTGTAAATACTTTTTTAAAAAAACAATTACAATTGAGTTTGTGATGAAAGAAAAGACCATAAAAAATTTTAAAAAAAATTCAAACAAGAAAAATTTGGAATAAAATAATCATAATAATAATATCATTTCATTTCCTTTAATTAACAACATAATGAGTTTAAAACTTTGATAACAAAAAAAGGGCAAAGGATATCATTGACTGTTTTTCGAATAGTAAAAATAATCATATGCAATGGGTCATGATTAGAGGGAATTTATTAATAAATAAAAGTTGGAAACAATAGATAATGAAGACAATGGCAAATGTAGGAAAAAATTGGGAGCAACAGGAAACCCTAAAAAAACCCTGTGCGTTCACCGGCAGCAACAGGAAACCCTAAAAAAACCCTGTGCGTCCACCGGGAGCAACAGGAAACCCTAAAAAAACCCTGTGCGTTCACCGGGAATCGAACCCGGGACACTTCCTTGGAAGGGAAATATTATACCATTTAACCATGAACGCAATGCACATTGGATGTTTGACAGGAAAAAAATCGCGCTATTTATAGCGAATTTTTTTTAAAATTCTTTGGTAATTTACTAGTCTAGCAGCAATCATTGAACAATTTCATTGAACAAGACTATCAACGAGTCATAGTCAAGAGGTATCAAGGAAGGCCTCGGGTTTGGGCCAAGATATTTGTCCAAAAAAAAAAAATGAAAAAATCGAAAAGGGGCCAAAGAATCTATGAAAAATATTATCCAGTCTTGATTCAATTCTAATAAACAAGACTTATAATAATAATTATTATTATTAGCTAGTCATCAGCCTATGACTCAAGTCCAAAGTAAAATAATTTTATTCACTTTACAAGTACTATATATTTGTTTGAAATTATTATTTTTTTTACAATAATGTAAAAAGATAAAGAGGAAAGATTAGACACTTCCTTGGCAGTGAAATATGATACCATTTAACCATGAACGCAATGCACATTGGATGTTTGACAGAAAACTAAATATTATTATTATTATTATTATTAATAGTTTTTTTTTTTTAGTTTATTAACAAACAAATATCAACATACATTTCTTTCTTTTTATCTATCTACTTAGAGCCTTTTATCAAAACTTTTATACTTGGTTTCTTCTTCCTCCTCTTTATTGTTCCTTATCGTCTTGCTAGGGTAGTTTGACTCTTTGAACTAGAATATTTTGTTCTACCAACCAATCCAAATCATTTGCCAATAAAAATATACCAAATAATTCATTCAGTCTTTGATTACAAATTTAATAAAAAATGATTTCTTGAATAAACGCACAATCAACCAACAATACAATTTTAAATAAAGATAAAAATAAATAAAAAATCCTTTCTTTCTTTCTTTCTTTCTACTTAAATAATATATTTGGAATGATTATTATCTATTCTTTAGATACTAATTTGTTCCAATTTTTCCATAATTTTATAAAACAATGGGTTACCACCCAATTCTTCGATTTGCATTAAAATCTTTTCTCGGTATTGATTAATGACTTCTTTTGTTTGTTCCAAAGCACCCGTTTTCTTTAGATAATCCAAAGCACATTGTTTGATATCGGCACTTGTCGTTCTTTGTTTTAAAATCGTTTTTAATCTAGTATCGGTTGGATCATTCAACATTGCTCTAATCACTGGATATGAATATTTTCCTTCTGTTATATCTTCACAAAATGTTTTAAAATTATGATACTAAAATAAAATTAATAAAGATGATTTCTTTTTGTTTTTTCTATTTTTACTACTTACATCACCAGAAACCAAATTTAAATAATCATCTCTAATTTGATAATATAAAGCCAAATTATCAATCAATAGAGTATAATCTGTTTTATTTTCACTAAAACATTGTAATACTCTTAATCCCATTCTAAATAATCCTCCAGTTTCTAATGAAAAAATTAAAAAAAATAAATAAAGAATTCTTTTTTAATCTCTTTTTCTATTGTTCTTACTATCTTTAACCATTGATTTATATTCATCTTCGGTTGGACAAATTTGATTATCTCTCCAATAGATATCCCAACCTTGACCTCTATGACTACGAACCAATTCCTCTATATAGACTTGAGTTGCTTGATGATTACCAAGTCTCATACATTGTTCAATCGATAAAAAGTATACAAAATTGGCACAATTTATAGTTTGTGGTACTCCATAAAGTGTATGAGCTGTTGGTGTTCCTCTTCTCAATAATGAATTATCTTCTATATCATCAATTCTAAAAATACAAATAGAAAAAATAGAATAAGTAAATCTGTATAATCTCTCTTTTTCATTTTTCTCTCTATTTCATACAATAAACTTGACATGTGTAAACTTTGTACAAGAGATGAGACTTCTTTAACAACTCTATCTTCAACCTTTAACCAATGATTAAATGATTCTATTAAAAGTGCTCTTACACCTTTACCAGGTGTCTCTGTTATATATTTATATGGTTCCAACAAGACTGCTTCCTTGTCTGTTAAAGGGAATGAAAATTGTTTATTCATTATATATAGGATAATATTATTATTATACAAAAAAAAAAGATAAAAGGAGATACGTTATACTCTTTAAAAATAATTTACAAAAAAGATAGAGAACAAATGTCGTTATCGTTATGCGTATATGTGTGTTGTGTGTGTATGTACAAAAAAAAATAAAAGAAAAAGATTATAAAAAAAATAAGAGAGAATCTTTTTTGATTTAGAGATATATAGATATGAGTTCTCTGACTACAATAATTAGTAATTTATAGATAAAAAAAAAAAAAGAGATGATGAGTGAGAGAGAACTACAATGAGAGAGTGCTGGGCTAAAAAAAGAGAATCCGCAAAAATATTCGAAAAAAAAAAAAAAACGTTAAAAAAAGTTCTTTGATTTTGAGACTTGGAAAATATTCTTATTATTTATTTATTTTTATTTTTATTTTAATTATCCCAATCTTCAGTTTTAGAATCACCATTATTATTTATATTATGATTATCATTATTATTTTGATTATTTTGATTATTTTGATTTTGATTATTATTGATATTTTGATTTTCATTCAAAGGTGATAAAATATGTTCAATTGATAAAGTAATTTGTCTTGCAACTTTTTCATCTTCTTCTTTTTGTTGTTCTTGTTGTTGAATTTCAATTGATTTTGGTTGTATTATTTCCTTTTTCTTTTGATTTTGATTACCGTTATTGATATTTGGATCCAAATAAGAAAAACGATTATTTAAAAAGAAATCTGAAATATAAGAAGGAGATTTAAATTGAATTGAACTTGTTGGAGGAGGAGTAGAAATATTGGTACTAGTAGTAACTTCAATTTTAGAAGGATCATCTTTGTAAATTTGGAATGAAAAGAGAGTAGTTTTGATATTGCTTGCCAAAGTGAAATGAGAAAGATCATCAAATACGGCAAGACAATTAAAATCATCAATCCAAAGTAATTGATAACGACCATTAAATTCTTGAAGCAATTGATTAATGTGATCAGATTTAATCATTGGATTGAGATTGTAAAAGTAGAGTGAACGAGATTCTTGTAATTGTTCCTCTACAATTGAACTATTGACCGATGCACTAGCATAACTTTGTGTATTCTTGGATACACTAGAAAGTAAAGCAAAACTGTTTTGTTCTGACAATAATGGTACAGGTATCATACTTGCTCTACTCTTGTACAATTCCATTAAATTTTGATGTCTTCTATCACGTACCTTTAAATTATAAAATCTTGTCATTTGAATTAAAAAGTTATAATTTGTTATATCATTATAAATTATTGAAAGTTTTCTTAAAATAAAAAAAAATAAAAAGATTAATAAATAGATAGAGATAATTAATTTGTTCTTTTTTTTTTTTTTTGTTCTTACAAATTATTTGAATTTATAAAATCATTAAATAAATTTTCAATTCTTTTAATTGATCTTGGTGAAGATTTAAACATTAAATTTAAATTATCAATTTTAATTTTTGATGATGTTATATCTTCATCTGGAATTGGTCTAAAAAATGGAAAAAAAAAAAAAAATTAATAAATAAATATTTCTTTTTCTATTATTATTTTTTTTTTCTATTTTACATACTCTGCATCAGTTTTTAAAGATAAAAATAATTTATCTCTTTTTTCTTTTTCACAAATTTCATCACATTCCAATTCACGAGAATGAGCATCTGAACCTTTTGGAATACAAACAGTTTCAACACATCTTCTGGCACATGGACAATAGATTTTAGTTTTTTGTTTGCATACTTGTTGTGGACAAGATTCACCGGGGTGACATGGGATTTGACAACCATGAGAACAGGTAGAGAGAGGTTGTTCACATGGGTAACCACAGGAAATACCATTGAGTACGTCATCTTCAGTGACTACCTTGTTGGGGAGACATGGACCAAGATGACAGGTACGTGGACACTTGTGAGAGAGACAGGGGAGTGTTTTGCCACATGGTTTGCCGCAAGAGACATCGGTCGTGTGACATTTGATGTTTTTACGCATTTCATGGCCACCACTACACATCTTTTCGACGAGTACCGGGCATGGAGGGCAAGGTCCAAAGTGACATGGGTGTTGAGCCATTTCTTCACGTTCATGTCCACATTCACGACGTTCACGACATGGGTGGTTGCAGATAGGGCCACGTGACCCACATGGGATGGGTGGTAGGACAACAGTCTTGCCACAACGACATGACATTTCTTCATAAGAGTTGGACATGCATGGGTAGCATTTGCCAATGTGACAGAGTTGCTCGCAACGGTGTACACCGCATTTGAGAGCACGTCCACAGACAATGGTACAAATGTGTAGGCCTAGTGCATCAGAGTTGGCAGTCGATGGACAACACTTGCGTCCACACTCGTGTTTGCTACACGATTTCATGGCACGACACTTGGTACCGCAGAGGAATGGTGCTTGGATATCGGGTGCTGCCAAATTTGCCTGAATCACTCCACACTGACGATTCTCTTTCGATCCACCACATCTACATGTGGTCTTTACACGTACCTTGCATGGTGCACAAGGACCTGTATGACATTTATCTGGACATTGATGTACTCCACAGACAAGTGTTTTGGAACAAGTCTTGGAGCATATTGCCAATGGTACACTACAATCTAGACGAACAACATTCAATTCGGTCAAAGTTGTTTGTGTACAAGCACAGGTGGTAATACGTTGCGGTAACAAGTCACATTCATCACATGGACCTGAATGACACTTTTTGGTACATTTATGGTTTCCACAAAGTAATAACCGGTCGCACACATCATTACAAGTGAATGATCCATGTGTTGTTTCGTCATCCAATTCTCCACTACCACATGGTCTTGCGACATCTTGTTGTTTGCCACAATAGCATTTTTGTTGTTCAGTCACTTGACAGGGAGCACAGGCGCCCTTGTGGCAGTTACTGGCACAGGTATGGTTACCACAGGCAAGTGGAAGCTCGCAAGTGGCTCCACAACTACGTCCCAATGGATCTGGCTCACCACACAACAGACGATACTTGCTACGACCACAATGACAATCCTTTTCCTCACCCAGTGCAGAGCATGGAAGACATGGACCTGGATGACAAAGCAACGCGCATTTATGAGGACACTTGGACTTGGCACGCAACTTTCCACACACATCACCGCAACTGTGTGGCAGTAAAAAGGGGTTGTACGAGGGATCATCAACCTTGCCACAAAAACAGACACTATGTGGACGTTCAGTCGACACGTGTCTACATCCAGGACACTTCCACTTGCCATCGGTCGATGTCGATTTGGTCAACCAAGCCTTGACACAACCAATATGAAACATGGTAAAACATGATGGACAATTCCAAACCATTGCACTATGTTTAATAGTATCATAACAAACCATACATTCATATGCTCCTTTTGAAATTTTACCTATAATCTGAATTGCCAATGGTGTATAATCTTCATTCTTATTTTCTTCAAATTTAAATTTTAATTTACTTTCATTTGCTTTTCTTTGTAATGTATTATTTATCTTTGGTTCAACCAATGTCGTCTTGGTAGTAGTAGAGTTATTAGAGTTATTATTATTGTTTCTATTATTATTCTTTGGATCTTTTTGTTGTTGTTGTTTTGGTTGTTGTTGTCTTTTATTTCTATTATCCTTTTTTTCATCGGATTTATTATTATTATTATTATTATTATTATTATTATTATTATTATTATTATTATTATTATTATTATTATTATTATTATTATTTTCTTTGGGTGATGATTGTTTCTTTTCTTTCTTTTCAGTTGTTGCAGGTTGAGATGATGATAAAGTTGGTGATAAAGATTGTTGTTGTTGTTGTTGTTGTTGTTGTTGTTGTGGTTTTCTTCCTCCTCTTCCCCTACCTCTTGATGATTCGTTTGTTGTTGAAGAGGTAGAGGTTGTTGATGTTTCAGATGCAGATGCAGATGCACTACCAGTACTATTATTATTATTATTATTATTATTACTATTATTACTTTGTTTTGGTTGATATGAAGGTGCGTTTGGATTTAATCTTGAAGATGGTGAATTTGATGAAGACGATGAAGTATTCAACATTGCTTCTTGTTGCCAGGTAAGACTACCACTTTCTTTTTTAGTATTTCTATGATTAGATGTTGCTGTAGTTGTCGTCGATGTAGTAGATGTAGATGACGGTGAACTACTACCATTATCTAAATTTTGATAAACAAATACTTCCAATGTTGTTGGATCCATTTCAGTCTTGTAATATGATTCGCTACTTTTAACTTGTCTGTTGTTGTTGTTAATGTTTCTTTCTTTCTTTTGATGATTGTTATACAACTTTTTCTTTTCTCCTTCTCCTGTATTTAAAGTATTTACAATTATTGGAGAAGTATTACTATTGTTATTGTTATTATTACTATTACTTGTAGTGGACGTCGTACTAGTCGTTGTTGTTGTTGTTGTTGTCGTGTCCATCCCTCAACTGCTGCTGCTATCGCTTAAAAGAGAGATAGTGAGAGAGAGAGAAGATAAATGAGTAAAACTGGAGAAAGAAGAAGAAAACTTGAACTTTCAAACTGACGTTTGAGACACAAAAGAAAGAAAAAAAAATTAAAATTTATATTTTTTTTTGAATAAAATATTAAAATAATTGAAATCATTCGATTTTCGGGTGGTCTCGATGATTTCATCAAAACAAACCTATTCTACCCACAATATATCGTCGACCAGATAATACCTAAAAAATAGTTACTTTTACAAAAAAATAATAAAAATCTACTTTTTAAAAAAAACAGTAAAAGACCCAAAATTTTTTACATCTTTTTTACTTTATATTTGTAAACTAGCTAGCTATGTGTACATTAAGAGGAATATGGATATTAAAAGAACATAATAATGGGATAGATGTAGTATTTTCAAAGAGGATTAATACGGTAGAGGTGAGGGTTAGATTGATAGCAGGATCAAACTATATACCTATACCAAATGACAATGAATTGTTACGTCAATTCTCATTAGAGATATTGTATCCTCAAAAGTTATCAAAAGAAGTTAATCCAATCTCTCAACATCAACAACATCAATCATCATTTAATCATCATTCTTTTCAATCACAACAGTCATCACCATCAATCATTCAACAACAAGTATCAGCATTGAAATCATATCAAGCTACACCCAATACACATATAGTATCATTGTTTCAAGATAGATTGTGGCCCATCATCTATCTAAAAAAGAAAAATTATTACTTTCTTACTATTCCCGTCATTGAAGAATATTTATTATCATCAAATCATAAACCTTCTTTAATTGAATTGTAAGAGAAATAGAAATAATATATATATATATATACATCCCTCTAATTACTTTTTTCTTTTTTTTTTTTTTTTTTTTAGACCATCAATAACATCGTCAATAACATTTTTAGAAGATGTTTCATTTTATACGGCAGCATTTTTAATTAAACCTCCACCGTACCCAGAATTACAAGTTTATATGAGTAATATAATACCTTTTGGTCAACCTGTTGATTCAAACTTTAACAATGTCAAATTGATGATAAAGACTGGTTTTCCAACGACCGAAGTGTTTAGTTCAAAAAGACCTGCATGGAAACCATTCCTACACAAGGGTAAACAACAAGTAGACTTTATCATTGTTGAAAATGTTCAAGGTATTCAATATGATAATCCAGATATACCAGATGTTATAAAGGTATTTGGTAGTGTATATTGTAGAGCCGACTTGGAAGGTATGCCAGAAGTATCTGCTTATTTTAATTTTCCTTCAAATAATAATAATAATAATAATAATAATGAACAAACAATATTACAACAACCAAATCAACCTCTACCTCTACCTCATCCTCTACCTTTTTCATTTCCAACAATAACACACATGTCAATTGATCCAACTGTACAAACAACATCAGATGTATTGGTAACAAACAAAATTACATTTACACCACCATTGGATATATTTAAAGTGTTGGGATATGGTGTGTCGGATTGTAAGGTATTTCCTCTAAGAGGATTCTATCAAATGAAAGAGATTGGTCCAAATATTGTAAAGGTTTTGGTTCAGCTGAAATTGGCTGCCGATATGACCAACAGTTTTGAATATTGTCTATTGAAAATGCCATTCAAGAATAGAGGTAATATTCTCAATATTCATGCATCACCAACAAATGGCACCGTTCACATTGAACCAAACCTCAAATCATTGGTTTGGAATATTGGTCAAAAGTTTTCAGGTAGAAACCTAGAGGTTGCTCTACCAGCAGAAATCACCTTTGTTCAAATGCAACCTGGTCAACAACCAATTGCCCCTACCCTCTCTGTCACTGGTTCAAGTGGTAACAACACAATGACTGGTTTTCCAAGTCAATCTTTTGCTTCAATGACTGAATCTATTGATGAAGATGATCGTGATCCTTTTTGTCAAGGAACAAATACTTTTGTTAGAGTAAGAAAATAGAAATAGAGAAACAAAATAGAAAAGTATTAATTTATTTATTTATTTCTAATAGTTATTCTTTAAACTTCAACATTGTACATTAAGTGGATTTGGTATTGATCCAAAAAGAGTAACTGTTTATCCAACTTCAAAATCAAAGGTCAACGTAGATAGAGAGATTATTAGTTCAGATTATGTTATTTGGAATTCTTTAGGTTCTGCTAAACATTCTTATCATCCTGAAAATCAAATTGATAATAATGAAAAGTAATAATAATTAAAATTAAGAGAGAGAGAGAGATATTATAATAATTATAATTATTATTGCTCTTTTTTTGGGAACCTCAAAAATTACTTTTAGCCGTGTGGAAGGACGAAAAAATCACTTTTTTTTTTTTTTTTTTGTAAAAACGACTCTTGATCGGCAGGAGCTAGGACTTGTGCACCTTGAGGTGAGCCCTAACAGATCACCAAAAAAAAACTATATTAATATTAATTTAGAAAAATCTGCAAACCCGTAGAAGAGGTGTCGGTTTGTCGGTGTCAGAACTAGCTCTCTGAAAAAAGGCTGCAAAGATCGTAACACAAGGGTTGGTCGCCGAAAAGTAGTTCGCCACTTTTCTTTTTGTTCTTGCTTTTTTGAAACCAAAAGACTCGTAAACTAGTGCCGCTTCCATGTGAAGAATCTTGAGTTGATCATAGAGGGGGTGACGGCATCCGTCTCACGACGATTATGACAAATCAGAACACCCTGATCGAGAGATTTCAAAAAAAATGTAGAACCCCAAGATAGATAGATAGATACCAACCAACAACAACAGCAACAACTAAATTTGCAGGGGGCAGGACCTTCCTTTTTTAAAAAATTAATATTTATTATTAAATCAAACCGACCTACCTTTGGAGAATAACTCTTACCCTTACCCCTATACCCTTTCTTTCTTTTTATCTTTATCCTTATCTCTTTCTTTTTATTTATTTCCAAATCACTCTACCATCTTTTAATTTCTATTTCTATATTTATATATATATATATAATTTTTTTTTTTCAAAAAATGTTTAAACAAATCTATTTATTATTTATTATTTCTATTTTTTACCAAAAATTTATTCATCATCCTCTGATGTTGTACCATTAACTGTTAGATTATCATTTACTGGGTTTGATGGAGAAATGGCTATTAGTTGGTTTACAATGGACCAAGGAGAAGAACCAACTGTAGTACTTAGTGAACGTCCATTTGAACCATCTGCTGGTATTGCTGGTTTGGCTCAATCGTCTGCCTCTTGCTCGTCTCTCTCTGATGAAAAACACTGGCACGGATATATCAACACTGCTATTGTCAAGGGTTTGTCTAGTCACTCGACCTATTACTATTCCTGTGGAGACTCTAAAGATCTAGTCTGGAGCAGCCTCTATAATTTTACCACTGGTGTCTATCCAAGTGCTACTACCACTGTCACTCCATTCACCATCGCTGCCTATGGAGATATGGGAAGCACAGGTGGTGATTCTGTCACTATTGCCAATCTTGCCAAACGTACAGATTTCTCTTTCCTTCTTCATGTTGGTGATATTGCTTATGCAAATGATTCTCCGTAAGAAATAGAAAAAAAAAAAAAAAGAATATATAAATTAAATAAATACTTACTCTTTTTCTTTTCTTTTTTTTTTTTGTTTTCTATTTTGTAGATCAGGAAATTATACAATTTGGACATCATTTTTAGAACAAATTAATCAACTTAGTTCAACGTTGGCATACCAAGTATGTATTGGTAATCATGATACATTCCAAGATGAAAAGATTTACCAAAAGACATTTATCATGCCAACTGAAAAGTCTGATGAAACTTGGTATTCGTTTGATTATAATGGTGTCCACTTTGTAGCCTTTTCAACCGAAGATGACTATTCAACCATCTCTAAGCAATATGCTTGGATTGAAAAGGAGTTGTCTAGTTTTAGAGCATCCAATGAGTTTGGTTGGCTCATTGTCTATGCTCATCGTCCCATGTACTGTAGTAGTTCCGACGGATACTGTGATGCCTCTGACAAGAAACACAAGGATGTATTAAAGTATATCGAACCATTACTTTACAAGTACAACGTCCATCTAGTTGTCATGGGTCACTCTCACTCTTACGAACGTACTCTTCCAGTCTATGAAAACCGTGTCATGGGTACCTACGAACAACCATTAGCTCCTGTCCACCTGGTCATCGGTACAGCTGGCAACCGTGAAGGATTGATCAACGGATGGCAAGACCCAGCACCCGTCTGGAGTGCAGGTCCTCGTCTTGAAGAGACTGGTTTCGGTATCCTTTCATTTAACGATTCTCATCTAATCTATCAATTCTATCTTGATAGTAATGATTCTATTGTTGATCAATTTGTTTTAACTAAATATTCCTACAATTAAAAAAAGTAAACAAATAAAATAAAATGAACAAAGAAGAAGATGAAAAATAATATAATTATATTTTTTTTTTACTTTTCAAAAGAGAGTGTTGCCTCCAAAAAAACAAAAACAACTTGTCGATCTTCAACACTTTTCTTTTAGTTTTATTCATTTTTCAAACAAGAGAGAGAAGAGAAGAGAAAGAGATAGAACAATTTAAACATGACAGAGGTAGGAGTAAATCAAATATCTTTATCGTCATGGAATTGTTCATTTCTGACAAGACAAGAATACGATGATTTAATATCTCGTCAACAACCTCTTCAAATCATTCAACGTGCAGAACTAAAGATTAAACAATTGACTCAATCACTTGAAACTATTAATGCTAAATCTTCAACTGATCGTACAAATGCTGGTAAATTTAAACTCACAAACAAACACAAACATATATATATAAATATGAATGAATATTAATGTTTCTTTTTCTTTTACTTCTTTACTTTTTTATAGAACAATTATTTCAACAATTAGAAACAAATTATATAACATGTAAAAAAGATTTAGATAATCAATCACAACTTAATTTAAAATTAAAGAATGAACTTGTAACTGTTAGTAAGTAAATCTTTTTCTATTTATCTTTTTTTTTCTTTTTACTTATTTATTTTTACTTCTTTTTAGATAATAGAAATACAGAATTAATAGAAGAATCAACAAAATATAAACAAATATCAATAGAAAAAGAGAGTAAATCAAATACATTGGGTAAATTATTTGATGATCTTCATCAAGAAAAGACATTGTTGCATGGTATTATTGAAAGAAAGGATAAAGAGCTAAAGGAAGAGGAGCAGGTGATTTCAAAATTGACAGAACGAGTCAATGAATTGATCAAATCAAAGGCAGAGATGAATGCAAAGATATTGAACCTCGAGAGTGATAAGAACTCGGGTGAATATCTTACATCTCGTCTCAAACAAGAGATTGGAGAGTTGAAAAAGCAAAATGAATATATGGATCAATCATGTCAAAAGCATACTCAGGCCTATTATGACGAGCTCAGAGAGGTAAAGTCAATGTTGACCGAAGCCAATAGTCGATCCGATCACTTGACCGATGACAAGTCACGTCTTGAAAACTTGTTGGACATGTCCAAGAAACGTGTATCGGATTTGGAGCAAGCCGTAGAGAAACATCTTGGAGAGATTAAAAAGTTGCGTGACGAGAATGTACAAGTGGCCGGTCAATTTGATCACGAGATTGAAATTCAAAAGAGATTGGTCCAACTCTACAAGAGTGGTCAAGAAGAAGCCAGCAAAAAGATCACTGCCCTTCAACAACATGTCGATCAATTGCGTCAAGTCGACAAGGACCTTCGTACCAACCATCAAGAAGCCTATAAAAAGATGGAAGAAGCTTATGATGCACTTCAAGAAGATTATCAACGTGTATGTCGTGAAGCCAACGATATGAAACAACAATTGGCAACACGTTCAAATCAACCAATCGATCTATCTAGTATGGATATTCCTTTACTCCAGGAATCTGTTAAACGTCGTATAGGTGAAATTAGTAACCTTGGTAACAAGGACGAGTTACGTCGTGAATTACTAGAAATGGTTCAACGTTATGATGATCTTACCAAGATTACACTTCAAGAGAGACGTGAAAAGAGATTCCTCCAAGATAATCTCGAACATGTTCTCCGTGAAGTTGAAAAGAAGGCTCCCATCATCAAGGAAAAGAATCAAGAATATCACAGACTTCTCAAGAGTCAAGAGAAACTTTTAAACAATTATCAAGAATTACAAGCTGAGAAGGATACCTTGCTCCTCAAAATCACTACCCTCTCTACTGAAAATAATAATCAACGTCTTGAAGTTTCAGATTTACAAAAACAAGTTCGTAGATTATTAAAAGAGGCCTTGGACAATGGAAAGGGAGGAGCAAAGGGAGGATTAGCAGGTTCATCTCTTTCTTCTTCATCTATTTCTTCATCTCAGCAAGATGATCAAATTATACCAGATTCTTTGGTTACATATAGTAATATTGAAGAATTACAAGTTAGAAATCAAGAATTATTAAGAAATATTAGAAATCTTAGTAATCAAATGGCTTTGCATCAAGAAAAGGATAGAGCTTTGGAAATGGCAACTCAAGAAATTGATCATCTTAGATCTCAACGTGACAGACAAATTAAAATTATTGAATCTGTTTCTCATCAAAGAGATTATTTTAAAAATCATCATAATGATAATAGTTTAAATAATAATAGTCATATTAATAATAATAATAATAATAATAATGATATTCCTTTGGTATGTTGTATAAAAAAAATATATATATATATTTATATATTACTTTTTATTAATTTTTCTTTTTTTAATTTTTTAGTCAACATCAATGTTAAAAACAAATTCTTCTTCTTCTACTTTATCTTCATCTATAGTTGATCAAACTACTATACTTGAATTTGAAAAAATCAAATTAAATTATCAAGAATTAAAAAAAGAATATGAAGAATTTATTAGAGAAAGAAATAGTAATGAAAAATCATTACTTGGAAAGATTGATGCATTAAAGGATGCCAATACAGATTTAAATATCAAGACTAAACAAGCAGAGAGTCAAATCGAATTATTGGGCGAGAGAATTAAATTATTAAATGATAGTGTCGAACAACAAAAGAAGGAGCTCGAATCGTATAGAGCCAAGAATCAAGAATACATGACATCGATTGTACGTCATCAAGCTACAATGGAAGATCAAAGACAACAAATGAACCGTTTGGAGGAATCCAATCGTCAAGCCGAATTAAAATTCACTACAACCAAGTCAGAGATTGAAATATTAAAGGCCAGCGAGCTGCGATTGATCGAACAAAACCAATCATTGGTTGGCGAGAAACGTTCAATTGAAAATATTTTGGCCAACGTCAATGCAATGGTCACTACCAAGGAGAATGCTGAACTCGAATTACGTCACAAACTCGAGAGCGAGTTGAATGCACAGGAAACGAATCGTATTCAAATTAAAAAGGAATTGGATGCTGAAAGACAAGCAAATCGTGATAGTCAATTGCAAATGCAACATCAATTGACAGAATCTAGAGAAAGATTCGAGAAAAAGGAAAAGGAAGTGACAGAATGGAAGGAAAAATGTCTCAAACACAAGATTACCGAGCAAACTCTTGCCCAAAAATGTACTGCTCTAGAACAACAAATTTCTTCTGCCGAAGCTAGATTCCAATCTGCAATGGAAAGAAATAATCAACTCCGTTCTGAACAACATCATCATCAAACCAATTCACCAACCAATACATCTGCTTCTTCAGCTACAACCTCTTCTACCAATGCAGCAGTCTCTGATAATCTTGATCTAACATTGGCAAGATCAGAAATTGAATCACTCAAAGAATCGTTGACACAAGAAAAGGATAATGTCGTACATTACAAATCAATTGCCATTTCTGCCGAAGCTGATCTCTCCAAAACAAAAGAAGAATTTACAAGAATTCGTGTTGAATTGGAAGAAAAGTTACATGAAGCACAGGAAAATGAAAACAAATATCAACAAAACCTCAAAGAACAATCACAAAAAATGGAAAAGATGGAACATTTCTCATCGTCTTACAAACAAGATGTTGATATTGTTATCAATGAACGTGATGTTTTGGTAAAGGAAAAACAACGTCTCAATGCAAAGATTGAAGAATTGACCAAGGCACAACAAATGGCAATCAATGAAGCATCAATGCAACACGATCTCTGTAAAAAGGCAACTGAAAACTATGAACGTGAACTTTTACTTCATGCCGAAGACATCAAGATTCTCCCTACTCTTCGTAGTGAATTATCTGAATCCAAACATACTATCATGTCACTTAGCAATCGTGTAGAATCTGCTCAAAAGGGATTAGAAGTTTCACAACAATCTTGGAATGAACAAGAATCATTGTTCAAGAGTCAAATCAACGAAATGGAAGAACGTATCAAGGATTTGAAACATCAAAACAATCTATTGACAAGTCAAATCGATTCCATCACTAGTCAATCGAATCGTATCGACAAGATGATGTCTAGTGTCAGTGAAGTAGATTCTCGTCTTTTACTTTCACAATCTGATATCAATAGTCAGACAAGAGCCGAAAATGAACGTGTCATTGTTGAACTTCGAGAATTGGTACAAGTTCAATCACGTGAACAAAAGATTCTAGAAGTTCGTAGTGAATCATTGATTCAAGAAAATAGTCGTCTTAAACAAACCTTACTTCAAAATCAAAAGACCATCGATACTTTAACATTCAAGACTCAAGAACTTCAAGATCATCTCAAGAGTATTACGTTCAATTCCAAAAAACATGAAGAAATTGTTAAACAATTGGATCAAATGAATCTCTTTAGAGAAAGTAATATTATGTTAAAGGATGAAACCAATAGATTGGGTCGTACTATTGAATTGTTAAATGCAAGATTAAAGGAAAGTGAAGATATGGTATCACCATTGCAACAACAAAATCGTAGACTTGCTTCTGAAAATGAAGTACTTCGTACTGATATTGAAGCCCTCAAAACGGAAATTGGTATATGGCAAAACAAGGTACAAAAACTTCTTGACAAGTATCAATCAATCGATCCAGAAGTACATCAAAAACTACTCGAACAATATGAACTCGCTAAAAAGGAAGAAGAAGAAGTTAAAAAGCAATTGGAAGATGTAAAGAAACATGCCAAACATTGGAAGGATGAAGCTAAAAAGATTCAAGAACAATTTGGAGAATTGAAAAAGGAAAAATCAGAACTAGAAGCTCAAGCCGTTCAATTGAAACAACAAATTGAAGCAACAGCTCCAAAAACTTTGGAATCTGAATCTACCATTGCCAATATGAAAAGATTACTTGGCAAGGCTGCCAAACAAGCAAAGGATCAAAAATTGGAAATTGAAACAATCAAAAAAACCCAAGAAGAAAAGGAAAAGTTACAAAAAGAAACAAATGATGAAAATCAAATGTTAAAATCAAAATTAAAACTTTTTGAATCTATAAAACAAAAACAAGCAAATTTAATTAATAATAATAATAATAATATTAGTAATAGTAGTAGTAGTGGTGTTAGTGGAACAACTACAACTACAACGACAACCCCAACTCCTGTTGTTACTCCAACAATAGTTACACCAACTGTTACACCAATTGTTACTCCTTTGGTTACTACTCCAGCTGCACCAGTACCGGTAGTAACTACTAGTATACCAACACCACCTCAATCACCATTTAGTCAACCAACTGACATTCCAAAGAAGAGAATTATTAGAAAACCTGCTGCTCCTGCTGGTAATATAATTAATTCTTTATTTGATTCTGCAAAACAAGCTAGTAGTGTTTCAACACCAACAAAGTCAACAGCTCCTGTCACACCAGTTACTCCAGTTACTCCTGTTACACCTGTTGCACCAACTACTACAACTTCAACATTACCTCCTACTCCTTCTTCACAAAATTCAATATTTTCTGGTATTGTTAGTTCAATTGTAAATCCAGTTGTTGAATCAATAACACCTCCAACTTCAACTACTCCAACCATTCCAACTGCTCCTACATCAATATTTGGTGGTTCAAGTGTATTTGGTAGTGCACCACCAACAACTACTACAAGTTCTGTATTCTCCCCAACATCTACGACTACTACAACTACAACTTCTGAACCATCACAACAAATTGTTACATCTCCACCACAAAATGATGTCCTAATTGAAACTACATCTACAACTGATGATTTATTACCATCAGTTGATAATGGTGATATTGAAACCGAAGAATCATCATCAATTTCAACTTCACATAGTATAAAGAAACAAAAGATTAATGAAGATACTTTGGTAGCATTTTCAGATGCTGAAGAGGAAGAGGAAGTTGTCGAAGACGATGTTGAAGAAGATCAAGATCAAGAAGACCAACAAGAGGAAGATGAAATTTTAGAAGAAGATGAAGGCGAATTGATTGAAGGTGATGCATCTATGGATACCAATACAATTGTGGCTGAACAATCATTGGAAGAAACTCCAATGGAATCTGAAACATCTACTGCAGCCATTGATGAACCAATTCCAACAACTCCCATTCCAATGCCAACTACCCCAACTCAACCAACCACTGATACACCATCCTCGACAGGTAAAAGAAAATTAAATAGAAAATCAATTACAACTCCTACAGTGCCAACTGCCTTTTTCAAAAAAGTTGCTCAAGCTCTTACACCAAAAAGAAAATCCCCTGATCAACCAATAGATGAATCATCATCATCATCATCAACAGATGAAACTAATAATAATAATAATAGTAATAATAGTTAAAAAAAATAAAATTTTATTTCCATTTAGGGTATTGATTTTAATTCTAAATTTAATTCTAAATTTTCCTCCTTTGGTTTTTCGGGTAAATTAATCGTATGTAATTTAAACCAAACAAATGGAAAATATACTTTTAATATTAATGATATTATAGATTTAATGATTGATATGAATAAATAACTTGATAAAATCAATTGATAAATAATCATTTTTGAAAAATCCCATTTTACTAATTCAAACTAAATAAAAAAAAAGAAGAAATAATTAATAAGAAAATTATAATCAATTAATTTTTTTTTGATATTTCTCTTTTTTATATTTACATTTTGAAAGTTTATTAAATTTCCTTTTATTTCTCCTTTACAAAAAGTATGATATTGATTATTCTCTTTTTCAAAACAAATTGGATAATTTTGAAAATCATTTCGAATGGATGGTATAATATTTGTTGTATAATAATAAAGAGAAAAAAAATGAAAAAAGAATTGAATAGATTGCATTGACAATTGAATAATGGTAAATTTTGTTTCTTCTGGATAGCGAATCATAAAAATATAAACAACATGTGCAATGACATCAAATGGTGTAAATATTGTAATTGGTAAAGATAGTTGTGTGAAATGTTTAAATTTTGATCTGTTTGCATTTTGATCACATTCTAGTCTTTTCTTTTGATCTCGATTTGGTTTAACCTTTTCCTTTGAAGTAATTTTTAACTCTAGTGATGAAAAAATTAATTCTTGTGAATAAAGTTTATCCAATTCTGTTCTATTTCTATATTCATCCATCAATTCTTGATAATCTAAACAATCAGAGGTTGGAAGCAATGCTCTAAACTCTTGATTATTTTGTTTTAGATTTTCTCCAATATATTGACGGACAATGATGGTTTGATCAATCGTTAGAAACTGTAACATTGCAACCATTATCAAATACAATGTATTAAAGATTGAAAATACTAATAAAATATTTAAACAAAAACTAGTTTTTGTCATTATTTAAAAAAGACAATTGAATAAATAAAAAAAATAAAACAAAAAAAGAAAATGATCAATGAGAAGAGATAAAGATGAAGATGAAGAGGGAAACCACCCCCCTCACTCACAATGGTGGGGTTAGGGTAATTTTCATTTATTAAAAATTTAGGATGTAACTAATCATTTTCAACAATTAGTTTACTATTTGTTCTGATGGATTTGGTTGAATTTCTATATCTTTAAGAATAATATCATTCTAAAAAATAAAATAAAATAATTTAAATATATTTGGAAAGTATTTTTTTTTGTTTGTTTTTTTTTTTGTACCTTTTCATTATCAATTCGATGGATATTAAGATTTGCCCAAGTTAAAGGTTTATATTTTGAAATAAAATAAAATATTACAACACGAATGATTAAAATAAAAAGTACAATTGTGATTATAGATTCGCAATAAATAATACTCTTAAAATCCCATGATATTTTTTTAAACTATAAAAAGTTAAAGAATAAATAAGTTATTTTTAGATGTATTTCTTTTTTTCAATTTACATTTTTAAAATTTAAATTTTCACCAATTAAATCACCATTACAAAAATTTTGAAAACTTGTATTATTAAAACAAATAGGATAATCTTTTAAATCCTCTCGAAGGGATGGTACAAATCTATATAGATAATAAAATAATAGAGTTGAATGAACTAAAAATTGACAAGTCAAAATGATCATTTCTATAACCATTAATTTTCTAACTTGATATAAATTTGAGAGAACTGGTTCCCAAAGAACCAAAACTTGATTGACCAACATTGTGATCATATCAAATGGTGACATGACAACAAATGGAATTGAAAACTTGTAGATATGTTTGAATTTTGATTTACCAGTATTTTGATCACAATCAATCCAAGTTCCATTTGGATTGGCTGACTCTTTAGAGGCAATTTTCAAAGAGAAAGAATTGAATACCAACTCTTGTGAATAAATGACATCCTTGGTCTTTTCTGTTCTATTTCTATAAACATCTATCAATTCTTTGTAATCTAAACAACTAGAAGTTGGAAGAAAAGCTTTAAACTCTTGATTGTTTTCTCTTTGATTTTCTCCAATGTATTGTTGGACATTGATGGTTTGATAAATAGAAAAAAACCTATATACACCAACCCATAAAAACATCAGTCCGTATAATATTGCCAATCCTATTGATATTTTTTGTATTCTTGACATAAAATGAAAAAGTATAGATATATATATAAAAAAAAGATATATAATATAGCAATGACATAATTTATGTGTTTATTTTTCAAAAAAAATAAAAATAATGATTATACCCCCTCCATCACCACCATTTCCATCACCAACACATTGTTTTTTTTGGAGGGGGGGTTACAAATATAAATAATTTTTAATTCCACCTTGCTCAGTTGGAATCATCATTGTCATCATTTTCCTCCTCTTCCTCCTCTACATCTTTAATTTCAATATCTTCATTTGTTTCTTCTTGATCATTTGTTTCATCCATTTCTTCCATTATTTCCTCTTCCAATATCTCTTCTTCTTCCTCTTCTTCTTTTTCTTCTTTTTCTTTTTCTTCTTCATTTTCTTGTTCTTCAATAATTCTATTAGCTTGAAAGAAATCAACAGTTTTAGATTTAGTATCATAGGAACAAAAACCATAATCCTTTGGGAATGAACTTGGATTGAATGTAAAGAGACCAGAATCTGATTGATATTGAAAAGTATCATATTTATCACCAAGTACCAATAAATCTGGTAATGGATACAATGATAAAGAATGATCATAATTCCAATAAATTGGTCTTATATCCAATGGTAAACATGATAAATGTGAATTTGATGATAATGTATTAATTACCTAAAAAAAAATAAAAATAAAAATAAATAAATAATTTTCTTTTTTTCTTTTTTCTATTTCTATTTTACACTTTGATGAAGATCAGTACCAGGATTTGGTTCTTTAATAATATGTCTTCTCATTCTATTTACAATATCATCTCTAAATATTACAATTTCTTGAGTACAATATCTTAATCTACATGGATTGGTTGTAAAAATACTATTTGGTATTCTTTGTTTAAATCCTTTTGTAAAATAATCAACTATTGCTGGTTTTGGTAATATATTTAATAATGAACCTGTTGGATCAGTTGGTCTAAAAATTAAAATAAAAAAGATAAAATATTAATATCATTTTATCTATTTTATCTATTTTTTCTATTTTCTTACCCAGGAACAAAAATAAATTTAGTTTTAATTAATAATTCTGGATATTTAATAATGATTGAAGCAAGATTATCAAAATGAGTTTTTAATTTATACTGAGTACCACCAATTAAAGGATGTTCAGTAAAATTGCCCATTAAAACGACTGCAATGGGAGGAAAATGAACGTATTTTTCAAAAACACTTTCCAAATGACTAACTACTGTTGGATTATCCAACCATACATCTGAAAAGAGAATAATTGAATTTTCGACCTCATTTTCGTATTGTTTTAATTTATGCATCATTCTATCGTTTGGTCTATCACCAAACATATCCAATCCTTGTAAGAGGTCAAGTGATTTTTGACGCTCCTCAGTATTGGAAGGTCTAATAGAGGCGGCCTTGAAAAGACCATCTTCAAACTCTCCCCAAACCAATACAATTCCATTTTCTGTAATCAAACCATATTCTGAAGTAGCATTTGTCAAATCCAATTGAACCTTTGAATTTAAATCTTCCAAATAATATTTTCCTTCAACAATTTGTGATATAGTTCCAAGTACACATTTCATTCCAGGATTACCAAGTAATGAATTGATTGGTGTCAATGTAAATTGATCCAATGACTTTTTTTGATTTGGTAATATTGGTGCTGCAAATGTTGGATGTCTTTCAAGTATTTGTAATGCAGTTTGATATCTTCTTCTAAATAATTCACTTTTTGATTTTGCATTACCATGTAATGATTTTTCTGGTTTTTCTTCTCTAAAATGGAAAAATAGAAAAGAAAATATTAATAAACTATATATATATATAGTTTTCTTTTTTTTCTTTTTCTTTTTTCTTATTTTACTTGACAAATAATTTTTTGTTTTGATCATAATGAAATAAAGGTACATCAAATGCAGAGATTACTTTGATTGCTTCTTTTTCAATTGATCCACTATCAGATTGTGATTCCAATTCTTTTAAACTATTTGATATAGTTTCTTTATCTACAAAATTTCCTTTTACTAAAAAAACAAAAAAGAGTATTAATAACTTATGATATGTATAGATTTACTTTTAATATGTATTTACAAGTAGATTTATCTAAATTTGTTAAAATTAGATCGACCAATTCTAATATTCTTTCATTTAGAGGTTGACTACTACCACTATCATCTCTATCTTGTTCATTGTTTGTATAACTTATTAGATGTTTTAATGCATCTGCTTTAATTGATAATCCTTGTAAACTAAATGATTTTGTTATTGATTTCTTTAATTGTAAATCCATTGATTCCTCTTTCTCTCTCTAAATAAAAAAAGAAACACAAATAATAGAATAGAAATGAACAAGTATAGAATAGTTTCAGTGTTAAGTTGGCGCCAAATTTTTTTTAAATTTAAAAAAAATTAAAAAAAAACAAATAATAGATCTATGACTATAAAGTACTTTTGATGATTTCAGATTTATAAAACCTTTGTTTATCTTTTATATTTTAAATTCTATTACTGATTTCCTTTTTTAGAAGTTCAAAACCACAATCATGATGTGTGGGGGTGTTGAACGTTTTTTAATTTAATTTATTTTTTTTATTTTTTTCGTCACTCTCATATGATCACAAAGTTGAATATTAAATGATGATCATTTAATACACATAATACTAGTCGAAATGGAACAATTTAAATCACAAAAAGATATAACAAGATGGGTTAAAGCAGTTGATACAGCACCATATCCATCAAAAGCAGATGAAGCATCATGTCCACCATGCATTAGATCAATGGGTAAAGGACCATGTGGAGAATTGATCATAGATGCATTTGTTTGTTTTCAAAAGGAAACTGATCATAGAGAAAAGTGTGCTCAAGCTTTTACTTCTTTAAGAAATTGTATGCTTAATTATCCTATTCGTTATTATGTTGCTTTATTTCAAAAGTATGAAAAAGAGAGAGAATGAGACAAAGAGTAGTACAATTAATCTTTTTTTTTTTTACTATATATAGTCCAAAGAATACAAAAGAAGTATTACCACCAAGTCCACAACAATAATAAAAAAAAGGTATATATTTTCTATCTATTTTCTAATTTCTAAATTATTAATTTTATTTCTATTTCTTTTTTTTTGTTTTTAGAGATTATTTAATTTTATAAAATTTTCAAGTATTTTACTACTATTTGTATCTTTTTGATTTTTATCAAGGATTGAATGAATGTAGGATTTAAAATGATCGGTAAGAGGGAGGTTAACCTTTTTCAAGAGATAGACAAGTAGTTCGGAACGATTAAAACTGACGGCTTCGGCTAGGATTTGGAGACCGTTTCGACTTGGTAGAGTGATTTCCATTCGTTCATAGACCAAAGCAAATACATCAACTTCCATATCACTGCCACTACGGATAAAATCTAAAAAGTATCTTTCAAATACGCTGACCGATTGAAAGTGATCCAACATGTAGAGAAGTGTTGGGAAATGACGACAAAATTGACCTCCCAACTCTTCATCCCATTCTAAACGCATTCCATCAACTCCACAACCAACATATTTCCAAAGATGATGTGTCAGAATATCGAGTAAATTGGTTTGATAGGTTTTGCAGCAATGTTTGATTAATTCACAAACATCACAAATATCCAATCCCATACCAAAATGATCCAACAAAAATTTGGTTGTCTTTTCGTGGCCATTTCCAATTGCACCCAACAAACAAGTCTTTTTAAGTTTTCTAGAGAATTCATGTTCCGATAACAGAGTAAAGAGACACTTTACAACACCAATATAACCACGTTTGGCTGCTACGATGAGTGCATTGGTTGTACATCTCCAATTATGACGTTTGTTTTGATAAATGATATATTCCAATACATCTAATCGATTAGACATGGCAGCCAAATCTAAAAACTCTGTACTATCAATTAATAATTGTGGATAGTAAACTTCGATGTATTTGAAAATTTCTAATGATCCAACTATGATTGAAATGGGAATCTTTTTCATTTGTTCGTCTGATAGAAATTGTGATAATAATCTAAGAATTTCTAAAATCTTTTTTGAATCTTTACAATCAACCATGACTGAAATATCAATCATTGAAATAGTTTCTCTAGAAAATTGATTTAATAAATATTTGATACAATCAATATTTAAAGATTCTAAAGATTTTTCAAATGTTGAAATGATATATGATTGATCGTTGTTGGATTCCAAATTTGATTCATTTGCAAATATTAAACATTTATCATGACCATTGCTAGCAGCCAAATACATTGCTCTTGGGTTTTGAGATTTATAATCTTGTTGAGCAAGGAATGGTTTCAATACCGACATGCTCTCCAAATCACCAACACTTGCAGCATGATTCCATAAACTTCCAAGTGGTATTGAACTATTCATTTCAAATAATGGAATTCCATTACCATTATTTAATAAATACTGAAGTAATTGATAATGTCCTTTTTGTGTTGCTATTTCTACCCATCTAAAATCTCCTTCTACTAGAGAGATTCTATTTGGTTTTAAAGTTGAAGAAGAAGATGAAGAAGAAGATTTAAAGGTTTTTTTAATTAATCCTTTAAATGTTATTCCTTTTTTTTGTAGTTGTTGTTGATTATTTTGTTGATTATTAATAGTTTGATTTGATTGAATTAATTGTAATTTTGATAATAAATTTTGAATAAGATTTATATTATTATTATTACAAGCATTTTGAATAGTTGAATGAGTAGGTAGAGCATTGTAAGAATGTTCAAGGTAAAAGATGATTTGAATGTGATTATTTTGAACTGCCAAGTCGTAGGCTCTGTTGTATTCAGAGTTGGCAGTTTCCAGTAGAAAAACGAGACAGTCCAAATGACCAGCCTCGGCGGCATAATCGGCGGTAGCACGACCAAGTTTGAATTTGTTTTGATGTAACCAAGTTAATAGATCGAGTCGACCTTTTTTGGCGGCAATGTTTGGTAGTTGAACAAGTGATGAAATGGCCTCGAAATAAAAGTATTTTCCTTGAGCAAGTGTATCCAAAATAGAGAGGTCTCGAACTCCATATTCAAAGGCAGATTTCCAACATTTATCAGTTACAGATTGTGGATTGGTACGGACTATATCAATGATGACTTGTTTCCATTCTAATCGAATGGCATGTATGAGTACGGTAGATGTAAAATGTACACATCTTTCAAAATATGGTCTCGTTGTATCTTGTTCAAATAAATTTAAAAGTCTCAATATTATTGATTCTTTAATATTGGTAGAGACGGGTGTATGATTATTGTGGAAGGATTGAAAACTTGGAGACATACAACAAGTTGATGATACATCGGATGAAATGGATGGGTCCATCATTGATAATACAGGGGAAGAGGATGAAGGTGATATTCTTGGTGATATTGCTATTGGTGAAAAATAGGGTGATGAAGTAGATGAAGATGAAGATGAGGAGGAGGATTGATGGGAATGTTGTGAATGTGGTGAATGTGATAAAGGTGAAATAAATTTTCTATATTCATGGTCCATTAAATGAATCAATGTTGAAACTGACCAATGATAATAAAAATTATTATTTGCCATATTTCCTTCTTCTTCAAAAAATGAAATAGTACTAGAAGAAGAAGAATTGGAACTTGAATTGGAAGAGTTGGATTTACGTTTTTCAATTAAAGTTGCAGGAAATATAATATACATAAATTTTGAATTGATTAAATCGTAACGATTTAATCGAACCAATTGATTTGGATCAAATTCATTGTCTTGTCTTATGCCACAACTAAACTTTGAATGATTACAATGTACATGGTATGATATTTGTCTTTTTAATATTACATTTTTAAATACATTTCTATAAAGTTGAATTTCCATTTTTTTCAAAAATAAAAAGATAAATCTAAATATAAAAAAAAAATAATAATAATAAGAAAATAAGATTGATTAAATGAAAATAAGTAGTAGTAATTAGGTAAGGTAAAGGTGGTTGATGGGTGGTAAGGATTTCAAATAAATAAGGGAAAAAAAAAATTGATCAACCATGAATACAACGATTAAAAAACGTTGTTGTTCAAATAGATTTGAATTGATTGAAATAGGATATTGTGTGATGATGGAAGCAATAGTCATATAAAAAAAAAAAAAAAGTTTAAATGGGAGGGTAGTTTATGACCATAAGTAAAGATGATGATGATGAATTTAATTTACATGTAAATTAATTTGATGATTTAAGGAAGATAAACTATAGCCAAGTATAGAATTGGATTAATCCACCAATTAGGAGGGGGGGTCAATAAATTGGTCATTGATATACATACATTTTTTAAAAAAAAAAATAGATTAAATAAATAAATAAATAAATAAAATAAGTAGTAGTCTCTCTCTATATCTCTACCTTTTTGTGTAGTAAAAAGTATGTAAAAAGAGAGAATGGTGGAATGGAAAGGAATGGTAGACTAGTCAAGTGTGATGATGATTATACATCACATATTCCATCCCTCTAACCACCCCACACTCCTTTTGGTGTAAATTAAAATAACCTCCTCCAACTACTACTAGGTACTAGACAAACTTTGACGCTAGTGATCACACACACATGGAACACAAACACAAAAGAAGTGTTGATTTGATCAGAGGGTGGGATCCATACGCTCAATCATTTTCTTTTATAGTTGTACGTGTGGTTTTTTTTTTTTTTTTCTAAAAGGTCGATACGATAGAGAAGGAAAGGGTAAGGTCAAGGGTGAGGAAAAAAAAAAAGAAGTGGATGGTCAATAGATTTGGACTGATTTGATTGATTTGATTTGACATTGATTGATTGATTAATTGATGATCATTGCACAGTGTTTCTTCTTCTTCTTCTTCTTCTTCTTCTTCTTCTAAGTGTTATCCACAAACAAACAAACCATAACCATAACCACCAACGATAGTTGTAATGTATTACATTTTTTTGTGTTTGTATCTCTACCCCTCTACAATCAGTAAAGGTACTCTCTTTTTAAAATATTAATATATTAATATATTTACCACTACACTCTTGTTGTTCTGTTCTTTTCTTGTTTATGAACTAAAAAGGTACATGATTGAATAAGATTAATCTTTACATCATGAATGATCATCCGTGAATCCAATTTCACTACACTCTTTGAAGTAAAAAATATTAAAAAAAATCCATTCATGAATTTGGGGGTGACGAATGAGCAGATTCAGCAATCTGATGTCATTGTTCTCTCTCTCCCTCTCTCTTTACGATACTCGATACACATAGAAGAGTAAACGATGATATTATCATCCATATTTAAATCATCTACCACTACTACTACGACATCATCATTGATCCGTAGTAGTAATCTAATCTATAGATCTCTATCAACATTAAATCTAGTCAACTCGCAGTCACAACCATCATCATCATCATCATCATCATTCACCCCTTCTACTTTATCTTCTTCTTCTTCTTCTTCATCTTTTTCAATTTATCGTCGTTTATACTCTTCAACTCCTACTCCTATAATTGATTATACAAAAATTATACCAAAAGAAGGAAATATACCAACAAGTATATTAGAGAAAAGAGGTAGATCATTACATAATAGAATAGATCATCCATTATCAGTTATCAAGAAAAAGATACATTATCATTTCAAAGAGATTGTTGAAGCAGATGGAAAGACTATAACAAGATTCAACTTTTATGACAACTTTGATTCCAAAGTAACAAGTAAACAAAACTTTGATGATTTATTATTTCCAAATGATCATATTGGTCGTAGTCCAAATGATACTTATTATTTTGACGAGAATACTCTATTACGTACACATACAAGTGCACATCAAATGGAATTGTTACTCAAAAAGAATCCAAAGGATACTGCCTTTTTGGTGACAGGTGATGTTTATAGAAGAGATACTATCGATTCTGTTCATTATCCAGTATTTCATCAAATGGAAGGTGTTCAAACCTTTACATTACCAAATTCATCAGAGACTCCATTTAAATTTAATCCAAATAATGATTATTATAATGATGGTCAATATGCAATGGATTCAAATATTCAATTTGTTGAAAAACATTTAAAATCAACATTGGAATCGATGATTAGATCAGTAATTGGAACAAATTTAGAGGTACGTTGGATTGATGCCTACTTTCCATTTACGGCACCAAGTTGGGAGATGGAAATCTTATTCCAAGGAAGATGGTTGGAAGTATTGGGATGTGGAGTTGTACACCCAGGTATTCTAAACGCAGCTGGTCGATCTGATGAATATGCATGGGCATTTGGTATTGGATTGGAACGTTTGGCTATGATTCTCTTTGACATTCCAGACATTCGTTTGTTTTGGACTGAAGATGATCGTTTTCATCGTCAATTCAAAGGAGTAGACAAGAAACCAGAGGAAATTACAAACATTGACATTTCAAAAACTCGTTTCCAACCCTACAGTAAATTCCCATCATGTTTTAAAGATATTACATTTTGGTTACCACAACAAAAAGATTTATTCCACGAGAATCATCTCTATGAATTTCTTCGTGGTGAAGCTGGCGACCTCATCGAAGATGTTCAATTAATCGATACCTTTGTACATCCAAAAACTGGTCTAACCAGTCAATGTTATCGTATCAATTATCGTTCAATGGAAAGAAACCTAACAAATGAAGAAATTGATCTTCAAATGTCAAATATTCGTTCAAAAATTGAAAATAAATTAAATATAAAATTAAGATAAGGAAAAAAGAAATAAATAAATAAATAAAATTGATCAATTTTATCTTTATTTGTGATGATGATGACAAGATTCACAATTTTCTTTCCAAATTGAACCATCTGTATAAAATTCTTTTTTCCAAATTGGTACTGTACTTTTAATTGTATCAATTGCATATTGTACTGCTAATAATGAATCTAATCTATGTGGTGATGATACTAATATATAAATACTTGTTTCTTTTATTTCTACTTTACCAATTCTAAATAGAAAAAGGAAAAATTAATAAATGATTTAAATGATTTATATTTTTCTTCTTTTTTTCATACTTGTGAATAATTGAACAATTTTGAATATTAAAATTTTGATAAAGATGATTTATAATTTTTTCAATTTCTTTTAAAGCCATTGGTATATAAGCTTCATATTCTAAATAGAGTACTTGTTTACCTTTAAAGTTATCACGTGTTGTACCTATAAATGTTGATATTGCTCCTGCTTTTTCATCACCAACCATATCTATATATTTCATCAAATCTATCTTTTCATTTGTTATTTCAATATAAACATTTCTATCATTATCTATTATTTTATTTATAATCGTCATTTTTTTTGTTTGTATTCTACTATTAGCACAGGTAATTATGATGAAGATCAAAAAAGGGGTGAATACGTATCTAATGTCCTTTTTCGAAAATTTAATTAAAAATTTTTGTTTTTTTTTTTCTAAATGATCATCATATGATGCATTCGTCATTATCATTTTCATTATCATTATCATTATTTATTTTTATAAATATTCTTTTTTTTTATATTTAGATGGAATTCCCAAAATTAACAAATGATTTATTTATTAGATCATGTAAAGGAGAATTGGTTGAAAGAGTACCGGTATGGATAATGAGACAAGCAGGTAGATATTTACCAGAGTTTAAAGAGGTTAGAGCAGATACAGATTTCTTTGGAGTATGCAAGACACCAGAGTTGGCATGCAAGGTGACATTACAACCAATTGATAGATACCCAGGATTGGATGCATCGATCATTTTCAGTGACATTTTGGTGGTACCACAAGCAATGGGATTGGAGGTACAAATGATCCCAGGTAAAGGTCCACACTTTCCACAGCCACTCAAGACTCCCGAAGAAATGTCACGTCTCATCTATCCAGTAGATGTACATAGTTCACTCAAATACGTATTTGAAGCTATTACATTGACACGTCACAGACTTGGTGGACGAGTACCATTGATTGGATTTACTGGTGCACCATGGACATTGATGGCATACTGTATCGAAGGTGGAGGTATTTCAGGTGGCAACTTGAATGCTGCCAAAGGTTGGTTATACAATCACAAGGAAGCATCACACAAACTCTTGCGCATGTTGACCGACGTTTGCATAGACTATCTCGTTGGACAAATTGAAGCTGGTGCTCAAGCCATTCAAGTATTTGACTCTTGGGCCGGAGAATTATCACCACATCTCTTTTACGAGTTTGCTCAACCCTATCTATTAGAGATTGCCGAAAAGGTCCGTGCCAAACATCCAAACATTCCACTCATTCTGTTTGCCAAGGGTGCCAATCATGCTTTGGAATCATTGGCTGCCAATTCTGTCTATGATGTCCTCGGTATCGATTGGACCATTGACCCAACCCAAGCTCGTCTCATCACTGAAAAATATAAAAAGACATTACAAGGTAATCTTGATCCTGCCGTATTATATTGTCCAAAAGAAATAGTTGACGAACAAGTTGAAAAAATGATTCAAGGTTTTGGTATTCAACGTTATATTGCAAATCTTGGTCATGGTATGCAACCTCAACATAATCCAGATAGTGCTAATAATTTTATCAATTCAATTCACAAATTTGGTAAAGAAAAGAAATAATAAATTATAATAATATAATTATTACTTTATTATTTTAAATTACTCTACTCTATTTTTTTAATAATCTTTTTCTTTATCAAATTCTTGACGATGAATAAAAGTCATACCTTCATTACGAAGAGCTTTTAAGATTGGTTTATAAAATTCTTCAGTAATTGGAATGACAACACCAGTTTCTTTAATATTTCCTTCGAGTAATAGTTCGGCGGCAATAGCAGCTGGTAAACCAATGGTATAGGCCATGGCAGAAAGATCTTTTGTACCATAATAGACGAGGGTAGAAGTTTTAGTTTCATGACGTCCTTCTGGCCATTCAATACCAAAGATGTGATGGAGAATGATGAGATCTCTTTCAGATGGTGAAAATTCCAATTTGCCTTTGAGTAATTGTGAAAAGGCATTAAAATAACTACCCTTTTGAGCAATTTCAATGGTTTCCGAGAATACTCCCAACCATTCAAATACCGACAAGATGTAGGTAATCTTTTCATCATCATAACCTTTACTTGGGTAACCACGACGAGTACGTAATTTACGACGGAACATTTCTTGTGTTGAAAATTTATCGTTTGCACTTGTCGATGATAATGGATCTGGTAAAATGGCTCTAAGAGCCTTGTTCCATGAAATCTTTTCTTGTCCAACCTTTAAAAGACCAACTTCTGTTTCATCCAATAGACCAATTTCAACGGCAGCTTCAATTACTTGACAAAAACCTTTATAACGAATAGTACCTCTAAAGATTGTTTTACTATCTTGAATACCATAATATTGACCAAGTGAGAGACAATTTCTATTTGGTACACCTTCGATTGAAAGGGCAGGGAAGATGTCTACCTTTTGAACACGTTTGTAAACTTCTTGACCAGAGACTACAATGTCACGTCCATCTTGTTTGTAGGCAGCAGGCATTTTGACAGCTTCCAACATACCTCTTGGACTCCAACTAAACTTGTAACCCATTGGATTGTCGGAAGATTCTGGAGCTGGTAAACCACCACACCAAGATACAAATGAACGAATTTTACCACCTTGCTTTTTCACACTATTGATGACTCGCGATGCTTCCAAATGATCAACTCCTGGATCCAAACCCATTTCATTTAAAAATGTTAAATTTGCATCTTTTGCTTCTTGATGAAGTTGTTTCATTTCATTTGTCAAATAACTTGTAGTAATGAGATGTTTTTTTGTACGTAAACAACTTTTTGCAACCAATAATGTCAAGTCATCTGGCAAAAGAGAAATGACAACTTTTTGTTTTGAAACTAGTTTATCCAATTTTGATTGATCATTTACATCAATCACAATAGTTTGAATATCTGGTTCAAATTTAACAGCCTTGTTTACTTGATCAGCATCAATATCTGCTACAACCACTTCATGACTTGGATTACGAGCAAGATAGGAAATGACTGGGTGTGAAATTAATCCAGCACCAATAATTAAAACTCGCTTAATCATTGCTTCTCTTTTCTTGCGCAACTCTTTAATGTATTCAAATGGTGGTGTCAATGATCCATGAGCTGTAATGGTAGCACGTTTAATTTCATCTGGAATATCATTCATCTTGTCATATGGCTTTAATGGATCGGATCTAACAATTGCTTCCATAAATTGTAATAAATGATCTCCAAACCATTGTGTTGCTTCCTTTGGAAATTCTGTTGGTAAATTATCAACTGCTAAAAATAATATTCCTTCTCTATACATATATTTTTGATCAGTTGTACTAAAAAATAGAATAAAAAAAATAAATAAAATGGAAATATAAATATTTAAATATATTATTTTTTTCTTACGGATCATGAATTTCTTGAGTTTTTGGATCATAAATATATAATGGAGAATCAATTGAAGTTGTTTTCATTAAAAATTCCAATGAACCATTAATATCTGCTGAAATATCAGCTACACCAATTAAACGTGAATTACCAGTTTCAACCAATTGTTCCATTTGTCTAATTGTAATTAATCTTGGGAATTTTGCATCCCAATACATACAATTAATTAAACATGAAATATATGGTGCATACTAGTAGAAAATTAAAAAAAAAAAATTAATTAATTAATATTTTAAACTATGTTAAAATGATTCTTTTTTTTGTTTTGTTGTTTTTTTTTTACCTTTTCAAAAAAGATTGGTTTATATTTTGATGGATCTTTATAATAATCATCTTTATCAAATTTCTTTGATGAATCTATTGGTTCTACCATATGTTCAGATTTTATAATTGTACCATATAAAATTCCTCTTTCTCCCTCTAAAAAATAAATAAAAAAATATATAAAAGTTAATATATTATTATTTCTTTTTTTTTTTTCCATTTTTTTTTTTTTTTTTTTTTTTTTAACTTTTATTTTTAACAAGATCAACCATTTCATCAGGAGTAACCATTTTATGAGGAAGTAATTTAAAAATGGAAAGAGCACCTTGAGCAACAGCACCATCAGAAGTGAAAGCAAAGGTAAATGGGAGGAGATCATCGGGGAGACCAACTTGAGAGATTTCTTCACCGATGGCACGAACGGCATCCATGGCATTTTCCAACTTGCTGTAGACATAGGAGTAACCGACATGGAGGAATGGGGTAGAGAAACCCTTGGCCAAGAGACGATCACCAAGGGCGTGCAACATGTCAATCATACCAGCGTAACCGGCAAAGGCACCAAAACGAACAAGACGCTTGTTTTGATTGTCAGTGATACGCTCGTAATCAATGAGACGGATCTTTTTGTTGTTGATCTCGTCCAACATGGGCATGTTGTATGGCTGTGCCTTGATGGTGTGCGAAAAGAACAAGTAGGTCTTGCCTTCAAACAAGTACTCGGATGGCACCTCCTTGACGGCACAGATTGTGTCACAGTCGCGTAAATCCTCTTGGATGATGGCACCGGCCTTTTCATAGGCGGCATTGCTATAGTTTCGCAGTGTGCTTGGTTGCACAATGCAACGAATGCCGCGCTTGACTAACTGTTCAATGTGTGATGGTGCCAAGGGTGCACGACGTTCCCATCGATTCTTATCTTCTCTACGTAATCCAAGTGTATATACTCTAGTAGTAGAAGTAGTAGTAGTAGTAGGAGTTGTAATGATTGGACTATTTGTTTCTGACATTTTTTACTTTCTTTCTTTCTTTTAAAAAATAATAATAATAATAATAAAAAGAGAGAGAGAATAAAAAAAAAAAACAATTATCAGTCTACGATAATAATGATAATGTTTAGAATGAACGACCGTGTGGTTGGGTAAAAGAAGAGAAGAACAAAATGAGGGAGTGGTGTGATCACAGAAAAAAACAAAAAATTAATATTTGTTTGTTGTTTTTTTAAAATTTTAAAAAAAAGGAGGTCGGAAATTGATGAGGGAAATTTCAAAACACCTCTTGGCAACCAGTGACACGTTTTTTATTCAAAAAATCGCTTTCGTGAAACCCATAGAACACAGATAAACAAATATATATAAGTTTCTCGAATACGTAGTACTCTAAAGATTTATTAAATATTTATTGATATTTTTGTACAAGAAATTAGAAATCTCTGGTGACTATTCCTTTGATAGTTTCTTCAACTCTATCAGTAACACTAAACAGTAGTTTTGGATATTATTCTCTGTCGTGTTAGTGTCATATAGAGGCATCTAATAGTAGATACCATCCATTCATTGACATCATTACACCTAAATTGAGCAAGTGTCATCAATGCTTAGATAAGCATCGTTTTGTTTCTCCTTTCATTTTTTTTTTTTTGTACAACGAAAAGTAAGAATAAAATCAAAGAAGAAGAATAATAATAATAATTCTAATATTTATTTATTTATTCTAGGTCACTTGGTAAATGTCAAAACTATAATTTGGCTCAAGGTGAGTATGGTAATGGAATATGGGAAGAGACAACGCATCCACAAAAATAATAATAGTTTAATGATGTCATCACTGATATCATTAACAACTTGATACAAACAGATCTGATTGTTAATTCAACATCAATATGAACAATCAAAGTTTCAATGATCGACAAAACAAGAGAACAAGTATTTTAGAGTTAAAACACCTCCAACTCCACGACTTTATCATCTTTTGGTAGTGCTCCTGCTAGTAGTTGCAACACAACTATTTTCCCATTCTAAACTGGATCTACTTCAACCACAGAATTGCAAGGTGTGCGATATCAACAAACCAACACCCAGTGCAATCACAACTCCCGCTGCTCCTTCTTTGCCAATTTCATTTGTATGGGGTAGCATAGACGCTACGATGATTGGTCAAGTTGAGAGCGTGGGCATTCTACTGAACTCTGTTGGAAGGTAGGGCGTGAATGGTTTGTCGTGCGTGGGCGCCGAGTATATGGTTGGCGAATTGGGATTGTTGGAAGGGTCGGCGAGGAAACGATTCATCGTCCACGCCTTTTGCGCAACTTGTCTGACGTCCAATGGAGTGCTTCTCTTATGCCATTTTTGTATTTATTTGTTTTAACGTAAGATGATGACTAGTACAGCTACCAATTGATTGAACTAATCTCTTTTGTATTAAGGGCGGGCTTTTTTATAAGTAATTCATTCCCTATCGATAGGAGGAGTAGTACAGAAGTTACAAAGTTTGATTAATTATACTTTTAATTTTAATGCTGAAACATTCGGGCCGGGCGGTATAAATACCGCAAAATTGTTTTATGCTTCATCCAAAAAATTGGGCTTGTAGCTCAGATGGTAGAGCGTTCGTTTTGCATACGAAAGGTAAAGGGATCGATACCCTTCTGGTCCACACTTTTATTTCCCAATATTTTCCAATTGATCTGGAGTTGTTTTTTTTCTTGTGTCTGTTCAAACATACATCATTATATATTTATATAAACAAAACCACTCAACCTAGAAGCAAGAGCACAGCAACTTATTATTCGTTTCACTCATTACTTAAGTTGCTGTTACCTTAATAACTAAAGTACCATTTTTTGCGTATAAGTCTCATCATTTAAACGGACACGCGCAAAAAAAACCCGACTTTTTTCATTTTTGTTTTAGAACTCTGCTTCGACCTAGCTTTATTCTGTTCCTCATCAACCATACCACTCATCGAGTACCTGGCTAATGGAGAATGGTCACTCTTTATGGCCCGACAGACCATAATAGCAATGTTGATCCTGAAAGACTGCCACCAGACCTGTCAACATCACGGATTCTATCAAGTTTAATCAAATTTAATCATGGATGCAATTAATCAGCGTAAAGACAACCAACCGAGGCGACCGTAGCGATGAAATCACTTCACTAAAATGGACAAAGGTATCCCCCGACTCTACTGTAAATAGCTGGTGACCAAAGGGTCCCATACGTATAGGAATCGGCGTAGGATTCGCTGTAGGCCAAATAACTCTTTGCCACAAAGGTTATCTCATTTAATCATTAAACTAAACAAAATAAAATTTCTAGTGGTGATCCTGGATACCCACCTTAGTAGTAAAAAAAAAAAAAACAATTGATCCTGGATTTGTACGATGTGGTATGTTTTTTTAAAGTATTAATTACACCAAATTTAAATCTAGATGGGATGAGGTGAGGGTTGTTGAGCGCGTGGTTGAACGCTGTGTGTAGAATTGGAACTAGTTGGTCGGAGTAAGATTTGTAAAAGAGTGTAGAGGTGGCAGACTGGCAACAGTCAATGAGCCCTAGGTTATTCTTTAATCGTGTTATTACCATCAAATATGTATGTATACACTATTGTGATCTATACACTCGCATATACACATTCACATACACATACACCCTCGCACGCACAACCATACCAACATAAACAATTCAGATTAATAGATTACTGTAAAAGAGAGATTGATCAATGATCTTAATGGTTAAGAGTATTTAGAAAATTTATTGTCCAAATTAATATTTGCTTGCTAGATCATTGTATTCTCTCCCACGACATATTAGAACCAACAAATTAGTTGTTCATCATTTACTCTTTTTGGTAAACGTGTTTTATTGTGTGATTATGGAGATGATTATTTTAGAGACAAGTTATTTTATCTATTTTCCACCAAATGATTGATCATCTGGTTTTTCTTTTGTAACAGAGTCTATGAAAAAATTAAAATAAATGATCAATTCGACGATTGTAATAAAATAGTGGTGGTGTTTGCCATCTATATATCTTACAAAACTGAATAAAAATAAAATCTCGATACTGAAAATATAGTTGATTGTGATGATAGTTGCAACGACGACGACGACCATATGGTTATGTAAGATCATCACATGACATATATGATTGGACAATCTAGATTGGGAAATTTTTTTCCCTATCCTCCATACACACAACACCACCACCACCAATCCAAATTTGATCATTATATTTTTAATTTATATACGATAAGAGGATTATATATATATAGATAATATTAAACTACAACTCTACTATGTATATAATATATATTTATGATGAATTAAATTATTGATTTACCTATTTTTTTTTTTTTTTGTTAAACAAAAATATTATTCAACTTTAGTTTAATTGTGAAATTTTCAAACAATATGAAAACTAGTATATTTTTAATTTCTATTATTATCATTTGTTGTCTTTGTATTTCATTGACCAATTCATTCCAACTCTATCTCAAGTCTGGATCAACATGGCAACTCAAAGCAAACACTACTTGCCAAGATGACAACTATCTCGTTAACAAGATGAATTTCAATAGAGGAGACTAACATGAATTCCTATTTGTATCCAACTCAAGTGTTGAAGACCTTGCACCACGTACCTACTCTATAGATGTTAGATCAGATAAATCTGAAGAGACCATTGATTATTTGGATATCCTCGATCCACCCAACAAATACTATGGAAAAACGCCACAAGACTTCATGGTGTGCTTACAACATCTATCCATTTCGTATCAACAATAGAAATCTGATTCAGGGTGGTGATTATGTAATTCATATGAAAAGGGAAGGTTTCAGTCAAATGACTAAATAAAAAAAAATTTAAAGATTAAAAAATATTGTGTTGTTTGTTTTCTATTGTATAATTAAGAAAAGATAAGATAATTGGTGATTAATCAGAAAGGTGTCATACCAGTATCTCTATGTAGTAAAGTAATCAGAATTAAATCAACAAAAGATTGTAAAACCGACAGATCAACAAGATCACTCGTACTATGCCCTTTCATCAACACGACTATGGTATGTAACATTAACATTGCCAATGTTCGAGTCGAGAGAGCCAATTCATTTGTAACGAATCTGCGCACGCAGTACAATGGTATTTGTCTGGTGTAGTGACATCACGAGGTAACTCTGTTACGTGTTCTCGCTGTCCATTTCGTATGTAACATGTACTCATGGCACAGGCTTCATACGTGACATATTCGAACATATTCAACATATCTCCACCGCCGTGATCATCCACCTCCCTCATTCGTATGTGAGATGATCATGGATAATCAAAATTGTAGACGTGATTCAATATTGGCATCAGTCGATCGATGCAAGCGACACATACGTACTCTTGGAAGAATTTATACACTCAAGTGCAAATGATAAAAACAATAGGTTCAAATAGATGAATCATATCAATTGGGACGATCTCTAATAATAGTCTGATCACATGGTTTGGGTTTTAACCCTCTACCTTGCCATTGCTATACAAATATAGACAAAGAAATATAATTATAAATCAATTGCCCATCAGATCTTGAAATGATCAATGAGTAGGGATCACAGTCAACCTTTTTAAAAGTGACTTGATAAATAAATTATTTTCGGTGATCAACAATTATATAGTAACTCGATTGTAGTTTTGTACAGACTGTTTACAATGAAATAAAATATAGATGATAAATTTATAAATTTTTTTTTGATTGGAGAAATATTCTTTTTGTTTTTAATTAATATTTAAATGAATACTTTGTTATTTACATTTCAATCTGATGATAGCTCCTTGTGACACTCTATTTGATATTTGTCTAGAAACAGATAAAGCACCTTCCTTGGTGAGTGTAATAACTATATAGATACTTGGTAAATATATAATTAGTTTGAGAGGTATATAATAATAATAATATATAGATATATGAATATATAGATAGTAATAATGACTTTAGATTAGATTGTAAATGATTATTAATTATAGTAATAAAAGATGAATTAATGTTTATTGATTTCATTGGTCTTTTATAGTTTGTTGTTCGAGACGACTAACCGACAATAGTTTAGTCGTTAGTATTTTTATCCAGCATACTTTCTATATTTGGCACCAGGATTAAGTATGTTGATAATTAGATGAAATATCATTGACTAATCATTGAACTGTACTTTAATTTACAATCTGAATCTAACAGTGAGCCCCCTAATTTTGGCTGCTTCAAACAATTTGTATCCAGCCATGGCAGCCACACTGTTGGGAACGATACCACGTGGCATTATACCAAGTTCCTTGAATATTTCTCTAATTATATCTTTGATCATTTTCTTTGGGTGAAAGTGTAACTTTTGGTGGTTTTGTAGAGTCTTGAACAGGTTGAGTTGATGGTTGTGGTGCAATGGTGGGAGGGTTGGTGACTAATGGATCCATTCTAATATTAACCAATTCAGACCCTTCATCTATACTACTATAAACCAATTCTAGTGGTGGAAGGGTTGATGGTTTGGCACTGTTGACCACATCGCTATAATAGTGGCTCAATGACAAATCAAATTCGACTAGAACATCACGAACAGCTGTTTCATTGTTTGTCACAGGCCAAGTATAAAACCTTGCTTAGAACCTGTGGCATTTGAGTTACCATTTGGGCTGCATATGGGTGAACAGTTCCATTGTATGTAATAATTTCCAAATATAGAACATAATCTTGTCTTTGAGCCCTCAAACGATAGGGGTCATTTTTGATTTCGGGCGTGTTTGCCCCATTCAAAAGGTCTCTTACATATTGGTACATGTTCATATGTGCGCCCAAATTATCCAAACGGTACCCTCCTTTGTAAAGGTAGAAAAAAGCATAAAGTCCAGGTCTGTTTGGAAATATTGAAGATCAGGGTTGAGATGTGCAACCCCATCTGGGGTATACACAAATAATTGTTGGCCCGACACTTGTTGAATCATTTGTATATATTGATGATTGTTGGGATTTTTATCATGAAAATTACAAAAATATTTTGATTCTACTAGTAGAATTGATAAAATAAAAATGATCGTTGCTATCAAACTAGTTGAATACATTATGATGACAAAAGAATATATATTATTTGGAGTGATCATTATTTAAAGAGACAAGAAATATTTCCACCAAATGATTGATCATCTGGTTTTCTTTTGCGGTCAATGAAAAAATTAAAATAAAATATAAATAAATGATGATATCATGATACAATTAATAATGATAGATATACTCTTTGTAGGTTCAGAATATTATATTCTATTTAATAATGTATTAATTATTTTTAGATCAACTAAAGAGTATATGTAGGTCATTCAAAAAAAGTCGAATCAAATTGTTACTCAATTTAATACTACTTTCAAGTTTAAGTGCATGTGCACAAGATCTAATCTTTAATCTCAACAATTCTTATCAGAAACAAAATACTATTTATATTATTATTATTATTAATAGCGCAAGTGGTAGAGAGATGGAAGTGAAACGAAATGATAAAGACAACAATAAGACAGAGTAAATATGAGGGGAGTCACAAGTGAGGGGTACAACAGTCCTGTTTTAAGGACGTTGATCATGTATCTTATTGTATAGTGCCAAGATTGTTGGATTGTTTTGGATTGTTGCTTGTTCTAAAAATAAATTGGTTAAAGATATCGCTATTTTTTTTTTTTTTTTTTTTTTTTTTCTTATATAATTATTCCATGTTACGCAAATATGGCACAACACTTGAAATTGCCATACTTGCGGTGAAACCTTAAGCCTTGGTTGCGTCCAAAACCGACTGCCGCTCTCAACTCTCATCCTATTTACTCCCCATTGTGGACACTCGTCTTTACGTGTTGCATATTGTATTTGAGATATCAAATGGCTTTCTATCGTGTAGCAATCTAGCTCGCAGATTTTGTTCAGTGAAAGGTGCTTGGCATGGAGGTTTTTTTTTTTAAAGTAATTCTTTTCCTGTTCTCTCTCCTATCGGGAAGAGTAGTACTCAGAAGTTACAAAGTTTTATTAATTATACTTTTTAATTGACCAGCAAGAAATAAAGATTATCTCAAGAAGAATTAAAGTTAATTTGTTCTGGGGTTTGTCCATGTCTATGATACATGTTGTATGGACGTTGATCATGTATCTTATTGTATAGTGTCAAGCATGTTGGATTGTTTTGGATTGTTGTTTGTTCTAAAAATAAATTGGTTAAAGATATCGCTAATTTTTTTTTTTTTTTTTTTTTTTTTTTCTCACTAGCACAATAGGCTATAATACTGAGTTGATATAATTATTATTATTATTATTTAGTGAATTATTATATTATTAATATTATTATTGATAGTTGTAGAGAGAATAGAAGAGGATGACGGTGGTGAGGAGGATGAGAGGAATGAAGCTGAGGGTGAACGATTATAGATGAAGAGTACGCAGAGTCTTGACCTCTCCAAATGACTAGGTAGTGCGATCTTGTAGACAGTAGGATGGTTGTAGTTGGAGGAGAATCGAAGGATGATAGTTTGTATTCGTTCTGTAATCGTATGTATTACTGATTCGTCGGTTTGGTTCATTAGAGCCAAGGGCCATCGATTACATAATTCTAACGTCTTGTCCCAGTTTACTTTTATAATATGTCGCATATCACTTATCAATCTAGCTCGCAGGTATTGTTCAGTGAATGGTTCATCTCTTTGGTGACGTAGATCGTTACGTCGGAACCATATTCGTTCTAGTGTTGCAGCGACCAAGTTTGTAGTCATTGGAGTTTGTTTGAGGTTGAGGAGGGTGATGTCCCAAACTGGTGGTGGAATGTTGTTGGCAGCAGTAACCTCTTTCAGTATCTTCACTGGCAGCGTGGTCTCCTTGCATTGGAAGAACAAATGCTTGGAGGATTCATCTTTGCCACACGACACACAGGTGGAGGCGACTGGGTCACCCCTGACGAGCGGGAGACATTTGGTTACATACTTCCAAACCAGATCTCGACCCTTTGGTAGTACGATGGTGGAGAGAGCAGCTAGTGCATTCATTGGATACACTCTGTCATCGGTTGCTAAGATCTTTTGGCCCGGGGTCGGGTCGTACACATTCCACTTTTCCTTGGCTATGGTGCTTGGCATGGCTGAGGGGTACAACAGCCATATTTCTTAAATGAGTCACAAGTTGACTTGGCCGGTTAGCTCAGTGGTAGAGTAGCAGTCTCCAATCAGAGATAGTAAACTGTTGGCCAAGGGTTCGACCCCCTTACTGGTCAGTCATTTTTACCATTTTTTTTTTCTGCGGGTCTGTCGTGGTGCCTGTCGTGGTGCCTGTCGTGGTGTCTGTCGTGGTGCCTGTCGTGGGTTCTGTCGTGGTGCCTGTCGTGGTGTCTGTCGTGGTGTCTGTCGTGGTGCCTGTCGTGGGTTCTGTCGTGGTGCCTGTCGTGGTGTCTGTCGTGGTGCCTGTCGTGGGTTCTGTCGTGGTGCCTGTCGTGGTGTCTGTCGTGGTGTCTGTCGTGGTGTCTGTCGTGGTGTCTGTCGCGGTGAGATTTGGAGCAATTGTTTCATCTACATTTTTTGTTGGTATATAACCACCTTGAGTTTTTGATCTTTTGTACAAGTGATTCTATTGTATTTGAATCGTCCATTTGAATTTCCTTTTCAGTTTCAGTTTGCAAATTGGGTTGAGTAGCCATTGCTGGTAAAGTAATTGCTAAATTGGTTGAACCATTTTCTTTTCTATTATTGTCATAAGAGTTTTTAAAATACTTCTTACTAACATACTTGTGGACGAGACAATAACCATTGATAGTTTTGTTATCATCATGTTCAATAGCTACCAAGACCTTTTGTCACACGACAAGTTGCGATTGTGTATCATTCAAAATACATGGGGAATGTTCACCAAAAAAAAATTAAAAAAAAATTAAATCTGTTCTTCAAGATCTTTTTGAGTGAATCAAAAATTTTCAAATGCAACATTGATTAATATTATCAATTTGAAGAAATTATTTTGGATGACCAACAAGATGACAATTCTGTTGATCCAATATTATCAAGACCAGCAAAACAATTTATTTGTTGGGCAAGAGAAAGTACAGATCGTCAAGTTGAACTTGGTCAAGGTTTATTATCTCAATATGTTGTCAATTTCAACGACTTGAATTTAATTTTCAACAATCATATCAATCAATTAAAATTATCAAATCAAACAAAAAATAATTTGGAAATTATTCTTGGTACTGAAATTGTTTCTTCTTTTAATCATTCTTTAAATAATAGAAGGTAAAAAAAAACAAAAAAAAAAAAAAAAAAACAAATTTATTTATCTTACTTTTTTTTTTTTTTATATTTTTTAGACAAATTAAAATGATAACAGAAAAAATGATAAAAGATTCATTTGTAGCAACTCCAGCTATAAATAGATTAACAAGAAACAAGACTGAATTTGGTATTTTGAATGACATTTTTGAAGAAACAGATTCGATTAATTGTAGAAAATCCACAATTGGAAAGGTTAGGTATTCAAAACTCTATCATTTTAGATTATGCAACTAAAAAGTTTTCTTCAATTGGAAAAACCAATTCAACTGCAACATGGAATCAAGTTTTGGAAGAATTTGGTAAAGGTTTTGATCGTCATTATTATCATTCATATGAGGTTGGTGTTTATTCAAGTAGAGCGGCATCATTAACTGCTCATATCAAACCTCATGGTAGGGATGACAAAAACTATAAAAGATTACTAGTTCAAGATATGTCATCTTGGATTCCAACATTTTTCAATCATTTCAAGGAAAAGGTTTCATTGGTTCTATTATATCCTCCAAGTAGTTAAATCCTTTACAATTAATTGGTAAGAAAAAGAAAAATATTAAATATTTATTTATTATTTATTTATTTATTTATTTATTTATTTTTAGATAATTTTTATTTAATGAATCTTTTCAAGGAAGAATTTGAAAAATCATAACCTGCAACTATACCTCATTCAAAAAAGGTATTTGAATTGTTGGAAGATTTTGATGGAGAAAAAACCAAATCAACACCTATATTGTTTCCTACAATGGTTACAGATCAAAACCTTTCAAAAATTCTAGAGGGTTGTTTAAAAAGTCAACATTTTCGTTCTACTTGGTGGCAATGCAAAAGTTGGTTACGAAAACTCTAATTTTCAAAGTGATCAAGTATTTGAAAAGGTTTTGGCTTCTATTGAACAATCAATTGCTAGTCATGATAATAACGAGACTATCAATGGTAATAATAATTCAATAGTTATTGAAAAGGTTAAATCTCATCACAAATATAGTATAAAAAAACAAAAAAAAATAGAATAAGAATAGAAAGCGGAAGGAAAGGAGAGGAGGGAGAGGAAAGGAAAGGAAAGGAGGAGAGAGGAGAGGAGAGGAAAAAAAGGAAAGGAAAGGAGAGGAGAGGAGAGGAGGAGGTGAGCGAGAGAACAGACACCACGACAGACACCGCGACAGGCACCACGACAGAACCCACGACAGAACCCACGACAGACACCGCGACAGGCACCACGACAGAACCCGCGACAGGCACCACGACAGGCACCACGACAGAACCCACGACAGGCACCACGACAGGCACCACGACAGACACCACGACAGACACCGCGACAGGCACCACGACAGAACCCACGACAGGCACCACGACAGACACCACGACAGGCACCACGACAGAACCCACGACAGGCACCACGACAGGCACCACGACAGGCACCACGACAGACCCGCAGAAAAAAAAAAATGGCAAAAATGACTGACCAGTAAGGGGGTCGAACCCTTGGCCAACAGTTTACTATCTCTGATTGGAGACTGCTACTCTACCACTGAGCTAACCGGCCAAGTCAACTTGTGACTCATTTAAGAAATATGGTTCTTTTACCCCTCCGCCCGGCCAAAATGCTCCCACCGCCAGCTTTCGGAACCAAACAGAGAAAGCCACCGCCTCTTGTCCACCTCAACTGGGTAAAGCTACTCCAGTTTGCCGACAACACGTCTACATGCCAAAAACATCCAAGAATTTAAACTAATGGACGAATGGATTCAGCAATTCTGTAAAGCTACATCATCCAAAGTCAACACTGACAAATGTGATCATGTCACCTGGCAGTCCAACCAATTTACCGTACCCACTGATGGACAAGGAAAGCAAAGAACGATACCTCGGCTATTACTTTAACCAGTTTGGTTTTGGTACCACACCTTCCAGAGCGTATTGACAAGGTAATCAACGATTTGATTAGATGGAAACCTAAACACAACAACAACTATAGAGGTAAATTAGCTTTGCTCAAAACATATGGTCTGTCACAATTAAATTATTTCACGTACCTTGGATCACCTAGCCACGAGGCAATCACCAGATTGGAAAAGGTTATTGATTGGTTCATGTTCAGCAACGACCGTCAGTACGACCCAACCAAGCCAACCAAAAGAACCATGTCCAAGAAACGTTCCATACGATCGATCGACCAAGGTGGTCTCAACCTCTGGGACCTCAACGCTAGATTCCGTGCCCAAAAGGCATGGATGTTCGAAAGGTTCCTCCACGAGGTAAAGAACGACCGAGTTGCAAAGGTTTCCTTTGCCCAATCATGGATGGACCAACTCAACCAAGACAAACCAAATGATTTTGTCCGCCTCTGCCAAAGCGAGTGGGAAAAGCTTACCCAACCCTACGACGTCAGCAGAGAGGCTGTACCCAAGCCAGCAATGGAACCAGACAAAAGAGGAAGAGTACCTCTCAAACAAGTGTACCTCCAAAGGCTGACCATAGCCAACGAAAAGTGGAATGTGTACGACCCGACCCAGGCCAAAAGATCTTAGCAACCGATGACAGAGTGTATCCAATGAATGCACTAGCTGCTCTCTCTACCATCGTACTACCAAAGGGTCGAGATATGGTTTGGAAGTATGTAACCAAATGTCTCCCGCTCCTCAGGGGTGACCCAGTCGCTTCAATCTGTGTATCCTGTGGCAAAGATGAATCTTCCAAGAATTTGTTCTTTCAATGCAAAGAGACCACACTACCAGTAACGATACTGAAAGAGGTTACTGCTGCCAACAACATTACTCCACCAGTTTGGGATATCACCCTCCTCAACCTCAAACAACCTCCAATGACTATAAACTTGACTGCTGCAACACTCGAACGAATATGGTTCCGACGTAACGATCTACGTCACCAAAGAGATGAACCATTCACTGAACAATATCTGCGAGCTAGATTGCTAAATGATATGCGACATATTATAAAAGTAAACTGGGACAAGACGTTAGAATTATGTAATCGATGGCCCAAAGCCAAAAGTGCTGAGAAAAAAAAAAAAAAAAAAAAAAATAGTGATATCTTTAACCAATTTATTTTTAGAACAAGCAACAATCCAAAACAATCCAACATGCTTGGTACATGTATCATAGACATGGACTACCCCACAGAACAAATTAACTTTCATTCTTCTCGAAATAATCTTTATTTCTTGTTGGTCAATTAAAAAGTATAATCAAAGTAATTCTTTTCCTGTTCTCTCAAGCAAGTGTACCTCCAAAGGCTGACCATAGCCAACGAAAAGAGGAGAGTGTATCCTATGAATGCACTTGCTGCTCTGAGTGTAAACTCCTACCCGCCTTTATAAAGGAAGATTTGAATAAGTGTGTAAAAGAGATAATAATAATACAACCATGTCATTCAAATCTACCAATATGTACACACAAGTTTGGTCCTCTTGTACCACCAATTCTCTCCTTGAAACAAAAATCACACACCTAAATGTAATAATAATAATAATATTTATTTATTTATTTATTTATATTATTATTATTATTTTTGTTATATGTAATAAAATTCAATTTCCTTTCAATTTTTACATATCTTCAACATCACCACCTTGAGTAGAACTTTCCTTTACCTCTTCATAATCCTTTTCAAGAGCATGAAGATCTTCACGAGCTTCAGCAAATTCACCTTCTTCCATACCTTCACCGACGTACCAATGAACAAAAGCACGCTTGGTGTACATGAGGTCAAACTTGCGGTTGATACGGCTAAAGACTTGGGCGATGGCGGTAGTGTTGGACAACATACAAACGGATCTTTCAACCTTGGCCAAATCACCGCCTGGGACGACAGATGGGGCTTCGTGGTTGATACCACACTTGAAACCGGTTGGGGACCAGTCGACAAAGCTTACAGCCTTGCTCTTGGTCTTGAGGTCAGAGACGGCCTTGTGGGCTTCCTTGGGGACAACGTTGCCACGGTACATGAGACAACAAGCCATGTACTTGCCTTGGGTTGGGTCACACTTGGCCATCATATTTTCTTGATCAAAGACGGCATTGGTGATGGCAGAGACAGAGATTTGTTCGTGGTCAGCCTTTTCACGAGAGACGATTGGTGAATAGGAACACAACATGAAATGAATACGTGGGAATGGGACAAGATTGGTTTGGAATTCATTAATGTCAACGTTGAGGGCACCGGCAAAACGAAGAGAAGCAGTGAGCGAAGAAATGACTTGAGCGACCAAACGATTGAGGTTGGTGTATGATGGACGGTCAATACCAAGTGAACGACGACAAATGTCATAGATGGCTTCATTGTCGAGCATAAAGGCAACATCGGTGTGTTCGAGGAGAGCGTGGGTCGAGAGGACAGAGTTGTATGGCTCGACAACAGAGGTGGATACTTGTGGCGATGGGTAGATACAGAAATCTAATTTGCTCTTTTTACCGTAATCCAAAGAGAGACGTTGGAGGAGGAGAGAACCAAAACCAGAACCAGTACCACCACCTACAGAGTGAAAGACGAGGAAACCTTGGAGACCCTCACATTCATTGGCCAACTTTCTGATACGGTCCAAACAAACATCTACGATTTCCTTGCCGACGGTATAGTGACCACGAGCATAGTTGTTGGCGGCATCTTCCTTGCCAGAGATCATATACTCTGGATGGAAAAGACTCTTATAGTCTGATGTACGAATCTCATCGATAACGGTTGGTTCGAGATCGATAAAGAGTGCACGTGGTACGGCCTTTTTACCATTGGATGAAAGGTTGAAAAAGGTTGAAAACGATCCTTGATCAACAGTTACAGATGATGTAGTGTCGTTTTGACGTACTTTTTGTTGTTGTTCGGTTAATAAACCATCCTTTCCAATACCATGTTCCAAGGTATATAATTCCCAACAACTTTGTCCAAGTTGTACACCAGCTAAAAAGTAAAAAGTAAATTAAAATAATAGAAAAGATTAGTAAAGATAGATGAGAGATAAAAAGAAGAAGAGTTTTACCTTGACCAATGTGGATTGAAATGATTTCACGTGCCATGTTTTACAATAAGAGAGTAATACTTGATGTCTGATAATGAAACTATCAAAGTATAAATAAAAAAAAAAAAGAGAGATTAAATAAAGAAGAGAGAATAAAAGATAAAAAGTAAAGTGTGATCATCATTGCAAAGAGAAGGAAAGGAGTGAGAGATCAACTTTTTTTTTCAAAATATTTTTTTGTAATTTTTTTTTGTTTTTTTTGGAGGCAAAAGATCTTCTCTCACAGTTTGGTTCAAATAAATTTAATTTATATATCTCTTTTAAACTATAATAACAACTAAACTAAAAGATTAAAACTATTTAATCTTTCTTTTTCTCTCTTGTAAGAAGAGAAAAGACTAGGAGCAAGACATATCAATCCTCTTGTAAAGATGAAAGTGAAATAGTTTATTTGCAACATTTTTCCCCACTCTCTGGCTCTTCCTTGTATATTCTGAGGACCGATTTTTCAACTTTTTCCAAAACTATAAATATAGATGGAAGGAATGATCATTTCAATTCATTTCAATTTCAATTATATAAATCATGATAACAAACAAAGATTCAAAAGTATATATATATATAAATTATTCTCTAAATATTTTTTTTATTAATTAATTTATTTTCTATATAGTTAACATTATGGGGATGTAGTAGTCCAAATGTAGTTAAAGTTAGATTATTATTAAAAGAATTGGGTTTAGATTATGAATTTAAATTGGTTGATTTACCAAATGGTGAACAACATTCTGAAGAATTTAAAAAGAATGTATCAATCAATTCAAAGGTTCCAGCTCTTAGAGATGATTCATTGGAAGATGGTTTTATCATTATTGAATCTTGTAACATTCTTTTGTATCTTGCTGAAAAGTATGCTAAATTTATTCCAAATGATACTCAAGGTCGTTTTGATACTTTTTTTTGGACTTTTTGGCAAACTAGTGTTCTTGTATGTTAAAAGATAAAATATAATAATTTATTATTTTGTTAATTTTCAATTTTTCTATTTGTTTAGGGACCAAACTTTGGTAATATGAATTATTTCAATATATTTGCAGAGACCAAGGTACCATTGGCAATTGAAAGATTTACAAATGAAACTCATAGACTTTTCAATGTTTTAAACAAGAGATTGGATGGTAGAGATTATGTTGTTGGTGATGAAATGACTATTGCCGATTTTGCAATCTATCCATGGGCAAGAAATGTTGTTAGAGTGCCTGGTTGGAGTGAAGAGTTTCCAAATGTCGTTAGATACATTGCTACGGTTAGAGCTAGACCTGCTGTAAAGGAATTTGAAGAGTTGGAGGCTGCCTTGCCAAAGAACTTTGATTTCACTCCTGAACAAAAGGCTTTTTTGTTTAATCGTTCAAATTAAAGGAATGGAATGGAGAGGAAAGGAATCAATCTATTTAATAAATCATCTAATTGGTAATTTATTAAATCATATTATTTATTTATTCTCTAAACTAGTCTCGTCATCAGTTGTGCATGCCAGATCACAATGGATAAGATTCCCAGGTTGTAATTTGGAATCGATAACCATATAGGTGATGGTGTTATAAATGTTATATCAAAACCAACCTTAAACCTATTAGCAGAGATCAATGAATTATTATCAAATATCTAACCTTGATCGAAATCATTTTTCCCAAATTTTTTTTTTATGATTTCTACTTCATTCTCCTTCGTGAAAGATCATCATTATTTACCTCAGTTCATTCAAAATGATTAATGACTCAACAGAAACCAAAGAGATACCAACAGAGACAACACTGGAGGAGGGGGAAAGGAATTATTCAATCAATCAAGGATAGATTTAATACCCCCCCCAGGCATAACAAAACAGAATTTGTTAAAAGAATCTAGTAATAGAGGAATCCCCGACAATATAATAGAAGATATTTGGAAGGCAGTTGTCAATATCGTGGTAACAGGTACTGACGGTAAAGGGGAAAAGAAGACCTTTCGAGGCACCGGATCCCTTGTACCTCGTCCCAAAATGATGTTAACTGGTTACAAAATCAAACATTATAATTATGCTGAACCAAAGGTAATGTCCTGGATTTTAACCAACCATCATGTCTTTGATGCCAATCAGATTGACGTGACTAAAATGTCTGCCATTTTTGAATCAGGAGACGAGTACGAACTTGATCCTACCACCTATTTCCAGTCCTCTAAACATTAATAATAATTATAATTATCATTCTTCTTTTGGATTTCAAAGGAAATTTGGATGAAAACAGACTCGAGAGGCTATCAGAGTTGTGCGAAACTCCTTTGGATTGGGGCAACCGCGATTCGATAGATCTGTCGGTCCCAGGATCAGACCACTTGATCATCGGATTTCCATATGGAACCGAAAAACGAGCATACATCTTGGATGACCTTAAGAAACACAACACCAATGGGTGGGTGCTTGAATACAATGGAAAAGCGACTCGCGAAGGATCTAGTGGATCTCCCATTTTTTCTATCAACAAACTAAGATACAACAGTATGGAGATTGGAGCCATCCACATAGGTAAAGATACAGAGAATATTATTGGAAATGGGACTGTATTCAGTTACATTACAAGAGAAATAGGTCTTGTTCAAGATCAACTACCCGCATTTTTAGGCAGTGTTTCTTTATCAAGTTCTCATCGAACCTCACTACTTGGGTGGGTTTTCGGGACTTCTATTCCGGGAACTAAGCAATTTTGGGATAAAAATGTGTGCGTCGATGTACCTGTTCCTGATGGACTAAGTGAAGAAGAGAATTTATACTTGGAAAATAAAGAAGCAGCCAAATATTTTTATTCTATTGGTCAAGATAAAGTAAAAATGGAAAATGGAGAGGAAATATTTCAGTGGATAGAAATAAAGGATATAAAAGGAGAATTTATTTTAAGAATAAACAAGCGAAAATCACTCAAAAATTAAGATCCCAAGATTTATCAAATTCAATAAATTCTCCTTAAGTATTGCTATTCCATCAAGAGTAAACAATGGGTTGCAAACTCTTTACAAAGGGAATGAATAATGGTATTTGTTTAAAATTTTTAGAGTATTTTTAGTGAAAATTATCCTATCCGATTTATTCTTGACGAATAAAAGTAATACTATTAAACTTATAAACCTTGGGTATCTTCTTGGTCATTCAACCCTGGGCTAAACATACAACGTGAGTCATGTTGATGGTAATGTGGTTTGATCTTGTGGATGATTTGATTGTATTGGTATTGGTGTTTCTTTCAATCCAGTGTTGGACTGTTCCTTTGTTCTACTGATATCTTGATGTTGTTTGAACTTTTAGTGAAAATAGTTTCCTTTTACATAATGTTTAACAATGATCAACGTTTGAGGATATTAAAGACTGTGAAGAAAGATGCAAAGAGAAAGACTTACAAATAGAACAACTGACAAATGAAGTGGAGAGATTGACAGAAGAGAATACAGAACTCCTTGCATTGAACAAAGCATTGATGCATAATAACCGCGATGAAATAAAAAGAATCATAACACGGCAAATCACAGCTACCCTCTCGATGGTCGACGATAACCTTCAAGACCTAAAACAAAATTATGTCAACAAAATCAAGGAGTACCAAGAACAGGAAGAGGGGCACATACAAAAGATAAAAGAGCACGAACAACGGGAGGATTTACAAAAGAAGAGAATAGCAGATTTGGAAGGAAAAATAGATGTATTACAACAAGAAAACTTGCGTCTCGTACAAGCAAACAGCGCATTGCAGAGGAGAGTTGAAGATTTGGAGTTTGGTAATAAAGCTCGTGACGATAAAATAACTTCATTGGAGAACGACAATAAGACACAGGGAGACGAGCTCAAGTCCGTCACCACAAGACTTGGCAAATTGGAGGAGTCTTACAACAAATCTCTCATTGCTGCAAAAAAACAAGCAGAATATGAAGTCACCCAAACATATCAAGAGCAGACAAAGAAAATCGGCCAACTCGAAAAGGAAAACAAGGAGCTCAAAGAATTTGCCGATACAAACAAAGGTTCCACCATAATCAACTCTATCATCCATATGGACGCAGCCCTCGATTATTATTTGCGATATGTTTTGATGCCAGAGGTCAATATCAAAATCAAAAATGGCGAGGGTAAAGGACGCACAAAAGAGTACATATGGGACACAACGTTCATAGACGAAAAAAGACCATTGTCTGATGACCATTTTGGAAGGAAAAATAATTACCTCTCGGGATTATCAGCAACAGACATTGCCTTTAACATTCACAGTATTAATCTGCATGTACTCTCCAGGCTCATTGCCCGAGAAAGAGATATTAATGCCCACCCCACAGTGGATGCGGGATTCTTCAAGACTCTCAAGAAGTTATTGGCGAATGGCCCAGTCCAAGCAAAATTGGGTTACGATATAGGTGCTGTTAATGCCATGATCTCGTCAATATCACTGTATAGAAACAGAACAGGACAATAAATAAATTTGTAAACAGTTTTAAAAAAAATCAAATCTTGGACAAGCAAGGGCCAATCAATGAGCATCTTATTATTTATCTTCGCAACACTCAAACAACATCCCTACCTCCTATCAATATGTACGAATCTGATGATGAAGATTTAAATGAAGGCGAAGATATTATTGTTCGCGTACACTACGATGGGGAGAACAAAGAGAGTATGACAACGACGCAGACCTTTCAAGACCTACTAGCAAAACTGTTGGGTAGAACCATTGCGATATTTGCTATCATATCTTCTCCCCACAACAAGAGAGGGGGTACTATCAGTCATAATAATAGCCTCTCCCCTGGTTTCTATCTCATCACCTACCCAAAGGCACTTGCAAAAGGCAAGATCGAGGCTATCACATCAAATCTTCATTTAGAATATGTCGTACAACAGAGATCTCTATGTGAGTCTTAAAATCAAGAACAATAAAAAGTATCTATTCTTTTTTGTGATAGATATTGTCGGCTGTTTTAAAAAAGTGTCACGAGGTTTGATTCAGATTGCTTCCATGCTTTGAAACGATTGGTTAGGAGTCGGATGTTCTTCTTCCCATTCGGAGGCCAAAATATCGTCTATCATTTATTGATTGATTTTTTAATTTTTGTTGATGGTTATTTAAATGCAAATTATAACACAATTGCTTCGTTTGCCTTCAACTGTCAATAACCATTTACCTTTGACTGAAAACACAAATATTATTAATCAACAACAAGAACAATATCAATCACCTCAAAAACAAAAACAACAACCTAATCTTTACACTTTTATTAAAACAATGTTAACAAACCAAGAAGAGGTAGAAAGAGCACAACTCATTTTACAAAATGAAAGTTTGAATATCCCATTTTACATTGGTAGAGCCGCTGTCCAAGCACAACGAATAAATGGGAAACTGGGTTTCAGTGCAGAACTAACTTTTAGGGTTAGAGAAGGCAGATTTCATTCTATGGATGAAATTATTGGAAGATCATTTCGAAAAGAGTTCTCCGAGCACAACTCGAAAAGACCCATGATACCAGGAGAACGCAGTTTCTTTTATGTTGACCTCATTCCTGTTCATTTTATTGGTGGAACAGTCGAAGCTCCTATATTGGTTGTTTACCCTACAAGCAAAAAGATATTATCAACGAACATTTCAAGTTATGATGAATGTTTTGATGAAGAAAGAATTGTACTTCAATATTTGGCTAAAATCGAATCCAAAAATATTAATTGCAAAACGGAGCACCATGATTATTGTGGCTCAAGTCAACAAGTTCTTTATATCAGATATTATAACTATGACAGAGATATTTTCCCATGTTGTTATAATAGATGTTTAAAGCCTAAAATCACAATGTAGTTAACTCTTATATAAGAGCTTATCCATAAATATAATTATAAATAAATCTTTTTAGAATGATTTTTTGCCTATATCATTCACTTCTATTAAAAGGCAACTAAAAAAAACTTTTATTTTATCTTTCAACTCAACAAATAATCTTAACAAATAATGGACCCTTTCAAAATGGCATTACTTTCCCCACAAATACCAAAGACCGTCGATGCATTCGTGGAGGAGATTAAAGATCTAATCAGTGGATTGGAATATGAAATAGAATACAAAGTGGGAAGTCAAACACGATTGCTTTCGGATTTGGGTGTCCTAGTTAATTCAGACTACTATAAATATGTAATGGATAAAGACACACGTGCTAGATATGGTGATACGGTCCCAGGCTCCCCCGATGGGGGATTGTTGGGGAAACCAGTCAAGGAGTCGACGACAATAACGCACACGAGGGAATGTACACTGCAATCTATAAACGTTACGTGGATTCAAGAAAATAATATAATAAATATACTTTCCCTGGAAGTGTTGATCAAAGTTTATTGTTTTCTATTGCATTTTTCTTTTGCTCGTGATTACCTTCCCAACTCTTTTATTTTCTTCCCCATGGGGAGTGGGTATATCATTATTGTTTGTAATTCATTAATTTATAAACAATAAATAATGTATACAGATATTAGCTCATCACTTTACTCGTGCGCAAACAAAAAACTTAATTGTAAAGAGTGTGGATCTATTCTCGTTAAACATCCAAAACTACATATCGAAGGACATCCTGCCCCAGATCAATCTTATCATTGCAAACGTTGCGATTTTCAATTTACACCATGCGATGAAGACGGGTGCGACGAAATCATGTGGGATACTTGGTACAGTCATGATTGGCTCAGTCATGGGCAATACCACTACCCTGCATGGGGAACAATCGTTTGTAAAAAGCATTTCGAAAACGAGATGAAGGAATATCACGATGCACCAGATTTCTATCAACCTGATTGCCCAATGGAAGACGAAGATTGTGAATATTGTATCGAATGGTTAGAAAAGAATAAATTAGAATAAATATATTAATAACTTTTATTAGCCGTATGAAGTCATATGTCCAATATCTTTGCATATATCAGTCAAATCACTACATTGGTGGACCGCACAGTTGAAACAAAAGAAGGTATTCTCATACCACTCATCATGGGGGGTGATTACATCTGGTAGACAGTCAAAGCAAACTGAGAAATTATGTCCGGATTCCTGTGATAGTTGGAAAACAAAAAATTAATATATTATATCCAACTTTATGAATTTGATTGTAATAATATTACATTTGTAAAGGAATACATTTATTATTTATAATAGTTCTGTGTATAATAGACTAAGTTTGGTTTTATGCTTTTCTCTTAATGGTGTGTCACTTGGTGATTGTCTGGTAATATTTCTTCTTACTTCTTTACCTGCATATTCAAAAACATAAAAAATGTTTGCCAACTTATTCTCGGCTAGATACTTGTGTGGTATCTCGGAAAGTAAAACACAATTAGGTGTTACGATATGGAATCGGCGGCCATTAAGATTGGATCCATCCATAAAATACATCGAGAATAAATCTTCAAATGAATTGCCATTGAAATCGAAATTTAAAAATTGTTCCATTGACATTCGGAGTGGAACTACCATGAAAAATGAATCTGGTTGTTGAGATGGGCGATGTCCTTTAAAATAAAATCTTTCGGCCAATTTATCCTTTGGTTTGATACTATTGATGATAAGTGGATGACCAATTACAGGCAAACGCATGAGATTGGCAAACTCGCTGACGAGAATTGACTTGGCTCCAAGTAATTGACCCAAAACTCTTTTGTAGGCTTGGTATTTCCTCTTTGGGTCACGGAAATTGGATTTGATTTGACGATTGATAACAATATTTCCAAATACTTGTTTGAATAATACTTTGGGTACTTTGTTTCTACTTACTTCTAGTTTCATATTTGTTGTTGTTTACTTTCCATTCACAATTTAGCATTGCCCCTCAATCCCCATGGGGGTAGGTGAAAAGAGCAACTCAAATAAAAATAATTAAAGAAATAGTTTTGTAAATGAATGCATTTTCTTTTATTTTAGATGTTTGATTATTGACAGGCATTCTTTTTAAGCAACATGTCAGGTGAGATGCGAACTACATCACCAGCAGAGTAGATACCCTCATAAAAGCATCTGAAATGGGTTGGTTCATCGAGATCGAAAACATGGAACTTTACTTAAAGAATATCTTTTGGTTTGGTGAGTTGAAATATCATGTATTCTCCTTTAGGGATGTACTCTTCCTTTTCATTGAAATCCAAGTGTATTGATTGGTGTGTAGTATTGTTAAACATGATTGTTGGGGTGAATGCCATTTGATTTATTTATTTATTTATTATTCTGTGTTGCATCCAAAAAGATAAGCACCCATGTAAACACAACGTTGTAATGACACGGGATATGGACCTACATTGAAGAGGTCATGTGATCTAATACATTCTTTTGTGATTGCTGATACCAAAATTGGACATGTTTGGTCAACGCCATCGACTACGGTGTGAGAACGGGAGCATGGCACTCCATTTTTATCCATGAATGCATATGAACAAACACGGGCCCCTTCGAAGGTATCTTGAATAGTAAACGGCGTTGATTGGATGCACAATAACGAAATATCTTCACATGTCAGCTGGATATTTTGTTGTGGTACTAATAACGGTGAAGGTAGTTTGGGTAAACCGTCATTCTCACCCATGGATGGGGAATATGCCAAGAGGCATAAGAAGATGATTGAAATGAGATAGTTGAATTGCATTTATGTTGTAGTTGTAGTAGAGAGGAGAGATGAATTTATAAAATTGAAATGAATCTTGCGATGATCAAGATGCCAAAATCAAAATTAAAAAAAAATTAAAAAATGAAAATCGAGATGAACCAAACCTTTAAAAGGAAGTGTTGGGCCTCGTGATCCATTCATAAACATGGATCAACTAAAAAACAAAGAAGTATTGAATATTAGTACCCAAGTTGGTTGTATTGGTACCCTTTATTCTTACTTGTGTGTAGATTATTGGAGATGTAATACACCCCAATATCCAAGTGCTACATACCCCAATCCTCTTGGTTACATCAAAGTTGAGACAGTTGGTTTATCATTTCAAATAATTGTAATGGGTGATTCATCGGTGGTACCAAGTCATATCATTGGAAATTTCGCTAAAAATAATATGGAAGCACTGGTCGACTCTATCGCGATTCTATCAAGAATTCCATTGGCTCTAATTGGTCCAACAGAAATTAAATATGGAAAAATATCAATACAAGATTTTAATTCATCTCAATATGATAATTCATATATTTACCTCCCATTGGTAAAGGGGGAACATAATATAGATGACAACGAAATTAATAAAATAATTAACTACTCCTCGAAACGATTTACAAAATAGGAAATTGTTGTTGGAGTTGTGTTGGTTATGTCAAAAAGTGTTTTATTGTTGATTTCTTAGTGGCCTTTGAGGGGGTCTTCTTTACGGGTTTCTTGGCTGCTGCTTCTGCTTTCTTGGCTGCAAGTTCGGATTCCCCTTTCACTCTGGCTGCATCTTCGGCCAAGAATTTTGCCCTTTCCTTGGCATCCTTCATTTTCTTTTTCTTTGCAGCTCTTAATTTGTCTTCCAATTCTTTTCCATAAGTGATAAAGATTTCATCACCCGGGTAAATATCTACGATAGCCTTGAAAACAAATGAAGTTTGAGATACCTGGAAGGAGTGTGCGTTAGGGGCGCTGACGATCGTCTCCCCTTCATGGAATTTGTCGAATCGGGGGCCCAATAGACAGTTGGCATAACGAGTGACACCTGATAAAAACTTGTTACCAGAATCGACAACTGCTGTAGTGGATTGGGTTTGCATGGCATACCCATTGATGGGGGTTGGGTCCTGTACATCACGAATCACACCAGAGTATTCCCCAATATCACTTCTTCCTCCTAGATCCAATGAACTTTCCCAATCGGCGATCTTTTCTTTCAACTTTTTCTTCTTTTGCTTTTCGGACAGTGTCTTTGGTACGATATCTTTGATGGTTGGACACTTTGGGGTCACATTCTCTTCGAGAGCTGGGAAGATAACCGTTGGTTTTTCGCGGGTACCACATCTTTTACAATTGCGACGCCCACATCTAGTAGCAAACAGACCAAGCCCCCCATCGATAATGGTGGATTGTTTGACCTTGAGGTGCATCTGTTCCTTAAGGTGTAATGTGCACAGAGTGGTGTGTTGGGACGGCAATTCACAATAGAGGCATGTTTGGGACCTTGGGATAACCTTGGTGTTGGTTGGGCCTTCGTTGAGTTTGCGGAAAAGGGTGGATCGACCGATGTCATATTGTTTCACCCAGTGTCGCATAAGGTTCCCTCTAAGCGCTTTTGGTATCTTGGGGGTATTGTGATAAATTCGGTGGATGCATTCCAAATCTCTGATTTCTAGTACCATTGTATAATTATGACTTTGAAAAATAAAAATTTTAACTCACATACCGAATTTTAATGTGAGCAGAGAGACTGAAATTAAATTTAAAAAAATTCAAATATTTTAATTGGAAAGAATGCCCGAGCCTTGGAATCAACACCAAACTACAAAATAAGCATCGGTCACATGGGGTTGTAATAGAATTTACAAAGAAAATATGGATATTATCTACCAAATCGATCGACCTTTCTCCCCATCGTCTGATGTGAGGGTTCCAAGAATGTATCGAGATCGAATCAAAGAAATTAAGAATCATCCAGATTTCGAATGTTATCACGACACAGTTGGCGTCATAGAGAGATGGTTTCCCCTAAATGGTAATGGTAAAATATCACCAATTTGTTCATTCACAAAAAAAATTATCCGTTCTCCAAATGTCATTGGTAAAAGTGGATTCAAAGACAGGCATTTAATTTCAAATGTTTTAAATCTACTTTGGTATTCATTGTACAAAGATTCATCAAGAAGCAGATGGATTCAAAAATATTTTTATTTAGAAATAATTAATAAAAGAATAAGACAATCATTATGATAAAGACCATTCGAGTTTATTTTAGAGGAACCACTCCCAGAAAACACTAGAAAATTCATTCCGTTCACCGGATGCCAGATTGACAGAGATATAGACACCATCTTTGTGTGTGATTCTAATCGCAAAACCATTGTTGAAATTGATTAATGAACATCTAGTTGTGTCTGATGACCGATAGCCATCGGTTATTTGATAACCAACAGAAGATGCACCGATTGCAGCTAAATTATATGGAGGTTGGAAGCGGGTGGGTAAAGATAAAACCCCGGTGGTCCCAATAAGTTGGCTCCCACCAGAATATGGACCAGTAAACCAAAATTTATCGAACCCTACTTTAACATAATTTCCAATTCTCATGCATCTGAGCTTTGATCCTACTAATGGGTTTGCGACACTTGCGTGAGTCATAGTAATATCAGACGAATAAACCTCGTAACTATCCAAAATAGTGGGGATGTAACTTGGAATGGAAGAGTTCATAAACCGGATGCCCTTTCCATAAACATCAAGAGACATATTATCTTGAGATGTGAGAAGTTTTGAATTTGTTTGAAGTGGCGATGTACCATTGGCACTCTTACTTTGGTATGTGATAGTAAATGGCAGAATAGTCATTGATGTCAAAGTGCTTACGTTTCCGGGTTGGTGTGATGCCCTTAAGGTTACGTTACCATTTGGATTCAAATCAACGTTCATTTTGATGATCAAATTCGGCTCTGGGATGTATACTTTAACTCTCTTGGTGACTGTGAACTGGGGTGTGTCGTAAAACGGGCGACTGATAGTGGCCAATACAATTTGACTAAACGAAGAGTTGTTCATCTGCAAGGTAATAGGAGAAACCGAAGAAAATGTGCGAAGATCTCCCACCCCATTTAATTTCCATTCAATGTTAAAAGTAGTGGTAGAATTTAAAGGTTTGGTCTCGATAAAAACATTTTCGACCAATGGTAAGGTCGGTGTTATAAGAGGAGATCCATCGGAGTTATAAACATTTTGACCAGCTGCCATATGCACACCGTCGGTTTGAAAGGTTACGCCCTTTGTATCTAAATTAACATTGGTGACATTGTTTACAACTGGTTGTAGTGGTGTACCATCACTGAGTAAGTAATTTTGACCAGCTGCTAATTTAGGACCTTGAGTAGTAAAGACAACACCCTCTGTATCTAAAGGAAGTGGTGCATTGTCGAGTGGTACCCCATCGGAGTCGTAGACGTTTTGACCTGCTAATAAATGAATACCATCTTGACCAAATACGACTCCTTTAGTATCTTGATAGACTGATCCATCTTGATTATAAATCTTTTGATTACTAGCTAGTACCGGGCCTTGAGTAGTAAACACCAATCCCTTTGTGTCAAGTGGTGGTTGAGATGAGCCATTGTTGATTGGTGTACCATCTGATTTATAGACATTTTGACCTGGTGCTAGATGAACACCATCTGTGTTGAAAGTAACTCCTTGTGTATTCAATGGTGGGGGGGAGTTGTTAATTGGGGTGCCATCAGAGTTGTAGACATTCTGATTCGTAGTAAGATGAATACCATCGGTTTGAAAGGTTACTCCCTTTGTATCTAGTGGTGTAGTACCGCCACCTCCTCCTGAGTTATAAACAGAACCATCACTGTTAAAGATCTTTTCATTCGCACCCAATACCAAACCACCCCCTGGGAAGCCGGTAGAAGTCTTTGGTTCAAACTTACACTCTGAACCATAGAATGGATAGGTCTTACCATTCTCCCATCTAACAATCTTACCGTCAGTAAGAACAATATCTTGATCAGGATACTGTGCTCCTAATTCTGTCATTATTAAAAAATTGATTATTTATTATATTATATTAAATTTAAAAATATATACATGTTGATAAAACTATTGTGATGTTTTGAGAAATATGAATTATTTTTTTGATTTCTTTTTTTTCTTAGCAAGTAGTTTTTCCATTGCTGGCGCAAATATTCTGCCAAGCGGTCATGCGCTTTCGCCATTTCAATCATTGATCCATATTGCTTTCTGGCACACTCGAAGACCTTCGTTCGTAATCCTCCACCAAAAATACTCGTGGCAATACCCGGGATCCTTTCAGAAGTTTCCTTGAGTCCTGGTAAATGAATGGAGAAATCACAATAGTATGTTGCCTTTGGGTCAGCTGGCCGATGCACCTTATCGACCACGAAGCCACGTGAACCTTGTTCCAATAAGCGCTTCAACAAGGGCCTTGCTTCTTTTGAATTCTTGTAAAAAGATGTTAAACGAGTAAGGGCGCTTGCATTTTTCTTTTGTGATTTGTTTTTTGGGGTTCCAACCCCTGATTTACCCTTACGCTGTTTGATGGGGGTTCTGTTCACTGCCTTATGTGGTGCACCTTTTGTCGTGTCATCATCAGAGTCCGATTGATCACTCTCTTCATCATCAGAGTCCGATTGATCACTCTCTTCATCTTCGGAGTCTGACGAATCTTCTACAACCGGTTTCTTTGCCAATGACTTCTTCTTTTTCTTTGGATGGTCCTCCTCCTCTTCTCCACTGTCTGATGATGACTCTTTGACCACTGACTTCTTTTCAGACGATGGTTTCTTCTTTGTTGTGATGGCCACCTTTGATATTTGAGTGTTGGGTTTCGTTTTCTTTTTTGGTTGCTCTACGATCTCTTCATCATCCCCATCCTGCTCGGGTGCGACGGGATGGTCCTTTCTCTTGTCGCCTCCATCTTTTTTGTTGCTTCTTTTGTTCTTCTCTTCTGTTTGTTGTGATGATGGTGACTCAATCTCCATAAGATCGGTGACTGATGTATCAAACCCTTCATCCATGGGTGGGGTATCAAAACTAGAATCACACATTGCACCATACTCGAGAGGTGGGGTTGGTTCGAGATGGCAAGAGTTATCTCCAAACAATTGGTCGTCGTTGCCACCAAATGATTCCGATGGTGGTGGACTGGCGACGGGTGGGTTCTCTGTGTCAGGGTGGTGGACCGTTGGATCTTGATCTGCGGTTGCTGTTTGTTGGTCGGATGGGAGGAATATGGTATTAAAATACATTGTGCGGTGGTCATCCGCAGTCATATCACCTCTGGGATTCGACAGGAGATATTTCTTGTAATCCTTGTAGGCACGTGAATAACTATCAGCAAATCCTCCCCACATAGAGTCGTTGGGGTCTATCGGTTGTTTGGCACCTCTGTGGTGGCAGTATGAGTTGAATAATCCCGCATTTGGTACTGATTTCTTGATTTGACCAAGTACTTTGCAGATATTTCCCGTTCTCGCTGGGACATCGGGTCGGGTGGGGATAAGACCAGAGGCAATGTCACGTTGTCGTTTTTCGCGTCGTTCTTGTGCTTCCTTTTCTTCTCTGGCCAATTGAAGCTTGTTTGCCTTTGTAGCTTTTTCTTTGTCCAGTTCTCCCCTTGATAGGCCATCTTTTCTTTTCTTTTCGGCCTCTCTTGCGTCTGATCTCGCTTTCTTGGCATTTTCCTTTTTCTCCGACTCCCTCTTTTGTTTTTCCAATTCCTTTATCTCTAAACGAGTTGGACCAGAACCTTCAGCTGTGGCCATCATCACGGTTTTCTTATGGGTCGGGTGACTGGAATTGATTTGTTTTGCTCGATGAGATTGATTGTGTCCGTTGTTGACTGTGGAGGTGGTTGTTGGTTCGTCATCAGAGTCGTCATCGGAGTCGTATTCAAGTGGGATCTTGTTTCTTTCGGCCGCTGCTTGTTTTTTTTTTTGTATCAATGCATTTAGGCGTGCAACCTGGATTTCAGCATCATCGTCATCACAATTGATATAGATCCCTTTGGACTCTGGTTTCTGTTTGGATCTTCCAACATATGTATCAAGGAGTTTTGTCGCTCCCATGAATCCAATACCAAAGTCAGTCAATCTTTTTTCGACTGCCTTATCTTTGAGCGGCTGCAAGAACACCCCTTTACGACCAATAGGCTTTTGTAAGCATCTAAACATTCGTTCTGCGTCATCGATAGAAACCGGAGACCAACTAACTCCTCTACGACCAAAAGGACCATATACCATCCTTATTGACTCTAACATGCCCCTTCTTTCTTTAGCGATTGGTACATCGGGATCGGGACCAGATATACTTTGAATTGCCCCCATGGGTGCACTGGATTCAGTGACGACATCCAAGAGAGTGGACAGACGGATTTGTCTCGAAATGATAAACAGAATATATGTAACAAATTGGATGATGGTGAATGCACCGACTAGATCGTGATTGAATATTTCTAGGGGGTCAAGGTCATCTATAGCGGAGATTGTAGAGCTGGTGAGTCGGTTGAAATAGGACACGATAGCCCCTTCGTTGAGTGTATCCTGGGGGACGGGGGTGGGGATCATTCAATGATTCTACCAATCTTGCCCAGTTGTAGTAGTTTTGTTTATCTTCAAACTTTTGAGCTCTATAGAAAATAATATCATATGTTTGAGTAAAGTAAAAAAAAAAAACAAAAACAGAAAAGTGATTGGGTGAATGTTGTATGAACGTACGTGTATGTGTGTTATCATGTTTGTTAAATTAAATATAAAATAATTGTTGTCTTGAGATGTTGACATTATGATTGTAAAGCTTGTGCGGGTTGCCATTATCTCTATTAACAGTCATATGACTCTCAACCTTCTCTTACTGCCATTCTATGTTACAACCGTCAAGATACCTGCTAATTCTATAAACTGCCAGTTCAACGTCTCCATCAACGCGCTACCAATTGATAATCCAGGGTCGTCACCCATTTACTTTTACTCCATCACACCGTCGTCACACCGACGCTGTTGTGTTAGAACTAGGACGTGCACGCGTGCGATCATAATATTTCCATACTGAAGAGTTGACTCTTTCTTGTAAAACATTGTTGTTCAAAGTCATCATCATTACTTCTCTCTGTAGTGTATCTTGTTGATAATTTATTGTTGTTCAAATTAACTAGTTACATTGCTTTGTTGTTGCATAATATATTGGTTGATTATAAAGTTGAATTGATTTTAATATTACTATTGATTCCTTTCCTCTCCATTCCATTCCTCAATTTGAACGATTAAACAAAAAAGCCTTTTGTTCAGGAGTGAAATCAAAGTTCTTTGGCAATGCAGCCTCCAACTACAGCAGGTCTAGCTCTAACCGTAGCAATGTATCTAATGACATTTGGATACTCTTCACTCCAACCAGGCACTCTAACAACATTTCTTGCCCATGGATAGATTGCAAAATCGGCAATAGTCATTTCATCACCAACAACATAACATTATGGGGATGTAGTACCAAATGGTGAACAACATTCAAAAGAATTTAAAAAGAATGTATCAATCAATTCAAAGGTTCCCTCTCTCAGAGATGATTCATTGGATATTGAAACTTGTAACATTCTTTTGTATCTTGCTGAAAAGTATGGTAGATTTATTCCAAATGATACCAAAGGTCGTTTTGATACTTTAAATTGGACTTTTTGGCAAACTAGTGGTCTTGTCTTTGTTTGTCATCATGATTTATAATTGATGAGAATTGAATCCATATTTACTCTGTCTTATTGTTGTCTTGTCATCTCGATACATTTCTATCTCTCTACCACTTGCGCTATCTACACTCATTAAATATTAAATAGGTTAAAATAGTTAATTTATTTTTAGAAATATATATTTTTATTGTATTTTATTATTTTTGAGAATTAATTATTAACTTTTAATATTTTGGATAGAAATCATAAAGGTTAAAAAAGTTAAAATACCGGAAAAAAATATTGGTTTGATTTTAGATTTTGGAATATTAAATTCATAATTTTAACTTTTCTAATATTAGTAAAGAACATAGCTCATAGAAAATGGATCGATGGAAAATGATTGATTGGAATCACAAGGTATTCCACTTCCATCACTATTTTGGATTATCAATTGTCCACTCAACAAACAACAGATTCTACATGGATGAATAAATAAAGCTGCAGAATGTTTTTGGTATGTACAAACTGTTACCATTTGAAGATTGGGAGGTCTAAATCTTTCAGGAATAAAAACATTAGTATATACTTCTGAAGCTGTAGTTTGCATTGTCAAGGTTGGAGGTGAATCAACACAGAGTGTAACCAGTTTACCAATTCTTACAAAATGTATTTGGTTGTATGAATAGACATATGAAACACAAAGTTGAAATATAACATGGATTGGATGATAAACGAGAATGCTTTAGTGAGAGTGGTTCTAGCAATTACAATATACCATACCCATTAGGCATTCTAATGATTTTTATTTATATAAAATAAAACCACGTTTTATTTATTTTTTTTGTAATAATATTTTTTTCTTTTGGTCTGATAAAAGAACCATTCCTCAGCAGCAGCAGTGTTATGCATTCTTTCTGATACATTTTATTGTCACTTTATCAAGTTATTTGTTACTAATTGTTCCCTTTATCGCATTTTACACATATCATATTTCTATAATCAATATCACCCTTTTTTTGTTCATTTGGAATAACTGTACGGCTATTCATTGTTATAAAATATTCATCCAGCTTACCTCTACATCATCAAAAACAAATATAGCTCCTTTTCCATCAACAATAGTAGATATGACGGAACCAAAAATAGGTAGGTTCTTGCGAGCGACAAGCATCCACATGGTTAAAGCCTTTCCTGCTTACCTTTTTCTTACTTTCTTTCATAATATAAAACCATTAAGGTATTGAAGAATTTTTGAATACGAAAAAGCGAGAATGGAATATAGAACTCAATGTCCCAGAAATCACTAGCAAACTTGCTACAAACGCATTCAATCCCGAAAGTATCAAAAGCGATGCCTGTACTCCAGATTTATTAGTTAGTATTGGAATACCTGCTATGATAGCCGCAGAGTTGAAGCGGTTCTACTCCCCTGCACCTGGTAATTAAAAAAATTAAATACTAATTTTTAATAGTATTCATCGTGACAGATTTAATAGATATTAACTCTTTTTCCACTTTTAACAGCCATCGTCGTCCCCTCACAAGGTAAGATACCTCATCCAACCAACACAATCATCCGTCACATCTTTTTATTTTTACGGTTAAATTACATTTGACCTTCTTCAACCAATCACCATCATTCAAATCTAGTCATTTTGTTTTGCTTTGTTTGTTTGATTCACACACCTATCTTTACATATCATTGACCCCTTGTGTTCATTCATATTTATAATCCTTTTATCTGAACCAAATACCATGGTCCATTCACCAAGCAACACCTCTTTATCACTCTACATCCACTACTTTTGTCAAATACCTAATTGGTGCATCAACCGATCCCCAGCATCAGATCTAGTCATTTTGTTTGTTTGTTCTCATTACCTTCACTTGCATCATTGTTGTTGGTCAATCCATCTCCAACCATTCCTAAATATCAACCAATCACATTAATATCACTGGACACTCAAAACCTCTACCTTTTATTAGTTTGGTTCACTCACCCATCCAGTTAACTACACTTCCTTTATCCATCAGATAATTAAAAATCACTATCATTGCTCCTCTTTTTACACCATTTCTTTTGATTATCTTTTTGTTTTCATTACCAATCAATGCACCACCCATCTCTTTAACCACTTGCTATTGTCGAACCAACCAAACAAGCCGCACCTCTCATTATCACTCTGCATCCTTTTATCACCCATCTCTTTTTCCATCTTATCCACTCCTTTTATCAAACATACCTAATTGGTTCATCAACCAGTCACCATCACCAAAATCTAGTCATTTTGTTTTTCTTTGTTTGTTTGATTCACACACCTATCCTTTGTCTATTTGCAGACAAATTACTTATCATTGTTTGTTCTTCATCGCTATTTTTCCATTTACAGTTATTCCATTGAACGAAATGTTTGATATGATGGCAACATTTGTTAAAGAAGTGGGATCTACTCCAATGTTTTCTGGCAATCAAGAGTTACAAAAAACAGTCTCAAGATTCAGGGAAATATCAAATCCCTACCGCCGAAATCAGAGTGCACCAAAGCCATCATCTCAAACTCCAAAGGCCGGAGAGGACTCTCTCTCTGGCCACAGTTTTCTATTCAGAATCGGCACCCTCCACCTCAACGACCACAACGACCACAACATCTCCAAATGAACAATATCCTTCCACAATTCCAAACAACCAATCTGCAAGTACAACAACAACAACATCATCGACGCGTGGACCACAGTTAACAATCTTGAGACAGCCAACAGTCTATGCATATAGTTCTCCGGTTCCATCCCCTTCCTCATCGGAAACAGGTCATATATTGTTAAACTTGAACAAACCTTTAAACAAACAAACAATCCAACCAAATCAACTCCCATCCATTCCTATCCAACAAAATCAAACCCCACTTCCAGGCTCCTGCCAATATTCTAAAGGTTGCAGAAAGAAATGTAAGGGATTTAAACCAAAGAAACTGAACCCAAAGATGTGCACATGCGACCACAAGAGATCTCACCACAAATTGTCTGTATCTACAAATTAATTTAATCAATAAACACCAAGGGTTGATATTCAACGTTTAATATTATTGTTAGGGTTGTATCAAAATCTATCAATAAGAAAGAAATATAAATGGGTAAACACGCAGTAGCACACAAGACCATGGTGGTTTGAAATTAGAATTATGTTTATTTGATTTTGACTATCCAGAGGATTGCGGTTATGTTGCATCAACCCGACCAATCAATAATACAAATTTATAAATCAAATTCCAAAATACAAAATGTATGTATGATACACATTGGGCAAGAATAGTCCCTTTTATTATTTCAAGAGGTCGATCAATGGTTGGTACTATCATGTTTCCAAATATAGAACACATCAAAAGAGTACACACTGATGATTTAAAGAATTATCATTTCAACAAAAGGAAGGGCAAACCTGACAATGTAAAATTAGGTAATGATATTGGGAATATATCATTTGAAGGATACAATCAAAATGCAACCATACACAAATTAAAAAAGGTAGAGGGATTTAATTAAAATATTGATAAATATTAATATTTTAAATTTTGCAATGTTGCAGGAATGAATCATAGTTGCGGTGTTGCGGTAATGTTACCGATTTACCGCAGGACTGAATTATACTTGTGGTGATTCTCTATTTTGAGTACGTATAGAGAATGATTTTTATTAAAGTGTTTGGTTTGAATAAATAATCTGGATCAATTTCATCTATTAAATCTTTTAATTGTTTCATAAAATCATCGGTTGGTTCTAGGCCAAATGAATCGTAATACTCTACTGATTTATCTTTATCTGCGTCAATGTATACTGCCACCCAATGACTTCCTGGTTTGTTGTGAGGATCCAAATTCATAATAAATGACATCTTGCTTTTTGGTTCCAATAAATTTAATTGATCACTTGCTATTACTCTTTCAAATCCCTTCCTATGATATGGTTTCATTATTCTTTCAATTTCGCTATCATAAAGACCTTGGTTTGATCTTCCACTACCAATCTTTTGTTTTCTTTTTAAATCTTGAGAAAATGATACAATTAAATCAATGACACTAATTCTTTGATTCTTTACCATGTCTTTTAATTCATTTCCTAAATTTGTAGATAGTTTAGTAGAGGACATTGTTGAATTTAAATACTCTTTTACCAAATCATTTGTAGCTGTTAGATTTTTCCAATAGATTCTTTTCTTTTATTTCATTTTGCATGTCTATGATTGATTGTAATTGTTCATCTATATGTCTTGTATTTTCATACTTGCCTTCCAATTCTTGTATTCTCTTTTCTGTCAACTTTTGATTGTAAAGTATTTCCATTGATCTATCATCTTTTTCTTGTCTTCTCTTTAATTTCTCTTCCTTTGCTTCAAACAACATTGACAACCTCTTTTCCAATTGATCAAATCTATCATTTTCTTTTTTTATTATTGGTATCTCTTGTTTTACTTGTTGATCATTTGTTAAATCGATTATCTTTTTCTTTGTTTCTTTATCCAATTCTTGTTGATTCTTGAGTACAGACTCTCTAAAGTTGGCATCCTGTATTGATTTAATCATTGCAACTTCATTTGAATTTGACCAAGACAGGGCTGCTTTCTTTAGAGAGTTGTTGTTTCCTCTCATCTCTAATCAACTTTCTAATCAACTTTTTATCATTCTTTTTTGATCTAATGTATACTTTGTCTATACCATGCTGTATGTATCGTCTTCCTCTCTTATCTTTTTTTAATCTTAATGGTCTATGCTTTTGTTTCTTACCTCCAATCATCTTGTATTATTATACAATATAATTATATTTAAAACTTCATAATCATTTTATTCTTTATTATATCTGTTTCTTTAATACTAGGTTGTTTTATCTCTTTCTCTACAACTTGATCATTTAAAATTAAATTATTTTTTGTTGACAACAAGTGTAAACATTTCTATGAGAGATTCCATTATTCATTTGTTTTTTATCCGGTTGGAAGAGGATTAAATACTTTTGAATTGATAGAAGATAATCAATCAACTATGATTTCTATTCCTGTTGGTAATTATTCAAGAAAATCATTACAAGACACATTGGAAAAGCAATTAAATATCAATCTGACTTTGATTTTATTCAAACATAATGACATCTCATATTTGGTAAGAGAATATATAAATTATTTATTGGTAAAGGAAAAAGAGTCATTAACAGTTGTTGATGAAATTTAATTTATATAGAATATATAGAATTAAAAAAATGTAACAAGCAATTTCAAATCAATTTGATTATCGACAAATGGTTGGATCAGGACCACAATATGAATACACTCGAGTATATCCTCAAGCTGGGGCAACTCAAACAACAGTTTATCAAGGAGGAAATGACACTATAGTTGAAATACCACCAACCAAAGCATTCAATTTAAGTAGGTCATGGTTTCAATTTACATTTACATTGCCTGCAACCAATGGAAAGTTTGGATTTGTATTTACTGATTTTACACCTTTATTCCATTCTTTAGACAGATACAGGTATTTACAAGAGGTGGTACATATTTAATGGATCATACAAACTTTCATTTACATTCTAAAATGGTGACCAAAATCAACAAAAAATTTAAAGATACACTCAACACATACAACTCTGCAGTAAATACAGGAAATCTTATATTCCTTGTTATTCTTGAAACACTTTGGTAAATATGAATCCAAGATATGATGGCGCTTCATGTGATAGAGCTTTTACTGAACCAGACTATTTATCTTCAGGCTTTGCAGAATACAACAGTTAATTTAAATGTAACCATTCCATTTCAACGAATTATATGAATCCATTCTATCGTTGGACAAGGATATTATGTTGAATGAAACATTATTGGTTAGATTTGTTTGGTCAGAATTACCAAATATTGGTTTTGGTGCAGATGCCTCTCTTACTCCTCAAACAAACCCAGTTGCTTTAACAGCTCCTGTTGGACCCAATGTACAAGGTATGGAAATACATTTAGCAGTTGAAAAGAGATTTGATATTATTCAAAATTTACAACAAAAGATTGCAAGCTCAGAAGGTTTCTCTTTACTTATTCCTTATTGTTACACTACAACATCATCACTTACAGGTACAAATCAGCCAGTATCATTAAGATTAAATAGACTAAATGGAATTACTTTGGAAAGAATTTATCATAGTTTATTTGTTGCTGCTTCAGTTTGCAAACTCTGCCATCTACAACAACGACGTGGCTTCAACAAATTTGGAACATTTCTATACCAATATTAATAATACTAGGAGAATGCAGCATGATTATTACCCAGGTTTAAATGATGATTATAAAGCATTGCGAGACAAATTGATAGATTCAACAATTCAAACACCAAATATTCACAACTATAATTGGTGTTGGTTGGATAGATTTGATGATGGATCATTTGGGTTTGCTAGATGAAAATATAGTTTCTGGAATTGATTTAAATCTAGGAGAGGTTAAATGGGATTTTATTGCATTTTCATCAATCAACTGTGGTATGTAAAAGAAGATTAGTTATTACTTCAAATGGATTGACTAATGTAAATATTATTTATTGATTATTAAATAATATAGGAAAATGAAATTCAACAAACAGACAATTATTAAAACAATCCCAATTGGTGGTATCATTCCTGGTGATCATGGAGGGTTGATGGTTCAAATTAATTTGGATTTTGTTCCAGATCTTATTACATTAAAACTCTATAGTTTAGATGGAACACTTCATATTGGGGATGTGTACACAATTAGAACTTCATTGATTAGTGACAACAACCTTTTTCCTTTTCAAAAATATCCACCACAAATTGTAATTTATATTTTACAAATGTGGAGCCATTCAAGGAGCTTATTATTTTGAATGTGTGGATCAAAACAACAATAACATTTATGACATTTACAAGTATTTATGATGACAAGGCAAATATATTGGAAGCATTTATTAAAAGTTTACAAGTAAAACCAAATGAAAATCGTAGATCATTAATATTGACCAATAATACTGTGGCAGAGAATTCATCATCAAAAAAAGAAGTAGCACCAGATTATTTAATTATTTTTGATGATTTATCAAATGAATTAAAAGATCCAAGTATTACCAAACCAATGAAGATTCAAAGACACTTTTCAGCCAAGATTATTCTTAGTACTCAAGCATGGAAAGACACTTCATCACATATTCGAAAAGGTAATTTGGATTATGTTTTGCAATTTAAAAGTGGACAAATCAATTGAATCAAATGAAATGAAAACAAATACAAATACTCCACAATCGGGTGCAAGTACTAATAATGGAAACAGGTGGAACAACAACAGTAAATAAATGGAAAGGTTAGCATGCAATTACTGGATATTGCCAACATAGAGTGTGAATCTCTTGAAACAAACAAAATTACTGGAGAAACAATCAATATTGTTGCAACAAACAAAATTACAGGAGAGACAATCAATATTGCACCAACCAAATCATTATTTATCAATGAGCCATCGGTAAAAACAACTCAGATATCACCATTGGATTTCTATGAATATTTTACACACTGGATTCAATTTAAATACAATATATCTGGAGGATCATTCGTCTATTCCATGAATCAAATCCACATTGTGAGAATTGGGAAACTAGTTACTATGTGTTGACTCGCCTCCAACATTTACAATGCGAGCAACAGCTCAAGCTTCAGAAGTATACACTGATGTCATTATGCCTAAAAGATTTAGACCTCCCAATCTTCAAATGGTAACAGTTTGTACATCCAAAAACAAACTCCAACTTTATTTATCCATCCATGTCGAATCTGTTGCATGTTGGATGGTCAGTTGATAATCCAAAATAGTGATAGAAGTGGAATACCTTGTGATGCAACCAATCTTTTTCCATCGATCCATTTTCGATGAGCTATGTTCTTTCATCAAGAGCTTTTAATATTGATCAATATCATGGTGAATCTTTAGTTCCTTTAGCTGACAAGTAAAATGTACATGTTGAAGCAGATGGTAATGTTTGTAAACAATGATTGTGCTGTCAAAGAGATAAATAAATTAGAGTTAATTTGGTTATCTTTAATTTGCTTTTTTAGGATTGATTAATAGTTTAAATCATAATCTTTATGATTTAAATATTTATTGTGAATTATTTGTTTCTGCTGTTGGTTTAAGGATATGATGAGCATAACGAGCACTGGGGATAGACGTTAGACATTCTTTAATAAATTGGCCATAGGTGAGATTGGTCAAGAGCTTTAAATCATCAATTTTCTCCTCTTTTCTTCTTCTAATTCCTTTATCAATAGTGTTTAACAAAACGACAAGGCCCAAGTCTTCGAGTGATTCGGCAATATAGTTTTTCTTGTTTTTGCACATTTCTCAAGTCTGACATGACATCCTTTGATTCTTGGACTTGGAAGGCATACTGGACCGCAACCTCTTGAATACTGTTATCGGCACACTGGACAATAGCAATCCACATAAAGTCTATTAGAGTAACAGTAAATTTAATAATGTTTTACTAATTATATATAAAAGTATGATGATTACATAAAAAGATATTCTATATAAATTCACACAATAGAATCAGTGGTACTAATTCTAAATTTAAATATAATATTATATATTATCCTCAATACAGATTTGACAGAGTAGCGCTATTACAAGCGACAATACCAAAATCATTATTGAATCTTGTAACATTCTTTTGTATCTTGCTGAAAAGTATGCTAAATTTATTCCAAATGTTACTCAAGGTCGTTTTGATACTTTAAATTGGACTTTTTGGCAAACTAGTGGTCTTGTATGTTAAAAGATAAAATATAATAATTTATTATTTTGTTAATTTTCAATTTTTCTATTTGTTTAGGGACCAAACTTTGGTAATATGAATTATTTCAATATATTTGCAGAGACCAAGGTACCATTGGCAATTGAAAGATTTACAAATGAAACTCATAGACTTTTCAATGTTTTAAACAAGAGATTGGATGGTAGAGATTATGTTGTTGGTGATGAAATGACTATTGCCGATTTTGCAATCTATCCATGGGCAAGAAATGTTGTTAGAGTGCCTGGTTGGAGTGAAGAGTTTCCAAATGTCATTAGATACATTGCTACGGTTAGAGCTAGACCTGCTGTAAAGGAGTTTGAAGAGTTGGAGGCTGCATTGCCAAAGAACTTTGATTTCACTCCTGAACAAAAGGCTTTTTTGTTTAATTTTTCAAATTAAAGGAATGGAATGGAGAGGAAAGGAATCAATCTATTTAATAAATCATGGTAATTTATTAAATCAAATTTATTTATTGATTTATTTATTTATTCTCTACACTATGGAGATCTGGCGTGTACTTTGGGTTAAACTGTAAAAGACGATTTATATATTATAAATCGTTCCAACTTTTAGCATGCCAGATCACAATGGATAAGATTCGCTGATTGTAATTTGGAAGGGATAACCCATTATAGATGATGGTGTTATATATCAAGACTAACCTAAACCTACTAGTGGAGACAATGTTAATATTGATGCAAAGAGTTGAACTCTGATTCTTTTGATGGTAGATCTTTTTGTGTGGTGATTGAATACATAATGTATTCAACGACCATCTTTACCAATGAAAGAGGTTTCTTGCTTGGTCTTTGTTTTGATCCATAATATCATATTCAGTTGGGTTCCAACCTTTTGAATGATGTTATCGGCATAATTATTATTTAAGTTTATTTAAATAAAATTTGTAGGAGCTTGAAGATTTTGAAGCAAAATTTTGACAAATAATGTGTGTATCTTTATTGATTACAATGACCATGTAAGAGAAGAATGTCAATATTTGCTCTTGTATGTACACTTTCAACAATTACAATCAACTTACTTTTTCTTACTTTTAGGTGTTGTTGATTATAATTGACAACAAAATATGATTGGTATAGTGGATTGCAAAAGTAACTTTATGATAGAGAACGAAACAACCAAACAAATTGTCAACTACTATCGACTTTCCAAAGAACAGAGGATCAAGAAGATCAACACGAGAATAAGGAGGGACAACAACAACGATTAACTTGTTGCTGTTCTGGTCTTCAATCCAAACTTGTTCCTATCACTTCTATTCTCGCATCTTCTTTGACTTGTTCTTAAATAGCTGTATCTTCTTCCAGTCTTGCTATGACTGTACTTGCTCCTTTCATTGATTGTTATGTTGTAGTAGTAGTAGTTAATCGTTGGACTCTTGGTTATTCAAACAGTAAAGTGTACGCTCGAGTAAATGGAAGATAGAGAGAGAGAGAATGTCTCGTCACCGGTCCAACAAACGACGGCAACAACCGACGGCAACAAACGACGGCAACAAACGACGGCAACAAACGAGGGCAACAAACGAGGGCAACAAAAAGTTTTTTGCTCTACTGAGATTCGAACTCAGATGACTGGATTCAAAGTCCAGGATACTAACCCTTATATGATAGAGCAATGAATGATGCTCCAAAATATTTTCTCAACTTTATACTCCCATCTCTCGTGTGAAAATTGGGGCATGGCGTAGCAAGTGAGTCGGGAGTGTGTTACCCCGGGAACGTAAAGGTTCGAATCCTGCCCTCGAACTTACCTTTGGCGCCAACGTTTAACTTGACCACAATTGGGGGGATTGAGGAGAAAAACCATCCGACTCTAGGGATCTAGAGACAGGACACCCCCACGGAAGGATGACCGGGTTAGTTTCCCCTTCTCAGTAGGAGATTGGGTAGCCAGACTGCAACAAGTAACGGGAAGGTAGTGGAGGACATACTGGGCCGTCGCGATAGAAAGCCATCTGACATCTCAAATACAATATGCAACACGTAAAGACGAGTGTCCACAATGGGGAGTAAATCGGCGCGAGAGTTGAGAGCGGCAGTCGGTCTTGGACGCACCCAAGGCTTAAGGTTTCACCGCAAGTATGGTAATTTCGGAGTTGGTGCCATATTTGGGTCCAACTACAACCATCCTACTGTCTACAAGATCGCACTACCTAGTCATTTGGAGAGGTACAAGACTCTGCGTACACTACATCTATAATCGATCACCTCAACCTCATTCTTCACATCCTCCTCAACACCTTCATCTTCTTCTATTCTCTCTTCATCTATCAATAATAATATTAATAATATAATAATTTACTAAATAATAATAACATAGAATAATTATATAACACAATATTACAGCCAAAAGTGCTGAGAAAAAAAAAAAAAAAAAAAAAAAAAAAAAAAGCGATATCTTTAACCAATTTATTTTTAGAACAAGCAACAACCCAAAACAATCCAACATGCTTGACACTATACAATAAGATACATGATCAACGTCCATATAACATGTATCATAGACATGGACAACCCCCAGAACAAATTAACTTTAATTCTTCTCGAGATAATCTTTATTTCTTGCTGGTCAATTAAAATGTATAATTAATAAAACTTTGTAACTTCTGAGTACTACTCTTCCCGATAGGAGAGAACAGGAAAAGAATTACTTTAAAAAAAAAAACTCGTGTGAAAATTTTCTTGAGATAATCTTTATTTCTTGCTGGTCAATTAAAAAGTATAATTAATAAAACTTTGTAACTTCTGAGTACTACTCTTCCCGATAGGAGGAACAGGTAAAGAATTACTTTAAAAAAAAAAAAAAATCTCCACGTCTAATTTCATATTTAAATTCTCCATATACTCAAGTACCATATCTTTTTCTAATAAAGAGGATAAAACCACCTTCTACACTAAAGATACGTTCGTCATAATATTCAAAGATATTTGGACTAGTCTCACATCATTATCATCTAACTATTATCAATAAAGACTGGATAGACTGGGGACTAGCCACGTCTGTGTGGCGACGTGGTACAAGGTGGAGAATTTACTCATTTCCCCACATATCTCTACCGACTATTTATTACTGGCTTACTGTTTTCTATAATTATTTAATTGCTTGAATGTTTATTTATTTGCATCCATATCAACAGGTTTGGAAGGGAAGCCAAGTACATGACCGGCATAACGAGCACGGGGGATAGAATTGAGACATTCTTTAATAAATTCGTCATAGGTAAGTTTAGAGAGGTACACTGCAATGTCTCCGTCCCTGATTCCACTGTCAATAGTCTTTAAGCTAGATAGCACACCCAATATTTCGAGTGACTCAATTATGTGTACACCCTTGTTTTTGGTCATGTTGTCTCGGAACGTGTCAAACTTTGATCCTCGGTCCGAACCAGTTATGATCAAAGTTTTGTCCTTGACCGGTACATAGCAGAGGTCCGGCAAGTAGTGAGGGTTTCGAAGTTCAGACATGACATCCTTTGATTCTTGAACCTGAATGACGGCTTCCATGACAAATTCTAGAGTCGTATTGTTCAGACATTGAACAATGCCAATCCACATGAAATCTATCGAGTTTGGCAAGAGTCTTGTTTCGTACTGTGGGAACATGGGGTACGTCTTTAAGAGCCAAAGAGATCTTGGGTCGACAATTAATACCACATCCAATACGTTTCTTTTTCCATTCTCAAGTAGAGCGGGGGGTTGCGGAGGAGGATTTACCTCAAAGTAGAGTTCACGACCAGCCAGGTAACCAGATGGTGTGAGTCTCATAAAGCCTCCTTGATCATAGTTGATGAATCGTTCTTTGAGGATCAATCCATTAAAGACTACCTCCCAGATTGCCTTGTTCCATTCCTTCTTCACTTTCCTATTTCAATTGTTCCATTCCTTTCATTTCCTTTGTTTCTAATTGTTCCTTATTTCCTATTGTTTCTATTTGTTCCTGTCGTTTCATTTCCTTTCTTTTCCTTTATTCTGGTTCTTTCTAATTGTTTCCTTTCTATTCCTTTCCTTTGTTTCCTTTCCTTTCCTTTCCTTTATTTCCTTTCTATTCCTTTCCTTTATTTCTAATTGTTCCTTTATTTCCCTTCCTTTCTTTCTTTTCCTTTCCTTTCCTTTCCTTTATTTTCCTTTCCTTTCCACTCTCTTTCATTTCATTTCCTTTCCTTTCCTATCCTATCCTATCCTTTCCACTCTCTTTCATTTCATTTCCTTTCCTTTCCACTCTTTCATTTCCTTTCCACTCTCTTTCCTTTCTTTTCCTTTATTTGTTGTTTGTTTATTTACTTATTTATTTATTTGCTTGTTTTTCTATCCCTCAACTATTTCTTTATTTGTTTATTTGTTTATTTATTTGTTTATTTGTTTGTTTAATTGTTTGTTTATTTTTCTATTGTTTCTAATTGTTTCCTTTCCCTTTATTTCTTTCATTTCATTCAAAGTCTAAATTACTATTTTTGATTGAATTATAATTATTATTTGATTTATTTATTTATTATTATTCAATTAGATGATTTGTATCAATCAATCTTTAAGCCTTGAGACCACTGAAGAATTCACTCATCTTGCGTTGAATGTCTTCCTTGGCGCTATTGGCAGTTTCCAATTCACGCTTGGTCTTTTCGTGGTCACGTTGAGCCTTGTCGATGGAATCCTTGAGGAGGGTAATTTCAGAGAGGAGTTTACGATTCTCGGTTTCAAGGGTGAGACGTCCTTGTTGTTCGTCGGATTGCTCCTTCTTGGCCTTACGGAGGTCGGTTTCGAGTTTCTCAGTGGTGAGGGTATCACGAGAGATGGTCTTTTCAACTTCTCCGTATTTCTTTTTCAACTCCTTCAATTCGGTTTCAACCTTTTTGACGTCCTTTAATGCCTTGTTCTTGGACTTTTGTTCAGAGTCGACTTGAGCAGTGAGAGCGTCGATTTCAGATTCGAGACGTTTACGAGAACGGTCAGCGTTGGTACGGGCAATGACTTCCTCTTCGAGACGACCCTTGACTTCGATGACTTCACGTTGGAGGTTGTTCTTGAGGTCTTCGGCAGATTCCTTGGCGTCGATTTCCTTTTGGAGGTTACGTTGAGCTTCCTCGAGGTCGAGTTCTTGGAGACGACGGGCATTCTCGGCTTCAGAGCGGGATTCGTCGGCGTCTTCGATTTGTTCACGGAGGTCTTCGAGTTCACCTTCGAGGGCGCGCTTTTCCTTTTCCAAACGCATCTTGTACTTGCCTTCGTCGTCAATGGTGGCACGGAGGTCTTCGATTTGTCCTTCGAGGGCCTTTTTGGACTTCTCGTACGAGAGACGGTCGGCTTCGGCGGCGTCAACCTTGGCACGGAGCTCGTCGATTTGGTCTTCGAGTTTGGCAGCTCCGACGGCAGTACGAGTCTTGGTGGCAGATTCGTCAATCAATTGACCCTTGGTGTCCTTGAGATCCTTGACTTGCTTCTTGAGATCCTTTTCGGCACGAATACGGTTCTTGGTTTCAGCATCCAAACGAGCAGAGAGGTCTTCATTTTCAGATTCAATTCTCTTCTTGGCACGTTCAGATTCGTTACGAGCCTTCTTTTCAGATTCAAAGTCCTTTTTGAGTTGGTCGTTGATTTCTTGGTTCTTTTTCTTAAAGTCTTCGAGTTGAACGTTGTTTTCAACTTCGGAATCCAATTTCTTACGAACCTCTTCCAATTCCAATTCCTTCTTTCTCTTGATATCTTCGAGTTCACCACGAGCTTCTTCTTCTTCTTCGAGGGAGGCCTTGACTTCTTCGAGTTCAACTTCGAGAGCTCTCTTGGCCTTGACATGCTTGTCCTTGGCGAGGACTTCATCTTCAAGTTGTTCACGGACTTCGTCAATTTCAGCTTGGAGTGACTTGATCTTCTTGTCGGATGCGTTCAAAGCAGAGCGTTCAGTGTCGAGTTGAGAACGGAGTTCGTCAACTTCAGCCCAGACAGTCTTGCGGAGTTCAGACTCGGCGGCGGCAGAACTACCCTCTTCTTGAGCACGCTTTTCAGCAAGGGTTTGTTCGAGCTTCTTCTTGGCCTTTTCAGCCTTGCTACGGGCCTTGCTCTCGGCATCGAGTGAGGTCTTGAGGTCGACGAGATCAGATTCGAGTTTCTTCTTTTGACGGTCAATGTTGGCAGAGTTTCTTTCGGCTTCTTCTACCTTGGCTTCGAGTTCAGAGAATACCTTGCGAGTATTTTTCTTGTCTTCTTCAGCCTTTACACGACTGTCGGTTTCACGATCAAGACGGGCGCGTAAATCTTCTATTTCTTGTTCCTTCTTTCTGATTTGTTCAACATTGACGGTACCAGACTTGTCTTCGAGCATATCTTCCAATTCAGATACACGAATTTCAGATTCCTTGGCTTTCTTTTCGGCCTTGAGCTTGGCAGCATTGGCAGAGTCGATTTCATCTTTCAATGCGTCAAGAGCAGCTTCAGCAGCCTTTTTAGCCTTGGCGGCATTATTAGACTTGTCATCAGCTTCTTCAACGATTGAACGGAGTTCAGAGAGTTCTTCATTGAGACGTTTGAGTTGGACGTATTGTTCGGAAGAGATGTTCTTTTGGTCATCGGCTTCAGCACGGACTGAACGATAGTCGGCTTCAACCTTTTTAAGATTCTTTTCGGCCTTTACTCTCTTTTCGACTTCTTCTTCGAGGGTCTTGGTAGCTTCTTCCAATTCATATTCGGCTTTCTTCTTGGCACGTTCAGCACGGTCGAGGTTTCCTTCAGCTTCATCGGCAAGAGTACGAAGTTCATCATTCTTTGCTTGGAGTGATTTGTTTTGTTCGGTTGCCTTGTCACGTGATGAAACAATATCAGCAAATTGACGTTTTAGCTCGTCCATCTCGGCTTCACGCTTTGATTTGGATTCATTGACAGATTTCTTTGCATTGATTTCTTCTTCAACTTGTTCCTTTAGACTGGCGATTTCCTTTTCCAAGTCTGATTTCTTCTTTTCATTCAATTCACGTTGTTTCTTTTCTTCTTCAAGTTGTTCGTTAACATGTTTGATTTCATTTTCAAGAGCTAAACGTTTCTTGTCCAATGCTTGCTTGGCTTTAGTTTCTTGTTCCAATTCCAATTTGAGATTATTGAAATTTGATTCAAGTTGTTTACCATTTGAATCTGAATTGAGTTTGGCAGAATTTGATTCATCCAATTGTTGTTTAACTTCAGATAATTGTTGTTCAAGTTGTTTACGAGTCTTGTCCAAGTTTTGCTTTGAATTACTTTCTTGACCGAGTTGTTGTTTAACATCTTCAAGTTCATTTTCCAATTTCTTCTTGGCCTTTTCAACATTGGCACGATTTTGAAGTTCAGCTTCAAGTTCACCTTGTAATCTTGATACTTCTCCTTCAAGTGTAAGTTTAATCTTTTCCAACTTACTAATGGTTGATTGGAGTTCAGAGATTTGGGAACGAAGAGCTTCGAGGTCAGTCTCTTGTTTAACCTTGAGGTCATAGAGAGATTTCTTTTCACCACCGGCATTATCCAATTGATCCTTCATTTCTTCCAACATTTCTTCAAGAGCCTTTTTCTTTTTGTCCAAAGTATCACGTTGTTTCTTTTCTTCTTCAAGTTCATTGTTGACGGCTGATAATTGACCTTCAACAGCTTTCTTGGCTTTTTCAACATTTGAACGATTGGCAACTTCAGAGGTAAACTTTTCATTGAGATCGTTAAATTCACCTTGTAATTTCTTGTTGGCAGTTTCTTGAGCTAGCTTGGCATTGGTTTCAGCTTCCAATTGATCTTGAACAAGTTTTAATTCTTCTTCCAATTTCTTCTTTTGACGTAAGAGTTCAGCCTTGTCCTTGCTCTCACCATCCAATTTACTGGCAAGATCTTCAATTTCACCTTGAAGACGAAGACGAGTCTTTTCAAGAGCACCCTTGTTGTTGGATTCAGTTGCAAAACTATCAGTCAATTCTTCAACTTCCTTTTGGAGTTCATTCTTGATCTTTTCAAGACGATTGATACTATCTTGTTGACCATCATTAACCTTTTTCATTTCCTCCAATTCCTCTTCATACTTTTTCTTTAACTTTTCCAATCCAACACGTAACTTTTGTTCTTCAGCCAAATCTTCTTCCAAATCTCTTGATTTATCTTCAGCTGCCTTCTTTTGTAATTGTAAATTTTCAATTGATAATTTCTTTTCTTCTAATTCCCTAAAGAGTAGGAAAAAATAAAATAAAAATTAATATTTGTATACTTTTTAATTTTGATTTCTATTTTTCTATTTCTTACATTTCCAAATCATCAACTTTAATTTGAAGTTCACGTTTTTCAGATTCTAAACTATCCTTTGAATCATATAAGGCCTTGAGATTTTCCTTTTCATTCTTTAATTGACGTTGAAGATCATGAACATTTGATTCAGTTTCCTTTAATGTCTTTTCAGCCTTTTGTTTGGCGAGATTAGTTTCATTAAGGTTGTTTTTGAGTTCAGTGATTTCATGTTCCTTTTCCTTGATTTCCTTTTCAAAGTTGCGACGCTTGAGGAGTGGTCTTGCCTTTGAGAATAACTTCCACCATGGCCAGTTCTTGAATTCCAACCAAGCACGGAGATTTTGTTGGATGATACGAGCGGCAACAGTGTGTTCACGAGCTTGCTTGTATGCCTTACGGGCAATCCAAGCACGACAGGCAGCTTGAATAGACTTGATGATTTCGGAAATACGTTGTTCACGTGCTTCTTCAATACGAGCCAATTGACCAGCACGGAAGAAAATCTTGGTCAAACCAAATCTGAATTGTTCAGCTTCAATGTTTAGGTGCTTGAGAACAGCTTCAGTAGCACGTTGACTATCTTCAGCATCACGTGGAACATTTGGTGCCAAGAGATAATAACGTTTGACGAAATCGGCATAGATTACACGATTAGGGAAACCTTTACGAGTAATACGAATACCTTCGAGGACACCATTACAACGAAGTTGTTCGAGGACGACCTTATCTTCAAGTTTGGCTGGGAGTTGTTTGTTGTTTGGAATGATACAACGAACAAAGTGTGGGTTGGTAGTTTGGAGGGTGGCCATCAAACTAGCTAATTGTTCCTTGTATTGAGAGGCAACAGTGACAAAATTGGCACCCTTTTTAGCACGAGAGGCAATTTGTGGGTCGTTGAACAACTTGACAACCAATTGATCTTGAGATTCCTTGAAACAGAGTTCGAGATCTTGTTGGAGTGGATCCTTGTTCTTTTCCAACCATTCATTGATTTCATACATGACTTGACCGGCATAATGAGTAATTCCAAACTCGGTCTTACTGAAACGTGGCTCTTCATACTTGGGATGCTTCTTTGAAAAGTGAGTGTGGAACTTGCCAATGAGGGTGGCATCGGTGGCATTTGGGAACACAGATTGTTCATCGAGGAGAGCGAGGACACCTGGTGGTTGACGACCATCGATCAAGTCAATGGTAGCTTGACTGTCCAAACCAAAGTCAATAAAAGTCCAGTTGATCTTTTCATTTTCATACTCGATTTGTTCGAGGGTAAACATGTGATGATTAAAGAATTGTTGGAGCTTTTCGTTGGTGTAATTGATACACAATTGTTCGAAACTGTTGACCTTGAAGATTTCAAAACCAGAGATATCGAGCACACCGATAAAGTAGGCCTTGCGTTCTTGACACAACACTTGGTTGATCTTTTTGACCAACCAGAGGAACAAACGACCATAGAGGGCCTTGACAAGAGCGTCACGGGAGGAACTGGCCTTTTCTGGGGTGAGATGAGTGGCGACGAGGTCACGACCGGCCAAGATACGTGGTTCAATGAGAGCCTTTTCGAGGACCGATGGGTTGACTTGGAGAAGAGTGGCAACAACGTTGAGAGCATTCTTGTCCTTGAGGATGGCTCCTTCACCGGTTCCCTTGTCAAATCTAAGGTTACCAAGATGGAGGACGGCAGAGACGACCTTGAGGATAGAGATTTGTTCATCACCAGAGAATCCCATGATGGTCATGGCATTACGAGTGAGCTTGTACTCTTCAACATCAGAGGTACCCTTAATGTCGATACATCCAGACTTGTTCAAATAGGTGAATGACTCTGGACCCGAGAGGAAGAGTTGCTTCTTTTCTTCAGATGAAGCACCAGCCAATAATTGGTAGAAAATGTGGTAGTTACGTTCATTTTCAGCTTGGTAGACAACTCTAGACTTTTCAAGCAAATAAGATTGAATAGAAGCACCACTGATAAAACCGGCAGAGGTGAATTGAATCTCGATAAACTTTCCAAAACGGGAAGAGTTGTTGTTACGGTTGGTCTTGGCGTTACCAAAGGCTTCGAGAATTGGATTGGCTTGGAGAATTTGTTGTTCCAAAAGACCTCCGGCAGTACGACCAGCAACGGCAGCCAAATATTGGATAACCTTTTTGGTGTTTTCAGTCTTTCCGGCACCAGATTCACCAGTAATCAAAAGAGATTGATTACGACGATCTTCCAACATACTACGATAAGCTCCGTCAGAAATGGCAAAAATGTGTGGGGCTACCTCATTCTTTCTACGTCCCTTGAAAATATCAACCATCTCTTGAGTATAAATTGGAATTCTCTTGAATGGATTTACTACTACTAAAAATAATCCAGAATATGTCTAAAGTAAAAGAAAAAGAGTAAATAAATATTAATAAAATATTATTATTTTTTTTGTTTTTTGTTTTCCTATTTTTTCTTACATAGATTAAATCTTGAGCATAACGAACACGCATGTTATGGAAAACGGCAGGTTCATTGAGGTAAGAGAGTTCAGACATATCTTCAACACCATCAAACTTTACTGGATTACGTTGGTTGGCATCATCCTTTTTGACAGTGTGTTCTTCACCGTTGGTGGTCTTGTAGACATAAGAGTCGGCAGTTTCCTTGACAATTTCAGCACAGTCATAGGTGTCCTTTTCCTTTGGGTCTGGGTTGTACCAAACATAACGCTTGTCAGAAGCGGCCAACTTGAAAAGGTTATCTTCTCCTTGACGTACCTTTAAATACTTCCAATAATCTGATTTACGATCATTAATTGGATTCATTTTTTTTTACAAATTTTTTTTTAATCTATAAAGAAAAAAAAAATAAAAATAAAAAGAAAAATAGTTAGTTTTCTTTCTTTTTTCAATCTCAAAGTTTTTGAAAAATATATAATATTACATATGTTACAATGTGTTTTTTTTAATAAATAAATAAATAGATATAGAGAGAAATGAGAAAAAAAAAAAAAACTATATATGAATTTTGATCAAAACAAGAATGAACAAATCTTATAGACAAGGGAAAAGCAAGGAGTGATTTTAAAAAAATTGATTTTGTTTGAAAAAAAATGGTTTGGATGGGTTTCTGATAAAAGGGTATCAGATGATAAAAGATAAACCTTTGACCCCTAACCTTATCCTAGTAGGGGTGTGACATCCGGGCAGTTGTGGTGCCCGATTGTTTGAATTGTGTGAGGGGGGTTGTTAAAATTGGGTTTGGTTAAATCACCACCATTGTGGTTCATATGATTATTAAAAAAAAAAAAAAAAAGGATCATATGATTTGAAAGAAAAGAGGTTTTATAAAAAAGAAAAAGATAGAATAGAGTGCATATAATAATAGAATAGAATAGATTTAACCAACCAACTTTTTTTTTTTTTTTTGTAAAAGAGTTGTTACTAAAAATATAAATGTCATGTGACAATGAAACTAACCGACAAGACTTTTGTGAGTGACATTTAACTTGTACTTACTTAGATTACAAATATAATAAATAATTTTACAAATCTTTAGATAGATATGAAATAAATAGAGTTTTATAAATATAATATTACAAAAAAGATATATAGATTCTAAAAGTTAAAACTATATAATATATAAACTACTACTAGAACAATGAAAAGAAAAAGAGAACTGTCACTTGCTATCGATGTCAAGTGTTGTCAGTTTCAAAGAGGCTCAAAAGAATTTTTTTTTTTTTCGTTTGAAAAATGTTTTTTTTTGTTTGAAAACTTAAAAAAAGTTGGGCAAAACCAGCCATTTTATTTGAAGTTGGGTTCTGTTTGATCTTTTTCAATAGAGGCTTCTAAAAACGGAAGGGCTAAAATATATCGTCATGCGACAAAAAAAACTTGAAAAACGAAAAGAAAAAAAATAAACAGATAAAAAAAGTGATAAGAGATGAACGACGACGACGTTTTATACACAAGATAATGTAAACCTATAAACTAAAAAGAAAGAGAGAGAGAGTCTATAATAGTAGTACTTTCTTCTTTTTTTGAACAAGGTGTCAGTCACCTTACTTTGACACTTGACGAAAAAACAAACAAACAAACCTTTGTGGGTTGTAATAATCAATCAAAATTCATACATTTAAATTTAATGTAACCAACCATCGTTATCACACCCCCATATATTTCACTATTATGTGTATTTTATTAATATTACCCCCACACATATGTATGGATGGATGGATGGTATCCGGATTAAATATGGAAAAAATGTCAGTAGATTATAATTCAACCAAAAAAGACAGATTAATTGAATCAAAAAAAAAAAAGAATTTATTATTTATACTTGTTTTTTTTTTTCAATTCTCAAATTATTATATTATTTTACATCATGAAGATAATTATATTATTATTATCAATATTGGTATTTATTTCAAATGCCAATATTGATATTTTAGATACATCAATTGATGCTGACATTGCTCTCGGTGGAAAAAAACCAACTTCTTGTTTTGTTTCAATTAGAAGAGGTAAAATATATTAAAAAAAATATTTATATATTATAAATTTATTAATTTTTCTTTTAGATTTTAGAAAATGTGCATATCCAATGTGTGGAGGATATTTTATTCAAACTATTAATAGTAATAGTGAACAAGTTTATGTTGCTACAGTCGCATTTGAATCAAACCAACCAATCAACAAATCAGTAGTATTGGAATCTTATGGAAAGAGTGTAATAGTAAATGGTTATACTCGTTCATCATCTCAAAGAGGATACAAAGAATTTGTTGTAAAGACTGCTCATGTATCTATGGAATATGAAGGAATTGGAGAAGCCAAGGGTAACTTTTATTTCTTTAAATCAACTGGTATCATGTGTATCAAAGCTCCATGTCCATCAACATCGGCCACTGAATTAAATACTGGTAATTCAGTGATTGTATCTTCATTCTCTGAACCATACAATGAACATGTTCATCGTTTCGATGGTTCTTGGGCCATTTCTCGTGTCTATGATGAAGATGGTTCTGGTCATGCAATTGTTCAAATGGTGCCAAATCAACAGGCTTCTGAATTTACCATCACTAGAATCTACATTCAAGTTCCAGATCCAATCAAACCATGTCCAAAAGTCACTAGAAAGTGTCCAAAAGGTCAAGTTGATCTATTTGATCGTGACACTAATCGTTGTCTTGTATTTAGAGAATGTGCCAAACCTGGTGTCTGTATCCTTAGTATCCCCCTCTGTCAAGAAAAGTGGAGATTACATAGTTATCCTTCTCTTCAAAACGGATGCAACAACTACTATTGTGACCCAGACTTTACTACTCCTGCTCAACAAATTAAATAAACTAGTAAAAAAAAAAAAAACAACCTTTGATAGTACTATACAAATTCCCATAGTTATCATTGTGATAATGAATGAGTTTACTACTTGCTCCACAAAATATAACAACATTTTGTTGGTTTCTATTATTTTTATTAATAAAAAGATAAAAAAAAAGAGTGAGAGTTTCTAGATTCCAATACCAAAATTTATAAATTTATTAATAAAAAAATAAAAATGATTAAGAGTTTTAGGTTCTAATTTCTGTGAAAATGAAAAGGTATAAATAAATCATCTTTGGCTATTCTTTTTTCATTCATTCAAATACAAACAAATATTTACTTTGCTAAAAAATGAAATTATTATTACTTTTATCAATTATCTTTTTATTTACAACTATTATTATTGCTTCAATTAATCATGATCCAAATAATGAAAAAAATCCTTCTTTTTATTTAATTGAAAAGGGTAAAAAAAAAAAAAAAAAAATAATTTATTCTTTTTTACTAATATTTCTTTTTTTTCTTTTCTCATTTCTTTATTTTTTTAAAAGACGAAAGAAAATGTCCAAAACCAAAATGTGGAGGTTATTTTATTTCAATGTTGAATGAAATGGGAGGAGAAAAGACTTATGTTTCTGAACTTTCAACGGATCCAAAGCTCAATGGTCCAATGGAAATTGCAGAAGGTCGTCAAATGATTGGTTATGGTTATACTAATAGACCAAGTTCAAGACATTACATGGAAATGGTGGTTATTAAAATTTTTATTTCAATTCAAATTACGATTTCTAAAAATCCACATGCACAATATTATATGATCGATTCTACAAAGTGTCTCAAACCACCATGTCCAATGGTAACTCATCTTCTCAATCAGGGTACTGATTCTCATATCAAATCAATCAAGAATCCTTTCATGTCAATTCCAAATATCGATGAGGAATGGATGACCTCTAGATTGTATGGTATGGATGATCTTCATTCAATTGTTCAAATGACTGAAAATGACAAAAAGTACACAATGACTGGTATGTTTATTCAAGTTCCAGATCCAATCATACCATGTCCAAAAGTTCAAGATAAATGTCATGGTAAAGAAATCAATGTTTATTCTTTAGATTCAAATCGTTGTCCAGTTTGGATGCATTGTACAATGCCCACAAATTGTCATGTCCCAATGCCAAAATGTCAAGATGGTTGGGATTTACATAGTTTTCCATCCCATCCCAATGGTTGTTTGAAATATTATTGTAATCCAGATTTCATTACTCCATCACCAAAAATTAAATCAAATTAATAAAAATTTTCTATTTTTTTGATTGATTAAACTTTCTTTTTTTTCTTTCTATATTTTTATTTAATTTGATGTTTAATAAATCTAAGAGTAAAATAAATTGAAATGATAAAAAAGATTGAAAATGAAAATATTACAGCAAGATTTAGGTATTCATTTTCGGTATTTAATTGTAAACGATCCAATTCATATTGACCAAGTGGTGTTGGACAGAAATATTGAATTTTCATTAAAATTGGATCAACCAATATTGGTACTGCCCCTTTGTTATCTGGACATGTAAATTCTAAATCTTTAAATTCATTAATCATTAATGATTCTAAATGATATTTTAAAAAATCTAAATGATAAAACCTAAAAAAAAAAATTAAAATTAATTAATCTATTTTCTTTTTTTTTTTTCTATTTTTTTGTCTTACCATTTCCAACCTTTTGGAATTGAACCAGGTAAAATTAAGAAACCAGCATAAAGTGATAATACGGATATTACAGCACCACCAACAGCATCAGCATCAGGTAATAAACAACCAAGGAAAGTACAAAATAGAGAAAAGTTTAGATAGGCAGTAAAGATGAGTAATAAATTATAAAAGAATGGTTGACCATTTGGTTGAAGAGTAAAACCAGCCAAGAAATAGGTTGGGATGGTATATGCCAAAGCAGATAAAAAGATCCAAGGAATATCTGTAATGATAAATGTAAAGAGATAAATCCAAACCCTATACATTCCACTTGCATTTTCACGATAAAATACACCACGTTCAGTTGTAACAATGGGAATGATACCCAAACCAATCATACCACCAAGCATCAATGAAAAGTACAACAATGAACTTCTATTATAAATACCAGTTTGATTTAATTCCATTTGAAGGAAAAGTGTACCAAACACAATACCAACCAAAAAACATCTACCAATTCTTGAAAAGATAAATGTTCTACGACGTACCAATCCAAGCCATGATCGAATCAATAATTGAGTAAATTGAATTTTCATTGTACTTGCAAAGATTTGATCATATTTTTGTACTACAACATCATCTGGCATCAGATTGCCATCAATAATTTCCAACAATTCCTTATTACTATCAGATTCTAAAAATGATCTAACTGGATGATAATCTTCCAATGTCATTGTTGGTCCAAAAAAGTATGGATTTGTAAAAGTTCTCTTTGACAAGGTTCTCTTTTTCTTTTCCTCTTCTTGATCCAATTTAAATACCAACATTTTAAATGATTTCTCTGCATTGTCATTTAATTTTATCATTTCATTTGTTGTCTCTGAATTAATTTTTAATTCCGATAATGAAGAATTATTATTATTATTATCTATAGTGATATTCTTTTCTACTTCTTCTTCATCATCTTCACAACTATCATTAATTGTTGAAATAATATTTAAAATTTCTTTTGTTGCAATTTCTTGTTGTTCATCTTCTAAACTACTAATATTACTACTACTACCAATACTATTATTATTATCACTATTATTACTACTATTTGATAAGATTGTTGGGGAAATTGGAATCATTTCATTTGGTGGTAAAGAAATGATAATATTTGGTTTTTCTATTTTTCCTTGATCCATTTCAATTTCCATTTCAATTTTTTCAATTTCCTTTTCTTTTTCATTTTCCAATTTAATTTCATCAAGTTTTAATTTTAAAACTGATTCATCTGTAACTTCTAAAATAAAATCGGCAGGATTTTTTAAAGAATCACAAATTAAACCATATCTTGCAAAATAGTTTAGGACAGTTTTACTATTTTCACCAGTTTGACCAAAGTATACAGTTTCACCTCCCTTTTTCAGTAACAATAAATGATCAAATTGTTTAAAAATAAGGGTTGAAGGTTGATGAATAGTACAAATGACACTTCTACCAGAATTTGAAATTCTTTTGATTAATTTCATAACCTTCAAGGCTCCACTACAATCTAGACCACTAGTAGGTTCATCGAGGAAAAGTAATTGTGGATCCGCAGCCAATTCAATACCAATATTGATACGTTTACGTTGAGCCAATGACAGACCATCTTGTAATCCAATTGAGCGATTTGCAATTTTCAAAAGATTTAAAGCATCCAATATACTTTCAACAAATCTCATTTTCTTTTGATCAGTCTTGTGAGCAGGTAATCTTGTACGAGCAGAAAATTGAATGGCTTCACGAACCGTCTGAGTTGGTGGAAGTACATCAAATTGTTCTACATAACCAGATATTCTTTTAAAATATTCATCTCTTGGTTTACCATTGATTAAAATTTCACCTTTAATATGACCACCAGTCTTTCTATTTGCCAATACATCTAATAATGTACTCTTTCCAGCTCCACTTGGACCCATCAGCGCCAATAGCATACCAGGTTTAACAAAACCATTAATATTATCCAACAGCCTAAGTCTTTGTTTTTTTCCATCTTTTTTAATATCAACTTCATAACTTAGATTTTTCCATTGAACATAACATCCAACTAATCTATTTTCGCTGCTTTCACTACTGGCTCTAAATCTTGGAACTTCTTTTGGTTCTTCAACTTTTAATTTAATTTGAGTTGCATTTTTATAATCTCTATTGACTTGTTCTTGTTGAACGATGAGTTGTTCCAAACGACCTTGATCAAGTGTACCACGTTTATGTAATTGATGACAAAGTTCGACTTGTGTTTGGTAGACTTGAACCGATTGACGATAAGCTTTTTTCTGTTCAAATTGATTACGTTGACGTTGTAGACGACCTACACGTTTACGATCGACAGAATCTGAAGCACGTACTTTGGAATTAAAGTGAAGACGATCCATGCAAAGATACATAATGGCAGAACATACAAAACAAAAACCAAATACAATCAATAGGTCAATCCATTTGAACCAGTCGTTTTGTGGCATACCCAGATCGTTTAGGAATTGGTCGCCACCAGTCAATGGGCATACTTGGTTACCTTGGAATCCTCCCATTTCAAAGGTTTGATTGAGTAGTGGATGGGCAAGTGGTGGTACCATTTCATGTGGTGCACAGTGATAGGCAAGACCATGGTGTTCGTTTGACATGAGACCTTCAAATTCATAATGAATAGGTGAAATCCAATACAAATAGATCCACCATCCTGGAATGTTTTTCGGTGCAATCATGTAGCCAGAGAATAAGATGAGTGGGGCAATGATACCAGGTCCGACGATAGCAGCAATGATGGCACTTGGACAAAAGGTAGAAATCATTCGGAAAAAGGTTTGTGTTTGCATGTTGGTGGCAAAGATCATCAGTACGAAATAGATAAACTTGCCTGCATCCTTTTGAAGTCCACACATCCAATAGACCAAGACTGAAAAGATAAAGCTCTCGATAAACGACAGCGGTGTGATGGCAATAAGTTTTGACAAAAAGAATGACAATGATGTATAGTACCGACCGTCACGTTGAATATAGAAAATGTCACGTGACTCAAACAATACTGGTATTGCTGCAAACCCACCATAAATGATAAAGGTAAGAGCAAAAAACAATAAACCACTACGATTTTGTCCATCTGTTTGATAGGTACTTAATTGCCAATACAATGATCCAAGGATCAGTCCCATTACCAAATGACTAATCAATCTTGTACGAATAAGAGCAGGATTTGATTTCATCATGGTAAATTCTTGTTTGGTGACTAGATAGATTTGTCTTGCAATCGATGTTGGGTATTCTGTCAAGTGTGAACTGTCACGATACAGTGTTTGATTGACTTGTGGTTGACGATTATCAAGTTCTGCAAGTATATATCTACATATTGATGATTCCTTGTATGTCTCTGCAAATTCAAATGTACCCCTTAGCGGTACATCATCATCTTCATCTGCTGCTGCATCTTCAAATCGAACCGAGTTTTCAGTGTTGATAATGGCCATTGACATGAACCATTGTTCTGCTACACTCTTTTCTCTCTTTTTCTTACTATCTGGATAATATAATTCTGGTTCATCAACAATCTCTTGATAAAATTCTGCTGGATTATGTTGTAATGGTAATTTAAATCCATATGATTCAAAATCTAAAAACAAAAAAAATTAGAACAAATAAAAAAGAATATTTCTTTTTTTTTTTTTTTTTTTATATTTACATTTGATTGCAGAAGAATTTGGACCAAAATAAACCATATGACCGGCAGATAGGATCATAAGAAAATCAAATAATTTTGTAATTTCTGAACCAGGTTGAAGTAGACTTACAATACAAGCAATGTTGTCTCTTTGAACCTTTTCTTTTAATGCTTTTACAATTTCCAATGTTGTACAACTATCAAGACCAGTTGAAATTTCATCCATCAAGTATAGTTTGGCTTCTGATTTTACCATTTCTACACCAATAGTGACACGTTTCTTTTGACCACCAGAAATACCACGCAAGAATTGATTTCCAACCACTGTATCTGCTTGTTTTTCTAATTGCAAAATTTGTAACAACTGATCGATATGTTTCTTTTTCTCATCTTTGGTTGTTTTTTCATTCATTTGTAGGTCTGCTGAAAATTGTAATGTTTCCTTTACAGACAATGATGGCATGTGAAGATCCTCTTGAACTACATAACAAACATCTCTATGATGAGTTAAATCATTTGCAGGTTTACCATTAAATCTAAGTGTTCCTGAAATGGTTTCATTATGATTTTGATTTGCCAATGTTTTCATCAAAGTTGTCTTTCCACATCCTGGTGTTCCTAATAATAATGTTAATGTTCCTGGCTATGAAAAAGATAAAATAAAAAATAAATAAATTAAAAAAGATGATTATTTTCTTTTTCTTTTTTGTATTTTACTTTTAAAAAGAAATTTAAATCTTTTAAAATAGCTTTTGGAGCTTTTGTTTTTTCATCATCAACTTGAACTGTTAGATTTCTTGCAGTGACATACATTCCAGGTTTGGAATTATCGATTGTTAAAGCTTTTGCATCTGCATCTAATGTAACTTGAAAGTTTGGTGGTTGATAATAACTAGAATGATGTTCATAGTATGATTCCTTTTTTTCAAATATTCTAGCATCTTTGAGATTTTGATCGGAATCCATCTCTAAATAAATAGATAAATAGTATAATTTTACAAATACACAATAAATAGATGAAATATTATTATTATTTTAATTTATACAAATTTGATTGTTGATGTTAAAGAATAATTCTTTTTGGAAATAGATGAAAATAAATAAAGGATGAACAACTCTCTTCTTCTTTCATTAAACAATTGTCCTTTTTTTCATATCAAGAAAACACATTTCCAATACTCCAAGAGAACACTCAATCAATCAATCAATCAATTAAAAAAAGGCGGTGGGCAAGGTAAAAAAGAAAATTGATAATATTATTAATATTTTTACCACTAGTCCATTCAAGAGCCCTATACATTTTAAAAAAAACCTACTTCTTTTACCCACACCATTGTTTTGGACATCATTGTGGTGGAATTGGAATAAAAAACACCACGCGATTTATAAATTGTGTGTACCATTGTGGTGGGATGGTTTTTAAAAATGATAAATCACCCATCAATCACCTATAGTTATCATAAAAAAGTGTACGGTAGGCTATATCCATTCAACGCTTCTACCTCTCTCTCTCCCTAAAGAGAGTTCATGTGAATCCCCCCTCTCTCTATTCACAAACTAACTCAAAGTATGGTTGATCGAGCGTATGTGAGTGTGAGTGAGTATAAGTGTGTAGGTGTCAACCACCTACGTTGAGCCAATGAATTTATTTGTACATCCATGGAATGAATCGATTTGATTGATTGATTAATAGTGGAAGGGAGGGTTAAAAAGAGGTGTTAAAAAGTTATTTTTTTTTTAATTAAACCAAACCAAGCAACTACTACTAGATGTGGTCAATGACAATAAATTAGAGATTTCAATCCCCATGGATAGAATAATTAAATGAGTAAGCGGTATGGAATGAGAGATTTATATCCCATTTACCACACACTATTTGATAGATTAATTTAAATATTTTTTTAATAGATTAATTTAAATATTTATTTATTTATTTTTATTTATTTTACTTGATGTCTAACAAATACAAGAGAAATATAAGTTGCAATAAAAAAGAAGATTGCATAACAAAACATAATGAGAAGATTAATGTATTCATTATCAACATCCATTTGTAAACGTTCCAATTCAAAACTTCCCTTTGTATGAGGACAGAACCATTGTACTTTACCCGGTCCAATCAATACAGGTACCGCTCCATTATTATCTGGACATGTAAATTCCAAATCTTTTAATTCATTTATCAATAATGATTCTAAATGATATTTTACAAAATCTAAATGATAAAACCTAAAAGTAGAAAAATAATTAGTATTTTTGTTTTTTGTTTCATTTTTAATTTTTCTATTTCTTACCATTTCCAACCTCTTGGAATTGAACCAGGTAAAATCATAAAACCAGCAAACAAAGATTGTAATGATAATAAAACACCGGCAATTGATTGAGCAACTTCATCACTTGGGAAGAAACAAGCCAAGAATAAGCAAAGCATTGAAAAGTTTAGGTAGACAGCAAATAGGACTAGCGTATGATAAAAGAATGGTTCGGCTCGAGGGACCAATGTAAAACCGGCGAGGAAATAAGTTGGAATAATATAGGCGATGGCAGATAAAAAGATAAATGGAATATCTGTAATGACAAATGTCAATAGATAGATCCAAACTCTATACATTCCACTTGAATTTTCTCTATAAAATACTCCACGTTCCATTGTAATGATTGGGATAACACCAAAACCAGCCATACCACCAAACATGATAGAGAAAAAGAGTAGAGATGTACGATTATAGATACCGTCTTGGTCAAGTGGCAGTCTTAGAAACATTGTACCAAATACAACACCCAAGATAAAACTTCTACCAATACGAGTACGTTGATTATCAACTCTTCTAACTTGACCCAACCATGCACGTCTAAGCAATTGAGAGAATTGCATTCCAATAGTACTTGAATATTCACCTTTAAATTCTTGGGGCTTAATGTCGACTGGAATGAGTGAGGTGGAGGTTGCAACCTTTTCAAGTAATTTGTTGTTTAATTCAGATCTAGCAAATTCTTCAACTGGATGGAATTCTGTCATTCCTCCCTGGTTATTTGGTACGTTGATGATTTCATCTGTTACTTCTAGAATAAAATCTGCTGGGTTCTTTAGAGGATCACAAGTTAAACCATGACTTGCAAAATAGTTGAGGACAGTTTTACTATTTTCGCCAGTTGGACCAAAGTATACAGTTTCACCACCTTTTTTCAATAATAATAAATGATCAAATTGTTTAAAGATTGAAGTTGAAGGTTGATGAATAGTACAAATGACACTTCTACCAGAATCTGCAATTCTTTTGATAAGATTCATAACTTTTAAAGCTCCACTACTATCTAGACCACTAGTAGGTTCATCGAGGAAAAGTAATTGTGGATCAGATGCCAACTCTACTCCAATATTGACACGTTTACGTTGAGATAGTGACAGACCTGCACCCAATCCAATAACACGATTAGCAATCTTTAAAAGATTCAGCGTGTCTAGGATATTCTCTACAAATGCCATCTTTGCTTTGTCCAACATTTCAGCAGGCAATCTTGTACGAGCAGAGAATTGAATAGCTTCACGAACCGTCTGAGTTGGTGGCAATACATCCAATTGTTCGACATAGGCAGACATTCTTGGGAAATATTTGTTTCTTGGTTGTCCATTGATTAGGATTTGACCAGTTGTATGACCACCAGTCTTTCTATTTGCCAATACATCTAATAATGTACTCTTTCCAGCTCCACTTGGACCCATCAGCGCAAGTAACATACCAGGTTTAACAAAACCATTAATATTATCCAACAGTCTAAGTCTTTGTTTTTTTCCATCTTTTTTAGTATCAACTTCATAACTTAGATCTCTCCATTGAAGGTAACAGCCAACCACTTCAATTCTTTCAGCTCTAAATGATGGCACACGAGACACTTGAATACGAATCTTTGATTGAGTTTGACGAAGTGATCGATTCAATTGTTCTTGATGTTGTTTTAATTGTTCCAATTCTGTAGAGTCTACTGGTTTACCTTCTTGTTGTCGTTGTTGTAATTGTTCGATTTGTGATTGGTGTACCAAAAGTGATTGACTAAGATTCTTTTTGTATTGATGTTGAATTTGTTGTTTTTGGAGACGATTGACACGTTTCTTATCATCAGCACTTTCCAAATTGGCACGTACCTTGGAGTCAAAATGGAATCTCTCTAAAAAGAAATACATCAATACTGCAAACAAGACAAAGAATGCCAAGACAATAGCCAAATCAATCCATTTGAACCAATTGTTTTGAGGCATACCAAGTTGTTTGAGGAATTGGTCTCCTTCGGTCAGACCGCAGACTTGGTGTCCTTCAAATCCACCTTGTTCAAAAGTTGCATTTAAAAGTGGGAATTGAAGTGGTGGCAGCAATTCTCCAGGTGAACAAGTGTATTTCAATCCATGATGTTCATTTGACATGATACCTTCAAATTCATAATGAATAGGTGAAATCCAATACAAATAGATCCACCAATCTGGAATTTGATTTGGTGCCATCATGTAGCCAGAGAATAGGATGAGTGGGGCAATGATACCTGGAGCTACGATGGCGGCGACAGTTGGAGTTGGAGTAAATGCAGAAACCATTCTAAAGAATGCTTGTGTTTGTAGATTGGTTGCAAAGAGCATCAGCACAAAATAGATAAACTTTTCAGCATTTCTTTGTAATCCACACATCCAATACATAATCACTGAAAATACTATAGTTTCAATGAGAGCGATTGGAAACTCTGTGATGAGCTGTGACAAGAAAAAGGCAATCGTCTTGTAATACTTTCCATCACGTTGAATATAGAAAATGTCACGTGATTCGAATAAAATTGGGATGGCACTGAACCCACCAAACACAATAAAACAGAGTGAAAAGAATAACAGACCACTACGGTTTTGTCCATCGGTTTGGTGGTTACTTAGGTTCAAGTAGAGTGACCCCAAGATAAGACCCATGACAACAGCCTTTACCACACGCATATAAAATACCATTGGTGTAGCCTTCATCATCATGAATGCTCGTTTAGTGGCCATCCAAATTTGTTTTCCAGTGCTTGTTGGGTACTCTTGTAAATGTGAACTATCACGATACAGACTATGATCGATATTTGGTTGATGCATATCCAATTCTGTCAATATTGATTGATAGATTTCAGATTGTTTATATGCTTCTGAAAATTCAAATGTTCCCCTTAATGGTACATCATCCTCTTGATTAGGTTGATTTGGTTTTAATGTATCCTTTTTTTTGGTTGGATAATATAATTCTGGTTCATCAACAATCTCTTGGAAAAATTCTGCTGGATTATGATGTAATGGTAATTGAAATCCAAATGATTCAAAATCTAAAAAAAAATTAAAAAATTAATATATATTCTTTTGATTTGTTTTGCTTTCTTTGATATTTACAAGGAATAGCACAAGAATTTGGACCAAAATAAACCATATGACCAGCTGATAGGATTAAGAGAAAATCAAATAATTTTGTAATTTCTGAACCAGGTTGAAGTAGACTGACGAGACAAGAAATATTATCTTTTCTTACAGTATCTTTTAAATTCTTTATAATTTCCAGAGTAGTATTACTATCTAGACCAGTTGAAATTTCATCCATCAAGTATAGTTTGGCATCGGCTTTTACCAACTCTACACCAATAGTGACACGTTTCTTTTGACCACCAGAAATACCACGCAAGAATTCATTTCCAACCACTGTATCTGCCTGTTTTTCCAATTTCAACATATTCAATAGATAATCGATATGTTGTTTTTTCTCTTGGTCTGTTGTTTTTTCATTCATTTGCAAGTCTGCAGAGAATTGAAATGTTTCCTTTACTGTCAATGATGGCATGTGAAGATCCTCTTGAACTACATAACAAACATCTCTATGATGAGTTTTCTTGTTTGCAGGTTTCCCATTAAATGTTAATGATCCACTTTTCCTCTCACCATGTGTTTGGTTTGCCAATGTTTTCATTAATGCTGTCTTGCCACATCCTGGACTACCCAACATTAATACCATTGATCCTGGCTAAAAAATAAAAATAAATAATTAATAAAAAGATAATATCATTTTTCTCTTTTTTTTCTTTACATACTTTTAAAAAGAAATTTAAATCTGATAAAATATTTTTTAAATTATGTTTCTTTTCACTACCAATTGAAAGAGATAGGTTTCTAGCTGAAACATACATTCCAGGTTTGGAATTACTAGTTGTTGTTGAAAATGATGGTGAAGGTGTAAGGACATTATTTTGATCATCTTGTAATTGTAAATGTTGATATGTTTCTTGTAATTCTGTCGTCGCCTTTGTTGATTGATATGGAGGTGTTAAAATTTCCATAGGTGGTTCAACAATTTCCATTTGTGTTGTTGGTTGAGTTGATTTTATCGTATTCATTTCAATTCCTTCCTTTTGACCATCTAAAATAATGTTTTCATATTCATTATCAGAGTTTTCATTATTATTATTCTCGTTATTATTATTATTATTATTATTATTATCTTCGGACTGATTATTATTATTAGATGATTGATCCATAATTTTTTTCTTTCTCTTTTTTTTTTTTTTCTGTTTTTTTTATAAATGAAAACTAATATTTGTTTTGTTGAACTATACTATCAATAATTTAATTTATGTATGTATTTGTACAATTGTACAGGTGTAAGGAACAACCCCCTTTGTTCTCTCTTGCACAGGATACAACAATAGATAAAAATATAAAAAAAGATTTTACAAGATTTTAAAAAAAAAAAAAAGTTGGTTGCCACCTCTCTGCTTTGAATAATATTAATAAAGTTGTCAGGTGGTTTGATGATTAATTATAACTGTAATTATTACTTGTTAAATAAAAATAGATATACTACTGAAAAGAGAGTAGGAAGAGGAGGAGGATGTTTATATTTATAAATATCAAAAAATAAAAAGAACAAGTACACTGTGCGTTTGTTGTTGTAATATTATTAAATATATAATATAAAAATGGAAGGAACCAAAAAATGGTTGGCGTCATTTGTGATCATAATTGTTTTCCTTTCCTCCTCTCCATGTAATTACAAGCTTTAAGTTGAGTTGTGAAGAGTGAGAACTGCTGCTTGAGGAACACCCACACACACTCACCCACACCATTTGCTAGCATTGTTTTGATAGCAACGGGTGTGTTGGGGGGGTGAAAAAAATAAATATATTTGATATTGGGTGGTAGTGGTGGTGCTAGATTTAAAGGTTGTATAACTAACTGACCAATGGACAACATATCGATTGATGATCAACAAACAACAACAAACCAAAAAGAAAGTCATCATGATGTCGTTTATAATCACATGACGTTGTGGTAATATGATTATGATTCCACAAACCACAAACAACTATATGTTTGTTATATGTTGTTCATTGTCGTTTCAGTTTTTCTATTTTTGATTCCAATCCAATCAATTATAGTCGATTTTTTTTTTTAATTCCATTTTGATTGGGATTGTCCAACCTTTTTTTTTCATAGTATAAATAAATATTTTTTTTAAATATGTACATACTTTTTATTATTATTTTACAATTACAGTTGTATGTTTTGGTAATTTCATTTTTTTAAGAGGGATTTCAAAATATTCCATAACCTTTATGATATCATTGACAGAATGTGAAGGTTGAATATCCATTAAAATATGAGACTCTATAAGCATACGATAATAAATCTTTAGTTGTTCTACACTAAATGAGAATAGTTCCATGATTGATACAACTCTTCTCATTTCCTTTCTCAACGTCTTGATTGATAAACCTTCATTTCCTACATGAAATATTCCAATTAAACTCTCTACCAATAATTCTAAATTGGTAATTGTATTTAATGTCCAAATCTTTTTATCATATGATTTTGGTAATAATATTTCTATAAAATTCTAAAAAATAAAAAAGAAAAAAGGTTTAAATAAATCTTTCTTTTCTTTCCTTTTTTTTTAGTCTACCTACAAACATAATCATTTTAAATAAATATTTTAATAATTTACTAAATAATCTTGGATAAAGATTTAAATAGGCAACTTTTAAATGTCTATCTAAAAATTCAATCAAATTATCAATATCACCCTTTGTATTATCTCTTCCAAATGCTATATTCCAAACTAATGGTCTTAATTGATAATCCATCTAAAAATAAAAGAGAAATTTGAAATTAATAAAAAGAAGTATTCATTTTCTTTTTTTTTTTATCTTTCTATTTCTATTTCTATTTACTTTATAAACAAAAAAACAAATTAAACATCTCCAATGATATTTTAAATATTTAAATACATCTAATAATGTATCACCAAATAAATTATTATTTTCAGAATCAAATTGATCCAATAGACATCTAGATTCTTCAATATCATTTAATTGAAGACACATCTTTTCAGTGATAAATGTAGTTGTTCTCGATTGATTTGGAATGATTGGTTTGTTCATTGACATGTCTTTTAAAAGTTGATTCATTTTTTTGGTTCCTTTTCCTTCAATTGAATTGATTAAAAATGATTGATGATCTTTTGATAAATCTGAAAATAATTCTAATCTCAAACCTTTTATAAATAAATAAAATGTTTTATCTAATTGCTAAAAATTAAAAATAAGTATGAATAAATTAATAATTCATTTTGTTTTTTTACTTACAGCACCAAAAGATCTTAATAATAAACTTGGAAATCCCATTTTATCTTCAACAATTTGAATTGATTTAAAACATTGCCAAATATAACTAAATAAATCAATGGGCGCAGCTGTATGAAGTATTCCTTTTCCATTTGCTTTCCATTCTTGTTTACTCATAATTGAATCAATATATCTTTCCAATAAATTGATAGAATTTAATACAAAACTACCACAAAAAAATGTTAAATTTTGATCAAGTGGAATTGTTTTTCTAAAAATATAAATAAAATAAAATAATTAATACTTTTGATATTTTTTCTTTTTTCTTTTTTTTCCTATTACTTTTTACAATATTGAAAAGTTAAATTATTAAATTCAATTAAATTTGGAACCAATTCAACAAGTATACCAGTCAACCAAGCCGGTGATTCCATTTTAATATTTTTTCTAACATCAACATTTATAAATTTGTTTGAAATGATTGATAAATCTGATCTAATAAATTTTGAAAATGTTTCAATCACTGTTTCTATATGTGAAATTGATATTTCATCTTTACCTTGATACCTACAAAAAAAAATAAAAAAAAAAATTAATAAATAAACAAATAAATATTTTTTTCTTTTTTTTTCTTTTTTTTTTCTTTTCTTTACATATTAAAGATTGAATTAAAATGAATAAAATCATCTTTTAACCATTTACAAATATCGGCAACTTGTAAGGAGAGAGTGAAAATTTCTAGACAATTTTCTTGTTGATAAAAAGGATTGGTGGATTGAAGGATGACTTGAAATTTGGAACGATGAGTTTTATAATCTTTTTCATTTGAATCGATTGAACTTGCCGAAATAATAGAGTGCATTGAACTATCTTGCCATTCTAGAGATTTGATGATTTTATCTAATAGTCTGAGTACAGTACTTAATTGACCGGTACTACTTTGTTGTTTATGTGCACGAATGTTAGTGTCGGTTGTAACACGGTAACAGAGACGATAGTTGGAAAGACGATGTTTGAGTTGTTCAACCAATGCAGTACACAATTTATAAAACTTTCTCTCTTCATTCATTGTGATCATCTTGGTACTGGTTTTCCTAGTCTCTACCAACTTTATAAAACAACTATAGAGAAGATTGAGTTGTTGTGGTGTATCATCGAATCGTTTCACCAACAGACCAAAAACAACCAAATGTCTATAGAAATCACGAATACCATAAAGCAGACAATACTCTTTAAGTATCCATGCCAACTCTGGTTGTATGTTGAGTTGAATGTGATCTGGTTTCGATGGGATGATTGATTCTTTCATTGGAAGAAAACTGTTACAATGGTTATTGTAACGTTCTCCCAGAGTATACTGTACAAATGCTTTAACCAATTCTTTGTATCCCATATGAATGTCACTCTCGGTACCTGCCAATGCCAAAGTACCATCCTTTTTCTTTTTTGGTGCAGTATTGAGTGTATGCTTTTTAAGTGTCGATCCAAATATATCTTTTACACTTGGATGTTGTGATGGAGGTGATTCTTCCAATTGTTTTTTTGTTGTCATTGTCCCACCAATTTCACCAGCATAATTTTCTTTCAACAGTGATGTAATATCATTGATTTCAATTTGTCTCCATTTTTCGTGACTTGTTGGATCACGGAACCCTTCACTCTTGTAAATGGGGTGGTTATCCTTCCAAGCATACCGCAACAACAACTCTGCCTCTGTAATTTGTTTTGGTGAACATTCCAATATCTTTTTTGACACTTCCACATATTGTTCCTCTCCAATTCCAAATGAGTCCCGTAAACATGGTCCAATTGTCTTTTCATCAATCATCATTCCATTCTTTGGTGTATTGTTTGAATATAAACATAAAATAGCTCTAATAATTCCATATGCCTTTATATTATTTAATGGCTCATTTTTTATCAATACAATCGATTTATCATCATTATCGACCACACTATTAGAGGTTGATCTTTTGGCTGATGGTTGAGTTGGGTGAATCGGATGATCAAGTGTAAATTGTTTATCCAATGTTGATTTTTCATGTTTGAATAATTGAATATTGTTACTTGCAGCTTTAACAATTTCAAATAAATTCTTTTCACTAACTTGTCTCTCTAAATGATGATGATGTTGATTATTCTTTGGTGATTTAAATAATTTTTGTTTTAAAAAATTCTTTTTCTTTGTTGGTTTCTTTTCTTGTTGTTGTTGAGTATCTTGTTGTTCTTGATCATCATCTTGTTCATCACCTTGTACATCTTTCCATTGTGGTAATTGATTTGGATTGATATGTATAGTAGCACCCCCTCCACCAATGAGAAGTGATGCTAAATTCTCCAATGATTGTGATGATGGTAATCTAAGTAATTGAGGAATTACCTTTTCCTTTCCAACACTAACCCGAGTACTTGTCGTATTTGTACTCGTACTTGTCGTATTGACTCCAGCATATGGATTTGAATTATTCTTGTCACGATTTAGATTTCTAATTTGTTGAGCAATGATGGGTACATTTTCAATCATAACGGTCATTGAAACGGTGCCAATATGTAACCCAGTCTTTGTAATTGGTTCACGTACCTGTACGCTTACATTACCAGTGGCTGAATCTTTAGACGATCGTTTTAGATTTGCCAATGATAGAGGTACAGAAAGCGGTAGTTCACATTCTCCAATAGTTACTTCACGTGCCATTGCAGATGCCGCCGCTACCGCCGACTTTGTTGTACTTGTTGGAGTAGATTTTAATTTAACCAATAGATTCATTTCACATAGTGTCAAAGGTGACACATTCTTTACATTTACATGATCATTCATTTTCTTCCATCCAAGTGTTGGCGTGGTCATCGTCGACGCGGAAGAGGAAGATGAAGATCCCTCATTTAAAGTTGTAGTTTTTGAACGTTGTACTTCATTCTTGCTATTTTCATCGTCTGTATAGTACACTAAAAAGTATGACAATGAAGATACACCAGCAGCCACAGCTCTTCCACCCATCAATATATTATTATTATTGGTTGTAAATTCTACCATCACATCTTTCATTGTTATCTTTACATCTGTCTTTTGTGATAATAATGCCCAAAATGTTATATTACCAATATTATTATTATTCTAAAAACAAAAAAGAGAGATATATATAAGTACAACATATAATAATCGATTATTCTACACATTTGATTCATACCTTGACAACATCTAAAGAATGTTGAATGGGACCAGTTGCAATGGTTAATAGATCGATTTGAGCATGACCAACGATACTATCAAACACAGTATTACTCTCAGAGATTGTAAATTTGAGTTTAGTGTTTGACAGTTGATCGATATTCAACAAACATATAGTTTCAAATTCATCTTGAAAGTCATATGACGATACACTACTAACAGGTGACCTACTAACAAACTTTTTTAAATTACCAAATTCACATTGAATAGTTATCGATTTACTATAGATAATACACGGTTAGTATATATTCTTTGATATTATTCAATACTTAAGTATACACATACCTTTCTTTATTCTTTAGTTCTATAAATATACCTGATAGTTTAAATTGAAAGTTTGATGCCATATCAATCTCTTTCTTTCTCTCTCTATCTCCTCTCTTCTCTTCTTCTTTTGTTTTATAAATAATAATAATAATACAGATATCTAATAATACATTACACAGATCGTGAGTGTTAATAACAATCAATCAATCAATCAATCAATCATTGCTTTTCGGGACCATTCGAAAGCCTGGTTGAAAAAAAAAAAAAGGTTTGTTGTTGGTTGCAAAAACAACAATCATATTCTTTGAAGTATCGATCACGGTTGACAGATGAATAATTTGTCGTACTTTGTTTATTTATTTGATAGTGAAATTTCACAAAACAGAAAAGACGAACCATAGCGCATGCATCAAGGACAAGGACGAACCGCATTAAAAAGGACGAAAAAGGAAAATAATCGTGTCAATATTTTATCACGCACATTAATATCTGTGTTTTGTTTGTCCCCTTTGCAGCAATGAATGAATGAAACTCACTTCAGTCTTCAACACACATCATCATTTTACATTTTTCATTGTTAATTATTTGTTTATCTCTATTATTTATATATCTCTATTTTAGTTTAAAAGATGAGTGATACAACAACAGGACCAGAAGAATTATCAATTCCAATTGGAACAGGCATAACTATAGCTGCAAAGGCATGGGGACCACCAAATAGTAAACAAAGAGTACTTGCATTGCACGGTTGGCTAGATAATGCAAATTCATTTGATATTATTGCTCCTGTACTTGCTAATATTGGTATACGTGTTGTTTGTCTTGATTTTATTGGTATGAGATAATGAATGAATGGCTAGTCACATTTATATATATATATATATATATATTAATTAATACTCACTACTCTACTTTCTTTAGGACATGGAAGAAGTCCACATAAACCAAATTGGTGTAATGTTTATTATACAGATTATATAACTCAAGTGATTGATGTGGCAGATGCATTGTGTTGGAAAACATTTACTATTTTGGGTCATAGTATGGGTGCTGGCATTGGATCGATTCTGGCTGCTTCTATGCCACATATGGTCGAGAAGTTGATTTGTTTGGATTTTATTGGACTGTTGTCAAGGGAACAAGACCAATTACAAGCTATCATGTACGCAATGCAATCACGTGAACGTTTGATTGCTAGAAAACCATTCCTTTATCCATCAAAGGAATCAATCTTTGAGAAACTTAAAAATAACAATCCATTCATCGAAGATGATGCTGCTCGATTGTTGTTACAACGTTCGATCGAGACTGTCATCTCGCCGTCGGGTGAACAAGTGTACAAGCTTCGTCATGACCCTCGTTTGGTCGGTCCCAGCATCTTTACATTCCGCGAGCACGAGGTGTTGGTCATGCTACGTGGTATCAAGTGTCCAGTCCTCCTCATCTGGGGTACAGTCTCTGCACAACAATTCCAAATGAAAAAGAATTGGACAGAGGTTATGGAAAAGAGAATGAAGTGTGTCAAGAACCTCGAAGTCATCAATGTCGAGGGTAGTCATCATTTCCACATGGAAACTGGTATCGAACAATTTACACCTCAACTACTCAACTTTATTAGTACCAATGATTCATTACAATCATTTAATCCAAGTAATGAATCTCATAATAATAATAATAACAAAACAACTGGTACTTTACTAGCTCAACATAATCTTGCTGAAAACCATAATCAATTGGCTGATATTGATATACCAAAAGCTAAACTTTAAAAATGTGTATTAAAATTAAAATAAATATAATATTATGTTCTTTTTTGAAAAAAACATTTATCTGTTAGTTTATCTTACAAGTTATTTGTATTTTTGATAACGAAAGACCTGACCGACAAAATATAAATTTTTGTTATTTTATATCTTTTTAATTAAGTTTGATGGGGGGGTATGGAGGAGCACCTTTGAATCCATTAAGTTGTGCGATAAATGGCAGATGCAGATGCAAACGAAAGAGGCAAGCCTCAATCATAGTGTTTGTATCCCTCACGATAAATTAGTTTAATCATATCGTCTTGAACGTGTCAAGACAGAAAGAGATTAAGCTTTCTAGAACAGATACTACACATGATCAGAGCAGAAACTCTGAGAGAAGGTGACGAAACAAATATAAAACATCACCTATTAGCAAACATTATAGTGGACGAAATTTATGGGTTGTGAGAACATCATTGTCACTGAAAACTTTTCATAAATCTATCTGTCACATGACAAAACTTGGTATCATTCAACTCCTCATAGTATTCTTTGTTTACAAGTCAAAGAAAGAACATATTCTATTTATTTATTTCTATTCTATTCTATTCAATTCCTTTCTTTTTCATAGTAAGGGTATTAAAAGATAGTTGATTATAATGATCTATTTCACGATTCAAGTTGATACTACAATCAGATGATTTTGTTGTAGTCGTTGAATGGTTGTAGTCAATTGGATAGTTACAGTTATAACCAGATAGAACAAAATAATCTAGTTTAGAAGAGTCTTTTATACAGCCAACGAGATGATTGATAGTTGAAAAGAGAACTGATGGTAATCGTTTCTTTTTATCACTTTCTCCTCCACCTCCTTGACTAATCTTACAATGAATGGTAAGATATTGTAACTGCTGCTGGTCATTTGAATGATTCTTTAAAAGATCAATGATAGATAATACAAAGGAATTGGTAATCATTGAAGAAAAGTGTTGGTTGTTGTGGTCAGATGTAGAGAATGATGTGTATAGATTGATATGTAGTGATGTCAATAGGGGTGCGTGAAACATGAGAGGAAGTAAAAGGTAATGAAGAGACCCAATAGTGTCTTTACACCTAGAGTCAATCGATAGTGTATGGAGATGAGGGAAATGTGGTGTTGGTTCGAGAGATGATGGGATTCGATAGTGATGGTTGACAATGGATAGTCGAGTACTACGGATACGTGGTGTTGTGATACATAGCTGATAGACATCTTTAAATGAGAGTTGGTCACAGTCGAGTGTTGTGAGGGTAGGACATTGACTTGCAAATTGGATAATGTCGCGTTTGATACGGGTGTCTTGTCGAAGTGGCGAGAGGATGGTGACAGACTCTACTCGCGAGGCACCTTGGAGAAAGTGTAAAAAGTGACTAGAGTAGGTTACACGTGCATTGAACAGGATGTGTAACGATCGGAGAGTGCTTGGGAGTACGAGAAGTGTTCTCTCACATCGAGTCAATAGAGCTTGATCAAGAACCGATATGCATAATCTGAGATGTTCCAAACACCTAAACGACGACAGTTTGGTAGAGTAATAACTGCTGCTAATGTGGAGCTGTTTGATGTGGTTGGTGATTAAATGCATCAGGATCTCTTGACCCTGGCCAAAAGGGTTGCCTGCCGGACACTGGTAAAACGATTGTACCTGGAGACTTTGGACAGAGTCGAGTGTACCGTCTTGCTGCTTGCTCGATAGTATATAGTCTATCAACTTGTCGGTCAGTCTGTATATTTGGTTGGACAATCTTTCACCATCGACAAACACGACTCTGGAAAAGAGGTTGAGACACCATGGTTTCATTGGTGCAACGATCCTTGTATAGGCGGGATAATTGGTGATATTACCGACCGTCTCGTCGTCCAGTGGTTTCTCGACAAGCTCCTGGATAAAAGAGACAACCGACTGCTCACTGGCATAAGACGGCGATACTAGATGCGACACTGATTTGAGTAAACAATATTTGCTCTCAATATGGCTCTTGTAGCGCGACACATCGACATGGGTCATCATCAGAGTGACACGAAACCCTGGAAAATGGTTGAAATGAAACATACATCGATCAAACCATTTCCAACAAACCAATGAAACTTTGATACGGTCTCCAAGTGGTACAACACTCTGATTCAAATCCCTATTATGTCCATCCCATTGTTCCCTCTTTTCTTGTTTTAATAACCATATATTATCTATTATTTCTTTTTGTATTAACCAATTATTCATTTGTAAATTAACTAAACTAAATTATCTTTAGATGAAAGAAGAAGAAAGAATTTCTCTCCTCTCTCTTTCCCTCTCTCTTTTTCCCATCACTCTTTTCGTTTACATACATTGCTTGTTGATCCTAACACTGATCAGCTAGTTAGTGGTAGATGGGTTGGAAAGAGGGGGTGTGATGTGCTTAAAACACAATGTTTGTATGACCTTACGTCGAAAATTAAAGACGAGATTATAATCACTGCAATGGCAACCATCGCTAATTGTTTAATGATAATTAGATGCCAACAATAGATCAGAGATCACCTATCAATCACATTAAACTACTTAATTTGTTTATAATTTTGGCTTTTTCAAATAAGTCTGAACGAATCGAAAATGAACGAACGAAACAGGTAATAATAACAACGACAGACCCCCTTATAGTTCCTTTATCTACTTGTCTACACAAAGAATGCAATCATCATCAAAGTTGACAATAATCAAACAATGGTTACGAGATAACTGTGTAGTCATTGACGAAAGCAAGATTGAGATTGTAGATACAACAACTCATCCTCATGTCATTGTTGAAGGTTTAGGTATCATTGCAAAACAAGATTTAAAAGTTGATGAAATTAGTATGTTAGATATATATGTAATTCATATCTCATTACAAGTGTTTATTAATCTCTCTCTCTCTATCTCTTTTTTTTTTTTTATAGTTGCAGTTATACCAAAGAGATGTGTATTATCACCAAAGACAACATCGATAGCACCAATTTTAGAGAAATATGAATTAGAAGAGGCTGTAGCAACATCGATTGCATTAATGTATGAAACATCAAAAGGAGTGCAATCAAAGTGGTACTCTTATATTCAATCAATGCCAACTGTTATTGATTTGCCCATCCTTTGGGACAAAGAGTCTATTGAATACTTGGTAGGAACAGACTTGGAAGAGATTGTCATTGAGAATATTGAAACACTCGAGGAGCAGTACCGAGAAGACGTTGAACCAATCATAAAGAATCATCCAGAAACTTTTAAGGAAAACATCTTTACATTGGAGAGTTTCAAAATTGCAAGTACTATTGTTTCATCAAGAGCTTTTAATATTGATCAATATCATGGTGAATCTTTAGTTCCTTTAGCCGACATGTAAGAGAAAAATGAAAAAGAAAGGTTATATATATTTATTAATTTATTTATTTTTAGATTTAATCATAAAACTGGCAGAGAAAATGTACATGTTGAAGCAGATGGTAATGTTTGTAAACAATGTGGAGAATTGGATGGATGTGAACACAAAAAGAAAAAGGGAGGTAAAAAGGTGGTCAAAGGAGCTCCTTCTTTGAAAAAGGCTACACCACAAGATATTGAAAAAAAGACAACATTCAAGGATCGTATAGAGTTGTTGCCAAAAGATTCATTATTCATTACCATTGTCAAACCAGTCAACAAGGACTGTGAAGTATTCAATACCTATGGAGATCACGACAATTCATTGTTGCTTTCAAAATATGGGTTTTTAGAGATGGACAATCCATGTGATCTATTGCGTATCGATAGACAACTAGTAGACAAGTTACTCTTTTCCTATTTGGATTTATACAAGATTGAACAACCCGCTCTCATGAAGCGATTGGAATTTTATTGTGAAAATTTCGATGAAGATTCTAGAGAACATCATGCATTTGAACTTGACGGTCATGGTGATGATGCCCTCATCACCACTCTTTACATTGCTTTGGCGCCACCAGAAACTTTTAATCAATGGAAGAAAATGAAACAAGCACAATTTTACAAAATCTTTGAAAAGAAACAAGCCATCGATATGGTCAAAGAATTCCAACAAGTACGAAAAGCAATTTTAGATGTAATTGATAAAAGATTAGAAAAATATAATCAAAACAAATTTAATGATAATAATAATAATAATAATAATAATAATAATAATAATAATAATAATAATAATAATAATAATACAACTACTACAACAACAAATAATGAATCAATTAATCAAAATAATAATAATAATAATAATGATAGAAAGAAATGGGCAATATCATTGGCAAAATGTGAAAAGTTAATTTTAGAAAATGCTAGAAAATATTATACTGCAAAATAAATTACAAAATAATTACATTTTATCCTTTAATTTTTTTATTATTACAATGTATTTTTTTTAGGGTCTCTTTTCCAAAGAAACTGGAGCGTGTGGATTTTCTTGTGGTGGAGTTGGATATTGACCTGGACCTGGTTGTTGTGGAGGGAATTGACCTGGACCTGGACCTACAACTATAGGAGCTCCTTGAGCCATCATTTGTTGTTGAGAGGGTGATTCAACAAAATGTCTTGGTGGGTTTGGATGAATATTATATTTCTTGAAAAAGGATGTTAATTGACCTGGGATTTCACGAAGTGTTTCAGCGGCAAGGTGTGGACCACCAAGAGAATCTCTCAATGCTACAAATTGAACAATATCACGTTCGGCACGCAAACCAGTGGTACTAACCAAAAGACCATCATCACCATCCAATTTAACCATGTTTGAAAAGTCTGCATTACCAACACCAATAATAACAATTGATAATGGTAAAACTGATGCCTTACAAATGGCTTCAACTGTATTCTCCATATCTAAAATTTCACCATCAGTTATAATCTAAATAAAAAATAAAAAGAATAAATAAATAAATAAATAAATAAATATTATTAAATATTTTCTTTTTTTACATACTAATAAAATTGTATACTTTTGAGTTTGTTGATTTGAACCTTGAGCAGCCGTTTGAGCGACTTGATTAATGATTGGAGCAAAATAAGTTGGTCCATGAAGTTGGACACGACCAATATTATTGTAATACATGTCGAGAATACCACCTACACCTTGAGCACAGACGGTTGCATCGTTTAAGCTCATTGGGAAACAATGGTTAACACGTGATTGTCCTGGAACGATACCACCAAAACCATAGGTTGGGATTAGGCCATCATAATCGTATGGTGCCAATACATTTCCAATAGATACGATAGCCTTTGCATACTGATTAGGTTCGGTTGGATGCTTAAAGTGAAGACTGGTTGGATCAGATGGAGGTTTGTTACTGGCTGTACAATCAATACCAACAATCAAACTAATTTCACATCCACCAACAATGTATTCCAAAAATTGATAATCTCTAACAAGCTTGGCATACAATAAAATGACACCAGAATTTGTATACTTTGATCCCTTTTTCTTCTTTTTCTCTTCATTGATTAAATCAAATTTGGTTGTTCCTCTTAAAATTTCATCAACACTTGTCTAAAAAAATAAAATTAAAAAGAAATTTAAATAAATTATTCATGATAAATATAATAAATAATTACATACAACAAAATTTCCAATATAATCATGTGATCCAACCTTGTCCCAATCATAAAAATCAAATCTAATTTGTCTTGTCATATCTCCACCATTTAATGTTGAAATTGGAATATCAATTTGACTATAAACTGGATCAAGAGTCTAAACAATAATAAAATAAAATAAAATAATTAATAAACTATTTATCTACTTTCTTTTTTGTTTTTGTAAATTTACATTTTTTTTAACAGGACTTTCATAAACCTTTGCAAAACCAGAAGGAGTCATTTTTGAAATAAAGAAATAAGGATCACTCTTTCCAAAGAAATCCTTCTTGTCTAGACCATTTCCTTGTACTTGAACTCGAAAGTTTTGTCCAGATGATCTTTGATCGATTTCCTCGGCAGTGACTTGAACCGATCCTGCAGGTCTACCCTTTTGATTGGTAAGAGGTAATACGAGGGTGAGTCCTGGTTTTGATAAGATGGCACCAAGAGTAGTGATTGCACTACCAATGTAATCTTGAGATTCGAGTGCCTTGTCATTGTCTACATCGTATACTGTGAATTTAAGATTCTGAACCTCTTCGAAAAAGTAATCAACCATCACGGGTGTCTTGAATTGAGGATTGAGATTGTTATCAATCTTTTCAGTTGTTCCAACCTTTACCCATTTAGCTGCACGATCTTGTTGATAGACTGCCAAGATGGGATCAGAAAGACTGAGCATATCAAGGTTTGCAAGTCTACTACATTTGAATCTAAGTTCAATCTTACTTGTTGGTACTACTGTTGTCATAATTATAAATAATAAATAATAAATACAAATAAATAATAAATACAAATAAATATAATAAAGAAACAACAATGAACAAGCCGCAGAGGCTGATTAAATATGTATCGAGATTGAAGATTTTTTACAAAAAACTGTAAAACCAAACAAACCTGGTTTGAAAACACACCACTTTTAACTTCTTTAACGACATTTTTAGACGAGTCAAACTTCAGATTTAGATAAATCAAGGTTTTTAGAGTTTAAGTCATTAATTAACATTTCCATTACTCCGAGTTTCGAATAATTTATAAAACGTAGTTATTTTTTAGCTATTTTTCTATTATTATTATTTTACATGAAACCAACAACAATTTATATTATTATTTTTTGGTTTTGGTTTCTTTTTTTAATTTTATTATTATTCTCTTTCTCTTTCTCTTTGTTTACTTTCTCTTCTAAGTTGAATAGATGTAGTTGTATTACCAATGATATTGATTAGACCACCAGTATTATTTTGATTGGCAGTCATCATTGGTGAAATGACTGGAGTTGAAGTATTACTAGTGTTGATTGGATTATTATTAATAATTGAAGAGGTTGATGTTGCCAACTCAACATGTTTTGATCGAAGACTTGACAAGTTGAAATATTTTACGACTTCCTCTCTTGCAATATCTTCTTCTCTTTTCTTTTCAATGTTTTTAACTTTGATAATCTTTTTACCAGACTTTTCTTTGAGAATGACAATGAATGGTGCACCACTATTGAGTGCTTGTTCGGTTTGCTCCTCTGGCGTTGGGTTTTCACGGTAAATAGTGTCGACCTTGAACCCAGCGTTCCACAAATCCGAAACAATACCAATACGTTCGACAAACAATGAACTTCCACCCAATGAACATACAAATATTTCTGGTGATCTATAGGACTTTAGAGGTTGCAACAAAGATGGAGTGACACCAGAAGTAGATGGTAAAGATCCAATGGTGGGAACTGATCCAGATACATAACAACGATTGATAATATCACGTTCACGATGATATATCTTGTCCAATGCAATACTTAGACCACAAACTGATATACCACCAACAGATGAATCTGAATCTGATACTCTTATTGGTTGCTGTTGTTGTTGTTGCTGTTGTTGTTGTTGTTGTTGTTGATTGAAAAAGAGTGGAATTTGTTTAGAGACGGCACGATCGTATCTACCACCTACGGCAATACAAGTTTCTTGTCTAGAATCATCCTTTAGGATAGCTTGGAACATGACACCACTGTAGAAATCTTCATTGTAGACGTAGCCAAGGTCAAATTGAACACGTGGGAATTGTAATCCCATCTTGTCCAACAAACAGCCAAGTTGCTTCATTTCATCGATAAAGTCACCAAATGAATTGGAAACACGAACATTGGTTTGTGAGCCTGTTAAAAGACCGACACCTCTTCCTAGTGATGGAGAGTTTCCTGATCCACCAGTACTTTCTAGTTTTTTAATCACGTCTGTGATGGAACCACGTACCAAGACCCAATTGGCCAATCTTTCGACTTGCTTGGGTGGTAGTTGCATTCGTTCGAGTAGAATCTTTTTGATGCTAGTCCATGGTTGACGTAAGAGTTGTGATAGAACAATGGCAACTTCATTTCTTTGACATGGATCAGTGATACCAACAATTCTCCACATATAGTCAACGATACCAGTGTGATTGATACGAACGGTATAGTTGTTGACAGAAGACAGAGCATCGAATATTTCAAAGGTCACCTTTATCACTTCGGCATCGGTCAAGATAGAGTTTGATCCAACAATATCAAATGAACATTGAGACAATTCTTTGGGAGGTTTACCAACTAGATGAGGTTTTCTATAGACTGTACCAATTTCATAACGCTTCAAAGGTTGTCCTGAAAACATTTCCAACAGTTCCTCTAAATTATCACCTTGGCCATATTTCTTTTCATATCTTGTCGATGACGAATTTTGATCACGAGCCGAACTACTAGCAAAATGTTCTGCCAAATAATCAACAAATGAATTTCTTAGATCAAATCTAAGATCAAATAGTTGACCAGAATCATCCATCATCATTGATTTACTTAATTTATCTTTTTGTTGTTGTTGTTGTTGCTGTTGTTGTTGGTGTTGTTTTTGTTTTGAACCCGATAAAGGTTGTTGAAGTTGTTGAGCAGTTGATGGTTTTTTATCTTTTTTACCGCCACTTGTTTTATCCTCCCATTGATGAATGATATTCATGACTGGTGTAGTCAGCTCAATGGCACTGTGTTTTTTTAGAATCGTAACAATGATTTCATTGACCATCTCTCTGATTTGAATGTCATTGATGTGGTAGAGTGAAGAATAGGTTCCACTGTCGAAAATGTTGGTGGTAGAAGACTGGTGGTAAATGTGTTGATGGAGATGTTGATGAACGGGTGAAAAGAGTGATTGGAGCATAGTGGGATAGAATTGGGTGGTTGGGTTGGTAATGACACGGATCGCATTGTTCATATACTCATCTTCCATTTTGGGTGGCATTAACTCGCTTTGGAGGAGTTCTTGAGCGGTTGGACGTTTAGTTGGGTCTCTTTCAGTCACCCATTTGATAATCTTGGCCTGTCTAGGATGAGTACGTTCAAAATCTTTGGGAAAGATGGCACGTTCTCTTAGATCTTTGAGTACGGCAACACGTTCGTGACCTGTGGAAAAGACATACCACATTTCGAAAAAGACGATACCCAAACTATACATATCAACCTTTTCATCGTATGATCCACCGTCGGCACGACCACTTCCAGCTTCTTGTTCAGGTGAGGTATAAAACATAGTACCGACGTGGCAAGTGTGAGCATCACCGAGACCGCTGTCTCCATCGCCTCCTCCAAAACCACCGCCGCCACCTCCAACCTCGAATGAAAAGTTTGGATCCTTTGATCTAGAGGACATGTCAGAGCTATCAGTAACCCAGATACCTTGCATCTGCTCGCTGTCTACTAGACGACTACTACTCGTTGCCAAACCAAAATCACCAATCTTGATATCACCACAACTGTCGAAAAAGATATTACTTGGTTTGAGGTCACGATGAATGATACCCTGTGAATGTACATAGGCAATACCCTCGACAATCTGTCTAAACAACTTCCAAATGTCGTCATCGTCAGTGCTGATGCCACTATCGGTCAGATTACGTAAAATCTTTTGACAATACTCCATTTGAATGTAGAGGTAGGCTGTTCCTTGATTCTTTTTCTTTTTCTTTTGTTGTGCAACAGTCGAAGAAGAAGTGGTAGTGGTTGATCCTGTAGTTGTTCTTCTACCTCCTCCATTTGTAGATCCTCCATTCTTTAAATCAAATACTTGAATTAAAAATCCAGAATCTGAATGTAAAAATGAATAACTATCATCTGTCAAATCAAATTCCATTGATTGTTTTTGAAATAATATATCAGATTCTGAATATGATTCATCAGATGATGATGAAGAAGAATTGGATGAAGAGGATGAAGATGAAGATGATTCTGATTCTGATTCTGATTCATCAGATTCATCAGATTCAGTTTGATTTCTTTTTTTTACAACTCTCTTGGTCTTTTTGTTTGATGATTGTTTTTTTGATTGTTTTTGACTCTTTTTCTTTTTTAATTCTTGATTTAAACCAAATTCATCATCACTATAATCATCATCATCTGAATCATCGTTGAGAGTTTGATCACTACCCTCAATCCAAGCTTGATAATAACGAACGACATGTTGATGATGAAGTCTAGAGAGTGTAATGACTTCACGCAAGATTCGTTTGTTTAGACTTTGATCACTATCCAATTTAATTTTTTTGATGGCATAAAAACGACCATCAAGACGATTCTTTACCTTGACCACTTGACCAAATCCACCACGACCCAAAAGTTGCAACTCTTGGAAATCTCCATGGTATCTAGATGTTTGAAGGTGTGGTGATTGTTCTGCAACCAGTGCAGCTGCTGCTGTACGTTGTTCGTATTTTGGTGGTGACATTAGATAGGGATTAGAAGGTGGACTCTTTGGAACTTGTTGAACCTCTTTACCACTATTCCAAAACTTGTTTACAAAATTGTGACGATGATGAATCGTATTGTTATTGGCAGCTCCCGTCAATTCAGTCAATGGTTTTGAAAAATAATCTTGAAATATTTGTTGATAAACTTGATTTGAATCCATTGAATTTAAATTTAATAATGCCAAATGTGTTTGATTTATAATTCCCATTTGTACTAATTGTGTTCCCTAAAAAAGAAAAATAGAAATAGAAAAAGAATTAGAAGAGACTTTTCATTTCTAAAATTATATTTTTCTTACCAATATTTTAATTTGTTCTAAAGATGCAGATTGATCATTTTGACATATAGTTCTTAATAAATGAAGTATAATAGTTTGTTGTTTATCAATAAATTTGATATTTGGTTTCTGTTCATTCTTTTGTTGATTGTTTTGTTGATTGTTTTGATTACTATTTAAATTTTGTTGAGTAGTGTATTGTTCAACAATTTGTTTCTTTTTCTCTTTTTCATGTTGAGCTCTTTCAAGACTTTTTAAAAGTCTAAAGTTTTTACGATCTTCTTTAAGATTTTCATCTTGCAATGTTGATTCCCAACCTTGATCATCGATCTCTTGATTATTATCATTGTTACTATCAAGACTAATTAAATTATCTTTATCTTTATCTTGTTGATGTTTATCTTGTTTTAATTGTTCAACCATTTGTTGATGGAAAGATTTGGTTGATGGTTTTTCATTGTGTTGACTTAGAAACTCTTTGGCAACGCCACAGAGATTGAAAACCATTTGATTGCCAAGGTTTTCTTGTGCTGTTTGTGATAGCAAGTGTTCAAGTTGACTAGCATACTTGACGGGACCTTTGAGCATGGTGACTTGGATGGCGGGTGGTGCAGCAGGATAATCCTTTTGAAAGGCAATCTCGAGGTCTGCCGCCACATGGTGTTCATCATTCTCTGAATCGTGATGAGGTAGCACGTGAATGATGAATCGGTAGGTTTCACTCGACCACACTCTCACCTCGTCATTATCTAATAATACAAAGTCCTCTTGAAAGATGGCACTCAACGCATCAATCTCGTTCTTTTGTTGTTCATGTTGTTCTCTAGCAATATTTTCCCTCTCCTTTTTTCGTTTAGCTATCTTTTTCTCTCTTTGTTTGGCTTGTTCTTTCTTTTTACTTGATGCACTAATCATATCATCCATCATTTGTGTTATACCATCTTCTGATTCATCTATTGATCTTGATATTATTGGTTGAATTAATTTATTTTGATTATTATTTTGATTATTATTATTTGATTGTTGTATAGGAGTAGGTGCTGATTTTTTAATCTGTATACCTAATGGTGGTGTTGTAGTCGTCGTCGTTAAAGGAGGAGGAGGGGTCGGAGTAATTGTATTCTTTGGCATCTTGTTAATATTTGTTGTTGTATACTACTACTTCTCAATGCCATCTATTTCTTTTTTTGTTAAAGAGTTTAAACTGTGTTTGTATTATTTATAAATAATATGTTTGTTTGGTTATATATATATATTTATATTCTTGTTCTATCCTTATCTACTACTATTTTTAAATTATATGTACAAGTATGAATGAAATGATGAGTAGAAGGTTGTGTGTCGGCGTAATATATTAAATGTGATTAACGGAACGGAATAAATAAATAAATAAATATCTGTGACTAGGGATATAAGTAAAGTAAGTAAAGTGCTTGTGGGTTGTGTACAATGAAAAAAAAAAAGAAGAACCCAATTTTTTATAAATAGGTTTAGGTCGACAAAAAAGGAATCAGGTGATGAAAAAAAAAAAGAGAGCTGATTGTGAGAACCTTTGGAATAAACATTATCACCTCTATTTCTCAATAATAGAATCTTCAAAATACATTACTATTTTTGTTAAAGATGTGTGATGGAACGAAATGACTCATCTGAAGATTTAATTTATATTTTTTAATTTTTATTATTTTTAATATTTTTAATATTTACAAAGTACATTGAATACTACCATTATTAACTTCTTCAAATTTAATACCTCTATCATTGAAAGTCTTGTGAATCAATGGTTTAATCTTTGGACCATTTTCATCGCTATGGTTGCCTGCACCTGTGATGACGGTGAAACTCTTGCCCTTGTTGGAGCTGTCCTTTTTGAGCTCTTCCATTCTTTCGTCCATCAATTCGAGTGCATCCTTTGTCTTGAGACCGTGCAAGTCGACGGTGAACTTGTCGAGGTTCTTGTTCTTGTCGGCAAAGATCTCACGTGATGCCTTTTTGTTGGCTTGTTCCATCTGGACGGTCAATTGCTTGGCACGTTCTTTCAACTCGTGTCCTTTACCCTTGTCACCAGACTCAAAAGCTGCGTCGGCCTCTGCGTTGAGCTTGGTACGTTCGTCGGCCAACTTGTCAACCTCGGCTTGATACTTTTTGTAGAGGGCGTCGGTACGCTGGCTCTCCTTTTCGTGCTCGTCTTTGAGGTCCTTGTGGTCTTGGTCCTTTTGGGATTGGGTCTTGTGTTGACCCTTGATGTCGTTGATCATGGCGATGGCACGGTCGCAGGCATCTGGTGTGCCGCTGACCGACACCTTGTCACCACTGTCTGGCAAGTCGATGGCGGTGGCTCCCGTCTTGTCCTTGATGTCCTTGACGGTGGCACCCTTGGTGCCAATGATGTATTTGTGTAACTCTCTGTCTACTACAACTGTCTTGGTGACTTGTCCACTACTGCTACTTGCTCCAGTGTCTTGGGTGTGATGAGCAGTTGGTTGTTGGACTGGTGCAGTCGAGGTGGTAGTAGTAGTAGTAGTAGTAGGGGCTGTAGTAGTGGTAGTACGAGTAGTGGCGGTGCTGTCAATCGACACAGTCTTGGTCTGTGGTTGAGCGGCAGCAGCAGCAGGAGGAGCAGTAGTACGCTTCTCCTTTGGCACCTTACTCGAAGATGATTTCATTTTTCCAGCACAATTACCCATTCTATTCTATTCTATTCTGTTCTATTGATTGTTGTTAATTCTTTTTAGAAGCTCTTTCTCTTTAAGAAATATAAATATATATATTTATGTGTATATTATTAAAAAATAACTATATAGTAGTGAAACTAAACAAGTGTGTTGTTGTTGGTTGTTTGTAGAACACCGTTATTTAAAAATAATGCAATGGTATCAGCTGCAGCAAGGTGAAGATGATCAACTGTCCATCTCATGAGACATGCACCCCCCAAACCATGAAAGTGCACTGTCTTTTGCTCAAACAACTTCACTTTTTCAAAAAAAAACTCTCAACCGCCAACAACACAGCACCCAACAACCGTCATTTTATCTATTCGATTCCTACACAGTACTCGAGGCTATCGAATCTCTCATTTATCGGTACGTTACTATCATCTGATTAAATCGCGATCATGATAGATAAAAAAACATCAAAGTAATAGCAATATTGGTGTTCAAAGCACAACATACCACATCTTCTTACTTGTGCTATAATCCTAACATTCGAATTTGTAAGTATTGAACAAACTTTGGTCAGATCGATTCAAAGATTTGTTATTTTGGTCTTGTACATTCTATAGAACATGCCTTTCTAAATTTGGAAGGAGCTGAAATTCTGTTAAAAAATAAATAAATAGAATATGTTTGTTCTTTCTTTCGACTTGAAAACAAAGTATACTGTATTGTAATGGGTGATGTTCTGACGATACCAAGTTTTGTATTGACAGAGAGATTTATGAAAAGTTTTCAGTGACAATGATGTTCTCACAACCCATAAATTTCATCCACTATAATGTTTGCTAATAGGTGTTGTTTTATATTTATTTCGTCACCTTCTCTCAGAGTTTCTGCTCTGATCATGTGTAGTATCTGTTCTAGAAAGCTTAATCTCTTTCTGTCTTGACACGTTCAAGACGATATGATTAAACTAATTTATCGTGAGGGATACAAACATTATGATTGAGGCTTGCCTCTTTCGTTTGCATCTGCATCTGCCATTTATCGCACAACTTAATGGATTCAAAGGTGCTCCTCCATACCCCCCATCAAACTTAATTAAAAAGATATAAAATAACAAACAATAATCAAACTTATCATTTGATTGTGAATGAACGTAAAGATATTTATAACCTGTTTATAAATAAACCTTAATCTTTTTTAGTTATGATTTTGCTCAACCAACTTCAAAACCCAATGAACAGGAGTGGAAAAAAACTTTTAAATTGGTGAAGCTCAAGATTTTGCACCTATTCGTTGAATAATCCACCCAATCGTTTTTAAAAACAGATAAACAACTCCTTCCAACCGCCAAGCGACAAAATTTGTAATGTGGGAGTTGTCCTTGATCACTCACTCTCATCATCATTCGTTAGCTTCTCCTTTATTTTTATTTTTATCTCTACAAGTATAACATAGATAATAATTATAGAAATGTTAATATTATATGTCATTGCATTTTTACTTTTAATTTCTTTTGTAAGTTGATGAAATATCAAATTGTTTGTTGTTTGGTTGATAGATCTATTTTCTAATTCAAACTATATATACCTACTTTACTTCTTTTTTAATTTAGATTCAAAAGAATAAGAAATTTAGTAGTAAGGACCCACCAGGTCCATTGGAACTACCAATCATTGGAAGTATCTACAAGATCAATCCAAAGATGCCACATTTGGAAATGACAAGATTGTCCAAGGTTTATGGTAAAGTATTTAAGATGTGGTTTGGTAAAAACTATACCATCATTATCAACGATGCTTCCATCTACAGGGAAATGTATGTTGACAAGGCTGCAATGTTTGGTGATCGTCCCAATCTTCCAAGTCTCCATCTGCTCGTACCAGGTCTCCGAGACATTTCACTTGAAAATTATGATGCTTGGAAGCCAGTAAGAGAGTTTACCTCTACCTCGCTAGCTCGATCACGTAGTCGTACACTAAATGGTATTTTAGATTATCAAACCAATCAAATTTTAAATTCCTTAAAACAATTTTCTAAAATTCGTGAACCTGTAAGAAATACTCAAAACAAAACAAATCAAACAAATATTAATTTTCTATTATTTCTTTTATTTCTATAGTTTTCACCAAGTTTTTATTATCAAAAGTATACAATTAATGTTATTTTAAAGATGGCATTTAATGATGAAATTCCATATAGTGAAAGTCCAAGTGAAGGTTTAATGGCAAAGATTGTAACTCCAATCGATCAAATTATGAATAGGTTGGCTGGAAACTCAATCTTTGATCACATCTATGGTCTTGGTCATCTCTATTACTATATTACTAAATTTAGAGGTACTGAAGCTGATAAAATCCGTGTTGAATTGAAAAAGTATTATAATGATCATTTATCAACTCTTGATAAAGAAAAGTATGTAAAACAAAACTATAAATATAAATATATATATTTATTTTTTTTAACCATGGTTTCTATTTCTATTTCTATTTCTCTATTTATTAGTCCAAGAGATATTTTAGATCATTTAATAATTGGAGGATTTGATGAAGAAAGAGTGATTAATGTATCATTAGATTTATTGGTAGCTGGTGGTGAGACTAGTGCAACTACAATGGAATGGTTTACCATTGTCATGGTCAATAATCCAGAATGTCAAGAAAAGGCAGCTGACGAATTAAGAAAAGTGGTTGGTAAAGATAATGGTCTTGTAACAGTTTCACATCGTCAATCTACTCCCTACACAAATGCATTATTAAGAGAACTTTTTAGATATGTATGTCTAAATTTAAATAATTAAAAATCAAAATTATAAATATTAATTATTTTTTTTTTGTTTTTTTTATTTATTTAGAAAACAGTTGGACCATTAGGACCATTACCAAGAGTAGCAAGAGAAGATGCAGTTATACAAGATTACTTTATTCCAAAAGGAACTATTATCTTGTCAAATATCTATGCCATTCATAATGATGAGAAGCATTATCAATCACCAAGACAGTTTATTCCAGAGAGATTCTTGACTGATCAACACTATGAACACTGGTTACCATTCTCTATTGGTGCAAGAAATTGTTTGGGTCTTTCGATTGCCGTCGATGAAATCTATGTCCTCTGTTCAAACCTTTTATTAAATTTCAAAATATCATCTGCTAATGGTCAAAAGCTTGATGAAACTGAAAGTATGAAATAGAAACAGAAACATATAAATATATATTTATTTAAAAATACTAATACATTTTTTTATTTAATTTTTCTAGATTTTGGAACAGTTGTTAAACCAAACAAACAATTGGTCATTTTTGAAGATAGAAAATAATATATATATATTTTAATTTATTAATTAATTTTCTATAGATGTTTAATAAAATCAATTAATTCCCAATTCATGTAAAGTTGTAGTCTTAGGTCAAATTGGGGAATTGAGAGTAGTTGGGAACGAGTAATGAGACCATTTTGTAAGAAATATTTGGCAACGATTGTTTGATTTGACATGATTGCTTTTTCAAAAATCTGAATATAATTAAATGGTTGATCGACTCTACAATTCTTTAATAATAGTGCAATGATATTGACTTGACCACCTTCTGCTGCACCCATCAATATGTTAAGTATGGTGTCGTGATCTGTTGACCATTTGGATGAGAGATGACATTGTGGATCAGTAACCAACCATTTAATCAATTGATAATTTCCTTGGATTGATGCGTTGCCTAGTCCACGTTGATAATGCTGAGCACCAACAACCGTGGTGGTTAGTTGACTACTATTATCCAAACTAATCAATTTCTTGATTGCACCAATTTTACCTTGACCAATTAATTTGTCCAAATACAATTTAGTCAACTCGAAACTTGGTTGATAAAAACAATCCAAAAGAGTATCCAATTCTTCATCTTCATAATTATTTAATATAATTGATAATATTTTTGGTTGAACAATATTATTATTTTGATTTTGATTTTGATTTTGATTTTTAAAATGATAATAATATTTCAAAATAAATTTACTTGAAAACTTTTGAGAAACCAAGTCTTGAAGAATATTATTATTTAAATCTATTCCCAATCCTTTGACAATACCCATTTTGTTGTTTGTATTGGGATCCAAAACTTGGAGTATTGTTGATATTGGTATTCTTCCAAGACGTACAATACATTCTCTTTGTGTCATTCTTTTACCTCCTCCTCCTCTTCCTTTTCCTTTTTCTATCATTTCTACAATCAATGAAAATATATCTAAATGATTGTATTTTAGAGATTCCAATAGAGCAGTTGTGACTGATGATGCGTCATTTAGTATACCACTGGTCGGATAAAGTAACAGTTTGAGAACCTCAATATGACCTTGAGATATGATAGTCTTTATCAATTTGAGTGTTAATTTAAAGAGGTTGGAATGTCTCGTCGTCGACTGATACGAGTCTATTAATAGTTGGAGTATATCAGCTCTACCAGCCTTTGCAAGTATGTTGACAGCTGTAAAAGAGAATAATGGGACTGGACAGTCTCTTGGAATGACTCGAGTGACCAACATGTCGATAAAGTCATAGTCGAGAGACTGACATGCATGGTCTAACCAATTTTCGTATGTTGGTGGTTGTTGGTTCTTTTCCAATACATAGTTGAATATTTGCATGTCTCCACGAATCAATGCAAATTGGTAAACTGCATTACTCTGCAATGTAATTCTTTGTTGATTGAAAAGCATCTTGATAAATGACAATTCTGCCTTATTCACTAAAACCGATTCTTCTTCAAATACTTTGATACTTGGTGCACCCGGTGGTGCCCTACTAGAGATGAGTTGGTAGACTGGCATCGACAATGTACGAACTGATTGATGTATGATTCGTTGATAGTCATCTTGACACAAACCAAACGTTTCACCATGTCTGTCTAGTACATAGTCTATCAATGCAATATTCTTTGATTGAATGGCATAGGTGAGTGATATTTCTTTCGAGAGTGGAGATTTACATTGTTCTACTAAATGTCTAACTATATCCAATTGACCAGACAGACATGCAATATCAGACAATGATTCAGCTCGATAATTCAGTCCATTCTTTATAGCCAATGCAAATAGATGACTGTATCGTTGATAGATTGCCAAATAAATCTGATACCTAGTGTTATTCTTTAGAAAAGAGTATATTGCCCTTGTAGTAAAATGACAAGCATTACATCCATACACCTCTAGTAGTCGTTTCTTTTGTTCATCTGATTGATCCACCACCAAGTGTTTCAACAAACCAAACATGCCTCTATCACACAAGAACTCATCGTTTAGCAATTGATCAATTCTAAAACTTTGATTGTTTACTTGAATGTTGATCAATCTAATCAATTTACCTATTCTAAACTTCCATAAATAATCATTATTAAATACTTTTCTAAAACTATCTATTGATAAACTATTAATATTCATTATTGTAATAAATATTTATTTTTTTAAAGAAGAAGAAGATTTGAAAGAATGAATGATTCTTGATTTTTGTTGTTGATAAAAAAAGGTAAACTTTTAAAATTAGTTTAATATTTACTTTTTAATTTACTTTATTATGTTCTATTGTATAAGAAAGCTCTTTGTTCAGGAGTAAAGTTTAGACTGAAATATTCTAAATTAAATTCTTATGAATGTTCACCATTTGGTAAATCAGCCAATTTAAATTCATAATCTAAATTTAATTCTTTAATAATAATCTAACTTTGGCCAAAGTTTGTTTGTTCATGTGATGTGTTTATTATTATTATTATTATTATTTCTTTTTGCTTTACTTTAATGACCCCATTTTGAAAAAGCAGGACCCATTAAATGTTGAATAAGATTAGTTGAATGGACGGGGTCATATAGCTTTTCATTGTGCGCTAGTGCAAATACATCGTCTCTGTAGAGTGCCTTGAATCCATAGGTTACATTACCATGTTTTCCAGTTGGGAATCCAAGTGGAATTGCATCCTGACGGAATATACCTTCCAATACAAAGGCATACAACAACACTGACTGATAAATGTGGTACTGTCCTGGACCAAGTTCCATTTCATGTGGTTTCTCTGATACCAATCTTGTATCTTTATCCTTGGTATAACTATACTTTGTATTTATATCAAATGTATTTTCACATCTAGAAAAATGGAAAAGAAAAGGAAACAAATAAATAAATAAATAAATTAAATATATATATATTTATCTTTTTTGTTTGGTTGTTTGATTGTATGCACATACGCTGAAGGGTCCATATAGATATAATTAAATTTACCATCTTCATCATAATAGAAATCTCTACCTTGTAACTTTGTCACTCTGATTTTCTTTCTTTGATCCAAATCAATCGATGATAATAGAGTAGTATATACTGCAACCGGTTTCATCTTTAACGATCCTATTACCTCTAATCTCTCATGTTCATGTCCTTCCTTGGAATGATATACAAAATGGCATGGTGATTTTTCAACTCTATCAAATGAGTAATGCTTCAAATTTGAAGAAGTGAGAGAGACGGAGAGAAAAGAGGTACAAAAAATAAGTTAAACTTGAAATAGGAATATAAAATATAAACACTTACAATTAAACAAACAGGATCAGGTATTTCCTTTGTCTTTATAGTTTTATCAACACCTATATTTGAAATTAGAGAATTAGAATTAGTTCCATTGATTTCCCTTATCCATATTAATATCAACTGATCAGTTGATCATAAACATACCACCAGTTGTAACTTCTATAACAGCTTTATTTAAATCAAACTTGTTACCATGGAATGATTTTAAATGTTGTGATTTTTTAGTCATTTCTCTTTCAAGAAAGTAATAATAATAATTATAATTAAAAGTAGTTGATAATAATAAATCAATAATAGTAGTATGTATGATATTTTTATACTACTACTATATTATCAATAGTATCGGAAGTGTTGTTCATCCACACAGAAATTTAAATTAAATTAAATTAATGGTTGATGTGTGGTTTTTGCTAAAAAAGGAAGTTGATTTCTTTTTCCGAAGACGGTATGAAGATGTAGCTAACTTTTTATATTATCATGATAGCTAGCTAAAGGAATCATATGATTCTATCTTTGATTTTTCTCATCTCTCTCTCTCTCTCTCTCTCTAAATATACCGATTACCTAATACTCAAAACTTTAGAGTAATGAATGAGTAACTTGGTCTAGTTATCTGTATGAATATTATAACATAAAAATAATACATTTATAAATGTTTTCCAAATAGCCGATTGGTCGCTTTTTGATGATCAACACAATGAAAATGAAACATATTTTTGAATTTATATATTTAATATAAAATAAAAGAAGAATAAGAATGACAGATAACAATACTACTACAGATATATTAAAGAATAAAGAAGAAGAGGAAGAGAAAAAGGAGGAAGAGGAGGTTAAAGACATAGATGAGGAGGATGAAGAAGATGAAGATGAAGAGGAAGAAGAAGAGTCTAAAACCGTCGACAAGTTTGTAGTTGAAGAACACCCACATATACTTGATCTTACAGGACATCCTCATACCTACATAGGTGAAGGTTACTCTTTACCAGATACTTTAACTGTATGATCACACTGCATGATCTAATCTATTCTATCACCATCGATCGATATACTTACTTACTTACTTATTCGTCTTCCCTTCTTATTCTTAGGACATTGATTTAACAAATGATAAAATACCAAAGATTGAAAATATTAATCATTTGGTACAATTAAAGGTATGTCTAGACAACAACTAATAGTAGTAGTAGTGATATGTATACATAACATATATATTCTAATTGTCTTTTTGTTTGTTAGAAATTATGTTTAAGACAAAATATGATTCAAGTGATTGAGAATGTTGATACATTGGTATCATTGGTTGAACTTGATCTTTACGATAATCAAATCAAAAAGATTGAAAACATTAACAACTTGCCAAACCTTACCTATTTGGATATATCATTTAATGAACTTCGTGTCATTGAAAACTTGACTTCCAAACAATTACCAATCCTCAAAGAACTCTATCTTGCAAACAACAAAATTTCAGAAATGGAAAACCTTTCAGAATTAACTGGAATTAAATGTTTAGAATTAGGTTCAAATAGATTTAGAGTAAATACTATAAATATATATATATCTCTCTCTTCTTCTCTTTTACTTATTTATTTTTATTTATTTAGGAAATTAAAAATTTAAATGAATTGATAAATGTTGAAACATTATGGTTGGGACGTAACAAGATTACAACTATTTCAAATATTAATCATATGGCAAATCTTAGAATATTGTCATTACAAAGTAATAGATTAACAGAGATTGGTCCAGGTTTGGCTGGGTTAACCAAACTTACCGAACTTTATCTTTCACATAATGGTATCACCAATGTCGATGGATTACAAACTCTAACATCACTTCAAATACTTGATATCTCTGCCAATCAAGTTCAAACATTGGTTGGAATTGATAAATTAATTAATCTTGAAGAATTATGGGTAATAGAATAAAAAAGAAAAAAAGAAAAAGAAATAAGAAACCTTATATATTAATCTATCTATTTCTCTATTTTAGTGTAATGATAATCTTGTTGAAGATATGGATATGATTGAACAACAAATTAACAAAAATGTAACATGTCTTTATTTTGAACGTAATCCAGTTGCCAAACATCAACAATATCGTAGAATATTTATCAATATTTTCCCAAAACTTAAACAACTTGATGCTACCTATGTTAAAAGAAATTAAAACTAAAAAAGATAGATATATATTTTTTTTGTAAAACAAACTAACAAAACTCTATTTTTTTATTTACATTAATGAACAATTACTTTTACCAGTACCATTATACTTTTCCAATTCTTTTTCATATTCTTCACAAGCTTCAAGATAAGAGACTGGTGGCCATTGATTTTCTTCTAGGACACGCTTACTCTCGGGGTCGAGGTTTTTAAATTCAGGACGTTTGGTCATTGGTTGATAGTTGGATGCGATAAAATGAAGACAAAACTTTGTGAGTTGTTCGGAATTGTGTTGCTTGGCACACATGTAGAGACCGATGATATCCAATTGAGAACGGAAAATACCAACTGCGACGGCACGATCAATTTCCTTGCTAATGTACAATTCACAGAGTGTCATGAGACGACTGAGACCAAATCGATTGGCAAGCACCAAAATACCAACACTGTCATTATCTTCAATGGGAGCATGAGAAGTGTAGAGGTACTCTAGAATAGCCTTGAATGGTTCGTATCCAATACCATCACTCAACTCTACGGTTGACCCTTCCTTTTCGGAAAAGTCTTTGGTTGAGTTTACAAATGCATTGACAACTGGTGAACGCGAATAGATAAAGGCTTTGTGTGCGTACAATACCTTGCCCTCTACGACAAACTGGATATCTGAGTACACCTTTTTGTTAAAAAACAACTCTTTGGCACGTTCACCAATCTCGTCGTTCAAGTAGGTTGATATGGATGGGTTGAGATCTTCAGCGCCATTTAATAGATTCTTGCATGCATTGACGAGGAACTTGTACTCGAATGCCTCGCCAATCGACATGGTATCTTTGATTTGATCGGTACGGTCCGATGTATTGAGCAAACCAGTGTAGAGAAACTCGACGAATCTATAAAAGATACGACGCGAGAATCCAGCCACTTCAATCTCTACCAACTCTCCACTCGACAGACTACCATCATCATAGGTTGACGAAGGCACCGATTTCAACGACTTGATACCTTTGACACGTCCCTCTTCAATATCTTCTGGTTTGTAGGGAGAATGATCGGAATTGGTAGTCATGGCAAACAAACGACGGAATACTTGGGACGATGCACACAAGATGACACGGTGAGCAAGGATGGGACGGTCGTCTGCAAAGACAAACTTGACATCTGCAAAGTTTTGGCTCTCCAATGTTGTCTTCATCTCTTTTTCATAACTCGATGTAATAATGTTCATCCATGGAGCTTTGCCAGCTGGTGGCATGACTGGTGGGATGGGTGGTGGTTTAACACCCTTTTTCGATTTAACGGAAGGTGCATTAAACACCGATTCAAAACTCTTATCAAAGAGTTCCTTTAGATTGGTTTGATGGAGTGCCGACGTCTCGACATAGGTAGTGAATCCCAATTCCTTGACCAAATCAAATGCCTCCTTGGCTGTAACCTCTGGACGCGAAGTACTTCCTCTGAGATCACATTTTGTGCCAACCAACACCTTGGGCACATGTGGCATATGGTGTTGAATCTCTGGATACCATTTATGTTTGATATTTTCAAATGAAGCTCTTGATACAATTGAAAAACATACCAAAAAAACATCGGTCTGTGGGTATGACAATGGTCTCAATCTATCATAATCTTCTTGACCTGCTGTATCCCAAAGTCCAACATTGATTGGTTTACCTTTATACATCACATTAGCAGAGTAATTATCAAATACTGTTGGTACATATTCACCTATAGGTTATATGTATATGATCATATTAGTAACTTGAAGAGAATAGAGAAGAGTATTTCTATTTCATACCTGGGAAAGCATTTGTGGTATATGCAATAAGTAGACAACTTTTACCAACGGCTCCATCACCGACTACGACAGTTTTAATATTTTGCATGATTGATTATACTAATGAAGATTATACTATATATATATATACAAATAAAAGAAAGGAGGTTTAAAACTATTACTAAATGAATGATTAAAAGTGATTTGAAAGATTGGGCCAAAACCAACACTTTTATCTTCAAAGAGGAAACTAAAAATATCAGCAGTCACCACTCATACAAAAAAAAATTCAAAAACATTTTTTCGATGAAAATCTTTCATTCGATCGAAACTTTGATCAAAGTATAACAAAGTAGTAGTATATTATTATATGTGTATTATTAAATAATGATAATAAATATAATAATAAATATAAATTGATTTTAAATAATAGGTATTATTTATTTTACTAATTTAATTTAAAGTACACAGTAGGAATAATTAATGAAGGAATGAAGGGTTGTTGTTTGGATTTGGTTTAAAACGCATTGGATTACTTTCACACAACTGATTCATCAAATGGTTGGTTTGATGTGTTGTGAGATGGGTTGGTTAATTTGAAATTATTTGATTAATGATTATGATTATGATTATTTGTTTGGTTGGAAAGAAAAAGAAGAAGAAGAAGGAAGGTTTTTGTTGTTTGGGATATAGTTTCTCTTGGTCCTATTTTCTTTTCTCTCTTTTGACGTCGTCGTATTTGTGTATGTTGTTTGTTTGTTGTTTTTTTAATTTTTCAATTTGTTTTTTTTAGATAGCCATACCAGCTTCATCTAAAGTAATATTTAAAACAATATCTTTAACAGAGTTAAAGACATGATTAATATTAGAGGTATCGGTGGCACAGGTGAGATGAGGATAAATGAGTTTCTTTGGATTCTCATTTTGACTTAAAAATTGGTGTTTAATATAATCAGAGCAAGCCTCGTAGGTGGTTGGACCATTGTATGCTGGGAAGCAGGCAGTGAGTGGAGACTTGGTGATCTTGTCGGCGAAAAGATCACGCTTGTTGAGGAAAAGAATCATGGCAGTGTTGGAGAACCACTTGGTGTTGCAAATCTCCTTGAACAGCTTGAGCGACTCTTGCATACGGTTGGTAGTGTCGTCTTCGTAGAGCTTGAGATCGTATTCAGAGAGAGCAACGCAGAAAATGACTGCCGTAACCTCTTGGAAGCAATGCATCCACTTTTTACGTTCACTACGTTGTCCACCAACATCGACCATTCTAAAGTTGGTTCCTTGTACTTCAAACTCTGTCTCGATAATACCTGTTGTCTTTGTACGTGATCTCAATACATCTGGTTCAGTTGGTAAATAATCTGGTTTTGAAATTCTTTCAATTGCATCGAAATAACTAAGGGAAATTAAAAAAGAAAGAAAAAGAAAAAAGTATAAGTATCCAAAATGTACATCTCTAAATTTTTCATATTTTTCTACACATACTAAGCAGCTGAATCATTTAATTGGAATTCTGAAGATCTAGTAAAAGCAGTTTGAATACCTGGATCTGACCATAATGCCTTGATATCTCTTGCCAATTCTGGTGTCAAAACACCATTGAAATGTTCACCCAAATCATTTGCAATTCTAGCTGCTGCTTCCTATAATAATAATTGAATGGTTTAGTATATAATACTCTCTCTCTTTTTAAAATTTTGTTGATAGTTTGTTTGGTTGTTTAACCTAAAAATTTACCTTATTTTGTTCACTAATACCAATCTTTAATTCTTCGGCAGCATTGACCAATACTCTCATTGATCCAACTGTATTATTATAGATGATAGTCTTGTATGATGCTCTTTCTTCATCGGTAAAACCATTCAAATGCAAAATTTTCATTTGTTTTGCAATTGTACTCTAAATTATATATATATATTGAGATAGGGATATCTATGTTAGAGGAGGGAATGAAACAGAGATATATATCTATCTATTGCTTCTGATACAAACCTTTCCAGATTCACCAGCACCTAATAAAAGTAACTTGATTTCACCTTCTAATCTTGCACGTGCATGCTTTAACATTGAATTAATGGTTTGATTTGCCTTGATCTCTTCGGCAGATCCCAATTCTGGCTTTCCACAAATATTACCCATCTTGTCTGTGTTTTAATGTATTATTACTACTAATATTAATAAATAAACTTATTAATAAGTATGTGTGAACTTGTCTTTCTCTTATCTTTGTCTTTGTCTTGTATTGTAGGGGTATGATGGTATAAACAAACACCTGTAGTAGTAGGAGTGGTTGATATTACTTTTGTTTTGTATATTACTAACTGTATGGTATATATATGTATTATATTATAAATCGACAACAATCAATCTTATCTGTATGCCTGTCTATCTGTCTTGTAAGTTATAGTTAGGAAATTGCACCTGTCTGTCTGTCTGTATGTTTGTTTGTTGTAGGTTGTTGCTTAGTTTTAAAAATATCTGAGTTTTTTTAAAATAAAAAAAAATAGATGGGGATGGATGGAATGGTCGGTTTTTAGTTAATAAAATTATTCATACAATGATGATTGATTATTATTGGATGATGAATAAAATCACCTATCAATGGTGTATACCCACAGACGGAACAATAACAATAACAATAACAAAATAATATAAATAAAATAAAATAAAATAAAACACTACTACACTAGCTATCTTTAAAAACACTGATGTTGGTTTGTTTGTTGTTGAGGGATTGAAATATCGTCCAACCATCGTTACTTTCCAAATAAAGTTGAATCATTCTCTCTCTATCGCTTTGCTTTGCTTGGCTTGTTGTTGTACAAGTAGATAGATACTGATGTTTGTTTGTTGATCGCGTGCGTGAGTAGGAATAAGGAAAGGATAATAATAATAATTGGTGGGTGGGTGAGGGGTTACAGATACAGTATCTATCTGTGTCTGTTTTGTGTGTGTGGTGGATGATGTTCATTTTAATTGAAAGTGTGCTTTGGATTGTTGTGTTTTAACCACCCTATTGATCAAATTCAATCTAAACACAAATCTATCTATCTATTCTCTATCAGCTGATTGATGATCTCTTTCTTTCTTTCTTGTTGATGGATATTTACAATGAAATGTTGATTTGATTAACTGTATATTCTTACTTTTACTATTACTATTATTATTGTGTTGATTTGTTTGTATGTTTAAACCACAGCCAACTATATAACTATAAACCTTTGTTGCTCCTACGACTAAAATATTTTTAATTGTTTTTGTTTTTATAATGGTGATGGTCTATGGGTTTGGTTTTGTTTGATGGATGTTGAGAGGCAGTGAGTGTGGAGGGATTCTTTTTCAGTTGATTTTTTTCAAGCTTTGAAAAAGAGGAAGAGAATGTCGTGTTTTTTAAAAAAGAGTTGCTAATTTTATCAAGGTAGCTAGAGGTGATCCCCAATGCCATCCACACAACTTTTCTTCTTAACCTTTTGTTGTTGGTCGGTTGGTTGGTTCTGGGTATTTAGGAAATAAATAATAATGAATTGGTTCCACGGATCATCCCTATCTATGGAATGTGGAACACATATGATGTGATGTCATCACTTGTATATAGTCTGTCCGCGTTCCATTCCATCACCACTATTGCTGATTGCTCCCAGAGTTTGTGAGATGGAATATAGTTGTAACCTCACTTACATTTACAAAAAAAATATAGTATAATATGGTTGGTTCTTTTGTCTCTTTCTCTCTCTTTCTTTCTTAAAATAAATAAAAAGGTTGATGGATGATTTGAAGGAACAGTCCAACACAAATCTCTTCTTTGTTCTTTTTGTTGTTGATCAAAGAAAGACAAAAAAAATATCAAAAGGAAGGAGGAGGTTATAAAAAAAAAAAACAATTAAAATAGATATTTTTGTGGATTGTATTGGTCTGTGCATTTCAGAGTTATGGTGGGGGGAAGGGTAGATTGGTGATCTGTTGGGTTGATCTATGGAATACTATAAAATAACTAACACAACAATAAAACAAAAATATCTTTCTGATTGTTTACCTTTTTTAAAAAACTATTATTATTATTACTACGAGACTACTACTAATACGAATACTGCTTATTCTTTCTTATTCCTTTTCTCTCTCTAATTAGTTGTTTAAAGATAGCAATTACCGATTAATGGTAGGAATAGAAAAAAAAAAAAGAGTGTGTGGGCAACCGTTAATCGTGATTTTAAAAAACAAGATATTAATTTTAATGTTTTTGAGTCCGTTGAAAGGAATTCATCCCAATGCACTGTCCGGGCTGGGCTGGTCAACTCACCAACACACATCCTTTGGAAGTCGCCCACTACCATGGCACGGGCGAGAGCAACTTTGCGAGTAAGCTTTTCTCACTCCATATTGCCGATGACACGGAACCCAACCATATTATTATCCAAACCGACAGTTTCAAACATTAATCATCATTCATTGTCTTACGAAACCCGTATCCGCTCGCTGCCGCGTATCATGATAATTATAACACAGTGGTTAACATAGTTTAATCAATCAATCAATTTGTGGTTTTTTATTATTATTATTATTAATATTATTCGTTTCCATAACCAATTCTTTTAATTTATAAATGGAACGTTGTAATTGATAGATCTTGTCTTGTAAGGAATCATTGTCATGTCCAATCAAATCCCAATTCGGCTCCTCGCTAATATTTGATAGATGCAACCTTATCTTTTTATGTTGTTGTTGTTCCATTTCCTCTCTTTTAGAGTCATTGATAATATCTGTTATAATGGATGGAACATGCCGACCATGATTATTAATCGATTGTTTTATAATATTGGTTAATGGTTCATTATCATCATCTTCAATAACAATAACATCTTTTGGTTCAAATTGTTTTCTTTTTGTTGAAGTAGATTGAATATGATGATAACGATCGTCATTATTATCATCGTCGTCATCACTATCATCATTATTTTGATTTCTTTGAATATTATTATTTAAATATTTTACTTTTCTAATAGATATAATTGGTTGGTTATTTGTCATTGTTGTTGTTAAAGTTGATTGATTGTTTACATACTTGTCATAAGTTTGAATATTTAAATTGGATGAAGCATAACATAATAGTTCATGAATAAAGAGGTCAGTTTTTGTAAATAGGAATCTTGATAGGGTAGATTTGAGTTCAGTGCTCTTGATATCGTATCGTCTGAGCAATGAAAACACCAATTCCTCGAGTACTTCGACATTGTCTGTTTGCAGAATACTCTGTAATTCACGTTTGATCCAAGGTGTCAATCTCTTTTTCCAATATTGAATCGATCCATCAATCATCGATGGACTAAGATACAATTTGAATGGAGGTACCATTGGAACTGCCATACAATCATTTGCATAAACACTTCTTCTATATTCATATTCATCATCATTTGATCTTGTAATTGTTGGTAAATAATAAACTTTCGAAGATAACTCTCGTTGTTGTTGTTGTTCTCGTTGTTGTCTTTGATTCCTTCTTTCATTTATATAATTGTTTCTTGAATTTCTATTTTGATTTTGATTATTACTTTCATTATTATTATTATTATTATTATTATTATTATTATTTTCATTATTTAATATATGTCTTTTATAATCTTTGTTTGATTTAACTTTATAAATTAAAGATAGAAATTGACTTTTACATAGAGGACATTTGAGAGATAGATCAGACCATTGCAAGATACAATGATAACAGAAATGATGAAAACAAATGTCCAAGAATGTGATATCATCAACTACACCAAGACATATTGAACATTTATCTTCTTCTTCCTCTTCAACTCCATCCAATAATGGTATTGAAGTTGTTGGTGATGCAACTGTTGCCGTTAAACTTGTCAATTCATTATTATTTGAAGTAGTTGTAGTTGTACTCGTTGTACTAGTATTAAAAGAGGATTCTATCTTATTATTATTATTATTACTTTCATTATTATTATCTGTATTTGACATTAAAGAAAAATAATGAATGAATGAATTTCGCTTGACCTTTTTTATTTACATTTGATGAATTGTCTTCTACTCTTTTATTTTATTTAATTTCTTTTCTATTTTTTTAAATATTTAATAATTCTAGAAAATCACCTTCAACTGTACGAAGAGTATCAAATTCTTCAGAATCTCCTGTGATTTTTAATAGATCATAGACGACTTGCATTACACCCAATTCAATCAAGTGAGCTTTACTTTGTCGTGTACTCATGATGAGATGGAGAACGCCAACCCATCGATGACGTGCTTTAGAGTCTGACATGATGAGCAAGGATATGGATACAAAAACATCGAGACAACCGTGACTGACACAATAATCTATCTGTTCGGGGGAGGCAGTCGTAAAGACATTGTGAATGATCCACATCATCTCTTCACCATGTTTACGTTTGAGTCTAGAGTATTCGAATCGATTGGGATGTAGATGTTTTTTTGAAATCACATTACCACCTTTATCCCTTATCCTTTTTTCTCTTTCTTTTTCTTTTTCCTTTTCTTTTTCTTTTTGGTCGGCTGGTGTAGTCTGGAGGAATCGTTCAAATGATGTAAGGAGCAGTCCATTGTCGATACACATTTGTATTTGGTGGCGACTGTCTGCGATAATGTTGGAGATGATCCAGAGCGTCTCTTTGAGGATCGGGTTCTTGCCCGAACACTTTGTGAATTCTTTGAGTCGCGCAAACAGCTCTTCGCAAAAGACAGTCTGCGCAATCGTGTCGTCGTTGCTGATGATGTTGCCGATTGTCGCCAGCGCGGGCCTGCTGACGCGTATCGACGAGTGGCCGAGCAACCGGAGGAGGTGCGGCAAAAACCCCAGCTGGTGGAACTGCACAATGTCAAACCCGTGGTGCTGCGTCATGTTCGACAGACTGCGACACACATCAAACAGCTCCTCGACGCCGTCCAACTCGGATATCATGTGTGCCAAGCACGGCATCAACGGCGACAGCTGTGCCCATGGCGGGAACGGCTTGTCCGAGACGAACCGGATGATGCCCGTGAGGTACTCGGTGTACGACCGGGGTTTGCCGGCCACGTCGGTCATTGGCCGACTCGCTATCTGTATGATCAAGTCGACGACACCACTCTGTAAAATGTGATCCCTGTTTTCCTTTTTCTCGAGTACCATGCACAGCATAAACAGCGTGTCCATCAGCACCGACACATCGAGTGTCCGCGCCTGCGCCATAAACACGTCGACCATGCCATCGAGCAGCCAGTCCAACCCATGCTTTTTGCGCAGGTATATAATGACCGACAGCAACGTCGACGCCGCCGACTTGATTGCATCCTCATGCAACAGTCCCGTCACGGGCGTGTCCATATGCTTGATCATCCTCACCAAGAATGTATCAATTTCAAACTGTTTGGCCACCTCGACCACCTTTTCATTTGGTATGAGCGCAGTGTCATCGGTATACGACGAAATCACCGCATACAATCCCTCCAAAGCCAACAATTCATATTTCTCTCCACTATTCACTCTTCTAATCAATTCATCTACATTATTTAATCCCATCGTTCTATGTTCATTTGCAATTTCAATTCCTTCCAATGCTATCGTCGATAATTCTATTAATAATACTTCATTTAATCTTTTCTATAAAAAAAGAAATGTTAAATATTAATCTCATCATATGATGATGATTATTATTTGTTTTTTTAATTTAACTTACAACAGTAGCACCTAAACGATATAATAATTTCCAATGAGTTGCCATTGAATTTATAAACATTGATTTTTCCTCTTGAAATGTATTGACCAATCGCAATAGTTTTGATACAAGTTCATGAACGCCACCAAAAACTAGATAGGACTTTGATACGTATGGTTCCAAGAGAAAGGTAAGTTTCCACATTTCTTCTATCAATTTTGCTTGATCGGTCGCACAAAGTATAGCATCCCTATACCATACAAATTCCAATCGAGGTGATGATAGATAATTGACCAACTCTACCACTTTTTCCAATGATCCAAGCCATTCATATTCTTTAATCTTTTTAACCTTTTTAATTTCTATTACAGTTTGTGTATTCCTAAGTGTTATTGTTTCCAATGAAGATTGAATAGTAGGAGGAGGAGGACGATGAGAAGAAGGAGAAGGAGGTTCTATATCATCATTTGTTGTTGTCTCTGATGAAACACATTTATCAGGCATTGCCATATCATCATTCTTTTTATCATCTATTTCATTATTATTAATATCATTATCATTAATAGTAGGTATATTGTCTATATCTTTATCTTTATCTTTATCTATATCATCAGTTTCTTTATATTCTTTTAAATCCTTAAATAAACATAATTAGTGTTAGTTTATAGGTTGTCATAGAGCTATATATATAACACAACATACAACTACTAGTCGATCGATTGCTTGAATAATTTCATCAAATGACATTATCTATATCACTATCTCTATCCAATTTCTATAGAAAGCTTGGTTATGAAGAAGAATAAAACTGCAAGCCAGCTGAAAGTGTGACAGACAGATTTAGAAGAATTTAATTTAATTTAATTTGGTTGTCCTCATTTTGTTTCGAAGATGACTATCATCGATTTTTGTATAAATGTGTATATATACATATAAGAGTTAATATATATATATATATTTTTTAATTATTATTTATGATTCAATGAACCTCGCAATCTCAATCGATCGACCGCGATCGAATAGACTAATAAATAAATTCAATGATAGAGACAGAGAACACATAGTTCAAGCTTTATGTTTGATCTGTGAACATAAAGTGGTAGTAGTCTTGATGAAGAGATGAATGAATAAATGAATGAATGAATAATACTCGGTACTCTTTTCATTTAATGTGCCGACCATAAGAATGTGAGTTGAGTAGTCAATCTTGTCAGGTGGTTCAAGGAAATGGAAGAGAGAGAACAAAAAAATCTTTTTTTTTTTTTGTTTTTGGGGTTTGGTTTTGAAGTTTCACAAAAGACAACAACAACCATCATCATTGCATTCCACTTGAAACAACAACACATACACACAGATATTTATAAACTCCAAACGCGTAATAATACTAATCACATCATCACAACTCAAAGACTGAAATTTCATTGTAAGTGTTTATTTATTTATTTATTTATCTCTCCTCTCTTTTACACAAACTATAAATATATCGGTTATCTCAGCACTACTACTACTCAACAACAAACATGCATGGCTTTCTTGTTCACTAAAAAAAAGTTGTCGGGGAATGAGCAGACAACCAGGCGCAATTGCTGATGCAAAAGATATCGACTCAAAAACAGACCCTTCAATATCTGCTTCCTCTCTCATCACTCTCTCTCTGTCTTGTTCACAACAACAACCACACTGAATCAGAATAATAATTAGACATAGAAAAGATAGATAGATAGATAGATAGATATAGATAGATACAGGTATAATTAAATCATTGTTGGTTGAATCCTCATTTTATTTTTGTCAGCAGCAGCAGCAGACGAAAGATCAATAAACAAAAAAAAATACAACCAATATTATCACCCCCTTCTTCTCCTACTACTGTAGGATTCAATACCTTGTTTTATTCACACCTCACTCGACAAAAAGGAATAGATTGTTGTTGTTGTTGTTGTTGTTAATAAATACAATAAATAATAATAATAATAATTTCAACTACTACTACCTATAGACTCTACTACACTTCTGTTAGTACTGCTACTACAATACAATTTCATCAATCAATCAGTCAGTCAAATCAACAACAACAACAACAAAGTTAATATTAATAATTATTAATTAACGACGACCGACAACTACAACAACAACAACAGGTATATAATAATAATAATAATAATAATAATGAGATATCTTGTTAATTAATCAATCAATTGTCGATCTTTTATAATCACTTCCTTCTCATCCCCACTCACTCCTTTTATTCAATCATTTACACAACAACAAATAATAATAATAATAACTATAATGATAATGATAATGAAAGTGTTTGATAACTAATTTATTATATTATTTATAGAATTTAGCTTAGTTAGATATTTATAGACTACAAGACTAAAAATACATCAAAAAGGAAATATACACAGTAACATACATACATACAATACATTATATAACACATTTAAAAACATTTAAGAATGGCTTGCAATTGTTACGGAAAAAATACAGAGGAACCAACATTCTCTGATAGAAAGGCAAATCCCTACTCTCATTTGTTTAAATACATTATGGTTGGAGATTCTGCTGTTGGAAAGAGTAACTTGTTGCTTCAATTTGTTGATAAGCGATTCTCTCCCAACTCTGACTTTACAATTGGTGTAGAATTTGGTTCACGTTCTATCAATATAGATAATAATCAAGTTAAATTACAAATTTGGGATACTGTAAGCAAGCAAGCAAACAACAAATACAAAGAATAGTATACTAATTGATTTATTTGATTCATGTTTTTTTAGGCAGGACAAGAAAAGTTTAGAAGTATTACTAGAGCATATTATAGAGGAGCAGTTGGAGCTTTGATTGTATACGATATCACTAGAAGAGAGACATTTGAGGGTTTGGCCAATTGGTTGACCGATTGCAGAAAATACAGTTCGACCGATGTCACCATTGTACTCGTTGGCAACAAATGCGATCTTGAAGCCAGTCGACAAGTCTCATATGCCGAAGCCAGCTCATTTGCCAATGAACATGGTCTTTTATTTTTCGAAACATCTGCAAAGACTGGATCCAATGTCGACGAAGCCTTTGAACAAACTGCAAAGATCATTTTTGAAAGAACTAAAAATAATCCACAAGATAATGCGGAATAAATCAACCATCCCATCCATCCATCCATCCCATCCTTTACAAACTATAGTTTAGATTAGATAGATAATATAATATAATCATACCCTTTTTTTTCAATCAACCAAAAAACAATATCATCATTTTTCACAATCAATCAATCAATCAATCAATCAATTTCCAAAAAAAAAAGTAATAATAGTTCAAAACAACCAAGCAAGTAAAATAATAATAATAATAATAGTAATAACAACAACAACGTCCAACATTTTTTTCTTTATAATCAAACAATTATCAACTCCAACTGTTGTCATATAATAATAATTAAACCAACATTACCATTTCTTCCTTCCTCTCACATCCTGTTTTTAAAAACAACAACAACAACAACAAAAGTAATAAATTTAATATATCTTGTATATATATAAAACAAAAAACAAAAGTGTAAAATAGAATAAAATTATATAATTTTATTCTTACATTGAGGTTTTAATTTAATTTATAAATCTCAGAGATGGAATTGATGTATATTAATCTTTGCATCAATCTTGAGAGACATGATGAAATGACGGACTGTAGGTCGAAAATTAGGGTGGAGGATTCTCAGAGTCTCCTTCTTTTTTTGGAAAAAGTCGAAAACGACAAATGGCATTTACATGATCCTAATTTCGCATCATCAACCAACATCCAACTCATGGCATTAACAATGACAAAGACGTCCAGCCCCATCTCTATACAATGACTTTTATACGACGTGTTCAGAACAACTCTCTAACTGATGAATGCATAATTATTACCCATTGCGTTAATTGTTCTCTACTCTCTCTGACTCTGACCTCTAGACCAGTAATCGAATCAAACACTTTGACTCTCAACCAACAGCTATAACCACTAAGTGAATCACATTCATTCGTTTCTTTAAATTTTATTCAATATCTTCTACATATCACATATAATTAATTAACTTAAAGAGAGAAACACAAAGAAAAGAAAAGAGAAACAAGGAAAAAGAAATTGGAAACTTATCTCTATCTCTCTCTCTTTTTTACATTGCACCCCCACCACCAAATTAACACTATTTATATATATCACTCTCAATATAACACCACCAACAATTGTGGTTAAAACTCAACAACATAATCCATTCATTCATTCATCTTCCAGTCATCCATCCCCAAGTCAGAGGTAGAACAGAAACACTACACACTTTAGTAATTACATTTTAATTATTTGTATTTTTTTGTTTGTGTCTGTTTACAAGCACGATTCACGAATAACAACAACAACAACACAACAAACTCGTACATACCATATTATCACAGATAGACAGACAGAGACAGAAAGTAACAAGGAAGGAAAAGGAATAGACTAGTCGGATATATAGATAGAATAGGTATAGTATATTATATTATATTGTTTTAGTTTGTAGTTTGAATTCATTCAAAACAACAAACACCTCCTTCATCATCCTCCACACCATCGTCTTCGTTTAGAAAAATAATAATAATATTATTATTATTATCATTATTTTACAATTTATATATATATATTTATATAAATATTGTCAATCTTGGAACAAACAAACAAAGATAGATAGATAGATAGATAGATTATTGTCCACCAAATTATAATAATTTAAAAGATAGATTTAATAATTACATAATAATAATTACTTCAGAGTAAAAAGAAAAGAAAAGCAAACTCTCTGATAGTGACGTGACAAACCCCCCAATATCCAGCACAGCAATTGCACTTTGTGGATTTTATTATTTGTTTTTGACTCAGCATCGAAAGAAGAAGAGAAAGTCAACTCAACAACAGAACAACAACAAAGTTAGCAAAAAGAAGAGAAATTTTATCCAATTTTATTCACCTCCAAATTTCAACCAACCCCCTCTGCAAATAAGACAAAGACATTCTTCATTTACATTTTATTTATTATACAATATTCAGATATATATTATATTATATTTATTATAAGATTGGATTAAGATTAGATTAGATTAGATTCAAATCATTGTCATCTTCATCATCCCCTTTTATATTTACTCACTCACCTCCTTCCTTTCTTTCTTTCCTTCCTTTTTTTACAATTAAGTAGAAGATAGTATATTACACTTCTACTTGTACACGAAATAGATTAAAGAATTTATCAACACACCCCACCATCATCACAGAGTAGCTTTCTGCTGAAAAAAGCATCTGCCGCCGAGGACAGCAACAACAGCAACGAAAAGACAACAAGCAGCAGTAGTAGCAGTGGTTTTCACAGTACAGCAGGAGCAGCAGCAGCGGCTATTGGAGCCACCTCTCAAAACATTCTAAACAAAATAATGACAGTTGCCATCAAGGATGAAAGTTCATTTCATCAACTCTTTCAATCTCTACCATTAGATGAAAAGTTAATTGAAGGTAAATGAATATCTATCTCTCTCTATCAATATTTATATAGTTGGTATTAACTCTCTCTCTTTCTTTTCTTTTTCTTTTCAATTAGAATATAGTTGTTCATATAATGAAGGTGGATCAGTATCAATTGGGAGATTATATATTTCTCAATATCATGTTTCATATGCACCAAAACTTGGTAGCACTCAAATCATCATTCCAATCAAAGACATTACATCCATCTTGAAAAAGAATTCCGTTTATTTATTCCCAAATGCAATTGAAATTTTAACTTCAAAAGATCAAAGGGTTAGTATCAATCAAATTATGAATCAAAATATGAATCAAACCAATCTTCTTACTCTCTCTTTTTTACTGTATAGTTTTTCTTTTCAGCATTTTTGTCTCGTGATTTAGCATTTGCTACATTGACTACCATTTTAAACGCTGGTGGAGGAACAAAGACAAAGATATTCGAAGACATGTTGGCAGAACAAGAAAAATTACAACAACTCCCTTTAAAGTCGTCTGGTGAGGACTTGATTGTTCAGGATCTCTACAATGGCGATGATATTGGTGCATCGTATAGTTCATCGCGATCATCTTCTACCTCTTCATCTGACGAACCACCACCATCCATTGTTGGTGAAGAGGGAAATGGAAATAGTCGTCGTATATCGACTCCTCCCAACAATATCAGTCCTCCCCTTTCACAAAGTCCATCAACTAAAATGTTAAATTCAAAAATTAATGAAACTAAACAAACCGATAATGTAGATAATAATAATAACAATCAAAATAATAATAATAATAATATTAATACCGAAGAATCATCACAACAACAACAACAACAACAAACACAACAAGAAAACAACGAACAACAACAACAAAAATCAGAAACAATTGTAGAAGAACCAAAAGAAATCAAAGATAATAATAATAATAATAATCAAAATAATAACACCAATAACACCAACAATATTGGTGGTAATAATAGTGTATTTAAAACTGTACCAGTAACACCAACAAAAAAACAAGAAAGAGAAGGGTCAATTAATTTATCAGAGGCACGTGAATTGAGTGGAAGTGGAGGTATTAGTGCCAGTAACAATAATACTCCTGTCAAACCACTACCACAACAACCACAACAACAAACGACATCTTCTTCATCATCTTCTACTTCTTCAAATAGTACCAATACAACACCAGTAACTACAAGAAGAAATAATGCTACTACTACTACACAAGCACCAAATAGAACAGATAGTAATGGTAACTTATCTTCATTCAAACCAACTGCAACGACCAACAGTAATGTACAACAAAAAGAGGCAATAGTATTACCAGTTTCATCGCCATCACCAGTATCGGTGGCAACTGCAGCTGTTGGCATTTCATTTGCACAAGTTCCATTACGTGAAAAGTGCGATCATATTTCATTATCAGATTTTGATGAACAACCGTGGATGAATGAACGTTTCCCAATCACTGTTGAAGAGTTTTATGCGGTCATTGTAAAGAGTGACTTTTGGGGACAGGTCAACACTACACACGGATACACCGAGCAGACTGTCAGCGAGTGGAAGACAGGTTCTTGTTGTATCGAGAGAAACATGGATTTTAGAACAGCCATTGCATTCAAGATTGGACCAAAGAGTACTCGCGTCAGCCAAGTCCAACGTTGTCGTCTTCGAAACAAGGACGAATTGGTCTTCCAAAGTTCATCGTGTTCAAAGGATGTTCCATACGGTGACTCATTCTCGGTCGAGAATCTTATGCAAGTACATACTGCTCACGACGACGCATCAGCATGTGTTATCAAGTTGTCGGGCAAGATCAAGTTTACAAAGACGTTGTGGGGTATCAACTCGATGATCCAAAAGTCGGCATCACAAGGCAACAAAGAGTTTTTCATGCTCTGGATCACAATGGTGCGTAACCAAATCGAAGCCTATGCATTTAACAAGTTAAAGTCGACTCTACAAAAACCGTCGGCTGCTCCACAAGTCGCTGCTGTAGCGGCTGCCGCCTCGACACCCGTCCTCCCCTCACCAGGCACCATCCCACAGTCTGTCACATCGGCATCTATCCCCAGCCCAGCTCCTCACCAACAAGTATCCATCACCTCGGGAGGTGTCATTACAGTCTCCAAAGACCACCCCTCACCAGCAAGCGGTGGAGCTACATCGATGGTCGACGGTGCCAACCAGTCTGGCGGCATGGTATCGACATCATCCATCTCGTTAAAGACACTTTGGGACAACCTAAAGTCAACCGAGAAACAACTAGTCTATGGCGTTGCAGCCGTCATTGGCATTATATTCTTTTGTTTGATATGGTCTGTATGGTCTAGCTCTGCTACATCAAGTCGTCTCAATCGCGAGATTTACAAGTTCTCAGACTCGATTGTCTTGTTGGATTCAAAATTGAATGCTATCATGAGACCAGATGGCGGCATTGATCACCAAGACCGTATAGTCATTACACCAACCAATTTGGGTGGAGAAAGAATCGATAGTCTCCAACGACAAATGGAAACTGCAGCCATGCTCTTGCAAAAAACCCAAAGTCTATTATCCGGTCTTCAAGGTGAATTGGCCATCGAAGCACTCAAAATCAAAAGTCAACATAATAATCCAGACTTGTATAGTGACGGTCTATCCCCTTCCTCCTCCTCATCATTTTCATTTACCACCATTTTTACTGCCATTTTAATCATTGTTCCATGTTTATATTTTGCTGGTAATTGGATTAAATCAAAAGTTTAAATAATAGACAAATATTAATAATACGTGACAACCAAACCAAATCCCCTTTATATAACCCATCCTGTTATATTCGTCGTATCCTTTTTTTCCCCTCTTCAAAAAATAAATTTATATAAATAATATAAATAAAAGTATAACCACCATTTATTATACCCTCAAGGTCAATAGTAAATATCCTCTTTATAAAATACCAAGACACCATGTTATAAAAAGAAATTTGTAATGAAAATAATCTCCTTACCCCAAAAAAAGAAAAAGAAGAATAAGAAGAAAGATTGAGGCGACAGATGAAATGCTTAAAGATCTAGCTTTAGATAAAGATGATTATGATTATGGAAATGTTATCGATGTACAAGTTGATATTGACAAGGAATGGACTGAAGAGATATTGGGACAGTATCTAAAGGATGCTGGTTTTGTTAGAGGTTCAGACAACACACCAAGCAACAAGGCAAGGTTGACACCAGTCTGCGTTGTTTTTGCAAACAGGGTGTTTTTGCAAGTAGCAAGTTTTCAAAACAAAGATGAAGCCTTACAGGTTCAACGCTCTGGCAACGGTTTAGAAGACTACAACAAGGCCTTTAAGGCTATTGGATCGCCAATCCTCAAATTATTGTACCCCTTTCTTCCACCATCTATCATTTGGTTGGCAACGCTCCTTGTAGTTGGGGCATATATCACGGGGTTACCTGGGTATGGTCGTGGAACACTGCCAAACACCGTCAAACGCTGTCTTGTCGCGATGAACAGAGAGATACCACGCAACCATTCCAACCTCATGGACAAGATTATGTATGTCTGGAATAGATTCCATTGTCTACCAGATTACCAAAGACTAGTTGAATGGAATCAAGCCAAGTTGACACAGTATCTCAAAAACAACACCCTTAGACAATACAGCACCACTAGATACCCATCAACCCAAGACAACTGGGATCGTATCGTCATTCTCTGTAAACTGATGACTACTCTGATTGTCGTACCCAATAATCCACAACACTACTCACCAGAGTTTGCATTGAATTTTCTTCTAGAAGGTGAGAGTGCCCAATCGGCAATGATCAGAATGGGCCGAATGGCATTACCCCATTGGGATCAACAGGACAAGTGGGTGGGTAGTATGCAGATGAATTTTCTCGCTATTACACTTTTAGGTTTCCAGACGGGCATAACCAACTATATTTTTGGGCCATTGATCCAAGATCGATTGAAATTAATGATAATACGAAATTTAGAATCAAACTATTACAAATTTCAAGATGATATCAAAAAACCTTTCGAACGACTATACAATGAATTAATCAACTACAGCAACAACAACGAAAACATTGACGACCCCCCACTTTATAGTCATTAAATCTGTGATCGAGAGAAAGAAATTAGAATTAAATTAAATAAAATAAAAAGGATCCTTCAAATACAAATACAAATACAAATATGATCAATACTATTACAAAGACAACAACAACAAATAACTAAAATCAACAAACCTTAATTCCAATTGGGAAAGAGTGTTCAAAATGCCAAGGAACATTCAGACCATATGCACATAATCTATGGCCATAGATTATATTAATTACCACTGGAACATGACCAGCAAGGACAAAGGCACCTTCCTTCTCACAATTATGTTTTAAAAAAAAATTATTATTTACTCACACCCATTAATGAACTAGAATATATAAAAAAAAATTAATTATTTATTTATTAAATTTCATTATGTTTCTTTCTTTAGATTCGATTGCCTCGCTTCAGGAAACTGTTACCTATTTAGTGAATTTGGTCAATCAGCAAATCGAAGCCAATTACGGACTCTCTACCCAAGTGAGCCAACTCCAGGTCCTTTTAGTCCATAAGGAAGGTGCCTTTGTCCTTGCTTAACATGTTTTACCACATCCCAGTGGTAATTAATATAATCTATAATTTTAGATTTTATATATGTATATAGCTTCATTTAAATAAAATAAAGTCACATTGTCATACAATGTCTGTTAATTTCATCAATTCAACATTTGGTATGTTTTATTAAACAAGTTCGAATACATCGGCTAGAGTATTGGTTGGGTTGGGGATGCGCATGTATAGTTGATATATTTGAACTTTATCTTTTTAAATAGTCATCGATTTCTTTGTTATACTGTCGTTTTGTCAGCTGAGCTGCTAGTTAACACACCCACTCAAGTTATTACCAATCGAGAACAACAAAACAGTGGTTAATCAATGTGGAGTTGATCAAACTAAAAAAAAAACTTCCTATTTGTATTTTGAATTTCTTTTTGTTTTATTTATATTATATATTATCCAAAAATATATATATAAATATTAATACTATTATTATTATTGATTTAATTTTTAGTTGATCCAGTAGAACTACTACCTGAATCATTTGAGGGAGAAGAAGAAGAAGATGGTGTTGATGAAGAGGACCCATAAGATGGTAAAGATCTTGATATTTGATTTACAAGTTTCTCAAAAGGAAGTGATTGAAGAATGACTAGTCCTGGACCAGACAGGGTTGTCAAAAACAAACCTTCACCAGAAAAGAATATATTAGTGGCACCTTTAACCCACTCTATATCATACTCTACCGAAGTTTGGAATGCAACGATGGAACCAACACTAACCCGTACCTTTTCGCCAGGTTGTAAACTTCTAAAGATGATCGACCCACATCCATGCAAGAATGCCATTCCACTACCTTTTAATCGTTGCAATATAAAACCTTCACCGCCAAAGAATCCGATAGAGAATCGCTTTGTCAACTGAGGTTCAATCTCTATAGCATTGTCTCCACACAAGAATGAATTCTTTTTGCATATCAACTCTCCTCCCAACTCTGACATTTTAACTGCCAATATTTTTGATATATATGGTGATGAAAATGTTACTCTACCAATTTCCTAAAAATAAATAAAAGAAATAAATAAATCATAAATAATCAAGAATAAATATATATATATATTGATTGATTCATCCTTACATTATCTGAAACATTTTTAAATTTAGTAAGGAATAAACCTTGACCTGTAAACATTCTTTTAAAACTTGTCAAGAAACCTCCTCGTGCACTTGTATCCATTTCAACAGATGATGACATTTCCAATAATGCTCCAGTCTCTGCAGTTATAGATGATCCTGGATCCAATTTTAATTGTACTACTTGTGATTCATGCCCTGATATTTCCCACTAAATCAAAATATATATAAGGTTAATTTAAATTCTAAAGAATTTCTCTCCTCTCTACTCTACTCTATTGTTTCACTTTGATGGAAGTATACATACCTCAAAAGTTGATTCTTTACCTTTAATAACAGACTCATTACCAATAAGAGGAGTCATAATTGATTTTTTGTACATTGCCGACACTTCACTCGATGTCTGTGATGGTTGTTGTTGAAGTGATCCACCACCCCCTGATGATGAACTACAATTCTTCCGACCATACATAAACTTTTTGTCCTTGACCATTTGACTATTATTATTATTATTATTGTTTTGATTGATGGCTGCCGCACCTCCTCCCCCAAATACAAGGTGCTGTATAACTAACGCTCTTGTCGAGCGTACAAGTTCTCTTGATAACATTATATAAAAGTTATTGTTGTTTGTGTGATTGTGACTAATTAATTAAAGTATATTAATTCCTTTTTGGTTCTACTTGTAAAGTTGTAGTAGAAAAGAGATGATAGAATGTGTAGAACAAAGTTACTTTTGATAACTTCACTTCTTCCCTTGTGTTTGTTCTCTCTATCTCTGTTTGTTATATATATTTAATTAACTGTGTTGTAGCTACAAGCAAGTAAAAAAGTACTACTAGTTTGTGTTTTTTTTTTGATTTTTTTTTTTTCCTTCTACTCTCTTTTTGTTCAGAGTGTTTATCAACACAAAAGAAAGTGTGAGGGAGGGGGGTGTCTCATGCATTGGATGGGTAAAAACCACCACATAATGGTTGTTGGATGGATGGTTGCTGCTGCTGCTGTGATATTGATATGATACCAACCAAAACCAGTAGGTAGGTAGGTAGGTAGTTTTATTATTAGTAGTATTATTGGCAATAGCAATAGTAACAATAATATATTGTGGTTGGTACACACCAACAACAACAACCAGCATCATCCATTGACCACTCCTCCTCTCGATTGATTTGCGATTCAATGACATTGAAATTAATAATCCACATTGCCAAAGGAATGTTGATCCATGATGCGTGCACTGAACCAACCATCACAGCTATCATGAGGCAAATATGTGCTCCGGCAAACCGAACCAGAGAGCTTGGAAAGAGCAAGAAAGTGCTTCCTCTATCACATCATATCAATAATAATATTTGATTGATTATGCCTCCTCTACTTTCTACTTTCTTATCAATGTTGATTTAGAAAAGTTTGGAGCACGAACGAAGGTTTGGCTCAAACCAAACGAGAAAATTAAAAAAAAGAAATTAATATTGTCTGAAATTGATTGGGGTTCATTGACCTTTTGATGTGAGTCCTAACACTAAATATTCCATCGAATATTTGAATACTCAGTTTGTATCTATACAAGAGTTGATCATTAAAGGTGATTGAAGTTCAATCGATCAATCAAAAGAATGCAATTATTTAAGTTGCTTTGTAATGAACTATGAATTTTTTGAATTTTTCGACGATTTTTTTTGGGTGTGTGGCGCCGCTCTCAGTGGCTGCGTGCTGAGATGCACTTCCCCTTGCGCAGCTGAGCTCTTTGTGTTAAACATACCCTTTTGATAGATCTTTTCAGTAACCCATTAGGCACCTATAAACATGGCATCCATCGCTCAAATCGTACTCCTCTTAACCGACGCTGAAGTATGATCAAATAGATATAGAACAGACAGGATAGAAGAGATGACAAGATAGAAGAAAGAGATCTATCTCTCTCTCTCTCTCTAGAAAAAAGAGACAGAACCAGTTTTTTAACATATTCATCCATCTATTACTATTACCATCAATTTTAGCTCCCAGTCAACGCCGACAACATTAACAAGGTTGCCAAGGCTGCCAACATCACCGTTCGTTCATTCGAAGTTGAGACCGTCGTCCGTGCTCTCTCCAAGAAGTCCGTTGAATCCATCATTGCTTCCGCCGCTGTTGCTGCTCCATCTGCTGCCGCTGCTGCCCCAGTTGCTGCCGCCGCTGCTGCTCCAGTTGCTGCTGCCAAGAAGGTTGTTGAAGAAAAGAAGGAAGAATCCGACGACGATATGGTAAATACACAAATACACAAGACAGAGTATCACTACTGATCATCATCATTTATGCTAATATCAATTCTCTTTTCATTATTATAGGGTATGGGTCTCTTCGATTAAATTTCCAAATAATAAATTTATTAGAACTTTAAATCAAAACATAACAAGTCAATCAATTATGATGATTATTATTTATGGAACATGGAAATATGGATATTTTTGAAAACTGGAAACAATATTATATATTTTAATTTGTTTTGATTGTATTGTTTGTTGTTTTTGACAAAAGGGGGTTTGTTGGTACTTTTAATCATGATCACAAATGATTGATACTTGATTTCCAGGATTTGATAAATTGGCATAAAAGAATAGAGCAATGTTGGTTGGTAAATCCAAAAATGTTTCCGTTTTGTTTGTTCTTTCATTGATGACGCGTTGGGTTCTTGTGTCGAAATCCAATTCAACACGGATGACATCACCAGAGATCCAGTCACCCGCACGACCCAACACTTCTGTACATTCTGGATAGGTTTGTCCACGACTAGACAGTGAAAAGGAAGATGCAAACGGAATAGCAGATGGAGAGGAAGTAGAAGCATAGGCAGTACCAAAACACATCCAATAAGAGTCATCGCAGATCTTGTCTATTCTAAATCGACATTGGTGACTACCACTATTGAAACCTTTAATCGATATAATTCCCATCGGTTCATCCTTTTCACCACGATGAGTGATGGTGTAGTTTCCAGGTGCCACATCCATACTATTGTGACGGGTGAATTTGTCAAACTTGTGTTTTGGGAAAAGATTTGAATAATCAATTTCAAAGTAATTCAATTCTTGTTTGAATACATCTATATTCACTTTCCCCTCTTTTAATTCATTATGAATATCTTCTCCTCTAAGATAATCCAGTATAACTAATTTAAACAAAAAAAAGTAAAAAGATTAGAAAATAAATACATAGTAGTCTATTATTTTTGTTAAACACATACTATGGAAATAATGACATCTCTTATCAATAAAATATTGATTTGTAATTGGATTTGGTTGAGTATTATAATCACCAAAATAGATTTCAAAGTAACCACTATTCTTTGTAAGTGTTGATTTCAAAGTTTGATGGATTTGTCCTCCAATGTTTAATACAACTGGTTGATGATTGTTATCATTCTTGGTGGTGTTACTACTTCCAAGAGTATGATGATGATGGTGATGAATATTACTAGTACTAGTACCCTTTTGAGTTACAAGACTTGCACTAGCAATAACTGTTCCACCGCCACTACCACCACCACCATTATTTAAATCAGATGATAATGAAGGTGACTTTGTAAGCTTTGATGAAAGATCATTACCACTCTTTGACGACTTTGTCGATTGGGATCTATACTTTTCCAATTCTTTCAAATCACCAGCATATTTTTGTTGTACTTCCTTTTCGATTTGTTTCTTTAGTTTATCCAATAATCTATTGATCTTATCACTTTCCTTGTTGTTTGATGATGAATCTTTATCCTTTTCTTTATCTTTATCTTTATCCTTGTCCTTGTTTATAATCTTGGAAGCAAAGCTAGAGAAAGAGTCCTTTTCTTTTTCTTTTTCACCTCCAGTCGATCTAAATGAATTTGAAGTTGATGTTGTTATCTCCATGATTAATGATGATGATGATGATGATGATGTATCTGTATTACTAGTTAATAATTATAAACTAGCTAGTTTGATCACGTGGGTTGTTGAGTTCTCGATAGGGTGCCCCAAACCAGGCAGTTTAAAAAAATCAAGAAAATCGACGGTAATGTGCACTCTAACTTTTCAATGAATCCTCAACTAGACAAGAAGATGAACAAATCAAATTAATTAAAATATCTAAATAATTATTTAATAAGATATAGTTATAAATCGATTTATGTTGGATGTTACATTACTTTTACAAAAGCAGAGAAATGTATAAACTCATAATAAAATGAACATTATAACTATATTGATATTGATTTAATAATGTTTTGAAAACTGAACTTCTCCAATGGGTTCAAGTACACTATCCGATTTTTAAAACAAATTCATAAACTAGTATTAATAGTAATTTTAATTGAAAGATAGTATATAATATATAATAATGTCAGCCCTTTTAGTCTATGTATATTCAGGTTTATTGATTTTGGTATGATCATCTTTAGAGTCATTACGATCATCATCTGATCATCCAATCAATCATCGAATTCAATCATCGAAACAAGTGTTAACTAGTTCTCTTGTTATCTCTTCTCTTCTATTCTCTTCTTTTTAATCTATCTCTATTCTCTATCTCTATAGGGAGGCCTCATTGGTTTCATCAAAGCTGGTAGCATGATGAGTTTAATAATGGGAATCTTGAGTGGATTCTTGGCAGCATATAGTGCCAATTTACAAGTATGCAAAAGTTAGTTATGAGTGTTTATGTACAACTATATACTAATTTATTTCAATTTCTGTAGAGTTACAACAAAAAGTCTGGTTTACAATTGACCATGTGTAAGTAGATCTATCATTTTGGATCGATTCGATTTCTTTTTAATATTAATTCAACTTATTTATTTATTCTATTTATTAAAAGTGGTATCTTTTGTATTACTTATTTTCATGGGACTTCGTTATTACAACAGTCAAAAGTTTATGCCAGCTGGTCTTGTCTCTATATTCAGTGCCATCGTTTTATTCAAATCATACACTGATTTCCAAACCATCCATTAAATCTTCAAAAACCTTTTGTTTGGTTGGTTCATTTCCAATATTGGATCAAGAGTGGATTCTAGTCTCATCACTAATAATAAATTAGTATACTGTTATCAAAAGATATGGAATGTTGTGACTGTCATTTAGTTTGATTGATTGGTGAATGGGCAGACATGCACGGTTGCGCGACCCTAAAATTGGAATGAATTAATAGTCCATCATTTCGGGTCGCGAATAATCTTTTAGTTGTTTACCAAACTACCGATCGCAGATTTCGGTGATTATGATTGGGATGACAAGGAAATACCATTTTTTTATAAATAGGGGAATAAATATTCAAATAGTGAGCGAACAACAAGTAATTTTACATCTACCAAAGCATATATATATTGGAAAGTATTTATTTTCGCGAAAATGGGTTTGTACAACTATGATAGACATTTAATCTTGAACAAGGTGGAATTAAAACTGGAAGATATCATCTTTATCTAACTTTTAGTTTTTGATATATTCATCCTCAGAAATTCCAAAAAGAAAATGTTCAAGGTTTAAATGTAAAATTGATAAACATAGCCTTTTTGGAATTTCTCAGAACCCTTGGTGTCATTCCCTCCAATTTTTTTTTTTAAAAGTAAGTATTATTCAGGTTGATAGATCATTCTTTGACAGATATATAGAAAGAAGTAGAAAGAAAGATAGATAGATAGATAGATAGATAGATAGAGAAAGAGATGGGATGGATATGGTATTGGTATAATGATCAGATTTGGATTCCATTTGATCAAAAGGCAATCGATGGCTTTGAACAAGAACATGCCAAAGGAAGTAAAACAATCAAAGTAGATGGTCAAAGATATTTAGATCTTACTCTTTCTTATACTGATGTATGTTACATAGGCTAATATATATTACTACCATAGTATCATTCATTCATTAATATCAATCATTTCATGTTGTTTAGATTGTATCAAACTTTAATTCAATTACAGATAAAGATTTGATAGGCATACAAAGAAGATATGATGATCCAATGAAAAGACGTGCTGTCAAGAGAACATTGGTAGCAGACGACTTTTTCAAAGGTATTCGTTTCTGCAGCTATCAATCCTATCTTGGCACTTCAAAGTCTTCCAAAGAATACCTTGCAATCGTCGATGAGATTAGAGAGTACAAGGGTAAAATTTCAACTTCAATCACTGGAAAGGTCAAGGTAAGCAAAGATAGATAGATGGATATATACAACAAAAGTAGATAAAAAGACTTATAAAAGTTTTGATTGATTTTAGGTTGATTATGTATTATATTCAAAGAGTGATGTAACTCCAACAGACGAGGCAGAGTTTAATAAATATTTGTCGGCTGTTGAAGGATACAATTCAGAGCCTGTATTGGAAGAGTTTGTAGCTGCATGTGTCAAGGCTAAAAAGGTGGTCGACACTACACCATTCCTTGTTAAAAAGAAAAAATTGGCACCTGTAAAGAAATCATCCTCCAATTTGAAATCAGCTGTTGCTGCTGCTCCTGTAACTGTAGCTGCTGTTGCACCACCAACTACAACTACTACAACAAGTAAAAGTAAAACAACAACAGCTGCACCAGCAAAAGATACATCATCTAAATCGAAATCAAAAAAGACAGCAGATGGAGCTTATTTCTTGGGAGAGAGTGAATGGATGGGTGTATGCAAATCTGATGACGACGTTTATCCAATGACTATCAAGGTAGAGTCGGTTGAGGCAGACACCAAGAATGCAGGAACTAGTATTGTCAATGGTACCATACACTGGCCAACAATGAGTGATGCCATCACTAAATTCAAGGGTACATTAAAAGGACATGAACTCAAGATGGAAGAATACGAATTGGTGCAAGGCAACGACGATGAGATTGAATTGCCCAACAACTATGAAGCATCTGTATACACTGACGAGATTGAAGGCAAGGTTGACGACATGACATTCTCTCTCAAACTGACCAAATCGCCACCAGTGTCTGTTTTACGTCTCAACTCTGTCTACAAGGGCAAAGCTACACAATACGACAATTTTAAGTTGCGTATTGAAAGTCGTGACACGACCACCACCCAAATTGTACATGGAGAGATTGAATGGCCCGACTATGACAATGCCATCGCCATATTCAAAGGCAAAGTACACGACAATCACATTGAAGTACTCAAATACGATGAAGGTAAAGTCTTTGGTCCTGAAATCGCTCAATGTCCATTCCTTATCAAAGTATCATATGACGATAAATTAAAACCAATATTTACAATAGAATTGGACTAAATTCAATAAAGAAATAATATTAATAATAAATAATACCAAACACATAATATAGGAATAAAATAGTATAATTGTATTTCTTTCTCTTTCCCTTTGATTTCTCAACAAAAAAAAAAAAAAAAATTATTCTTGAAAGATATTTTTATTTATTGGGCTTTTCTTGATTCGACCTCAAATCATACATACGTACATATCATCATTTTTCAACATTATATATATATAGATAATTTATAACAAGTAATGGGTATACCAGCATTTTATAGATGGTTGGTTGATAAATACCCAAAATCAATACAGTATTTCCAACAACAACAACAAGTAGAAGAGCAACAAGAACAAGATGAAGTCTCTTCATCATCTACTACTACTACACCTTTAAAGATTGATCCAAGATGTAATAATGTTAAATTTAATAACCTTTATATTGATATGAATGGTGTTATTCATAACTCTACACATGCAAAGGGAGAACCATCGGTCGAATCAATCATGGCATCTAAACCAAACACAGATGATACGATCAAGGAAAACATATTCAAACGTTTAAATGATATCATTGTTACTACAAACCCATCAGATTTGGTTTACATTGCATTGGATGGTGTACCACCACGTGCCAAAGCAACTGAACAACGTAGACGTCGTTTTAGATCTGCTAAAGATATTCGTGAAATCTTATCAAAAGGTCCTAAACAACCAAATCCTAGACATAATAATAATAATAATCATTCATCTTCATCTCCATCTACTTCATCTCCATCTACTTCTTCCCCTCCAATAACAACAGATGAATCTTCTGATCCCTCAACTCCTTCCACACCAGCTGCCGCTACTACACCAGCTGTTGCTCAACCAAATTATTTAGAATTATTAGATAAAGTATTTGATTCAAATTCAATTTCACCAGCAACCGAGTTTATGAACAAGGTAAATCATTGGATTGGAGAATACATTTCGACGGTATTGGCAAAGAGTCATCCACACTTGGCTGTTGTATTGTCAGATACCACTGTGCCAGGTGAAGGAGAACACAAGATTATGGACTTTATTCGTGGTAATCACAAGAATTGGTCGGAGTCTACCAGTCACATATTCTATGGTATGGATGCTGATTTGATCTTCCTTGGTCTATCGGTACATTTGCAACGTTTCTTTGTACTCCGTGACTTCCAGTCTTTGAGCTATGGATGTAGTATTTGCAAGTCAGAGTATCACATGTCCTATGAATGCAAGTCGGCATTGGCAATGAAAAAGCTACACGCCAGCAACAAGGAAGGTGACATTGACTGGCAATCAAACGGTATCAATACCACCAAGATCTCGGTCCGAAACATTCCATCACAGGCATCAGAGGCTGACATTAGGGAGATCTTTTCCTACTATGGTGAGATTGTCGACATCAAGTTTGAAAAGGCACCCACCAAGAAACCATCGCTCACTGCATTTATCCAATTTGGATCAGTCGATGCTGTCAAAGATATTGCATGCAGAGGTGCCTATTTCTACGTCAATAATATTAAATTGACTATTGCACAATACTACAAGGATGAAAAGGTTGAAGTCGAGTCACCATTGATCGAAGAACAAGCTGAAAACGCTGTCGTTGAAGAAGACGATGGTGTCTATTACAACAATTCAATCTTTTGTACAAGACTAGAACTTGATGTCACGGAAAAGGATGTAGTTGACTTTTTCAAACCAACTGGCAAGGTTGAATCGGTTCAATTCCTTACCACGCCAAGAAGAAAGGCTCATCCATTTAAATTTTGTATTATTAATTTTGGCAACTTGGATGACGTTAAAAAATCATTGACTATGGATGGTAAATACCTCAAGGGCAACAAAGTAACCTTGAAAAAGAGTCGTCCACCTGCTCAAAAGGAACCCGTTGTCCCTGAAGAACCAAAGCCCAAAGTAGTCATCTCTGAAGAAGAAAAGGCTGAAAAAGAAGCTGAAAAGGAAAAAAGAAGAATTGAAAAGGAAGAAAAGGCTAATCAATTTATTACAATTGCTGGTCATGGAATGAATCTTGATTCTTCTTATTTTTATTTAGGTGTATGTAAAAAAAAAAAATATAAAAAAAATAGAAATATTAATTTATTTTATTTATTTAATTTTTTAGTTGGCAGAATGGGATTTTGAAAGAGCAAATGAATTATTTATTAAATTTGGTAGAGCATTATCAAAACAAGAAGATGAATATTTGACAGTTGAAAGAAAATTTGAATTTGTAAATTTAGATAATCTCAGACAATACATCAAATACTATTTGACATTTGGTTTGGAAAATGAATCACAACTAGATATTAATAATTGTATCAATGATATTACTGTCATGTGTATGTTGATGGGTAATGATTTCCTTCCACATTTACCTGCCGTATCAATCAAAGATGGTTCAATTGAATTGATTCTTGGTTGGTATAAAGATTGGATTCATAATTCAATCAAATCAACTGGTAAAGTTAATTATTTAACTGTTGATACAAATGTAAAAAAAAAAAAAAAAAAACAAAAGAAAAAGAAAAAGAAAAAGCAAAAGCAAAAGAAATTAAACAATTATCTATTTACTTTTATTTATTTTATTTTATTTTTAGATTATATATTCAAATTTTAGTGAATTATTAAATGTACTTGGTAATTGGGAATCTGTAATTTATCCAGATAAATTGGAAAGAATGGGAAAAAAGGATTTAGCAAGATTGACTCATATTTTAAAGGTTTCCAAAGAAAGAGAGGATAAGGAAAAAGAAGAGGCAGAAGCAAATGGAAGAATGGCATCTGAATTTGAGGAAGAAAGAAATGATATATTGACATCACAGTTGGCCAATCTTCAAGAGGGTGAACTCAACTATTACAAACTTAAACTTCAAGCATCTACCAGTGAAGTTGAAAATGTAAAGCAATGGGTTTGCCAATCATATGTTCGTGGTCTATCCTGGGTATTGAAATATTATACTGTTGGATGTCCAGATTGGAAATGGTCTTACAATTTCCACTATGCCCCATTGGCAGCCGATCTTGCTGCCTATTGCAAGGAAATGGTCGTTGGAAAGGGATTCAAGGATACCTCCCATATTGAATTCAAGCTAGGTGCTCCACTTCAACCACTTGCCCATCTTCTCAGCGTCTTACCAGTCTATAGTGGCAAATTCTTGCCAGCTCCATTGGCCGACCTCATGAAGTCTAAGCAACTATCCACCTTTTATCGCGAACGCTATAGAATCGATCTCAATGGAGAAGAGGTCTCGTGGAAGGGTGTCGTCTTGGTCAATTTCATCGATGTCTCTGCACTCGAATCTTTGGCCAACCCCATTGCCGAACAACTCTCTAAAAATGATCCTCACATTGCTCAACTCAACAAATTAGGAAATGACATTTACTATCTTCAAGGTGATGCACAATCATCACCTGATAGTTACAAAATATTTTTAGATCAACAAAAAAAAGAAGAAGAAGAGTCCAGTCATACCAACCAATCGATTAATAACTCTTCTACTGCTAGCAGTGGTTTAAATGAAAAAGATTTCAAGTGGGCTACTAGATACTTGATAACATTGTCCCCACAAGATTCTGATTTGTACAATAGTCTCGATTAAGAAATAAAATGCATTCACCTTACACGTCATGACAGGACATGTATGTTTGTGATCGTCATCAAACAACACACACGTGACGTTTATTTTTTCGATAATTTTGGGTCCGATTACACTAATATCTTTCGATTTCTCATTTTTATTTTTTTTTTCAGCCCGAAAATAAAAAACCTTGATCCTTTGCTCTTCCCACTTTAAGACGCTTTGCCTCTGTTTTATTTGTTTTTTACTGGTCTGAAAAAGAAGTGTAACACATAAACTTGCCAGAGTGAAAAGTTATTCATCAGCAAAAACAAAAAGAGAGAGAGAGAAATTTTTAATATGGGTCTCATGTCTATCAACTGGGGTACGTCGCTTTGAAAGACTCTCGTCACATATCGCGTGCACACGGTTTCCAAGCCCTCAAACTAACTTTTTTTTTTTTTTCTACATCCATCAACTTTACTATTTATACTACATCATTGCTTATTCCCTCAATTATCACATATATATCATATATTTATATTAAAAAATGTATTTTGATTGTGGTACTTTAGATGATTGGCTATCCTACAATACAGTCAAAGTGGTCAGAATTAGAGATCGTAGATTAGGTATACTTCATTTGACATTTCTATTAGGTATTTTTGTATATGTCGTCGTTGTATCTATATTTATGAACAAGGGTTATTTGGAAGTAGAAATCCCAATTGGATCAATCAGAACATCATTAAAACCTGTAAGTAACAATTGAAACAAAAAACGTAGTGCCGTTTAAAGAGGGAACAAAAAATCTAAACTTTTTTTTTTTTTTAGCCAGTAAACTATACCTATCCATTACCATATTGTGGTAATCAACCAGGATTTAATTCAACATTATTCCATAATATAACATGTCAATATTGGGATGAGAATCTTGTTGTCTTTCCAATTGGCGAGAGAGACTCTTTTACAGCCTCAACAAGAGTAAAGACTTCTAGTCAACATGCTGATGGATGTGATTTTACCAATCCAAATTGTACATATACCGAAGATGACCCAAACAGTATTTTTATTGCTGATATTGAAAATTTTACTGTAAGCAACAAAAGAAAAAGTGGAATAATAATAATATAGAGTCTAGAAACAAACAAATTAATAATTGGTAATTTTTATTTAGTTATTGATTGATCACACATTATACGCACCACAATCCAAAGTTCAAAAGAATTCTCAACAATTAAGTGGATATATCGAAAATGAAGAAGGTGATCTTATTACTCTTGATGTATGTGTTTTAGTATGAATATGAATGGTCTAATATATATTAAATATTATTATTTTTCTATCTAGGATGGAGTCAATTCAATTGGAATATCAGGTCAACCAGATATTGTTACACTTGGAAAAATATTACAATTTGCAGGTATTAGTCTTGATGATCGTTCATTGACCAATGCATCCAATTCAATGAGATATGATGGTGTAAATATATTTGTATTTATTACCTATTCAAATACCTATTCAACAAATCTCGATAAATATAGATATGTTTATTCTGTATGTACAAAAATTAAAAAATGAATGACAAAGGCCTTGTTCAATTTATCTTATCCTTTTGTTTTTTTTTTTATTTTAGGTAAGCGTAATTGAAAATACAGAATATTCAGTTGTAGAACCAATCTATCAAAATGATATTCAACATAGATATCTATATCGTAGACATGGAATTCGATTATTATTCGTTCAAACAGGTGAAGTTGGTAAATTTGAATTCCAACAACTTTTGTTGACATTGGTCAGTGGTATGGGTCTTTTGGCTGTATCGACCATTGTTGTCGATCAACTTGCCATTCGTATCCTTCCACAAAAGAAGACATACAGTTCATTCAAATTCCAAGTTACTGAAGGTCTCAAGGGATCAAAAATGAAAAAGGTTGTTACAAATGATGAAGGTGAAGATATCGTTTATAAAAACATTGAGGACCTTTAGATTTAAATTAATTTACCAGCGAATATCCTTTTTTCTTTGCCCAAGAGAACAATTTAAATAAAATTGTTTCTCCTGAGCTCTCTAATCTATCCTCCTCCTCCTCCTCCTTTTTTATAATAATTATATTAATAATAAATATATTTCTATCTACATTTGTAAATTTATCCAAAACCAAAAAAGATTATCAATCATTTTATATAATTTATAATATTTTAAAAAGTTTTGTCAAGTGATCGCAATTATAATTACAACTAATAATACATTTCCACCATAACCAATGACAGATCTACTTCCTATAAAGTATCATTTAATCTATCTGTTAAAGCTTTTTCCTTGTCAATTAATAAAGAATAATTTTTCTTTAATCTAAATAATGATGATTAGATCATTAATTATTATCCTAATCACATCTTCTTCTTTTCTACTATTTTTCTAACATACGTTTCCTCTTCCAATTTTGAATCCTTTTTAAGTTGTTCATAGTCATTTGTAACATTTGAATGTATTTCTTTAGTTTCTTCCAATTGTTTTGTCAACTCCTCAGTTGATGCCGTTTGATTGGGTATTGTTGATTCATGTGATTGTTGAATCACCTTGATTTGTGATTCCGTAGTATTTGATTTTCTTCTCATTTCATCCAATGTTCTTTGTAGCGTTAATATATCCCTTTTAGTATCTTCAATCTAGTACAATATCAACAAAAATATTAATAAATAAATAATATTAAACCAATCATGGTCCATTACATTTGCAATTGAAACAGCTCTTAATTGACTCAATTTCTCTTGAAGATATTTTAATTCCTCTTTTGCCTTTGTTAATTTCTATAAACGAATCAAGTATACGTAAATGTTAGAACAAATTTGAAAGTACTTTCTTTCTCTGTTACTAGTAGAGAGAGTTTAAACTTACTTCATTACCAACTTCTCTTTCATCTTTGATCAAAGTAATGAGATAATGTAATTTCTTTTCTTTTTCAAAAGCTTTTGCTTCTATATCTTTGGCTTCATCTTCTAACTTTTGAAGGAATTGTTTACCATCTGTGAATTCATTACTATTATTTGTATTATTTGTATTTGTAGACATTATTCGCAAATGATTCAAAACAGAAAATTAAAATCAAAGATGATGTCTTTGTTTTTGATCATTCGATCGATATCATTCATTTAATTTATATTTAGATAAAGATGGATACAACAAATAATGTAAACAAAAAGAAAACTATATATGTTGGAGGTCTTGAAGAAAGTGTAACAGTTGATATCATTACAGCAGCTTTCATTCCATTTGGAGATATAGTTGATATCATTTTACCAAATGATCATAAAAATCGTATGTACACCATCAAACAAATCAAAAGTATACTTTGACTAACTCTAGAGTCTCTTTTATTTTAGATAGAAACAAGGGATATTGTTTTGTAGAATATGAATCATCTGAAGATGCAGCAGATGCTGTTGACAATATGAATGAAAGTGAACTATATGGTAAAACCTTGAAATGTGTCATTGCTAAACCAAATACTATCGATAAAAACAAATCATGTATGTTACAACATGTATACTCTCTCTGTTAGTAGCATACTAACATGCTTTCTTTCTTTCTTTCTTTCTTTCTATCTAGTATGGAGTAATGAAAAGTATCTAACTGAACAAAATGATGAATTGGATAAACAAAAAGAATTTATTGAAGAAAAGTTAAAAGAAGTTGCTCAATAATGAGAGTATAGGTTGATAAAACGATGCAAACGATAATCACAATCAATCCATAACCTACTGACCGAAAACACATTCTAAACAACTATAATATTATTGGATCAATAATCATAATCAACAAACGCGCAAAACACACATATAATCAATCTATGGTGAGATTCAAAACGATAGATTAGAATGGTATTTCTAGAAATCTACCATTCTTTTTAAAAACTTTGGAATTTGTATAAACATTACATTATTTCTCTTTTTGTATATAAGATATATATATTAATGATCATCATCATCATTATCTTCGTCCTCTTTATTTTCTTGATCACTATCATCATTTTCACCAGAATCTTTAAGATATTGTTCCCAAACCTTTAATCTTTGTTCTTTTTCCTCTTCCGTTTCCTCTACATGATAATCTGTAAAACCATCATAAAAGTCTGCCGTTAATTTTCTTTGAGCAAAGTATCTGCCTTCCATCAATGCAACACATTTCTCTGCTGCTTCAAAGTCTTTGAATTTGATGGTTGCAACACCATCTGGATTTCTTTCAAAAATGGTAATCGATTGAATTTCTCCACATCTCTGACATCCCATTTCCAAATCCTCTTTTAATTCATCATAAAAGTTTAGATTTGACCATGAATCTTTTGGATCAAATAAATTTTTGATTACAATAACTCTACTTTCACTTTCTCCCCATCCATAATTTCTAAAAAAATAAAGAATAATTAATATTAAGTATTGTGTTCTATATCCTCTCTCTATTCTATGTATAAATATGATTCAAGTTAACTTACAATTCTCTTTTTTTAACAACTCTTGAATCTTCCCTTTTACCCTTTTTGGAAGGTGCTTTTGCTTGAGTAGTTTTGACTTGTTCAGGTGTGGCTTGTGCCAACTTCATTTTATATTTTGGTATAATCTCTGTATCGTCGAGTAGTTGAATGGCAAGATGAATCGATTCCTCCCTTGCATAGGATATAACAGCTTGACCAGTTCTTGCACCACTCTCATCAATAAAGAATTGAATCTTGGGGTCACCATCTGCTGTCTCTTGAATGAAACCAGCTTTTCTAAATGCTTGAAATAGATCATTGACCCTAATGAGTGATGGGTTTGTTGGTAATCCAGAAATAATTAAATCTACAATTGGTTCATTTTCAATTGGTTGTTCTTGTTCATTATTATTATTATTACTATTATTTTGTTGTTGTTGTCTATTTCTATGATTCTTTCTTTTATTATTACCATTATTATTATTATTAATATTTTCTTTGTTATTGTTATTGTTTCTATTATTATTATTTGATGGCATAGGAGCACTAGTACCACCATATGCAGATTGTTGTTGACGAATCATATCATTTGTTATTTTCACTTCCTTTTCCCATTGATTGGTTGTTGTATTGTGTATGTATAATTGACCATCGGGTGCTTTGTATGCCCATTTTCCACTATAAAGAAACACCTTGTTCTCTCCAGATGAAGGTAATGATGATGATGTCGTCGTCGTTGTCGTCGTCGTAGTCGTATCACCACCAACAACCGCAGCACTAGTAACAGCTGCAGCAGATGTATTTGAATCTAAATCCTTTTTGTTCTTTTTAATTACATTTCCTTCTTCATCTTCTACTTCTTCTTCAAATTCTTCATGTTGTAATTTGTTACTCATATTATTCTATTGTTTCTTCTTATTCTTCTTTCTGTTTTATGATTAAAATGAGTTTGGTTTGATGTTCAAAAGTATCGAGATGAGTGCTTTGAGAAAAAAATCACAGATTGATGAATTTTATTTATTTACAGTTAAAGGTGGATGATGGTGATGAAAAGTCATGAATGTTATATTTAATCCTTTTTAGAAAGAATGATAAAGAGTGGGAATGATAACTCTATTTCAGTATTCTCATCGGTCGTGTTGTAGGCATTGAGTAATTGCTCCTTTAAACTTGGTAACTTGCATTCATTTGTCTTTAAGTATTGGTTGTATCCACTCCAAGTAGAATAGTAACCAATCATATCACCAATACTTAACTTTTTCTAAATATTAATAATAATAATAATAATAACATATATGAATGAATGAATGAATATTAATATTTGTTTGGTTTGTTTGATTGTTTGTTAATTCAAACTTTGGTGGATGGTAGGTAGGGTAGGGTAGTTACATTAAAACTTGTATTCTTTCTAATTGTGTTACTATAGGTTGGAATGATATCAACGTATTCACGATCAACAAACTTTCTATTTGATGGCCAATACTCATCACCTAGAGAATCATAAAACTATTCAATCCAGGTTAATAATACTATGTTGTACAACATTAAAGTGTTCTATTATTATTTACATACATGACGATGAATTTGTTGTGCTTTATCATTATTGACAATTGAACAAGTACCATAACCCCAAATGATAAGTGAACCAGTCTTTGGTTTAAGTAATCGTTTTGTTTCATTGTAGAATGTTGGTAGATCAAACCAATGAACTGCTTGTGCCACTGTGATTAAATCGACTGACCCATCAGGATGCCAATCAATCTTTTCAGCAGGTGACACTCTATACTCTACACGAGGATGAGGTTGTGCACTTGTTATTTGACCTTCTGACGGATCAAAACCAATCACCTTTTCATACATGTCTGCCAACTTTACAGTTGCTTGTCCATTACCACATCCAATATCAAATGCTAATTGTCTTGTTGTATCACTCTGAGTGTAATCTCTAATAATATCAAATAATTCATTTGGGTATGTTGGTCCTAAAGTAATATATATATATATTAATCATCATGATCTCTATCTCTATCTTTCTATCTCTCTTTATCTTTGCTTACTAAAAGTAAGGTATTTAGAAGAAACTTTGCCAAAATGATCTACAAACTTTGGTGCCATTTATATAAACACAATCGTATAATTAATTACGATGAACAGTTAATCTCCAAAGTATCTCTAAACAACAAAAAAAAAGGCTGCAAAAGAATGTCGAGTGTGATGGAAATGGCAAAAGCAGAGGATGTGAAATTTTATTTAGGAGGGATGACGGTTTAAAGAAGGGTGGGGAAGGACCAAAAAAAACAAAAGGTCATCATTTAAACGATGATTTTCTTTCTTGTCGTGAAGATCTTGATATCATTCCAAAAGACATGGATACCACCTTGATTATTCTTAATTGAGTTATTCATGTGGAGGATTGGGGGTGAGATAGGGAGAGTCATATTTGGAAGCCGAGAGAGTCCAAAAGGTAGAAACTCTAAAAATGGATTCATATTTGTGAAACGTTGGGTATTTTTGGGAGCATAGGATACAACCTGGAGGATTTAATCATCATCATCGCTACCACTTTGTTCATTATTATCCTTGTCGCTACTTTGTTGTTGTTGTTTGTTATTGGAAACCTTAGTATTTTTTTGTTTCTTTTTCTTTTGCTCCAAGTTAAAATTTTGACTATGTTGTTGAAGTAATTTTTTTTGTCTTTTTAGAAATTTCTTTCTTTCCAACTATAGTAAAAAAATAAACAAACAAATAAAAGAATGGAAGGAAGGATGGAAATAAATAAATTAAGTTTGATTGATGGATAAATTTTTTTTTTTTTTCTATTTTTTATGAAATAATTACTCTTTGTAATAACCTAGATCTTAAATATTGTTTAAAACATTTACAACAGACATGGTCATTGTTACTATTAACATAACAATCTGTAAAATGAGCTACTTGTTTACATTCGATACACCTATAAATCAATGACAATGGACTACTCTCTCGACTATTTTTTGTACTGCTACTATTACTACTACTGCCATTATTATTATTATTAGAGATACTACTGGAACGATTTTCAGTTGTTGAACACATAATTGGAATAATTAATTTATGATCGATTCCTTTTACAAAAAAATATTAATAGTAGTAGGAGGAGGAGGAGGATCAAAAAAATAATTATTTTAAATATATTTAATGATTATTCGTCTTTTTGAATCTTGTAATTGGAGATGTGTGTTGTGATCTTTCTTCTGTTGTTACTACTACTATTATTGAATTGGAATATTAAAAATGAACTTTTTAATCTTGATGGTTGATATCGATTGACAAGAAAAGGAAAAAAAAAGAATTGAAAAAAAAGGATGATATTATGGATATCGTGTACCTGTAGGTATCCCGATACTTGATGCAACAAGTAAGGTTGTTGTTGTTGTTGTTCCTGTGAATATGTAAGAGAGATAAAATTAGTGCTTGTCTTGCCCTCTCATTCCCTCTCCTTCACCAGACTACCTACCCCCATCCTCTGTTTCAAATGGTAAGTATCCGTGATGGACAACAATAACAAAAGAAGGTTCTTTCTTTTTTTAATCGGGTGGCCAGCTGGTTGGTGGTTGGTTTGATGCAGTTTAACTTTTCGACGATGGTACACACCCATTCGACAGTGAGTGGGATGGATAGATAGATATCATCGTTGCCGCCTCTCTTCATAGTGTTGACCACTTTTTCTTTTTTTCACCGTGACGGAATCCGTCATGATTCATTCATTCTAGGTTTGGTCGAAACAAAATGACAATTGTCAGATCTTTGATGGAGGAAAGGAATCTGTTGGGGCTGGTGTCTTGTCGATTGCAAAAATAAAATAAAAAAAAGTATAAAAATAAAAGATATGGTCTCTGCGCCCAATAAGATTGCAAGGAAAAAAACTAAAAATAGCCTCACAATACAATCTGGTGTTGTCCGTATATGAACCCTGAAAATAGAAACAATGGTCAAAGCACAAAACAGAAAGAGTAGTAGGCTGGTTGGGATGAATAGACTAAAGGTGCAAGAGGGCTACCCTCATCCATGCTGAAAATAGTTTGAATTGATTGAAATTCCAATCACTTGAATGGACTAAAAAATCATAAAAGGTTTAAGAATGATGATCTTCCAAGTCGGTGGTTGTCATGACTACTTGTGTTGAAGGGGGTAAGAAGAAAATGACTTGTTTAAACGACTTTTACTAAAATTGTCGTTTTGTGGAACTCCCGTCCAAGATATTTCAATCAACACATGGTTAACCACAATCCAGAAGAGTTTGATGTATGAATGGTTGTATATGTTATGTATTGTTTTTAATTTGTTTTTTTTTTTTTTTTATTATTATTACAATTGTGGATGATTGCATTTTTTGTTGGTTTATAATAATACATTATCTGGCTCCCCCAACATTGGACTCTCTTTGGAATATTCTAAATAAATTATTTGTTTTGTTTTAGTTGTTATTGTTGTTGAATGATGAATTATGATTTTCACTTTTGTTTTTGGATGTTTTTCTATTCCAAAAGTTTCCATGCATTGGAAACTTTTTTTGAAAACATCTATTCGCTCTTGTGTTGTCATTGTGATTAGTTATTAATTACAATTTTGCAGTATGTGATAGGGTTGGAAAAAAAAAAAAAATGGGAAACGTGTTTGTTGTTCAATATATATATATGGTTGGTATATATTTGTTTGTGTAATGGTTGTAGAATGGAGGTAGGGTAGGTAGGTTGTTTTTGGTTTAATTGTATAAACTATGATTGATGTGACGATGATTATTATTACTTTAAAAAAAAAAAAAAAAAAAAAACATTACATTTTGATTTTGTTTTGATTTTTTTAGAAACCTGAATTCATTAAAGAATTTGTAAGGAAAATCTTTTTAAGAATGTTTTCCATGTTGTCTCTAGTGTCTGCCTTTTTGATGAATGGGTGTTTGAGGAGTTGCTCAGCGGTGGCACGTTCCTCGGGGTCAATCTTGAGACAGAGCGACAAAAAGTCTTTGAAAGTGTCGGACCACAACTCGGGCTCGTCAAAGCCTGTGGCGCCCTCGGTGGCGACCGTGAACATGGCCTTGACGGCCGACTCCATCATGGGTGGACGTTGATTGGCCATTTCCAAGAGCGAGATGGCAAAACTCCAAATATCGACGGGGGTGCCGTGTGGCTTGCCGAGGATCATCTCGGGTGCCATCCAAAAGGGTGAACCAACCATGTGGCAGGGTGGACCCGAGGCCACATCCTCACAGAGACCAAAGTCGATGAGCTTGACCTTGCCTTCGACACTCATCATAATGTTGGCAGACTTGAGGTCACGATGTACCATTTGCTTCTCGTGCAAATACGAGAGACCCTTTAGGAGCTCGCGAGCAACATAGGCCAAGTTATTTTCGTTGAATTTCCATGCCTTGGCGGCCTCTTCAAAGGTACCACCCTCCATAAACTCCATGACCACCCACATGTTTTGGTCCTTGTCGACGTGACAAGTGATGAGCTTGACAATGTTGGGGTGATCGCATTTCGATAGGATCGATGCCTCTCTGTAGTTTTGTACTTGTTGACGCTTGGTAAGATGGGGCATCTTTTTGATGGCTACCAACTTCTTTTCCTTGGTTGAACGGCCAAAATAGACCGTACCAAAACCACCCTTGCCGACTTGGTCGCAATCTCTGTACATCTTTTTGAGTTGGGGTGGTTCGACGTGTTGTATAAGTGTCTCACCGTCATTGAATCGCTCCGAAACCACCTTTTTACGTGGTTCCTTGGGCAACTCACCCTCCACCTTGATGATCTTGCCCGTTCTAAAGTGCAAGACATGTAACAATACTTGTAAATTGGCTCTTAATTTTTCTTCTGGTAATCCCGATATTCTAATTAATTTCAAACAATCTTCTGGTAAATCCTATAGAGTAAAATATAAAAATAAATTAGAACAAAGATAATCTTGGTTTGTTGTTTGATTGATTGATTATTTTTATATACCTCTAAACCCTTGATATATATGATTTCACGTTCAACTTTTTCTTCTTCACGTACTGGCGGAGTCTTTTGATGATTGTTGTTGTTGTTGGCACCTGCAGCCAATGGTTGGTTGTTATTATTATTGTTATTGTTTGATGATCCAGAATTATTGACAGCCTTTTTTTCAGAGGCAGTCTCTTTTTTACCACCAAATGAAAAGAATGAAGTCTTGGTCTTGGTTTGTTTGCGGTCTTTGGTGGGAGTGGTTGAGGTGGTGGTGGTAGTGGTGGATGATGTGGCGGCGGCGTTGTTGTTGGTGGTCGAAGGGGTGGTGGTGTTGGCGGTCGAGGCCGTGGTGGAGGTGTTGGTGGACGACGAGTCTTTGGCGGCGTCCTTGCCGCTGCCGTCGATCGTGTCCTTTCTATGACTGCTGTATTGTTCGGATGCACCTGCCGACGTCGTTCCGCTGGGTGGGTTGTTGTTATTTTCGTCCGAGCAGAATGCTATAAAGCCTTGTGGGCCCTCCTCCTTGATCGGGTTGATATCGTCGATTATCTTGTTGGCATGCTCGTCGTCTTCGGGTGGAGCCATCCCCTCTTGTGTGAGGAAGAAATGGCTCTTGTATGCTTGCTTTGCTTTCTTAAAAAATGATTTCATCGCAAATTTTTGATTAAATCTACTCTCTATAAGTCGTTGTTGGTGGTGTTGTTGTTGTTGTTGTTGTTGTTGTTGTTTAATCTTCCCCAAGCCTAAATATATATAGTACTACTACCTGTGTGTGTGTGTTGTGTATGTGTTTCTATGTTACAATATCAATCTCTCTCTCTCTTTCTTTCTTTTAGTTATAAATGTTTGAGATTCTCGTTTTAAAACAACTGAGGTTTTTTTGGTTTGATAAATCTAGATAAGTCGACGTTTTTTGAAAAGAGTTAGTAAAGAGTAGTATGGGGATGGATTCTAAAAAAAATATTTAAATCTGTCGGTTGGTTGGCGTAGGAACAGTAGGAATACGATTTACTCTCTTTTATAAACAACAACAACAACAACAACAACAACTAAACAACAACAAACAAACAAACTACAGTGTTACTATTGTATTGTATTGTGACTTACTATTACTTTTAAATAATAATAATAATAATATTATTATTATGGCGACTACTATTGTTACACTCTCTCCTCTCTGCTCTTAACGAACGACGATACGACCAAAATTTAATGTACTTTTACAACAAATCAATTGAATATTAATATATAAATGATTGATTGATTGAAAGATAGATATGATATATATATATAAGAATGAAGGAAAAAAAATCCAACATAAATTGGTGGCACCCAAAAGTAAATAAAATTGATTTAGTTGATATGTTTTGTTTGATTTGATTTGATGTGATTGATGAGTTGCTTTCTCTTGTTTGATTTGATTGATGATGATGTTGGGAGAAAAGAAGGAAGGTATTGTATTACTATTACTGTTATGTATGTTTATATGCATGTGATAATAATAATAATAAATGATTGCATTATAAAATTAATTTGACTGTCGCCCACCACCTCTGCTGATTACCCTCACACTCTCCAACCAACCACCACTACCACCACTGTTGTTGGGTTGATGTGTTAGTTTGTGTGTGTGGGATAGGTAGTAGTCAGCATCCATTCATCCACCATACATCCATCGATGCAATGCATCCATTCATCAACAACTCTAACTTTGGCTGGCTGGGGTTGATTGATGGAATCCATTTTTAAAAATAGGGGCTTAATACGTATTAAGAAACCATTAAAATTGGGAGATCTACCAAAGATCATCCATCTTGTTGTTGATGGATTGATGAATAGGTAGATGATAATGTGAGTAGAGTATGGAATGTAAAAATAATAATAAATACACAAACAAAAAAAAGTGTAATATGGATGCAAACTATTTATAAATTAACCTTAAATAGAGAGAGATAATGAATGTCATTTGATTACTTTTTATCGATAGTTGGTTTGTTGTCTGTTTCTCACTCTACTATATTTGGTATAAAGTATAAAGTATGAAAAAGTGTCAAGTCTAGTTAAGTTTTTAAACTTTGAAACTTAGTTAAGTGCCACTTAAACAAAAATATTGTCTGTCTGTCTGTCTGTCTGTCTGTCTATCTGTCTATTGTTGGTGCTTCTGCTATCAGATAATAATATTAAAACAATATAATTAAACAATAAATATCTTCTGATTTGTGATCGAGAAAAAAAGAAACCAAAAAATTAAAAAAATGATATTAAACAACAATCATGATCTGATTGGAATGAATGAACGGACGCCACCCGTCGCCGCGCGCCAGATCTGTGACCTTTCATTCTTTTGGAATCTTTTCATATCCCCTCTTTGCTTGTTTGTTTGTTTGTTTGTTGTCCTACTATCTTTTCGATCAATCAACCCAGTGAAAAGACAGTTTGTGGTGGGTAAACAGTTTGGTTGTCTTTTGCATGAGGGTTGTTGAGACACTCCCCTCACTCTATGTTTTATTTATCGGTCCTACCTCTTTTCCCTGTCTATCTCTATCTCTCTCTTGTTTATCTGTCTGTGTTCTATATATCTGTTTGTCTGTCTTTGTGTCTGAGTTATATATGTATTGTATATAAATAAATGTTTGTTTAAAAATAACGAGAGGGGGTTTCACAGTATGTCTATGCACAAAAAGGGCTGCGGTTGCCATCAGAAAAAAAAAAATAAACATAATATCTTTGCTTTGGGTGGTTGGTTGATGATGGGGGGGTGATAGCAATCATCAATCTTCATTGCCAAGCTCAGTGCATCAGACAGAGAGCAATAGCACAGAGATGGTGGCTATAGGGGTCTCATTCGAGTATACTCGTTTAAATCCAGCCAATCTCGTGTGTGCATCGTTTCTTTAAAAGGTGAAAACAATCACGTGCTTTTAAAGAGATACTACAAATATTTGGATTACCTTTTGGATTTTGATGAACAATTGATCTAACTGATTATCTTATCTTGTTTGTGTGTTTATATAAATAAATTTAAAAACTAATAATATAATAATAATAATACTTTTGACGAATGAAGTTTAAACATAAACAACGTTAGAGTCAGTTTGTCTCACATGTGCATGGTTGGGGAATAATGCACAGCTTGAAAGCTCCACCACTCTTCTATCTTCTGATCAGTGGCTTGGTCACACATAAAACATGTGACCAAAGACCCTTTGTCTTTGCCCACTAGAATGATCATTCCTTCAGTGCCTCCCCATTAATCATGTCACATCTTCAGATGGAACCGCTGGTATGGAGCCAACGTTTTTTTTGATGCTAAAAATAGGATCATATGGATCTCTAAAAAAAAAACAAAGCCCCTCAGACCCCAGGTAATTTTTTTTCCAACGATTCATTCGTGCATTGAATCTTATGATCATAGTAATAACAATTTTTTGAGGATATAAATAAATAATTTAAATAAATAATATAATTCAATAATTATGAGAATATTTTGCTAGTTAAAAAAAAAGAGGTATATATTTTATATTTAATACCAATTTGTTTGTTTGGTTTGATTTTTATAATGGTTCAAGTTTTGAAATTGGTAAAACTCGTGTTTTACGCCAATAATGGAACTCATTCCATTGCTCGTCGACCGAAGTTTTGGCATGTGGGAACATGTCTTGTACGAGGTCATTAAGTTTGGTGTAGCTCTTGTTGTAGGTGTTGTTATTGGTGTTGATGATACCATCATGGTTGATTGTGAATATTTTGCCATTTGGGATGCCCACGGCGTTGTAGGCAGTTGCATCGGTCGATCTATTGCCAAATCCAGCATAAAAGGGCTGTGATCCGGGTGGAAATATGTTTTGGATGTCTTGGAGACAGGCAATCTTGAACTCTTCGGGGTTTTTTTTGATGACTTCGCGGTTAAACGATGTCAAGAGACGATTGGGTGACATAAAGACAGGTCCCTCTGGCAATGTGAATAACCCTTGTGCCGAAGATGATGAAATTCCGATTACACCACCACCACTTGCCAAATTACTATTGTTGACTGTTGTAGTGGTGGTAGTTGTAGTAGTTGTAATGACAACAGGTGGTTGAATAACAACTGGTGTTGGTCCACCAGAAGTAGAAGAAGAAGGAGAAGAAGTAGTAGTTGGTTTAGCTGCTGCTGCTGCTCCTACAACAATCGATGATGGTTGTAATGGTTGTGGATGTTGAATCATACCACTATTATTATTTATATTATTCGAAACAATGATTGTTGCATTATTATTATTATTATTATTAGGGTTAGTACTGTTATTATTATTATTATTATTATTATTTTGTTGCAATTGTAAAATTTGAAGATGAACTTTGTTTAACTGATGAAATATAGGTACGTGTAAGACCTGCTTGGCCAATTGCACGACTAGTAAGATACATGATATTATAACCATTTTCCTTGATATTAGAGTAGAGTTCGGCGACACCCAAATGCGACCAATCCTTTCCAATCAGAGGAAGAACCTGGCCGAGTGCATCCGACTTGGTGATGGTTCCATCAATGTCGGAAATGACAATCTTGGAGGTATTGTCCCAAAAGTAGACAGATGCAGACACCTCTCTTGTGCCTTGGAGTGTACTCGACACGACAAATGTAATTCGATTGGCACCCTTTTGCAATCCCAACGCCTTTAATTGATCAGAGGTTGGTCTGAGTGATTTCTTTATATATCCACTCGATCCCTTTTGTGTAACGATTACATCGGTATTGGTAGTTGGATTAATCGATCCAATTGGTGGAGATGTAGTTCCTGCTGTAGTAGGAATCTTATTGTTGGTGTCTACTACTGCACCACTGACAACAATACCTGGTTGTTGGGTGGCAGAGGTAGTAGTTGATTTCCAACTCAACCAACTCTTCCAAGATTGTTTGCTGCCAGCGGTGGTTGGTTTGGTGATTTGACGTTCATCCTTGTCTTTGGTGACGAGACATTCGATCGACTCTTTGGGAAGAGATCGGTTAAACACAATTTGAGTCATGATGATGTGACCGGCAACCGACCATGGATAAAACTCTACACCAATCTTGGCCACCAAATGTGGGTTTTTAAAGATACCAGCATCATTGCACAACTGCTCAAAAGTGACAATATGTTCATTAAAGAATTTCTCTCTTTCTTCTGGCCAATCCGATTGAAGACTTCTATCTAAAATCAAGTGACCACAAAGTGAAAGTTTAACAATTGGTAAACTTTCAGTTTCCTCTTTTGTCAATGGTGATGTAATAGTTGTTGTTATTGCTACTGCAGAGGTTGCAGATGTAGCATTTGAAGTACTAGTAACAGCTGCTGCATTTGTTGTAGTTGTAGTAGTTGTAGTTGCAGTCAAAGGGACAGGAGATGAAGGACGACTATTTCCAGTGGTTTGTTTTTGTTTCATTGCCAAATGTTCAATATGATTATGATGATTTGCTTTGGATGCAAATGATGAGTTTGGTGATGATGAATAGGTTACATTTGCCAATGTTGAGTTTGATGGTGTATTATTTGGTGTTGGTATGGGAATCATATGATTATTATGATGATTTCCATTCATATTCAAAGAGGGGAATTCATGTTCATCTAATTGTACCAATGGTGACGGTGATCTTTCCAAAGTAGATTTACCATTTAGATTCTCTTTTACAATAGCTGCAAAACTTTTATCTGCACTAACATCATAAATATGAGATGACTCTTGAGGAGATTGGTTATTTACATTATTATTACTATTATTATCATTATTATTGTCTACTACTATTGTTGTTGTTGTTGATTTGTTGTTATCTTGATCATCATTTAATTCTTTAATTCTAGATTCCTCTTCTTCTTCATCTTCATCTAATAAAAATATTCCACTTTCACCTTCACTATTTCTAATGTTGGTGTTGTTAATGTGAAGGGTGGTGATGTTGCTTGAATCTATTATAGATTGGTCAGTACTGTTGTATGCTTTGGTTTCAGAGTCCATAATCGATGGTGGTGGACTATCCATTGATTTGACCAAAAAGGAGGGTTCTGCTTCCTTTTTGTTAAACATTTTCGTCAAGAATCCCATTCTACTCCATGATGATCCATCACCAGAAATGGTAGCAGTGTCTTCATTACTACTACTATTTGATGCTTGGTCACTATCACTTGTTTCACTTGTCGTCGTCATTCCAACTACTGGAATATTATTAGTACTACTTGTACTAGTTGTAAGTATTGTAGATGATGATTCAAGTACAATTTCTTGTTGTTGTTGTGGACTAGTTGGAGTTGATAAAGAGGTACCACTAATACCACTACTAGAGTCTTGATCAAAGTTGTCTGATAACTTTGATTGATTTACAGTTGCTGATGCAGATTTGGTTGAACCTGTCAATGATGAAGATGATAATGATGATGGCAATTGAGATGGCAACGAAGAAGAAGCAGCAGATGTAGTTGTTGTACTAGTAGTTAATGTAGTAGTTGTCATGGTTGTAGTTGTAGTTGTTGAAGGTGATGAAGGTCCAGTTGTATTTGGTAAAGTAGCTACTGTAGCTGTAGTTGGTGCGACAATAGCGCTAGAAGCAGGTTGTTTGTTTCTTCTAAATATTGGTAAACCACCCCATCTCCAAAATCCAACTTTTGGTTCAGATTCAGTGTCTGATGTCGACGATCCCTCTGATGCAATGGCAGATGCCGATGGATTTGGAAGCATTTCCATTGGTTTTGGAGGTGACAGACTACCTACTGGTGATTGACTATCCTGTGGTTGTGGAGGTGAAAGTTGTTCAGCTTCACAATTAATAATAAAGCTATTCAGTGGTGAATCCATTGTAATATCCTCTGATCCTTCAAAATAAATTGGTGATGATGTTCTTTTTGGATCAACTAAATTAAAAGATCAAAAAAAAAAAAAAGTTAATAAATAATCATATAAATAATAATTATTATTTAATACTAATCAATTAATTACCTTGATTCTTTTTAGTTGGGGTTGTAGGTGAAGTTGTTGTTGTAGCAGTAGTAATAGGTTTGAAACCAGTTGTTGTGGTTGGCTTTGATTTATCTTTATCTTGACTTTGAGATTGTTTATGTTGAGCAATAATCATTTCTTGAATGGCATCTGTTAATACTACTGGTTTCTCTGTTGGAGTTGCGGGAACAGTCGTGGCAGTCGTCGTAGTGGTAACGACAGCTGCCGGAGTAGTTGGAGTTGGTTTAATGATTGGTCGAGTCATGATTCTAGTGCTTGTAAATTCGGGTACCAACTCTTCGGTCGATTGTTTGATGATTCTGCCAGGCTTGGGTGATGTGATGGGGGAAGTGGCGAGGATGGAGGGTACTGGGTCTTCAGTCTCCTCGACAAAGAATGCCTCGCCAGCGTGACCAAGCTTCATTTGCAAGTCTGCCTTTTTCTGATTGACATAGATTTGAACCACCTTTTCCGAGCTGCTAATCAACTGCAGCTTACCAAAACGTACATGAAATGGTGTACACTTGAGTGTTCCATCGGGCTGAGGAATCACCAATATATCAATCGCACCACTAAGTGTAGCTGCATTTAAATTGAATACATAATGAACTCCATCAACAAACTTTTCAACATAATTCATCCTACATAGAATAAATCAAATCAAATATATTAATCACCCTACTCTCTACTCTACTCTACTCTTGCTCTATCATCTAACTTACTTTTCAGCGGCGGCGGCGGTATATGTATATTATGTATGTATATATGTTGTTGAGGGTAACAAATTACTCCTCGTTAGAGGATAATAATACTACTAAGTACTTTTGGTGTATAGAGTATGTATGTTTTAGTTGTCAATATCTCTCTTTCTCTTTGTCTCTTTTTGTTATCTATCTATCTATCTATCTATCTATATATGTATGAATGTAAATAAATATGAATATAATATATAATCGTGAATGAATGAGTCGGCGATGAAACCAATGAAACTGAACTGAATTGTGATGTACAGTAGTTATTATTCTACCTCTTCTACTCTTTTTTGTTTTTAATCTATCGGATTGAATTGTATTAATTCTATCTATCTATTCTATTCTATTCTATCTATCTTTTTTCTGTCTTTCTGTCTTTTGGTTTGATGTGTGTGTGGAGGAGGAGGTAGGTAAGAGATAAACCACACAGATATAATTGATAATTCGGGTCGACAAAAAAATAAATTAAAAATCCACTATTCAAAAAAAACAATAATAATAATAATAACTGATAGAGGTGAGGTGGAATCAGTTTTCTCTTTTTCTTTTTTTACTTTCAAACTTGGTTACCTTTGTCCAAAAGGAGACGAAGGAGAGAGAGAGAAACTTTGTCCCTTTTTTGTTTTATCAACCAACCAATCCTCCCTTGCCTGGTTTGGTTCAACAAATTATCGACAAATTATTATTATTATTGGTGGTTTATTAAATATCGAAAATCCCAGTTATGTGAGTGTCTTGTCAAGGCTGTGTTCTCTTCCCCTTTGTCGGGATTTTAAATTGACCGACATCCGACACTGCCGTTGTAAATTTCATCAAAGTACTCCTCTATAATAATAATAATAATAATGTAATGATTACTTTGATGTTTGATGTTTGATGTTTGTTATTACTCTTTTTTAAATATGAACATGTATGTATATTATACTCTCTATACTAACTAACTTTTACATATGTATATATTAAAAAAACGACAACGATGATTAATGCAATTGCAATTGTTGTTGGGACAACAAGATGTGATGATTCATCACAAAAAGTTGAATTTTCCATCATGGAAAATGGTTTTTCCCTTCAACTTTAAAAAAATCTCAGTATAGTTTGAATGAACAGATGATTCATTGATCACATGATCGATCTCTAAAAAAAGATGTAATGTTTTGGTTGGGTGTTTATTTATTTAGGAAAGATAATATTTTGATTTTATTTTAAAATAAATAAAAATTCATTATAGTTATTATTATTGTTGGAGGAGGTGGAGAAAAGAAGGGTAGGGGATGATCATATTCACAATTTATATTTGTTATGTTGTTGAAAGAGAGGAGGAGGGATATTATTATAAACAATGTTAATTATTTTTTATGGATATTAAATACAGGTGTTCCAAAAAATAGATAGATATTTTTTAAAAAAACAAATAGGGAAAATATTGAATTTACAATGATGGTGTGATATTATTATTGATATTATTATTATTAATTATTATTATTTCATTCAGTTTTTGATATTTCTTTCTTTCTTTCTTTCTTATTCATCAACAAATTCATAATATTTTTTCTGTTTTCTTAGTCTAAATGTAACACCGATACAAATAAACATAACAGTCTCTACCAATAACATGAAAAACTCAAATACCCAACCAAATGGGAATGCTGCTGAAAGGAATTGAATCACAATCACACAAGTTAAATATACCAACATAATCCATTTAAATGCACTAAAAAATATTAAATAATATTAATATTAGTTTTGATCAGTAGATCTCTATTTCTTCTTCTTCTTATTTTTTTTGTAATACATACACAAACATATGAAGTTTATCATTTAAAAGTGAAAGATTTAATGCCTTGTCATCATCACGTGTAGAGTTTGGTTTGGCAGTATTGATGTCTTGTGAGGGAGCCTCTGGATCTTTTTCAAGTGTTGGATTTGGTGGAATGGTTTGCATTTCATGCTCATGAGCATCCGATGATGACTGATCAACTGAAACACTCTTTGCATTATTATTTTGAGCTTCTGCAATTTGTGCACGCAATAAACGAACATTTGCATCAGACTTTACAAAAATAATACAAAGAACTGGAATATATACTACAAATGATAAAATCTATAAACAAACATAAATTAGATTAGATTAGAGGAGGTCAACAAATATATAAATATATTATTTTCAATATCTTTTTTTTTTACATACAGTAAAGAAACCACCTAGGAAAGCACCCAATGCCAAAGTTGCAGTTAATAAAATAATGATAATATACAAAGCCTTTCTAAGATGTTCGAATCTTCCTTTACAAATACCCCAACCCGTTGCAATAAACAATAAAACAACACAGGATATAACCTTGAAAATGATATAAAAGATCCAATAAAAGATGAGAACGCCAATACCAACGGCTCCATACGATTGTAGGTATCTCCAATACCCCAAACTATAAACAATCATTGATAACTTTGAAAATGGATAAAGTGTAATGACTTTGTGTAATTTAACATTTTGCTACAATCGGAAATGGAAAGTATATATATAAGTATGATATTACAACCCATATAATATTATGTCTTCTTACATTTCTATTTTGAATCCAATTGATTGACCACAAAGCAGTAAGAAGTACCCAAATACCAGTGAATACCATCAATATGATTGGAAGTGGAATGAATTGATAAGAGAGATGATTACCACCGGGATTATAGAATGCATATGATACTGTATAATAATAGGTTGCATCACATTGAGTAATCACAAAGAAATAATAGTCTGTATCTTTAATTGATCCCTTAATGTGACTGATACTAGAATTGCTACTACTATTTAATTGTTGTGTAAATGTACAATTTGGTTTCAATGTACAATAATTATCAAATTTCTAAAATAGAAAGAAAAGTATATAAATATATAAGAGTACAAATTCAATTGATCGTTTGAGTGATGATAATAATAAAACATACATCATTGTATTCTTGTTGAGTACAAGCCATGAATATTGGAGGTGGAGAAGAGTCACTTGGATTTTCAACCTGTATGTTTACATCAAAGTAGCCACCAGAGAGGAAACCAAAGCTACCAATATCATTGACATTATACTTTCCCTTGAACGAATATGGTTCTTGATAGATTGCATCTACCATCGCATCGTGATGACAATCATCCCATACAACCAATAGTACCAATAATACTATCAACAGTTTCGTTGGTTTTACCATACTTGACTGTCTATATATATATCTCTGTATCTATCTCTGTATCTACTCTATCTATCTTTTGTAATTGTACAGTCTATTATTATTATTGTTGTTTGATGTCAGGTGGTTTCGATGATTCTAGAATGATGATGATGATAATGACAGTTGTAAAACTAAAAACTAAACTATAAATATGAAGAAGAAGAAGAAGAATAATAATAGATACGCGCTAAAATAGAATAAATAATAAATAATAAATAGATTGAGTGAGTGAAGGGTTATAAAAATAATGCTCCAATAATACAACAAACATACAAAAAGCGATTGATGCAAACCAACTTATTAAAAAATTTAAAAAAGGGATAAAAAGCAGTCTACTTGCACCAAATTTTTCTTGTAACCGCTGGTTCGCGCAAGTGTCCGATTTAGTATTACGATTCTTTCTTATTATCTCTTTCTCTCTGTGATTAACACTTTAATACCTATAACTCTATAAGAAGAATAGGGTTCAAAAAAAGAAAAGAAACAACTATAAAGTATGTCTGTCTGTCAAAATGAATGATGATAAGGATAGTGATGTGTTTGTTCATTCACGAGTTTTATACTTCGAGACCAACTCCACCTTCCTTCTCAAGAACCCTTTCTCTTTCTCTCTCCCTCTTTCTCAATATATATACACATTTTAGTTTAATTTAAATTATTTAATTTATTATTACTTGTTTTGGTTTGAATAGGGTGTGGAGGGAAAAAGTACTACTATGGATACAATGAAGAACTATTATTATTGTAAGTGTCATCATGATGATGATGATGAACATTCTCCGAGTCTTGTCCATCACCACTTTCATCTTGTTGTTGGTCCTTTTCACCATCCTTTTCCTTTTCCCTTTCCTTTTGTTTTTGGGAATTAGTATTATTGGTATGATGGGCAAGATTAGTCATTTGTATAGAGTCTATTTGGATGTTTGAAAAGTGTGAAGAGTCGTTGGTGGTAGTTTCATCGTCATCGTCTTCATCGAGATCGACCACCTCGTCGACATCGCCTCCATTCTTTCTGGTGGTGGGAGTTGGACGCGAGTGAGGACCCGAGTTGGTTTTACTCTTGGGTGTGTAGGACTTGGAGCGAGGCGATACTGGCGTCTCCCCACCGTTGGTGTTGTTTCGCGATGCACGCTTATTGACTGGTTTCTTGTGCAACAAAAATGCTACACCCATCTCTAGCACCACAAAGATGACAGTATCCAGAATACGGAACCACCACAATTCACCCGTTGTAATCAATACAACTGTCGATAAATAGATAATATGAGTAATTAAAATAATTACTAAAATCAATGATATAAATAAGATCTAAAAAAGTAAAAAAGAAAGAAAGAAAGAAATAGTTAGCGAATTTATATATCTGGATAATTACAAATTTCTATATATCTACTTACTCTATTATTTAAAGAAACAGAAGAACCTCTAGAACTTAACCAAAGAAGTACACCAAATACCAAAAATCCAAGTGCCAAGATAATGGTGTAACCAATGAGGAAACTACCATAGACATATCGAGAAAGGAACTTGAATTTGTTGATATCGTTGATCATAAAATGAGCCATCGAGATGATAAGTGAGATATAAAACAATTGGATGGTGCCAAAAATATAGGTTGTAAAATGGTTCCATTTGAAAATGGCTTGTTTGACCTTGAAGACATTGTGGTAGAGTCTGATCCATAGAATAAGCAGCAAGGCATACGTCAACAACATCAGCATTCTCGAAAAATAGTAAAGGAATAAAAATGCTCCTGCCTCTTTTGCTCTTCTTGGATCATCAAATGCTTGATAATCAAACATTGATGTTACAATATATCTGCCTAAATAGGGAAATTAACAAGTTAGTACAAAAAAAGAATAGCGGTATATATATAAATTCCATTACTTACAAAACATTGCTCCCAAAAGAAAATAATAAATAACAGTTTTAAAAGTGGTAAATCCTTTGGTTGCATATATTTGGTTGACTGTGATATAGGTCAAAAACCCTATACAAGGGATTAGACAGGCCGTATATACATAGGAAGCTATACATTGTCTAAAGGAAATCGCAATCACATACTCTTCATCAAATGGAGTTGGAGGTCCAATAGGTGATAATGATGATAATGATGATTGTGATGATGACATCCTTTTAAAATTATCTAAAAGTATAGATATAATACTCTTTAATTTTCTATTCCTATTCTAATTTCTAATTATATTTTTTTTATAATATTCTATTCTATTCTATAATTTTAAAATCTAGGTAACTAGTTTAATTAATTAATTATTCTTTCTTTTTTTTTTTTTTTAGAAATCGATATCCAATCAATATCTTATTTTTACAAAAGAGAGAAGAGGATAAAGGAACAGAGTGAGAGTGGACAAGTAAGTGGATAGATGATGTATGGGAATAAATCAAAACCAAAATATGGTTAATGTCGATGGTTGATTTAAAAATATTATATCAACAACAACATTATAATTATAATTATTATGTTTTAGGGATGGGTAAGATTACATCCTGACCATCATCATCATCATCATCATCGTCACCACCAAGTCAAGTTAACAGGCCAGAACCAGTTCCTCCTCCTCCTCCTCCTCCTCATCCTCACACCTACTACTACTACCTACCACTCTATTAAAACAGTCGTAAATCAAAAGTCTACAAACACACTCCCCTTTCTCTCTAGAGTTGGAGCATAGGAGGAGAGAAGGAACAACGACAAGACAACCAACTCCTACTCCTACTATACAAATTACCCAAATTAAAAATAGACGACGATGATGATGATTTAATTAATAAATCAATTTAATCAATCATACAAGTAGCATAGCACAGACAGATAGATAGATGGGATCACCACAACAATAACAACAACAAAAAATATCACTTGCCCATCAAATTAAAAAAAGATAATGTAAGGGTTGAATCATCCATCCCTATCTTTATTTTATTACCCCATACAGGTAGGTAGGTGGAAATTGAATCCTAACCCAAATAATACCAAAAATCATAATACTGTCAATAATGTAATCGGTTTCATCCCTTTTCTATTAATCTTTGCTTTTTGGGGGTATGTTTGTTTGTGTTACCTTTATCCCTTTTAGGGGTGGGTGGTATAAAAAATCTATTCACCACCCATTTCTCTCTCTCTTCTCTCAATCCCAATCCATGGGAAATTTAATATTGAAATAGGGATAGGTGTCACTGTTTAGATGGGATGATCGTGATCGTGATCCATTTCTACTTTTTAGTACTATTCTTTTTGTTTGTTTTAAAAATATTATTTTTTATTCCTCTCTTTTGCAACAACTGGTTGGTTGTTGTTGTTACTGTTGATTAATATTTAGATCAACGTACTGATTCGCTTTTATTATCATCATCATCATGGTCACTATTATTGTTGTTGTTGTCTCCATTCAAATTAATATCATTATTTACATTTAAATATGACGTTGACGACAATTCTGTCAAATTTGATTCAATGATTTTCTCTGCTTCTCTTGTTATTGTCGATTCTTCATCTTCCTCTTGATGTTCTTCTTCTTCTTCATCTTGTTTCATTGGGGTAGTTTCTGATGATGATGGTGATGATGGTGGTTGTATTATTTCGGATGATGGTATGGTTTCAATATCTTTATCCATCTCTACCACCTCCTCTACCACCTCATCCTGCTCCAATACCACCAATGCTTCCTCTTCCAATTGTTGTTGTTGTGGTGTTGGTGGTTCATTAATATATTGTATACTATCCATACTACCCATATTGAGAAGGGGTAGTTGAGAACTAGATGTATCAATCAAAAAGCTTTGGGTAGAGATGCCAAGTTCGGTTTTGCAGTCAACATCATATGACGTGGATGAATTAAAAGTGATCAAATCACTTTGGCTTGTTGATATGGCTATACTCTGTTGTTTTGATTGTTGTTGTTGTTGTTCAACAAGAAGGTTATTATTGGATTCATCTTTCGTCGGTATTGATTTACTTGTATCACTATAAATAAAATAATCGTCACATGTATTTGTACTTGGAGCGTCATCACCTTGTTCCTGTTCTTCATCATCATCTATTTTATCTTCTTCTTCTTCTTCTTCTTCCTCTATTTCATCTGGTTGTTGATTGCTAATATTATCATTGAGGATTGGTAAATCTGATGTAATGGTTTTATCTGGACTATTATATATTGTTGGTGGTTGAAGTGGTTGTTGTTGTTGTTCAAGTACTGTATCAATTAAACTACTACTACTATCTATTTGTTGTAATGTATTTGGTTTTATAACTGGTGAATTATTATTATTATTGTTATTAATATTATTATTATTATTATGTTCTTTAAAAGATTCAAAGAATAGATCAGATTGTCTAATACTATCTTCTTTGATATATTCCTCTGCTTCTTCGAATAGGGCATTTTCATCAGAGATGGTGGTAGTTTGATGGGACAATATCTCTACCCACAATCTGAGGAATGAATAGTTTGAACATTTGAGACAGAATATTCTTTGATGAGATACAATTTCAAAGCAATCGGCACCACCTCCACATTTACATTCTCGAATATAAGCATTGTTGAGATTGATTCCAGTGTTTGTCATTGGATCCTTTGGTGAATCGTAATACCATAATATGTTTTCCCCAGCCTCTTTAAGTGCAAAGTATTTTACTTTTCTCTCTTGTGAATGTTTTTTCTTTTTACCCAAATATCCTCCATAAATTATATTCTAAACAATAAAAGTAAATCAAATCAATAAGATATGTAATGTATATATATGATGTATTCTTATTCTATGCTTACTCTAAAAATATAAAAAGTACCATCATCTCTAAAAACATCTTTAGAGTTTGAAGCAGGAACTATTAAACCCAAATCCATGATTTCTTGACATAATCTAATTGCTTCGTCTCTTGCACCAACCTCTCGTTGACAATTTTTAAGCAACCATGTAACAGCCTCTGATCCAACAAAACAATCTTTAAATTTCTTGAATAATTTAGATCTATCTTTTCTTTCAACTCCATCTTCTTGTTTCATTTTTTGTACAATTATATAAATCTAAAAGTTATAAGTAAGTATTTCTTTTGTTCTTTTCTTTTCTTTTTTGTTTTTTTCTTATTTACATACTTTATCATCACTTATACCTAAAAATTCTTTAAATACATAAAGTAGATTACTATCTCTAAAAGGTTGATCACAATAGACATGTCTAATAATAGATTTATCCAATAGATATTGACCAAGTTGTATACAGTGATTACGTGTAGCACATATACCATGTGTCAGTAGCCATTCAACCATATCAAATCCTGTAAAACATTGTTTATGATATTGAAATCCAGTGTATCTATCTTTAATCGTCAATCCTGTTGGTGGAGTTTTCATCATTGATATAATATCTTTAATCTAAATATAATAATAATAATAATAATAGGAGTAAATAATTATATAGTCGTAGATATAATAATAATATTATTATTATTTTTTGATACAAACATGATATTTTGTATTATTGATTGGAGAATAAATGACAGTTCTATCGGGTATAGAATTTGATGATAATTTGCCAAAATATACTTTTCCAGGTGAAGTTGGTGATGATGGAGGTGAACAAGGTAAAGAATCTGAACTATTTCGATTACAATTTAGATTTCTTCTTTTAGATTCGATATTATTATTCGTATTCGTATTGGGATTATTATTAGTATTTGGATTTGGATTAAAATTTTGATGTTGAAGTTGAAAGTTAGTATTATTATTATTATTATTATTTGTATTGTTATTACAACTATTATTATTATTGATATCTTGATTTGTAAAAGTTGGAGGAGATGAAGTTGAAAGTTGTATACAGTTTGTTTGAACTGATGTCGATTCCATTATATCTTTAACATATTCTTTATGTTCTTGTATAGTGACAAGATTATTATCGCCACCATTACTACTACTACTATCACCCAATTTAATATTGTCTATTAGGTCTACTCCAGCAGCCTCTGTTGTTATCGTCATTGTATCTTCTTTTCTATTGTAGTTTTTACTACTAATGTTATTATTGCTATTGGTATTATCAACGTCGTCACCCAAACTATGAGATAATGGCAGATGATTATGATGATGATGATGATAAGGTGTATGATGATGATTACTACTATAGGTATCTTTCATTGTTGTTATTGCTGTTGTTCCTATAGTTGATGTCATTTACTTGACTCTCAGATATAAATATATATATATATATAGTCCTCTCTATAAATATATTGCTATATTCTCCTCCTTTTTCAAGAAAAAGAAAAGCAAACAAGACTATAGGTCTACAATGTGGATATTTCCAAACACCTTGATAATGGTAGTTGTTGTTGGTGTTTCTATTATTATTATTATTATTATTATTGTTGTTGTTATTATTGGTGTATCGTTTATTTGAACAAATCTGAATCTTTTAAAAGATGAATAGTATAGAAAGTTGACTTGACTTTTAGAATGAGAATGAATGAAAGAGTGAGTGAATTAATTATCTAGTTATTTTGTGTGTGGTTGGTATGTTTTAGCATGCTAGGAATGATTATATTTTTGTTGAATTGATGAATAGATAGATATATGATATGATTATTTTCTACTATTTAACGTTGGGTCGCTTTTACTAAGATAAGATCTATCCACGTTGTTGTTGTTGCTGCTGTGTACAATGTCTAAACAAAGGGAAAGCAAAGCAGCAAACCAAAAATAAAAAAAAGTATAGTTTTTAAAACATTTTAATTGATTTTATTTATTTTAAAATTTCCTTGACAGAATCCCAGAGATTCGAAACAAACAAACAAATAATTACATTTTCTATTTTTTACTCTTAAATTAATATGTAATGTTGAAAATAATCATCATCATCACATATGACCGACCAACTACAACTGATAGATTAACAAATGGGTGGGGGGGGGGGGCATTACTTTACAAAAACAATAATAATAATATCCAAGGAATAAATTATTAATCTAAAGATCAAAGATGGTACACCATCTTCTTTCTTCCTTTGAATTGGCCCATCCTTCCATCTTGCATGATTGTTTATGCCGATGGCGGATTCATAAAGTATATCTTGATCATCGATGCAGATGGATGGTTGTTTGTTTTTAAAGTTGTTGGCTTTGAGCGTTTCGTGATTCCTGCTGAGAAGTGAACAACGACCATTGTGCTAAAAAAAAACTAAAAAATCTTTGTTGGCACTCTCTCCACCAACAAACTATCTCTTTTTTTCGAAAGGTGTTAATATTCCTACTATATCTACTATATCTATCTATCTATCTATTCATCTGCTACCTCCTACCTACCTACCTACCAAACAATAGATTACTAGAGAAACATACTTACAAGTAGACAAGTAGGGTGAAGAGAAGAAAGAAGAAAGAGTAGCAGTGAGCAACAAACATACAGGATAGGGTAGAGTAGCGAGACTACTACTTTAATAGCCTCATCTTTAAACAGATAGCATAGCAGTATTTGATGTAAGTTTAGTCAATGATTTATTATTATTATTATTATTCACGCAGCAGCTGTAGTGGTAGAAAGTAATTCGTAATGGATGAATGGGATCTCTGTTGATGACCCCCCTGTTTATTATATATACTACATACAACACACACACACACACACCTCTCTGAATGAATGCAATAGGATTGTGTGTGTACGCATATGCATGTGTGAGGGGTGAGGCGAGGGTTTCATCAAATCAAATCAGGTCACCACCCTCCCCCTCCCCATAAACACCACCAACACCACAACCACACAATGAACCCCTTTCATCAAACAACCCAAGTTTAAAGTTAGACCAGACCCTATCTAAAGGGGAAACTCTCTTTTCAACTTGACATTCGTTTGAGAGACCAATTCAATCAATCAATCATACAATCATACACCTCACACAACAAAAGTACTACTACTATTTTTGTTTGCTTGTTCTACCATATTCATTCATCTTTTATATCATAATAAACAAAGAAACCAATAGATAGATAGATTAACTATAATATACTATATACTTGTATGTTGACATTGTGTCTGTGTTTCAGACATACAATATAATGAAATGAATGACCTCTCGCACACACACATATATCTGTATTTGCACTCCCCCATTCAATCGATTCAATGCTAACAGATGTTTGATTTACTTTCCATTTTTAGGATGACCCATTAATACTAATAATTAAGAGGATTGAACTAAACTATAATAATAATAATAATAATAATAATAATAACACAAAATTAATGACAATTGAAGAACGGAGGAAAAACTTACAAGAAAATAGTACATACAACAAAAAGATTATAATGGAACCGATAAACAGTTGCAACAACGCTGCTGTTGACAGTGGTGGTGGTGGTGGAAGTGGTGAACAATCTTCATCATCATTAACATCTTCAACCAATATAACTAGTATTGTACAGAAACTAATGAATAATAATAATAACCAAAACAATATAATGAGTGGTCGTGAAGGTGAGGATATACCATCTTCTCTACCATCGGTCAAACTGTTGGGAAAGGTCTATCAGACACAATCCAACAATCACATAAAATCTCAACAAATCCTGGTTGGCAAATCATTTCAAAAAAAGACTACAACCAACGACACTACTACTACAAATGGAGAAAGTACTAGTACAAGTACTAGTCCATTTAAACTTAGAGGTTCTGGTGATACGAATATAATCAATAATAATAATGGTAGTAATGTAGTATCTGATGATACTACAATAACAACAACAACAACAACAACAACAAAATCAACATCTACTACAACCAATATTGTACCACCTTTGAATTTAAATATTGGATCTTCATCCCCTCCAACAGAGACAACAACAACGAATGAAGAACAAAAAGGTGAAAATCAATCTCCATCTTCATCATTTGCATCTACGTCTTCATCGTCGTCGTCATCATCATCGTCGTCTGAAACCAAAGGATGGAAAACACAACATTCAGTTCCACTTTCTCCACCAACAGTATCACGTAAAATAAGAAATAGTTATCGTAGCTCAAAGTTGATTGATAGTAATAGTGGTGATGATGGTGAAAGCAATAATAGTGTTAATAGTGTTGGAGGAGGAGGAGGAATTCCATATTATAATCGATCGATATCACCAACTACTACACACTATATGAATGAATTCCCACCATTGGCACCTGTTCCAGCGAGAAATACAAATGGACAACATGGACAACACCAACAACATCAACAACAACAACAACAACAACAACAACAACATAAGGATATAATAGATCATCCAATAAGTCAATCATATTCAGGGCCATCGTCATCGTCAACGAATAGTAGTGGAGGTGGAGGAGTTGGTGGAGCATTTAAAAACTTTAATCGTAATCATCAAGCACATAGAGTGGCAGGTGATTGGAGAGACAAGGTATTTACCCAGGGTGTAACAGCTAATCTAGACAGAAAAGAGCGAAGAAACTTGTTGATTGGGTCAAGAGAACCATCATTGCTTATGAGTAACGATGTTGATGAGACAGGTGGTCTTACTATAACTACATCGACCATGGATGAAGAAGAAAAAGAGGTACAAAGCTTGGTAGATAAATTTAGAGTTAGAAAAGGATCAAACTCTCGTAAATCTAAACTCACCTCTAAAGATGTAGAATGGATTACAAAGAAATTTGTTGATCAACAAGAAGATAATAATAATAATCCAAAAGAACAGGAAATGGAAAAAGAAAAGGAAACTAACAATAATAATAATGTAAAAATCAAACAACAACAAGAATCAACAACAACAACAACAACAACAACAACTAGTACCATTACGATTACACCAGAAGTTTTAGATATAAAACAATCATTAAATAATGGAAAGAATAATATGAATAATGGTAATATTAATAGTATTGGAAGAAGAAAGAGGGGAAAGACGGTTGCCAACCAGTATGTACGTGCACCCAAGTTGTCGTCGTCGTCGCCGTCGTCAATAGACAGTAGCGGCGAGGAAGACGATGACGACGATGAGATTATTACGCCCATGTCCATGCCGAGCTACCGGTTCCTCGAGGAGGCCGGCAAGCGCCGTTACCTAGTGGCCGAGCCGAGTCGAAAGCCAGGCATCAAACCACCCCTTTTCTTGCACGTGCCGACGGTTGCCCACCCCATCCAATTCCACCAAAGCGCACCTGAAAAGATCAACTCGTCTACGATGTCTGTCGCAGTCGAGGAGAATGTAAATACACCCACTTCCCAGTCGCACCCAACTTCCACATCTCTGCTGTACAATCACCAAATCATTAACCGAGTTGCCCACGATAAGGACTTGTCCTATCAGTTTTTCCCAGCACTCTCTATCTCCCACAAGGCTCCACATCGTCATCACCATCACATGACTATTCTTCAAACTACTCCAAATATTAATAATAATAATAATAATAAGACTGGTGGTGGTGTAAATACTGGTGGAGTTGTAGGTCAAGCCAAACAACCTGCAAAAAACAATGCACTTGGTTTGGGGATCAAGGGGTCGCCAACATCAACGTCCACATCACCGTCGTCTCCATCTGGACTGGACGATCCTAGTTATTTGTCCATGTCGCTGTCTCCCCCATCCTCATCGACTGCACCAATCACAGAGTCTGTCCTCTCAGCCAGTTACACACCACGCACCAATGAAGCTCAACGCAAGAGTTATTGGCCAATCAGGTTTGGTCAACAACCAACTCCAGTAGTCACATCCAAACCTTCTGCCACACAACCAATGGTCAAAGATGGGGATAATAATAATAATAATAATCAACAACAACAAGAGAAACATTTGTTGGCAACATCTCCAGACTCTGCAACTACAACTGCATCACCTGCATCTTCACTTGGATCTTCACCATCAATCACTACTGGTATATCACCAGTTTCCGATTCAAATCATCAATCATCTTCTTCTACTAGTCCTCCAACAGCTCAACAACAAACTACCAACTCAAATTCTACAATACTTAGATCAGATTCACCAATTAATGTAGATAATTTGTATAGAGGTATAGAAGAGGATTTCAAAGATCGTAGTGATATTTATTTTGTCAATAATAATAATCTAATTGGTAATAATGCCAATGGTTCACCAAATGTATTTGCATTGTCGATTCATAGTAAACGTGCCATCAAGATCAAGTGTGGTACTGTCGATGCTTTGGTAGAGGCACTTACACACCATCAACTATCTGATCCCAACTTTGCCGAAACCTTTTTATTGACGTTCAAGACATTTACAACGGCCGATTACTTTTTATCAAGACTTACGTATCGATACGAACAAGCCAGTCATATTGTCGATGATCGAGACCCATCAATGAGTGACGAACAACACCAATCTCACTTGGAAAAACAAACCATTATTGCTCGTACCGTCAAACTACGAGTTTGTAGTATCATTAAAATGTGGATCGATAAACATTTCCATGATTTTGACAAAAGTCCAAAATTATTGGATGAATTGGAAAATTTTGTAACTGGTCCACTTTGTGAAGATGGTATGGAAAAAATTGCTCAAAATATTCAAAGAACTATTCAAAGAAGAGTATGTTAAAGTAGAAAAAAGAAAAGAAAAAAAAGAAAAAAAAGAAAATAGAAATATTAATTTATTTATTTTAAATTTTTCTTTTAGTTGGCAGGAGAACAAAAAGATATAATAATTCATGGTAGAATACCACCAGCAATTATACCAAATTTAAAGAATGAACAGATACCAACATTATTTGTATTTGATGATTTGGAGATTGCAAGACAATTGACATTGATCGAACATGAATCCTACTCGTTGATTAAACCATACGAGTGTGTAAATTTAGCATTTAGCAAACCTGGAAAGGAAGAAAAGGCACCCAACATTTGGAATATCATCAAACGTTCAAATAACATTCCACTTTGGGTTGCCACCGAAATTGTACAAGAAGAAAGATTAACAAAACGTGCAAATATTATAAAGAAATTTATTTCAATTGCTGATGTAAGAAAAAGAAAATAGAAAAAATAGAAATATAATTATATTTATTAATATATCTATTTATTTTTTAATTTTCTTTAGCATTGTAGAAATTTAAATAATTATAATGCAGTAATGGAAATATTATCAGGATTAAATATGACACCAGTGTATAGATTAAAAAAGACATGGGAAACCATATCAAGAAAATATTTGGCAACTTTTAAACATTTGAATTCACTGATGGCCAACAAGGGCAATTTCAAGGTGTATCGAGATGTATTGCACACCAAGAATCCGCCGTGTCTCCCATTCCTCGGTGTCTATCTCACCGATCTAACCTTTCTCGAGGAGGGTTCCCCCGAGACTCTGGAAGGCGGTCTCATCAACATGATCAAACGTACGCAGTTAGCAGCCGTCATTCAAGAAATCCAACAATTCCAACAACAACCCTACTCTTTTACACCCGTCCCTATTATTCGTGACTTTTTACTTCAAGTTCAAGGTTTACAAGAACGTGCATTATACAAACAATCTAAATTAATTGAACCTTAACAACAAACAAACAAACAAAAAACATAATTAACATAACATAACAACAAAACAAACAAACAAACAACATCTATATATCTATAATATAAATTTAAAATAATTATATATTATTTATATATAATATAATTATTTGTTATTTTCCAAAATAGAGAAATAGAGAAATAGAGAGGAGAGAGATAAAAGTGTCAAACCATTAAAAAGTGTTTTCCCACAAATTTGAATTAATCGAATTGTATTAATATCTTTTTGAACATTTTTTAAACATTTAATTGTTTGTTTGAGAGAGTCGATGTTCAAAAAAACAAAAAAAAGATAATTAATTAAAGTACTTCAATATTATAGAGAGAGAGAGAATATAACCAACTAATATTATAAGCTATATAGTATTTTTAATAAGGTATACTGCTACACAAAAAGTATACAACTATTTATTTATTTATATATTTATTATTAGTAATTTAAGAATAATGATTATGAGTCAAGAGAATAATAACATTAATAGTAATAATCAAAATGTAGTAGGAGGTGCAGGAGAAGGTGGAGAAGTAGCAGAAGGAGGAGGAGAAGAAGAAGTTGTTAATAAAGTAGATAATAATTCACCTTCAACTATGATTACTACTACAACAAATACATCACCATCATCATCATCTGATACTACTACTACTACTACTATTCAACCTCAACCTCAACAACAACAAACTAAATTTACATGTACAATAACAAATTACTCTACCAAAGATACACCATTCTATACAACATCTGAAACCGTATGGGGTTTAACATGGTAAATATAAATAATAATAATATCAAACTGTTCTCTCTCTTTTTTTTTTTTTCTCTTTTTTTTTATTTAACCTTTTATTTTATTTATTTATACTTTTAGGAGAGTATATATATTCCCAAAAGGGAATACATCACAAGATGATTTATCACTGTTTCTAGACATGGCAGAGATTAAGCAACCAAACTTTTTATGTCAAAAAGTAAACTTTGTAATGGAGATTTGCAACCAAAAGAATCCAGAAGCTAGTATTAAAAAGATATCGGAACACATCTTTACACCAAAGAGCTCCGATTGGGGTTTCAACAAGTTTATGAGATTGGCCGATCTAAATAATCCAAACAATGGATTCATCAAAGATGATACTCTTATCATTACTGTTCAAATTTATAATGTTATTCCTGAATCAAATACTCATAGAGGTGTTTTTTCGTATGAATCAAAATATAAAAGATAGAAAGAATAATGTTAAATTGTTAAATTTTCTATTTAATTTTAATTTAGATATAATTCAAAAAAATTGACAGGATTTGTTGGATTAAAGAATCAAGGAGCAACATGTTATATGAATTCATTATTACAAGCATTATATCAAATATCACCATTTAGAAAAGCTGTTTATGAATTACCTACCTCTTCTTCTTCTTCTAATAATAATCAAAATAATAATCAAAATGATCAAACTGAAATTACAATTCCATTGGCATTACAAAGATTATTTTACAAGATGCAATTTGGAACCAATACAGTATCGACCAAAGAATTGACAAAAAGTTTTGGATGGGGAACACATGATATTTTTACACAACATGACGTTCAAGAATTGAATCGTGTACTTTGCGATAATTTAAATGATAAGATGAAAAGTACAAAAGCTGAAGGAACTATAGATAAATTATTTAGAGGAAAAATTAAGAATTTTATTAAATGTGAAAAGGTTAAATATGAATCAACAAGAGAAGAATTTTTTTATGGTACGACGACAAACAAAAGAAAACAAAAGAAAACAAAAAGAAAAGTATTTATTTCTAATTCTATTTATTTATTTATTTAATTTTTTAGATTTATCATTAAATGTTAAAGGATGTTCAAATATACTTGCATCATTTGGCAAGTATACAGAGATTGAAAGATTAGATGGATCAAATCAATATGATGCAGAAGGATTTGGTTTACAAGATGCAAACAAGGGTCTTAGATTTCTTTCTTTTCCACCAGTACTTCATCTTCAATTAAAACGTTTTGAATATGATCCACATCGTGATTCAAATGTTAAAGTCAATGATAAATATACTTTTCCAGATAAATTGGATTTATCACCTTATTTGGATGAAGGTTCTGATAAATCAATTTCTTCAATTTATCGTCTTCAAGGGTAAAATAGAAAAAAACAAAAAAAACAATAAGAATTAATTATTAATATTTTTTATTTTTTTTATTTTTTTTTAGAGTATTAATTCATTCAGGAGATATACATAATGGACATTATTATGCATTTATTAGACCAAGTAAAACAGGAGATTGGTTAAAATTTGATGATGAAGATGTATCTAAATGTTCATTTTCACAAGTTTGTGATGAATCATTTGGATCCGAGGTGGAAGGTCAAGTTTCAAGATTCCCATCACTTAGGAATTTTACCAATGCCTACATGTTGATTTATCTAAGAGAAAAGGAAATGGATGAATTGTTAAAACCAATACCAGATTGTGAAATACCCGAACATTTAAAAGAAAGATTGGAAAATGAAGAAAAACGTGTCAATACTCGTTTCCTACCTCTAAAGATTTCAACAGATGAAGATTTTGTAAATTCTCATTCATTTGATTTGGTTGATTTTTCAAAAATCTCTTTTCAAAATATTCCAATTAAAACTACTGAAACTATGAATATTTCTTATTTAAAGGTAAATAGAAAGAAAACAAATAATATAAATAGAATTAATTTATTAATTTATTTTTTTAATTTTTTAGAAACAATTAACAACAATATTTGGAGTACCACCAGAAAGACAAAGATTATGGATTTGGGCAATACGTAAAAACAAATCATATAGAATTGATTCAAGACCAGAATCTGATGAAACTAGTCTTGATGAATTACGTAGTAAATGTAAAAATGATATTAAATTACATTTGGAAATTTCCTATATCCCAAGACCTTTAAATGGAAATGTAAATAGATTGAAAGAATAATAGATAAAAAAAAAAAAAAACTAACTATTTTTAATTTTTTAGGAATACTTTCAAAATATTGGAACAAAAGAACCAAAAGAATATGCATTGGTATTTTTAAAATTTTATGATCCACAAACCAAAAGTTTAAGTTTTGTTGGATCAAAAGTGATTGATATTCATTCTCGCGTTTCACTTTTAATGCCTCTTTTATGTCAATTGGCACGTTTACCATCTAATCAACAATTATTATTATTTGAAGAAATTTCAGAACAACAAATTGAACCAATCAAACCAAATGAAACTTTTAAAAAGGTTGAAATTGGTAATGGTGATATTATTGTTTTTCAAAAACCAATTTCTATTATGTAAATATATTTATAAAAAACAAAATAGAAATATAATTATAACACAGTTTTACTTACCTTTGTTTTAGTGAAAATTATTTATATCCAACAGCAATACAATATTTTTCATATATACATCATAGAATTATAGTACATTTTAAACAAATTGAAAATAATAATATTTGTGGAGATGTGTTTACGTTGGAACTGTCAAAAGAAACCAAATATTCACAAATCACCAAAGCAATTGGACAATATATTCAAGTAGATTCAAATAATATTAGATTAATGACAATACCAAGACTCTCTGGACACGATCTCTATAATCCAATCAAACCAAATGATAATATTCCATTATCTGATATTTTAAATTCAACAGTCAATAATTATTCTTATAGTTTTAGTATTAATAATAATATGAATAATATGAATATCAACAACAATAATCAAAATCAAAATCAAAATAATAGTTTGGATCAATTATTTTTTGAAGTTTTATCAATTCCAGTTAGTGAATGCGAGAATAATAGAAACTTTAGAATTACATGGAAGAATCCTTTTACAGGATCACACGAAAAGGTATCGATTTGGGTAAAAAGAGATGGTACTATTGGAGACTTGAAAACAAATTTTGTAAATATTGTAGATAAACAAATAGAAAGACAATCTGAACAACGACACTCTTTGGAAAAGGATAAAGATAAAATGATGATTGTACCAAAATCATTAGACATTAACAAGATCAAACTGTTAGAAGTTCGTTATCACAAGATTGATAAAGAACTGTCAAATGAAATGGCACTTGGTCATATTATGGATAGTAACACTCTCAAGATGGAATTGATGATTGGACCAGACTCGGTTCCCAAGCCGACTGGTGAAACTTTGGTACAAGTGGTTCATTTTAACAATGACTCTGGTATGATTAGTTATTATGGTATTCCATTCCTTTTTGTTGTAAGGGCTGGTGATACAGTCCCTACTGTTCGATCTCGTATCTACCAATCTCATCTCTACAATGAAGTCAGTCAAAATGAATTTCAACGTTGGAAATTGGCAGTTATTACAAACGATAAACAAGTAGAATTCCTTCAAGACGATGTTTCTTTTAAAGATGGAAGTTGGGGAAATTCAATCCTAGGTCTTCATCATCCTTCACTTCCAGTTCAAAAAGCAATTAAAATTAATAAATAAGAGAGGGTAGTAAAGTTGTCGTACGTATTTTTAATCTCATCTCCTCGTCTTTCCCCCCTCTTCCTATTTTCTACAAACAAATCAAAAACCACCTTTTTTCCCTCCATTTCACATAAATACAAATAATTGAAAGTTCGTGGGTTGTTGTAAAATTAAAAAAATATTAATAACAAAAACATCAAACTCGTAATTTAGATTGATAACAAGCACAATCTATTCATAAATACAATAGAGAGAGAAAAATAGATATAAAATATTAAAAAGTTTAATATTAACTAGAGAGAGAGATAATGGATACTACTACAACAACCAATTTAGAAAGTAATCCAAATAATAATGAAACGATCGATCAATTATTAAAGTATGCCAATACAAGAAGAATTGAAATATATACAAGTATCTAATAATATTTTTATTGTTAAAGGGAAATACATAATGAACCTCAATTGGATTTAAAAAGAAAAATAGATAAATTAAATCAAATAACTGGAAGAAGAGGAAGCATCAACAAAATATCATCACTATTGACACCAAAAACAAAAGAAGAAGCTAAATTTAATGCCAGTCTTTTAGAACAAAATGAAAAATTAACTAGAATGTTTGGTGAACGTCCTGAAATTGTAATGAAACAATAATAATAATAATAATAATAAAAGAAACAAAACAAAATTGTGTAAATAAAAAATGAAGATCAAAAAAAAAAAAAAAACTATACAATAGATCAAGTAAACTGGAACTGTAGTTCCAACATTGGTGTTGATGATGTTCATGATGATGATGGTGATCAACACATGGGTAAACTGTCGCTTGGAAGTAGTTAAAGTGGGTTTATATAAATGAAACCAATCAATTTAAACATTTAAATTAAAACCAAACTCTACTCACTCTTTAATGTTTCTCAACACAAATCTCTATATATAGAATCGATTACATCAGATTTGGAAAAGGAGGGAAGGTATATATATATAAAAATATATACAAAACACAACATCTCTCTTTTTTTTATACATCAATCAATCAATCAATCAATCACCCTCAAGACTGGTTGCATGATTGGTGGTAGTCAACACCAGAGGGATAAAGAGGAAGGACACACAAGGTTGTATTTTTGCATCGATCACCCTTCACTGGCTCATCAAAAAAAAAGCATTGATTGGAGGAATAATGATTGTCACCACTCACCACACTTGAACAGCAGCTTTAAAAAAGTTGACTACCGAGGATGGGTAGGTCATCATCCCCTTTCCCGCTTGAAGTTGTTTTGAAAACCATACTTTTTTTTTTTTTTTTTTTGGTTGGGGTGTGAACCATTCGAAGACCAAAAATATTCAATCAAACCACCACCTCCATCCATCTCTGCAACCCTTTTTTTTAAAATTATAATTTTATTTATTTTAAATCACTAAAGAGTTGAACATAAAAGTAGTTGGTCGACAATCATTTCAACTCATCAAATACATCTTATTTCTCTACTCTCTAAACTAAACTAAAAGTTTAAAAGTTTTTCCATTATTTTAAATTAATAATAATAATAACATCTACCAAAATGTAAGTAATCAAAATAACTTTATATTATTTATAATTCCAATCCTCTAATTTATCCTTCCTCTAATTATCCTTCCTAATTATAGTCTCTCTAAAATGAACAAGACAATCTATGTTATTTTTGCCCTCCTCGTTATGATCTCAATGGCCCTTGCTGTAACTGAGAGTGTGTATCACATATTCTATGGGGATCGATTGATCAATGATGCCTCATTTCAAAATATTAAAATTTTTTTTCTTTTCTTTCAATTTAGCTACTACTACTACTACAACCACTACAGCTGATCCAACTACTACTACCACCACAGGTACTACTACCACAGGTACCACTACTACAGGTACCACTACTACAGGTACTACTACCACCACTGGAACTACTGCTGCAATCACCACCACTGCCACCACCACTACCAACGTTACCACTACTACCACCGGTGCTGGATCATCATTGGTTGCAGCTCCATTGGTTGCCCTCGTTGCTATTATCTTCTCTTTGATCCTCTAAATTTCAAAAAAGATAGATAATAATAATAATGGTTTTTTAAAAATGCCCGTCGGTGGTAATAATAATCATAATAATAATAATGTCCCAAATATAAAAAAGCCCTCCCATCAACCAACCAATTAAAAAAAAAAAAAAAAAAAAAAAAGAATTAATAAACTTGATATTGGGTTGTTTCTAAAACCAAAAAACTCTTCTTCTTTTGATTTATTAATGAATTGATTCATTTACTTGTTTGGATTTGACTCTGTCTATCTTGAATTCCAAGTTTTTTGTTTAATCCTCATAATACTAAATACAAACTCTTGTTTGATATATATTTAGTCAATAATTTTAAAAACAAATCAAATGTGATAGGGTTACTACAAAGGTATTTATTATGATTTTAGAATTTATGGTTACAATAGTTGTCATTCACAATGGTAATATAGGATGCGCAATTTTGGGTCTCCTTTCAAATATGTCGGTTGATCTATATTTGCAAATATTTCTCATAGAGACAAGTGATCGTCGTCATTGAAATCTCCTTGTCAGATATCTCTGGTTGAGTTCTTACATCGTCCATCTCCTCTTTGAATATGCATGTCTATTAACCTTTAAGATTAATGCTTTCAAACAGGTGTAAATGGTCTATTCTCAAGACATTGTACTTGCATCTCCTTGTCCAAAATTAAAAAACCATCAAATAATCATGAATTCAATTCTCCGGACTTGTGTGTGTGTGAGTGAGTGAGAGGATGATTGGATTGAATATTTTTGGTGTCTGCATGGTCATGGTTTTGTTGAACAACAACACACAAGTCCCCTCTCACATAATTGTTCGTACAACCCCTTTTTGATTTAAAATTATAATTTTATTTATTTTAAATCACTAAAGAGTTGAACATAAAAGTAGTTGGTCGACAATCATTTCAACTCATCACTTTTTGATACATCTTTCAAATACATTTATTTTAAATTAATAATAACATCAACAAAATGTAAGAAATCAAAATAACTTTATATTATTTATAATTCCAATCCTCTAAATTGTCCTTCCTAATTATCCTTCCTATAGTCTCTCTATCTCACTCTAAAAAATGAACAAGACAATCTATGTTATTTTTGCCCTCCTCGTTATGATCTCAATGGCCCTTGCTGTAACTGAGAGTATGTATCACATTCTCTATGGGGATCGATCAATGATGCCTCATTTCAAAATATTAAAATCTATGTTTTTTTTATTAATTTTTTTTCTTTTAATTAAATTTAGCTACTACAACTACTACAACTACTACAGCCGATCCAACTACTACTACCACCACAGGTACTACTACTACAGGTACTACCACTACTGGTACCACTACTACAGGTACTACTACCACAGGCACAACTACTACAGGTACCACCACTGCCACTACCACCTCCACCACTGGTTCACCTCCAAACCTTACCACTACCACCGGTGCTGGATCATCATTGGTTGCAGCTCCATTGGTTGCCCTCGTTGCCATCATCTTCTCTTTGATCCTCTAAATTTAAATCGATCGTTTCAAAAAGATAGATAATAATAATAATGGTTTTTTAAAATGCCCGTCGGTGGTAATAATAATCATAATAATAATAATGTCCAATATTTTTTAAAAAAACACCAATAAAGGATAAATCATAGTATCTTTTGAATTAATTGACCAATCTCTTTTTTTTTTATGCAAAGAACAATGGGGTCTTATGTGTTGTTAAAAAATTAATCACAAACAGCGAAACTCTTTGAATTAAAAATTTAGCTAGTCAATAGCAGGAAAGGCAAAAAACCAGTTTGACCAATGATGGCTTTTTAACTATGCAGATATGTCCAAAATAGATGAAACTTGGATATAATTGTAGCCACGAGTCAGCAGATTCAGGAAAGGAAAAAAAAAAGGTCTCAGCTCTCCACCCCATGCGAAAAAAGAGCAAAAAGGATTATACAAGGATTGAACTTGTGACCAAAGGATTTGCAGTCCTCTACTCTACCACTGAGCTAATAATCCATTATTTTAGCGTCTATCTTTTTGGAGTTTTCCCCTATTTATAGGCCCTTTTTCGCAATAAACCAAACGACTACCAAAGGTAAACCACCTCTCAAAATAATTAAAATTCTACCTTTGTATCTATATAGTTATTACAAGACACAACTACCAACCATTAATCGCATAATCATATGTATGATTATTATTACTGTTTTACTATTTTATTGTGTTGATTAGAGAAGGGGATGAGGAAGGAAAGATTGTTTAGGATTGTTGCTTGTTCTCAAAATTGTAATCTATATTTTGGTTGTAGTTGGAGGAGAATCAAAGGATGATAGTTTGTATTCGTTCTGTAATTGTATGTGTTACTGATTCGTCGGTTTGGTTCATTAGAGCCAAGTGCCATCGATTACATAATTCTAACGTCTTGTTCCAGTTTACTTTTAAAATATATGTCGCATATCATTTAGCAATCTAGCTCGCAGATATTGTTCAGTGAATGGTTCATCTCTTTGGTGACGTAGATCATTAGGTCGGAACCATATTCGTTCGAGTGTTGCAGCGACCAAGTTTGTGGTCATTGGAGTTTGTTTGAGGTTGAGGAGGGTGATGTCCCAAGCTGGTGGTGGAATGTTGTTGGCAGCAGTGACCTCTTTCAGTATCTTCACTGGCAGCGTGGTCTCCTTGCATTGGAAGAACAAGTGCTTGGAGGATTCATCTTTACCACACGACACACAGATGGAGGCGACTGGGTCACCCATGACTAGCGGGAGACATTTGGTTACATATTTCCAAACCATATCTCGACCCTTTGGTAACACGATGGTAGAAAGAGCAGCTAGCTCATTGGATACACTCTGTCATCGGTTGCTAAGATCTTTTGACCTGGGGTCGCACACGTTCCACTTTTCGTTGGCTATGGTCAGCCTTTGGAGGTACACTCGTGCAAAAAAGGGCCTATAATTTTTTTTTTTTTAATAAATCTGGACTCTAGTCGTCGGACGATAGAGTAATTATGGTTTATTTGTTTTAATTTTAATTAAAATAGTTAGAGGTTCTGTTAATATAGGGCTTGTATCCCCGTTGTTGGGTGATATTATTTCTTATATTATTATTATTATTTTATTGGCCTATATTTTTTTTTTTTTTTTAACATCTATGACTACCACCATTCACATCCGTGATAGTCTTACGTTTATTGAAAAGAAAAAAAGGGGGATTTTTACTTTTTTGGATTGTTGATTCAGTTTTGGAAAACTAAATGGTTGGTTAAAGGTTGTTTTGTTGGATTAGTTTTGGAAAACTTAATGGTTGTGTGTGGGTTGGGCGTTGGATCGCTGGCGCTCCCAAAAAAGTTTACAAGCATTCGCCCTTTCAGGGCTCATTATATATTAAATAAGTTAAAATAGTTAATTTATTTTAGAAATATTTATTTTTATTGTATTTATTATTTTTTAGAATTAATTATTAACTTTTAATATTTTGGATAGAATTATAAAGGTTAAAAAAGTTAAAATTATTTTAGAAAAATAGAAAAATATTGGTTTGATTTAGATTTTGGATTATAAATTCATAATTTTAACCATAATTGGATTGAAATTATAGGCAAACATAGTTCATAGAAAATGGATCAATGGAAAAAGATTGGTTGGTATCACAAGGTATTCCACTTCCATCACTATTTTGGATTATCAATTGTCCACTCAACAAACAACAGATTCTACATGGATGAATAAATAAAGTTGGAGAATGTTTTTGGTATGTAGATACTGTAACTATTTGAATATTGGGAGGTCTAAATCTTTCAGGAATAAAAACATCCGTATATACTTCTGAAGCTGTAGTTTGCATTGTCAAGGTTGGAGGTGAATCAACACAGAGTGTAACCAGTTTACCAATTCTTACAAAATGGATTTGGTTGTATGAATAGACATACAAAGTTGAAATATAACATGGATTGGATGATAAACGAGAATGCTTTAGTGAGAGTGGTTCTAGCAATTACAATAGACAAAACATTGATTATCAATGTTGTATGTAATAGGTTGAATGTTACTGTCATCATAGAATGTTGGTATATTAATTATAAATTGCTGTTATCGTTCAAAGTTGAGCTGAATCTATAGGAGTACTAATCTTTGTTCACATAAGACAAAGAATCCGTCTTGTTGTTTTCAAGAGTGGTGGCGACAAGAGAATGAAAAAAAAAAAAAAAAATGGTGTCAGAGTGTTTCAAACAAAGAATTTCAATACCAACAACAACAACAACATTAAAAGGAGAACCCATGTTGTCTATTATCTTTCGACATCACTTTTAATCATAACATGTATAATGCCAAGACAATAACAGAAATTGCATCACAAAGCGATTTCAAACGATGGTCAGCAAAACAAGTAAAAGAATGGGCTACAAAAGAAGTTCAAGTAAGAGAGGAATATGCCCAGATGCTTCTTGATAATGATGTAGAT